AATTCTGGCTAAAGGTTTAAAGGGAGGGTGGGCTGGCCAGACTTTGCTAGAGGTATATGAGAATAAACTGAGAATGATCTGAGAATGATCTGAGAATGATCTGAGAGTGATCTGCGAGCAATCTGAGAATAATATGAGAATAATATAAGATGAACCAAAGATTGGCCTGAGAATAATGTGGGAACGATCTGAAAGTAATCTGAGAAATAATTGATAATAAGAAAAACCTAGGGTAGGGAGGGCAAGCTGGCCAGTTCTGTAAGGGGGAGGGGTGGAGGCTGGCCAGAATCTGGCAGGAGGTTGAAGGGAGGGTGAGCTGACCAGGTCTGGCAGGGGAGGTGGCGAGTTTCCCGGGAGGAAAAAAAGGAAAAAAAGGAACTTGAGGAAAATAAATATATCATTTTGCACAAACAATCTCAAAAGAATACTGTAAAGCTCCCGACAGGCCTGCAACCGCACGCCGTCCGTCGCCGGGCACGCAGTCATTGTGGACTACGGCCGCTGAGCGTGGTAGTGACGCTGCCCTGGGTGCTATGGTGCACCAGGGCAGCCACTGTGTCGACATTGCAGGTCTCCCATGCTGTGGAGTCATATCTGAATTCTCGGTATGTAGCGCCCCTCACGCATCCACGGCTTTGCTGATGAATCAGAACGAACTTGGCGCCTTGCCATGCGCAGCGCTGCTGTCTCGTCGCATCGTGCAACAGGATCTGACTCCTTTGCAGCACGGGTAGAATACCTGAGGTGCAACGCCATGGCCAAGTCGCGCTGGGCTGCACTGGTCAAAGGGGTATGACTCTCGCTTAGGGGGCAGAGACAAATGGGGGGATTGCGAAAAGAGATGTGTGATTGATTGCTTCTATCTAGAGGATGCGCTGAATCTGATCAGAGTGCTTATTTACAGTGATGCGCGATGCGACAAGCGGATTGCGCTGCATGGCGGAACACCGTTGTGATGAACGCATCACACGGCAGCCCAAATGAGGACCAGGCGGTCTCACCAGGCAGATTGCAGAATGCACGGAACGAAGGGGAACCAGGAACACAGATTGCACACAACACCTGGGACCATAAGCAAGCACGGACCAAGGGTCACGTGGCGATACGGATAAGGATCGAGGACTCGAGCGTCGAGCCTGCGATCCAGGAAGAGATGAAGGAAAGGACTCATGTATATAAGACCATGACCCCAACCACCAGATAGCTATTTCCTTTCTACAGCTCTTCAGCAATCAATCTAAGTATTACTATGAACCTACCTTCATAGTAGTAGCCTTCATTGGCTTGTGACTTACACCACGATACCACGCGACGACAACCTGGCACACATTACTGTCCACACAAACACACAGCTGTTCTGCTAACATAAACACCCTGACGACACGGTTTATCACTTAGGAAACTTGTGGTCATAACAAACGTGCTTCCGCGTCGCGTGACGTAAAGGTCGAAAACACAAAAACAGAAGCGGAGTGCGTAGACACGACGATGCCGTGTTGGTAGTTGTATTTGTCTTGCTGCTTTCGGCGTTGCCGGCTTCGCTTATGGCCCAGTACTGTAGATAAACTGCTTTGGTCCATTGCAGAGTGTCCTCTAGATCGAAGCAATAAAGTACCCAACTGCACTTCACGATCTTCTCTCTTTTGGCTGCTCTTTGCTGAGCCGCCTAATATAAGCGACTCTCATACCCCGTGACCTGTGTAGCCCAGCGGTACCTGGGGCATGGCGTTGCCATGGGCATTGCTACTGTGACTTTGCACCACGCATTAGGTTCTGACTGCTCAGAAGGACGAAACATATTACAGTTGGCTGCCCTGGCGCACCATACACGGCCAGCGTCATCAGCTACCGCGTTATACAGTAATTGTTACAACAACCTGTATGGCAGGAGAAGTCATGTAGTCTTTACTAATGTAGGAGGGTGTTGGATAATCATAGGCCATGTACGGAGTAACATTGTGGGCGGGCCCTGATTAGTCAATCAGGGACCCACCCTTTGCGGAGTTTTTCTCTTTCTCCCAGTATAGCTGCATCTTCTCCCATGCTCCTAGGATTAACCAACCAATCTGCCAAGTCATTACGTTATCTATCAATTTTTCCATCTTGCGCTGTAAGTCCTTATTTTACACCTTCTGTAGTACAGTCTACTGGACAACACTAACACTAACGCATTAGAACTCTTCCAATTGCATTCACACCTTTGTTTGCTTCCCACGAAGCTTCCCCCCAAGAGATACAAACAATGTCCAACAATCCGAAGACGATGGATATTTCGCCTAATAGCAAATCGTCGAAGATGGCTATCCTGGCTATCACGAAAGCTAAGCACGAGACAGCCCGGCGAATTTCAAACGAAGTACGGAAGACATACGAAGCCCTGTCGCGCAACGTGGAGCCGGACGTGGAGCCAGACCAGGAGCAGGTGGAGCCAAACCCTCAAGCCAGCCTTCAACTGGCATCGCTAGGGGTTGAGCTGGCGTTAAAGGAAAAGGAAGCTATTCGATTAGAGCGAGATGTTGTTATCCAGGAGCAGGATGCTAGTCTACTGAAACACAAGTTGGCCAACAAACGGCTCCGAGACATAACCAGCGCTACTTATCTGCCGGAGACGACCTGTGGAAACAGCAGAAGGAGAAGATACGTTTTGACGATCCTGGAGTCGTACGCTTGCTAGAACCACGTGGTAATGGCCTCTCTGAATGTCTATTAGCTCTTTACAAAAAGTCCGATGGGCTCTCAAGGGTGGGAAGGCGGCCTTCACGTTGGCGCCACGATGCTCTTACCTACTACGCCGGCACAAGTGAACAAGCAGGGAAACAAGCACGCGGAGCCGTTTGGTGCCATATAAGCGGAATGTGGCATCCAGATAACGATGTCAAAGCTGCGCACATTGTACCCTTTTTTCTCGATGCGGCAGATATTGGCGAGATACTATTTGGCAGTCGAGCGGAATCACTTCACCGAGCAGGGAACGCACTTCTTATGTCGCACCGTATTAAGGGCTGGTTCGACAGCTATCAGCTCGTGGTTGTTCCATTTGACTCCAATGAATCACCAATCACTCGATGGCGGACAGACGTCCTTTCCTCCGACATCAACAACATGTATATTGGCAGCGAAAATTTTACATCCACAGACTTGAATGGAAAGGAGCTACAGTTCCTCAATGAGAAGCGTCCAGTCTCACGCTTCCTTTACTTCCATTTCATTATGACGCTTGTCCGCATTAAGGACACCCAACGTCGCGGATGGGAGGATATCTGGGCCCGATACTACGAGCAGCGCCCTTTTCCAACACCAGGAAACTATATGCGGAAAAGCATGTTACTCGCCCTTGCCACGCATTTTGAAACGGCTGACATGAATGTGGTTGATTCCTGGATCAAAGACCACGGCTTTGACACCCCTTTGAAGTTAACCGACGAAGAGGCTACAGAAGCGGCCCGCCGAGTGCATTTGGCTGTAGAAGATGCCATTGCTTGCGCTGAGAAGTCAGAAAGTCAAAGGGAGGAGCGCTCGGAGGAGAGTGGGGAGGAGAGATCAGAAGAGAGTTCAGAAGAGGATTTTTTGTAGTGGACACTGTGGTGATTGAGAGAGATGATGTCAGCCATCAAGGGGTCGTTTCTGATGTCTCTTTTCCAATCAAGTTTCTATATTGTTTAAGGAGCCTTAGAGAGCTTTTCATGGCTTGATGTTTTAAGTCGTGCGCCTACGCCTTACATCAAGCTTCGCACACAAACAATACTAGTCACGAAATTAATCCCCTGTAGGTCTCTTGATATTCTGCCTAGGTGCTAAGTAAATGTACTGCTCCCAAGGACTTGTGGACCGCCGATGACTGCAGCAGAATGTGCAGGATGCAGCCACCTAAGAAGCCGGTGGCACCGGTAAGGACGATGTCGAGGCAATGGGCTGTGTTAGCGGTTAGTCTCGCGGTTGCCCTCGTTGTCACGGCCTTCTCTTTCAGGATATCGTGCACCAGCTGCTTTAGTTTAGGCAACGCAGTGGCTTCAGGAGTCCAGTCGATATGTTCTGCAAGGCCTAGCGTATCGGTAGCATAATGTAGGTCTCCTGATCGATCTTTGCAGGTTGTAAAGCCGCTGACATTTTTATTGCTTAGTCTGTCGCCTCCCATCAAAACTAAGGGGACGATGTCCCTGACAGTACGGGGCCACGATAAAAGCAGGCGCCCGCCTGCAAGTTGTAACGAAAAGCATAGATTAAAAATATGTAGACGAAAAGCATGAAACCTGACACCACAGCAAACCATAGAGCTGTAGCGACTAAAGGGAAAGTTCAAAGTTGGCGTGCTTCAGTCCTGAAGCACTCACAGATGCTGAAAGACCAGAGAAATTCCCATCGCTGACAACACCATTCTCATTGCATATTGGCGCTCCGCAAGTGCCATCTGGGGGACAAATCCGCCCTTGCAATTGCCCGTAATACTGCCAAATGTAGCCAATGTGCTCTGTGCCTTCGACTCGGATAGATGTGCCAGCCACCACCCCTTCCAATACACCGGAAAATGGGCTGTCGAGGAAACAGGTATCATGTGTGAGATCGTCGTCCTCTGTCGCCAGACGGGTGAAACTAGAGGGAATATCTGGAGCAGTCTCGAATGGCTGGTTCTCAAACTCTACGTCCTTATTCAAGTCGACCAAAGCAATGTCTGTCCGCGGAATGTCCGCAGAAACTGTGCCAACGATCCGGCCCGTTTTAGGTGTCATTACAATGCCATTGTCAGCCATCCTATGGCTCGCAGCGGTCACGTAACCGTTGCCATTGTCATCTTTCACAAGTACCCCCAGTGTGCTCCTCGCAGTGCCGGTCCGCATCTCGCTGCAAACCAAAACTCCTGGACGGAAGACGCTGTATTCTGTGTCGTCAATGATCGCGGCGGTGGGCTGTGGCGTTATATCTCGTCTGGCCATTTGTTGCATTGAGTCCGGGTGGCGAAGGTCGCTGATATTGTTGTAGTAGACAAAACAGTCAGCGACACGACGGGGAAATGCCTCGCTGACTTTGCCAATATTCACTTCATCGGACAGAAAAATGTGAAAAAATCCGTAGAAGGTGAACATTACTTCTACCACAGAAACTCCAGGAATATCGGCATTGAAGTAGGCAATAATCCGGGCTGTCAGTTCGCGCAAATCGCGTTCCGAGATGGAGTATTTGTTCTTGAATGACTTCTCAGCGCAGATGTTGGTACGAGAAAGGCTGAACTCGGCCACGATGGGAAACAAATAGGCTTTCTCGCTACCGTGGTTCTCGCACATCTTGTAGGGTAATCCACCAATAGTCGCTGGCCACGGCGGACTTGGCAGTTGTTCCACTCCAAATACCAAATGGGAATTGTTGCGCATCGTCACAGCTGTTGTGGTGGATCTCTAAGATCAAAATTCCAGTCAAATTTCCTGCAGTGCCATGGCTCTGGAGGTGTAGCTGTGGATACCAAACGATATCCTACCAGATCCTGTGATGAGGGTTTGAAAGCTGTATTTCAAGGGAGTCGGCCATGTTGGTTCTTCGCTGGCTGGAAAAAGGGCAGAAGAGAGGAAGGAATTGCAAATAAAGTACGTGATAATAAGGGAGGAGTAAAGGGGAGAAGCAAACAAAGAAATAGAAGAAAGGACCGATACCTTGTTTTTGTTACACGGTCAAGCTTCCTAAACAGGAAATTACTAAACATATGGGCCACGCAATCTAGGCAGAAAATTTGGCGGCTACTATTTGTACGGATCTGTATCACAGCGAGAATGATGGAATGACGACCCGTCTTAATAAGCAGATTTCAACGCTGTCAGAAAACAACAAGCATGGCTAATTGTCTTGCGGCGACTTATAGCGCCCCGATGAGTAGTGTACATGAGTGACATATAAACTGAGCGTCTAGCAAATGTGCTTTTAGCACGGCCATAATGATTAAGCCGCCGTCACCGTCAGTCTCGTCACGTCATCTTCGTTCTCCTCACCATAGGTAGGCTGTGGTTCCAGCCGTGTGGTCGTTCTCCTCCTCTATCTGGTACTGATAGAGTGCGGATAAGCGTTGTATAGCTAGTAATAAATACAACGCGCCCGTTCTATACGGGCTCTTTGTTAGTAGAAGAACGCCGGATGGGAACAAACATGAATACAAGGACTTTATGTAGTTAGGCACCCTAGGGCGTCGAAAGGACAGCGTTTTGTACTTAGTAAAGATGCAATGTGCAACCCCAAGGTAAGTATTCTGTTAGCTACAGTCAGCTTCTTTGACCACCGCCCCTGTGTCATGGTAGAAGCTTATTGATACCCTTCCGGATCGGAAATCGCCTTCGCTGATCCGTAGTATATACAGATCTCGAAGGGTCCGTTAGTCAGACGAAGAAGTGTGCCGGCGTCAACGATTTGATGCGGTTTGACGCTTATCTCCTTGCCATTTTTACCTTTCATCCTGTACTGTTTGTCCGACTCGTGGCGGCCAAAGCCACCGGCTACAAGAACATCATTTCTTCTGGACACGGTTCACGTCCACCGTTCGCTGGCGCTGCAGCCACGGCTGGGTCGTGCGTTCCACCATCCATTGTGTGACCGGCGAGGGCCTCAACGTTCTCGTCTAATGCATTCAGAGCCGCACTGCTGTGGTGGGTCGGCACGATCGCGTTGGCAAGTATCCGTCCGTACCGACCGAGAAGCTCCAGAGTCACCGCATCCAATGGCTCTCTGTTGTCTTTGTTCCACACTCCAGAGTTGCTTCTACCTGTGGCCCTTGCAAGGGCCACCTTGTCTACCCCGCCCAGGTCGCTAACACGAAGTTAGGTAGTGTAGCCGTCCGGCATCCCCGTACGCCTAGTAGATGTGGTCTTGTATCGACGCGGCGCTGGATTTATGCCTGGATCGCTACATAGCAGCGACTCCAGTCTTCGGGTCGTAATCTAGAATACCTTCTGTCTTCGCGACCGTCTGAAATAGCGGTGTCGCCTCTTCGGGGCCGCCGCTGGTAGAGAACCTCAGCAACACGAATGCAGCCGCCAAAAACATGCCACCAGTGTCACTTGTTTCTGTCTTGCTGTTGGCTTTACACAGGCGCTCTGGTATGTTCGTATACATTTTCGTTTGTCGAATCTAGCAATGCCTGTTTCAAATCAGGTTTCCGCTGCACTTGTCGGAGAAGCTCGACAAAAGCAATCCTTGATGGCGTCTTGCTCGTGGTCGTCTGTGGCCAGCCATTCGCCCGCGCGTGCAACAGTGACTTTATAAACTCAGCACCTGTACGTGACTGTTATTATTCGTGGACATCTGAGGGCCCTCTTCCCAAAGCCACCAACAGCTATTTGTGTTGGAGGGAACAAGGCACACTCAAATTCTGTATCTAGCCATGTCAGTAGGTCAACAGTCGTTTAAAGGTCAGGTAACCGGCCACCTTCGCCACGTTGTCGACTTTTCCCTCAAATTGGTCTACGCACTATATCTTGTCGTACATTGGGGTGTCCATGTGTAACTGCGTAAGCTCTTTACGGACAATCTTTTCCTCGTCAATGGCGCTCCATGACGGCACGCCGCGACGCCACGGATGCAGGCCGCTTTCTGTAATGACGTAGCCATAGTTGAATGTGCTTAATCCTACTCATGAACTTTTATTCCTATACTTCTGACCTTGAACTAAGCAGTTCCTGACTCTAGGCCTAGAATACTGCGACCAATCTGGCCGGCTTTAGTCACCATGAAGAGCGACGGCTTCTGCTCGGACACATTCGGATTCACCTCCAGGTAGATCACGCATTCATCCACCCGCAGCCACGCCTACATGTCCCATTTCTGCGCCGTCGGCATGTTGCCCGCCTCCGTCACCGCGTGGTGGAAGATGGAGCTGGTGCACTCGTTGACCACGCCGTCGGCGTCGATCTTCCCCAGACTGCTCTACTACTAGTGCCTTTCTTCTGCCCTCTTTCTCTCATTGAAAAGGCCGTACTGCCCAATACCTCCATCCTGGGCATTTGCAAAGATGAGATATGTCTTTTATCCCACTTTTGTCCACAAATCTGCCACCTCCATGGCCAGAAGTCTGGGTCTCGTCCACCCTTTACTTCGGCTATGTCGTGTCACAGTACCCAATCTCGGTGCTGTTGCAGAAGCTTCCAATCGGTCTCTACTTTGGCGTCATGATCAGGCTCTGGGGCCTTTGCTGCACCTTTACCGTCAACACCGACATCTTTGTCGGCCAGTACTGGACCCGCCGCAAACAGCCCCTGCGCGCCTGCATCTGGTTGGGGGGCGCACCTCTCGGCGGCTCCATCATCGACGGCCTTGCCTCCATCACCTCGCCCAGCTTGGGTGGCGGCAAGTATGTCACGTGGCAGGTCCTCTACCTCGTCTAGAGGGTCATCACCATCGCCTGGGCCGTCCCGCTTTTCTTCGTCCTGTTCAGCTTGCCTATACCTGGTTCCTTAGCCAGCGCGAGCGCAAGATTGCTGTGATTCTGGTGAGTTCTACCGTGCTTACACACTCGGATCTTCCTCTACAAAGGCAGCCTCTGATAATATAGGTAATCAGCAACCACACCGGCATCGCGAACCGCAATCATCGCACGTACCAGGTCCGGGACTGCTTATAAGACATTCAGTGTTGGATGTGTTAGTTCGACAACATAGTCGTGGATGGCCTCGGCTATGACGACCACCAGTCCACCCAGGCTTTTTTTTGGTGGAGATGCTGCTCAGCTTTTCTCCCTCATTGCAGCGTGAGAACTTCCCACCGAAGATCTGCATAAACGACAAGATGGCTTGTACATTATGTTTATGAACACCGTACTGTACATCATAGTCATGTCTTTAATGTCCTCCAACGTCCGTCGCCGGTTCCTCCTTCTGTCTTCTGTACCAGCCTAACGAAACGTTACAACCAGGTTGGCGGTTTCACAAACCTTCATGGTCTTCGTGGGCTATGCAGCGGGCCAGATCAATGGCCACAATTATCCTCACAAGTGAGATCCCGATCTATCATACGGGATTGCATGCCTTTTTTGTCTCAATTGCCCTTGTAACAGTCTTCCAAGCCGTTCTTGTGTGCATGAACGAGTATTGCTTGGATAGTGCTTACATTTTCCGCGATCATTCATCAACTCTCCATGGGCTCTACTTGCACGGAAAAAACTTTGCAGAAGCAGGATATCGGCAGCTATTGGTACAGGAGCAAGCCGATGCTACTTCTTCTTTGATATTACAAACAAGGAACAGCCAGGCTTCCGATACATGTACTAGTCACTACGAACTATCATTGCATCAGAATAGACAGAATAAACTAGCGAGCTAACACCTCTTTGTAGGAGTTGTGCTAATGGTGTCTTGCTGTCCATCCGTAGTTTCTTGAATTTCTTGAACTCTTTGGCAATACTTTGCGATAGTATATACCCTGTCAATACAGCTGTATATGTAGAAAATTGGTCTAAACTTGGAAGCGCGAAACCATACACATTTGACAAAAGCAGCGCCTTAACTGTACCAAGGAAAACCTGACCATTGCCATTGGAACCAAATAAGACGGTTCAGGTCCAGGGTCGATTAGCATGGCTTTCTTGTCGCTACCTGCTCTTTATGGTTGCCGTAGGGGCATAAGTCTAGACCTGTCTTCAGTAGCGGCTGGTCTCGAGAGGCGGCAGCAAGGGTGATTGCAGCTGCAGCAAATGTACGTGTTAAGTAATCACAAGTCATGTGACATACGGGTGAGCCCTGATTGGTCAATCAGGGCTCCACCCTATGCAGAGTTTTATCCCTCTAGAATAGCTGCATCTTCTCCTCTACTCTCTTTAGTAATACAACCAACCCTTTATGCTAAGTAAGCAGTGATTTGAAAGTACGAGCCGTCGTTGCCACACCACTACTGGTATCACTGATAACGGAAGTGAATGTCGCAACACCGACGGCGACCATGACCACAATGGCCACGACAGTCACGATGGCTACGGTAGCCGCCAATGGCTGAATTCTCGTGCACGTAATAATCTATCCTAGCGTCGAGGGGGGGAGCAACCAATCAAGCGAGCTGGGCGATGGCGTAGGCATTAACGGCCTCAGAGATACTGTGGCTCGTGACGTGGAAAAGAAGTCGCAGTAGTGGCAGGCTGCTTCGATGCTCGCGGCCACGCCTGGCGTGCCATCGCTGCCTGAAACTTTAATTGCTTACATTCGTTGCCGCTGAAAGGGAGAATATTCATGGCGAAACCTGCTGCGAGGACTGGTTCGACGGCGGGTCCGTTCGATTCGCAACACTAAGTCGGTCGACGACGGAGCAGAGATTGGGATAGTCACGGTCACAGCACATGCACGTAATCAATATTTAGCTTCGCTGTTTAAAAGCAAGGAAACCCTACAAACGTCAGTTATCCATCGGTAAGGAGCACGACTCAAGTAGCTTAACCACGGCCTTTCCTCTCCAGGTAGCAGCAGCCCATGACAGCGGCGTCCGGCCGTTGTTATCTCTTGAATCGGCCTCGACGTTGTTTTGAAGCAGTAGCTTAACTATGGCCTCGCTTCCCTTTTCAGCAGCCCATGACAGCGGCGCCCAGCCGTTGTTATATCTTGAATCGGCCTCGACGTTGTTTTGAAGCAGTAGCTTAACCACGGCCTCGCTTTTCCAGGCAGCAGCAGCCCATGACAGCGGCGTCCGGCCGTTGTTATCTCTTGAATCGGCCTCGACGTTATTTTGAAGCAGTAGCTTAACCACGGCCTCGCTTTTCCGGCCCGAGCCAGCAGCCCACGACAGCGGCGTCCGGCCGTTGTTATCTCTTGAATCGGCCTCGACGTTGTTTTGAAGCAGTAGCTTAACCACAGCCTCGCTTCCCTCTTCAGCAGCCCACGACAGCGGCGTCTGGCCGTTGTTATCTCTTGAATCGGCCTTGACCTTGTTTACAAGCAGTAGCTCTACCACTGCCTTGTGTCCCTCTCCGGCAGCCCATGACAGTGGAGTCCGGCCTTTATAATCCCTTAAGTCGACCTTGACATTTTTTGTAAACATTGGTTGCTTGAGAATAGCTTTGAGTCTCCATTTCATAGACTGTGATGGCGGTGTCCGACCATTGCTGTCCTTTAACTCGGATCTAACGCCACTCGTAAGCAGTAGCTTAACCACAGCCTCGCTTCCCTCTTCAGCAGCCCATGACAGTGGCGTCCGGCCGTAGTTGTCCCTCATGTTTATTTCTGTGCTGTTAAAATTTCGCAAAACAGTTTGCAGAAGATTGGGAAATCGAAGTCTGCAAGCAATATGAAGGGGGCTTGTCTTGTCCCACCGAGACCAAGGATCGCAGAGCCGTTGATAAAGAAACAAAATGTTTCTAAGTGGCGAGAAGAAAACATCCCATATCTCTTGTTGTTGAACGCCGTCGAAAGCGGTATTCCGGGTGTGTGTCGGCCAAGAGTGTAAAGCATAAGTCAAAAACGGGAACTGGAACTCCATTTCGCCGACTGACTGGCTTCTATTTGAACTATCGGTTATCTCTTCTATTGTCAAGTAGCGCATGCATGTTTTTGATAGCCAATAGTGTGCTTTTCCAATTGCTATATCCCTTGACTCGGAGCTTTCGTCCAAATCTTGTAGAAGTTGTAGGCCACCTTTGAGGAAAAAGTCTTTGACGGACTGGTGGATAAACTGCACAGTATTGGACGAGGCATCGGTCCCAGCAAGGCCACAGCTTAACGAACGAACCCGAGTCGCTAGTTCTTCATCGTCGCTTTCAAGACCTTCCGAGTCCTGGTATTCCCGTAGTGAGTTGCCAGGGCAATCGGGATCGAGAGCCATGGCCCATCGTAGCTCGACAAATGACAAAGGCCTCGCGGCAAGGCATACCCATTGAATCAATTTAATGGAAGCTGGCTTACTTCTCATTTGTTTGACAAGTTCTTTGTACAGCTCATGAAGGGTTTGAGGGACAGACAGCAACGTTTGCTGAATCTCTGATGGTGGGGCAGCATTTCGCTCACGGTCTTGTACGAGCTTGACGACTAGGCGCGCCCAGAGGAACACACCAGAGGCATGATTCATGATATATTCAGATGCAACCGGACTGCTGGGAAGGTTCTGTCTAACGTAGGTCGCAATATCAGACGCGTTGTTTTCTTCTGGGGATACTTCGTAGCCACCTTTCATATTTTGTATCGGATAAGGTCGACAAGAGAAGCAGACGCGGAATCGTTGGCTGTTAGGAGAAGTCGAGAGAGTGCTGCATAACAATGCAAATTTCTCGATGAGTTCTTTAGCGTCTTTTTTTCCGCACTCGTCTAAGGCATCGACGAATAGCCAGACGGAGCGGGTTTCGAGGATCTTCTGAAGTGCCGGCGTGAAGTATTTCCAGAGTTCATTTTCCTGCCATTGCCACTTTTCGTCTGGTTCTCCAACCTCGGAAAGCTTCTTCTCAAATGCTACAACAAGATCAGAGAGTGCGACTGGCTCGTTCCTTAGGACCTGATGGACAAGAGAACGGAAGAAGCCGAGTGGGGTCTTTTGGAGATTGTTGCCACGAGCGTGGAAGAAAAAGGATAGGATGAGATCGCTGCGTCGAACTCTGTCAGGTAACTGGCTTAGGATGAACTTGAGCAGTGTCGACTTTCCCGAGCCAGGCTTTCCCTTGATCCAAAACAGTTTTTTGTTGTTGGTTGTGCTCCATTCGATGTAGTCTTTGTGTTCTAGTAACCATTGACCTGTCCCCTTAACAACCTCTTCGATAGAGTAGAAGCGACTCTCCATATCTAGAAATGCCAACGACTTCAGACATTCGTTTTCCATTTGGTGCAGTTTTACTGGTAAAGGGCCTGCTTCTCGTTAACATAATCGTTATATATGTAAATTGTAAAAAGACTTACATACTTTGGGCTAAGCACGCCCGCTGAACAAGCCGGTCGATTAACCGGGAAACCTTGTCAAATTCTGGATCATTCGGGTAGAATTTTACCATCTCCGAGTGTGTTCGGGAAATCGGACAAATGTGATCATCTCCAACCTCCCATCGTCGACAATGCATAGCGGAACCCTTCGATACAAAGACGGTCTCCGGGCCGTCCATCGTCCACGCACCATTTTGGTCCTGCTTGTTTGTAAGAACTTTCTCTTTCAAACACAGTATACCACGGTTGCTAAAATACCTGTCTGGGTGTCTTCGACAAAATCGTCTCGTAAAAACAAAAAATCTCGGATTTTCCCTCACCCCCGAGCGCTGTTTCAAAGTCGGCTTGCTGTCGCCTCAAGAAGTCTGCATCTCTTCCGATCGACTCAAGGAGGTGTCGGTTTGGTGCATCCTTAACCATTGGTACTAAGAAACTAGTATCCAAGCCTTCATTTGGGACACCGAAGAAGATGATGCCATACACTGCGCGAATGAGCTTCTGGTGTTCTGTCTTTGTGGATTCAGAGAGTGATATAAGGGCCTGCCGCTTTGTGAGATTGTTGAGTAGTAAATGGCATTGGGAGTATGACCTTACCTGTTTAACAACAAGCCCTCCCATGCTGTGGGCCAGGATTATGATCGGTCGGGGGCTTTGAGCGTCAGCCAAGCTCAAGAAGCTGCTACTAAAAGCTATTCCAAGGTCAATCAGGCCTTGGTTGTTGATGCTATTTGCCAGACGTGAGTTGTAGCCAAAAATCATTACACGCGTAGAGGAGTTATCGAATGGCAGCGCATCCCGGAGCCACATGTGCTCTCCGTCCTTGCTTTTGAACGATCCGAACGCATGTCCACCAATTCCAGATATTGCAATCAGGCTAGATTGAATATCAGTAAACTAAGTTGTCATAAGATGGAGGGGGGTCCTCTTACTCGGCCTTGTGATTTTCTGGGTCAGGACTGTAGAGAGTTGTTACTCCACCAAAGTCACTATCCAGCGTTAGGTATCTCTTTGGTGCGAATTCCAGATTCTTATTGCCAAGCGGTTGAGGAGTGTTGTGAAAGGAGATCGTAGCTGTCTGCGAGCGACCGTTGATCTCGTTGGCCAGAGATTGGACAGTTGGCTCTGTAGAGCGGTATTTTTTTCAAGAAATTCTCGTAGCTTTGTCTCATCCCATTCCTTGGGTACACCACGTACGCGGAAAGTCAACTTTTTCTCCGGTGGGTGGGCTTCGGTGTGCAGAGACGAAGACGGAGACTCGGCCATGATAGTCGCCATGCTGTACCTATCGCTAGGACGAGTATACAGAGCACTCAGTAGTCGTACACTGATTTGGATTTTCAAAAATGGGTTGAAATTGCATAGAGACAAAGAGAAGCGATGGGGAGGTGGAAAGAGGGGATGAAGGAGGGGCTGTTTCTCTCCGCTGACGATATGATCACGGCCAGATAGGCTTCCGGTTTTCATTCGTGTTTCTGTCCAATGGTATAGCCCATCCGTGTGCGGCTCGGATTGGGCAAAAATGTCGCAGCCATGCTGATGCCAAGTCGACGGAACAGCTGACACGCTGTATCGATACGTCAGCGTTCGGGAAACGAGGCGAGCGGAACGATTTTGACAGGCTGTCAAGCAACTAGCGCTTATATGCAAGCAGCAGCCATGTATTCCCCCAGGTTATGATCAAGTTCGCTGGGGGATAACAAGTACAGGTGCTATTGGCCAACCTAGCAGCGTGCATTAGTTCGGTATCAATTTGGCTTAAGGCATGAAGATGTGATCTGTATACTTGTCATTGAATTGGAAAACAGGTGGAGGGACTCGATTACGGCTTCGTGGGCATCTGATGAAATATTATGGATGGAGGATCACGTAGTTGGGTTTAAGTGCATCACATGCAGTCCTGACAATAAGATGCAAGGCAATGTGTGATTATTAAGTTTTTCTTTTTCTTTTTCTTGAATATCACAATTTCACCGTCGTTACTACACATTGCCTACACCCCCACTCTAGTATCTCAAAGGATCGAAGGATGCAACCGTGTTTTGGCTGGACGCCCACCATGGAATGCTGGTATGTTCCCCTGTTGGTTTAAGAGTACGCTGCTAGCCAAAGTGTACTTCAACAGGCAGACCATTAATGTGCCAATGCCCCGTACTGTTTAACAAAAGCGGTGTCCCCCGAGGGTTACACCGTAGACGATGAACATTTCTCGGATATCCACTGTATACCCGAAAACCACGCTAAGTCGACTAAGCCCCATTTTGCGCATTTTTCCAGCCTTACATCTCCCTCAATGCCTCTTTCTGCCCAGAATGACAGCTCCGCCCCAACCGACGGCGATTCTGCGCGGCCACCGCACACAGGTACATGCAGCTGCGTTTGTGCGAGTGGGCTCGGGCAGCGATGATGCCAGCAGCAGCTTAGATGGTCGTCTAGAAGACCGTCTGGCCACGGGCGACGCCGACGGATTTGTCGTGCTCTGGGACCTCGCCATCGTGCGGCCGCGGGCCGTCTGGCGTGCCCACCAGAACAGCATCCTGGGGCTGGCCGGCTGGCGCGGCGACGGTGGTGACTGCCAGGTCGTCACGCATGGCCGGGACCACAAGCTGGTGGTGTGGCAGCTGGGCGCGGCCGGCGAGGCGCGGCTCAGCACGGCGCTCCCTCTAGAGGACGGCACAGACAGCGGCAGCCAGCAGCAGCAGCGACCTGTTCCGTGGATGGTGCACGTGCTCGAGGTCAACACGATGAACTTTTGCGCGTTTGCGTGGACGGTGTCGGCCGAAACGCAGGGCGAGACGACGATCCAACGGTTTGTGGCCGTGCCCAACACTTTGGCTTTAGAGGCCGTATGTTTTTCTCTGCCTCATCAACTTTTGTATGTCTCTTGTTTCTGACAAGGCCAGGTCGACATCTTCCAGCTGCCGTTGCAACAGCGCATCAACACGGTCAAGGCTGGCGCCAAGGACGGCATGCTCATGGCCCTGTCCCTGTTCTACAGCAGCAGCACTCTGGTGCTCATAGCGGCCTTTGAGAACGGTGCAGCCGTCTTGGCCACGCTGGACGACGGTGCCTCGGGGTCAGCCACGGTGCGGTATCGTGCACAGCCACACACGCAGCCGATCTTGTCCCTCGACGTGGCGCCAGACCAGTCGTACTTTCTGACATCGGGCGCTGACGGCATCGTTGCCAAGCATCCTATCTCGGTCGGATCGCCCGTCACAGTTGCTGCAGCCCCGGCAGCCCCGCAGAAGCGCGAGCCGGCCAGTGCAGACACGGCAGCTGTGTCCCCTGCTCGACCAGTGTCGCTGCTGTCGGCCGCCTTGGCAAAGGAGGCCGCCCAGTCGACGACGGCTTCTACGGGCGCTCGAAATCCATCGAGACCACCGCCGCCACCGCTCGAGCCGGAGACGCAACCACTCAAGATCATCGACACCAAGCACGCCGGCCAGCAGGGCCTGCGCATCCGCCAGGATGGACGGATCTTCGCCACGGCCGGCTGGGACGGACGGGCTCGCGTGTACTCGGCCAAGACGATGAAGGAGGTGGCCGTGCTCAAGTGGCACCAGACGGGCTGCTTTGCCGTGGCCTTTGCGCCGCTAGCCGGTGGCAGCGGATACAACAGCAATACGGACGAGACAAGCGTGGCAAAGACGACCCGTGGCCAAGGGGGCGGCTCGCGTGAGATCAGCGTCAAGGAGCGCCGGCTACGACACGCAGCCACGGCACACTGGCTGGCAGTCGGCAGCAAAGACGGCAAGGTCAGCCTGTGGGACATTTTCTGACGAGACGACGGCGAAAGAAAAGAGAAACACGATTATTCATTTATTTGGAAGAGGTGGCTGCATCTAGGAACAATCAGGCCTTGCAACAGGCTGCTACTGGATACCGATCATTAGCTCATCTTCCAGGCTATATGGGTTATGCACATATGCTTGTATGCATCACACTGAGAAGCCAAGGCAAATGGTATAGATGGCCACTGCCAAGATTCTCTTGTGGAAAGGGCGGACTCTGCTACTCGTCCACGTAAAACGTTTGACGAGTGGTAAGATACAGGACACGTCCAAGGAAGTCCACCAATAAAGTGCCTGCTTCACTGGACTTGGCCGAGATGTAAGGCGCCTATGCAGCGGCACGTAGCAGTTGCTGGCAACTCTGGCGTCGAATCACAGCTCCTTGTAAAAGTGCTGCTTGAACTTGCGGTTGGCACGGTCCGTGGCACGATGGAGGAACTGCGAGCCGATAATCTCAAAGACGAGTTTGGCTTTCTGCTGGTCGAGGGCTGTCTGCGCCTCGTCCACCGGGATCTCGATGCGAAAAAAGGTGCCCTCCTTGGGCACCATCTTGACGTGGTTGTCGGGCGTGACGATCTCAAAGACGAAGCGGGTGTCGCGCACGACGATGCCACGGGTACCAACACGGCCGGAACAGGCGCTTCGCGTGACCTCGACCTCGGCGCCATGAAAGTCAGCAGCGGTCAGCTTGGCGGCGGCGCCCTGGCCGCCACAGCGCAGCTCCTGGGGGCCGAGCAGCTCGCAGATGTAGCCGAGCCAGAGGCGGTGCAGGGGGATAAACGTGGCGTAAGACTGGCCGTGCAGTTTGTGTTTCTTTTGTTTCTTTTGTTTCTTTTCCTTATTTTCCGTCTTGTCCTTCTCCTGTCCCACCGGCATGTCATACAGTCCCAAACGACGTCGCTCCCGTGCCGACAGCGGCTTTGGCTTCAGCTGTCGACGGCGGTCTCGCTGCAGCTCCTGCTTGAGACGTCGCGATCGACGGCGGGCATCGCGGCCGTCGAGACCGGCACCACCTTCGGCTTCGTCGGGCGGCGGCGACGTCGGTCGCAGCAGCAGCTGCCGGTACTGGATCTTGTCGGTAAAGATCTGGCTGGCCGCCTCGGGTGCGTGTGCCCGCTCCAGGATCTTCTGGACGAGGCCCTTTCCGACGGTGGCCATGGCGGGCGGCTGCGGGGTCGAGATGAATTGAGATGGCTGTGAGGGAAACAAAATGTTTTCAAGTCGTTTATTCTATTCTTTCTCGACAAAATTATTGTGGGTCTCAATCTAGCGAGCACGTGAGCGGTTCGAGCCCATGCTGACTATTCCCTGCACTTCGTTCTGTCCGGGGTTCCAAGTTGACAGAAAGTCTGGAAAGAATGCCCCGGTTCCATCAGATGCGAATTTCGGTGATGCATCCCGCCTCGGCCATCGTTCTCCCCCATGTTTTCCCCCATGTTTCGTTTCCATGCTGGTGTGGCTCATGGCTGGTCAGCTGCAGTGCCATTGGCGCGTCAGCTCGCTGGAGTCTAGCGTCGGCTCCGCTAAATAGACCTCGGCATTAGCGTGCGGAAACAGGATGGGGAACGCTGGCTGATCTCCACCAAGTCACCGCCGTTCTCCCTTTGCAGCTTCTGTCCGGCGTGCAGTGTGCAATCTCTCGCCGCACACGATTGCCCCTCTCGGCTCAATCTGACACTGCACCACGGAGACACTGCCCGTCCGTGGAGGAAGACGACCGGGCCAGACCCGACAACCGACACGATGTCGGAGGACGATGACTCGACGCAGCCGGTGGAAGCGCCCGATCTCAAGATCCTGGGCGACTCGGTGACGTTCCAGCCGAGCGGGGTCGAGGCGACAGAGGGCCCAGACGGCCACAAGCAGACGGAAGAGGCGCTGATGAAGCGGATGCACAGCTTCCGGGCAGAGCCGCTGCAGTTTCTGCGGCAGGTGTCGCTGTACGTCTCCGGGACGGGCTGGCGGGCATACGACAACGTGATCGGGCAGCCGATCTTTTATGCGGGCTTCTCGGAGCACATGAAGGGCATGGTGCTGTCGGCGCCGCTGCTGCAGCGCAAGATCGGCGAGCTGGCCGAGCAGGCAGTAGCGCGCGAGGCGGCCGCAGGTGGCTGGCGGCCAGAACAGCAGGCAGGCCGACGTGAGCAGCGCCAGGCCCAGGTCGAGGGCTGGCTGCGCGATGTGGCCGCACAGTGGACGGACGGGATGATCTGCAAGTTTGAGAGCAAGACGTTCATCCGCGGCGCCTACTATCTGGTCACGCAGCTGCTGACGCGGGCCTACCACCAGGGCATCCACGTGGCCAGCGAGGACGTTGTGATGCTGCGGGCCGTGGCCGAACAGGCCAGCCGTGCCGGCCAGAGCATCCTCTTTCTGCCGTGCCACCGCTCGCACGTTGATTACGTCAGCCTGCAGCTGATCTGCTATCGTCTCGGCATCGCCATGCCTGTCGTCGTCGCGGGCGACAACCTCAACTTTCCGCTCGTCGGCAGCTTCCTGCAGCATGCCGGCGCCATGTACATCCGTCGCGCCTTTGGCGACGACCAGCTCTACGCCACCCTCGTCCAGGCCTACGTCGATGCCCTCCTGCGCGGCGGCTACAACCTGGAGTGCTTCATCGAGGGCGGCCGTTCGCGCACCGGCAAGCTGCTGCCGCCCAAGTTCGGCATCCTCAGCTTCGTGCTCGACAGCCTGCTGTCCGGCCGCGTCCACGACGCCATCGTCATCCCCGTCAGCACCCAGTACGACAAGGTCATTGAGACCGAGGGCTACGTCACCGAGCTGCTCGGCACCCCCAAAAAGGCCGAGAACCTGGCCGACTTTATCGCCGGCGGCTCCAACGTCCTCTCGCTCCGCCTCGGCCGCGTCGACGTCCGCTTTCACGCTCCCTGGAGCCTGCGCGCCTTTGTCGATGAGCAGCTGGCTGTCCGGACGGCGTCACGTGACACGCCCCCCGACACATCGCCTGCCATCCGCCAGCAGCTTCTGCGCACCCTCGGCTACCGCGTCCTCAAGCACATCAACGACGTGTCCGTGGTGATGCCGACTGCGCTCGTCGGCACCGTGCTGCTGACTCTGCGCGGCCGTGGCGTCGGCAAGGCCGAGATGGTCCGCCGCGTGCGCTGGCTCAGCGGCCGGATCCGGGCCAAAGGCGGTCGCGTTGCCCACGTCGAGGCGGCTGCCCTGCCGGACGTCGTCGACCGCGCGCTCGAGGTGCTCGGTCGTGACCTCGTCGGCGAGCTCGACGACCTCGCCGAGCCCGTCTACTACGCCGTCGACCGCTTCCAGCTGTCGTTTTACCGCAACATGACCATCCATCTGTTCGTGTCCGAGGCCCTCGTCAGCGCCGCCCTCTACACCCGCGTCAAGCAGGGCGGCGGCCCTGCACAGCAGGACATCACCTATGCCGACCTGCATAGCCAGGTCCTCTTCCTCTCCTCCCTCTTCCGCGGCGAGTTCATCTTCGCCTCCGAGGGCCTCGATGTCAACCTCGACCGCACCCTGCGCGGGCTCGCTGCCGACGGCGTCATCCACCTGGCCGAGACCACCGACGAGACTACCGGCACCAGGAGCATTGCCATGGTCGGCCTGTCCGACCAGGAACGTGCCATCGGCCGCGAGAACTACGACTTTTACTGCTTCCTCATCTGGCCCTTTATCGAGGCTAGCTGGCTCGCCGCCGTCTCGCTCATGGGCCTCACCCCGCCGCCCGGCCTGCATGATGATGTCTGGATCGAGGTGGCCAAGGCCCAAAACAGCGCACAATTTGTGAGTGTGCCTTGTTCCTGATCCTGTCTGTGTGTGTTGGTTCCTTGCTTCTTCATGCTGACTAATCAGCTCGGCAAAACTCTCTATCACGAGGGCGACCTCAGCTACTTTGAGGCCGTCAACAAGGAGACGCTCAAGAACGCGTACCAGCGCTTCCACGAGGAGGGCATCCTGCGTCTTGTCCGTTCCAAAGACGCCAAGAACACGCCGCCGCGTCTGCAGCTCGCCCCCGAATGGCGGCCGCAGCGCGATCCCACCACCGGTGCCCTCGTGCCCGCTGGCCGCCTCTGGGACTTTACCGCCAAGATTGCCGCCAGCCGCCGCGAGGGAAAGAACCGGCGTGACGGCGCCACGGTCAGCACCCGCGTCATGGCCTTGGCCGACTCCGTCGGCTCCCGTCTCTTTGACGAGGCCATCCAGGCGGCCGCCCGCAAGGACGGCGCCCCGGTCCAGCTGACCGACGAGGAGGCCGTCAGCCTGCAGCGGTCCACTGGCCGCCAGAACCGTCGCCGTCGCCGCTCGTTTGACAGCCGGCAGGCATCGAGGCTGTGATGGGGGGGACTATTATGTAATCCGGCACAGGAATCCGGCACGGGAAGGAGCCGCTTTGGTATCGTGCTTTCCAGTTCTGTAACAATACGTTGGCCACAGTAAACGTGTGCTCCTTAGTCATTTGTACAACACTTTCGTCTGTCTGCTCCAACACGCTTCTTCCAGGCCCATGATCATCCATCTCCGCGTCCTTTGTTCCCTACGCTGCCACGGGCTCCAGCACGATGTTGTCGATCAGCCGGACGAGCGGTCCACCGCTATGGCCGAGGTCCTCACCGGGCTGCGGCTCTTCCACGGGGAGCATGCGTACAGCTCCGCTGAGGATCGCGCCACGGCTCGCGTCCACGGGGCCTGTGAGTTCCAGCATGGTGTCGGGGTCGGCCAGGGAGAGGTAGTCGATCTCAAAGAGGGCACGCTGGTCGGGCGGCAGCTGTTTCTGGGCGGCCAGCGTGTCGTCGGCGACGCGCCATGCAGCAGCGAGTATGTCCGGGGGAGACAGACCGGACAGCCCTCCTGTATGCTTTGTTCCCACAGCTGCCTCGGCTGCCAGCAGCGCCCGGCGCAGCACGTTTGCCACGGCGCGGCGCCGCGGTCCTAGATAGACGTTGCGCGAACTCAGGGCGAGGCCGTCGGGCGGTTCGCGCACCGTCGGACAGACGACGACGTGCAGCGGAACACAAAAGTCGCGCACTATGCGACGGATCACGACCGTCTGCTGCACGTCCTTCTGGCCAAAGTAGGCGCGGTCCGGCTGGACGAGGTGAAAGAGCTTCATGCAGACGGTGGCGACGCCGCGGAAAAACGTCGGTCGGCTGGCGCCCTCGAGCACGCTGCCGACCGGCGTCACCGTCACAAAACTGCCGGCTGCGTCGACCGATTGTCTCGGCGGCCCCGACGGATACATCGTGGCCGTCGTGGGCGCAAATACGGCTGCCACGCGGCCGACAACGTCCGGCCTCGTCGTCGCCGCTTCGTCCTCCTCGGCCAGCGCCGCGCAGTCTGCCTCCCACGTCCGCGGATAGCTGTCCAGGTCCTCGTGCTCACCAAACTGCGCTGGGTTCACGTACACGCTCACCACCACCGCCTCGTTCTCCCGCATCGCCGCCTGCACCAGCGCCCGATGACCCGAGTGCAGCGCCCCCATCGTCGGCACCAGACCCACCGTCGTGCCTTGTCGGTGCTGCTCCCGTCGCCACGCCCGCACCTCCTCCACCGTTCGGAACACGCGGATCGACGTCCCCGGGATCGTCTTCACCCCTTTAGCCGCCCCCCCTTCCCCTGCTGGGACCCTCGGCTTGATCGCTGCCGTCGGCCTTGGGCTTTGTGCCATTCTGTGCAGAGGCGTCGTCGAGAGGCTTCGAATCGTATCCGGAACAAGCCCTCTATGCATTCTAGCTGCACCTGGCACAGCTGATAATTGCATACTCTCCCGTGCTGCTGCTGCTGCTGTCCTAGGCAGTGCTATTGCCCTCACACCGTTCACAGCCCACATCATCCTTTGGCTCAGCAAAAGTGGCATGCCTCCATTCCCGTAATAAAATCAAGAGCTAGCTGCGGCTTGGGGGGTTATAGCCGCATGAATTCGACTCATTGTCGGAGCGACCGGAACGTCAAATGGCTAAAAAACTTCATCGTCGTGATGTTTTCTACTGCGTAAAGCTAGGTCTTTTAAAGCTTCGTTCCAAACATGGATAGCTTCTATTGCTGATCATGTGACCATGCACGTGCTCTACAAGTTAAAACTATTTTGACGAATTGCTGTATCCTACCGCCACATCTTCTCATAATATGTTTGGCCACAAAATCTTTCATTTCTCTGATAAATCGTACACGAGCATTCAGAACCTGCCTACCCCTTCCCTTGTTACACTTGATATCCACCAAGACATATAGCTTCCATAAAGCAATTCCCAGTCCTGTTCCTTTTTTGTAGCCCGACCAATCCCATGCAAATCCTGCTCTGCCCGTATACTGAGATCATGGCTTTCTGCAAATGTGGTATAACTTGTGGAGTTGAGATGTTCTTCCGCCGTGGACGCCGCCACATTCCCATGTATCCAAAAACGCCGTTTCCGTCGCGATGCCCTTGGAACTCCATCCGGACAACATCGCTAATCGCGCCCAATCTTCCAAAGTCCTGTAAAACACGCTGAACCAGTCGCCGCTGACCATCATTAACAACAGACTGTCGATCGAAATCTACCCGAGATATCCGTCTGAAAACCAGAAACGAGAACTGGACAAGAAGAAAAGAGCAAAGGAATTCGAACAGAGTAACATTACTCGGCAACAGTGACGCTCGCCGCTTCGGTCGCATGGCCACCACCAAGCAGCTCCAGCACCTTGTTCACCACCGCACTGGGGTAGCCTCGGTGAAGCATCTCCGACACCACCGCCTGCGCCTTCTCCCGCTCTTCGGTCGCAAGATATGCCCGCGTCATGGCTTCGTACGTGCTGGGCTCGCGCCGGTTGCGACCGACAGCCGCATAAATCTCAGCAGCCTTGGCGATGTCGTTCTCTGCTGCCCAGCCGTGGATCAGCGTGTTGGCAATGTACGGCGTCAGCTCGACACCCCTCTTGCGCATAATGGCCAGCACCGGCTCCGTCTCGGCCACCTGGTGGTTGGCCACCATCGCCTCGAACAGCGCCTGGAAGAGAGATGCGTTTGCCGTCACGGCCGAGCCGTCCATCACCGAGTCGAAGATGCGTCGCGCCCCCTCCATGTCGTGCATGTTGCAGCCGCGCGCGTGGATCAGCGATGCGTAGTGCACCGGCTCCGGCTTCTGCCCCGAAGCACGAATCCGCTCCAGCACAGCCTCGGCCGCTGCCATGTCGATCGGCTCCAGAGTCGCGTGCGTGTCGATCAAGAGCTTGTGCGTGTGCGACGTCGGCGTGATGCTGCGCGCAAGCATGCGCTCGTAGTACGCCAGCACCTTGGCCTTGTCCCGCTTCGTCGTCAGGAAGAACTGCATCATGCTGTTGTACGGCGCCGGTCGCGCCTTGTAGTTGGGCATCGCCTCCATCTCGTCAAACAGCTCCTCGGCAAATTTGTCGTCCGAAACACGGCACAGAGCATTGACAATCGTGCCATACGTCACCGACGTCGGCTTGATCGCCAGTGCCCGCATCTCTGCAAAGTAGAACAGGCAGTCGTCGATACGCCGTGCCTTGCCCAGCTTGCCAATGAGCGCGTTGTACAGGAATGAGCTGGGCTCAACCCCCTCTGCCTTGGCGCGGTGGAAGATCTTGACTGCCTCTGATGCCTCGTCAAACGTCTTAGTCGACTCCTTCAGCGTCGTGATGTAGAGACCAAACGTGTTTGCAGAAGGCGCGGAGCCAAAGCTGAGCAGCTCCTGGTGGTACTGCTCGGCCAGAGACCGGTTGCCGACCGACAGAGAAGTACCGACCATGGCATCCAGGATAGACGACCAGCCATAGCGAACGACAGCGTACTGCGGAAGCAACGGCACGTCCGTCCGGGCCATGGCCAAGATGTTGTTGCAGAGATCCATCTTGCCCTCGCGCGACGCAGCCGAGATCAGCTTGGCATATGTAATGTACCTTGGGTGGCGGCCTGCACGACGCATGTTGCGAAACCGGGCCAAAGCCTCATTGAGTTTCGGTCCCTTCCGTCCGTGGCTGCCCTCGAGATCGTCTGAGATAAGCGACGAGCCCTTGAAATCCGTGTTGTGTGCGTAGGGATCGAAGTTGCTGTGGTCCTCAAAGCTCGACACCGTAGGCGTGGACGAGAACGGAGACGCGCCATATGTCGACGCCGCATCTTCTCTGGGGTCCACAATGTTTCGTGCCTGCATGTAGCGACTGATAAAGGCCACTCCTTCCTCGATCTCGTCAGTGATCGAAACCTTGACCTGGCCCTCCCTCGACTGGCGGATACGCTCAAACATCGTATCCGACTCCATCAAGCCCTTGGCCACCTGACCAGACCCAATGAGAGCCACAGCATACATGGCCGTCGGCTCAATCAGAGACGCCGACACTTCCAGGAGCGGGTTCCGCAGCATCTGCCAAAACTTCGCCGCACCGGCAACATCGCCGAGCCGGATGTGAAGAGCAAGCAGAGCGGTTGTCGGGCTCGCAATGGCCGCGTGTTCGGCGCCAGCGATCTCGACCAGGGCCGCGAAGGCTGCAATAGCAGTGGCCTGCTCACCATGGTCGGCAGCCAAGACGGCCACTTCGCTCAGAGCCTGCACCCTCACGCTCTGCTCGACACCCTGTGCCCACTCCAGAGCTGTCGGATAGATGCCGCGGTTCGCAAAGCCTTGCACAAAGCCGGCGCTGACCAGAACGTCCTTCATCCCAGTCGTGCGCGGACCATACTCGTCGATGATCTTCTGGTAGAACTTCATGGCGCCGGGCAGCTTGTCACAGACAATGTACGCGTTGATCACTGCTGCGTACACCTGAGCATCAAGGCGGTCCAGCAGGCTGTTTTCACCGGCATCGTTCGAGATGGCCAAGTTCCGGTACTCGTCGTAGCACTCCACAGCGCTGATCAGGTCGCCAGAGCTGGCAAAGGCATGGATCATGGCCGGGAACGTGGCTGCGAAGGGCGTGACTTTGTTCGTCTCCATGTGGCCGAAGAGCTGGAGCATATCCGAGAGGCGGCCAGCCTGGGCACATGCCGAGATCAGCTGGTGATACGTCTCGGACGAGTAGGAGGCCTTCTGCACAGCAACGGACGCCTCAAACAGCTTGATGGCGTAGTCCAAGCGGTCCTCCTCCGAAGCGATGGCATTTTCGAGTTCGTGCGAGGCAAACATGAACTTGCCAGGCTCGTCCATGCCGCCATACCGCATCCGCTTCTCTTCGAGAGACCGCAACTTGACCGACAGCTCGAGAGAACGAGAGGCGAGCAGGCCAATCAGGATGTCAAAGGTATCGCTGTCCGGTGCAATCTTACGGCGCATCATGTCGGCGTAAACGTCCAGGGCCTTGGAGATGACCTCCATCCGGCCGATAGGCAAGTGGATGGCCGCCATCAGCAGGGCGTTGTAGGCAGTGGCGATGGGACGAATGCCCGCCACAAGCATGGCCTCGAAGACAGCAGGGATCTCAGCATAGCGGCCAGCCTCGGACAGCGAGGTAAGGTGGTCGGCGTAGGTCCGTGATTGGCGGTCAGTGGCTGGCGTGGCAGTCCGGGCGGCCGGCGAGGCAGAAAGCACGTTCTGCTCCTCGACTGCTGTAGCTGAAGTCTGCGTGTGCCCCTCTTCCAGAGCACAGCGCTGCTTGCGAGCCGCGATCTCTTTCTCAAGAGCTGCATCGATCTGTGCCAGGGCTGCCTGGTCTGCAGCCTCTGATTCTGCTGTGTCACCATCTTCCACCACCACCTCGTTCACTGCTGCTGTCTCTTGTACAGCAGCCCGCCCACTCGCTTCTGCGGTAGCATCGACGGTGGGCACTGCGGGCGGTGCTGCCAGCAGGACCTCGGATGCCCCTTCATTTTCTGTCTCGGCAATGCTGTTGAGCTTCTCCTCGCTGCCCGTGAGGACGGAGGCTGGTGACGGCTTCCACTCAATGCGGCGCTGGAATTGAAACTGAACCCACTCGTTCTCAGCCTCGTCGGAGATCTGGCTCTGGAGATGCTCGTAGTAAGCATCCAGGCCGCCATGGCTGAGCGCAGGCCTGTGTTCCGGGGCGCCCGAAGTCGTGTGGAAGGCACTCTGGAGCTGGAGTGCTTGGATGCGACCGAACCGGTTGCTATTCCGCCGCGCAAACGACGGCCGGTTCTGCTGGCTCAAGACATGGGGATGGGTGGCGGCAACGACAGACTGCGCATAGCCGTGGGTAAAAGACTTGGCAAATCCTTGACGGATAAATGTCTGGTACAACGACGAATATATGGTTGGCATTTAGGATAACCCTGGAGGGAAGGGATACTGCAGCGCGCGCGGTTAGCAAAACCAAAGCCACAGTGCCGAGGAAAGACGGCAGCCGGCTCAATCGTTGAGGATATGGCGTCAGAACCCACCTGGAGAGAAGGGAGGCGCAATTGCAGGTTCATTTGACAGCAGTGAGGCCGTCAAACAAACGCGCTGGTCTATGAGAAATGAGATGTATAAAAGACAACTGCGAAAGAAAGAAGGCAAGGATGAATGGGCGTGAAGAAGGGCGAGAAAAGGATTATGGACTGGTGTGAAATGGATTGTCAGAGCTCCACTACACTCTTTCCCTTGTTTTGGTAAAGGAAGGCGGGAGAAAGTGTACGAAATTTTTAAGTGGGTGGGTCTCGGGGATTGCCCCAGCGAAATGTCTGTTCGGGCGAGCGTTGCATGGAGCTGCTGCCTCTCTCTGGTACCTTTTCAGCCGGTAATTTCAAAGAGAAATTGGGGTGCTGTAAGGCAGCACAGCTAGCGATAGGAAAGAATGGAGAAACGGGGGCCAATTGCACCCTCCTGGGTGACCACGTATCTTTTATAATATACACACGCCCAGGCACAAAATGTACCGAAGTCGCGTCGGGTCGGAGACGGAGTTATTTTGCAGGCGAGACGAAGATGACGCAGTCCCACGGCTATACTGCACTAATACGGCTGCCTTGGGTACATAGCAAAAGGCGAGAAGACGTTAGCGGCTGGACGGGCGGAAGGTTCGGCGACGAGGAACCTCGAAGACAAACCGGGAGGGAGCTTGCGCACGTGATGGCTATACATTGGATACAGCCTATACGACGTAGCAGTGCAGACAGGTCAGAATGACGGCGTGTCTGTGCCTGTGCCATAGCCGTTTAGCTCCATAAAGTCCCGTTTATTTTGGGTGGCGCTATCAATGGCATTCCAACAATTGGCCCGTACACCAGGAAGAAGCCGGAAGAAGAGGCCGGCCTGTTCCTTCCCCACGTTTTTCACTGGTCAAGAATCGCCGATCGCCGTCTGCTCATTACCAATATGTTTTTCTACGAGTGCGAGTCATGCAAGGACATAAGATAGTACAGCATCTTATTTCAGGGCCGAGACTCCAGTTATGTGCGCTACAGGAAAAAAATAAAGAGGGCAGCCATTGGACCACTAAAATGCGAGGGCAGAGCAGGGCTCTACGGTCAGCAGACGCACAGTACCCTCTTCTGCGGAGAATATCGCTATAGCCATCGAAAATGAGCCGCGTCCTGATGTAGCGGACTGGAGGGAAGTGTCTGGCCGGTTTACCCGATCTTCTCAACGTCTGTCGCGAGCTCTGTACCGGTACTTATTAGTGAATTACCGCCGCTAAGTCCATTCCTATCCCCGTGAAAGGCCGGCTCTTTGCGGGCGCCGGGGAGAGATTGCTGTCTCCGTAATTTCTGGCCTGTCGAGCTATTTCCATGCATGCAATTGCGATTGCCCTTGCACGAGAAAAGGGCGACTGGAATCTGCAGGTATACGGAGCCGGTCTCGACCACGTGTCCACGTGATCCGCGTGCCTTGCAAGATGGGTCGTGCGGCATTTGCAAGCTGTCTTTCACACCGGGTGGGAGCCAAATGGAGCATTCCAGGCGACGCTCCGGGACTGAGGCATTTGCTCATACGTTCCTGCCGATCGGTGGTGATGATTCGCGAGTCGTCTGTTTTAGTCAGCCACTCCGCTTTGACGTCAACACCAGAGCTATCGATCGAGGGGTATGGACTCCCCTCTCCCCACAGCTCCACAGCTTGACAGCTTTGGCTCGACCCCTTTTCGCACCATCACTCAATCAACCCTGAGGCGAGCTTAGTTCCGCGTGCTGTCGGCGGATCAGACTCGGAAACAGCATGGCGGATCCCAACGAGGTTACTGCTGTATCGGCGCCGGGAAAGGTTCTGCTGGCCGGTGGCTATTTGGTACTGGATCGAGCCTACACCGGTCTTGTTTTCGGACTCAGCGCCCGCATCAACGTGGTGGCACAGGCGGTCAAGACCAGTCCCGGCGTCCAGCTGTCCGACATTGTTGTCGAGAGCCCTCAGTTTCTCGAGGCCCAATGGACCTACGGCTACCACCTGGCCGATGACGATGGCGGAATTCAGATCACCCAGCTACGTGTGTGAGTTGCTTGTCCTCGGCCGCGCTGTCCCATGGCCACATGCTGATAATGCCAGCGGCTCTGCCGTGCCGGCCAACCCGTTCGTCGAGACCACGCTGTCCTACGCCCTGACCTACGTCTCGCGCTTGGCGCATCTCAGCCCGACCCAGAGCATCAAGCCGTCGCGGCTGAGCATCTTGGCCGACAACGACTACTATTCCCAGCCCCCGTCTGCGTCTTCATCGGACACTGCCTCGTCGGCTGGCCGCTTCGCCCGCTTTCCCACCAGGCTTTCCGAAGCCCACAAGACTGGCCTTGGCTCCTCGGCCGCTCTAGTCACTTCACTCACCGCCGCAATTCTCAGCCACTACCTGCCGGCCACGCTCTTCGATCTGGCCTCACAGGAGGGCAAGAGGACGCTGCACAACCTGGCCCAGGCTGCCCACTGTGCTGCCCAGGGCAAGGTGGGTTCTGGCTTTGACGTTGCCGCTGCCGTGCATGGATCGTGCACATATCGCCGGTTCTCGCCCTCGGTGCTAGCCAACATCCCAGAGCCTGGCTCCCCCGGCTTCGGTGCGGCTGTCGAGAGAGTGGTTGCCGGTGTGGATGCCGCCAAGGATGGCCCACACTGGGACACTGAGATTGCCAAGGCGAGCGTGGCTCTCCCACCCGGTGTCGCTCTTCGCATGTGCGATGTGGACTGCGGCTCGCAGACGGTCGGCATGGTCAAAAAGGTTCTCGCGTGGCGCAGCAGCAACCCGGAGGGATCAAAGGCCCTCTGGGACACGCTCCATGGCTACAACAACGATCTCGCCACTGCACTCAAGGAGCACAAGACCGAAAAGCTGCGCCCAATCATCGAGGCGATTCGGAGCTTGGTTCGCAAGATGGGCTCTGAAAGCGGCGTCCCCATTGAGCCAGACACCCAGACAGCTCTATTGGATGCTCTGAACCAGGTGGAGGGCGTGTATGGCGGCGTGGTTCCTGGCGCTGGCGGCTACGATGCGGTCTCCCTACTCGTCAAGGACGACGAAGCCACAGCTGCCAGACTGGAAGCTTTCCTGGAGAAATGGAGCAAGGAGAGTGGCGGCAGAGTGCGCCTTCTCGCTGTCAAGGGCGAGATGGAGGGGGTCAGACATGAAGACAAAAGCATTTACAGTGCGTGGCTTCACTGATTAGATTTTGCCAAAAGGACCAGTCGTTGAGAATGAGCTGAAGAAGGAGAGAAAAGGCTTTGTCTGCGGTCCGTATTAAGGGCTTAGTCAGCTGCTACAACATGCTTATCAATCGCAACGATAACCAGGTCAATGGCGGGGCAAATTTTTTTATGCTAGAATTTTGGCGATAGGATTATGACGAAACTTTAACAACGACAACCGCCAACATCGCTGTTTGGCCTATTTACCTGAGTTTTAAGCACAAAGAAGCGAAGAAAGCGATAGCAAGATGTCGACGATGGACCTGGACGCGCCAGTCCCTATGGCGTCGTCAGCAGACGATCAAGCCATTGCCACGTGAGTTTGCTTTTGATCCCAGCAAATTAAAAAGATGGAGAGGCGGCAAGGCTGATATGAGGCGACCACAGAATTCTCTGCTACAATTGTGGTGCACCAATAGATGGCACAACATCGTCGGGCGCGCTGTGCTACGACTGCATCAAGATGACGGTGGACATCTCGCAGAACATCCCGCGCGAGGCCAACGTGCAGTTCTGCCGAGACTGCGACCGGTGGTTCCTGCCGCCCAGCCAGTGGGTAGTGGCAGCGCCGGAGTCACGGGAGATGCTGGCGATGTGCCTTAAGCGGCTGCGCGGGCTGAACAAGGTTCGGGTGGTGGATGCGAGCTTCATCTGGACGGAGCCCAACTCGAGACGAGTGCGGGTGAAGCTCACGGTACAGGAGGAGGTGTCGGACGGAGTGCTGCTGAACCAGAGCTTCGAGGTGATGTACACGGTCAGCACACACCAGTGTCCAGAGTGTGCCAAGTCGTACACGCACAATGTGTGGCGGGCGTGCGTGCAGGTGCGGCAGAAGGTACAGCACAAGCGGACCTTTCTCTTCCTTGAGCAGCTCATTCTCAAGCACGGAGCCCATCGCGACACGCTCAACATCAAGGAGGCCAAGGAGGGTCTGGACTTTTTCTTTGCGCAGCGCAACCAGGCGACCAAGTTTGTCGACTTTCTCAAGTCGGTCGTGCCGGTGCACGTCAAGAACTCGCCGGAACTGGTGTCGGAGGACACGCACACGGGCTCCAAGTCGATGAAGTTTGCCTTTTCGGTCGAGCTGGTGCCAATCTGCAAGGACGACCTGGTGGCGCTGCCGCTGGTGCTGGCCAAGCGGATCGGCAACATTGCGCCGGTGGCGCTCTGCTACCGCATCGGCACGGCCATCAACCTGCTGGACCCGGCGACGCTGCAGACGGCCGAGGTGCCGGCATCGATCTACTGGCGTGAGAAGGTGCCGTTCACGCCGCTGACGGACGCGCAGCAGCTGGTCGAGTTTGTTGTGCTGGACATTGAGCCGGTCGGCGTGCGCAAGGGCCGCTGGCAGCTGGCCGAGGCCACCGTGGCCCGGGCTTCCGACCTGGGCAGCAACGACAACACGTACTTTACGCGCACGCATCTGGGCGGCCTGCTGCATCCGGGCGACTCGGCCATGGGCTACCTGCTGAACGGGACCGTGTTCAACAACCAGCAGCTGGACGAGATCGAGCAGTCGCACGCCTACAGCAGCCTGGTCCCGGACGTCGTCCTGGTCAAGAAGCACTACCCGAACCGACGCAAGAACAAGCGGCGGAACTGGAAGCTGCGTCGCATGGCCCGCGAGGAGGGTGACCTGCTGCCGAAGAAGGCCGACCAGGAACGCCTCGACGCCGAGTACGAGATGTTCCTGCAGGATGTCGAGGAGGACGACGAGCTGCGCGCCGCCCTCGCGCTCTACAAGAACCCCGGCCAGACGGCAGCGGCCGACGCGGCACGGAAACAACGCCATGCGGCCGCACAGCAGATGGATGTCGAGGCAGAAGCCGCGGACGATGGCGCCGAGGGCATGGACGAGGACGGCGACGAGGACGAAGGGGACGAAGGGGACGATGGGATCCCCAAGGTCAGCATGGACGAGCTGCTCGACGACCTCGACGACCTGGCCATTCATGACGAGGAGTGAGTGGGATAAGAGAGAAGAACAAAAGAACAAAAGAACAAAAGACAAAAACAAACAGAGCGGTCAGTTCACCGTCTTTAAAGTGCATCGGAGGCTGGGGTCGTTCATTGGGAGAAGGGAAGAGGGAATGGGGGGAGCCAACAAAACAATAGAACATGGACCGGACTGCTTTGCGTTTTGAGGCGATTTCATAGGCTTTCTGTTTGGCTGTTTTGGCAGCTCTGGTCACTACAACGATTCGCTATATCCATTTCTGCCGTCATCTCCTAGAAGATCTTGCTCAAGACCCGCTTCACCTGTTCCGGCTGCTGGTCCTTGTCCTTTCTCGAGACCAACGTGGTCTGCTTGAACGTGAATGTCCGGCTGTTCTTGTGCTCCTTTGTGTCTGCTGCTGGTGCTGGTGCTGGTGGCGCTCTGTCCTCGTGGCCAGCCTCCTTCTGCGTCGTCGACCGCTTCTTCTTCTCGGCCGTCTTGGCCTCGATGCCGTCGAGCATCTTGGCGCGCTCGACGTTGCGGACAAACTCCTTGTTCTCGCGCGTCGACTGGGCGATCTCGGCGCGCATCCGGCCGGCCCGTTCGGCGTTCTCGGTCGTGATCTGCTCGGTCAGATGGTGCCACTTGAAGCCGCGCAGGTAGACCACGTTCCAGAGGTCGTCCCGGTAGTAGCTGCTCTTCTTGCCGCCGATGGCGTGGCCGTTGAGCAGGTCGACGGCCCGCTTGGCATCGCGCTTGCGCACAAACTCGACCCAGCCATCGACAAAGGAGCGCTTCTTGTTGCCGCCACCACGGACACGTCGCGCATGCGATAGCGGGTCCTCGGGCGAGAGGAAGATCCGGTTGATGGTGCCGTAGGGCGACAGCAGCGAGCGCAGCTTGATTGGCTTCATGAACGGCGGCACCCGCGAGAGGTACATCACCCCCGACCGCTGCACCGCCTTCTCCGACGCCACCAGGTTCTTCTTGGTCAGCGGCTTCGACACGCCCGGCAGGTCGTTGCCCGCGCTGTCCAGCCGCTTCCGCTTCTTGCTGCTGCCCTTGTCGGCCTCGTCGTCTTCGTCGGCATCGCCCTCGTCGGCCACGCTCTTCCTCCGCCTCTTCTTGTTCCTGGTGCTGTCCGGACCAGCCTCGTTGGGAAGCCCGTCCTCCTCGCCCGCATCGTCATCTCTGCCGCCAATCGGCTCGTCGTCGTCGTCGTCGTCGTCTCCATCCTTTTGCACCTTTCGCCGCTTGGAACTCCGGTCGTTGCCTTTTCTCAGCTCGTCGGCCTCCGAGTCGTAGCTCTGGTTGTCGTCCTCATCGCTGTCCTCCACATCGAGGTACACGTTCCGCTTGTCGGCTGCCATGGCGTTGGGGGGGAAAGAATACACCAGACAGGGCACAGAAGTGTTGAAGTCGTTGGCTCGAGGCGATGAAGAGGGAAAAAGTTTCTGCCGTATTTCTCGAAAACTCCACTGGACATTAGTGGGCCTTGGCGAATTACGGCACACCGCCAAGGCCCCACTACTTGCATTACCTTATCGACTTACACGCTCCTACTTGTAATAACTACTTTCGGAGGGGCAGGCCGATTTTATCTATCTCGTGGGGCAGTCGCTGCTCGTAAGATACTGTCGTTTCTCTCTCCTTCACCCCAAAGCTCTCAATCGGTCTCGTCTGCAATAGCACGTCTTCCATCTGCCACCATGCCTGTCGAGGTGATCACCACCATCTCTCCGACCACCAATGAGCCGATCCTGACGAGGAACGGCATTTCGGTCTCGGATCTCGAAGCACTGCCCAAGACGTCGGCCGAGGCCTTTCGGTCATGGAGCAAGACAAGTCTGGCTGAGCGGAAGGCCATTGTGCGCAAGGCGCTCGACATTCTGCTCAGCCGGACGGACGAGCTGGCCCAGGAGCTGACCACGCAGATGGGCCGCCCCATCGCGTACACGGGCAAGGAGATTGGCACGGCCGTGAAGCGCAGCGAGTTCTTCCTGAGTGTCTGTGACGACGTGCTGAAAGACACGCCAGGCACCGAGGAGTCTGGTTACACGAGGTACATCCGCAAGGTGCCGGTGGGCCCTGTGCTGGTGATCTTTGCGTGGAATGTATGTCTAGCCCGCTTCCATCTTGCTTCTTCCGACACGAGTCCAGACTGACACGTGCAGTACCCGTATCTCATTCTGGTGAACACGCTGATCCCGGCGCTGCTGGCGGGCAACACGGTCATCATGAAGCCGTCGCCACAGACGCCGACGGTGGTAGAGCAGGTGGCCAAGGCGTTTGACGAGGCTGGTCTGCCGGCGGGCGTGCTGCAGTACTTCCACTGCGGGTCGCCGACGGTGATCGAGACGGTGGTGCGCAATCCGCTGGTGGCGGCCGTGTGCTTCACGGGCTCGGTGGCTGGTGGACTGGCGGTGCAGCGATCGGCAGCCGACCGGACCGTCAGCGTGGGCCTGGAGCTGGGCGGCAAGGACCCGGCCTACGTGCGACCGGACACGGACATTGCCTGGGCGGCCGAGCAGCTCGTCGACGGCTGCGTCTTCAACTCGGGACAGAGCTGCTGTGCCATCGAGCGGGTCTACGTGCACGCCGACGTGCACGATGCCTTTGTCAAGGCGGCACAGGACGTCCTGCGCGGCTACCGGCTCGGCGATCCGGCCGACAAGACCACGCATGTCGGGCCCGTCGTCTCGAAGCGGGCCAAGGACACGATCGAGGGCCACATCCGTGACGCGCTGGCCAAGGGTGCCCACGACGCGACGCCCGCCGACAACACGACGTTTGCGAGCCCGCCGGCCGGTGGCAATTACGTTAAGCCAACGCTGCTGACGGGCGTGACCCACGACATGACCGTCATGACCGAGGAGACCTTTGGCCCCGTCATCCCGGTGATGAAGGTCAAGGATGACCAGGAGGCCGTGGCGCTCATGAACGACAGCGAGTTTGGCCTGACGGCCAGCGTGTGGACCAAGGACAAGGCCGCGGCCCTCCAGCTGATCGACCAGGTGGAGGCCGGCACTGTCTTTGTGAACCGCTGCGACTACCCCAGCCCGGTAAGTGTGCTAGGACAGAGTCCACAGAGCCCAGAGCCCACAGAATCCACAAACCCACAAACCCACCATATTGGCTCACCTGGCTAACCCTCCAGGACCTGGCGTGGACCGGATGGAAGAACTCGGGCAAGGGCCACACCCTCAGCCGTTACGGCTTCGACCAGTTCTTCAAGCTGAAGAGCTACCACATCGCCGACGGCCCGGCTTAGAAGAGCGAGGCGAGCGAGACGAGAGAGGCGAGGAACGGCTTGGCTCTGTTTACCCCCACCAGGATGCGTTGCCGCGGGTCTGGAGGACGTGTCCCTGCGGCAAGGGATGGGGGCATGTGGGGGTCCGCAGGCACAAGGGGGCTGGCATGGAGAACCTAGACAACGCGTGCAATGGGGATCAATGACATAGGCAGCCACCCAATAGAAGGGCTAGCAACATGCCACCGTACCGCGTCTTTATTTTGATCGTCTTGCCATGAAAGGACTGAAAGGCAATCTGATTGCGACGTCCGAATCGAGACGGAATTGGGACTGGAAATCGACCTGGAATCTGGTCCGATTCAGCTGCGGGGGCCGGTGAGCTGAGGAATGCAAGCGCTAGCGTTGCAGCGAGCTGAAAGGTCCTTTTGTGTCTGTTGCCAGCTGTCTCAGCTGGGCCCCGCCCATGGTGACTAATACGCAGGCAAACAGGCCAATCGCGATCACTTCGATGCAAGGTCTGTTTCCAGGCTGTCGGCAGAGAGCAGCCAACGCGCAGGCGTGCACTCTCATCAAGGGAGGCATTGGAGAGTCGGAATTCATCTCAAAAACTGGAATAAAGCCTCCTCGTTTACTTTGTACCATCCAACGGTTCCGACACAACGGCCTCTGGCTGGCATGCAGACAGCCTCCAGACCCGGCCATGTGCTTCAAGTATTGCAAATTTCTGTCATCTGTCCCAGTCGATGACCTGTTCGTGCTGTGATTCGCCGTTTATTCATGTCCGTTCCTCGTCGCCTTTGTCCACATTCCGGTGCCATGGTCAAGGGCCGAAAAAGTACGCTTCCGGCAAATCTGCCAGTCTGCTGTCTGCTGTCTTTGGTCTTCTGTCTCACTGCGACAACATGGCACCGCGTCTGTGGCACCAGACAAGGCTCCCTTTCATCTTATAAAAGCCATGTCTGCAGCTCCTCTTTGCCTCTGCGTCTCGTTGTTGTCGAATCCACCCATTTTCTTGCTTCTTCACAGACAGCTTGCTTTATGCTTCCTTGTTTTGCCGCTGCTTCGCGCCCACCTTCATTTGCACCCACACATTTAAGGACAAGCTTGTTCGTCTCTCTTTCTTCTGCCCGTCATTCTTTCCTATCCCATTTTATACTACATTCTTTGTTTTGGTCAATTTTGGCCCTTTCACTCATTGAACCCGTTTTAGTCGTTTCCTCCCACGCTCACTCTTTTATTCTTTCATTCTTTATTCTTTATTCTTTCATTCTTTCGTCCTTCCATATTACGCTCTTTTCACCCAATTCTGGACACTCGTTTAATACCTCTCTTCCTCCCGTCATTCGTGAGCGTTTTCCACTCGACTACCGTCTCTAGACCACCGCCGTTGCTTTCCACTCGTTTTATAGACAACTCGTGCGGTCCTACAATCTGTCTCCATCTCCAGCTCCCGACGGTTCTCTCGCATACCTGCAGCATGCATACATACAACGCAATCAGAACATGCGTGGCGCGCCTTCATAAGAAGATCAGCTTTCGTCGCAAGAGTGCCAAGGCACGGCCTACCATCGTCAGTTGCACTTCCCCTACCAAACCTGCCGTCAACCTCAACGGGACACGAGTCGTGCTAACATGGATAGTCCCAACCATTTGACTTCAAGAAGGAAGACACTTTGTGCTTCTTGCGAGGCATCTCCAGCGAAGAGTGAGCAAGCCCGTCTCCCACCCCCTTCCATGCCTGCCCTTTTTGTTTGTTTGGACTGACCATCTTTCCACCAGGTTGACCGTGATGCGTGAAAAGGCCGCTGCCAGCATAGTCGGCTCTGCCACGAACAGCCCGTTCCCCGATTCCCCTCCGCTGCCCTCCTCTCAAGCACACGGCGAGAGCGACCACCGCATCGTCCGGACGCACACGGCCAACTCTGCCAGCACGACCGCCACCGGCATGGCCAGGAGGTCGCCACAACCCTGCCGCTCCCATAGCCAACAGTATGACTACCACAACCACTACAACCATCGTGCTGGTGGTCCCATGACTTTCCACTCCGTTGTGCTGGCTTCTGCCGAGGCGTATGCTCCGGCAGGCTTGGCCTCTGCCTCTTGCTCGTCGTCGGCCTCGTCGATCAACTCGTTGGGCCGGGACCGCGACTGAGGTGCCGGTCGATTCGGCACCGCTACGCTTCAGGCACTGTAGTCGCTACGACAAAGAAACTGGCCTCGTGCCCCAAAACTAATAATCGACTTTCCTCTCTTTTGTTCTATATACCAGAGCGGGTGCTTGCTTTGGTGTGTGAGAGGTAATACTGGATCGTTTCGTCTACAGATGCGATTAGTCAAAAATCAAAAGCATTGCGAATTGGCTTTGTGACATGATCTACGCTTGCATGACAATATAACAGTCCAAATGATAGTTCTGATTGAATGACAACAGTACGATGCCAGCCATTCCCATTTAACCAATATTGAACTCCGCCGACGCACTCATTACCGCTTGCATCTTCATCCGCATGCGCTTGGCCGCCTCTTCGTCAGCGGCACCGCCGGCCTTGTCGTCATCGTCGTCGCCACGGCTGGCTGTTCCCCTCGAGGACAGCGTCTTGTTCTTGGCATAGGCCGGGCCGCTGCTGGGCCGCTTGGTGCGCCGCTGGACGCCGCCACCGATGCCGCCGGGTGCCTCCCGGAGCCCGAAGCTCTTGGCCGTGTGTCCCAGGTGCAGCTGCGTGATGTCAAAGTAGACGCGTTCATCGCGGACATGCGTAGCATACGCCCGGATGTGCGAGCGGAAAGCCTGTCGGGCCTCCTCGAGGATCTTGCTGTCCTTGGACATCTCCTTGAACTTGCTCTTGCCCTTGCCTCCCATCTTGCTGTGCTTCCAGGGCGAGGACGAGGACGAAGGTGACAAGCCATCCTGCTCGTCGCCGGTCGTCTGCAGCAGCCGCTGTTCGATGTGCAGCTGCAACGACTCGGCCCGCTTGCTCCAGGACTGCGACTTGGACGGGTCGTGGAAGTAGGTGCCATCGCTGGTGCGCTCGTCGCCGCCGGCAGCCAGCAGCGCCTTGGGCACGTCGACGGTCGTGGCGAAGCCAGCCTGCAGCACGGTGTCGTAGAGCTGGGGAACCAGCGTCGAGGCCGACGACGACTGGAGCAGCGACACGTAACCCTCTTCGCCGCCCGGCTGCAGGAACAGCACTGCCTTGCCCGGCCGGCCAGCACGCGCCGTCCGACCGATCCGGTGCAGATGATCATCCACCGCAAAGGCTGGGTCGTACTCGATCACGAGGTCGACGGCCGGCACGTCCAGACCGCGTGATGCAATGTCCGTCGTCACCAGCACCGCTGGGTTCTTCTCCTGGCTGAAAGCCGCCAGCGTGGCCGTTCGCACCGGCTGTGCCAGCGATCCGTGCAGCTTGTGCAGCACGACCGTGCGGTTGGCCGGCGACGTGATATAGGCTGCCGGTCCGACCGTGTTGACCGTGTGGGGAGACGCTTTTGGCGCGACCATGGCCGGGGCCTTGCTGCTGTCCTTGTCGCTGTCCTTGTCGCTGTCCTTGTCGCTGTCCTCGTCGCCACTCTTGTCCTCGTCGTCGTCATCGTGCGTGAGGTCCTCCGGTGCTCGAAGGAGGTCGTAGTGGAAGTCGACCGAATCAGCACACGATATGAAGATGATGGCCTTCATGACCGACCCCTTCCGCGCAAACGTGGACCGCAGGAGCCCGATCAGGGTGACCAGCCGCAGCTTGGCCGGCACGACAATGTACATCTGCTTGAGCTGTGCCGGGGCCGAGAAGGCCGACTCGGTAGCGGCAACGATCGCTCCACCGCTGCTGGCCGCAGCAGCCGCATCGTCCGCTGCCGTGCCGGCCTGGACGTGGATGGCGTCCTCCAGGCTGATCTCACCCAGCTTCTGCACGTTCATCTTCATCGTGGCCGAGCAGAGCACGGTGACGCGGCGCGACGGCAGCACGCCCTTGGGCAGGACCAAGCCGTCCTTGCTGGTGTCCTTGAGGCCGTGCTTGCGAATCTTGCCAACGATGGTGCGGATGTCCTCCTCGAAGCCCATCTCCATCAGCCGGTCGCCCTCGTCGAGCACCAGCCAGCGCACGGTGCCGACGTCGAGCACCTCCGTGTTGTCCAGGTGGTCGGTCAGCCGGCCGGGCGTGGCGATCAGAATGTTGACGCCCTTGCGGATCCGCGCTTTTTCCGACTTCTTGCTCTCGCCGCCAATCACGGTCGTGCTGACAATCCACGGCGCGCAGCGCAGCAGCTTCTCCAGCACGACCGAGATCTGCTTGCAAAGCTCCCGCGTCGGCGCCAGGATGATGGCAAACAGGCCCGAGTCGCGGTGGATCTTGAGCGGCGCCCGCCCGTCCTTCCGCTTCGACCCGTCCTCGTTCTCGCTCAGCGCCAGGATCCGCTGCATCAGTGGCAGCAGATAGGCCAGCGTCTTGCCGGAGCCCGTCTCCGCCTGGAGAAAGGCGTCGTTGTCCTGCGTGACCAGCTGCGGCACCGCGCTGTGCTGGATCGCCGTCGGCGCCTTGAGACCCAACTTCGTCGACAGGTGCTGGGCAATCCGTCTCGACAGGCCAAGCGCCAGAAAGGTGGATGCGTCGTCGGAGAGTGGTGCGTTGGACGGCTTCACCGGCTCGCCATCGGCCTCACTGGCCGCCGCCGCCTGCGCGCTGCCAAAATCTGTCACCGCCGTCGGGTTCGATGTAAAGAGCCTCGAGGTCACCCCGTTTTGCGGTTCTCGTCGTCCTGTCGCCGGTCTGCCAATATTGGCCCCATGCGGCTTCCAGTTCCGGGCTGCATTTGGATTTGGCTCGCCCACAGACGCGCCATCGCCGCCAGCTTCAGCTGTGCCGCTCCCGTCTACCCTCCGTCGCTTCAGCGGCCTGTCCTTGCTGTTGCTGCTGCTCTCGGCTGCTAGGCCGCCGTGCTCCTCTTCCTGCTGTCTCTTGGCGCTTCTCTGGGCTCGATTCCGGTCGCGCCATTTGCCACCTTTGAACTTGACCTGCTTGCTGACTGCTACGTCGCCGAGGTCAAAGTTGAGGAGCATGCCATCGTCTGCCATCGTTTCACGTCGACTTCTTGCCCGTTCAATGGGCCGTTGTGGTGTTGAGGCAACTCAGTGGGGAATCGAGAGGAAAAAAAAGTTCCCGGCTCCACAGTAACCCAAAATTGTGCCTCCATTATTCGATAAGAGACTGGATAAGCGGGCGGTGAGTAAGGCATAGCACGTGATCGCAAGAAACCAAGCGCCATCTAACGAACATTTGCACATGCTAATATGCAGAACTTCTGCACGTACAACCCATTTTCAGTATTAGTTTTCTGCCGCTCTGAACTGCTCTTATCCGGTGTTCTGTTCCGTCTCCTCTCAGAATGCATCTTTGTCAGTAGGTTCGTCGGGGTCGAAAGAAGTTTGGCTGTAGGTGTTATGATAAGAGCAGCCGCTCACTAAACAAAGCCCTAAAAAAGGCATCCAGAACTTGAGAGTAGAACGCAGATGCAGTTTACAAGAGCACTTCAGAGCAGAGACCTATAAAATGACAAACCTTCTTTAGCTGCCCGCACTAGATATGTCGTAATATCTCACCAAATGGCTTCGTAGCCGGCAAAAAACACCACAAAATCGTGACAAAAGCTAATGCATATATATATTTTAGCGGCCAGTTTCTGCCAAGTTATGGAAACCGTGTTTGTACATAAATCTAGCATCTCATCATGCTCAAATCATAATGGCCTCTCCTACTTCTCCAATCACGTCTCCTACCTTTACTGTGTGTTCTACGCCTATTGACGCTTAATGGCGCGCCACAACCGCTCGCTGCCTTCTTTGTGCTCGTGCCCCAGCTGCTAACATCGAGAAGACGGTTGAGTGTTTAGTCCTGGTAGAACCGGTCGGTTACCTCGATTCTAGCTATAATTATAGGCATCGGCCAGACTAGGCTCCGAGGCCAGCAAACGTACCCGGACTCGTGTAGCGTCTGGGCGATCTAATTGATCTCCCGCGCAGCCGCCTGGGGCTTGTTGTCTGTTCACACCTTTGGTACCACCATGCGCTTTAGTATTTCGTCGTCGGGAGACGCATGGCGGTAGTGACAAGCTGGTGGAACTCAGACCACGTTACGTGCTCTGGTCTCGTCAAATATTCGAGCAGCTCGGAATTCACAACTTTTCTTTCCTACAGAAGTAGAGACGGGTGCAGTGTCAGTAATACAAATGTCGGCTGAACGGGCGTGCAAGCAAAGTCAAAGGAGATTGACATCCAAAGAACTGCTGCCGTCGTCATTATCGTCATTGTCCAAATTGCTTTCGACATCATTTGCACCATCGAAATTTACATTCAGGGTTGAGAGCGCCAAATCCGATTTTGCAAACTGGCCGAGCAGGTCCATGCCAGCGATCGTTGAATCGCCCGGTATGATCTGGCCACTCGAAACAGGACGCGGGCTGTCTGTGAGGAAGGCTCTCCGAAACGGGCTTGGGCTGCTCGTTGCGAGTCCACTTCTGTCTCTGGAGAAGAGATAGGCTGAAAATTGCGCATGAAGAGAGTACAGGTCAGACGAGGCATAGCTTGCGTACTCTTCTATCAGATTGGTCATGTCCAGATTCTGCGAGCTTTAGGGTTGCACTTGCCAGTCGCTTGATACTGCAGTGGCAGGCCTTCCCTCTGTGGTAATGGAGTAGGTAGAACCTGAGCCGGACTTCTCGGAAGGGTGGAATCGGAGATGGCTGGGCCACGCCGTTTTAACAGCCGGTCTATTCATGTTGGTACATCCACCTATGGAATATGAATCATCTGGCTGTCTTCGCTTGTATAACTTCAAGTTGCAGTCAGAAAAAGACGTGCATGTAAGTTGTAGGTGGCGACACGCTTTACATGACGTCTCTCGACTCTAGCATTACACCAGAGTCGGCCATTAGCACAGCCGATGCGACAATGAAGGAAAACTAGGCAATATGACGCTACATTCTGCCGGCGGCATATAAGCAGCCGAATTGCCTGGACACCAGCGGTTACTGGAGCTGGCAGTTTCGGCATGGTGACACGGTAATACGATAAGAGACGAACAGAGGGGCCCGAGAAGTCGACGCATACATAGCTGTCTGTATTTGATTACTAAGCGGATTACAAGCAGTATTCTGCCGACCGTGACCGCCAAATATGCTACGCGCAGGGCGCTCACCTGGCGCTCACCTAGCAATTCCCTTCTCGTCGAACGTCGAGCATGAATGTCGGCTATCAACATCCCACAATAGCATTAAACGAGCCCTTCAAAGAAAGCCCAGGCTTAGACGAAACTCTCTGAACAGCGCTGACGTACGACAACACGAAGAGCAAAAGTCCAAAGATTCTTCACGTTTTCTCGCCGTTGCCACCGATTTTTTTTCACCAGCAAACCAACAACATGCCGTACATTACCAGCGTCCATGAATCTTTACCATGTGAGCCCGCCTCATGTTTCTTCGACAGCAGCTCAAGCCGCCATGTTCTCTGAATAGGCACAAAACACTGACTCGTTGTCTTTTCTATTCTTCAGACATCGACCCGGAACCGAGTGCGGAACAGCGTGCAGCAGCCGAGGCGCTGATCGCCGAGGAGCGAGCACTCGTTCCAGACGACCCTCACCATGCCCTATTGCGACCGCCCTACGAGCCTCGGTTTACGGAGGCTATGCGCGCCGAGATAGACCGCGTGGCTGCAAACCAGAAACTGGACAAGAAGGACCAGAAACCCCTCTCGGCCATCGATCTGTCACGATACGAAGCACAAGAAGAACTGCCCGCCAATGGTTCCGCAGCCAGCCTGCGCTCTGTCCTTGCCAATGCCTACACCAGCCAAGCATATCTGCGCAGCCGGCGCGCGCACCTAGCACTGCTCGACAGCTACGGGAAAAACGCCTGGCTGGTGGGCAATTGGCAGGTAGAAACTGAGCTGCGCGGAGTCGAGGCTGAGCTGGCGCAGACACGCCGCCATATTGACATCACCACACTGCGGCGCCAACGGGCCCAGAACGAGGCCGCGCCCGAGCTGCAAAGCCTCGAAGAGACGTGGCGGACAGGCATTGGGCGCGTCCTCGAAACTGAAGCTGCTGCTGAAGACTTGCGCCAACAGTGTCTGGATGCGCGAAGACGACAGGTCGCGAGCGAGGTCTGAAACTCAGGGAGCTTCGGACGATACATGTGGCAGGCAGATGGCTCGAATTTGTAAGACAAGTGGCGCTTGGCGTTGGGTGAAATGCATACAGGTTGCAGATTGATATAGATTTACTAGTCAGAATTATGCAAACGGCACGATACCATATCATTTACTGTGTCTGCGATATGTGCGGTGCCTACGTACTACGGTGGAAGTCGGAAATGCCAAGCTTTGATGTGTTCGATATCCTGGATCAGCATGTGCAAAATATATAAAGGAAGTCAAAAGAGAACGAAAGCCGGCAACTACCGATACGATTACCCCCCCATAAACGCCACTTAACCACCACCCCTCAGCACAGGAAGCTGTAACAGACATCCTTCCTAAAAACGAGACATTTAAATACGTGCACAGATAACAGGCGCCACTTCAAGTCCAGAGCAGCTGTACACTCTTCTTGAAAGCTCCTCTCTATCTTACGACTCTCTCTGAAGGGGATCCAGATCTTCCACTCCCGTCTTCACTCCCGTATACCTCGTCCTCCGCATAATGCCTTCGACCGGGCCAAGTAGTCTCTGGAAGGCAGGCTTGCCTAGAGTAGCAACCTTGAGCTCGGTTCTTGCCCTGACCGTAGCGGCACGGGGTGCGTCGTTGAGCAGCGCAAGCTCGCCAAAGAAGTCTCCTTTTTGGTAATTTTTGACAGGGTTGTCGGTTCCAACCTTGAAAGCATCGGCCTCGCCGCTTTCTACCAAATAGAACGAGTGGCCGGGGTCGCCCTCTCGGATGATAGTGACGCCAGGCGGGAACTTTTGGGCTTCCAACGCATCCGCAATTTTGGATCGCTCGTATGGGGTAAGCGTTGCTAGCAGGGGCACCTCCTCGAGAAAGCTCTCGTACATACGGCGCCGTGCGAAGGTGGACTCCATTAGAATGCGGCGAAACGTGAGGCGGTCCAATGCCCACAGGGTGCACGCAGCTTCAGCCGACATGACCGTAGCAGCGCGTGGCGCGTTGTACATTAGTGCCAGCTCGCCAAAGGAGCCACCTGCCATAATTGTGTCCACCTTCTGGCCGAGCCCCTCGGGGCCTGCTTGGAGCGAGCCACTGCTGTTGACGTATACATCGAAGCTGCCCTTCTCGACAACATAGAAAAAGTCGCCAGAATCCCCTTGAGTGATGACCTATGGTCGGTTAGATCGTGGAGAATACAGGTTAATGTACAGAGCTTCGCCTACCTTGATGCCTGTTGTCGGGATTGGCTTCTCTACTAAGGCACCGAGAATCTGGGACGACTGCTCATCGTCCAGATGGCTGAAGAGGAAATTGTTCTGGATAGCTCGCTTCAGGCGCTCGAGCTGATCGGTTGACTTGCGATGGACAGGTGGGCTCCAGTTGTCGTATGAGTCGGCCACCGGCTTGAGTGACTCGGCAGAAACGGACGTCCGTCGAGCGAAATTGTACTGCGCGGGATACTCTCCAAAAGGTTGCAAATGGCCAGGCGAAGAGAGATCGGGGGAGGTGTCTTGCGGAAAGAAGCTAGCACCAAAGCCGGAGTCGGTCTTGAGTATGAAGGTCGGCGGTGGGGGCGGCCCAGCATTCTCGTCCTCTTCGATCACCTGCCGCATCATGCCAGATGAGCTGTCTGCCCCTTTTCGTGCATCAGACGAAGACCCAAACGGGTTAGAATTAGCCCCAAAGGGACTTGTAAACCCTCCAGCAGACATGGTGTTGTAAGGTAGCAGTGAAATCCGACGAGTATCAAGCTTGCGCCTTTAGGTGGATGTCGAGATATGTGCTCAGTCGCAGAAAATACACTGGTCTGGTCGTCGGTAATGTGAGATGGCTCGCGCCGCGGCTGGTGGATCGTGCTCTGTGCTTAATTGGTTAGCAATCTCGGTGGAAATATGAGGTGACAACGCGATAATGACATCGGTTTGGCCCATGAAACAAGAGAACGTGTCCAGAAGCCGAGAAAGAATAGAAAGCAATTTGTCAGATGTGCGTTGTCTATGCAGTCTGCGATAGGGAAAGGCGGAAAATAAAGAGGCAAGCGGTATTTAAGTGCACCTTCTAGAAAGGGGGGCTTGGAAAGGCTGAGTCAAGGACAGAACGTATGCCGATAGCACACAGCTGCCCACCCGTTTACGACAGAATAGATAGCAAGCCGGAGCTGTCAAGACAGTATGTAACAGTTGAGGTAAAAGATAAGGTGAGAGGATGCTGGATGATCGTCTGTCGCCGACCATGCGCGAAGCAGTTTGATGAAGATGGCAGGAAGATGGGTGAAAAGAGGCAGACAGGCCGGATAAGGGGAGGCAAGAAATGCTAGAAGTAGAAGGAACTTTACCTGGCGGCTTGCTGAAAATGTTGCCCGGTTCTCGGTGTGTGTCGGTCCAGTGCTCGGGCGTTCAATTTGGAGCGACAGTCGAAATGGCAAAAAAAAGAGAAGAAAGGAGGGAGTGGCCGCGGATCAGTCAACGTAGATGGGTAAGAAGGAGGAGGACACGAACGGGAAGCAGCTTTGGGTAAGGCAAGCGGAACACTAGAAAATCAAGGTGGGGGAAGGGGGGATGGACAGCCTTTGTTTCTTCGAATGAGGTCTGTAGTCGCCCGCTTTGAAGCCGCCAGTCACAACAGCCCCTCACCCAACAAGATCCTCCAAAAGCCGTTCCACCCGCCTAGTCAGAGGTGCTGGAAAAGTTCTAGAAGGAGCACGGACCACCATGCGCCACGCCCTCCCGCGAGCATGCTTCTGGAGCTTCTGTGCAGCGGCCACTGCCTGAATCAGACATGGGAGGGCTGCCTGCTCCTAAGATACAGTGGATATTGGTGTGTCCTTCGCAGCGATAACGGTCGCCAGCTGCAGTTCATTTGCGCAAGATTTCCGTATTATGGGTCCAATTCGTCGCCCTTGCTCAGCGGCTGCCTTCAGACCCGGCTTGATATCAGCGATGCTAAAAGGAGGCTCATCTGGTCGCAGAGGTTCTGGTTGCATGACGCAATCAGTGAACCCGTTTTAATCAATCTACTCTATCAAGGAAGTTTGGGGCGATGCCTACAGCCAGGCAGCCCGAAGGACGACGACTCGGGCGGTAAGCAAAGACTACAACAGGGCAATAGACAGGGCGGGTACAAGAACTTAGACGCTGGTAGAACTAGGAGAGATGCCTGGCCTACCGACCCTTGGAGATTGAATGGCCAACGATGCTGTAGTGTTCATCAACAAGCTTGGCAGGCTCTTTTCTTCTTCGTCGTCGCAAGATTCGCGCCAGATACCTTGAAATCTCACTTCACACCGAACCCACATCACCCCCAGTCGAATATTGTAGCCATTACCAGACAGCGTTCGGCATTCAAAGACTAGGACACTGAAACCCCACCAACATGATCCTACCCCAAGACGTCATCATACTACGAGCTCACAGCGTCCCACAGTTACCGGCAACACCGATTTCAAGTAATACGTAAGGTACTATGTAGCGTCGATAGAATTACGGTTACACGCGACGGACGGCTGTCTCAAGAAAGTGACCCCTTCCAAAAAGGAAGGCGGATAGTCGAATCCAATCTAATTTGCTTTGTGCGTTGAAAGAGCCAAGGTCGACGGGGCTGAACTTATCCGGCAGGGTTATGCATTAAAATCACGTGACTGCGTATGCTGGTCGCAAAGGCACCCTGCCTCTTTTGTGGGTCTACCCTACATATGTATCTACGACGTAAGATCCAAGCAAGATACGGTCACGGTACGATCACGTGCATATGAACGCGTCAGTGGCTGAGCAACGGACATAACATGTCCCGTGAATGCGCCACAGAATCTGACAGTTTGTCTCCTGGCTATACGAAGTCGTCGCAGCGTGTAAGAATCCCGGACGCATTCCTTCATCCTGTTGCATAGTCGCCGAGGGGGAGGATGTGCATTCTCCAACAATCTACCAGCAGATAAACACAGCCCATTGCCGCTCATCGACACGTATTAGGTCCGGCGAAAGCGAAGCGCGACACATTTATCTCACACGATGGCGCTCGAAGACGACAATCCGCATCATGCGGATTCCATCGCATCGAACGAGTCGGACTCGAAACATCCCGAGAAGAAGAAGAACAAGAGACCAGCGAGTAAGTCTGCCGTCCACTTCTGCTGCGCCCAACCACGACACGCAGGTGTCAGAGTCCATGGCTTCCGAGCCTCCGAACCCCAAAGAGCCGTTTGCTAACGCGGTGCTCCTTTTCTTCTTCACCCCTTTTACGCAGACACGGCATTTCGGCAACAGCGGCTGAAGGCATGGCAGTGAGTAGTCCCCCGCGGACACAGATGCCGCTCCGGAGCTGGTCGAGACGGTGCTGACGGGCGTGTGCCACAAACAACAGGCCCATCCTGACGCCCAAGACGGTGCTGCCGCTGTTCTTCGCGATCGGCATCATATTCGCACCTATCGGCGCCGCGCTGCTGTATGCGAGCTCGCGCGTGCAGATGATCAAGCTGGACTACACCGACTGCGCCATGGCGGCACCGACAACCGGCTTCGACAGCATGCCGAAGAGCAAGGTGGACACGCAGTTCAAGTCCTCCAGCAACTCGTCCAAGGTGGCAGCCATGTGGAAGCGCACAAACATCAGCGTGTCCTACGACGGAGTCGAGGTGCCAGGCGGCGTCCAAAAGTGCTCGCTGCAGTTCAACATCCCCGAGTCTATGGGTCCTCCGGTGCTGTTCTACTACCAGCTCACCAACTTCTACCAGAACCATCGGCGCTACGTGAAGAGCTTCTACGACAAGCAGCTCCAGGGCAAAGTCTTTACCAACGACACCGTGCACGACTCGGACTGCGACCCGCTGCGCCTCAATGCCTCTGGTGCGCCGTACTATCCTTGTGGCCTGATTGCCAACTCGCTGTTCAACGACACCTTCACCAGCCCGGTCCTGCTCAACGTGCAGGATGCCAGCAGCGCCAACGAGACGTACATGATGCAGAACTCGTCCAATATCGCTTGGAGCTCTGACAAGACGTTGTACGGCAACTTCCCGTCCTCTATGCAGTACTCTGACGTTGCCCCGCCGCCGAACTGGGTCCATCGCTTCCCCCACGGATACACCGACTCCAATCCGCCGCCCAACCTGGCCGAGGACGAGCCGTTCATGGTCTGGATGCGGACAGCTGGCCTTCCCACCTTTAGCAAGCTGGCCCAGCGAAACGATACCACTGCCATGCGCAGCGGCACGTACCAGGTCGACGTTCTGGACTGTAAGTTGTCATCACCCCTCCGCCTTGGTGCAAGGAGAGTGGAGAGTGACTGCTGACGTAATGCACCCAATAGTTTTCCCTGTCAGCGACTTTGGCGGCACCAAGTCCATTGTACTGTCCACACGGACCGTCATCGGAGGACGCAACCAGTTCCTGGGCATTGCCTATGTCGTAGTCGGTGGCATTTGCATTTTGCTTGGCGCCATCTTCACCGTCACCCATGTCATCCATCCGAGGTGAGTGCTTTCTGCATCTGCCGTCTGCAGAGCTTTTAAACAAGCACATGACTCGGTCTTCTGACACTCGTCTTCTCTCTCTAGGAAACTGGGCGACCACACCTATCTGTCCTGGAACAACGCACCGGCTGCATCCAAGCAGAATGCCGGTGCAGTTGGTGGCAGTGCCTCGATGGCGACGGGCCGTGACATGGGCGGTGCTGCCTAGAATGCGCATCCCTGAAACACTGCCTCGCTTGGACACTGACGTTATCGGCAGCGGTGCAGTGGCACGATGAGACCACTGAACGTGCTCATGACGATCCTGTCTGCCTGTGGATGCTCTAGGCTGCCCTAAATCTTGACTTTGGCTTGATTTCGCGCCATGATATTGTATGAATAAACTCACTGGCACCAAAGCAGCAGATTGTTTCGTTTCTTTCCTATTTTCATCCTGTCTTGTTCTGTTTCTTGTTCTGTAACGCGGTGCCGAATATCTATTCTGTACGAGATATCCTTCTGGGGAATGTGTTTCAAAGATTTGACTGCCTCGCTGTTTGCTCTCGACCTAAATGTATTCCATCGTATACTGCCTCGTTGTTGCTCGTGACTGGAGATACGGCTCCTATCTTCTGGGCATATTGACCAACGGCATCCTGAGCCGACCCCAACGTTTCTTAAATTCTCGGATCCTCACCTGGCAGACAGTCCCATCTCGACAATTTGTCTCCAACCTGCGCCAGTTTGACGCAACAGACGAACGAAATATAATGCGAAGAAACGTGCGAAACAAACAGAACTCATCTGCGCCATCCACCTGCAGGTCTAGCAGTCAGACTTCCATATCTTACCAACCCCGATCCTATCATCCGCCTGCTTAGCGCCGCTTCTGCTTTTTCCCTCCGCGATCCTCGTCTTGATGAGCAGTCTCGCGATCTCGCTTCGCCGCCTTGCGCTCCAGCTCGTCCCAGTCCTCGCCCTCCTCCTCGTCACTGACGTCTTCATCGCTTGCTTCGGCTGACGCATTTGAATCGTACTCGGAGTCTTCTTCGCTCGACTCGGACTCGCCCTCGAGCTCGCTGTCATCAATCTCGAAGGCGCTTTCCTCATCGTCATCGGAACCGCCTTCTTCATCGTCCGAATCAATTTGCAGCACAGCCCACCCACCGTCCGCAAAGAACTGGTGCGTATCCGCGGTCACCGTCTTCATAATCGTCTGCCAGTTCAGGTTCAGGGGACCCTCGGAAAAGGCAATGTCTGATGAGTCCAGGAACTCTTTCACGTCCTCCAGAGACTCGACCGGGATCGTATTGACGTGGAATGGCGGTCGTGAAAAGTCTTTGAAAACGAACACCAAATCAAAGTTCTTGAGACCGAACTGGACACGCTCCAGGTGGGCGATCTCGATGTCCTCCAAGGTAAGAACCATAAAGGGCGGCTCCGTCAACTGAATGAGACAGTCCGTGGTGGGCTGGATGTAAACGTTGCTGCGGAACGGAACACCGTTGAAGCCAATTTCGCGGATAGGCATGTCCACCTCGATTCCTTCACTTCGGCCTGCCTCGGCAATTTTTTCGGCGAAAGATTTGAAGAGCCTGTCAAGCTCGGTGCGCCGGCGGCGTTCCTCTTGCTCGGCCTCAAACTCATCCTCGTCACCATACCTGTACTTGCGCTTCCGATTGCCGGTCTCGTCGAATTGGATATCCGTGGCTTCGCGGTAGAACTGTACATCCTTGGTCTTCTTCTTGTTTCCTATGATGATAGGGTCCTTGAGGTGTATGTGGACGATGACGATGAGCTCGTGCTGGCACGGCTGGAAAAAGAGATGGCGGACGTTGGAAAAGAGAATGTCCACTCTTTGGTGTGTGCTAAGTGGTGACTGGTAGCGAATACCATTTTGATGGATCTCTACCTTGCCCGGAACACGTTTCCCTTCCATAGCAGGACGAATGAAGACGTTGTCCAAGACGGCCGGCCGGCGATCTGAGCGTTGTTAGTGCTGACGCGCGAATTGCATATTTCGGGGGGAATACGCACTCCTAATCTCAATAAGCTTGTCCTGTTCGACAACATCTTCCATATCCTTCTTTTCCTGTTCCTTCTTCGAGGCGTCACGCTTCATCACTGCGATCTGGTTGGCGATATCATCGTAGCGACTGCCATCCATGGAGCGGAACGTCAAGCTGCGAACAAAGTGCGCAGAGGCGTCTTCGAAGGGCTGGTCATCCTTGCGGCCAACACCCTGTCCGGGGGAGAGGAAATTGACGCGCAAAAAGGCCCATTCGCCCTCATCACTCTTACTAGCGTTTTTAATGGTGTTGATGTGAAAAGGCACTGGTCGACCCATGATGGGGAGAACAACGGTCGCGTTCTTTTGGTCCACCACGATGCCCAGATCGCGCACTTTGGCTGGGAATTGGTTGTCTCGCTTGTAGGACTCGAAGCGTTTAAACAGCTTCACCTCCTTACCATTCTGGTCGCCCGTGGCTTCCGCAAAGCGAGCCATGCCCTCCCGCTGTTTCTTGGCAGCGAGAGTCTTCTGATGCGTGCGCCGCTTCTTTTCCACGTCCTCGTCCACCTGTGTGGTACGCTCTGACCGCAGGCGGGTGCTCGTGATGTTCTTAGTGGCCACAGCACCGACTCTCTTGTCCTTCTTTTCTTTCTTCGGAGCCGGCTGCTCCTCCTCCTCATCCTTGAAGAAGAACGAGCTCGCATCAGCATCGCTCGGGGCGTCGCCGGTGAAGACGACCGGCTCGCCCGTGGTGACGCGAATGGTATCCGTGATGACCAATGAATAGAGCTTGTCGCTCTTGTCTCTAGACTGGGTGTTGTCAATGTCGCTGAAGCCGGTTGTGATACAGAGCGTCATGCCGTCCTTGAGGCTGCGAGAGTTCTTCGCATTCAGTACCAGGGTGGAGTCCTTGTTTTCTAGGCCAATTCCGTAGCCGATGTTCTTCACAAAGTGCTTCTCCAGCTCCGGCTTCTTGCTCTTGACATAGGCAAGCGCCTTTGTGTACACCTCCCTGCACGTGGCGCCGTCGCGAACCTCCTTCAGCACCAGACTGTGGACGGCCGAAAGGAGCCGGTAATTGCTCTCCTGGGACTTGTTCGGGTCAACCAGAAACGTCCGCGCGATAGAAGAGCAGTACGACTTGTAGCGGAGACCCAAGGCGGCAATGATGATGCCCGGCTTCAAGTTGTCATTGTTCACCTCCGTCTGCCACCTCAAATCGAACTTGCCGCCACTCTGGACCAGAGGGCCAAGCACCCAGTCCAGCTGATCGGGGTCGAACTCGGTAGGCAGCTTGGACTTGTTTGGAAGCTCGACAGTTTTCCAAAATTTCTTGTCGTCAAGCATTTTCTCCACCTTGTCGGCTAGGGCACTATGGCGGACCTTCTTGTCTTGATCTAAAATGTCGGACATTTCGTCGAGAAAGTAGGGGTGCATGAGGGCGACGCAAGCTCTGGAAGACGTGCGCATGGCGCGCAACTCTGTCTCGTCCTTGACAGCAAACGCGGCCGTGGAAAGGGCCTGGCTGATGTCGACAGACTCTGCCTCCTTCGCGTGTTCGGTGAAATAGCTCTTCCACTCCTCGACAAATGGGCCGCGAGACACATCCTTTGCAAGGACGCCGACCTTTTTCTGCACACGTTTGAAACGTCTATGTTAGAAAATTGTGCGCAATCATAATCAGCTGCGAAGACACATACCCCGGCATTATTGATAGCCTCAATTATTTTGGCAAAAGCCTTTTCATTCTCAACCGCATCTTTGCCGCGAACGAGCACTTCCACGGGAAACCGACCACCCTTGATCTGGTCGAGGTATTTTGCTGAGCTACATTAGCATGCTGCTCACTGCGTCTCTCTCCCGTCTTATTGCACGCTTGACCGCACCTTTCTTTTGCGTCGTCAGGATGTATAGTGTTTCGGTCGTGAGGAGCATTAATGTCGTGGGAAATTCGTAGCCAAGCAACCAGAACTGCAGGATGTGTTAGCAAAAGCTGCCAGTGACCCATTAGGGTTGCGCAATACTCACATGCATAGCATTGCTCTTGTGAAACTCTGGGGTTTCGTCGACCTTTCCCATCATGATCACGATGGACCCAACGCCACCGAAGACGCCATCGTCACTAGAGCGCTTCACATCTGCCTTCCAGGTATTTGTGAGGTCGGAAATACGTTCCTGGAAAAGCTTGGCCTCAATCTTTATGTCGGCCATGGCGAGCTTCGCCGGCGATCGCGAAGGCTAACTGGGAAGTGTCACTTTTCTGACTTTGCAGCCGAAGGCGCCAAATACTGGGCTTGACTAAGTTAGAATGAAAGGATAAAGTATGCGATGGCGGCAGTAGGGGGTCGCGATCAATGATGAAATTTGAGAAAGGGCGTTGTTCATTTTTCGGCGACCCTTATTACTACCTCTTCAGCTACGGGTCATTTTTCGCGTCACATCACGCGTCGGCCTGGCATTGGCTAGCGCTGGTTGATTACTGGAAGAATCAATGCCTGAGGCCTGAATAAAGACGCTTAAGGTGTACGGAGTATCACTTCACTCTTACTTATAGTATTAGCGGGTCTGCACTGCAGGTAACCAATCGGCATTAGCACCTTGCTCGTGATATATCTTACGTTCAACACTCCGTATCTTACCTAGGGCTTCGAGCAAAGTCTTACATGAGAAGCAGCGTTGCAGTGCTGATACTACATATTAAGTAAGCCAGAGAAAATGTAGAAACTAACGTAAAACGGTCTCGACAATAGGTACGATTCTTACTTCTACTTTCCTTATTGAGACCGGGTAACGAGCCTTAGCGTTGGTATTTCTAAGCAACATTAAAAAAAATATGGATAGAGAAGCTAAAAAACCCCGAGATATCGCCCTCTGGCCTATACCGGAGAGAACTTTCCTCTTCTCTGGAAAACGGGCAAATCTGGTGATAACTGTCAGCGCAACGGGAATTGCTTCGAGCCGCCTAACCCTGCCGGAAAAGTCGCATTTCCACGGATCGCCCTGTTCCTTGTCTATCGGCCGTTTCTTTCACCTTATCCCTGCGCCCCTCACCCGCAGCCTCTTACCTTGAAATCCCATTCAGCCAACCACAGACACTATCCATTGCGTTTGTGAATGACGCCATTATCCCACGCTCCCAGGACCATAGACTCTCGATGTTGATTTGACAGACGGTGCTGCATTCTTCACTCGGCAGCAGAACGTGGGGCAAGCAAGTAATAGCTCAACTCGGCTGATCAGCTTGTCGCCAGGTACATTAGTTTGTGCTTTGTTTCGCCTGTCATCCCGTTGGCCATTTGGACAGCAAGGCCAGGCACTCTTTGTTTTGAGACTGGATGCTAGCATATTTACCACGGAGTTTGCAGCCGCTCTCAAAGACGGACTTTCTCACCGTTCTAGTTCGCGCAAACGCCTGCTGTCGCGATGGGACTTCTGTACGTCTGGGAGGTCACATGCGCGTTCCAACACGGGTGACGCTCTAACCGTATGGCATAGTCAACTCGGCACGGCTCTCGATTGGCCTGAAGCCAAGAAGCACGCCGACCAGGTCCGCAAATGGGGAATCTTGGTAGGTGATTTCAAACAGCGTTATTGCTTTCGTGAATCGTCGCTAAGCAAGCGTAGCAATTGTTAGAGATTTGGAACAAGGCCAAATCAAAAGAGAGGGATGCCCTACTATGGGGAGACGAGGTAACTCAACTCTTTACTACCACAGAATTTCCGCTGCAGATCTTTTGACACGGTCTTCGTGCTGCGTAGGTGGAGTACCTCGTCGTCAAATACGACAAGGAGAAGCCCCGTGTTGTCGTGTCTCTGCGGCAGGCAGACATCCTCGACGCGCTGGCGAACGATGCATCTTTAGCTGCCAAAGGTGGCTGTACCCCAGCCGACACAGATGAAACTTACGATCCCAAGCCAAGGCAAGTCCTCACACCAGAACTGCTTTTGTCACCGTTATTAACGGACCCAAAGCAAAGATCCGTTGCCCGTTTTCCACCCGGAGTTTGGACGGTATATGCTGGAATCGACGCCGGGAAAGCCGTGGGGAATCGAATTAAAGGAACTCTTGGACGTGGAACCGAACATGAAGATAAGGTAAGAGGCCCATCCACCGCATATCGACGCATTTTCATTGGGTTATGTTAAGCAGCCTTCCACTTGCATTTAGACGAATCATTGCCAAAGACCACATGAACGCCGACGAATATCCCATAACTTTGACGACATTTCCACGACTGGGCTCTCCGGGCGTCTTTTCCGATCCTCATTATCCCGTGTCTGGACCTCAACTGCGGTCCCAGTTTGTCCCCGATGAGATCGCCAACCCACACATTCGGTTTCCAACGTTGGCGGCCAACATCCGCAGCCGTCGTGGCCGGAAGGTGCAGGTGAATGTCCCTGTATTCCGTGATGTCAACACACCGTGGCCATGGAAGGACCCAACGGTCAACTTTGATCTTCACCAGTGGCCTGAAGACAGCGACGAGCGCAACGGCGCTGCACCGGACAACTTCATCCACATGGACGCGATGGCTTTTGGCATGGGCAGCTGCTGCCTACAGATCACCTTCCAAGCCAAGAACATCACCGAGGGTCGACGTCTTTACGACCAGCTGAGTCCTCTTGGTCCCATCCTCTTGGCCCTGACGGCAGCCACTCCGGTCTACAAGGGCTTCCTTGCAGACACGGACGTGCGATGGAACCAGATCAGCAGTTGTGTCGATGACCGGACGCCGGAAGAGCTGGGAGAGGAGGTGAGTTTGCTCTGGCAAGACGGCGTGAGAAGCCGGCTGCGCTCGTGTATGGGTGGTATTTGTTGCTGACCCATGACATTGCAGCCGCTCAAGAACAGCCGCTGGCAGATTCCCAAGTCCCGGTACGCGTCCAATTCGACATACATTTCGACGGACCCGAACCTACGACCTGAGTATTTTGACCCGGACCTAGTGATTGACGAGGATATCAAGGCCCAATTGATGCAGGGTGGCATGGACGATCTGTTGGCAACGCATTTTGCGCATCTCTTTATTCGAGACCCTATCGTCATCTTCTCTGAGGACCTGCAGACGCTTGACCTGGCGGAGACCAACCACTTTGAGAACATTCAGTCCACCAACTGGCAGCACATGCGCTTCAAGCCACCGCCGCCAGACAACAGCATTGGCTGGCGGGTCGAGTTCCGGCCGATGGAAGTGCAGATCACCGACTTTGAGAACGCTGCCTTCTCAGTCTTCATTGTCCTGATCACGCGTGCCATCCTCTCGTTTGGCCTAAACTTCTACATTCCTATCGTACGGGTGACTGAGAATATGGAGACGGCCCACATTCGAGATGCCGTACTGTCCGAGACGTTCTATTTTCGGAAGAACGTCTTTCAGCAGCAGCGCCAATCGCGCCACGGCCGTCACCGGTCTGCCCGTGGCGATGACAGCGGGAATACAAGTGCCGCAGCGTCTGGTACGACAACGCCAAGTGGACTCAGTCGGCCGCAGTCGCCAGCGCTTGGCCCTGTCGAAGATGAGTATAGGCGCATGTCGATCAACGAGATCATCAATGGCACTGGCTATCCGCAGCACGGCCTTTCCAACAATGGAACCTCGGATGTCAATGGAACCGGTGTCGGATTAGAGCAAAGTTCAGCTGAGGCTGCATTCCCCGGTCTTATTCCCCTGGTGGAAAGCTATCTCGACTCCGTCAATGTTGACGTGCAGACCCGGTGTCAGCTGTCTACATATCTTGATCTTATCCGAAAGCGGGCATCAGGCGAGCTTTGGACCTCTGCTCGGTGGATACGCGCCTTTGTCAAGGAGCATCCGGATTACAAACAAGACAGTGCCGTTCCAGAGTCTGTGACTAAGGACCTTGTGGGTGCTGTTATCGATATCGGAGCTCGCGAGGAGACGGGCGGCGGGTGGAAAGACCTGGACATTCCGGAGATTGAGAAGCTGATGGGATCGTTCAAGGGGTTTTGAAGGCATAATGAGCGCAGCATTTGTTTTCCTGTCGTTTCCCCGCCACGTTATGTCTAAAGCGACTGAAATGGCCTAGTCTTAGTTTTACTCCTCAGCCCAACGGGTCAGCTTCCGGAGCCTACATAGTACACAGTAGATAGTGCCGGCGAGAGCGAGACCCTGGCTTGACGTCTTACTGGCACGGACTCGCCTACGCCTATCTGGACAGCATATCTATGTAGCCCCTGGCCGCGGGTGAATTTGAATACCGAGATCAGCCAATATGGCCTAGACACTTGCCCGTGGTCTTTTGAGCCCCCCCTTACATCGCCGCGACGGACCTTGGATCCTCACATGATGACAGCGTCGCGCGATGTGATCTTCCCGGCTACACGCCGGATTCCCACTCTTATTTTTATGCTTTGTGCTATTTTCGATGCTACAGAATGCCGGACAGGAATGGTCCGTGACAAACAGCTAATGTGTGCTGTTTCACGAGTGGAACGCAAGATGCAGCATGCTATCCTTGCGACAACCTATGGTAACTTGATGATTCATGTCCCACCATGAGCGCACATTTCAGGCGACTGTGTCGGTCTACGACATCACGGCCGGTTGGTGGGTACAGAAAATGCCGTGGGGGGGATCTGTGTGAACTTGTCTCTTTCAGTCTTGTAATGGCAAAAACGTTTTGGCTACTCGTATCGAGAGGCATTTTCAATACGCTTTTTGCTGCACTTGTACTTTGTAGTGCCCATTCCAACATCATATCGAGATGATCAGCAGAGACATTCACGTGCTTTTCTCTTGGGGTTGGCGGTGTGAGGGCTCAGCTACGAGATCGAAAAAGGCAGGTGCGAAGTTGATTAATTCCCTCGGCGGGAATCCCCGAGGGACAGACAATTGTGAGCAGATACCAAGTTTGGCCCCTACTCGTATCTTACATCGCATGAAACAGCAATCTTCTTTGCAATGATAACACAACCATTAGGGCCTGGTGCCGCTCCTGTTGACCATGCGAATAAGCAGCTAGACAAAAGCCCAGAAAATCATGAAGTTTGTGACACAGTGCTCGGTGACGGACAGGGCGAGAAAGAGAGAGAGAGTGGGACTCTTGAGACGGAAGAAGAAAAAAAGAGAAAGTGTGCTGCGATCTGACACCTCGGCCGACCTACTAATATGTGATCCTGGGCGGCCTGCGAACTGCAAGCGCTCCGAGAGGTACAAGATGCGGTCGTGAACACAGCGGCCCACTGTCCCTACAGCTCTCCCAGACAGCCTCTCCAGTCCGGAAGGGATTGTCGATACGGCCAGCGACCTATCTATGTGACAGGTTACTCTACTACTATGTACACCTCGTCTCCTGAGTTCTGCGTTCCAATCGAGGTCTCCACCTCGGCTTATGCTTGCCAGGAAGCGCAATATATCAGGCATGGGGCACGTTGTTACTAGGTTAGGATATCTGCCGCCTCAACCGGACAGCTACAGAGGCGTGGCCGAACACGGGAAGCAACAGCAGTAGTGATAGCCGCGATAGGACGACCGGGAGGGCCGATCTGAAGCACTCGGTGTGCTTGAAACAGAGGACAGCTCCGAAGAGGCTGAAGACGGGTCAGCACGGAAGGCCCTGGTTCATCATCGTTGCTGGTAGGGGTTGGACTTCTTCCAACTTCTCTCACCGACAGGCTTGTCGCTTTTCCCGTCCCTCGTCCCTCGTCTCTCGCTTCTCCTTTGCAGCACAGCAATGACAGGTCGGGAAATGGGCGGATGACTAAGCACATCCGCACATTATAAGGCGCCTTGTACGAGTTGATAGATGTGACAAGAAGCACTGGCCGCCTTATTGTATCAGCCATTTTCGAGGAGGGAAGGACAACCGCAGCAGCAGTGCCTAGCTTTTTATGACTTGTCGCAAAGCCAAGGAAAATATGATTGCAGACGTACCAACCACCAAAATCGAAGATCCCTCTTGCTCTCGCCTTCCTCGTCAACAAAAGAAGCTGCCGAGGATGAGGAGCACGAGAAAAATGTGGGCTATATCCGCCACGGTGCGTGCATATGCCGTTCGGGTGTGATGGCCATGGCAGCAAAAGCAGTATGTCGTGGCACAAGGCCACAGGCATGCCCGTTTTCGCCGACATGTGCTTCCACCTGCTGCTATGGCTAGTCTGTCTCCATTATTGTTTCCGGGGCCCATGAGAGTTAGCTTTGGCTGGAAGGGGAGCAGCCAGAGCTATCAAACAGGCTAGCCAAGTTGCTGGCTGGCGTCTTAGTTAAGACCATGGCAATTCATTCCTGAGCAGCCTTGGACTTGATGGGTCTCAGAAACCATCCGAACCAGCCTGTATGTACCGGACTGCTCGCACAAGGCCAGCAGAAATCGTATTTTTATCCTCCTATTACATGACAGGACTCGTTGGTTATGATCGGTCAGATGCAGGCACTCATGCGCCGGCTAGAGTGTGACCTTTTAAATTGTTGCTCGACCCAAGCTGCCATCGACAGTCCTATCCGACCTGCTCATACGATGTAAGCTCGATGCAGCCAATGCGAATGGTCACAGATGTGCAACACGGATGGCAGGAGAGATGCATGTAGCAAAGAGGCGGATGTCGAATGGCACCAGCGCCAGCTTGTGTGCCTCGCTGATGTGTGTTGGGCCTTCCTGCTTCCAGTCACTCCGGGGATGAAAAGGGAGATGCATAGAACGCCAACCTGTTGGTTGGCCATCTGCCAGAGCGGCTGCCAATCACATGCAGGCGAGGGATGGGGAGTGAGGGTCGAAAGGGAGGGGGGGTTCGGCATATGTTTCCCCGTCCTGCCTCGCTCTCTGTCTGCGACGAGGCATCCTCGTTAGAAGGCAGCCGAGCAAGGCGGCTTGGCACCTCGTGACTGGTAATCAGAACACAGCATATCTCACTATCGAGGTGGGTGGTCCTGGTGACCGCCTCCGGCAGGGAGAATACTTGCTCGAGACCAGAGCAGAGCAGCAGGGCCCATGCAGGCGGCCCTTTAGAGGGGAAGGAGACGGTGGCGGGTGTTCGGGGACCGTCCGCGCGCCTCGTACTCCGTACCTGCTCGTACGTGGTAAGAGACGAGTACTAGCTGCCCAACCACAGGCTGTGCTTCCGGAATCTGGCTGCAAGGGCTTGGCGTGGCCCATGGAGGGTGATGAAGGGTGGGTGGGGTGTGAGATGAACGTATACTAAGATACTACAATGGGATCACAGATCCGGCACAAGGTTTTGCAGAATCTCTCTCCTACCCGGAGCCGCTGGGCAGGGCCATTTTACCCTACATGTACAGGAGCTAATCCGCAGAAAGCCGGCCGGTCTTGCGTGTGGTCGCCTCATATTGTGCCACATGGCCGCTGACCGAACCAGACTCTGCCTGCTCTAGGCCCACTCCCCCCTTCTTCCAACCACCATCACGCTCACACGCACACACCCACCACTGGCTGCAGCTATGGGAATGGGTTGATGCATACGGAGTACATGGTATGTACGAATACGATATGATACGTCTCCGTGAGCGGATTTCTGATCCATTCTTTTCAGAGGAGGCAGGCGGGAGACGGATCCTGGACAGGATGGGCCGGCTGGGCCTGATGAGCTGTTCGAGAAGGAACGTTGGTAGGGCGGGGCCGTGAGCGAGCGAGAGAAGGAAAGAGAGGCAGGCGCGAGCGAGAGCTGACATGAGACCAGGATGACAGCCGTATTGGGCTCGCGGGCCCTGAGCCTGCTAGCCTGTGCTGTTGCTCTGCACCATCTCCAGCCAGACAGTTGGGTGCGCTGCGCTGCATTTCTCGGCGTGGTCGAATGCCTAATGCAGCTGCTGGCAAGCTGGACTTCCTCGTTGGGAACAGATCCTCGGCCCCGGCTTTGCTGGTGTTCCTCCGACAGGCTACTATGCATGTTTATTATACATCGCCCTTGTACATACGATCTTTGAGATACAAAGCAGACAGCGCTGAAGAGCCCTGTGCTCTCTGCTCCTTTCGGGTGCAGATCTGGCCCCGACATCTCAGTCGCCCTTTGTCACCTGCTTCTTGCATCTCCGTGGAGCTTGTTGCGCTCCAGCTAGTGGCAGCGCCCTATTTGTGCAAAGTGCTACACGTATCGTACTCGTACGGCGTGCGATACTCGTACGGAGCGGTCTGTGGCATTCAGTGCAGAACGCTGGTTTTATCTTACTACGGAGCAGGATGCCTTTGCCGGGCTTGGCTGGTGGCTCCCTGGTACGGAGTACGAACGAGTTCACATGTCCGTCCTGGCAAGATACGAGTACCCGCCATGGCTACCTTGCCGGCTTACGGTTGCATCCAGCATGTGCGAACACAAGACTCTCCGACCCTTTACGAAGCTACAGAGTAGCGAGCACTCGTACTCCGTATATTGCACACCATCTGTTGCTCTGGCCTTGACGGGAGCGCGTGCTGGCTAGGGGGACGTGCGAGAGAGACAAAAAAAAAAAAAAAAAAAAGGGAGCAGTCGCACATTCGGGGAATGGACGGCCAATCGAAGTTCAGGTGCAGTCCAGATCAGCAATGCGATCCATGCGGCAGACCACGCCTGTCCGTCCGCCTGTCCCTCAGCCGTGATCGATGCTTGGGCCTGGCCCCTAGACGAGATGTTTCATGGCGCAGTCCTGTGGGAGACGAGCTGGCATGTGCGCCTGGGCCCTGAAGAAAGTCGAGACACTGTTGGGCCAAGGACTCTTGTCCTACGACAGGGAGACAAAGACATGGTGATGCCGCATACCGAGACCGGGGAGGAGAGGAGAAAATCCAATGTCTTGTCTCTTTTCGGGGTCGGCGATGTTGTGGAGTCAGACACCAGCCGATTTGGCAAAGAATGATCGGTGAAGGAGGGAGAAGAGGGCCGAACTCGTACATACCCGTAATACATAGTAGGCGGTGGATGCTGCGATGCAGTAGCGCGCACTGTGCGTCGGAAAGTCGATTCTGCGGTGTGCACGAGCAAATGTATCGCAAATGCGGATGCAGATGCAGATGCAGAAGCAGGTGCAGAAGCAGAAAAAAGGCGTCCACAGCTGTGCAGCGCAGCGCGAGCTCCTCGCTGCGGCGGGGCCGTGCTCTTGCCGATGCTGACGCTGACGCTGTAGCTGAAGCTGAAGCTGAAGCGGGAGCCAAAGCTGGAGCTCGGAGCTGGAGCTAGGCAGCTCAGCCCAAGACAGCAGAGTCGAGGAGGACGCGATTTGCATTTGGTCGTGGTGTGTCGTGGTGTTGTCATGTGGTGCGTGCCGCAGCCGACATCCCCTTTCCACCGCGTCCGGCTGCTCAATCCAGGTCCAAGGGTGTGGGAAGGGCCCAGGAAGACACCGTGGGGCGCGTAGCAGCAAGGACGGAGTAGATGATGCTACTCGTCTGCTCGTAGATACTAAGCGACCGACGATATCTTGCTATTCCCTACGGAGTACTCAGCCAGCCGGGCTGTGGAAAAACTCGTATGGCAGGCACGGCCCTTCCCCCCTTCCTTCCTCTAGTCGGCAAATGCGCAATCTATGTGACTTCTTCCTTCCGTTTCCCGCGTGTTTCAAAGAAATCTCCCACCTTTTCATACTCGTACATACCATACCTAGTAGTAGTACGCCGCACACCCCCCCTTTCACCTTCCCCTTTTCGCTCTCCCAATTTTCTCGCCAGCGCCATCCTTTCCGCACTGGGAAAATAAGGGGCGTAATGGGCAGGGAGAGGAAAAGTGACAGATCACACACTAGGACAGAGACAGGCATACGTCTCGTTGGCCTGCTGCTCTGGCTGCGTCGCGCGCGCATCCAGCGTTCCTTCATTTCCCGGCCAGCAGACCCATGGGCCGGTGCAGAGCAAAAGGACGAAAGAAGGCAAACTGCGAATCGGATTCCGATGTATAGAAAAAACCCCCCCCCGGACTCTTTTCGTCACCGCCCAGTTCAGCCCAGCACACGGTGCCTGCAAGGCGTACGGGCTGTGGAAGGCGCACGATCACGCATCTACATCTACATTGTAGCGACAGCCAAATCTTGGCCTCCAAGGCCCATATCCCTCGCCATGGCTCAGGGTAATGGCAAAGAGGGGCCTTGGCCACAGAGGGCCGGTTCTTGGATCTCATCATCTCATAGCCTACGAGTCGCAAGCAAGATGAGATGCTGTCGCCGATCTGCCCTCCCTTTTGAAGAAATAACGGACATTTGACCGTATGTTTTGTGGCCATGGGGCGACAGGGATCACCCTTGTACGATACCCGTTATATGTATGAGGTACGGGCGGCGCACACTCGAGCGCGCTCTAGTGGGCCGAAATGAGGAGCTACATACGGAGTAGTAAGATATGTAGCTTTTTGCCGCATCTTGCATGGCCTTTTGCTGGTCCGAGTGGCTCGCGCCTCCACATGTAAATGAGTGCATGGCCCACGTACTCGTACTCGCACATGCCAGCGCAGAGACCTATGGAGTACGCAGTACGGAGTACTCAGGCGAGAGCAGCTCAACGTCGCAGACACATGGCTAGATGGGCATGCTGTCACCAGGAGTCGTAGCGGCTTGGCTGCGGGTATCTTGCCCGCTGACTTGTAAGCCATCCTTTATTTTCTCTCGTGTTACGGAGTACGAGGCACTGCCATGATTGTGATTGCTATTGTTGTGATTCCTATGATCTGGCCGTGCACGAGCACCAAATATCGTACTGGTCCCGTACACGGTTTTATCCCTATTTTTGTGCATGTTTTTTTCCTCGCGCTCACGCCAGCTACAAGCGTATCTCACGATCTTGCTATTTTCGGCAGAGCCCGTCAACAGGGGGTCAGCGTGCGGCGGCCTCCCCGGCCTGACCGACAGCAGTGACAACCATCCGACTGTCGCAATACATACTCGTAGTACTGGCCCTTCGGTTCAGCAAGTGGGACGCCACCGAAGGAATGGGAGCTAACCCGGTCTGTACTCGTGCCAGCTCTCGTTTCCCTCTGCTCCAGATGACGTCCGCTGGCCGATCTGGAGGACAAAGGAGGGGCGATGGTGGCCAGATGCAAGTGCTGTCGGCCAAGACACTCTTGGCTCTGGCTGCGCTGCCCCTTCCGCCGCTCCGGCCGTGCGACCCTGCGCTTGTGGCCATAGTACATGCTACTATGTATGTGGTAGCCACATCGCGGCCGATGCACATGCAATTCCCAGTGGCCGATCTCGATTGGTTCGATGGAGTCCCGCCAGGCGGTGATGCGGGCGGGGCCAGGACGATCTGAGGCAAGAATTGGCGGACGCGAGAAGCGACCCGTTTGGGCGAGACGGACAGAGTACTCCGTAAGACGCACTCCGGGCTCAGCGGTCGTTGTGCAGCGTGCCGAGCTCATTGGAGCGATGTTCTGTGCTGCTCCCTGACATCCAGCACTGAGCAGCTCCCCGGACGCCCTACAAGGCTAGCCGGAATTCGCTGCAGGAGCAGTGCAGCGCATGATCCAGCTGCAAACCCCGTCACAGATACAGAGGAACAGACGGAGTACTAATCGCTGCCTACCTCGTCTTTCTTCGCCTTGTGTCTCCCTCAGTCTTTCCTCCTTTTCCCGTCGCGCTCTACTATGTATCGCACCGGATCTCTAAAGCCACACCCGCCATTTTACACACACACCCACCAATACCACTACGACGTATGTACGACGTATGTACGACGTATGTAGCATACGATCAGCCCATCACCTCTTGGCCTCCTTCTTCTTTGGGCTGCCGATGAGAGGAAAAATAGGTTGTGGAATGGCTACAAAGTATAATCTCCGCAGCTCCGTCTTTATTGGCCGGACGGCTTGACAGCTCTGACCGATCCCACCGAAGGAAAGGCGAACCCTTCTGTCGGAAAGCGGACAGGGGAAACCAACGCTAAAAAAAATTCACCCGGTGCGGTGCGCCACTTTGAAATCGAACGATTAGCATGGGAAGGTCCCCTTCGCTGTGTACTCCGTATCTCCTTGTATTCAGCGGAGTACGGAGTACATATGTAGTAGTGCTTACGGTCAAAGCACGAGCGCCCCGTGCTAGCGACTGCGAGAGTATCTTGGTAGAGGCGCAAAGAAGCAAAGAAAAGAACCTCTCCGGTAAAAGACTGGGGATGGGACGGCACGCCTGCCCCTTTTGCAAGATCATAGTATATACGATGTTTAGATGGAGCAAGAGAGCACGAGTAACTTCGTATACGAGCGGAGACAGCACAAGCAGGCGGTACGAGCAAGATCCTCACTCATAGCAGCTCATAACAGCGGCGCATCTGGCTCCCACAACCGGATTTTACCAATAGAACACAACCAGTACTTGGGATCGGCAGTGGGCTGGGGTTGGTGCCGTAGCCCGCTAGGCAACCAACGCCCAACGGCGGCAGCAAACGGGAAAAAAACGGTTTCCCCCTTTTCTCCTCTTTGCCTCTTGATCTTGCTCGTTGGCGTCAGTGCCGAAAAAAGGCGGTAAACGGCGGAGCCACGTCTTTAGATGCGTCTAGGACCTCTGGACTCCGTACGTGTCTGCTTGCCGGGAATGTCTCTGTGGGACCGTTTGATGAGCGTGAGATGCTCTCTCTCTGAAATAAGCAATACGACGTACGCAGTCTGGCAGAGCAGCCTGGCAGAGCAGCCTGGCTGATAGGCCCTAATTAGCACCTAACGGGACTAGCTGGAACGTTCGCTGCAGGCAGCGGGAGTACCGACGATGGGCCATCTTACACGCAGAGGGCAAGTACTGACCGGGACCACACGGCACATAATGTCATCGGCGTCGCAAACCAGAAAAAAGAACAGGAAAAAAGAATGGGCAAAAAGACAAAAAACGACAGGTCCCCGAGCCTGCACACGATACTCCATACACACCACGTACTCGTACGCACCCCCTGTCTCTTGCTAGGGGGAAATATGCAGGCTCGCTTCGAATAGTCACACATGATGAGGGAAAGAGAGGAGGCAGTCTTCACCGGCGACTGCTCGAAAGGCCCAAGCAGGACACTGCCGGGTGCGAAGGATTCTAGCACTGCCGTTCCCGTCGCCCCTTTTTACACTACTTTATCTCCCCCCCTCTTTCTCGTTCTTTATCCATTTCTCTCTCTCCGGCCATCCCCTCAGCGGCTGTACGGAATTAAACATCAATGGCAGGAGGGAGCGAGGCAACAGTCGGAACAAAATACGGAATGTACATGCGAGGTACAGACAACTGCACAAAGGATGGAAACCTTTTTGCCGCTGGCAGTGCAAGAAGGTTATGCACAAAGCCCGGATGTGCATACTCCATAGTGCGGTAATAGGATAGGACTGACTAGGATGCAGGGAGTGCGGGACTATCAACACCCCAGATGATCGAAGATGGGCTGCGGGGACAGTTGGTCTGATGAATTCAGAGAGCAGATAATTAACCGACCAGTACACACGACCCAGCGGCTCTATCTGTGTCGCTACCAGGCGTCCGGAAAGCGAGCAAGTGTTGCTCTGGCAGTGGACGTAGTGGCAGCAGCAATAACGCAACTGCATGATCCGGGTTGTGGGTTATCTTTCTCCTTCTCATTCCTTTCTTTTCTGCGAGGTTTTTTCTTCAGTCGCTATTTCGCTTTTTTTTTTCCGGGGGGGTTTGGTTACTCTCACACACCTTCCCCCGTCCTCTTTCCCTCTCCCCTCCTTGCAGGACATCAGGCAATCTCGCGCGATACGAGCCGATTATACAAGATGCAGATCTCACGACGGGCTCGCGCCCGGAGATGCGTATCTCACTTGCTACTAAGATACTACTCCGTACTCTCGTTAGGCGGTCGGGTCCCTCGACCTCTCGCACGCCCTTGCAGCCTAGCTGCCATCGCGATGCAGCCGCCTCCCCGATTGTTTCCTCGTGCTTGTCAGCCTTTGAGGCGGAGTCGCACGATTGGATCTACGATGTCACTCCTGCTCGTACGCGTTAGGGGGGAAAGGGGGTGAGAGGGTGGAGGGGGGGTGGTTTGCGTACTATGTACGGAGTATTATACAGCGCATGTCCATTGTGCCCAGTCCTTACGGGATGTATATTTTGTACTGTATACGTCGTACTAGAGCCAGCACAGCGCTCCAGGAGCACCGGCAACGGTCGTCAGTGCGCTATAGAACCCTGCACAGAGCTAGTACTAGCATGCATGTACAGGTACCTTGTACCCAGCCATCGCGACTACCACACAGTACACAGTACATACGAGCAGACCTCTCAGCGGGGGCAGCTCCTTTTGCGGCCCCATCCCCTCATTGCTGGACAAATCAGGCCTAGGGTGGTGGTAGGACGAGCGTAGTCGTACAGGAAGATTCATGGTAAAATACACACCAAAGACATTGTTTTCTGCAATCCAGTTCTGGCTCTGGCTGCTGCGTTCCGAGTTTCGAGCGCCAGAGGCAGGGCAGCTGTGCTGCAGCGAGCACTCAGATGTACGCTGCATAATAGTACATAGTAGCATGCATCTTACGAGAGAGCGACTCGTACGCGTACGCGTACGACCCACGAGCCATCCGTGTACAGCGCGCTCTTACTCGCAGCAATACGATGCGATGCGATGCGATGCGATGTGATGTGATGTGATGTGATGTGATGTGATGTGATGCGATGCGATGCGATGCGATTCGATCGAGCCGTGGTGCACCTCTCTTGTCTTGCCAACGACCACCGCTTGCAGCCCGTCCACGGAGTCATACTAGAGTAGCAGCCAGTAGCCAGCAACCAGCCAAAAGCCAGCCAGCGCCAGCCGTCGCCCCTTTCCCTGCAGTCCACTTTTCGTACCCTCCGCGAATCTCTGGCACTGGACGGCCCCCCCGGCAAGGCCGCCAAATATTACGAGTAGATCGACGCCAAGTACGGCCCTCAGCTACGCGTGCGTCCCAAGTCTTCCCTATTTCGTAAGGACGAGTTGCGTATCTGACAAAATCGTATGTTTCGGAAGCTGGCTGACCTCACCCCCGCCCACCCCCCCCCCCCTCCCCCCTTCCCATTTTTTAATTATTATTTATCCCCGGTCCCATCGATCTCATAATCCAATCCTGGCTCCCCTAATTTTTAGGCGGGGCGTGTATGAGATGTAGAATACCACTCCAGCAGCGACGGCAACAGAGACCCGGCTTCCTTCCATCACCAGCCGTCACCGCATCGCTCCTTCCTCCCTTGCCTCCCTGCGCTGTTCTGCGTTCTGCGTGCTTCGTACCTCCCCAGTGCCCCATAACCCCCCATGTACACGCGCTTTTCACTCACACTCACACACAGGCACATGCATATGCACACCCCCTCTCGCCATACTCCCCCCCCCCTTCCCAACCCAAAAACTCTGTCCACCCACTTGGCCCGTCCCATGCTCTGCTTGTACTCGCACTCTGTACTTCTACATGTCTCCCATCTTCGTTGCTCCCTGTTCAGCCCCGACGACGGTGCATCGTTCCTCTGGCCGCTTTCTCGCTGGCCTTGCACCCGTTCACTGTCTTCTCCCGATGCATACATACATGACCAGGCCACCGCCCACCACACACCGCGACTTTAAAATCCACATTTTCTCTCTCGGTCAATCATCCATAGCTTGGGTTGTCTTACTTGTTCGACTGGCACACTCTCTTGGAGCATCCATCCGTTCCGTATCGCCTTTCAATCCAGAACACACGCACGACGGCACACCCGAGTATAGCTTATTGCCATAGCCGTGCAGACTCTACAACGACCTAAACTATCACGAGGGCTATACTTGGAAACGGCGAGTTGCATCTACCGACTGCATTTTTCCGCCATTCAGGACAACGGCTCTCTTTCCGGTTGCCGCTTCATCTCGTATCTCTCAAATGTCCGCGGGCTCTCGTCTTGTCGAGTAATCTAGCTGGCCAGGACCATCCTGGAAGCTGCTGCACAACCCTCCCGCTATGGAAGCGGGTGAGTCTGGCACCAGGCAGAGGTGTGTTTGCGATCTTCCCATACGACTAGTCTATCGTCTGCCGTCTGTCATCTGCCTTTAATGCATATAATCCAGAGGCCAGATGCGGAGTCCGTGCCCAATTTCTCGATCTTCTTGATCTCTGTCTCTCCCCATACACCCTCACCCCCCCTCCCAAGCTTTCTTCACCTCGTATGCTCTTTTCGCTTCCTCTAACATAACCTTCTCGTTTCTGCCACTAGCTCTTATACCACTGATCGCCCCGATCTTCAGAGAGACTACAACACCAGAACGTCCTTTCATCGTGAGCTTGACTCGGCCTCCTCTAACATGGCGACTGCGACTCTCATCAGTCCCAACACTCCTTACTACCCTCACCATCCGACATCTTTTCCCAGTGGTGGCTATCATGGTGGCCATTCACAGAATCATGGCCCGTCCAGCATGATATCTCCTGTCGAGTCTCGCCGGACACCTGACGATCATGAACCTCCACATCGCCAATCTCTCCCCTCAATACAAGAGGTCATTGGCAAAGGACCTTCCGGTTCGTATTCATCGTCTGCGCAGCCGCCACCACCGACGAGCATCCCTCAGCAGAGTTTGCCTTCTCCTTTCTCAACCAATGTTCCGGCGCGACCCTTTCCGTCAGAACCCATCCTAGACCGGCAACCGTCTCCTCGTATCCTCCACCGTACCGGATCCTCCTCATCTCTCTACGGCGCACGGCCCGATACGTTCCCAAACTCGATGAGATCACACTTCCCCGGGCGCAGTTTGGTTGGAGCACATCCGTCGCCACCACCGAACATTGACACTCAGCCGGGACTGTCGCCAGTGTCCCAACAGCATCACCAGCTGCAGCAAGGCCAGCAACTGCCTCAGCCGATGCACCCCCACAATCACCAGTATCAGTATCCTCCACAACGAGAACGAGACCCAAAGCCAAAGCATGACGACGGTCCATCACACCTAGGCGCATACTCCCACGCCTCAAGCCAAAACCCGTACGCTTCTCAGCAACAACAGCAGCAACAGCCGCCACCACAGCAGCAGCAGCAGCTCCCTCTGCCCTCTGCACAGACACCTGTCTCTGGCTCTTACCCCGTGTCGCCGCGGCATGCTGGTCCGCGTTCTCTCCCATCACCCTTCGAGCCACAACAGCCGCACTGCCTCGCCGATGGTTCGCCGGAATTCAGCCGAAATCGCACCAGTCGCTACGACCAAACTGTGAACAGGCACTTCGAGGCTTGGAGCTACGCCGAGTATCTCTCCAAGGTAGGTTTCGATCTGTGCCTAGCCAATCTACTTTTCTGAAGCCTAACCCCGTTCTAGATCGGGACCAATTCCAGAACCATTTACAACTTCGCCGAAGCCTTCGGTAGCATCGCAAGGGAAGAGCACAGTCCACAGCCAATGCCTGGACGCATGCCGAGCGACCGGGAGGTTTGCGACATGATCAACAACGCCGAATGGCTGAAGACCATGCTTGAGCACCTTCGCAGCATTGTGCAGCAGACAGTTGTCAACGACAGGGGCTCGAACAACAGCGTTAGACAGAAGACCCAAAGCTTTGACGATTCGGATACGCCGATATATGGCGATCCATCGGGAAAGCCTTACAACACATTGAACGAGGTGAAAAAAAGACGCGGAGTATGTGTTTCCCCTGCCATCCAACACTGCTCTCCGGCAGCCGCCAGTCCAGCCAGAGCTAACGTTGTTCAACAGCGTGCCGCCCCACCAGGACGATGCCACAGTTGCAACCGCATTGACACTCCAGAATGGCGACGGGGACCCGACGGCGCTCGCCCACCCTGTGCAACGCCTGTGGTCTTCACTACGCTAAACTGGAACGCAAGAAGCAGTTGGAGAGCCGAGCACATCGTCCCGGCGAGCGCCACTGAAGCATCCTTGGATTTTCTGAACGTGATTGTCGTCAGAAAACGATCAGAACCAGATACTTTTGAACAAGATACGTATCACTTCAGCAATGGCAGAATAAAATCTGGCGACACTTCACCGGCTTGAAGACAATTTACCAGACCGGCCACCATCATGCGGTGTCATGGTCTGCAGCCTGAGTTTGGCCTTCTGGCATTTGTCCAGATGAGCATGCGATCATGGACTCGGACTTTGGATTTGTATTGTGATCGTATCTGTACCTTGGTTGTGAGGAGCTGATGCCTCACCGTCCTCTCGCATTGACAACGGCAGCGTGTATATACCCATCTTATATTTGTTTTTGCTGTTTTGGGAAGGTCTCGTTGGGAAGCGGTGTTTGGAAATGTGGTTTGTAGTCTGTGGTCTGGTTTTCTTTCGGTCTGGCTTTGCTTGTCCACATAATTGATTTGAGCACAATGTCCTCACGGCAGGGGATGGGGATGTTCAGTAGACAGTCAACCCAAGGCACATGTTTCAAATAATTACGTTAAAAAGGAAAAACGAAAAGGATATATGTTCATGAGCATTCACGGATCAGGGCCAAGTGCTAGTTGTGATTCTTTACACTGCGGTCTCTTGCTCATTGCCACCAAGATATTGGGCACACGAGTATGCCTAATCTTCAGCTTGCTGCCCAATATCAGAAGGACGGCGTTGCCTTGTTTTGTAGCAATGCGAGGGTTTGGCAATATACATGTGGAAGTGAGGCCTTTAAAGACCAACAACCATGCAAATTAGCGACGTCGACGATCTATCGTAGTCAGGCCAAGCCATGCCAATCCAACTGCAAATTCACGTATTATAATCTCAACTCACAAGCCAACAAAGTCCCTAAAAAGCACATGACAGACACGAAGCCAAACGGCAAACAAAACGTAAACGGGCTTTATTACGGAGTACATATTTGAGGGAACGAGCCGCCAAAGCAGCAACAATGAATTAATTAAAATACATGCGCTGGAACAAGCGTATGTGCACATCCGGTGGAGAACTTTCCAGTGTAACGAATGCAGCAGATGCTGCTCTCACCGACTTTGCGTTGCATCCAACATTTGTGGCATCATCAGCTCACAGAATGAGCGCTCCACAAAGAGAGAAAAAGAAGACAACAGCCGACACGATAAGCGGGCTCTTGTCCATGGGGCCGATCAGTGTGGAGCCGGCACTCTTCTTGCTGCTTGTAGCAGAAGCTGTAGAGGAGCCCGAGCCGGGGGAGGCATAGCCAGTGCTTGTACCCTGACCGTTCTGGGAGCCAGATCCCGTCAGGCCAGGGCCAGTACCAGCACCGGACTTCATGTAGGCCTCAGCCCCGGCAGGAATCGCAGGGAGGAGAGTGCTGTCGACGAGCCAGTTGGTATCCTTGGTGGGGCAGGCAGCGGTGTTTGTCGTGGACGTGAAGCCGCCATCGCCAGTCGGTGCAGGGTTCTTGCTGAGGGCGCTAGCAAACTTGGTGAACTCGGGAAGCTCGCTGACGCTGGTGCCGCTGATGGAGGCAATGCCAAATTTGTTTGCCTCAAGGGCATACTCGTACAAGAGGCCACCAGAGTAGACTGACGTCATTTCCGAGTTCATCAGGGCGGAAATTTCGCCGAAGTCACGGCCGTTGGTTATGCAGCCGTACTCAGAAAGGAAGATGGGAAGGCCGTATCCCGTGAAGTTCTTAACCTTCTGGTCCCAGCCAGAAGTGGCAAAGTTGGTATTGCACCAAGAGTAATCGTTCTAGACAATGTAAGCTTTCTGCGGAAAGCAGCGTGGAACAGGTGGGTGGTCATCCTACAAAGGCAAAAAAGTCGCTGCGCTCGTCGTCTGTGCCGCAGTTCATGTAGTCAGCCAGCTGCAAACGGTTGGTGGAGACGTCGGCAGCAGAGTAGCCGACGGGGATGCTGCGATAGCCGCGGTTCTTGATGTACTGGCGCATGTCACGGGTGACAGCCTTGACGTACGGGGCCGAAAGGGTGGATTCGGCGGTGGAGTTAATAACCTCGTTGCCGGAAAAGAAAGCGAGCGTGTTTGTGTAGTTGGCAAAAGCATCAACCGTAGCGAACACACTCTGGAGATACTCAGAGTTGTAAGAAGGAGCCGGTGTGTCACGGTTGATGGAGTAGAGCGGGTTGTTGGCATCGAGAATGACGTAAATGCCAGCATCGGCGAGAGCGTTCATGCAGTCGTCGTGGTTCTTGGAGTTGTCGGTGATGTACACCCGGACAGTGTTGACGCCCAGCTTCTTGAACTCTGTGATGTCTCGGTTGCAGACAGACGAATCGGCGAGGGGGTCAGCCATTTCAGACGAGCCACCCGGCTGGTAGTCTATACCGCGGACATAGAAGCGTGTGCTGCCGGCCCAGAATGCTTTAAAAATCGAGATTAGCGAAGGGTTTCCAAAGATCAGACATTCAATGGCTTACCATTGCCGGATGCTGTTACGGCAGGGACAGAGTTGGCACGCTTGGGCAGCTCGGGAACGGTCTTGGATGGCGAGGCGCGGGTAAGCGAGGCGGCGGCCAGCAACGTGACCAAGGTAGGAAGAGAAGCTGAAAACATGATGGTGGTAGTAAAGCAATGTAAACGCTGTTCCAATGAGAGAGAAGAACGAATGTAGAAGCGTGTTGAATGGTGGACTAAGAGCAAGAAAGAGGCACTCCACGATCAAAAGTAACGATTGAATTGGCGAGAGGCGTGAGCGAGAGACTTTGAAAGCTTGAAAATGGAAGGATGAACAGGAGAAAGACAAGTGTGAGAGAGCAGATAATAACGACCAAGAATACGAATCAGGAGAGGGAAGGTAGGGATGAACAACACATCAAGGGAATGCCAGGAACACCCTTATTTTAAAGTGGACCGGCGCGAAGGCTATTTTCATGCTCACGTCTAGTACGAGTTGTGTACGAGCTGTATACGAGCAAAGGTACGGAGTACGCAGTACAATTTGCTTTGTTTGGCTGTTGGACGGCACAGTGTCTTCTGAGACTATGCATCAACGCACGGCGTGCTTGGATGGAAAAGGCAAGTACGGATGTCCGACAGGCTTGGTTTTTCTCGGCTGCAACTTTGCAGTGCTCCCATTTGTTCCAGTCTTTTTAAGCCGAGCAGGTTTTTGGGGGGTTAAGCCGGTGACAATGCTGGCTTATACTCATGCGTGAAATACTTGTGGAATTCTCTCTGTGGCGCAGCGCGCTGGTGCTATTGTGATGTGCAGCCGGACAGCAGGTGCAAAAGGAACAAGTGAGACTGGGGAGGACCGCCAATCAGCCGACCTCGGTGTCGAAACTGATGTGTGCCTTGATTAGACCCTGGTTTGCCACAGGTCAGCGACCCATTTATTATTGTTACGGAGTACATGCTAAGATGTAGTGGGAAAGTCTGGTGGACTTCACTACCCAGTAGTCCATGTGGGTCTAGTACCTTAACACCACCGCCTTGCACTTACGGCTGAAGCGGCTGAATGGTCCAATTGAGGCAACCGCCTGCGGCCACGCTCCATCCTGTCTGCTTTGTGCGCTCCTTCTTCATTTACGGAGTAGAGGAGCCCTGCAATAGTCTCACTGTTGAGAAGCAGGGGCAAGTATTCGCCCGCTATCAGCTGTCCCGTTTCGCCATTGCATTAAGGACAGCGCAGTAAGCCTAGCGGCCTGACTAGCGACTTGCCTAACAGCTGACAGAATGTCTAGTGATTTACCTAACGGCTTTCTTGACGACCTGCTTGACGAGGCTGGCATTAAGCGCCCAGATTTTCAGCTGCTAAACCCCTTCCGGCCTTTGGGAAGGCTGCTCGACTTTGGGATGCATCTAGATCTAGAGCTATATCCCGCGACCATCGGTCTTGAGTGGCTTGCTTAGGGGCGGCCAAAGTCAAAGAAGCCCGGGTATCGAAGGAAGAGGACTTCCAAGCGCCGACGATTCAGCCGCTGTCAGTATGACGACGTGTCACTGGCCGGATTGGATAGTCTTGTCGGCTCCTGGCTCCTGGCGATACCATCATACAAGATATTGCAAGTCTGGAGCCAGCAGGTCCGGACTTGGTCTGTGGGCCAAATGAAGAGGTTGATTTTGGAACTATAAAGCAGCATTACGGGATCGGAAATTCAAGTGATGCCTCTGCAGTCACCTTCGCACCCGGTTCTTCCTGCTCATCAGCCTCCAGCTTTCTACCTTCGTTTCTATTGACCGGCCCGATGTTCATCCTACAACATACGCTCGCTACCAAAACCACTGCTGTACCCATTGTGGTGCCTGTGCCTGTGCCTGTGACGAAGAGATCGAAAGGTTGGCCTCTTGTCCTTTGCTTTCTTCTGATATGTATCCTCTCCTCTCTCTTATACGCCAGTCTTGCCGGAAGTTACTTGAGTGGTAATCTCCCCAATCTCATCCAGGAGTATCGATCACTCGTCCAGGTTTTTGTTCATCTGGTCGCGACTTTACTATCCACGGGACAGCTTTGGATAATCGCCGAGATGATCCGGTCCTGGACGAACCTGAGCCTGCAAACGGAAGCCATCGATGTCGACAGTCTTCAAGTCCTGGCAGCGTTCGTCAACCAGTCACTCGACATCAACTTGCCTTGGTATGCCCTTTTTTTATTGACTATATATCTTGTGTGTCTTCAAGGATTCTCTACCTTGTGGGTGGCAACCATCACTCCGGTCGTAACGACGGCAAATACCACCGGCTTCTTTCCCATTCCGAACTACAGTCAGTCAACGGCTCCATATTGGGGCGGCTTGTGTCCGCCAAAATGGTCCTGTCCAGGTCTTGAAGGCACTACGACGGATATGGGGACGTTTTCCTATATAACGTGGAAATGTAAGTTGACCAGCCTCGTGAAACGTCAAGAGTATTGAGTCCATCTGACGTTGGGATCATGCTTCTTTAGACAAGGTTGGTCTGTTGGCGAACTCTGTCAACCACGCCTCAAGTCGGAACAGTTCTATGCCTCCCCAGTATCCCAAGCTGGACAACACTGGCTTCGTATTCAACGGCCGGTCCTATGGCGTTGCCTCGACTGTTGGCCTTGCATCCCTGACCCAACAAGATGCGCAGGGCGAGGTTGCCGTACAGGGTTTCTCATTCCACGAATATGGCTACTTGTCCAATGTGTTCTGTACCTACAACAGAAAGAGCAAGCTCTCGCTCGAGGTATTGAACCAGGTTACGGTTTCAGGGGGAGACGTATCGCCACCAGACGTTGTCTGGGCTACCGGATCGCTGCCGACCGGCCACTGGCAAGGGTTCCCTTTCTGGGGGGTTGGCACTGACACCATGGTCGCTCTGGCTGCCGTGGGAAACAACGACACGGACCAGTTTGCGTACGGGTTTGTGGCCGGGAATTTCTACGCCGTCCTGAACCAGGCCCAGTGTGCCGTCACCTTCACGCCGACCCTCTTCCACGTGGATGTCGATATGGGGTCCAAAAACATCACTGTCACCCCGGAGATGGCCGGAAGCCGGCCAGTTGTCGACATAGATCCCAGTAGGGCCCTCACCAACGTTTCCTTCCTTGGGATAAGCTACATGTCCGCCACGCTCACCACACTGTACACGTCCGTTTTCGGGGATGGGTTTGTCCAGAACATCGACAACGTCCGGGCCCGGGAAAACCATACGACCAACACGTCGGCAGATGCTCTCGCGAGCATGTCGGAGGGCCTTGAGCTGCTCCTCGACCAGTTCCTCGGCAGCACGGGGGCCGCGCAGCTGATGCTCTGTGGCGACACGCAGAGCGTAGAGGCCAATGTGGCCATTCAAGTTGTCAAGCTCGGCGGTCTGACCTGGGTGATCCTCTCACTGGCTGCCACCTCGCTGATTGCCATCGGGGTGGTTGCGGCAGCACTGTGCACAAGGTATTGGAGAGGGCTGACGGTGTATAATATTTTTGATCTGAAGTCGGCCATCCTAGGCGCCACGACCGACAAAGCAACCAGGCATTGGAACGGCAATGCTAAGAAGCGATGTAGTGTCAAGGTGGAAGGATTGAGCAACAGGCCTATGGAGGCTCTGCTCGCAAACTATTCGCAAAGCACAACTTTCACGTAGAGTCTCCAGGGTGCTTGATACGAACCGGGTTCTAGTCTTGCTTTTGCAAGTCATTAGACATGTAAGATACTCTGTAGCCTGTGTAGAATACAAAGTACACACGACCTGTGCCCCGCTTTTCGTACGGCTGTCATTCCGGGCTTTCGCCAATTCGGCTTAGGCTGGTGACACTTTCCATAGCGCTTCGGCAGCGCGCAGGCACTGGGATACGCCGGAGACCACTAGTGCCTTGGGGGTGGGGTACTGTTCGCTTTCTTCTTTCTGGGGCTCTCGCTGGCGCGGGCCAAAAAAGCCAAAAATAGACCATGTCTACTACATAGGTACAAAAGCATCTTTGACTGCGCTCCAAATATACATGTACATCAAGGCAATTCTGTCGGGCCACTGACGTGCTCGGGAATCGGTGGACGATACAGGGGACGGCCCCGAGCTGTAGCCGATTGCGAGACATGGCATGTCTGCTGGCTCGAAGCCGAAGGGAGAACAGGAGTGGGAACAAAGGGCAGAGGAGGCAGACCTCGGCATGCCGGCTCCTCCTAGATAGCTGGCTGCACATAACTCGCCGGGACGCTCTTTGTCAGGCCACCTTTCTCCACCTCGGCCCAGCCGTCGCCCGGGTCTTCCTTTACCAGCACGAAGCGCTCGCCTTCTTCCATGCTATGTTCTGCGTCGCTCTGGGCTGTGTACGCATACAATGCCTCCACGTACTTGAGCTTCTTGGCTCCTCGTCGCGGCGCCACTGCTGGCCCCTTCTTCTTTGATGCTCCGCCCCCGACTGTGCTGATTGAGGAGCCGCTGTTCGAATACGCCGATGTTGGCCTCGTCGACTGGCCCGCGTTTTGCGCTGTAGCAGGCGCAGCTTCGACGTAGGATGCCGGCACTAGTCCTTCTTTGTAGCCCGCGCGAACCTTGACCCATCCAGAGCCACCTGCTTTCTCGTTAGTGATGAGCCGGAAAGTGTCGGACCACTTGCTTGATACTTACTGTCTGGCTCGAGAATGACCACTTCACGCCCCTCCGGAACAGAGAGCTCTCCGTCGCCACTGGCCTCAAACGAGTACAGCATCCGGCCCTTTGCCGTCTCGGCACTCGGTCCTCCGCCTGGGCTGCTGCCGGGCAGCTCGGTGATGTAAGCTGCCGGTGGAGGAGCCAGAATTCGCGATTTCCGCGTAGTTACGCTCGACGATGAGACCCGTGGGCTTGTCGCCATCTCGACGGCCGGTGGCGCAGCCTCCTCTCCGGCTGTAGGCGATCGTGCGCCTGATATGGACCGATGTGCACTTGTCGCGTAGCCCGAGCTCAGCGAGGTCATCGTGTTGGACCGGCTGAGGTTGGGCAGGTCTGAAACGCTGTCCGATGCGCTTCCGCCGCCGCTGACTCCGGGTTTGAGCAGAGCGTTGGCTGCCTCCTGCCTTTCCTGCTTCAGCTTCTTCCGCTCCTCTTTGTTCTGCTCGCCGGGACACTCGGCCGGCACTTTCATCTCGCACTTGCTGTGGCACGTGTAGCCGCAGTCGCGACAGTCGAACCCCTTCGCAGACAGCCCCCATATACGCTCGCCGCAAAGATCGCAGTTTGTCGGGATCTTGAACGTCTGCGACTTGAAGTTGTGGCTCCGTGCGCCCAGCGTAACGTCTCCTACCGCTGTCGTGATGGTTGCCGTTTCCACCTCTGCCGTGATGCGCTTGCGCTCTACCTGATGCAGCTCTTCCTGCAGCGCAAACATCTGGCTGACCGTGGCCACCTCGTCTTTCTTCTCCGTACCCTCGCGCACTCTTTGTTTCAGCCGCTTTACTGCTTCCACATCTCGGCGCTTTGTGTCCACCTCTCGGCGCAGGTCGCTGAGCTGACCCTTGGACTTGTTGAGCATGTTACGGAGGAAGATCTTGGCGTTGTCGTCTACCACCATCGCATCGTCATCGTGCCAGACCGGGCTTGGCTCAAACACCTTGTCGGCCGGCTCTGCCCAATCGGGGGCATTGTGGCGCATGTACATCATCGAGTCGAGCTGTGGTAGGTTCCGCGGTATCTCCTGTGTCTGGTGGTCGATCAAGGCGACGCTTTGGCGGAGCAGATTCGCCTCGAGCTCCGACGCAAGTGTCCAGATGCCGTTGAGCCGTATGGTCCGAAACTCGGACAGGTCCTGGAGCGAGTCGAGTAGCTCCGGCACGTATTCCTGATAGTACCGCTCCTTCTGCTTGTTTGTCACGTTGATGGCAATCAGATACGTGTTCTTGACGTTGTTCATCTCGACGAGCTGCTGTTGGTAGGCCACCATGGCCTTGGCCTGACCAAACCCTGTCTCTGTCTTTTTGCGCTTGCCCTCCACTTCCTGACAGACCGCATCGTATTTCGTCTTGACCTTGCGCAGTTCCGCATACGACACGTCTCGCTCCTTTTCGATCTTGTCGGCATAGTCGGCATGTCTCTTGCGTAGCTCCTCGAACCGCGTGGCCAATGCCTGCAACGGCTGTGCGACTTGGCCCACGAGGTCGTTTCCGAAGCGGTCGTGTTCATCCGCCCGGGATTCCAGCGTCGTGAGCTGCGTTGTCCATGTTGTCAGAGAAGCACTGTCATGGGGAGCACATGTTAGCATGTCCATCCTTGCAGCAGACAAGTCCGATAAATCCCTCGCCTTTCCAGAGAGCCAGGCGTCATCGACGGCGTTTCGCCGACACTGAGCACCGCCGACTTTTTTGTCTTCTTCTCAAAGTACTTCTTTGCCAGAGCCTTGAGCTTCGCACTGTACTCCTTTTCGATAACGCTTCGCTCGCGGTAGAACTGCTGTATGTCGTCTAGCCAGGCGATGCCGTTGGAGACCCAGGCATTGGCGGGTTTGAAGCCATCCTGAGGGAGATGCGGTTAGGTTGGAAAGGCAAGAGGTGGAGGCGCTGCTGCCAGTGTATGTCCTACCTTCAATTCCGAGCCGAAAGTCGGCGGATTCTCCATGGCGGACAATTCCCGGTGGATGTCTTTCTCCGCGCCCACACAAGCAGTCAAGATCAGCGGGGTCTATGTACAGTCGACATGCAAGGCAGCCAGCGGAGAAAACGCGCCAGAATGAGTCTTCCGATCAGGGTGAGGGAAAAGAGTGTGTATTTGTGGTGGATGCTCACCGAGGACTGGGAATAGAGGTCAGCGGGGATAGGTGTCCCTTTTTAGAAGGATACTAGCCCCTCTAAATCACATAGCCCCAGCCACGATGGATCAACACTACAGAAATGAAGCAGGAGCCGGGCCCCGAAAGTATGGGAGTTCCGGAACGATCAGCAGAAGCCGATGACAACAGGGAAGAAATGACAGGAAGACGGGACGGCTATTTCGCGACTACATGCGCGATTAGGCAGCATAACATATTTAGGGAAGCAGGCTGCCTTGTACTGCCTGTAGACACCGCCTTCTCACGTGCCCCTGACAGCTAAAGCTCGAGGGAGAAAGCTCCAATACCCCACCATCGATTACAGGCTGTGCGCCCATGAATTTTCCTGTTTTCATTATTGACCGTTTATGCTTCTGGTACCTTCTAGTAAACCAGCAGCTCCGTTCGAAACAGCAGCTGGGAAATCGTTGAGTTTCTCTTGTCCGAGGAAACTCCGGTCTGCGAATCTACATCCCCACCATCCTCTACATCGACCCCTGCAACCATGGCCGACCTCGCAAGCCGGATCACTCGACCAGATGCGGCCGCGTCGGCTGACAATGGTGCTGCGAACGATACCAAGCCTCCTGTCGAAGACGACGGCACCGGTCTTCTGGAGTCGAAATACGAGGTTGAGGTCAAGCTGAGTGACCTGCAGGGCGACTCTGACAACCCTCTTTCTTCAGTCTCTTCGTTCGAGGAGCTCGGCCTGTTCGTAATTGTGGTTCCTCCTTCTTGCCAAGCTCTCCGCGCTGACATGTTGCAATTGACAGGAAACCGTCGATTATCGAAGGTCTTCGCAGCCTGAGCTTCATCAAGCCGTCCAAGATTCAGGAGCGGGCCCTGCCGCTGATGCTGTCTGACCCCCCCCGGAACATGATTGCGCAGTCCCAGTCCGGCACTGGAAAGACTGCTGCCTTTGTCGTCACGGTTCTTTCTCGGGTGGACTTTTCCATTCCGCATACGCCGCAGGCGCTCGTTCTTGCTCCCAGCCGCGAGCTTGCCCGCCAGATCGAATCGGTCATCAACTCCATCGGCCAGTTCTGTGAAGGCCTGCAGGTGGCGGCCGCCATCCCAGGTGTCATCGGCCGGGGAAGTGCCGTTCAGGCTAACGTTGTTGTGGGCACCCCCGGAACGGTGATGGATCTGATGCGGCGCAGGCAGCTCGACCCTGCCGGCCTGAAGGTTCTCGTTATCGACGAGGCCGACAACATGCTCGACCAGCAGGGACTCGGCGAGCAGTGTGTCCGGGTGAAGGAGTAGGTCACAACGGCCGTGTGCTTCTCCAATTCTCTTACGGATGCTAATATTCTGATGTCGCACGCAGGAAGCTTCCAAAGACCATCCAAGTGCTGCTCTTCTCTGCTACCTTCCCGGAGAAGGTGATGCGATATGCTGAGAAGTTTGCGTCCAACGCCAACCAGATGAGACTACGCCAGCAGGAATTGACTATCAAGGGCATTTCGCAAATGTACATGGATTGCCCCTCCGAGAACGACAAGTACGAGATCCTCTGCAAGCTGTACGGTCTTATGACCATCGGATCGTCGGTTATCTTTGTCAAGGTTGGTGCCCCAGTTGACGGCCTCTCCGATGAGTATTGCAAGAATTCCAGCTGATCATACAACTTTCTCAAGACCCGCAACAGCGCGACTGAGATCCAGCGGCGGATGGAGGCAGACGGGCACCAAGTCGCAGCCCTCCACGGCGCATACGAGGGAGAAGCTCGCGACGTGCTTTTGAACGACTTCCGGTCCGGAAAGTACAAGGTTCTCATCACGACCAATGTGCTAGCCCGTGGCATTGACGTGTCCAGCGTCTCGATGGTAATCAACTACGACATTCCGATGAAGGGCGTCGGAGACCGCGAGCCAGATGCCGAGACATACCTCCACCGCATTGGCCGGACCGGCAGATTCGGACGTGTGGGTGTGAGCATCAGCTTCGTATACGACAAGAAGAGCTTCAACGCGCTTGCCGAGATCGCGAACCATTACAGCATCGATCTCATCCAGCTGGACCCCGACGACCCGGACGCAACTGAGAAGAAGGTGCGGGAGATCTTGATGTCGTCCCGGGCGCAGCCGAATTATGCGCCGACGGCTCTTCCGAGCTCATGGTATGTTTCTGCTGTGCAGCAGTCTCTCCCCTGCTGCTTTCGACGTTTCATCTCATGGCTAACAATAACGCAGAGAGGCCAGGCAGCCCGGTCGGTCAGGAATTGTTTGGGGCAAGGAGAATTGGTGTTATGTGAAAAAAGATAGATACCAGGGACCGCAATGAGGAAAAGAAGACACTCGACGTGGCAGAGCACGAGATACAGCACAACGATCAAGTAATTTACCATGCGGCTTGATTTACGCCGTGATTTTAGCCAACTACTATTAAGCGACGTCACATGTTCCTGCAGGAGTGCAATGGCGGCAATTGACTGGGCGCGTACTCCGTAGAAAGGGGCCAACTGGTTTGGTTTGGCGCCCAGCATTTGCAACCAGGGGGTGGAATTTTATTGACTCGGCGTCTCGCCTTCCGACTCGACCACTGGTAAATGACCGATTCGATTGCTGACATCCGCAACGGACCCGGACGCGGCCAATTCTCTGGCTGTCCCGTATTCCCACCCGTTTCGATGAGGAAATACCGCAGACTGGCTGCCTCATCGAAGCGGAGACGGGCTTCTGCAGCCAATGATGCGACTGCATGATCCGAGTGGCGAGATGGGCAAGGCTTCGATCTGACAAGAACAGGATCCCTGCCACGATGGTCTCTCGAGTTGCTGTCGGTATATGGCCGACAGCGGCTAACGAATGGCTAAGCGGCTTCGCCAGCGAGAGAGAGGCTCCGTAAAAAGAAATGCGTGCAGAGAGACAAAACGGGAAGGAGGCCCGGGGAAGAAGGCGACAGGAAGGCTGAACTGGTCTAGTGCTCTTTGGCTCGCGCTTCGCTTCTCATAGCTTTTCTCTTTATCTTATTTTATTTTCATCTTCTAGGCTTCAGTTATTGTTGCATGTCTTAGTATTGCTTTTATTTGCATTTATTTCTTTTTATTTCCTCTTTACCCTCGTCTTAGGGCAGCAGACGTTGAAATGCCGGCAGTCTAGTGCCTTCCAAGAGAAGACGAAGACACTTGGCCGGGCCCAGCTCTGCTTGCAGCATTCTTTCCCAGATGTCCCTCAATCTAGCCACGAAGGCGATCCTGTTGCTTACCGTGCCGCTCTTCTCGACCTCTTATCCACAACACGCAAGTGCCAGCACCATCGACCTGCCCAGCGATGTGGCCGACCTCATTCCGGCGTGTGTCACGGGCTGCCTCTCCTCCTTTGTGAAGGAGAACTTTGCCAACAGCAGCTGCGGTGACCAGCCGACGCTGCAGTGTCTGTGTGCACATACCGGGGAGAATGGCTACACCGTTGGAGAGGGCGCCCTTGCCTGTGTTGCCATCGAAGACAGGAGCGGCTACTGCAGTGGTGAAAATGCAACCGGTAAGCATGTCGCGACGTCCAGCAGCCAAACAGAAAATGAACTGTACTCATTGTGTCGTGCAATATTAGCCAGCGTTTCCACAAGAGCATACAACTTGTGCTCAGGACAGATCAGTGCTGCTCTAAAAACCCACTCAACCCTGATCGCAACTCTGGTTGTTCAAACAACTGCCACAGCATCGGCCTCGACCACATTTTCACTGTCGGCACTGTCGAGGTCATCTACAGCTCGGGAGACAGCCACTACGCTGATCACTGCTTCTCCTACGGAACCGTTTACCACATCGCCGACAGCATTGATCACGGCATCATCCACCATATCCAACACAGCATCAAGTGCAACAGGGACGCCTACCAGCTCTCAGAAAAAAAGCCTTAGCACAGCAGCAATCATAGGAATATCGATTGGGGCGACAGCTGCATTCATCCTTCTTGCCGGCTTATATTTGCTCGCCCGCAGAACGCGTCGTCGTCGTCTCGAAGGAGCTGAGCCTCCCGTTGACATCGGCTTTCTCGAGGCGCGGGAAGCGTCTGGTCCCAAGCGCCGTCGTGATACCCACCCACACGAGCTGGAGATCTCGCTGCCGCTCAATCTGGATCCACGGGGACTAGGACTGGCAGGCCAGATAGCAGCCCAAAGAGACGGCGGCCGATTCGAGAATGCCAGACATCCGCCAGCACCTACACAGGAAGCGAGCAGCCCGCGGCCACAGTCAGGACCACAGTCATGGCGCGGTGTCGCTTCTCCGCAAGCCCAGGCCATGGCTGTGCGCTCCGAAAGCACAAACGTGAGGAGCCAGTATCAGCAGCCGGTGACACTGCTGCAACGGGCTCTGCCACCGTCTCAGGAGCGAGAGAGCGTCATCACCGAGTTTGCCGAGGACGGAGAGCCTGAAAGCGCAATTGATCCGATGCCGGCGAGGCGGAGCGAGCTTTTCTGGTCACGCCGATCCTCTCCACAGACAAGGTCGGTTGTATCTGGCATGCTGGACGGCTATGGTTCCGGGCGGACCAGTGAGGACCGGCTTCAATCCAGGAGAGCAGTCCCTAGCTATGCCAACAGCACTCGGGCTGGCAGTTTGAATGTCCAGAACCCATTTTCTGATACAAATCGCCGACCTCCTCGGCAGGCGAGACAGCAATACCAGTCTAGGCCTGTCCTACAACCTCAGGATTATCTGGAGCGGAGCCGGAACAATATCTACAATGTCCAGAATATGCCGATGCAGTATCCGTCGGCGTACTACAACAGACAGAGACCTGGCTTGGTTCCCGAAGGAGCTTACCGGCAGCCAGGGGACCACAGAACAAGGTGGCAGCTCTCTGATGGCCCGACTATGGAGGAGCGCAATCCAGCCGGCTTTCACAACAGCCCCTTGGTGAACATGGCGCCATGGCCAAGTCCTGCGCCAGTCCCTCCTCTGAAAGTTCCCAGAAGGGCAAGCCAACAGATGCGACGATAGAACCTTGGGGACTATGGGGAGCCGTGTGCCTTTTGTGCGTGCGCTAATAGAATATCCGGACCAGCATGACGGCTATGTGAAGATATGATGTGGGGGCTTACCGGAAAGGGTTATTTTATCAAGTTCATCCATTCCCTGTATTTTAGATTTCGTCTTCTTTTTACTTCTTCATCTTACTGTCTTACTATTTGCGCGAAACAAAACTTGCTAATTTCTGGTTAAGAGATGGGCATTCAGCCTGAAAAAGGCTTTCATATGTATAAAATATCTTTGATTGCTTAAGAGCCATAGCCTAGATCATGGCCAGTCACAGCTGGAAGCAGTCAGTGCCGCCAACCTCTCCAAATACGTCTGATCAACCTGGTCAAATCCATTCAGGACGGCGCAGTCGATGTCAATAATGGCAACTAGCTTTGTCTCGGATGCTCCCCCTATTCCATTCTCCACCGTTGCTATCACCGGGACCACAATCTCGCTGCGGCTTTCGCTATCACAGGCTATGTGACCCGGGAAGGCGTCCACGTCGTCGACCCTTACGGTCTGTAACTGCTTTGCCGCGGCTCCACAAACCCCGCGACCTATTGGGATTGTCTGGCATGCGACTTTTCCCTGGAACGGACCCAGTATGAGCTGGTCTTTCTTGAGGGTATCGACAGTGTAGAAGCCTTTGGCATTGCGGGGTGAGCGGGACGCAGAGAATGCAGCACGAGAATACGACAGAAGCAGCTTACCAGCCCAGTTCACCTCATTGCTTGGCGCTTCAAGAGACTTAAAAGCGTGCCAGAGGAGAGAAGCGACATTGGCCAGGTTGCTGCACCCAAGAATTCAAGGCTTTAGCTCCTTCATCCGTCCTACACTTAGACACCGACGTTCGTCTGAGCCATTCCTGTGGTGCTTTACGTAGTCGTATGGACAGGAGATGCAACTTACCAGACCTGCACGTATGAGCAGATCAGTGACCGAAATGAACGCAAGATTACCGGTCCTCGTTGTTAAACATACCCAGTTTCTTTGGCCTTCAAACAGCCCTTGCGCTTGTAGAAGCACTTGTTCGTATGCTTCTTCTTTAGTTATGCCATTGGCAAAGTTGGAGGCGTCTGCGTGAACCTGTAACACCAATTAGAGATTGGATAGCCGCCAAACATTCCAATATACCGAATAAAAGTAAGTGAAAATAGAAAAAATAATAGAAAACAAGCTGACGTACCATTTTGCCCTGGAAAACAGCTGTAGATGCTGTGCCTTAAACGTGATTGGAAAGCCGGAAAAACGCCATCACGAACAAGCTCTGCAATCCAAAGAGAATTTGGCAGTAATCGTTTACTTGCACATACTTCAAGCGTGGAGCTATGCATTTATCCAATCGGGCAGCTACATTCTGTTAGAGGCTTCAAGTCATCTGGAACCTGAACCGGAACCTTGCACGTTACATCACTTTTTCTCTGTTGTCCAATTGCAGTTTTTGTATAATTGACGGTCATCGGTTATGGTATCCTAACGTTCCCTTACTCTACTCAGGCCGGATATCCGCCTTTCTACAGTATCCACCACAATAACGATGGGCGCGTCTCATCACAGCTGGGTTACAAGCTCAAACAGGGGCAGAGGCTTATACGCGATTATTTTTCTGCTGTTTGCCGCTACATTGCTGAGGCTGCTTGTACCGTGGCAGAATGTAGCTGACTGGACATATCAGCAGGGCAGATGGGGATTATGCAAATGCGCAGGCTTGGGTTGCGACGTTGCTACTGGGCACGGCAACAGCATCACAGCCGACGATAATGCTGAACCGTACCTAATCGGTGTGGGAAAGGCCGACATTACCGGTCCTGTGGTTGAGGTGAACCTGATGGGCTATGCAGACCCAAAACAGGTGGGTAGCGGATTACGTCATCGCCTCTTTTCACGGGCTTTCATCGTGGGCGATCCGAAAGTACCGGCCGACCGGTTTGTGTATTTGGTGCTGGACACCCAGTCGGGCGATACGGCGGTGCGATATGGAATCCTGGAGAAGCTGCGGAGCCTGGGGCCCGAGTATTCCGTGTATGGCCAGCATAACATCGCGGTCACTGGTACTCATTCGCACTCTGGCCCCGGAGGCTGGCTGAACTATCTACTGCCACAGATTACCAGCAAAGGGTTCGACCATCAAGGCTTTCAAGCAATAGTTGACGGTGCGACTCTGTCCATTCAGCGTGCGCATGAGAGCATCCAGCCGGGTTACCTTGACGTCGGTTCGACGACAGTTCGAGGCGCAAACATCAACCGCAGCCTGTTTGCCTATTTAGCCAACCCCGAGTCCGAGCGAGCGCGTTACAACCAGAGCAGTACCTCGGACGGGACGGGAGATGATGGCTCGGTCGACAAGGAGCTAACGCTGCTCAAGTTCCAGCGGGCTTCGGACGGGAGAAACATCGGCGTGTTGACCTGGTTTCCAACGCATGGCACCTCTATGTTGGGCAACAACACTCTGATTACCGGCGACAACAAAGGGGTGGCTGCGTATCTCTTCGAGAAGAGCGTCCACAAAAGCGACATTGCAGCCCCGGGCTTTGTTGCCGGCTTTTCCCAAGCCAATGTTGGCGATACGAGTCCCAATGTTGGCGGTGCCTGGTGTGAGGATGGCTCCGGGCTGCCGTGCAGCTTCGAGAACAGCACCTGCAGAGATGGAAAAGCCCAGCAATGCCACGCCCGCGGGCCTCGCTTCCGTGACGACGACACCGGAACAGTGTCGTGCTTTGAGATTGGCCGGCGACAATTTGAGTCGGCTCGCGCGTTGTATGACCAGCTAGTGAAGGATCCACGACGTGTGCTTAGAGGCTCGGTCAAGTCGTTTCACACCTTCCACAACATGTCTGACTTTACGTTTGTGCTCGCCAATGGCAGCTTGGCCTCGACGTGTCCTGCTGCTCTCGGATATTCCTTTGCTGCCGGCACATCCGACGGCCCTGGCGCTGTCAATTTCACCCAACACGACTCCGATCCATCCAACACTTCGCCGGTCTGGCGTGCCGTATCGTACCTCGTCAAAGCTCCGTCCAAGGAGCAGCGCCGCTGTCATGAGCCGAAGCCGGTCCTGCTCGATGTTGGCGAGCTGCACACGCCGTACCAGTGGACGCCGAATGTTGTCGATGTGCAGGTCTTGCGAGTCGGACAGCTCGTTATCATCGTCAGCCCCGGCGAGGCCACCACGATGGCCGGACGTCGCTGGAGAGGCGCAGTAGCCGATGCTTGTGCGGCCTTATTCAGAGAAGAAGAAGAAGACGAGATGCAGCCCGATGGAAAGAAGAGGTCTTCCCCTGTCGTTGTTCTCGGCGGGCCGGCTAACAGCTATACGCACTACATCACGACCGAGGAAGAATACGGCGTGCAGCGCTATGAAGGTGCGTCCACGCTGTACGGACCGCACACCTTGGAGGCGTTTATCAACGTCACCCTCTCTTTCCTGCCATACCTCTCGGCTTCATCCGAGGGACCACCGCCGCATGACGTCGATTCGTACCCGCCGGACAATAGGAACAGGTCGCTGTCGTTTATCACAGGCGTAATCCGGGATGCCCCACCTCTATTTAAGGCATTCGGCGACGTGACCCATGACGTGGGCCGTTTCTATGGCCGTGGAGCTTGGGTTCAGAGCAAGTTCGTCGGCGCCAATCCTCGCAATAATCTTCATCTCGAAGGGTCTTTTGCAACTGTCGAAAGGAACACGGGTGTTCCCGGTGCCGAAAAGTGGGTAACGGTGCGCGACGACAGCGACTGGAGTCTGGTGTACAATTGGCGACGGACCAGCGAGATCCTTGCGACGAGCGAGGTCGAGATTGTCTGGGAGACTGAAGACTGGGCAGAGCCTGGAACCTACCGGATCCGTTACCGAGGCGATGCAAAGGCTTTGGGCGGGACGATTACTCCTTTCGAAGGAGTGACGAGCCCTTTTATTTTGCTGTAATTGCGCGTTTGTTCTAGGGTTTATTATTGGATTTATTGGGTTTATTTATGTCATGGACTCAATCATTTGGCATACGAAATTGCATGTACCGGTGAATGAAACGACTGGATCAGGAAATAATACAAACGGTCTTATGGAGTACGGAGTATGGAGTACGGAGCAAGTCAAGCATAAATCTGATATCCTTGTTAATTGGGAAGTGCAATAGTTGTATGTGTGCCTGAAATTCAAGGCGCCAATTCCAATCCACACCTCCTTGGACAAGCTAACCGCAGAAGCGCCCAAAAAGGACACGGAACATCGACGACGACGACGACCAGAATTCGAGAACCAGCGCAGCAACAAGACTCTAGACAAACGATAAGCGACAGTTTATTTCCCAAGATGGACCCATACTCCGCCGAGGGCGAATTGATCAGTATTCACAACCACTTCCACCAGGGCCAATTCCAAGATGTCGTCGACTACGACATCTCGACGCTGTCACCCGAGAATGCCCTCGCAGCCCGGGTGCTGGTGCTGCGGGCGCGCATCGAGCTTGGCGAGGTTGCCGGTGTCCTGGAAGAGGTCAAGTCGGAGAGCGACCTGGCTCTGCAGGCGGTCCGAGCTCTCGCCGACCAGAAAGCTGGCCGTTCCGATGCGGCACTCGCCGTGATAGAAAAGCTCACTACGACTGCCAGCGACAATGCCGCGGTGCAGATCATTGGCGGGACCGTTCTCCAGGCAGCCGGGAAGTCGGAAGAGGCGCTGGCCCTCCTCTCACAGCACGACAGCAACCGTATGGCCCCCTTCTGACGGCCGAACGCGTGGGATGCACGGCTGACACTGACCTTGCCGTATCACAGTCGATGCGGTCGCGCTGATCGTCCAGATCCACCTACAACAAAACCGGAACGACCTTGCCCTGAAGGAGGTTGCTGCAGCCCGGCGATGGGCGCAGGACTCGCTGCTGGTGAACCTGGCCGAGTCCTGGGTGGGCGTGCGTCTGGGCGGCGAGCGGTATCAACAGTCGTTTTACGTATTTGAAGAGCTGGCGCAGTCTCCGGTGTCATCGTCGGCCCGCACGCTGGTGGCACAGGCCGTCTCGGAGATGCACCTCGGCCGCACCGAAGAGGCACAGACGGCGCTGGAGGCGGCCCTGAAGGCGAGCCCGGACAGCGCGGATGCCATTGCCAATCTGCTGGTCCTCAACATTCTCGCTGGCAAGAACCAAACAGAGCTGGCCACGTACGCAACTCTCTTTGTCCCACATCCTGGCCCCTTTTCTCCTACTTTCCCATCCGTCCTGCCTGCCTGCGAGCGCGCGCGCGCGCAACAGATACTGTTTACTGACTTTGCGAGATAGTGCGCTGAAAAAGGCAGACCCCCACCACGCCTTCCTAACAGACTATGAGGAAAAGAGCGGTCTGTTCGACAAGGCTGCAGCCAAATACCAGCCTAAGGTGGCTACGTGACTTTGATGGTGGAGATGAGCGTGAATATCGGGTCTAAAAATACTATAATGCTACAAGCGCCATGTCCAGCTACTCAGTTCCTGGTTGAAAGAAGAAAAACTCATCTGCCGGCCAGCTGCAGCAGAAGTTGGGACCGTCAAAGCAAATGAACCATTAATATCCGACAACATCTGACAATCCATGCACCAGAAAGGCTTAGTAAGCCCAGTATATTTGGGGGTGATTGCGGGGTTCGCAGTCGTCGAGTAATACGATTAATACTTTTAGTACTCCGTAGCCTTTGTTCTGGAGCTCCTTGCCCCCTCCAACGTAGCTCAGCCCCATAAGAAGATCGGTATTATTATTTATTTCCCCCCCTATTATCAGCGAGACGGTCTTCTTGCGGTCCTGCCGACACCTACTCCGTACGTATCTTGCCATTGCTCCCTCTGGCGCCGTCTGGGACTGATGTGGAGGAAGCACCGAGAACAGGATATGTACGCGAATGCCGCTATCGTCGATCGAAAGTGCCACACCGACCTGAACAGTCGATTTCCCGCCCGCTCTGGTTGGCAGCTCGCATGAGCCAACGGCTGAGGTGTGTTGCATCTTGCCGGCATTGCTGGAGGATTTCGTGTTTCGTGTCTAACGGAATGGCTTAGCAGGAATTAGAACAAAACCTATGACGTTCATTCGCTGATCGATCGACAAGTCGACGCTTGCATTTTAGCCCCTCTTCGCTCCTATTCCCGCATTGACTGCGATCTCGAGACCCAGGTGAGATTCCGGCCTCGGCACACACCACGACGCAGCATCGACGCAGAGAGTCATCTTCTTACACAGCATTCTACACATCCGCACTCACCGACGGCCCGCGACTCTCCTTCTTGGCGTGTCGAGCGACACACATCATTCTTTACGACGGACAAACCGGGCAGTGCCAGCAAGCAGTAAAAGTAGCCCACCAGCTCCCCTATATATTTCCCAGCATTTTTCGCGTGATTTGGAGCTACCGGACCTTGCGCCACGTTGGCTGATGCGCTCTCAACATGGTTCGAATCATTCCCAACCGTCTGAAACCGTCTGGAACGTCCACGGCCAACTCGGCAGCGAACAGCCGTAGCGCGAGCCCGTTACGGAGCAAGACCGAACCGACAGGCACTGAGGGACCCCTGGACACGGGGCTCGCCCTCAGTGTCGCGATATTAAAGGTAAGCCCATTGTCGCGCAGCAGGAAATCCAATTACGGCTGCAGCCAGGCCTGTTGCTCATCCGCTGACTTCCGTTTCAGGCCCAAGATCTTGCTGCGAAGGATCGTGGCGGCACTTCTGACCCGGTATGTTCTGTCTGCTACCACTGAAAACGGGAGAAGGAGGCGGTCGGAGGAGGCGGCCGGAGGAGGCGGCCGGAGGTTGAGGCGAAGCAGCATGGAGGGGACATGCATGCATGCTAAACAAGCATACCTTTTGCTGACAGCTTCTCCCTCCTAGTATCTGGTCCTCACTCTTGGTGATGCGAAGCATGTGACCCATTCAGTACCAAAAACATTGAATCCAGAATGGAACGAAACATGTCGCCTGCCAATCAACGGGATTCCAAGTCTGATTCTCGATGTCTGTTGCTGGGATAAGGACCGCTTTGGCAAAGACTACCTCGGGGAGTTCGATCTCGCCCTTGAAGAGATTTTTGTCAATGAGAAAACGGAACAGGAGCCCCGTTGGTTTCCTCTTAAGAGCAAGCGCCCGGGCAAGAAGACGAGCGTTGTCTCTGGCCAGGTCCTTCTTCAATTCACCCTCCTGGATGCTTCTGAAAGGGGCCTCACCGACCGGCAGGTGATAGAGACGTTTAACAAGTTCGTGAAGACTGCATCCGAAGCTGAGCTTTCGCTGCCGCGCTCTGCTTCAATGAACGCACTTTCTGCATCGTCAAGGTCTTCTTTCAAGGCGGGCGCAGCCCCGGCAGCTCTGGCACCACCGTTGAGCCGACGGCCGACGGACAATTACGAAGACGAGGACGAAGATGCGTATGACGACGAGATTCCGGCCGAGGACGAGGATTTGAGCAAGCCCGAGGCGGCCGAGAAGAGAAAACGGCGTCTGCGCATCAAGGGCCTGAAGCGAAAGCGCCGGGACAATCCCTATGAGTTTACCAATCTGGCTGGCGATGTAGTCGGAATTGTCTTTGTGGAAATCAAAAACATCACGGACTTGCCCCCAGAGTCCAACTTCACAAAGACGAGCTTTGACATGGACCCGTTCGTGGTGGCCTCCCTGGGGAGAAAGACGTTCCGGACGAAGAAAATGCACCATAATCTCAACCCTGTCTTCAATGAGAAGATGATCTTCCAGGTCCAGGGTCATGAGCAGTCGTATTCTTTCGCGTTTACAGTCATCGACCACGACAAATACTCGGGCAATGACTTTATCGCTTCTGCATCGCTTCCTATCAAACAGTTCATTGATAAGGCTCCCAAAGCGGACCCCGAGACTGGGCTGTATGAATTGGGGGATCTTCCAGAGTACGTCCCTGTTTTCCAGCGGAATCGTTTTAAGCGTCTTGGATTATCACGCTCATCGTCGGCTCATAGCCTTGCCAGGCCCGGCCGAAGAACCCCAACCAAGACAGGAGCCGGTTCGATCCTGCCGGCGACTGGCTCAACAAGCACAAGCACAAGCGCAAGCAGAGTAGAGCTTGACAGCCCAGTGCCAGCCGCAGCCAGTGCCGGAGAGGTGCCTGTGTTGTTAAACGAGGCGGGCGCGGCGTTGGCAGCTGTTGCCTCCAACGACCGCTTTCTATCGGCAACGCCGTCTGCCGGCTCTGCTCCAGTGGAGGCTGCTGGCAGTATCGGGACGCCTGGCGTCAGTCCGACGGCCACGACAGGGGAGTCTCCTCTAGATGACGAGCAGGAGTTTACGACGGTCACTTTCCCGTTGAAGATGAAGAACCTGGAAAAGTGGGAGGACAAGCACAATCCGATGCTCACAATACGGGCCAAATACATGCCGTATGCTGCCCTTCGCCAACAGTTCTGGCGAGCCATGCTGAAGCAATACGACGCGGACGAGAGTGGCCGTATCAGCAAGGTGGAGCTAATGACGATGCTGGATACGCTTGGCTCGACCCTGCGAGAGTCCACTATCGACAGCTTTTTCCAGCGGTTCGCCAGCAAGACGTCTGGTGCCGGTGGCGTTGACGATGAGTTCTGCGACCTGACAGTGGACGAGGTTGTCATCTGCCTGGAAGAACAGCTCGATGCGAAATCGAAGCCTCAAGCGGCAGGTCCGCTCGGTTCAGGAGAAAGGACTTCGGGCCTTTTGTCGGTGCCCTCCAAGCTGAAGCTGGCCGTGGATGATGCCGCCGTGTCGCCTTTCGCATCACGATCTGCACCGCCTTCCGAAACGTCAGAGACTCCGGAGACACCCGCTCTCGGAGACGAAGCAGACCTGATTGGCCGGGACGACTTGAGTGATCGTGGCGAAGAGCACGTGGTCGAGATCCGCGAATGCCCCATCTGTCACCAGCCGCGGCTGAACAAGCGGAAGGACACGGACATTGTGACGCACATTGCAACGTGTGCCAGCCAAGACTGGCGCCAGGTCAACAACCTGGTCATGGGCGGGTTTGTCACGGCCAGCCAGGCGCAGAGGAAGTGGTATTCCAAAATCATAACAAAGATATCGTACGGTGGCTACCGCATCGGTGCCAACTCGGCCAACATTTTGGTCCAAGATCGAATTACCGGGCAGATCAACGAGGAGAAGATGGGCGTCTACGTCCGTCTTGGAATCCGACTTCTGTACAAGGGACTGCGATCCAACAACATGGAGAACAAGAGAAGTGAGTGCGGCAGAATGTCTTCCGGCCATCCTTCCCTTTCAATGCTGACCTGGCTCTTCACCTGTCTTCTTCGGTAGTTCGGAAAATGCTCAAAGGCCTCAGCGTCAAGCAGGGAAGAAAGTACGACGACTCGGCATCAAAGGCAGAGATTCAAAAATTTATCGATTTCCATCAGCTTGACATGTCGGAAGTGCTGTTGCCGGTGGAAGAGTTCAAGAATTTCAACGAGTTCTTCTACCGGGCATTGAAGCCTGGAGCACGGCCTTCATCGGCACCCAACAACCCGAAGATCATCGTGTCGCCGGCAGACTGCAGATCTGTGGTGTTCAATCGCATCAGCGCAGCCACCAGAATTTGGATCAAGGGCCGCGAGTTTTCGGTCCGACGTCTTCTGGGAGCCAGCGCATCCGACGACGTGAGCCGGTACGAAAACGGATCGCTTGGCATCTTCCGCCTGGCACCACAAGACTATCACCGGTTCCATATTCCGGTCGACGGCGTGCTCGGCCAGCAGAAGAAAATTGCCGGGGAATACTACACGGTCAACCCGATGGCCATCCGGTCGGCACTCGACGTGTATGGCGAGAACGTGCGGGTGATTGTACCGATTGAGAGCGACATCTTTGGCCGGGTCATGGTGGTATGCGTGGGTGCCATGATGGTGGGCAGCACGGTCATCACGCGACAGGAGGGAGAGCGTGTCGAGCGAGCAGAGGAGCTGGGCTACTTCAAGTTTGGCGGTAGCACGATTGTGCTTCTGTTCGAGGAGGGCCGGATGAAGTTTGACGACGATCTCGTGGAGAACTCGAACGGTGCACTCGAGACACTGGTAAGAAAGGGTCGACTCACTGAACAAGGCCACGGTCAGATTGGATCCCAGATAAAAACAGCTAACTCGAGCAGGTTCGCGCGGGAATGTCTGTCGGCCACTCACCCAGTGAGCCACACTGGAAGGCAGACATGCCCAAAGCAGAGACGGAGGTCACGGAGCAGGAGAAGCAGGAAGCCAAGCGACGCATACAAGGAAGCTCCTCGGCCGAGGACACGCCAGAAGATAGCGGCGGCGACGAGATCCTGGCTGCCGTCGAATAGAACAACAGAATAAACAGAACGGCCTTCAAGGTGTATTGAGATATTAAATAATGCTACTATGGCAGGCAACAAGATTGATTTGTATCTTGGTTGCACGACATCAGCCCGTAGCCAAAGAGAAAAAGAACGAATCGAGGAAACGAGACAGAAATCCCAAACAAAGGCCATAGGCCAGACTCCTAGCGCCAGGCTCAGTCCCAAGCCAAGAAACCCAACAGCCGCCGCGGCAATCCAGCCAGCGAAGGCCCTCCGTCCCAAAAGAAAACGCGTCAAAATCGTGGAGTTAGACAAGAGAAGAGAAGCAGACGGACGCAAAACTGGCTTAATCGCTGCTGTCCGAACTGCGGTCGCTGTCCATGGAGTGCTTCTGCGAGACTGAGCGGTGCAGGGCTGGCGGCTGGCAGCTGGGCAGCACAGACGAGGAGACTTGATAGTAGTATCGATCGGCTGCAATTCTGCTTTCGGCGTCGGGTGCCCGCTGCGGCTTCTTCATTTCGATGGAGGCGTCGGCCGGGGAGTGAGATTGGCGCCAGGACGCGTAGATCTGCTTGCACAGGTGTGCGGACATGGTGTAGGTGGGAGACATTGGAAGGAGGCGAGTTTGTTCGATCCGGAATTCGTCGAGTTGACGCGGCTTGAAAGTGACAACGCGATTTTGGCGAGCTGTGAGTTTTTGTTTTGGTGCCTGTGTCTGCGAGTTGTCTGGGGCCGATCGGGCTTCTGTGTAGCTTCTTGAAGGCTCTCTTTGACGTTTTGGACGGCCTTCTCTCTGCAATGCGGTCTTTGTCTGTGTCTCGACGTTGGGGACAGGTCCCATTAAGAGAAGCGTCACAGAGGGGTTGACTGCTAACGCCACTAATATGGTTGCGCGCGCCATAGCGCCTCGGCCACTGATTGGCTGCCGCGCACGCGCAGATTTGGGGAACAGGCCATTTCGGGATGGCGCACCACCGGGGCCTCCACCTTTGGCGGGGAGTGGAACGAGGTTGCACCGCCACAGCTGCGAAGTGGCATGATCCAAGGCGCACATCTCGAACCGGCTGTTGCCCAGAACAGGGCAGGTGGGGCTCTGCGCTTGCGACCGGTCAAGAACAGGACGACTTGTTCCGACTTTGTCGGAACAAGCAGGAAGCAGCCGTGGACAGCACAGGCGGCCCGTATAAAACCAGCCCATTGTCCACGTCCAGGGGTCATTTGGTGGGTTGGCGTCCGAAGAAGGACGTGATCTTCTGGCTGCCGGCGACCCCCTTTTGTCTTTTCGGCCTGCTCACCGTACGAGTACCTGGCGGGCTTGTTGGGGCAGCCCTCTTTCGGGGTCGATCCTGCTCCACTGCCGCTGGAGCGGTTTCTTTCCGAGGTCTAGGCCCAGCCAGATTTGGTAGGGCGTCGAATGGGCGCTTTTTCGGAACCGTCATCGCGATCGCTTTCGCGTCTGCATCAGCGTCTGTCTCGTGCTTCATGAGCGGCGGCTTCAGCTCTTTTTTGCCGTCGACGTGGAAGAAGTTGGCAATGTTGGCCTTGTTGGCACTGCTGGCCACCGGCACAACAAAGCTCGGCGAGCTGCGGCCGACCTTGTTAACGTCCTTGCTGACGACGTCAAATTCCAGGGCAGCGTCACCGTCGGCGTGTGGCCACGGCCGGAGAAGCGTCTGGAGCTCGTCGGACCAGTCGGTGCGCAACGGGTCCAGCCAGATCCGCAGGGCGGCCGAGTTGGGGTCGAAGATCACCGGCATGCGGTCGTGCAGAAAGCGCATCGGCTTGCTGGCGTCTGTCGTGATGACAGTATAGGAGTACGTCTTCTGCTCTGGGCTGCCGTCCGTTCCACCGCCGGTAGAAACGCAGTCCCAGAGACCGGCAAACAACAGCGGCCGGCCGTCGTGTCGCCGGATGTAGTACGGCACCCGCTCTTTCGGTCCGGCTTTGAGCCACTCGAAAAAGCCCTGGGCCACGACGACACAGCGCTTGCGGCTGCGCATCGAAGCCCACATGCCGCCGCGGGCAAGGGAGTCCGACCGGCAGTTGATCGTCTTCAGCACCGTCCCGTAGTCTGGCCGTTCTTTGGACCACGATGGGACGAGCCCCCATCGCATAATCTGCAGCCTGTAGCACAGCTGGTCCGGGACGTCATGGCAAGCTGCCGGACTGCTCTGGGAGGGCTCCGAAGCATGGTCAACCTTGTGCGTGCCCTCTGTATCTGGTGATTCCTGTGGCTTCTGATCATCGCGAGTCACTGCCCGGCAAACGATGCCCTGATACTGTGGAGCAAAGTTGTACGTGGGACGAAACTAGTTGTTGCCAGGTGCCTCCTCTTCATTAACGTCAGAAGTCTCGCCCTCATCGTCCTCCTCCTCATCTGGGACATTGTAGATGCGCATCCCAATCTCTTCGAGCATGGTACGGACTTGGCCGTAACGCTGAGGCAAGCATGTCAGCAAGTTGTCACAAGTTGGGGATGCTGCTCATTTCAGGCTGACCAGCGCTAGAACATATCGTCCGCACATATTATCTTCACGTATCGATGCTTGCAACCAGCTGGAAATAAGGTCATGTAATGACAGAAGTTCGCCATTCTTGATCACATGTCACGGGATCGACGTCAGAGCCACACCGCCTTTCAGGTTTCGGCAGAAAGTAGTCGTCGTTATCTCCGTTTCGTCGAAATTCCGGGTTGCGTCCAGGCTCGTGGCCGGCTGACCGGACGCTTTCACGATCTCCGGCTGTTTCATCATTTCTGTATCCGTTGAGCAAACATTAGGGCGGGTGGCGACACCGGGCCAAACTGGGAGTGCGGAAGAAGGGAGGAAAGTTGATTAAGTATAGTTGGCTCTGATATGTGGGCAAATCCAACACCAGCACTTACTGTAGGGTCGACCACAGCCTTGACGAAATAGCCGGGTAGCTAGCGGAATGGACGTACAGTACAGAGTACACCGGGATGTCTTGAGCACAGTTTTTCCAACGGCGCGCTGGTCGATCCTCGATGTGCGGATTTCCACTGTTTGGGCCTCCTCGGGGCGTCTGCAAGTACGGCGTGCTGCCGGAGATGGACCTGCCCAGGAGAGACTGCATGTTGCAGAACGACCAAGATATTGTCTTGATCACTGGCGACAACACTAGATCACGCTCCTTGGCCGGACTGCATCTGACGCAGCTTCTGGCTAGATGACGTATAGAGAAGACTCTCGCACATGCTCAGCGGTATTGGAGTGCGGCACCGGACCTGCCTCTTCGGCGTCTGATCATCTGCTTCGGCATCTGTCCGACCTGCCTGTTCGACATCCGATCAGCCTGTCTAGCTAGTTTGTCCGCATTCTCTGAGACGTCAGCGGTGGCATTCCCAAACCTCAGTGGCAAATCGAGAGGCCCGAAGCTGATCATGAGCCTAGCTCGGCTCTCGACCTGCCCGTTTTGGCATCCACACCCAGCAGGACCTTCCGCTTTCGACTACTGCCGGCTTGCTGTCTATCCGGTGCTCATTACACCACCGTAGTATCAGACGTGGCGTAATACCTTGCCAAAATGGTCCCTGATCGCTTTAGCACTGCGGCTACTCCCGTGGCCAATTGCGAGAACACCTCGAGCAGCCTATGGGAACAAAGGCTTGGCCGATCGCCCCCATCGGCCGCTATGTATCTGCATGGTCCTAACTAACCCTATGATCCGGCTGTCGATCCGTCCAGGCTAAGCTTTTCGACTTTCCTAATCCGGCCCCTCCTTCCGGCATCTCTCTCGAGGCTCATTGATGCTGTGATCGAGCCGTGAGAGTGCTGCTTGGACGGCAGTCCGGCCAAGCACGGCATGATGGGTATAAATCGGCCCCCTTCCCTCTCCTGTCTGGGATGGTGAGAAGTGTAAACCATCAGCAATAACATCAACACACACAGACTACTCAGCTCTCTCTACCACCAATTCAGACCAACGACCCCCTTTACTCCATCATGAAGCTCATCTCTGTCACGAGCGCCCTGCTCGTTGCCAACGTCGCTCTTGGAGCCCGCTTCACGGAAAAACGCCGCAACAGAGCTGTCGAGCGTGGTGCTACCGTCCGTCCCGGCCAGAGCCTCCCCAAGATCCCCTCGGATGGCCCTGCCGCTCAGATCGCCAAGCAGAACAACTCGGCCAACGTGGAGTACAGTAACAACTGGGCTGGCGCTGTTCTCATCGGCACCGACTACACGTCCGTCACCGGCACCTTTGTCGTTCCCACGCCCAAGGAGCCCACCGGCGCCAGCAGCGACACGCAGTACTCTGCTTCGGCCTGGGTCGGCATCGACGGCAATACCGCTCAAAACTCCATTCTCCAGACCGGCGTCGACTTTTATGTCGAGGACGGCCAGACCTCGTTCGACGCCTGGTACGAATGGTATCCCGAGAGTGCCTACACCTTTTCTGGCTTCGGCATCTCGGCTGGTGACACCATCAAGCTCACGTAAGTCACACACAACCCCTACGTCCTTGGCCGGTGGCTAATTCGCTTCGAACAGGATCACGGCCACGAGCTTGACTTCCGGTACAGCTCTTATCGAGAACGAGTCCAGTGGTAAGTCGGTCTCGCACTCGTTCTCCAGCGAGGAATACGCCCTGGAGGAGCTCAATGCCGAGTGGATCGTCGAGGACTATGAGAGCAACTTCGGCCAGGTGCCCCTTGCCAACTTCGGCACCGTGATCTTTACCGACACCAAGGCCATCTCTGGCAGCAGCTCCGTTGGGCCTTCTGGTGCCACCCTGATTGATCTGGAGCAGAACGGCGAGGTCCTGACTTCCGTGTCTGTGTCTGGCGATGAAGTCATCATCAAATATATCTAAGAGTGTGAAGAGGCCGCTTTGCTCTGATCTGGTTGTCTCCCGCTGGCAGCTGTGTACATTTTATTGTGCATATAGCCACTGGACTTTCGCCTGCATTTCACGCCAGACACGGATCTACTTTTGGACACACGAGTGGCTGAGGTGGCAGAATCTCGCACATTGTCAATAGGACCACCCTCGATGTTGAAAGATGAATAGCAAAGTATTGCACACATATTTCCATGACTACTACTTGGCTTGTTATAGTTGCAAGATTAGTCATGCTAAGTCTTAAACGTACTAAAAGTTGATAATGATGGCTTACGCCGACTGTAAAGCCTAAAGTGTACCTTGGTGTACACAGAGGATTTAGCCTTCATATGAACGAAACGTGCTATTAAACAGAATCGTTTTATACATCGCACGAAATGGTGGTTTGATGCGTATGATGTTTTAACAGTTTAGTATCTAGCTCTCTGTTGTTTTGTTTTCTGACTCTGTTAGGCATACAGTCACTATGAACATGTTAACGGGTTACACGTCGCGCTCATAATCACAAAGCATTACTCCGTTGCTATGTGACCAAGCGTAGAATAATGTAGAGAGAAGAACATAAAGAAAAGAAGACACTATGTGTGGAAAGGCCTAGGTGGAGCAGCGGTCAATTATTAATGTAAGAACTGAAGGGGTTGGCTGATCAAGTTCAACTATAGTGATCAATTGATATACGATTCGCCCCCTTACTCATACATCTTGCAAAAAATTCAATGCGAGAGCATGCCAAAATATACACGGTTAATACTGGTGCATAATCTCCTTATGATCAGTAAGTAAAACACTGTAAGCCTGGTAACGCTGAAGAGTTTTTACAATTTTTCTTCAACAACGTAATGAACTTCTCCCCTCTCTTTGTATTTTATATTTGTCGTCTTTTTTTCACCATTTCGCGCAGCTTGTCAGCTACAGTACCGACAAAATGCAATTCAAGATATGGAAGAATCTCCGGTTGAAACGGAATGCTTCAGCAACTGGGACTTCTACCTCTGCAGTGCCATCCAGGCCGGTCTGCAACCTTATCCAGTTGCCGGCAGAGTTGGTCCTCATGATCAGTGACTTTCTCTCGCCCTCATCCCGCATTTGCCTCCTGCGCACCTGTCGCGCTCTGCGGGCGCTGCTGGGGTCTCAAGGCAAGAAAGATCTCTTTGAGATCGCGGGCCGCTCTCAATGTGGCCGTGCTACGTTTCTTGCGATTGTTTCTCGCGACCTCCCCGACAAATGGCTTTGTGCCAAGTGCATGGTGTTGCATCCTGCAAAGGTGGAAGACGTTCCTCAAGCAGCCAGTATGACCCTCTTCAGATTATATGGGCGTGATCACCAGAGCAATGATTATTCATTAAAAGGGCCTGTTCTCTCGAAGCTAAGCTATCAACATGTAAACCTGGCTCTCAAATACACACGCCTGCGAGACACCTGCTCTTCTTCCCAACTGTCCCACCTGTCTAATTTGACAAAACCCTTCCACCGATACGTTTCCGCCAAGCTAGAACAGATCAACAAAGAGCGCAACATCCGCTGCTCGTTCTACCCCAAGATCGTCCAGGACGCTAGCGGACGACACCGTTACCTCCTGCTCTCTGTCATTTCCTTGCCAAAGCCGCGGAACGTCAAGAACGCGTTTGGAAGGTTGGGAAAGATTGACATTTGCCCGCACCAGGGTGCAGACCGCTGCACCGAGGAGTATCTGCTGTCTCGGGCGCGCAGAACACAGCTCGTCAAGCAGGATGCACACAACGAGGTCGATACGCAGATCTTCAATGCATTTCAGGAGGACCTGCTGCGCAATGAGGTTGAGGGCGTTCTCGACAAATACGACGCAGGCGAGCTGTTTACTGGCTCATGCCATAAATGTCCGCTGGACTTTTCCGTGCAGGTGGGATCGCACAATGTCGAGCTCTGTGTATACCAAGATTTTGGGGTGGAAAGCTCCGCTATGGAACTGTCATGGTTGCTCTGCACGCTGGCAGACGGAGATCTGAGGATCGAACCCATAGGCCATTCTGCTGGGAACGTTTGTAGGCTTTATGGGGATGCAGATGCAGCACTACGGATGCACAGGAAAGAGGTGGCAGAAAATGCATAGGAGCCTTTTGACCTAACAAATCGGGTGTGGTGGATTACCTATAGACGACTTATACATGCAGAATTCATTGATAGATGGTATCTGCCATTTTTTTTAGAAGCAAGCGAGCCTATTTTGGGGGGGATCTCGGGGACAAATTCAACAATAAGCGGCACTTAGTGATTGGCAGCGTTAATGAGTGTTTGCTTCGTGCCTCGCCTTTTTAGGGGCGGAAAGCAGCAAAAAAACGTACAGCAGCGGGTATTCGCTGGTCGTCACCGACCCAACTACTAATCCCGCCGATTACTGGTTTAACTAGGGGAGAGCGGACGGGATCCCGTGCTTTCCAGTATCTATGGCCGTACGTGAAAGAGACTGCTGTTTTCTAGAATATATAGGCAGGGTATAGGCGCTGTGATGAGCCTTTTATCGTATATTGAATTTAACGAACAGCGGGCCTTGAAGTCTGACAGCCCAATATTAAGACGACACATAGTTGATAATTTCCCTCTTCACATGTGCCACTGTGTTATCGCTCACACTGCAAGCATTCCGTCCAAACTCGCACAGCCAGCCAAGAAAGGTGACTTTGCACCACCAGTCTGCATTAGGAGACTAGGATGCCATTCTTGAGACGGATACTGATGCTAGTCGATGAAAGTGGGTAGAGATGAGCAACAGGAAAAGAATTTGTAAAGACGCTTTTATATAGAATCGACGTCTAGATGCAGGACGTTGGAATACACAGAAAATAACCGTAATGAACCGCAGTAGCCTTTGCTAACCATAAGCGGACAACAATAAGATAGCAGAGATTTCCTAAAACGAGCTTTTTGCCTGGCTATTAGCTCGGACGAAACGTTGATCTGAAAACCTACAGCATTGAAGCTCTGCAATGTAAATTACCTGCGTCGCATGCAAAGTAGGGACCCCCATACTTTGTAGAATAGTAGGCAGGGTATATATAACTACTTCTGATCTAAACGGTATTCTCCGTAAGACCACAAGTATCTTTTGGCACACGGAGAGAGCTATTAGAACGAAAGTCAGCAGCTAGGCAAAAACCAACACCCAAAACCAATATCACCCAGGAGAAGCCCAGCAGACGGGTGCACGTGACTCGCAGCTTTTTACTGCCGCAGTTGCTTCTTATGCAGTATAGAAGCGTAGCAACACGGTCTTCAGCACTGGCGGCACGTACAGCGCAGCAGCACGCTCGTTAACAGCAAGAATTGCTTGACAGCTGCGGCGTTACGTTTTCGGTATAGCATGGATATTTTTCTTTCGTAGCTCTGGCAGCGGAGAGTCGTTTGCATCTTTGCTTTGGAGATGTGCGTTCTATGCGGTAACCTGGCCGAATAGAGGTCCTAGGCCCGGCCGCATTGTTAGTAGCATCACAGTTTTTATCCGAGCAGAAGATGACTATAAGGGATAACGACGGTAATTCACGAGGGCACAACATTGCGAAACCTGCTTTCTGTTCTCCTTTATCAACAACTTGGTGCCACCCGACAAAACTTGGCGCCAAAAAGCCCTAAAGATTTGTAATACAGTCTACAAGACTCAGAGAATGGCAAAAAGACGCCTTCGGGACACAAAGTGCATAAAGCTGATGAGGCCCGTCCTACAGGACGGAGACCAAGGACCTCCAGACACATCACGTGACCGGGTCAACTTGCAATCTGCCCCACAAGATATCAAGGATTTCGGCCGCAATGCTCGGTTCCGACTTTCTGGTCAACGACCGACAGTCATGGATCAGCACCGGCGGCGGCAGCAGCGAAAGGCGTGTGATGTGTGTCGTCGTCGCAAGGTGCGCTGCGACATTGAGTTGCAGCCGGGCGGACGCTGCTCGGTGTGCAGCAAGGCGGACATTGAGTGCCGGTCAGTCGGTTTGCGCTGCCATCGGTTCCGAAGCAGAAGCCAGACGAACTGATACATGTCTTGTCAGATCCACCACGCAATGGGCGAAGCCCAGACGGCGCACAACGGGCGCTGCCGATGCAGGTGCAGGTGCAGACGTTCCCATTGCTGTTGCTCCGCCCAAGACGGGCAACGATGCACCGTTGCAGGACATGGGCAGCCGACATGCCGTTGAGGCCTCTCCCGAAAGCGGACCACGCGCCCAGGGAAGCGTGTCGGGCGCGGCATCGACGGCGGACGGCGATGGCGGTTCGTCGCGGTGGGCTGCACGGACGCTGTCGACGGGCTCCAGCACGGCCACGAAGCCACAACAGCAGGCCAATGGTGACGGCGAAGCAGGGAGCGACAAGAGGTCATCAGGCTGTCGACAGGAGCAGCTGGCACGCAGCGGGCTCGCACGGTTCTTCAAGCAAGGCATCGGGGCGGGGATCTGGAAGGTGTTTGACCCGACGGACTTTCGGATCGCATACGTGGGCACGGCAGCATCCAACATGGCGCACCTAGTGGACCTGCACGCATCACACCGACAGCAGCCGCTGTCTCCTGCAGGAACGGCGACGGCAGCCGATCCAGGCGGGCTCGGACGGGCGCTGCACTACCCCTACCCGCCGATCCGACCGCCCAAGTCGTGGAAGCCGAGCGTGCAGGACTGGGGCTTCTCTCTGCCACAGGATCTGGCGTCGGACGTGTCGTCGTTCCCGGTGCCCGAGGTGCGTGATGCTCTGGTGGCGGCATACTTTCGGCACATCCACCCGATCCTGCCGGTGGTGTCGATGCCCGAGTTCCTGGCGGCCTACAGCGATGCCAGCCGGTCTCCGCCACCGCTGCTGCTCTTCCAGGCCGTGCTGATGGCCGGGGCCCATGCGTGCGACCACCCACTCGTGGCGGCCGACCGTCATGCCGTCAAGAGCGTGCTCTTCCGCCGTGCTGCTCTGCTGTACCACACGCGACACGAGACAGACAGGATCCACTTGATGCAGGCCGCCCTGCTGTTCACATGGCACGTTGGCGACGGCGACACCATCTCGGGCGGCCCGTGGTATTGGGCCGGCATTGCCGTGCGCATTGGCTGCGGCATGGGTGCTCACCGTCACAACGCTGCTCTGCCGACACCCGAGGCCGCTCAGTACTGCCGCTGCTGGTGGACTGCCTTTGTGTGCGAGGTCCTATCGGCCCTCGAGACCGGCCGGCCGTGTGCGGTGCGTGCTGAGGATATGGACCAGATGCTGCCGACCGATGCCGTCCTGACCGATGCTCCGGCTGCTGGGGCTGATGTTCGCGGCGGTGCCAGTGCTGCTTTTCTTAGCCGCATCGTCGAGCTGTGTTACATCGGCCTCGACATCCTCTCGGCCAACGCACCCTCACGCCGGCTTATCGTCGACATGGATGGCATCGACAACCGTCTCGGTCTGTGGTCTCTGCGAGCCGGCATCGCGTCGACGCTCAGCCGTGGCGACGGGTCTGCTGCTGCTGCTGCTGTTGCAACCACAGATGCCGTCAGCTATACCGCTGCCGAGCAGTGCCAGCTCCGGATGCACTACGGACTCATGCTGTTGCACCTGCACCGCAGCTGCCGGTCGCAGACGCCGGCGACGCCGGCCAGCCCGTCCGTCTGCTCAGCGGCTGCGCGCGCCGTCATCACGTCGCTCGAGACGCTCGCCACCCTGGACGGCGGCCTTGCGGGCTGCCACTTTGCCAGCGTCAGCGCCGTCACGGCCGCGGCCATCCAGACGGCCCACGAGGTGCATGAGGCTGCGCTGGCTCGCTCCTTTCTCATCGTCATCACGGCACTCGAACAGCTCGCCCGGCTTCTGCGCGTGGCCGAGCTGCTGGCCAAGCACTGGCCCAATGCTCAGGCCATCTGCGACGTCTTCCAGGAACTGCATCAGGAATACGAGACCTACGTGGCCCAGGACCTTCGCGGAGAGCAGGCCATCATCCCCGAGAGCCAGCCCGACTGGAATCTGCTGCTGGCTGGCGTCCAGATGTCCCGTCTGAGCGGCGGCCTGGCCTCGGAGCAGGACTGGATGAACATGCCGAACATGCCCTGAGATCCATTGCGGATGCTGTCACGCACTGGCGCTACCTCTCGCCACAACCCACAGAAACTTGACCCCATAATCTGGATCGCTCTCGGCCAGGTGTCCGTCGCCTGCTTCCAGCACCTCGGCCGCCACCAGGTCCATGCCGGCCGCCTCGAGCATTGCCTTGTTCTCTCCGACCCCATAGCTGCTCCAGAACATGCCGTGGCCGAGGAACTCGCCGTGGATCTCCTCGGCGTCAAAGGTCGCCAGATTGCACGCAAACAGGCCGCCGGGCCGGAGCCACGAGCTGATCTTGCAGAGCATTGCCCGCTGCTCGGCGCGCGGCAGGTGGAAGATGGTGTAGAAGCTGATGATGCCGTCGAAGCTCAGCGGCGCAAACACGAGCGCGGCCATGTCGCCCTGCACAAACGTCGCCTGCGGACACCGGGCGCGCGCCATGACGAGCTGCCGGGCTGAAATGTCGTTGGCCACCACCTGCGCACCGCGTTTCAGCAGCCGCTGCGTGATGGGAACGCCGGGACCACAGCCCAGCTCAAGGATCCGGGGCGAGGGCGGCGCATTTTCGAGCACCATGTCTGTGTACCGCTCGCGGGGCGAATCCTGGCCCTTGACCCAGTCGAGATACCATTCTGCAATGTCGTCGTATGTTTGCTCGACTATTTCTTTGGGCTTGTCGTGCATCACAGGATTGACCGGCTCTGGCGTTGTGCGGGAGAAGAACGTTGACCGATTCACCAAGAACGACAGGGCAAGCTAGAGTACGTTGGCTTACGTAATGATGACTGTCGGTGACGAATAATGGGGCGAATGGCTGCACTGTACGGAGTAGTCTACAGAATATACAAAGTACATACTAGTATATTCTCGCCAGCAAGGTGTAGTCGATGCAGAACCACTTGATCCCAAACGAAGACAAGACGTCGTAGAGGATCATGATGCCGATGCAGATGGCCGACCGACAAAGAACGGGCCCAGGCGCCATTTGAAGCTTTGGAACCTATTTTCCATCTATGTTAAGGTGAAGAAGAACATATCTTACCTTACAGTTTAGTAAACTTATTACAAGTTAAGTGCTACCTTTGCTAAATTACGATGAAAGTAGAGTCCTAAAGGTGAGGGGAGAAACTATTCGCCTATACCGTCGTGGCGATTAAGGTGTTACAGCGTTGTTAGCTGCCTCTAATGTATGATTTCCGCGAAAATAAAGGTGCACCGTCATTCGATAGTAAGGGACGTCAGTCTGTAGGATTTGACAGTGAGACGTGATCTCCTAGCTCAACAGGCAAGGATTGACGAGTGTAGATTGGCTACACTTGACACGTGATATTGTATCGCGGGGCGGCCCTTTAGGCCCTTTTGCAGAAATGCTGGCGAGTTTAAGATCAAGTGCAAGCTCGAGCACCATGGGGCAAGTAACCGATGAGGCTTGTCAGAGATGCGGCGTGTATGGACTGACGACAGAGAGCTGGTACGAGTCCTCGATGATGAGCCGACCAAGCCTCGCATCCCTCAGAATAGGGGCCGAAGAAGGATGTCCCTGCTGCCGTATTGTGGTGGATGCGTTGGACACGAGGAAGCCGCGATGGATAGTTGGCGATGGAGGTACTATTGGTTTGGACTGGTTACCCGGAATCGGGACTCTGCGTGTTCGCGAGTCCGACGACGTCCAGGATAGTATCTACATCTGCCGCCATATTGACAGGTACGTATCCTTCGGTTGACCACGCAATTCCTTTTACCCCTGGCGTCTCATTCAAGATGCGCCAAACAGCACACGGGGCCGAGAAGACAGCGAGGACCTGTTTCTGGGCACGCGCTTCTCTGCCAGACCAGAGGTTGTATCGGACACAACGAGCAGTCTGTCTTTGGATTGCGCCGCTGCTTGGCTTGCAGACTGTGATGCGAAGCACCCAGCCTGTGCCGAGCCGTTCTTCCGATCGCCAGGCTTGACCAGAAGCAACATCGCCGAGGGAGATACGTCGGCCAAGCATATGCCAAGCCGCGTCCTTGATGTGCAAGCAAATGGTGAGCAAGGTGCCAGTGACAGCATTCGCCTTGTTGAAGGCCTCACGCCACCCCATCCCTACGTGGCTCTCAGCTACTGCTGGGGCAGCGACCTAGACAGCGTCTGCAAGACCACGGTGGTCACGAGACAGGCGCACCTGCAGTCCATCACCGTGGCGGATCTTCCCCAGACCATCCAGGATGCCATTCTGGTGTGTCGGCGGCTGCATGTGCGTTACCTTTGGGTGGACTCGCTTTGCATTGTGCAGGACGACATGGACGACTGGTCGCGCGAGGCAGCTGACATGTGCAATGTCTACCAGTGGTCGTATGTCACGATCGCCGTGCATTCGGCCACGTCCTGTAAGCAGGGCTTTCTTGGGAAACAGCGGTTCGGGCAGCCTGAGTGCCAGGAGGTCTTTTGGACAGATGCAAGCAGCGCGACTGATGGAGGGGGACCCGGCAAGACGAAAACAAAGATGCTGCTCCGCGTCCGTGACAAGGCATACGAAGAGACAGAAACGGCATTGGACAAACGTGCCTGGACCTTGCAAGAGGCGGTTCTTCCCCGGCGCGTGCTGCGCTTCTTTGGCTATGAGATGGCGTGGGAGTGCCAGACGACAAACCAGTGCGAGTGTGGTGGCGATCTGGACAACTTCGCGTCGCATTTGCCGTTGCTGGGGCTCGAATTCCGCCAGCTCGAGGACACCGACAGCGACACAGGGCCTGCATCACGGAGCGACAATGCTGGCTTGTCTGCGTATGGTGACAGCGAGGACTCCGATGGCACGCCGTCGCTTCCCGGCGATGTTGCTTCCAGCAATGGGGGCGATGCAGTGGAAGCGCCAACCGACTCTCGATACGACGATACATCTCCGCCCACAAACGCATTGGCTGGCCGCAATTGGATGCGCCTGGTGGAGCAGTACTCACAGCGTAGCCTCACCCAGCTGTCGGACAAGCTCATCGCCATTGACGGCCTAGCACGACTGGTAACATTGGCCACAACGGGCCTGGAGGATGCGGTAGCCAGTTCGCCGGCCGGGGACCACACAGTGATCCGCCCTGCGTACGTCGAAGGACTGTTCCGTGCCCATTTCCCGTCGCAGCTCCTGTGGCGTGTCAGGCACACAGATACACCCAACCAAAAAGAGGCTGTTTTCGCACCGGAGGAGGATGCTGTGTCTCCCTCACAGGACGACAGCGAGGGCGAGCATCAGGAGCCCGCAACGTGGCCTGTGGATGGCGCAGAGCCGCTATGGGTGCCGTCTGCGACCTGCCGGCCTGACACGCTCGAGGCTCCTTCGTGGTCTTGGGCGTCGGTAGAGGCTCCTGTCGAGTATCCGTTTGGCTTTCTCGAACAGACCGACAGCCTGTTGGAGGTCAGAGATTTTGCACCCCGGCCGTTCACGGCGCCCGCAGGCACCGGCCGCAACATAACCGTGTTGCAAGCACGGACGCGAGCTGTTCCTGTCTCTATGCGTGTGGCATCGTGGACGCTGAGTGAAACACAGCTGGTCCGCCTGCATATCGTGCGGTCCATGAGCGGCGTAGCGTTCACCTTTTCACCCGATGAGGAACGGCAGCCGGATCTACACCTCGACGATCCCGCATTGCCATGCTGGGTGGCCCATGGGAACTTTTCCGACCGCGCTCTTCGCCGAGAGTGGTGTGCACGGCGAGCTAAGGCCGCCCAAGCTGTGGGCAGTGGTGCGATCTCCTGGCGAGAAGGCTGTCAGCACAGGCCACGAAGCTCTAGCTCCAGGTGGTGTCCAACGTGCCGCTTCCCCGACAAGGGGTGGGGGTGGAACGAGAGGGGCCCGGATAGGCAGTACTCCTGGTCAATGTGCTGCGTGGAGGTCTTGGGCCGAAAATATCCAGGCTCTACGGGCATCCACTTTCTCGTACTTGGTCCGTCAACGCGCGTGAAGGGAGCCTGGACGCGCATCGGGGCCGGCAACTACATTCGGTGGGATCATCACCCTCTGCAGAACGACTTGTTTTGGAGAGGCAGAGTAGAGCATCTTTCCATCGTTTAACGCAAGGTTTGTGTTGGAATTAAAATAGCTCACGCGTTAAACATATAATCTGTGAAGCTCTGGAATGGAGCGCACTGTGACCGTTCTGACTAATGTCAGAAAAGCGGCATCTCATTGGTCAGAATAGGTAAAAATGGGGAATAGCCCGAATCTCTGCACCATGGAAGGTGCGCCATGTACTCCTTTCTAGTCAATACATCACGCATATCATCAGCCACACCAAGCAGACCCATACAGTGCTTCGTATCCCCTGCCATTAGCATCAGTTGTGTATAAACGAATAGAGAGCGAGCACGCTAAATGATTACATACGCCTGTATGGTGCTGTGACATCGAAGTTTGTATGTAATCCCTCTCTGTATTCACAGGTACTCATCCGGCATCGGGATCAGAGTCTCGTTTCCTGCTGCACACATAGCCGGATGCTCCTCCGGGAGAGCCTCAATGTTCTCCATCCTGACATCGGAGCACTATCCTTTAGATTAGTCTCAACGATACTACTTTTAAGCCCAAGCAAGGACCAGCTGGGAGAAACGAACATGGTATTGCACTTCCCCCGTTTTCGGGTCCTTCGCCTCAAAGTACATGACGCCCATCTCGTGGGGTACAGTCTCGAATGGTATCGTAACATTTACGCACAGTTGGCCAGAAGGATGGATGGGCTCATTCTGCAGAATTACTTTGGAGAAGTCATATCTTTTCTTCGGCACTCTGCTCTGTGTATAGAGGACTGTCACCAGATCCCCAGGATGGCCGGAGAACGAGAGGAAGGTGCGTGATTGCCGGGCGTATTGTTGGGGATTAAGCGTTATTTCTCCTGCTCCGTATCAGTTCATGCCCCAAAGGAAGAAAAAGTGCCAATGGCAACGTACGACAGAAAGGGCTGTACGAAGCCAACTCATCCCGGGTCTTGGGATTTCGACCGCGGGACATCCATGGGTACTGAACGTGAAAGCCAGCGTGAGCGGCAGATGTGAGGTTGATACAAATTCCAAGGGTGAGGAAAAACGTGATTGCAGCGAGGAGAGAAGACATGGTCGGCAGTTTCCAATGGACAGAGGTCAAGTTGAATGCCGAGAGCGAGCAGACAGCCGGAGCAAGATGAAGTACGGAGCACGTGCGGAGCACTTCATCCTCCGGCGGGCTATTCTGGATTTAGCAAGTCCCTTCGGATCTTTCCTACCTGCCAAAAAGGGCTGGCGTTGGCCCGCAGAAGGATGCGCTTTTGCCATCCGGTCGCCGAAAGGCAGAACATGGCGTATTAGCGTGATCCTTTACTCCGCCGACCTCCACTTTTATTGATCGGTGTAAATTCGTCCGTAGAGTCTCCACATTCCCTTTTGGGCTGGTTGTCTTACACGTGTCCATCGTCTGTTTCAACCTCAACTTCGACTACGGCCACGACGTGACCCTCGCCCTCGTCTCTCGCACTCGCCCTGCTCTTCTCCTCTTTAATCTGTACTGCACTGCTGTTATACCGCACCCACAATCATGTTTTCTCCCAAAGAAACGCCCGTCTCCTCCGCTGCGTATGCACCCCTTGCGCTACACGACGATGGCGAGCGCTCCAACTCAACTCTCTCTCTGGAGAAGGGCTCATCCTCCGCAGACGAAAAGGAGCACTCTGGTTTATTGACGGAGGCCTCTGACGACGATTTCTCTGCCCTTGCATCATCCAAACCCTCCCAGCTAGCTCTGCCCAAGCTTATCCTCTACTTCTCCGTTGCTGTAGCGTTGCTATCCGTCGTGAACATTGCTCTACTTCCCAGTACGCTTGCAAAGCACTATGCCTACCCCTACTCGGAATCAGAAGTTCAAGCTCTCCCTCATGGCGACTTTAGGCTGGGATTGGACAGGGCAGCAAAACTTGTCCCTCGTCCCTTGGCTTACCACCGTGCTTGGCCGGACAAAATTGCACGCGTGAGCCGGAAGTTGAAGAATTCCGTCTATGGCAATGGAGTCCAGGTCTATATTACTGTCGAGGTTCGTGTCAAATCCTTGATTCTACATGAGCCTTCGTACTGACATATAAGGACTCGACAATCCTGCGCTTTCCCATCCCCAAAGAAGGCGCCAAGACGTGTGCCATTTCCTGGACACCGCCTCCTGAGCTCTCTGCACGTGCCAAGGACCTTACAACAAAGGGAGATATCACGGAGATTGAAGTCTGGAATCTGATCGCGCCATCGGTCAAGGCCACCAAGGACACCGAGGCCACTGTGGACAAGGTCGACTACGATACCTTGTCGTATTCGACCATTCCCGTGCGTGGTGAGCTGCTCGGCACGCTCAATCTGACAGTCAAGCCCAACAGCACAACTGTGGAGTTTGCTTGTCCAAGCGACACAAATAGTCTCGTGGTGGAGATGACGTGCCAGCGCGTGGCATGCCATGTAAGCTATCTGCAGATCGATACGGTGCCGAAACTTGGGATGGAGTTGGTCAGGAAGACGGATTAGTTAATCAAACATTTTATAATTGAAGCTCTTTTTAGATTACGAAGGAATGGGGCGAGTTTGGGGTAGAAACTGTTCTACATGCAAAAACTTGTTTCACTCCTTGGTTCGTATTATACCTATCGGATAGGCACGAAATATAATAGCAATGCTAGCTAGGACAACATAACTACTCAGAACACGCTGTTTGTGATGCGCCTCAATTAAAGATCAAGTCTTCGCCCCAGCCCTAGCCGCTGTACAAGATTCAAGGAAGAGATACTCGGGTAGTACGCACGTATATGCAGAAACAATACTGGAGATACGGCTTTGCGTGCTATTGTCCAATACATACAGGTGTGGTTGGATTGTTCATCTATGGATATAAATGTGTGTGCATGTATCTCTGAACCTTTTAAACATCCTTGAACTTGAGACTCTAGTCTTCATAGGCATCCTCATCTGCAGCTCCTTTGGCGTACTGGTGACGCTTCTCCAAAGCATCCTCATCAGCTGCTCCTTTGGCGTACTGGTGGCGCTTCTCCAAGGCGTCCTCGTCTGCGGCTCCTTTGGCGTACTGATGACGCTTTTCCAAGGCGTCCTCATCAGCGGCTCCTTTAGCGTACTGGTGGCGCTTCTCCAAAGCATCCTCATCAGCTGCTCCTTTGGCGTACTGGTGGCGCTTCTCCAAGGCGTCCTCGTCTGCGGCTCCATGGGCGTACTGGTGACGCTTCGCCAGTTCATCCCCGCCACCGCGAGACAAAGCCATGGCAGGAAGTGCCACGGCCTGAACGGGGAGGATATTCAGGCCGAGGCTAGCGAGGCCGAGAAGAGCAGTAGCGAAATGCATTGTTTTTGAGAGTTTGGTAGTTTGGAGATGAGGTTAAGTGTATGAGTTCTTTCTTAGAGGGAATGAAGAAGTGGCTTGATGATCGGATGTTTTTGTTACAGCTGGGAATACCCTTGTGACCTTTTATCTGTCGAGAAATCACAATCCGAAGATAACCAATTTCTTTCGAGAATGATCCGTTCACCCGTAGGATTATCAGTGCCTGCTATTGTCTCGCTTGACGTTGTCCGAGTCGGCTTAAACCTTGTGCCTACCTACTCGAATCCTATACATTGCCCCACAACGAACCCCCGGGATAATCTTTTTAGCGTCTCTTCGGCAACATACCCCTGCAAGATAGTCTCAACGCTACACCGTCTTTCGCGATCGGCAGCAGCCAGTAAGCTCCGGACGTTCCTTCCATACGACGTATGCCCCTGGCTGCAGTAGTCCAGATCCTTTCAGCCCGAGACAAACTATGTGCTCACATTAGCGCATCGTTTTCTCCAACGCTTGCGCTTTGTCTTCTATACACCTCCTTCTTTGGTCTTAAGTTCTGCTTACTCGGCGATGTAAAGCCGAGGATCACGATCCTCATTGACTCAGCTGTTCGAGACCTACCTCTTATCTTCTTGCTAGTATCGTACCACCTACCGGTTTCGATCCTGATCGTAAGGTCTTCACGGAAGTCTGTATCCTCGGTTTCTCCAAAGGCATCGACTGCAATCTAGCGAGTTTACTAGTGATCTAGACGGAGTCGACATAATCCCCAACTGAAAATCTTGACAGGTACCCCTCCTTGTCTCCTGCGCTCACCTCTCTCTGCTTCGTCAAAGCACATTCTGTCACCACTGCCATGATTTTTCTCAAGTCTCTGCCCCCTCAAGCACGTGGCCTGTCTCTCGGCCTGCTCGCCGTGCTGAGCATATGCCTTGTCCTGAATCTGGGCGCCTTCGTCTTCCACCTCCGCATCTTGACGCGTGGAACGCGGAAACACAGTATGTCGTATCCTATGTCCCAGACTGTCTCCTTTTCCCTGACACACTGCAGCGTATCTCGAGGGCGATCGACCCCACGCGCTCCAGCTCAGGCTTCGGACCCTCCAAGCTCACTTCCACGACGACGATGAGCACTACGAGATAGACGGAGCCGCGGCTAAGTTTGAATGGAGATCGATCCGGCCGCCTGGCAGGGGATTTGTCTTTTTAGGAGAGGAGCGCTTGCCGTTCGGTGTGTCGATGTGGCACCAAATTCACTGCCTCGACCACATCCGCGGGGTGCTGGTAAACGGTGACGATGGATCGGATCATACGGCGCACTGCTTCCATTACTTACGGCAAGCCATTCTTTGTGCAGCTGACACAACCCTAGAGCCAGGAGGTAGGGCCATGAAATTGCCCAACGGGGATATAGTTGCACCGGACCACGGAGATGTGCATATGTGCCGGGACTGGAGACAGGTCTATGACTGGATGGCAGATCAGTACAAGTTGTGGACGCCGGACATGTTTGAAAGGTTCAATGAGACTAGCTAAGTCAATATACGGAGATTATGAGGATATAGGATGAGGATACGAATAATGTGATGGCGATGTATAGAACATGCGTCGTATGAGACGTATTAGAAGTGAACATTATCGTGGAAATCGTATTTTCGTATATCTATAATCAATCTAGTCGTCCTCGTTTGTATATTGATAACACAAAGGCCAACTCTTAGTATCGAAAACCATACTCGGCGTCACTGGCACACTCTGCACGTCGAAAGACATCCGATGATCTGCATGTGCGTTGGGGTCGTAGCGTTCATCAGTCATATTGTGCGGACGTGTGGGCATGCCAGAAAAGGCGGCAAAGTTGGACGGGTGGTGGTGTTGCCACTGCAGTGCGGTTCAGTAAGTCAACGCTTTTACTTTTCTCGAATGCAATCATGGGCTCAGGCTCACCTCGTTCCACAGCCGGTCGAGCTGCGCATGATGCAGCCAAAAGAGCGGATCGTTCGGCGTGAAGCTAGCCGTCATTCCCTGGCATTTCTCTTCCGGCAGAGCTTTGGGACAGTCTCCGGCCATGTCGCCCCCCACGAAATTGTGTACGTGGTCGTGCATGCGTTCCATAGCGTCCTGGAACCGGAAAAAGTCGCCCGTCGTCTTCTCGGTCGCGTTGCGCACAAAGTCTGGGCTGAGTGTGCTGTTTTGCGGGCGCTCACCTTCAAACCAGCCGGTGATGAGCGTGAGATTCCTCCTCAGCGGATGGGGGATCGGCCACGAAAGCGAGAAGTCCCCCTTCTCGCTGGACGAGGCAAAAGCACCGGTGGTGACGGTACAATCCGCCTCGGGCGAGGAAGCACAGTCCCCCGTGCCGCCGAGTCCGTACTCTGGTGAGTCCTCAAACACGGGCGAACTGAACAGATCAGCATGATCTCGCGACCAATCCCAGTAGGGTGTTGGCCCTCTGTATCCGCAAGTCTCACGAAGGGAAGTGTCGAATAGGTATGTGAACCAGCGGTCTGTGTGAATGGTAAGCACTCTATACACGTTCTGGGGAAGGGAAAGAACGTAACGCACGCCACGGCAAGAAGTAGGCATTCCCGTGGGCGCTGTGCTCGAGGGATGCGTGTGCGTAAGAGAAGTCGTCGTACAGGCTCCTCTTTCCTTCGAGAACCGTCCGGTTCGTCGTGAAGGAAAGCCGTTCGTGATGTATGCTTGTCAAGCACTACCCAGATTAGCAACGTAGGTGTTGTCTTGGGGCTTCTCGGGGAATAGGATGCACCTTGACAGCTCCCACCCATTTGGCTTTCTCGTCATTTGTCAACGTCCGCCATTCTTTGCGTATCTGCAGCTTTCTACACTTTATCGGGTTTCCCTCGCCCCATGGGAGGACGGCGACGATGGCCAGCATGCACGTGAACCAGTTCGAAATCCCCATGACTATCGCTGAACCAGGAAGCGGAAAAAAGCAGTTACGGAAGAGAGACAAGAGGACGCCGTAGATGCAGTAGTACACGAAGCCCGAATAGGCAGTTCATTACGGAGTGATTAGTACAAATAGGTGCCCCACCGCATTTTCGCCAACTTTCAGCTAGCCGTTATGTCTTGCTTTGCGGCAGCTAACTCTGCTCCTTCACGATGCCCGCAATCCTATGCTTACACAAGTGGAGCCCTTGCACTTTCTGATCGTGCCATTCCCCTCTCTCTTCTCCTATTGTGATAGCAATAGCAAGGACCAACCTTTCCACTGTTAGTACTTCTTCCCTCTCCACCCTCGTCGCTTTTCTCTCACGTCCACCTTGAAGTCACAATTACCACGCCACAGACATGCGTTCCTCAATCTGCCTCTCCGCAGTTTCTCTCCTCTGCATCGTCTCGGCATCTTTGTCCGATATCCCAATTCTCTCCCCAATCTCTGGGAGTACGGATGCAATACAGGTCGCGATCAGCCCTCCACTTAATGACACTCTCATTCCTATCTCCCGAGAAACAGTCGAAGCTTCTCCCGAGGCCGCGAAGCCCATCAAGCCTGTCCAGGCACTCGGAGGCAGGAAAGTAGAGAAAACGCGTCTCCCAAAAGGATTGGCGCACGCCATCAACTCCTTCGAGCAGTATCCGTACCTTGCCGAGCGCGGGCTGCAGCGGAAGTATGCTCGGTATGCCAAGCAGCTGCCTATACAGAGGGCAGTCAGCAACAAGCTGGGCTATCCTTCCCATTTTGAGGCTGCCCGGAAGGGCATCGAGGTAAACACGCAGGTCTTGGACCAGATCGCGCTGATTGCGCGAGAGGATTATCAAACCGGCCAGGCACTGCTGGAAGACCAAGACAATGCCGAGTTTGGCTTAGTCAGCGGGGTGTTTGCGCACCTCTCGCGCGACTGGAGCTCACAGGGCGCCAAGGAGAGAGGGGCCGTTTTCCCGCCTATTTTGGAGGGACTTGCGCAACATTTTGGCACAAATGCGCAAGGGAAAAAGATTCTCGTCCCTGGAAGCGGCATGGGAAGACTGGCAAGCGATCTAGCTGATCTCGGTGCGTCTTGCATTACCTGAATTGGAATTGCAACCTCTAACACTGTCTTTCAGGATATGATGTTACAGCTAACGAGATGGATTACGGCGCCATCTTGGCCTATCACTTGCTGGCAAACCATACTACTGAGCTGCACCAGCATACACTGCAGCCCTTTGTAAGCGACTGGGCGCTGCAGACCAAGTCCTCCGCACGCTACGCCTCTATGACTGTGCCAGATCACCTGCCCAATCCGGCCGTTAAGCTCGTCGAGGGAGACTTCCTGGAGATGTTCCCGGAGGACGGAGAATTTGACGCTGTCGTTACACTCTTCTTCATCGACATGGCCGACAACGTGATCAACTTCCTAAGCAATATCCATCGTCTTCTCAAGCCAGGCGGCGTATGGATCAACCTTGGACGTACGTTTCCGTGCCTTTCTCCTGTTGTGTTTACTGAACGAAACTGACACACAAAGCACTGAAATGGGGATCCTATGCTGCTCTTCAACTTTCCACTGAGGAAGTGCTCCAGCTGGCAGATCTGCTCGGCTTCGATGTGGACCATACGTCCAGGAAAAACGTCGACAGCTTGTATGGTGCCCAACAGGACACATTGCTGAAGTTTACTTATGGTAAGTTCCGCCGTTACTTTGCTTCCCCTTTTTAAAGAGGTTCACGGTAGGTTGCTAATACAGGCAGTTACGGAATTTTGGTCTGCGTTAAAAGTGTAACTCGCTATGGTGTCACCGCTGTGCCGATGCGATCCGCTGATGGGTACCTGATAACCCCGCTTATAGTATCCAATCAGAGCCCACTGAATTGTTGCGCGGTGGTGCACGGACCACCTCTAGTGCAGAGTTTTCAGCCCAGACTTCCTCTAGCTTCAGATCTGTCTTCCTTCTGAATACAACGATCTTCGCCTCATCACATTGCGACTAAAGAAAGTCTACCGATAATATGATTTTAGAGTTAACAGCTCCAAGGATCGCAAGTAGAATCAATATCATAAATTTCCATGGAACTAATCTAATAAAGGCTAGGGCCGGACTCTAGAGACTGTGTGCTATGGCATATAAGTAGGCAGAGGCCAGTGTGCATCCTACCCCGAGCACTAAAACGAGTGAGCAAATCTAAGGCGTTCCCTAGAAAACTCGATACAGCCGAGGCAGTGTGCGGTCAAGGTCGGCTGTGTAGCGTTGTCGTAGAGGGTTTTGGTAATACTTATATACATAGTTACGTTAAGCTATTCACAAAACGCAGTTAGATACCAGGCTTAGAAGAGGGCTAGGCCACGTTGTTCGTCTGATCAGACGAAACTAGCCACCCAAACATCCATACAACGGACTCCTTTCCGACCCCCCACACTCTCTAAACTCGCCTTGCACGCGTCTCGTAACGCAAGAACCACAGCTCGTTCCCGTTCATCTTCCACTTTCTCCTCTACTTGCTTTTCGAAAGAGGAAGAAAGGCACATGGAAACTTCCCATAGTCCATCCAGCAACCCGTCACCGGGTTGCACGCGGGTCTCATTCTCTAGCTTCCAACCGGCAGCCACTGCCAAGTCAGCTATCCGCGTTGGTCCTAGTACCGTGCGGACGTTCGATTCACTCTTTGGTTTATGGCACTCTAGCGCTGCCTGGGTAAGCGCAGCCAATACATGAGGCTGAGCAGACTGATTCGTCGCTCCCAACGACCATTCCGCAAGGAGGAGACGTTTGCTGTGCTGCTTGAGAGCACGGAAGGTGGAAAGAATAAGCGACGGAGAGGAAAAGTACCAAAGACTGTGGGTTAGTACTGTTACGTCGAACTCTTTGCTCTCGCTAGATAAAGGGAGAGAGGCGAGGTAATCTTCAGGTGCTTGTTGCACCCATGTAATTCGTCCACCTAGCGGACCTTTTGAGATATGACCTTGTGCTTGGCCGAGCGTATACGGAGAACCTGTAAGGGCCGTTAGCTGGCTAACTTGCACAGTTGCAGCTTGCTGCGTTTATAAGAAAAGGAGAGAGCCCCACCATAGTCCAAGTCCGCTGGATCAACGGCCACGACCTTTCCTTGCTCGCCTACAGCAGATGCAAGGACAGTTGTGCAGTCACCCTGCCCACATCCTATTTCCAGCACTTTGAAGCCATCGGCGATGCTCCAATGCTTTAGGAGATCCAGGCGGTGAATGGTTTGGGAGTGCTGAATTTTAAAATCAGCTGGATCAGGGTTATGTAGAGAGAGACGGGCGATAACCTCAGCGTCGAGTTGAGAAGCCATGTCGTAGATAGATACTGGTATAAGACGGTTGAGTGGGTTGCCTAGCTATGTATTGTAGCCTGGGGCTCGGAGTTTTAGCTTTGATTGTAGTTACTAAGGGACAGAAGATAGGGTTCTTTATACCGGACGCCGTAGCATTGCTCCGTAGACTCGTTGGTGCAAATGCATGTTTAGCTTGGTGTCGAATCAAGTGGGTTGAAAGTTGTAACTCTAGGTCATGGTGAAGGGAGAGCTCCACTCTACTACATGGCAGAGTGCGACATGACTCATTTTGAACTGACTCATTCTAATCAGCTGCTTTGAACAGGTATCAGACATCTTCTTATTCGCAGATAGGCCTTGCCCACTACGGAGAAGTCTTTAAGATGTTGGTTATATGCCCGTCCCTCTTGGCGCTGTGGCCGATTCGATGACAAAGATGGAACCCATTCTACGTTTAATCCAGCCCCGCTCATTCCTTACGGCCATGTTTCCCACCTACCCGTTTAGTCTTCAATCCTGCAGCGCTACCCCATTAAAATGCCCAGGATTCTGGTCAACTTCAGCTGAGCTTGTCTCGGCCTTCTTATCTCTAAAGCACCTACCTCTTTGGTCCTGGTTGTAAGACAGTAGGACCACAGGATTACTACGCCGTATACGGATGCACTGATTTGAGCAGGTGTGTATGGACAAAGGGAACCTTGAGTGACAGGGTGCGTCTTTTACATTGAACAGCTGTAGAACAGCGGATGTCTGCTAGAAGAGAACCCCTTGCTTATATAGCTGTTGCCTCAATGATGAGGTATATAGAAAAGCGTATTCCCTTTAGCTCCGCTCTTTTATCATCACTGGTATAGCATCTCATGTCCCTATGCCATTTTAGCCTCGTAGAGATGCTTCCTCAAACCCATGATCATAATCCTCGCCGACAGTCGTGTCAGCAGTCTTCACCTCCGTGTCGAGCTCAATATTGTCGCCTTGCAAGCGAGTGTAGCCTGTACGCCGCCGCCACATATAAGCACCCACCCCTCCCGTCAGCACGACAACTGCCGCAGCTCCAACACCCAGCACTATCAGAGTTGTATCTGCCCCGGCTGACTGCAAGCCCACCACATTGGATGCCCGCAGCACGTTGCCATCCTTGTCTAGAGCTTCCGCCCAGGCATACCGCCGATTGGTGGCAACCAGCATCATGGCCGTCTCAAAGCCGGTTCGCGGTGATCTCACAAGCAGATCCCCAGTGCCTATCCTGGTGGTGGCGGTGGTGTTCGTATGGGCGACGCGGATCAGCCACTCCTTCACTTCGGTCGCTCCATTCCAGCTGACATATGCGGCCAGCTGGCCGTGCTCGTCCCGCTTGATAGCCATGGCCGGATCCCAGTACGGCGTGGCCGTCCAGTCCATCTTGTAGGCGCGGTAGTTGCTGAGCGCGTCTTGGATCTTGCTCGTGTGCCACGGCGAGAACTGCACGTCAAGCACGATGTCGCCCGAGGCCGTGTGCTCCGTGAAGCTGGGGCAATGGCCCCAGCCAACGAAGACGTTGCCAATGTCGTGGCCAGGCCCGGACACGGGATCGATCACCTGGACGCTGCCCTGGCTCAGGGACTGGATGCGCGCTGGATGAAGGTACTCGCTCAGCAGCTGCACCGTCGGCGGCGAGGCGGTCTCGTTAATGGTAATGTGCAGTCCGCGCGAGCAGTCCTCGACGCAGGTTCCGCGGCTACTCCGCTTCGAGTGGTAGTTGTCGAATATGGTCATCTGTGTCTCGTTGGTCCCGGCCACATAGTGCGCGTGGTGCTGCCAGCGCATGTGGTTTAGCAGAGGCCGGCTGAGGCTGATGCCTTTGGGCGGCGGCAGCTCGCTGAAAACGTTCTTTCGGCCACCCAGCTTCCATATGATCTCACCCGTCCGCCCGTCGATTAGAAGGAGCGAATACAAATGGCGCATCGACAGCAAATAGTTGCCTGCTTTCGTCTACTTTTGTCAACACAACGTCCCTAAACCTTGGAAACAAAACGGATCTAAACAGCCTACCTTTTGGATGCTGTTCAGGTGGTATGGGTCCCAGAGTCGGGTCTGCCGCTCCATAGACTCTGCCGGGTCGATGTGGTCCGAGGCCCGCCAGTCGAACAGCACCTTGTTCGTCTCGAGCTCGATCTCCTGGAAGCGCGAGTCGCGGATGCTGGCATCTTCTAGGCGGCTTAGGACCGGCCAGCTCAGCGACTCGGCCGGTAGCCACTCGACCGTGGTCACCAGTGCAGACCCGTCGCCGGTAAAGGCAAACTCGTGCAGGTCCATATTGTTCGGGTTGTCGGCCGTGATATTGTAGGCTAGGCGGTAGCTGTCGTCGTAGGCAAGCCCAAACCCATTGCCAAAGCCGCCATTGTTCTGCCCCTCCCAAAAGGTAAGGTAATTCCGGCCAAAGTTCTGCTGGATGCGCGTCCCAAAGACGTTTGCGAAGCTGCGGTTGACAAACACGGTGCTTAAATCGTGGGCGTCGATGATGAGCGGCGACGAGAGCTGTGATCCATCGTGGCCATCATGGCGCATGAAGATGTGCGATCCGGTCTGCGACACCGCCGCCTTGTTCCATGTAGTCACCTGCAGCACTGGAGCAAACTGGTCGATGGAGTGGAACTGCTGGAACGGCCGGTGTCCTAACTTGCCGGCGTTGTACTCGGCATAGTCAGTCGACGTGAGCTGGCCAAGGGCAACGTGCACGAGAGCGACGGTCAAAGTGGCGATGCACCCATATACTCTGGAAAACGATACATTCATGGTCTAATTGTGTATCCAGACGGCGACATGCTGAACCGAGCCTTGTCGAAGAGGGCTGACAGGTGTTTTTGACTCTAACATGGCATTACTCTCTAAAGATGATGGAAATAATATAGTGGATAGGAGGTGGCCACGGCGCGAACAAGAAAAAGGAGAAGCTCTGTGGTTCCTAACCCTCATATTTACACGTCAGTGGTGACGACGCAGTACGGAGCCCTCATTTGCCACGTGGAGAAACACGTGACGTTCAAAAGTCCAGCAGAGGTCCTCATAATCTCGCTGAGATTACGTAGTACAATCCCGTACTTCGTACTCCGCTCATGCGATGTAACGGCGGAAGTGAGATCGACATGGTACGGTCAAAGCAGATCAAGCCGATAGGGCAATTAAGGACTGAGATGTGCTTGTATAAGTACGAAAGAGGACAGGCATTAAGGCCAGGAGCCGGCGAGCTTGAGTGCGAATTCAGCCTTGAAAACGAACATAACTTTACTGCGTCAGATTCTTGTACAAGTAGTGTGTATTCCCGGAACTTGAACGGAGTAGAAGACTGCAAACAAGAATTCACTGAGTCGTAAGATGCAATTCAATCTTCTGTCAACCAAAGGCCGTACATGGTCACGTGACATGTGCTCATCTTCGCGGGTGAGTTTTTCCGACCCGTCCACACAGTTCACGATAAGCGCCCCAAAGCCGGTCGATTCGACCTGTTCCGATCTCCAGACTGTTTGTCTCGCAACCGCACCCGCTGACAAAAGTGGAATTAGTGACAACATGCAGCCTCGCGTATCGCAGCGCCCTTCGCTTGCATGTCGTGGTATGTGGTTTAAGACTGTGCTGCAGTGTGTTGTACCTTGCGACCCTGACGAGGATTTCTGCAGAATGCACGCGTAGGAAGCGGAAATGCGACAAGAAGATCCCCTGCTCGCGCTGTGTGCGCTTGAGCCTGCAATGTGACCGCGAGGTCATATATCTCCGGCGCCACATCAGCCAGAACGGCTCGGAGATAGCCTTCCTCACATCGTTGCGCGAGGAGCTCCAGAGCCCTAATCCCAGCAAAGTCGCAAAGGCCGTGCAGAAAATCACCGAGAGGATCGGCCTTCTCCACTCGGGTCAAGCCAAGGAATCGCCCAGCAGATCAGACGTCGGCTGTGACATTCTCCAGGAGCTGCCCAGCCCAGACAAAAAGGCCCAGTCGGAGCTGTCGGATGTCCCAGACTCGCAAGCCGAACCCCAGATCGACCCTGACGGCCAGGATTCTCTCATCGTGACAGCTCTGGAGCAGATCGCATGGGGCCGGAACTACGGCAACTGCTACCCGCATCGCCGTTGTGCTTGTCATCACAACCGCAGCTGGTCCGAGCTGTCGTCTATCGACAGCCAGTCCTTTCAGTTTGCCCGCTCCCCGTTTGCCGCCACGCTCAATCTTCCCCACCGCGATCTAGCGAATGTCCTCATCTCCTTCCACACGGACAATGTTGCCTGGCACCACAATTGCCTGCACTCGCCGACTTTTCTGCAGCAGTGCAACATCTTCTGGAACACGGGAGAATGCGACCAGCTCCAGTGGATCGCGCTCTACTGCTCCGTCCTTGCCACGTCGCTGTTCTGCCTTCAGCATAGCCCAAAGTATCACGATAAATACGGATACGCTCTGGGATCTGTGCCTTATTCGGCGCAAGAGCTGTTCAAAACAATGCTGGACATACTCTACGAAAGCAACTTCTTGCAGAACCTATCGCTGTATTCCGTACAGGCCATTGTCATCTCCACGGAAGTTGCCCACAACCTTGGCCACAGCCAGCTCAATGCGACCCTTTTCAGTGCAGCGATCAGGATAGCCGAGTGCCTAGGAGTGCACAAGATCGGAGATCCGAAACCGGACATTCTGGCCTCTGACGTTCCGCTGCCTCGGGAAGAATGGTATGCCATGTTAGAGAGAGAGGTTGGGCGCCGGGTCTGGCTGCAAATGGTCATCCAAGATCACTTTGCAATCCCGTTTACAGATTCCTACGGCATCTATCCTGCGCAGTACTCTACCAAAATACCCAGCAACGCCAACGACGCCAACCTCAAAGCCATGCCCGATAACATACCGACCGTCAGCACGTATACACGTGTCCTATCATCGATTGCCGATCTCATGCCTGAGCTAGCCGACGGCATGGGCCCCTTGAAGGAGCGAAAGTCAGTACGTAGGCAGTACGAACATGTGTTGGCAATGGACCAGAAGATGAGACATGTTGTGCGGGCCATCCCTCAGTTTCTTCTGCAGGCCAACCCGCTTCTCGAGGCCCAGATACCTTGGCTTGGCATAGCTCGCCAGAGTCTTGCCGTCACGGCCGCCGAAAAGGTACGCATGTTGTCTCCAGTCTGGATATAATGAGGCTTGTGACTAACCATTCAGATCATCATGATTCACCGGCCGTTCATGTTTCGGTCCTTTCAGTCACCGGCGTATGCGCCTACCCGGCGAACGTGCGTCTCGGCATCCATGACAATCTTGCGCAACCACAGGAGCATTACCGAATCGGGCGAAGTTTCGCTGTGGACCCATACGGCCTTCTGTATCACGGCAGCCTTGATTCTCTGCTTTGAAATCATCTGCAATCGGGGAGAAGACCACGCAGACGACCTGCATAGTCAAAGAGCCATGTACGGAAATGCAATTGATCACGCGCGCCAGTACTTGACAAGTCGTACTGGCGACGTGCTGGCCCAGCGTGGTGTGCTGCTGATCAATGCCATCTTCTCGGGAGTTCCTGGAGAAGCCCAGGCACCGGCCTCAATCAGCTTTGCCGATGTTGTCTCTCGTTTCACCTTGGACTGGGCTATCTTGGGCCTGAATAGCGAAATTCAACAGCAATCGGCGGAATCTCCGGTTGACTTGCGGCCTACACTTCGAGGATCACCTAGTGTGCATGGGGCTGGCTTCAGTCCAGAGTTTGAAGACTTTGATGCCTGGTTCCAGCATATCTTCTCCACCGGTGCCGAAGCGTTTGAGTAGAGAGAGTTGAACCGCCACGGATCGTCAGTGGTGGATGGACGAAGACACGACGTGCAATACCTTAAATCTATTTTTGCTCGGATGACCTGGATTGTGCCCTTGACGCTTACTAAGCAGAAACATGTCATATTCTACATGTTTTCGGCAAACCCCAAGGAGACTCTCCGATGTTACATTGTGCAGCACTCCGCAGTCGCACTCAGCCTTGCGCGGGGGAGACAGCTCCGAGGGTGTCATCCGTTATGTATGTCCTCGAACCCCACCAGCTCCAACCGTGCCTGTTCTTTTGGAGCATTTTCCTTTGCGGCAACACAACGGTCGAATCTAGTGGCATTTATACAGCGGTCCTGTATCGAGTGAACAAGGATGCTGGGCGACTTGCATTCTTTGCTGGTGTTTGCCAGCGAGGTATACGACCAGTACAAGACTCTAGGCAGAGAAGCCACGGAATTGAAGCGCCGTGTCAAAATATTGACACGGCTGCTGAAATCGTACAACGTTATGGTCGGAAACGCAGACAGATCGAATCTACTCGGCCCTGGTGAAATCGCCACCATGCGCACCATGTGCCGCAGCCTTCGGAAAGCTCTCGAACAAGCTGATGAGTTTGTCAAGCGGCTGAAAAGACATGTGAAGGCGATGATGGCGCTCATCAACTCGCCTGCATGCAGGATATTGCTCGAAACGCTGACGACGCGAAGTACCGAGCTGACTGGTTTTGCCGTGATTCTCAACTTGTGAGTATACCTTACACCCGCCTCTGGTGCTCTGCCTCCATCGCTAACGCAACCAGATGTATTCTGTTGGAGTCGAAAAAAGAAAGCCGTGTGTACGAACGCGTCAAAGCCGCAAATATACCTTCATCAGCCCTGGACTTCACCCGTGATCTGCTGATGTCAGGAAAATACATCGACTTGACCTTTCCCAACGGTAACACATCTCTCCATTACGCGTGCAGGGCCGGTGACCTGCCCCTGGTCCGACTGCTTCTCCGCAATCAGGCAGACCCGGGCAAGATGACCAACGATTTGCAGAATTCACTACACCTGGCCGCAGCCAAGGGGCGCATCGACATTCTTACCGCGATCCTCGCCCACGTGGCCGATTACCGGCCGACAGAGATGACCGTCCTATTAGAGCAGGTGGATGGCCATCAGAATACGCTGCTGCACGCGGCATTGCAAGCCAAGTCGCTTTCGACAATCGAATTTGTTACCAAGCAGCTGGCCGATGCCGGCTGCACCAACACCATCAATGCGTGCAACAAAGACGGCTCCCTACGGCGCTACATCTTGCGCTGGGACTGTCTAACAGCCTTGACAGTGGCGGCTGGATCGCCCGGCGTCTTCTCCGGACGGCTAAGCAAGTCAAGATTGCGAAAATTTTGGCGATCCTGCTAGAGGCCAAGGCATCCATTATAGACAATCGCGGTGAAGGGGCCGTCACCGGCCGGACGGTGCTGCACACGGCCGTCAAGGAGCAGAAGCCATATGCAGTCAAGGCACTTCTGGTAGCAGTGCCCAGCCTCAAGGACGCCCGTGACAGCGCAGGCCAGACGGCCCTGGAGTTGGCGGTGGAAAGCGGCCAGGTGGCCATTACCAAGGCACTGCTAAAGGCCGGATCACCGATCCAGACGCACAAGAAGGCGGACACAACACTGCTACACATGGCAGCCAAGACGGGCAACGAGCGTGCTGCGCTCACGCTGCTACATGCCGGCTTTCCAGGCCTCAACGCGCAAGACAGCACCGGCCGAACGGCGCTGTATATGGCAGCGGAAAGGGGCCACGTGGAGGTCGAGCGTGCCTTGCTGGAGCATCGGGCATCGATCCGCATCGGACGCTTTGAGGACAGCAAGACGGCCCTGCACGTGGCGGTGGAAAATAATCATGTGGACGCGGTTCGGGCGCTCATCACGAGGCGGGCGACCATTATCGACATCTGCGACAACTCTGAAAAGACGGCTCTGCATGTGGCCGCAGCTCGGGGCTTCGTCAGAATCGCCAAGCTCCTCGTTGCCGGGAGGTCGACGGTGGTGAACGCCCGCACCGCCACCGGAAAGACGGCTCTGCACATTGCCGCGGCCAAGGACAGGCCTGGCGTCATCGATGTCCTGGTTGATGCCGGAGCCTCTTTGAAGCTACTGGACGAAAATGGCCGCTCAGCCAAAGACATGGCTAAGAACAAGAATAACTGGGCGGCTATGGCAGCGCTGGCCAAGGCTAAGCAGGAGCGGGAAAAGGAGAGAAAGGAGAGAGCAAGGAGCAGCCATAGCTAGATAGCTGGTTTGCCTTTGCATGTCGTTCTACGATCGTTGTGGCTGTGGTCAGGTTTACTATATTCCCGTTGCCAACCGAAGATGTGGTCCTAACATTGCATATTCATGGGCATAAAGGTTGTAAAAAGTGCATTTACGCTCGGTTATAAAGTAATGGGTAGAGTATATCACGTATTGTACCGTTACGCTATCCTGTCAATACCGCTATTTCTCAGAAAACAAAATAACCAGTTAGTTTCCCCTTGCAAAGCCCGTCTCGTTCACTCCGGGATACTTGCGGAAAGCCTTGGGGGCAGTGCCGCTCGTCATCGTGCACTGCCACATGAGCCGCTTCTTGGCCTCGTCTTCCTTGTACTGGGCCAGCTGCCCGGTGATGCTGTGCATGACGCCCCTATTGTGAAACACGACCAGATCACCGGCTTCCCACCGATGGGCATAGATATTCTCCGCTGCCCAGATGCGCTTCTGGAACCCGTACACAACGTTGCGGACCTCCTCGACGTCGTCAATCACCGACTCTGCGCCCGTGGCCGGATCTCTCGTCGTGAGCTTGTAGACACAGCATCCGTGCACCTGCAGGAACGGCCGATCAGGGTTCAGCGGGTTGCGCCACACCATCTGCGTGCAAGTGTCAGACACAGTTATTTGAATCGTCGCCGTTTCAGGGTTGCTCGAAACTTACCGGGTGCTCAGCCACCTTGTCCCAAGACCAATCAGACAAGGCTTCGATCGAGGTCTCCTTCCCCATAGTAGGAATCGTCAGGCCATCCTCAGAAGACTTGCAGTGCCGGATGAACTCGTAAGCCTGTGGGGCGTATGTCACTGTAGTGTTCAGGGCAAACTCCTTCTCTTCAGGCGTGAGCAGCTCAAAGGCTCTCGCTCCGGAAAAAACTAAGACGTTCGGTCAGCGGTGTGGCACGAAAGGAAAACAGGAAGCGTCTGTCAACATACAGGCTGTAGCACCGGCAGCGATTTCCTTTTCCTTCCCATCGGGAAACTTGAGCTTCTGGTCCGGCAGCTCTGGAACCTTGACAGCATGAAGAATGGTCACTTCACCCGGCAGGCGCTCGTAGAAAGGCGTGTCCATGTGCCATCGGTATGGACGGGTATAGCCATCATCCAGCTCCTGCTTGGACAACGGTTCTTCATGGAAAGTGGTATGATCCTTGCACTTGTTAGCAGAACAGATACTTTCAAAAAGCGCGTTGCTTTGTCGCTTGGCTCTTACCAGATGAATCACCTCCAGATCGTCGAGGCCCTCGTAGTTCTGAAACTTGCCACTTCCGATGATTCCCACCTGTGGTGCTCTCGGGATTCTTCCCGCCTTGTACGCCGACAGAATGTTTCTCGGGTCACTGACCGCCTTCTCGCCGGCCGAGTGAATGTCGGATGCAGAGGGGTCAAAGACCTTTGTCAGCTGAGGGAGCGTCTTGGGATCAATGCCGGTCTGGTTGCGAATCACAATGACTTGATTCTCAAACAAGGCTTGCCGAAGCACATCCTTGTCCTCCTCAGTAAGAGACTCGACGTCAATGATGGGCACGGTTGAAGACAAATGGACTTCTGCTCCAATAGCAGAAGACTGACGAACATCGGCTGGGAGCTTCTCGAACCACAGCCCTGCGGAGGATGTCTCACGTCCCGGCATTGTGCACGTTTAGGATTGGTAGGTGATGTTGGCGAGATGAGGGCAAGACTTGTCTGGAGTGGTAAACTTTTGAATTCAACAAACTTGAAATTCCAGCAAACATTGACGTCCATATATACCCTTCCAGTCCAAGAAATCCGGCTTCTCCGGTGGACTAGTTTTGCAGTCTCGCCCGCTGTGATAGTTGCCTTGCGTACATGCGTACAAAACAGGGGCGGATAAGTCCAAAATCTCGCCCGCCACCCATTAAAACGGCGGGTGGCCGCGTATTTCTCATCCGCACATATGCAGATCCTCTGTTGTATAAGAGCAATAACAGAAGCTGCGGTTTAGAGTGCCGCAGACGAATCTGGCAAGACAAACTCGCAACCGAAATAAAAATGGGGTCCGTTGGAATTGAAATGACACCTCTTCCCAAGCCTTTCCCTGGATCGGCCGTCGACTTTGGAGTCGAGCTATCCGGAATCGACGTTGGAAATCTCACTGGTATGGGTTTCTATTCCCTCTTTGGTTGTTTCTATGGTACTAATGTCCTTGCAGATGACACATTTGCCATTATTCGCTCCGCTCTGTACCAACACAATGTAGTCTTGATCAAGAACCAGCACTCACTGTCTTCGCGTGTTCAGTGCGAATTGACCTCTCGATTTGACCCAGACGCCAACGTTTACAGCCATGGAAAGAGCATCGACAAGCGGAGTGTCCTGCACAAAGACTTGACGACCATCCCGTCTGAGCCCAAGGTCCAGGTGATCGGACACGGCTCTGTCAAGTCATTTGAAGGGCTGGAGGATCTCAAGCTCACGCATCCGCATCACAAGAACTTTCACAGGCATCCGATCCCGGCCGAGGACGATCTCCAGTACACACACTTTTACCGCTGGCATATCGACTCGGCCATGTATGATCTTGACCCTCCTCTGGTCACTTCGCTGTTCGCAGCTAGCGTTCCCAAGGGAAGGCGCCAGATCTGTCGCTATGATGACGGCAGTGGAGAAGAGATGGAGCTTCCACTGGGCACAACGGCATTTGTCAGCGGCTACAGGATGTACGACTTGTTGTCCGAAGCAGACAAGGAGTTTGTCCGAACCAGCACAATCGAATACGGGGCGCATCCATACATTTGGATGAGCAGGGCTAAATCCAGATCCAACGGACTCGGACTGCTGTCAGAAGGTCTAGAGCTTCCCGATGACGAGCTCCCAGCCATCGAGTGGTCGAAGATCAGGCGGTATCCCATGGTCTGGAAGAATCCAGAGACTGGAAAACTTGCTATGATGGTGTACCCAACACCAGTCCGCAAGATTCATCTGCAGGATGGAACTGTGATGGATGAGCTGGAACAGGTCAGAGAGACCATCTACCGTCTTCAGCGACCAGCCATCAGCCCCCAGTTTGTGCAGACAGTAGACTGGCAGGAGGGCGACTTGGTGCTGTTCAACAACCACGGGCTTCTGCATTCTATCACTGGCGCGTTTGCAGAGAACGAGGTCCGTCTCTTCCGGCAGTGCAACATGGCAGCAAGCAGGCCTCCTCTGGGCCCATAGGGAGCTTACAAGATACTGGATTGAAGAATGTTGGGAAATAGTAATAAAGAGGGGTCAACCCTACATAAGAAGTGAATCTGCTCAAAGTAGAAAGGTGTACAAGGGAAACGAATTGGGTATAATTAACGAGGAGAAAAAGTCCAGCTTTTCTCTCCAAAAGTCTAGAATAGCTTGTAATCACAAGAAAAAGCCGGCAGTGATGATGGAAAATATGGCAGTAATAACGGAGTAATGAGCGGGCCAAGCAGCGGCAGCATGGCATCCGGCACTCTTCTTCTTCGTCGTCGGAGAGCTGCTGGCAGCAGAGGCAGAGGCAGTTGCCGTCAGGTTGCCGCTGGCATCGAGCCTGACAATGGAGGCCTCGACCTGATCCCAGAAATCACAGCTGCTGTAGTTGATGTATCCGGTAGAGACCTGGCCAGCGCCGACCAGCAGCCCTGTACCGATGCCCTCGTTCCAAGCAGGCCACCTGCTGCTATCCTTGTCGGTCGTGGGCTGGCGGGTAGCAGCCATCCTTGTCCAGGCACCGAGCATGAAGGATGCGATGTCGTCCTCGGCCGTCGTGAGATTGCAGTGGCCGGAAGGCGGTGGCAAGTTTCTCGTCAGACCCAAGACAAAGGGGATTTCGGCCGTGTGGGTAGGGCCGAGAATTTCCGTGTCGGACATGCCGGGAAACCAGGCACACGATGGTGTGTGATCGAAGAGGTAACCGTACGCCTTGATGCCACGCGAAGCCGCCGAGATGAGGGCACGACGGGCCGGACAGGTGTACCGGACGTGGGACATGATGCTGACCATGGCGAAGTAGGCAGTGGTGGCATTGAGGGCCTGCAGGTCTGCCGGGATGGAGCTTTCAAAGGAAGCCAGCGGAAAGGTCTTTTCGATAGAGTCAGCCAGGGCGCCGAAGTTGCTCGTCAGGAACTGTTCGTAGCTGTCGGAGCCGAGCTGCAGGGCATGGGGGCCGTACTGGTCGACGACAAAGAGGGAGCCGTCCTGGGTGTTGCTGCCGAGAATGCTGGGCACCTGCACGCCCGCTTCGGCCGGCTGTCGGGGCACGATCGTGCCGTCGACCACGGGGCCCCAGGTGGCTCCCTTGCCGGCGTTCTGCAGCAGGGTGTTGGCGGTGGGCGGAGCCGAGGCACCATCAACAGCGAGCTCGACAGTCACGCCGGCTGAATGGAGTGTTGCCAGAGGAAGACCGCGCAGACAGGCCACATCGGACGGCGTGCAGCCGACAGCGGCGGCGAACTTTCGGTTCCAGTCGACGACCTCGCTGATGTTGGGAATGTTGCGGCCACCACCCGACTCCATGGCGGCAGCAGACATCAGGGTTGTGGCCTGGGGCAGCGTGCTGAGCACAAAGGTGTCCAGCGCGCCGGCTGACTGGCCAAACACCATCACGCGAGCTGGGTCGCCACCAAAGGCGGCAATGTTGTCTTGCACCCATCGGAGGGCGGTCAGCTGGTCGAGCGTGCCGTAGTTGCCGGTGAGGTTCGCCTCCGGGAGGGCCAGGAAGCCAAGAGGCCCGACACGGTAGTTGATGCTGACCATGAGCGAGTCCACGGCAGCCAGACAGCCCGTGTACGTCGGCTGGGAAATGCTTCCGCCCTCGTTGCTTCCGCCGTAGATCCAGACCTTTACCGGCAGCTTGGACGAGTCCGTGGCGTTGGCGGGAGCGTATACGTCCAGGAAGAGACTGCATGCGGCAGTGCGCCGGTCAGCAAGGCCGTCTAGAAGCCCGTAGCAGATTTGCTTACCAGTCCTCCTGTCCTCCTGCGCCGCTGAACTGGGGACAGCTGGGGGCGCCTGTCTTTGCTATGAGAAGACCGCTGCCATTGTACTTTGCGTCGTACGGTTTGGGGACAGAGAAGCGTTGCGGGGAGGCAGCGTAGGGAATAGATAGAAACGAGACCACATCTGAGCGGACACACGTGAGGCCCTCGATGGTGCCGTTGGCGACAGTGACTTGGGTTCTCTGGGCCGACGCAGCGGCCGCCAAGAGCACGAGAGACAAGAAGAAGATGAACATTGGGAAAAAACGGCTGGCGGCTGGATGGGGAGACGATACAGGGATCAACTGGAAGAGGAAGGCGGCAAGCGCCCGAGCTGGCTTTTGTACGTGGAAATCAGACGACGAAGGCTATGCTGGTTTTGGCCAGCAACAGCTGCTCGTATCGTGAGAAAGCGGGACGGGGCAGTGCTGCCGACAGGGCAGTGCTGGAGAGACGGGACTGCCAATCGGAGACAAGGGAATTCGGCAGAGGTCGAAGCCATTAAGCATGTTCGTGAAATTGGGACTCTAGGCTTATGAGTATGGAGTCTGGACTGTTCCGTTTCCATCCAAAATCTCTTTTAGTGTCTTTTGGCTAATCACCCGTCAGTCTAGCTTCTTCCTACTAGTGCGACACTACTCCATGAGCTCGTATTCCCCAGTGACTTTGTCAGGGGCAGCGAGTGGGAACGAACGGAGTACGGAGTATACTACCCCTTTTTCAGAGCCATGGGCCGCTATCCTACACTAACGACTGATGCGTCAGCAATGGCTCGAGGGCTGTTTGACGGCAAATAATGGGCCAAATATGCGGGACCTAACTGACGAGTTGCTTTGAAGATGAAGAGAAGAATTACAAGAGAGATAAGAGAGAAGAGAACTCTTTGAACACAAAAATGGTATTGTTTACGATGCTACTCACGCAGTATAGGCTGCCATGAAGCTTCTCTCAGGCCATCTGTATACAGACGAGTATATGCAGAATGTTCCTTCGGCCGGAGAGCGTGCCCCGGATGGGCAGAGTCTTGCCCCAGTCACTTAGCACCAGACTCTGAGAAACAACCGGCTCCAACATGGACCGCCACTGACGAGAGACAGCAGCACAATAGGAAGCCGCCATGGCACTTTCCGTGCAGTCTTCTTCCGCCCGGGCTGCACCATAAGCTGCTATAAGGTGAAGTCTAGATGGGGGTGTTAGGCAGGATAATGTGGCAAACCATAAAGAAGTGGGCGATAATGATAAAAGCTACAACTTTGCGATGAGACTTTAAAGAGCATAAAAAGGAAGGGAAAAAATATGGGACAAAAGAACAAAGGAACAACAGAACAAAAAAAACATATTATAATCAAAGTCACGGGGTCCCTGTTATTGCCACTCGTGCAGTGGTCTGAATAATTTAACTGTAGGCCAACCCACATTGTGGTGTCGGTCCAAGCCGACTACTGCACTTCTATCAAAAGAGATTATGGGATGGCCAAAGAAGGAGAGACAGACGACCTGAATCTCCAAGTTGTTACGGGTTGTTATTCTGTCGAGCAGAAACAGTGATAAAAGTGCGTTGTCATCGCCTTCAACGTACATTTAATTGTCATTACCACTGTAACCTATAGTAAGCATGATTATATAACTTACTCAGTTGTCAACCGAGTAGAAGCCTGTGGCGAGTGCTTTGCGATGTCTTCAAGATAAGACCAGGTGCCCCCATCTTGCATCAGCTACTTGAACTTGAATGGGTTGCAGTACTATTACTATCAGAAACACCACACGGTCTTCATGGTGAGCCTGTAACTCCATGCTGTACTGTATACGATGTACACAGGCATGCAAATGGTGGCCGCCTCTATACCAGGCCAAATAGCAACGCTGTCAAACAACAGCGACGGGGAGTCTGCACAACTGCAACCCATTCCGATACTCCAGCGAGCTGGACGCTCGTCATGGCCATCTTACGAACTGCTACCTTTCATGTGGTGGGCAGGTGGACCGTATTATGGAATATCCGGCCCGCTATTTGTTTTTACAGCTCGTGACTCCGACAAGATTCCCGAATGGCTTCGGGCGCGAAGACAGAACACAAAGAACTGCAAGTTCCATCGGCTGCCAGATGAAATTCTGGACATCATCTGTGCTCGAACAGACGCCAAGACACGATACCTGCTCCGACAGCTATGCGTTCTATTTCTCCGGATCGTTTCCAACTGGACCGGCAGGCACAAGAGTCGAAAGTGCCGGAAGTGGACAATCACCATCGAGACCCGGATTTTCAGACAGTTGTCCTGGCCGGTCTACTACCCGTTTCACCACTGTGATGATTACCTTGGCCGCTATATGGGCCCTTTCATGGCAAGGCGTTACAATGCCCTCTCCTACTGCCGCGAATGCCGCGACTTTTGGTCGAGCGACTACTTTATCGGAATACTGCACAGAGCTTACCAGCGGCTGTATTGCTCCGGCTGCGATACCAGACACTTCAAGCTGTTGTTCTCGGCGGCCCAGCGCGTCACTGACAGCAAAACCCGCATCTGTATCGGCCGGGAAGGCAGTGTCCGATTGTGCGCCCACTTGGCACTGAGATGGGATGCCTTTTTCATGCGCAAGTCAGATGCGAGGGCAAAAATAGAGGCCCTGATCAAGAACAAACCACCAAAAACTTTGTCCCAGTATGTGCCAGCCAATCGCCTGCTTTGCAGGCATGGATCTCACGGGGCTAGATTCAAACCCGCTCGGTATCCGATAGACGGCCCAGTTCGGCTAATCATCTACATGAACCGCTCTTTGCAACAAACGGCCAGGCTGACCTGGGTTGCTGCGGCATTCGATCTTGATCCGGCCATCCCGGTCACCCGGCAGCAATTGCGCGATTTTCTCACCTCGCGGAGGAGCCTCTTCGACCACACCCTTTGTCCACACGTCTGCCTGGTCGATCTTCTTATCGTCTTTGAGCCCGGCCGGTGTGCGTGCTTTGACGACCCAAACGTCTCTCCCTGCCAGTCCATAGCACAGTATCACCAATGCAGAGGGAACCAGAACTTGGGCATGTGCTGTCGATGCCGATCGCTCGAAAATAGCTCGTTTGTTGGCCGGTTTTCGCTCGATGACTTCTCTACTTCTCGCCATCATACTCGGTATCAATGCTTCCACCAATACAACTGCGGACAATGCGACGCACACTATTCATGGGTCTGGGATCGGGACCGTCGCGTGTATCTGCGGCACAGCCGGGCTATCACAAATATTTCGCCATGTGACAAGTTCTGGCTTTCAAACCTAGATCCGGCATCGTGGAACTTTCAGCAAGACGAGCAACTACGGCACACCACGTGGTGCCACAATGATGGCTGCCGGACAACAATATGCTGGACGTCCTTGGTGTCTGAGCAAAAATGATTACTATACCATTCTGCTCTACGTATCGTTAGAACAATTCTATAAGGGTTGGACAGTTCCTGCTTTTTAGGGCACGTGGGGATTGAACGAATGTGCATCATAGCATAGAGTTGAAATTGCTATATATCAGCGTCATTGTTTATATACAGATATTCCGCACTATAATTAACTTATGCCCTTTCTGTCTCTACGACCTGGTGTCCCTTTTATCCACGCAATTTTAGGTCAATACGAAATATTGCATACTAAATCTGGTCTCGAACCCAGCCTAGAGCACAATTGTAACGTCTTGATTGCCCGAATCCGCTAGACCCGTGCTGCCAGGGTAGCATGGACTGTATAACTCCAACTTGCGCTATATTTTCACGGTCCACCTTCACATAGCTGCTCTGAAAGACGACAAGTAAGCCCAAGAATGTGCCGAGGTCCTCTATTGCCACCCTGTGCGACTCGGCCGGCTAGAGGCCAATACCGGCACATTCGAGACGAGGTAGATGCCGGGAGATTCCACACAGGCGAATGCGTCTTCCGCTGCGTTTGAAAAGACGTTATGTGATCGTCATGTTCGCGAACTCTTGGCTTAGAGGTACCACACGACTGCGGAAACTCAAGCTAGAGCTGTCGTCGAGATATCTTCATGGAATGCGTAGCTTTAGGTCCTTGTATGTCTTGACCTCTTCTAATAAGGTCTCTTGCTTTAATAACGTCGATATTTAAGCCGTTCTTCCTCATGGTAGCAGAAGTAAGCTGCTGCTATGCTAATGTGTTGTCAAAGATCGTGGCGGTATTTAATAAAGCCACGAATAAAACTTGCGGCCCTTTCGCTAACTTTATAATAGCTGGTTCGATTGCATGCACACACAATAAAACAGCCTAAGCGACTCAAGCTGTTATTAGAGCTATTCTGCCAAAAATATTGCATTCTATATCTTATGGGTCTTGTGCCTTCTGCCACCTTACCGGGGTGCTCGTTTTCCATTAATAGCAAACGCCATATTTCCCTTACACTTATTCCAATTCTATGTTTGGATATTGGCCCTTGTATTCCAGGCTTTTTCTCGCTTGTAAAGCGACACCCGTCTCGATACGAAGAGTCAACCCTTCTTAGCAGCCTTCTCGCCTCCCTCAAAGAAACTCACAGCCATCGGAACAGGCCAGGCAAAAGATGTTGTAGAGCTGGTGATAGCCTCATCCGAAGTGACCGCATCAAGAGTGGCGACAGCCGTGTAGCCTCCAATAGCAGTCAGAACATGCCACCTAATGAAAGTTGTTAGAAACTCAGCCGGGTTGTGTATGATGCCAGGAGGAGTCTGCCTACCATCCATGAAACTCAAACAGGAAAGCCCAAGGCAGGCCGACCGACTCTCGCATCCGGGTCAAGGTCAAGCAGGCAAACGAGTCGATCAGCCAGGCTAGATACCCGATGACGAAATTCACTTGTCGCATTAGCAATGTTATTGTCCGACACATGCAGGCGCAGGGGGACTCACACAGGCCAAACATGACCAGCTTTCGGCGAATTCCCTTGACGCTTTCGTCCGTGCCTTTTGAAATAATCTTTAGGGACCCGGCGGCGAGAAGATAGACGGCCAAGCCAAAGCTCGTAGCGTGAAGTAGAAACTCGTCCATGACCATGTGGGTGGTGATGACAATTGCAAACAGTGCAGAGAGAATGATTCCAACCCGACGAGTGTATGCCGCGTCAGTCTTGTAGGTCATGACCCTATACAGGAGAGGCGTCGTCAATAGGTGCATAGAGAACTCATCCGCTAGACATATCCAGTTAGATTATGCCGATCACACACAGAAAGAATCTCTCGACGGCGACATACACATTTGGGTGTGGTATTTCAAGGTCATGTGGTATCCAGTAGAGCAGATGCCGACACCAATCAACCCAAAGTACGGAATAGAACGAGAGGCGGCATTTGCCTTGTGACGGATCTGCCATAACCCCCACATACCGTACGCAGCTAAAAGAGCTTGTTAGCCGAGGCCCCATGACCGAGATGGGCCTTTTAGAGCTGCCAAGCCATCATACCAAACACAAGGCTGCTGAGGGTGTTGATGAACTCGGCGATATACTGTGTGATCACATAATCCTTCACCTGTTAGATCCAACTACTCGGTTAGGGCGGATGCAGGCACGCGTAGAGAGATACCTCTTCACAGAAGCTAGGGGTTGTTAACCGGTTGTGCATGTATAATAAGCAGCGGGTAAAACCAACTTTAAATAAGAAGTCTTGGCACCCCAAAACCCAGCTATTTCGGGAGCGTCCATGGCAATGGTCGTTGGCAAGTACAGATCCGCGAGTAGGGGCTGTTGGGAATAAGCAAGAAACGCAAACGCAATTGCTCTTCTCAGGCGGGAGAACTGAAGAATGGCGGAAACGAGGGGAAAGAGAACAAATCCAAGCGAGTGGACGCCTGCGGCGAGTACCTTTGTAGTGTCTTTAAATATGAGACTGGGCGGCCCCCATCCTTCATTAGCTAATCCGACATCCTCGGCTTGGCTCCTGCATGTAAGATACGAGTATTGGGTGCGTTTGGCCCCAAAACAGGTGGCCGTCAATGAGCAGTTGCATCACGTCAGCAATTAGCAGCCAGAGTGTCCTCACGAACGAGGAGCCACCGCATGCAGGGTTCCCAGAGACAGGCAGAGCGCTGTCGGGCCCGGGTTCTTGAGTCCACAGACGCGTCTTTTTGTGTCGCCCTAGCCTCCAAAACGTCCTCCAGCTCCGATGCTTCCGGGTTTCAAATGCCACCTCTCCCAGTTGCTTTTGCGGCGCGGCCATGTCACGTGAGCAGGATTACGTCTTTTACAGTGTGAAAGTGTATGGGCGTGACAACCAATCACACCACTGTATTGAGACGCCCCGACCGTGCGCGTCCTGATTGGCTCCTGTGCGAAATGGTGGCTGGGGAATGGGCTTACGAAAGCGAGCTCGCGCCGACCACAGGCTAGCTCACGTGTTTTGTGTTCCCTGTTCGCGCTCGCTTTCCGCTGTAATACAGCGCTTGGCCGCAGGAGGCAAGTCTAACGTGATCTTCTGGAACACGTCTGGCCGTCCGTGGAAAAGGAGAGGAAAGCGCAGCATTTTCCGTGGCTGCACTGGTGTCTTATGAATGGATGTCCTGGTCATGTTCCTGCCCCTCCCTTCCGCCATTCCCGACACAAAAGCAAGGTTGCGAGCACGAATGCCTCACGTCGGCCAACGGAGTAATAATAATAACTGGCGCCACCAAAATAGGCCCGCCCAGCCCCGCCTTTGTATTTTCCCTTATTAATGCGCGAGACCCCGTGCCATCCACGTGCTCTATTTTTCGCTTCCTCTCGCTCCCCTTCCTCTCCCACTCAACAAAATCTCGTGAAGCATCACCTGACATTGAATTTCTGCAGCCAAATCGCAGCAACGGCCGTTCATCACCAGCAAAGATACGCTCAAAAGGTACGTGCAGCTTTTCGGCCTTTTTTTTCACCACGAACGATGCCTCTGCTTTCTTTTGGTCGCGTCCATAGTCGTCGCCTGCCTTCATTCACGCTGTCGCGAACAAAAAGCACAAAACCAGCCCATCTCGCGCATCGTCTCTGTGCATCGGTCGTTATCGATTTGACCCACCTTTCATCATCAATATGATCACTGCCTCATTTCCCCGTCTTGCCGCAGAACGGCGCGAGCGTCGCACGAGGACGATGTCTGTCGCCCGTGTGGCTGTCGCGAAAGACAACAACGACGGACATCGTCGCGAGAAGCACGTCCTTCCTCTTTCATCATCCCCCCGTCTTGTATCTCTCCATCGCGTCACACTATCGCTATCGCGCAAGTCGCGCTCAGACCTAGCGCGTCGACTAGGGGCAAATGAAGAAAAGTAGATGAGAATGCGGTGCAAATCTGACACGCGAAAATGAGCAGTCTGCTATGGCTGAAACTGCTGAGCAGCAGCCCGATCTCCTCACCGGCAGCCCGCCACAGAAAAGGAAGCGCGGCGGCGAGTCGGCCTCGCCAGACACACGTCGGTCGAAGCGGGGAGCGTCAACGTCCAGCACGACAGGTCTGACGCAGGGCATCGAGCCTGCAGCCACTGCCTTTATGGAGGCGACCGGAACAGGCTCAGCGGACGGACTGACGGCAGCCGAGTTCAGCGTGATCCAGGGCACCGGCGGTGTAGAGCACACGGACGCGACGAGCGCGGCGCTGGCCTCGTCAACGGCAGCAGCGGCTCTGGGCTCGATGTACCCGACGCTGCACGTACCGCAGTCGACGGAGGAGACGTTTGCCAGCCAGCAGATCGACGTAGGCGGCGATCCCCAGCAGCAGCAGCACCATCACGACCATCACGATCACCACGATCCGTCAGCCTATGGCACAGACGTGACGGGCGTGCAGTCGGACGGGCTATCGGCCCTAGAAGCGAGCACAGCGGGCAGCAATGGCATGGGGCCTAAACGACCAATCTCGGGCATTCAGGTGAAGCCAGCCGTCGGGACGGACGAGTGGCACAAGATGCGCAAGGACAACCACAAGGAAGGTGTGTGTGTGTGTGTGCCTGTGTGTGTGTGTTAAAAGTATACGCCGACTGACAATATAGTGGAACGCCGACGTCGGGAGACGATCAACGAGGGCATCAACGAGCTGGCCAAGATTGTGCCAGGCTGCGAGAAGAACAAGGGGTCAATCTTGCAGCGGGCGGTGGTCTTCATCACGCAGCTTAAGGAGAACGAGACGCAGAACATTGAGAAATGGACGCTGGAGAAGCTGCTGACGGAGCAAGCGATCGCAGAGCTGTCGGCCTCCAATGATAAGCTCAAGGCCGAGGTGGAGCGACTGTATCGCGAGCTGGAGACATGGAAGCGCGTGGCCCAGAACGCCGGCCTGCAGCCGCCGGAGGAGAAGTCGGAGCCGCCTAGCTAAAGACGGCGCCGGCTGTCTATGTTTGGTGCTCTGTGCTCTGGGTTCTACCATTTTGCGCTCTTCGTCATCCTCGTCCGCTTCGGTCTATATCTCCATTTTCGCGGCCCTTTTCTAGCTTCGCCAGCCCAACTGTCCTCTTCTCTCTCTCTTCCACTTTGGCATAGCACGAGGAGGGCGCGTATCTACTATTTCCTTTTTTTCGGCCCTCAGCCGGGTCCTTGTCATTATTGTCATATTCCTATTCGGAGAGGTTTTGATCGGTGCGCCACGAACGGCCCGGACTGCTGGCGAGAATGAGCGGTCCGGGCTTTCAACAAGGCGCCTTGATACGGGCGTGTTTTTGTCTTGTCTTTTCTTTGTCAGGCTTGGGCAACACATGGGGAAAACGTGCTGGGGTCCAGGTCGTGGTCTTTGTCTGCGTGCGCGCGCGCGTGTGTGTTTTGCGTGTGGAGGGTGGGACGGTGGAGGAACGGTGTTTTTTCGTCTAGACGGCCTTCGGCTCGTCTCTGCTCTTTCATCTTTTTGTCATTTTATTTGTTCGCAGTTTAGCAGCCAGGCTAGTGGGCAATGCGATATGGATTCTATGCCTGGTGGCTTTTTGGGGTTTATTTTATTTTTTTGGTGGGTTGAGCGATGTCGGCGAGATTGGGTCTGAATGCCGGCCCGGTCACGGTGATCAGGCAGGCGATGCGCATCGAGCAGCCAGATCCGGTGTGAGGCCCAGATGAGACGATGTCGAGAGTTGGCAAGACTTTTTAGATGGGTTGGTCGCGTGGAACTGCCCAAACGGCATGGAGGTGCGACCATGTTGACGGCAGCGGTGGCGGTGTTCGGAACCGAAGGCAGGAAATCGCAGGGAGGCACCAATGGCACGAATTGACCCCAATTGGGCTGCCGATAAGAAAGGCCGGCGTCGCGATGGACTAAGACGCCGTCGGAAGCGGACAATGGCGTCGACAGGCCCAAAGGGGCAGGTGCATGCGGCGAGGCGAGTAAATTCGCCGCCGCACAGCGCTGCAACCCACCGCAGCATCGCTCTTCTCCGCATCGACGAAGAACCCCTCAGCCCCTCTTCTGGACCATGGACAGGCGTCGGGCAGCCAATGAGAGCGACTGGCTAGCCGGCGAGTCACGGCCAGTGGAGGCAGGTGCTGCCGGTCGCTGTCCACAGCTGGGGCAGGTGCTACTGTCTACACCCCTCCGGCCGTTAAAAACGACAGAGCCCCCTCGCTTCGCCCTTCTTCTTGGGTGACCAAGAGAAAGGACAGAACAGGAAAAAGCCAAGCACGCACCAGAAAAGTCGACGGCTGTCTCGGTCTCTCTGACCCGTCATCGTCCCGGCGAGGTTCCACTCCCTGCCTCTCTGCTGCTCGCGTCTTCGTCCCTTCTCGCCATCCTCTCGTGACTGGATTGATTTTTCAGACCCTCCTCACGCTTCTACCTTCCCTTTGCCGGTTCCGAAGAGGAGGCCGATCTGTATAAAGAGATGGCCATCGCCGCTTTGCGAGGCTCCAGCGGCCGTCTGGCTCTGCGTGCTCTCAAACCATTCGTCATCGGCCCGCGTGCTTCTTCTCTGCTCCAGGCTTCTGCTTCTTCTACATCCTCTTTGTGCTCAATTCGGTTCAATCGCACCATGGGTTCTGCTCCGTTCTCTTCGGCAGCGGCCTCGCAGCTGTCGACGCTGCTGGCCGTCGAGCCGGCTGGCCCTGTGGTCAAGTCGGTGCCGTTCCCTGGTCCCAAGGCCAAGGCGATTGCGGCCGACCTGGATGAGGTGTTTGACACGCGGGCGCTCAACATGGTGGCCAACTACTACGAGTCGCGCGGCAACTACATTGTGGACCCCGATGGCAACACGCTGTTGGATGTGTACGCACAGATTGCATCGATCCCGGTGGGCTACAACAATCCGGCGCTGCGGGCAGCTGCCGAGAGCGAGGCCATGATCAACGCGCTGATCAACCGGCCGGCCTTGGGCAACTTCCCGTCGCACGACTACGCCGAGACGCTGCGCAGCGGCATGCTCAAGGTGGCTCCGCCAGGCTGCAACCAGGTGTTTACGGCTCTGGCTGGCTCGGACGCCAACGAGACGGCCTTCAAGGCTGCCTTTATGTACCGTCGCCAGCGCGAGCGTGGTGGCCCCGACGTCGAGTTCACGCAGGAGGAGATGGACAGCGTGATGAACAACGCATCGCCCGGCGCGTCGCAGCTGTCGATCTTGTCGTTCCGCACTGCCTTCCACGGCCGCCTGTTTGGCTCGCTGTCGACAACGCGGTCCAAGCCGATCCACAAGCTCGACATCCCCGCTTTCGACTGGCCCCAGGCTACCTTCCCCCAGCTCAAGTACCCGCTCGAGGCCCATGCGGCTGAGAATGCGGCAGCTGAGGCGGCCTCGCTGGCTGAGGTCGAGGATCTGATCCTGCACTTCCACGCGCCCCCGGCTGCCGTCATTGTTGAGCCGATCCAGTCCGAGGGCGGTGACAACCACGCGTCGCCGGCCTTCTTCCAGGGCCTGCGCGCCCTCACGCGCAAACACGGCGTTCTGCTCATCGCTGACGAGGTTCAGACTGGTGTTGGTGCCACTGGCAAGTTCTGGGCCCACGAGCACTGGGGCCTGACCGATGCGCCCGACATGGTGACCTTTTCGAAGAAGGCCCAGACGGCTGGCTACTACTTCAGCGACCCGGCTCTGCGGCCCAACAAGCCGTACCGCCAGTTCAACACCTGGATGGGCGACCCGGCTCGCGCGCTGCTCTTCCGTGCCATCATCGACTACATCCAGGCCAACGACCTGGTCAAGCGCACGGCTGAGGTCGGCGATTACCTCTACGGCAAGCTCGAAGCTCTGGCTGCCAAGTACCCCGGCGAGTTCAACAACCTGCGCGGCAAGGGCCAGGGCACCTTTATTGCCTTTGACACCCCGCGCCGCGACGAGTTCCTCAAGCGGGCCAAGAACTTTGGCGTCAACATTGGTGGCTGCGGTGCCAGCGCCGTGCGTCTGCGGCCCATGCTGATCTTCCAGGAGAAGCACGCCGACATCCTGGTCGACGCATTTGAGAAGCTGGTCACGTCGTGGGACAAATAGACGATGGAGAGACAGGCGAGAGAGAGCGTTATGAGTTTTTTTTTTATGAGAGCTGTAAGAGGGTTGCTTACGTAAATTATTGGGACCAACAGGTGGAGGATGGCCGGGCTTATCCCAGGAAGGAGAAACAAGACAGAATAAAACGGGAATCTTTTCAAGCTCTGGCCGCGGAGGAAGATGGTGGTGACTGAACGCCCCAGTGCTGGAAGGAGACGAAAGAAAGAAGACGAAGTAACAGGAAGGAAAGCGCAAAGACAGGAGGAACAGGGAGCACGTGCTCGGCCCACATGCAAGTGTGGCTAGTGACCGACGACCTCTCGCTTTCGTGGCTGAGTCTCGCGCTGCAGCTGTTCGAGGCTGCTGCCGTTGCTGCTGTCGAGCGTCGAGACGCCGTTGGTCGTGAGGACGAGCCCGGGTTGTTCCTTTTGTTCTGTCTGGCCCGTCTGGCCGGTTTCTTCCTGCTGCCCCTTTTCCTGCTCAAACGCCCGCATGGCCTCCTCGTTCTCCCGCATCAGCTCTTCCTCCTGCTCGCGCATCTGCCGGAGCTGTTCGTCCGCCTCGTCGCCGTCCTCGTCCGTGTCTTCGGGCGGTGGTGGTGGTGGTGGCGGTGGTGGTGGTGGCGTCCCGTCCACGTCCACGTCCACGTCCACGTCGTCCTCACGAAGCCGCTTGTGCAGCGACGGCGGTGTCTCGGCCGGCGAGCCCGACGACGATGCCGGCTGTCCCTCTGCCGGCTCGTCGGTCTCGTCGTGACTGTCTCGCTGCTGGACGTCGCTGCTGGTGCGCTTCCGCTTGCGGCCCGACGGCGAGCCGTCGGGTGACGCCGTCGCCTGGTCCTCTTCCCGCTCCTTGTTGCTGTCAGCCGGTCTTGTCGGCAAGGCCGGCACCACCCCGACGATTCCGTTGGCCGCTGCCACGGCCGCTGCCACGGCCAGGGCCGCTGCCACAACTGCTGCATCCTTGTCCCGGGCTGCTGCTGCTGCTACCGCCGCTGCTGTCGCTGCATCCTCCTCCTCCTCCTCCTCCCGGTCCTCCCCTGGACTGTCGGCCATCACGACATCACCGTCCTCATCCTCCTCGACAGCCACGGCTGCACCTGCGGCTGCCGTCGTCGCCACATGGCGCGCCTCGCGCTCGGCCCTCTTCCGCTCGTGCTCGCCGTACTTGGTGACGGCACGGTCGAAAAAGTCGCGCACGTATGTCTTGACCTTCTTCTCGACCCGCGGCGAGATCGCGGTCGGATCTTCCACCCGGTTGTTCTTGTAGTCGGAGGCCACCAGCTTCTTGCTAATGTCCTTGGCCAGCTTCTTCAACTCGTCCTTGGGTAGCCGATGACGGTATCGGTCCGACACACTCCTGATGTGCGGCGAGAGCTGTCTCGTCAGTCCATGTACATGACACCCGGTCGACACACTCAACATACCGTGTTCTCGTAGATCCTCATCTGCTTCTCGATCGGATACGACCGCCACCGGTCCTTTTTCGGCTCAGCCACAGGTGTTGCTGCCTTGGTCGTTGCCGCAAGAGGTGTGTGACCTGCCGATGGTCGTGGCGTGTCCTCCTTGACGATGCTGTTGATGATCTCCTGCACGGCATCGCTCTTCTGCTGCGCCTTGGACGGCGCCTTGTCGGCCGGCTGCGTCGGTCGCTTCCAGGTGGCCGCGCGGCCCGTCGCATAATAGTACGTCGTGCCGTTGGGGTCCTTGGCCTCGAACCAGCCGGACGGCAGCCCTGGCAGGCCTGAAGTCGGTGTCGCCGACGACGGGCCCTGCAGCGGGCGGCGGGCGTTCCGCGGCGTCGCCGTGTTTCCGTTGCCGTTGCCGTTGCCGTTGTTGTAAAAGTTGGCGTTCCGCTGGGGGATATGGCTGCGCGGACCTTTGGGAACGGCCATGCCATGGAATGGCGATAGGTTGCGCTGTGGCTGCGACTGTGGCTGTGTCTGTGGCTGGGTTTGGCGAGCGGGTCCACTGCTGCTGCTGTCGTCGTCGTCAAGGCTGCTGGCACGGCCGCTGCGCGCACGCGTTCCGACCGCCGCATGGGGATCGACCTTCTTGCGCGGGATCCGGTACGCGGTCTCAAGCTTGCTCCAGGCGTCGAGCAGACGTCGGGCCGCAGCCGCGACGTCCTCGTGGACGGCCGACGTGAGACTCTCGATGACCGACTCGATGTTCGAGTCCGAAATCTTGTTCTTAGTCAGGCGCGGCAGGCGGTCGAGCACGTCGAGCACCTGCAGCACCACGTTGTCGTCCGTCCGGAAGGCTGTCAGGATGGCGCTGAGAATCTGGTAGCCGTGCATGCGCGTGACCCGCTGCAGGACGCGCTCGTCGTCGCCGGCTGCCTGGATGCGGGCCAGCAGCTTGACTGCGATCCACCTCTCCTTGCACTGCATCAGGGCCGCCATCACCTTGGTCACGCCGTCCTCGGCCAGGCCGCTCTGCTGCAGGCTTCCGACATACTCCTCGTCGTCCTCGTTGGCCCGCTTGCGGCGTGGTGGCCGCGACGGCTTGTGGCCGGTCACGTGATGCGCTCCTGTTGCGGCGGCGGCTGCTGTTGCTGCCACCTCCCAGCTGTCGGGATCGTCGATGCCGAGTGCCTCGATCGTGGCTGCCGACAGCTTCGTCGCCCGCTCCGTCTGCGTCTTGCCACCGATGAAGCCGCTGCAGTTGGGCTCGCCACAGTAGCACGGCTGCGGCTCGGCGCCGTACCGGTCGACGTTGTAGTCGAACACGAGCTCCTCGCCGGCAGCGATCGCCCGGCTAGCAAAGATGCCCATCCGCAGCTTCTCGCCGACGACCCACTTGTCCACATAACAGTTCGGCCGGCACGAGTGGTTGCAGAACCGGCCCAGATTGCCCTTGCGCGTGGCGTCGACAAACTCGTGCTTCGTCAGCGACATGAAGTAAAAGTGCCGGATGCCCTCCTCGTCGTACTGCAACATGCGTCGCCGGAAGGCCGGCTCGTTGATCACCTCGCCAATGTACTCGTACACAAAGTCGTTGGCCCGCAGCGCCACGTCCGCCCGCAGCCCAAAGCCCTTTTTGGCCGTCTTGATCACCGACACGGCCGCATACTGCTTTCGTTGGAATCGCTGGTTCTGGCACGTCTCGCCACAGTTGCAGTCGCCGCGTACGCACTCCATCTTAGTCGCCCGGTTGATGCAATCGCTGTCTTCGCCGCAGGCCAAGTTCTGGCCATCGTCTGGGAGTCGTTAGGAGAGAGAGAGAGAGAGAGAGAGTGGGGAGAGAAAGAGAGAGAAAGAGGGAAGGAGAGAGAACATACGCCACTCTGCTGCACAGTCACACTCAAAAGCGTCGTGCTCCGACGATCCCATGTGCTTGGACCCGTACAGACAGTCGGTGATCACCTGGAACTGGTCCTTGGCCTCGGCCGTGGCATCGGGCAGGTGATCAAAGAGCACACGAGGAGAAGCCGCTGCTGCTGCTGCCTTTTGCGCCAACGACGACGGCTTGCGGCTGAGCTTGGCCGCCGGCCCCGTGTCCGGCATCGACGCGTTGTCGAGCGAGCCGGCCTTGTGGTCGGGCGACATGCTGGGCGAGAGCGAGTCGTCCTTGAAGCCATTTGGCGTCGCCGAAGAGAACCGCTTCTCGTCGCCGCCGCCTTCTCGCTTGACCGCCACCCGCGTGCCATTGTTTCTCACACCCGAAGCCGTCATCTTGCTCGTTGTTCTGCTGTCTGAGGTCCGGTTGTCTCGTAGGCGCGCGTCATCGTCATCCATCAGTCTTCTGATGGACAGTATCGGTCAACCTCTCCTTGGTCTCTGTCGTCTCTCTCTCCCTGGCTTGCCGTCTTGCCTGCCCGTCTCTTGCCGTGACGCTGCACGATGCCTCCCTCTCGACGGACCGCAGCAGAACGGTCGCAACCGAATCGAAAGGCCGTCGGGAATGCTTCCGAGATTTCGTCTGTGTATTTTTTCTCTCTTGTTTTTTTTGCACTTCTCTCGTCGACCAGCCGCCAAAAGAACGTGTCGAGCGTTTCGCGTGTCGTGACGTGCTGTGCTGGAAGAGCCCCGGGCTATCGCGACATGGCAGGACCCGGCGAAATGAGGCGAGGAGGCGGTTTAGGGGGAAAGCAGGAACCCGGCGCGGTGGGCTAGAGGGATTGGAATCCGAGACGTCCAAAAGGGGGACGGAGATCTCTCTAGTCTCGCGAAAGCGCGCCGGCGTTATCAATTTTTTTAATTTTCTTTTTTCTTTTTTTTCTTTTCCCGCTCACTAGATCCCACACTGTCCTCTGCCGTGTCGACCGCGCTGCGATAAAGTTGCCAATGCCAGGCAGTCGCCGTAGTATTGCCAGGGACTCGCGCAAACTGTATCCAGAAGAGAAGAAACCCCCGAAAAGGCCCGGCGGCTGAGAGTTGTGAGTGTCGAGGACTGCCTCCCCAAGAGCCCCCCAGGTCGCACTGTACGGCCGCTGTATTGCAAGCGGGTTGTGGCTGGCACGTGTGCCACAGCGCAGCAACAGGGTACGTCGTGCTGTCGTTTAGGCCGGATTAGCAGTAATTGCGGTCGCCGGCCATTTTGGCGTATGAAATTCACACTGGCCGTGAAGCTGTCCTCACTGAACTGAGTACGGAGTATTCTGCAATGATACAGCATCAACTACGACTCGCTTTCTGCAATTCTACCAGCACCGTGCAATTTTCAGATCCAAACCAGCCTCATCAGCGCAAGTTCTGCCCCGCTTTATTCGTTGTGCGGATCGGATCTGTCAAACTCGAGATTATCAAGTACTCAAATGTGATTTGCTTCTGGCTCCAGGGAAAGAAGCTGGCAAAAAATACGCCAGAGTATGGTGCACGTAACGTAGACACGGCCCATACCAATTGATGGGCCAGACCGCTACTTTGCCGCTGGCTGGCTGGGTCCGATGCGAGATTGTATCTAACGTATCCTGCAAAAGAGAGAGCCATCTTGCCAGCCTGGCTGGGCCAGCACGACAAACCATGACGAATGGTAACCCGGCCCTGCATACCCCATGTTTGCTGCGAACCAAGCACAACATCTGGACACCCGTGTGTTGCAGCCACCATGACACCATGTACTCCGTAGTGTTCGGGAAGTTGAAGCAGGGCCAGGACAACCCCAGTCATGACCCGTTAAGTGCACATGTATGCCGGTAATGCAGAATACTACAACTCGCTGTACGGTGTTGTGCTGGCATCCAGCTGTCAGCTGCTGCTGTGGCCAGCGGCCGGATCTTGTGGGTACGTGGCCAAATAGCGTAGCAGATCACGTAGCAGATAAGTTAGAAGCAGGGTTGGCCGTCAGAGTCTTGATCGCTCAGCGCCAGCCTGTCCGATCCTGTGATTGCTCCACCGCTGTTGGAAAACATATCGGTGCCGTCTGCCAACACATCATGCATGGAATTATGTGGAGAAGGAGCCAAAAGTGACCGATGACGAGGAGGTGAAGCGAAAAGGCAACGGAACAGAAAGAGCGGGAAATAAGCTATAAATGAGCCTTGCCTTCGGGCCCGCCCCTCTGAGCACGTCGCTCGATCTTGATTCCACCGTATGTGTGCCATTCGCGATGGCCCGTCATTTATGGGGCAATACGGGCAATACGGGCAATATGGGCAGCACAGGCAAAACGTCGCCTTGTCCGACTGCGGCTCTCTCCGTACAGTCCTTCTGGGCTGGACTGGAGGAACGGATGGTGTGTGCTCTCCCAGATGCCGACGCGTGATTTCCGGGAAGCTCCTTCAGCGACGCTATTGGCAGACGAGACCGGCCATCTGAGCCAGTCATATATCGAAGAACGGTCCTGGTCTGATCTTGGCCACCAAACTGGCCGCCTGTCCCACTTTTCTCTTGATCTCCTTGATCTTTTGCCCTCGTGCCCTTGCCATGAGGACAGGCTAAGCGGATGGCCCCGTTGCGGGAACATCAGCAATGGGGCCAGAGGTGGGAAGCAGAAACCAAGCCAAAGCAGGGTTTGATTGTGTTCAAATTTGACAACTGAGATGACAAGTCCCACTCGAGTGGTGGGCAAGGTCGGACCGGCTGGAAAGAGCCAGTTCACAGCCCCCAAACGGCCTGAGTATGTCTATTTCGGGGGTAGAGGGCGGACGAAGGTCTTTGTGCCGCACATCGTCTGCTTATCATTGCTGCTCGTGCCGGCCGGTCAACCTGCCCCGCTCATCTCAATCTGAAGAAGGGCAGAAGAGGGTGGGCAGGGATGAAAGCAGAGCTCGCACAACGGAGGGGGACCGGATACGAGATGGAGGGGCGGGCAAGCCAGCGCTTCAGATGTTTTGGTGTGTCAGGCGGTTTTAGCCTGCCGTTTTCGATTGGCCGGCCGCGCGACATACAGCTTGCATACACATGCTGCAGTGCAGGTGGTGTATGTAGTGGCCTGCAGATTGCTGATAGTGAGCACGACGAGCGCAGAGGTCGAACGGCGTGGCGACAGTCGAGCAGCGCTTGTTGGGCGAGGCGAAATGGATTCGCGCTGTCCAAGCGAGCAGGCGAATGCGTTTCTTTTTCGTTTCGACCGGCCAGCCGCAGAGTGGCCGGAACAGGCCCAAGACGGACAAATGTTGTCACTAGCAAGAAGCCGGTCAGATGTAGCCGCTGCCACTAAGCGATCATCTGCAGCCCTGCAGAATGGTCGTGGCGGCGGCGCCTCTCACGATGGCCAGAACCGATGGCCGGGCAGCAAAGGGAAGGATTACGGAAAGGAGGGATAAAGGCCCCATTCTGCCCTTCTGCACCATCACAAATCACAAAGCTACGCCCTGCTGCCTTCTGTGTCTGCCTGCACGTTTCTGTTGTGTGGGGTAGTTGCCGCCAGAGAATATTATAGCGGGAGCTTGCAACAGTGGAAACGGGACCCTCACTGTCTTGCCGCATCGACTCTTTCGGCGGCGGCCTCTGCCTCAGCCCCTCCTGGAAGCGAGGAAGGAGCAGCCAAGCGCGTTTCTGCCGATCACCGGGTCTTGTGCAGAGAGCAGCCACATTCGTTCCAGATGCAAGGCAACGAGGGAAAGAACGAGAGAGTACAGGGCAGCAAAGAGGAAACTGCAATGGATCGGCAGGCAGGTAGAAAATAGCCCTGGCCTTTCATCTCTCTTCGCTCGCAACTGTCCGCTTCTCTTTCGCTCTCCTTCGCCTTTTCGTGTTTATCATAAAAACGCGGTTTGCGGCCTTGTGCTCTGCCGGCATCAGTCGCATCCTAAACCCCTGGTCGGATTTCATACAAACGAATCGAATCCTCAGCCTGCTGCGCAATAGCCTAGCTCCAACCGTCGGTCCGACCTCCATATTACAACTGCACCATCGCCATCTCCTCCCTTTTTCGTCATCGCGAACACTTTCTTCTTCTTCCACCTTTCCCCTGCATCTTTTTCCTCTCGTCTTTGTTTCCGTTTTCCCCTCTTCTCGCACGTCTTGCCTCCCCCCCCCCGCTACCCATCGACCGTGCGTGCGCACCGACTAGGGACCCTCCTACTGTCCGGTCTTATCAAGAAGTAATAACCCTGTCTATCCGCGCAATCTACCAACAGGACATTCAGGGGATCACTCCATCAGAGCGCGCTTGTTCCAAAGTCAGAGCAGCAACATTATCAGCCCTAGTCAATCCACATCCCTCTTTGTACCACTTGATTTCCCCCACCCTGTGCCCCCTTGCCATCATCAGAAACACCGGTTGCAAACGCTGGAGAACGAGAAGAGGCAACAGCCGTCCGAAGGTGTGATACAGGCCCGCATGGCCTGGCCTGATCTGACCCTTACACAAACACACTCCCTCCCCTTTCCCTCCCGCCTCTCTGCGGGGAACGACCTTTTCGGTCTGTTTCGTTTCCTTATTTGTTTCGGTCTGTGCCTTCCATGATCTTTCTCCGTTCGCCGAACGGAACTTCTGCTCGCCTCTCCATGGCTGTCCACCCATATTAGGCAACACTCTCGTCTTACGATTGCCGTCCGCACTGTCCTGACGTTCACGCTGCCACCTACGCTTTCTTTTAGAACTATTTCTGAAACCCCATCCCGAGACTTTCTTTGACTATTGTGCTTCCAATGTGCTGTCGACGCTCTTTCGGCCTTCTTCCGTCTTGTCCCAGCAAAGCTTTACTGGCATAGGAACGGTGCCGGTCTAGACGGCCTCTCGTCAGAATGAGCGAGCCGTTCGAGGACAATGAAAAGGTACGTCGCAAAGTGGGGAGATCACCATGTTGTAGTTGGTATGCGCCATATGCTTAACAACTTGCCATCTAGCGCTCTATGCTCGCGGAGTTGATCAGAGCCAGTCGAATTGATGTGGGTGCAGTGGTGGAGTTCGTCAAAAGGTACAACATTCAGCCGAATTGGATGGACATGCGCTATCCCAATGGTGAGCAAAATCAATCAACTCTTGTCAGCCCTTTTGCGAGTACTGGTCCGGCAGTAGAATGTGGTCTCACGCTGTGTTTTTCTGCTTAGGTCGTACTCCGAACGAATGTAGGCAACTTTTTGAAAGCATGGGTATTGCAGCACCACCGCCTCCACAGCTTCAGCCCGCGGCATCACAACAGTACCAACAATTCTGCCAGCCTCCGCAGCATGTTCAACAACAACAGCAACAGCAGCAGCAGCAGAACCTGCAACGCCAACAACAGCACCAACCGCAGGCTCTGCAGCATATACAACCACCTACACCATTGCCCCCTATGAAGCGCAAACCCTCGTTCGAAACCACCGAGCCCTTACCAAAGCGTCTCGCGATCACAACGACCGAAGTCCCAACGCCGCGCCTGCGCGCGGTAAATATCCAGCCACGTCCGTCGCCTACAGGGCTTGCAGCAGCACCTTCGCCCACAGTCGATACCGTCACATCCCCGCCTCCGAATCCCTCTCGGAAGCGCGGCCGTCCTTCCAAAGCGGACCGAGAAGCCAGGAATCGATCGTCCATGTCCATCGGAGCTTTTCCACCTCTTCTGGCTCCCGCACCCAAAACAGATCGGTTTTCTACGTTGACTCCTCCTCCTTTGGCCGAATACGCGTCACTGCCATCTGTGGCAAGCTTTAGCAGTTCTGCAAGAGCTTCTTCGGAGCCAAAAGTGAACACCATGACGAGGCCAATCACACCTCGTCAAGTAAAGCGGGCTAGCCATGAGCCTGAGGATGCGCAAATCGACGTACGCGTTCAATCCTCCTCCTCTTCGAAATAGTGCACTTACTTATGGCTGTCCAGGGCTCTTTTCACCAGGACTCCGGCCTCAGGCACTCCATGGCAAACAACCGTACCCCACTGCGACTGGAGCTGCCGAGATTGTTGCCAAGGAGCTCTCCAGCTCAGGAGCTACCAGCAGGCCACGGTGTCAGGGCACCCGAAAGTCAACCCCCGTCTTCTCGTGTTTCTGTGGCAACTCTCCTGAAAGCGGGCATAGAAGCTGTATGATCTCTCGACCACGTCTATTCGAGGAAACGGTATAACGAGCTGAATGGATCCCTCTTTTTTTCAAAAAAAGGGGAATGTCGCCAGCCAAGGCTTACTACGAATCTTGATAACTTTTCGCGTCGCATTTTTGTTGCTTTGCACGCTTTGGTTCGGCTTAATGGTGAGGCTATCTCGTACCCATTTTTTGTTGCATCGCATAGTGGAGGCATACGATGATTTTACGGAGTACGCATATACCAGTTGTTTCGGCTTTTTTTCCTGTCGGGGTTCCTATTTGATTTCTGGCAATATAAAGAGTCCGTCTGAGGGGCATGTCTTGTTCCGGCTCTGGGGTCGTTGGAGGCTCGTTTATTTTCTGGATATAAAGCGTTTCGTTCTACTTTGTCTTACTTTATTCAGCTTACCACTATTACAGGGTCTGTTCTTTTTACCAGTAGGAATCATAACGACTCTCCCCGTGTAAAATACAATATTCATAGAGGCTATTTTGTTTACAGAAGATCGTCATGTTCTAAAACCACAAAAGCAGGGAACAAGTTAGGGTTTCAAATGCATTAGATTGACCATGGCATGCAGTCGAGCGCACGCCACTTAACTCCTCTATCGGCGGCATATGTGTGCCAAGGTGCCATGGAACGAAGCCACCTAGTTCCAGATAAATGAAACAAGGAAAAGAAAGACCGAAATTCCTATGGAGGCCAGCACATCCCCTCTACGAAGGATATCTAGCCGTGGCGATGGGTACTAAAACGCAAGCGCAGGAAGCTGATGCAGCTCGGCGCGGTATTTTGAGAGATGAGACGGTTGTAGTGAACTGGGGAAGGGGGTAGAAACGCAATTAAGCACAAGATTCAAGCCAGACGATGAAAGCTGGGCGTGGTCTGATTATAGGGCATATACGGGAAGAAGAGGGGCGATGACAGGACTGTGTCTACTGATGCTTTTCAAGGCTCTGCAGGTTGACCAGCTCGGCGTAGCGGCCGTTGCGCTGCATGAGCTCGACGTGGGTGCCCTGCTCGACGATGCGGCCCTGGTCGAAGACGTAGATCACGTCGGCCTTTTGGATCGTGCTGAGGCGGTGGGCGACGGCGATGGTGGTGCGACCTTTGGCGGCCTTGTCGAGGGCGGCCTGGACGACCTTTTCGCTCTCGCTGTCGAGCGCAGACGTCGCTTCGTCAAGGAGTCTGGGGGGTTAGCAGGGGGAGAGAAAGAGAAGATGAGAAGAAGAAGAAAGAAGAAAGAAGAAAGAAGAAAGAAGAAAGAAGAAAGAAGAAAGAAGAAAGAAGAAAGAAGAAAGAAGAAAGAAGAAAGAAGAAAGAAGAAAGAAGAAAGAAGAAAGAAAAAAAGAAAAAAAGAAAAAAAGAAAAAAAGCTCACAGAATCTTGGGATCCCGGATCAGGGCCCGCGCAATGGCGATGCGTTGTTTCTGGCCGCCCGACAGGAGCGCGCCCTTGCTACCGACGAGAGTGTTGAAGCCATCTGGTAGGCTGACGATGAAGTCGTAGATGTTGGCCTCGCGGCAGGCAAACTCGACGGCCTCGTTGGTCACGGCGGTCTCGTCGAGGGCGCCCAACAAAATGTTCTCGCGGATAGTGCCCATATACAGGGTCGGTTCCTGGGAGACCAGGGCGATGCCGCGACGATAGGCGCTCACGTTGAGACCGGCAATGTCGTGGCCGTCGAGGAAGATGCCGCCGGCGAGCGGATCGTAGAAGCGCTCGAGCAGGGCGATGGTAGTAGACTTGCCGCAGCCGGAGGCACCGACGAGGGCGACGTACTGGCCCGGGTGGACGGTCAGGCTGAGACCGCGCAGCACGGGCTGCTCGAGGCGGGTGGGATAACGGAAGTGGACGTCGCGGAACTCGATCGGGTGGTCGAACGAGTCGACCGATCGACCAGCCGTCGACCAGGCGTCAATGGCCACCGGGCGCTCAAACAGGTGCTTCAGCTCGGCGCTCGCCTGGCGGGCCTTGCCCATGTCGGGCGCAAAGGAAAAGAACGTGCCGGCTGACTGGGCGCCAAAGGTGACGGCTGAGAAGACGACAAAGAAGCTGAACATGTCGTAGGCCCCCTCCGACAGCAGCTTGCCACCATACCAGAAACCCAGGGCCAGGACCAGAAATGTTAGCGATTGCGACGCCGCGTACAGCAGCGACGACCGCAGCACCGACACCGTCGATGTCTGCAGCTGTGCTGCCAGGTCGGCGCGATAGTGCTGCACCACGTCGTCTTCGCGCGTCAGCGAGGCCACTGTCCGGATGGCCGTGATCGCCTCGCTCGCGTAGCTCGCCGAGCCCTCGTAGGCCCGCTTTGCCCGCCGCTGGTAGTGCGCCAGCATCCAGAACCGGAAGTAGCCGCAGCCCAGCAGGATCGGAATCGTCGACGTGCACACCAGCGCCAGCTTCCACCCGATCGCAATCGACAGCGTCAGCGCGGCGATTAGCGTCGTCGCCACCGTCAGCAGTGTCCCTAGCGTCGCGCCGCTCAGCCCGGCAGCGTGCGTCACCTCCGTCGACAGGAACGATGTCAGTGCGCCCGCCGTGTTCTCGTCCCGGTCGAAGAAGGAGATGTCCTGTCGCAACATGGAGCGAAAGGCCCTGTCACGTGCTCGATGCACAAGCCGTTCAGAGCACAGTGCGAATAAGCCTCCCTGGATCGAAAATGCAAGCAGTTGCACCAGTCCCAGCATCAGGTACATCAGACACCAAAAGTGCGCATCGTGCCGCACCTGGCCGCGGTTCTGTGGCGTCACCACCACCGACAGTGTGCTGATCTGCTTCGCGAAGAACACCGCCTGCGTCGGGTTGCCGCCACCGCAGATGATCGAGAACACCAGCGCCACGCACATCAGCGGCCACTCTGAGCTGTTGAACCCTGCGATCAGCCGGATCAGCGTCATCAACCCGTAGCGTGCCGCTGCGTCTTCCGCCTCCGGCTTGCGCGCCTTCACCGCCAGGCTCGACAGCGAGTGCTGCGTCGCCGACCGCTGCAGCTTGCGTGCCATGTCGTCGTCCGGGTCTGCTGAGTAATCACCCGTTCCTGTGGCTGTGCCTTCTGTGGCTGAGCCGTCCTTGGCCTCCACGTCCGCGCTGCTGCTGCTGCTGCCACCCGTCACCTTGCGCACCAGTTCTGCGTCTGCCTTGGCGTCCAGTGCTTCCTGTTCCTCGGACGTCGGTGCGTTCACGGTCGCGATGCTCTGTGCCGCCACCAGGTTGTAGTAGGCGCCGCGCCGCTCGATCAGCTCGTTGTGCGTGCCCTGTTCGACGATCCGCCCCGACGACATGACCACGATGTTGTGCGCGTCCTTGATCGTGCTCAGTCGATGCGCAATCGTAATGGTCGTCCGTCCGGCAGCTGCTACGTCCAAAGCCGCCTGCACCACGCCCTCGGACCGCGTGTCCAGCGCCGATGTGGCCTCGTCCAACAGCAGGATCTTCGGGTCCGACACGATCGCCCGCGCAATGGCGATACGCTGCTTCTGGCCGCCCGACAGCAGGAAGCCGCGCTCGCCCACGTTTGTCTCGTAGCCCTCGGGCAGACCGGTGATGAAGTCGTGCGCGTTGGCCTTGCGTGCCGCGTCCTCGATCAGCGCCAGCTTCTCCTCCACGCCCGCCTGCTCGTGCCGGCTGCCGATGAGGCCGTGAGCAATGTTTTCATAGATGGTCGTGCCAAACAAGATGGGCTCCTGCTGCACGAGCGAGATGTTCTGCCGCAGCCACCGCAGGTTCAGCTTGCTGATGTCGTGGCCGTCCAGGTAGACCGTGCCCTGCACCGGGTGGTAGAACCGCTCGACCAGGCCGACAATGGTCGACTTGCCCGACCCCGAAGCGCCCACCAGTGCCGTCGTCTTGCCGGCCGGAATCTCCAGCGACACGTCCTCCATCACCACCACCTCGGGTCGTGACGGGTAGATGTGCTTGATGTGCTCCAGCCGGATCGCGCCCACCAGCCCAGCCGGCTTTTCGCCCTCGTCTGACGTCGGGTCCAGGCACGAGATCCGGTCGATCGTGTTGAAGATCTTAGCCGCGGCCGCCAGGCCGGTCGTGAAGGCCTGGATGTTGGGCGCCACGTTGCCCAGGTTGAAGGCGCCCATCATGACGGACATCATGATGATAAGCACCTTGGACAGCGGGATCACATTGTCGAGCACAAAGTTGCTGCCTACGTAAAAGGCCAGGCCGTAGTTGAGGTATAGGATGCACATCATGCAGGCAATCATAATCGAGAGCACCGCCTTGACGCGGAAGCCATGGCCTTCGGCCCGTGTCAGGTACTCGTCGTAGCGGCGGGCCAGGCGGTCCTGCGTGCCAAAGGCCACGCTGTTGCGGATCGAGCTGATGACCTCCTCGGCCACGCTGCCGCCCTCGGCATAAGCCGCCACTGACAGCTTGCTGTACCGGACGATGAAGCGCGACCCACCGCCCATGACAGTAACCAGCGCCACCACCGTCGACAGCAGGATCAGCGTCATCTTCCAGTACTCGACGAAGCCGATGACAAAGGCGGTAAAAAAGGTGGCCACTGCCGCAAGCGTCAGGCCAATCTTCTCTGAGATGCCCTCCTGCACCAGGTTCGCGTCGGCCGTGATGCGCGTCGTGACCTCGCCGGCGCCCAGCTTGTCGAAGAAGCCAATGTTTTGGCGCATGCAGCTCTCGAGGTAGTGCTCGCGGATCTTGGAGCTGATGTGCTCGCCCGTGTAGATGAAGCCGACTGTGGAGATGTACGTGGTGACAAACTCGCCGATGGCCAGGTAGATAAAATACAGCACCTGGTGGGCCATCTTGTGCATGAATGCGTGGCGGGAGAGCGTGCCGAGAAAGAACTTTTGGAAGCTGCCCTGGAGGTTGCCGAACACGACTGTCATCAGCGGCAGTGCGGCGCCGGATGCCGCGCCGCAGATGGCCGACACGACCAGGATGGCCACGTCCGTCCTCGAGGCGTAGCGGTACAGCGTGCGGAAGCCGACCTTGACCTCGGGCGTCAGCACCTGTCGTCGCAGCACAGAGGCCTCGTCCGGCGGCAGGTGTTGAAAGGGGTCCACTGCATTCTTCTGGTCGGGGAGCTGCACGGGTTTCGAATCGATCTTGACGAGACTCGATGCCGCCTTCTCATCGCCCGTGTCCTCTCGGCTGGACGCAGACTTGGGCGGCATGATCGCCGTGGCGACAGCATCCTTTTCCGAAAGGCGGTTATCTTTAGCCATTGCGTGTGGGCGAAAAAGAAAAAAGGAGACACTGCGGAGAGACGCCAGACGGTGTGCGTCTTAGAAAGCAGGCAGTCTTATATCGGGAGATGAAAAGGCGGACTGGCAGCGCGGCGAGACAGTCGCGGCTTAGCTTCGTATAAGGTTGTCTCGGGCCCGCATTGTTTTGTTGAGAAGGGGGGGCTTAGTGGAGAGGAAGATAAACATGAGAATAAGCGAGCATAGTGCAAGGCGCCAGACGGAGCAAACGGCCGGAGAAAAGAGTAACTCCAGGAATGTGTGGGTTGCCTGGCTCGTGTCGACTGCCTTCTTGGGAAACCCTGGCGGCCGAATCCTGGCATAAGTCGACCGCCGTTCTCCTCCTTTCTGGCGGGTGAATCTGACGCCAGGAAACCGGGGACACGGCCTAGTCCAAACCCCGACCGAACCAAGCGACGCTCTAGGCGAGTCTTCCAGGAGGTCGCAGGCCAGGTCTCTTTCTGGCAAGTGAATCGTGGGCCCCACGTCATCTCGCCCCTCAGCCATGGAGCCATGTGTCGTCCTTCGGTTTCGCATTCGGTTGCCTTGTCCATCCACCTTTAGTTCGTCTTAGCTACCGTGGCGGATCGCTCTAGCGCTCGTCCGATCGACCTTGCGCGTGCGAGCGTCTGAGTCGGGATGATACATACGGCTGCTGTGGATAGAAGTTGGCCCTGGTTAGAGGAGTCCGTAAGGATGAAAAAATAGGCAATTACTACGGAATGTTACTTGTACTCATAATCCTCCCGCCTCGGAAAGAGTCATTCTGACGTGTTCCTTCCTCTATAGGCACAGGCCACGTCATACAGCATCCTGCATCTTATCTGAATGATACAGCAAAGTTCAGCCGTGCCGTGTTTTCGCGTACTTGCCAATGCGGAGAGTTTGTCTTTTCTACTATGTAGCATCCGCCACCTGACATCTGACATTTTGGCATCCAATCATATACACTTTGCGGGAGCGAGATGATGCTGGCTGCGATCGGGGCCGCTCGTTGAAAGCCAGAATAGGAAGCGCGGTTCCGTGCATAACATGGGTGTGACGTGACTCGCCCGCATACAGCGATATGCTACTACACCACGTCATCGCCGCCTCAGGCCATCCAGGCACCCCACCAACTCGGCTAGCCTTGACAGCCTTGCACGCCAACCCACGACTTGCGACTTCTAGCCAGGCTGTCCTCGCGGATCGAGAAGGAAAGAGAGGAACTCAAAGTGCATCACAAGAGATCAGGCCGGGATACAAGAGAGCTCACGCTGCCTGGCGATAGATCCTGGCTCGAAGCTGCAGCGTACAGACTTTGGACCCTTTGGCTGCAGAACAGCTATAACTCACCATGCGTCTGCTGCATGGCTGCCGGTCCCAGGCCGTCTGCACCGGGCTCGTCTTGCTGGGCTCGGCCTTGCAGCCGGTTGCTGCCACCAGGCCCAAGAATGCCATTCTCCTGTCCGAGGTGAGCTGCGAAGAAGAAGAAGAAGAGAAGAAGAAAAAGAGAAAAAGAGAAACACGACAAAGTCTGACTCCAACAGGTCCAGTCTCTCACCCTGCGTGCCGGCAAGATGACGTCCCATCGCCGCGTATCGGCCGTGCCCCAGCTCTCGTGCACGTCCAGCCCGCCGGCTCTCTGCGACCTGCACACCGTCGACGTGATGCGCTGCACCAACGAGGGTCCCGGCTACGACCACGAGGACATCCAGTGGTCCTGCACGGCTCAGCTGCCGCCCGAGCTCAAGGTCTGGGCGCCACCGACGTCGTCTGCGAGGGCTATGCCTCGCGCGACGACCCCTACGTCCTGCGCGGCAGCTGTGCCGTCGAGTACCGCCTGCTGCTGACCGACCTCGGCGATGAGCGATACCCCGATCTGGCTGCAGAAACAAGCGCCGGTGGTCTCGCTGGTGCCGACTGGAGCTCCTGGCTGTTCTTCGGTCTCTTCGCCGCTGTCTGCATCTGGATCGTCTGGTCGGCCCTCACGGCCGGTGGCCGCGATGACGAAGGACAGGCGAATGGTACACGACGGCCAGGTGGTGGTGGAGGTGGAGGAGGTCCCGGCTTTGATGGAGGTGGTGGTGGTGGTGGCTACGACTACGACAACGACCCACCGCCACCCTATCCCGGTAATCCCAAGCCGGAGTCGTCCACGGCAGCTGCCCGGGCTGCTGGCCAGCAGTGGCGCCCAGGATTCTGGACCGGCATGGCTGGTGGTGCTGCAGCTACTTATCTGGCTGGGCGCAACAGCAACAACGGCAGCAGCAGCAGAAACAACTCCGGCTACGGCTACGATGGCCCCAGACAGCCTGGTCGGGGATTTGGCCGCTCGGCTGGGCCGTCCTACCGATCACAGTCGCCCCAGAGACCGCTGACAAGATCCACATCGTCTGCCCGTTACGAGGGCACCGGCTTTGGCTCCACGAGCCGTCGGTGAGAATGACGGAGGACCAGACGGCTCGCACACTCGGGTGGAAACAGACACTTCCATCACACGCCGCAGCATTGTGCGCCGGCTCCCATTCTCTTCTTCCCGCCCTAGTACACTGTAAAAATACACACAGAAACATTCAAACACGGCCAGGGCCCCTCCCATAAGCCAAAAAAAGAGCACAGATACCTGAAACTAGGTGACGCCTCCCCGTTCCGAAAACATATCGTATACCGTACACCCAAGGGCTCTCCGGACCCTGACACTGACAGAAGGAGGAAAAAAGGGGAATACAAAAGCTTTATAGTAAGCGGGCAGGAGGCAGCAAAGACGCCACAGACGGACGGCGCTTTTACACCACTCCCCCTTCCCTGGATGGATGAAAAAAATAATGAAATTTGGCTCCAAACGGCAACCCCGCCCTCTCCCCTGCTGACCTGAACCGGTTCATCTCGTCTCGTTTCGTTTCCTCTTATAAATGTGCCGTCATCACGTCCATCTTGTCAAAGGCCTTGTTGCATGTCGGACACTTTCTCATCCGGTTGCTGAGCCGCGCATCGATACATGACTGGCAAAACACGTGCCCGCATGTCTTGATGATCGCGTTCTTGAAGTCGTTGCGGCACACCGAGCAGAGCGCAAATTTCTATCGTCTTAGTCAGCATTCGTCGCCTTTTCTCGTCTCCGCGTCCACCGCTACTCACCCTGAGCATCTCCTCTTCCTCCGACGAGTTGGCCAAGCACTTCGTCTTCCAGTTGTCCCGGTCCTTCTGCAGGTGTCCTATCCGCACTTTGAGCTTCTCCAGCTCTGTTTCGTGTGCTGCCGCCTGCTCGCGCAAGCTGATGTTTGCCACGTCCCGCGCCTTGACCAGATTCGTCAGCTCCATGATCTGTCCCTTGCTCGAGTCGAACCGCCGCGTGATGTCCGCGTTGGCCGACTTGAGTATCCGGCTTTCGTCTGCCACCGTCGTGTTGGATTGCCGGAAGTCGGCCAGCTGCTTTTCCAGGTTGCTCAGCAGCGACCGGCTCTGTGCTTCCACCTCCTTGAGCGAGGTGATGATCTCTGAGCTCTTGCTGTTCTGGTGCCGCAGCGCCCGGATCTCTGCATTGCGAATGTCCATATCCTTGCGTGCCGCGAAGTACTTCTGATCCGCCTTAGCCTTCTCTAGCGTCAGGATCGTCACCCGCTCCTCCAGTGCCGTGAAGTCCATCACCTTCTTCTGCGCCAGGCTGATCGCCCGCTTATACGCCTTCTCCACCGACGGCATTTCCGCCTGAATGAGCGCGTAGTCTTTCTCCAGCTTCAGCAACCGTTCTCGCAGCTGTTCCGGCGACAGCGCCTCCAACTCCGCCGTCGTCGCCGTGTCGCTGCCGTCCTCGCTCGGTCGTAGTCGGTCCAGCTCCAGCTCCAGTGCCGTTATGCGATCGTCCTTGGCCGTCACTAGCTCCTTCATGTGCTCGAATGCCGTCCGCTCCTGGTCCTGGCTCGCCTTCCGGATCTGCACGTCAGCCACCAACTCATCCCGCGCCGATCGGATCCGTGTGAGATCCTGCTCTTTCGCCTGTATCTGGTCCTCGAGTTCGCTCGTGACCGCTTGCGCCTCCAGCTCGAGCTTCGTTCGAAAGGCCGTTCGGTCCGTCTGCAGCTTCTCGATTTCCTCGCGCAGCTGCTTGTTGGTCGCTTCCAGGTGGTTGGCCCGCCGGATCAGGTCTTCACTCTTGCTCTTCAGCTGTTTAAACAGGTCTGTCCGCGCATAGTCCTCCTCCGATACGCTTTCCCGCTTCGCTCTGAACGCGCTGTTCTCGTCCTGGGCGGCCTTCAGTTCAGCAAACAGCCGGTCGAGCTGCTCTTTTTGCTTTGCAAACGCAGCCAGGTTCTCGTCATATTTCCCCTGCAGGGCCTGCAGATCGGCAGAACTTGCCGCCGACGCGTCTCCTCCATTTTCGGCTGCCGGCCGCGGGGTGACGTGCGCCAAGGCCTTCTCTTCCATCTTCTGGACCTGTAGGCTGCGCATGCGATCTATCCGCTTTTCGGCCTTGATATACCGTAGTGTCGCGGTGTCGAGTTGCTGCGATATGTCTTCCTTGTCCGTCTCCAGGCGGTCCAGCTGTAGGGCGTATTCCTTTTGGGCGGCGAGCAAGGTCTTGATTTGCGTCTCCAGCTGGGTGACCTCGGGTTTTACTGCTTCGCGCATGCCGGCAAGCCGGCTGAGGAGAAGCTCCATTCTCGTCTTGACTGCCTTTGTCTTCTCACCCAGGTGCTTCTGAAAATCTCGGCTGTCTTTGAAGCTCAGCGCAGACGGGTAGGGATGTTCTAGTAAATCGATGCCTGTCAGCATGGCCATGTGCTCCAGCGGTCTAGCGGTCTGGTGGTCGTACCTTTCGATTCTGGGTGGCTGGACACAGTCCCTTCGCAGAGAAGCTCGATTTCTTGCAAAAGCTAGGCGATGGTTAGGATGTCTGTCTTCCGCTTGGTCGTCATCGGCGGTGGGGGATGTGTGCCTACCTGGAGGACCCAAGCATCGGCAATACGGATGTGGTCATCATGATACGTCGACCGCTTTTGTATCTCTTCGATCCGAGTTTCTAGTGTGGCTTTTTCCCTCTTGTATTCGTTCATCTGGCGGATAAGGGCGTCTTTTTGAAAGTCCTGGAGATCCCGCGGTCAGCAATCGTCCATCTGAATGTCGAAGGGCGCGAAGCGCCAGCAAAACGGGCCAGGATATCAGTGAGCAGGGGAGGAAGAGCCTTGAGGGTCTATGCCTGCTGCTTTGCAGCAAGCGGCGCATTAGCATGGAAACCGGCGTGGCTGACACTCCCAGAGGCAGGAGAACAGTTTCTGAACAGACAGCTTCTGGGAGCAACGACATGTGATGCAGGCAGGGCGAGAATGTAGGTAGAAGGAGGGGAAGACGCGCGTCAGGAAAAGAACAGATGCGTGCGAGCGGGAAAAAGGGGGCTCAAATCGATCTGCAGGATGGAGAGGTGAAAGTCTGCGTCGTGTGATGCCTTACCTCGAGCCAAGCCTCGTCTTTGTAGTCACCATTATTGTCGTCTTTTGCCCTGCTGCCACCACCGTTCACGGCCTGTCGCTTGCTTGGTGGTGCATACTCATCGGTGTCGGCGATGGCCGGCCTCTTCCTGTCCTCCATCTTGACGACGGCGGATGGATGAGTCGGCAAAGCGGAGGGAGAAGTGGCAATAGGCATGGGAGAGGGGGAAGGGATGAGAAGGCGAGGGCGCGTGAGGAAGATCTCCGAGTCCCCGCGAGAGAGCGAGGGGCCTGTTGAGGGACGAGATGGGGGAGGAGGGAGGCGAAAGGGGAGGGATTCGAGCGAGAAGCGTGAAGCGTGAGACGGAAGGAGTCCACAGAGTAATAATAGGGGAGGGAAAAAGCAACGAGAGATCCGGAGGGAAAATAGAAGAGAAAAGGAAGTGGTGGGGAAAAGAGGCCTGGCGCGATTAACCAGGAGCGATGGGTTCCGCAAACATGGGAGTGGAAATGGGCGCCAGAGATAGTCAGGGAGGCGGGCGAGCGAGCCGATGGTACGAGGCAGAAGAGGAGAGAGAGAGGGAACAAAAGTTCGCTGGCGGAGGCAGATGGAAATTTTGGCGAATTCAAGACCAAAGAGGCGTGAGCGAGGAGAGGGAAAAAGGAGCCAACCAAAAAGGGCGACAAACGGCGCTAGGCTCTGTTGGGTGCTGGCGCAGCTATGGATCGCGGCTTATCGCTGCAAAGTGGGGGCTGTCTTATATAAGGCGAGTTCGATTTTAGCACGGTATTTTTTTTTTTGCGATTTTTATCGCTTCTGCGTCTGCCTCTTTCCCCTCACTCTTCCTCCTCTCCCACGAGCACACAGACATGTTCCCGCCCGCGCCCGACGCCCACTCCGACCTCAGGCAGCTCCTCTCACGAATTGATCGAGCGACGGCGTCTTGACGTGTGCGACTTGCGCGATTGACGTCCGGCGCAGCAGATGGCCATTACGGCTGAACGAAGACCTCAGCAGCCAGCGGCAGTCGACCGAAGACCAACGACACAGTATCGATATCCAACACAGCCTCAGCCATGAGTTCCATGCTGAAGAAGAAGGGCGGTCTCGCCTTTAAGCCCAAGGCGCCGGCGGTCCGACGAGCAGCCGTAGCAACAACAGCAGCAGCGCCTTTGGCTGCCAATCTGACTGCAAACACGACGACGAGGGCAAATTCGATTGCTCCTGCTCCTCAGGAAGTCCTCCAGACAAGCCAAGCAGCGGCTACCACAGGGCCGGGGGTCAGCCCAAGACGCCGACCGCGCCCGAAGCTATCGCCCCCGCAGCCACGACGTCATCATATGTTGCACAGACAGCAGAAAAAGAAGCGACGGCACGATCCCAAAGAGCTGCAGCCCCCACACCACTATCACCCCCTGCAACCCAGAGACAGCCGGCAGCAGTGGCAGAATGGCCAGTCAGCCAGGCTGCGCCTGTGGTCGTCACAGCTCCGGCAACTCTGCCCCCAACACCCCCACCAACACAGCCGACAGTCCGACAGACCAGAACACGACGCTCGACGACGGCGGCTCCAGCTGCGGCCGAACGACAGGAGGAATCTATGACGCAGCGGACGCGCATCGCCATCAGCAGTCTGCTGCAGAGCGAAGAGGCCGTGGTTGCAACAGGTGTAGTCCCCGCCGACGAGGCGGCCAGCATTGTCAGTCCTGCTCCCGCAGTTGCGGAAATCGTCGCTCCGGCTGCAGGACGGAGGGGTCGTTCCAAGGCCAAAGCCGCTGCTTCTGATCCTGCTCCCGTTGTGCCGACGGAAGGAGAGTCTGCTGGTGCTGCCGTGGCAGCGACTGCGCCGCCAGCAAGGAGACGCTACACGAGGCGAAAGCCGGTCGGCAGTGCGGCGGCTGCAGCAGATGGACAGGAAGGAGGCGCCGAGGCCCAGGTGCGGCCACGAGCAAGCCGGAAACGGTCAGCGACATCCGGGACTAGCGAAGGGCCAGCAGCCACGACAGTGGCAGTGACAGTACCGGCAGCGGCGAAGCGGAGCCGTCGAGAGCGGGAGGTGACGCCGGAAGATGCGGAAACGCGCACGGTAGACCACCGGGAGCTGAAGATGGAGGACCTGACCAAGGACTTGCGAATCGGCAAGAAGTTCAGCCGGCACGACGAGCTGGTCGACCGCGAGCGCGAGAAGCGACGGCAATATCGGCTAGGCAAGAAGAACGGCACGGGCGGGACAGCAGCGATGGCGGTAGCGGGAAGCGGTGGCAGCAGCGAGACCGGATCCGTGCTGGGGGTAGTAGGAGTGGGCAGCGAGACGGGCGGCGTCAACGGCGGGCAGGTGCGGATGTCGGACGCCGTGGCTGCGGCAGCATCGGTCATGGCAGCAGCAGTCGGGCCCCGACGAGCAGGAGGAGCAGTGGGAGCATCAGCGGCCGGGCCGCAGTTTGAGATCATCGACGGCAACATTGTGGTGAACCAGGCATCGCTGGTGCACGATCGACACGCGGCAGCAGCAGCAGCAGCAGGCGAGCTGGAGGAGGTGGAGGAGAACGACTTTACGCGGCAGACAACGTCGAACACGTACCTGAAGCCGGGCAAGCTGCGGGGGCCGAATGCGTGGACGGAAGCCGAGACGGAGCTCTTTTACCGGGCGCTCAGCATGTTTGGCACCAGCTTTGACCTGATCTGCAACATGTTTCCGGGCAAGTCGCGACGTCACATCAAGATGAAGTTCAACCGCGAGGACAAGCTGCGGCCGGATCGCATCACCGACGCGCTCGTCGGCCAGCACAAGGTGGCCATCGACGTGGACGAGTACATGGCGCGAACAGGCCAGACGCTGCACGCGACCGAGACCATTGACGCCGAGTATGCCCAGCGCCAGGCCGAGCACGACGCCGAGCAGCAGCGCATCGCCGATGACGCCGCCGAGCTGCTGCGCAAGAAGCGTGAGGACTTGTTCAGGCCGCGCGGCAGTGCAGCTGGTGCTGGTGTCAAGACTGCGGCCGGACAGACAGCATCGCACAATCTCTCGGCACGAGACTTTGACCCTCTTGGTGGCGCTGGTAGTGGCCCCAATCCAGACGACGAGATCGACGAGACCGTTGAGGACGAGACCGACCTCGTTCGGCACAACGGCCGCCGGCGTCCTGCTGGCCGCTCCAGGGTCGGAGGCATGAAAGCCGCCGTGGCCAGTGGCTTCGGCGAGGCCTACGACAGAATTGGCGTTTGTGTGTACAGAGTATGATTGTGGTGGCTCGGCTCGGATGGTGTTCTTTTACTTGCATACACGTGATACCCGCGATTGGATGGATAGGGCCGGCTGGCTGCGGGTAAACAGGCCGCAGCTGGCAGAAAGGCCGGCTTGGACGGGAAGGAAAAGAGCCGCTCTGTGAGCTGATTTGACGTGCCTTTCCTGTACGCAGAGATTCGGTGGCAACCACCGCTTATAAGATAAATGAGAAGACGCTCCCAGGCCATGTACCGCATACAAGCGAGAGAGGGTAAAGAGAGAACGATTCGGCGGCTCTGGGGAACCAGAAGAAGCGGCTTAGAAGCGAGGGCGTTTGCCAAATGCAGGAAAAAAAAGCGGAAAGGGAAAAGACTAAGGAAAAATGGAAAGGAATAAAAAAACAGAGACCTCCCCCTATTACCTCCCCCGTCCAGTTGACCCGACCAGCTGACCCGTCCATCCAGCCTCGCCTCGCCCCTCTTTTGATTCCGTCATCATTGCTTCGATCCGTTCCCTCTTCGCCTCTCCATTGCGCAGAAAAGAACAGTGTTTGGGTATTCCTCGGCCGGTGTCATTTTTTTCGGTCTTGGCGTCATTCGGTTTCAATCTCGATTTCGACTTCGTCGTCATCGTCTCTCGGAGACAGCAGCGAGCACGGCCGGTATCGTCTAGTGCGGCTTTGTCTAGTCCTGTAGATCCTCGTCGTCCGGTTGGTCAAACAGGAAATTTGCCGCCAGCTCCTCGTTCTTGTCGCACGCAAAGTATGCCTGAATCGCCTGGTCCCGGTCGAAGCCGAGGCGGCAGAGCTGGGCCGAGTTAGCAAGCTGTCCCGCTCTGTTCCTCTCTGCTTCTCTCTGATCTCAAACTCACACGTTCGATAGCGTCCCGCTCCTCCTCCGTCACCGAGATCGCCTGCGCGCCGGGCGGCAGCGGCGCATCGTCCTCGTCGCCATCCTCGCTCAGCAGGCTGAGGAACTGGTCCGGGTTCTGCGCAATCAGCTGCGCCAGCTGCGGATTTCCCGCGCCCAGCTGCTGCAGGATCGGCTCCAGCATCTGCGGCTGCTGCTGCACCACCTGGCGCAGCTGCTGGAACTGCGCGTTGTGCCGCAAAAAGTCCAGGTTGCCGAGGCCCTGGCTGCCAGCAGCTGCTGCTGCCGCTGCCGCTGCACTATCCGCCGACGGCTGTGCAGCTGCACCACGGCTGCCGCCGCCCTGGCCGTGCTGCGCAGCCAGGTCAAACAGATTCACGCTCTCGGGGTGCTCTTCGATACCGGCAGCAGGGGCTGCCGCTGCAGCTGGAGCCGCAGCCGCAGCTTCACTTTCGGCGCCGGCGCCGGCCGCAGCCGGCGGTGGCTGCAGATTATCGGGAATGCCCTGGAGCTATCAGCACAAGCACAGCCAATCAGTCTGGTTTGGGTGACACCCACTGTCAGCAGATATTCGACCGCACGGTCCGGGTTGTTGTAGGCCGCGCGCATGGCCGCGCTGATCTGGCTGCGTTCAAAGCCCATCGCCTCCATGTTTGTGATGGCCTCCTGCAGCGCAGGACCGACCGAAAAGGAGTTGGGGTCGGTGTAAGACGTCGCACCACCAGCCGTCGGACCGGCAGCACGGGCGGCCGGACTTGGTGTGGCCGCGACGGCCGCTTGCGCAATCGCAGCAGAACTGGCCGCAGCAGCAGCAGCAGGAGCAGCAGGTGTGGCCGCGACAGCCGACGCGCGAGCAGGTGTCGATGGCGAAGCGGCTGATGAAGACTCGGCCACCGGCGCCGGCTTAGGCTGTAGGCCGCAGCATTAGCATCGTCCTTCTTCTCTCGTCCATCCTCTAGGCCGACGCACCTTGTTCACCACGCAGACCACGAAGCCCTTCTCTTCGATCTTGTACGACTCGACCGTGTCTTCATCTTTCAGAATCTTGCCTGCCATCCGGGGGCATCAGTACTGTGGCTTCACCATTTCACAAGCCGGCCGGTCCTTCCATTGCGCAACGTACCCGAGTAGATGAGTTTCTGTGTTTTTGGCGCCCATCCGCGCTCGTCCGAGATCTTCTGCTTGACTGCGGCAATCTGGTGAGGCAAGAACAAAGTACATGTCAGCTCGGGCCTCTCGCCATGACTTCGCCCGAGTAACATAATGCGGAGAGACAGGGGAGTGGAACAAGTGATGCGCGAGCTCGAGGCTTGTGTCGTGCAGCCTGGGAAGAGAAAACGACGGGAGGAAAGATAGACGTACCGTCTCCGAGGGCTCGATCTCGATGACGAATTTTTGCTGCTTCAGATCCTGCACCAGAGAGTCAGCAATGGATAAGCGTCGGACGAGCCGTCATAGTTCTGGCAGGCCACATCGTCGAAACCTTTCTTCTTACCTTGAATGTCACCTTCATGGCGGGCAACTTCTGTGTGGAGGGGTCGACAGGAAGATAAAAAAAGAAAAAGAGATTATGGGAAGAAGAAGATGTTTTTTTCCACGAGCGTGCGCTGTCAGCGGGTGATGGGTGGAAAACGAGGACGCCACGGGCAAGTTGACAAGAGCAGGTTAAGGGAAGAGAGAGAGAAGGTCAGTCGACAAAGAGACTTGCGATCTTCGCTCGAGGTGAAGTTGCGTAGGCGATTTTTCGACGGCGGGCGGGAAAGACAAGGTGGAGAGGAGGAGATGTAGCCAGTCAGGCCCTGTCTTGCGGCCCTTTCTGGGCCACTCACAAGAGGCAACAGCGCTAGTGGCGGGCGGAGGCATAGGTCCATGGCGTAAGAGCTGTAGCTGCCTGCTGCTCTGGCTCTTCAGAAGCCCCTGTCAGCATACCGCTGTAAGGGATATATGTACATACAAGAAGCCCCGCCACACCACCGAGAATCACATGCGAGGTTCAGCCAATTTGCTTCAATCTTCTCTGTATACGGAGTACGGCGCCTGTTCGGTAACGCCTTTGCTAATCAAAAGTACAGACACGTCCAGCGACGTGATAATGTCGTGTTTCCCAAAACGCCTACCCAACCCTAAACCCCCAACCCTAAACCCAAGAAAATACTATCCACCCAGAAAGAACCCAGATAAGGAAAGGTGCGTGAGAGAACGTAAGAGAGCGTGAGCATGCAGCATGTATACAGCCATGTGAAGGACTGGTCCTCCTAACCGTTGCATAGTCTTCGTAGCTGATCTTCATGTCATGTATTTTGCGTTTCGTGTGTTGTGTAGTTCCCTTCTTTGAACCGGCCTGCCTTCATCCTCATGATGCCTCGTTCTCCAGTCGGGAATTCCGGCTCTCGTAACCCGATAGGCTTGTTCGCGTTCCTGCGCTCAGAATCCAGTCCGGAATCGGCGGCGTCATATTGCGCTCGGCCAAGCGGAGCTGCTTCTCACGTGTCCCCACCTCCTCGTCCACCTCCTCCTCCTTGTCGTGCAGCATGTCGCTGGCCAGCGGCCGACCCCGGGCGATGCCACCACCTCCATTGTCGCCTAGTGCGCTGGGGCTGCCAGCAAGCGCCCTCTTGACTGCAAAATCGTCAAAGCTGCCCTGCCGGCTCAGCGGGCTCGACACCACCGGAAGGCTGCCGCTCCGTATCCGGTTAAACGTCCGCAAGCTCTGCACGTCAGTCGCGAGCATCTGGCCGGCATTGGGCGCAGCCGTCACCACGGTGCCGGCGCTGACGGCGGGTGGTGGAGTCGGCGAGTCTGACCGGAACAGCGGGTGGATATGTGCCTCGTTGGCCGGCGAGAGCGAGTGCGAGCGTGCGCGCGTTCCCGGAGCCACCACATATCCGCTCGATAGCGATGTTGTCGATGTCGACCTGGGCACCGACCTAGGCACCGGACTATAGCTCCGGCTGCGCCGACGAGTCCGTGGGGGACCTGCGAGGTCCAGTGGTGCGCCCGGACTGGGACAGCGGCTCGCAGTTGGACTGGCTGGGATCGTCTCGAGAAACCGGCTGGCCGGGATGGGCGACATCGAGCTTTCCAGCACGGCCTGACGGTTTTGCGGCGAGACAGAAGACGTGTCCCACGAGTCAAAGTCGTCTTCGACGCTTGCGCTCGACTCGCGGTCACGACGGGGCGAAGACGAGTTGTTGTAAGAAGGCAAGGTCCGGAGTGACTGAAGGCTGCCGGAGCTGCTAGCCAGCAGTCGTGTCCTGGAGGAGAAGGGACGGACAGCATTGGACAGCGATGACCGCAGGGAATCAAAAGTCTCCGCCGCCGAGCGACCATCGCTTGAACCAGGTGGCGAGCGTATGTCCCCTGTCAGGGCGGCTATACCCCCCCTTCGGCTCGCCGGCGGAGTCGGGGCCAATGTCTGACTGTAGCGGATCCCCTTGACACGGATGGACGGCGAAATCCGCGTGCTGGTAGTTGGGGGCCGGTTGCTGGCATCGTCTTGCTTATAAAATTCCGCAGCTCGAGACAGCTCGGTAGTCTCCTCTGTCGACAGCGCACGGACAGCTATATATTGCGCGATCAAGAAGAGCAATTGGGCAGTATAGCAAACAGACAACGTAACCGATGCTCCGGCGAGGAAGGGAACCGCTCCAGATCCGAACAATGTCGGTGGTAGAGTGCCGGTGAACTTGCTGAGATTGACAAGGGCAGCAACAGAAATGGCGGCAGCCACTGTGCAAAGAAGGATGCTGAGACTGAACCAGTGGCCACCCGGCTGCTGTAATGGCTTTTGCAGCTGCTTTTCGTTGACGCTGCATTGAGCTGCTTGTCTCCGTATGCTGCTCCAGATGAAGTATGTGAGATAGGCAAGGAAGATGAGAAGCACTAGTCCTTCGCTAATTGCTGAAACAATCGCAATGATACGTGTTGTGGATGTTGAAAGGTATTCTAGTTGGTGCGCGAGAATGGCAAGGAGAGCTATCAAGGCCGAAGTTGAGAATATGGCCAGGGTGCCAGCCACGGCCAAAATGCTATGTGGCGGAGCCATGATGTGGAATCTGTGAAGCAACCAGATCTAGGAGCAAAAGAAAAAGAGGCTCGGCTTCACTTTGGTGCAGGACGTTGTTTCTCTGAATTGGCCTGCTTGATAACCTCTTGTCTCCAAGTCCCAGGTCACCAGGCGGAGACTAGGTCAGGGAAAAGCGGTCTACTCCTCTGTAAGTCCACGGCCAGTTGCCGTGAGCACTCGTTGGCCCAGGCGTACCCAATGCAAAAGTGACAAGATGGATAAGCCGAGAAATCTGTTGCAGTGTCGAGAAAGGCCAGCAGAGATGCCGGGCTCAATACTGGGCCAGCACAGCTTATAGAGAGCGTGTTCCTGCGTCGAGGTGGGGAGTTGGATGCTGTCCGGGAGTTGTGCCTGCTGCTGACTTCGCTTAGATAGTTTGAGTCAACTGCTGGAATGCTGCCAGATGTCTCAGCGTGAAAGGCAGCCGACATCCATAAGCCTGTGGATATTTCGATAACGAGAGGACCGACAACTGATTGTCAACTGTAAGGAATGAGTAAAGGAACGCAACATCGACCTGAGGAGAGAAGAGTGTCCCGCCACTGCCAGATGAGGGAAAAGGGGAGTAATCATGCTGACGGCAGCGCCATAGTATAAGACGGTAACCAGCAAGGACGCGTCGCGTATGCGTGCTGCGCCGCTGAGCCGCTTTTGTTGATATTATAGGGTTGGAGGTCTGGAGGGGTCGGATCTCGGAGTGGGGGGTGGCCGGGGCATAAAGATGAGGTGTGGGTGGCTTATTCGTGCTCAGGCCTCTTAGACCTCGTTTTCTGGCCTCCTTCTTACTGCGTCTTTCAGGGATTTCCTTCTTCCTTCTAGGCTAGAGGTGGATCTCGGAAAATATAGAGAACGCGGCGGGGAAGCCGGACTTGATCATAGTAGATTGTTCATGGCCACTCGGTTTTGTCGAGCTAAGCAACGGTGTCTGTTTTTGTTTTTTTCATTTGGTTTCTTCGCTTTTTCTTCTATTTTCTTTTTTTAGCGCGTTGCTTGCTTTTCTGCTTGCTTCTTTTTCCTCGCCCCTCTCCGCTTGTCGGGTTCCGTGCCACTGCTTCCCCTTTCTTGATCCATGGCTGGTAGTGTGTCGAGTGGCAGGTTGACTCAAATGCAGGCTAGCAATGTGTTCTCGATGTCAACACGAGGTGTCAACATGACATCGTATCCGCAGTGAGACATCCAAGCTATGCCGCTTCGTATTGAGCCAGCATTCAGGTGATCATCACGAAATCGTGCGTGCTGGAAGGACGATCTAGCAAGCCCACAGCTTCGGTTGGCACATCCGGTGCCTTTTTTTCCCTGCTGAACGTCGAAAGTGATCTCCGAGATGCAAGACTAAGCGGGCTAGGGAGCCACGTTTGTGGCTCATAACCAGCCGGCATTGAAGGATCAGCGGGGTCCGGCGATTCGAGCTGCAGGTAAGATTAAAATGTGGAGTATTAAGGAGCTAAGAAGGCTGACCACAGCCCCTCTTCACGTTTCCTATGCGACTTTCTGATACAGCATTGCTGCACGACCTTTGCCGATGACGTTTGCCGTCAAACGTCAAAAAGCAACATTTATTCAGAATTGGTGAATTGGTCTTCAAAGACGACAAAAGAAGAAGGAAAATTAAGCGAAACAGACAGGGACTGGAGGCTGGTAATACATGTATTCGTACTTGCAACAGATTTTGCATGCTTCCAACATCAATATACAAGATGCGCTAGCATCAAATATGGAAAATAGTCAACAAAACTCGCGTCGCGCGTTTGACTCCGCTGCAACCGATAAAGCTGCAGACTGGTAGTTACGACGTACTCCGTACTCTATGGGCAAAATATAAAAATCCAGGTATGGTCGGCTGCTACAAGTTGTAGTGCGCAAATATGGAGTGGGCGCTCTGAGTGGATATCTATCCGTAGCGTTTGTTTTGTTTACATGCTTGTTTATTTGTTTTGTTTTGTTTTGTTTTGTTTTATTGCCGATGGCAACTCTGGAATAATTATAGGCTATTCAATTTCTCGGTTGGGTTATTTTCAGCAATCCAGCTGTTCTCTCTAAAAGACGAGCTGTATTTGCGTTACTTGTATCTAAAGATAGATGATAAATATGCCTCTGTAAATTACGAATCGAAAGAAATAAGAAGAAAAAGGGAGAAAAAAAAAAAAAAAAAAAAAAGACAAGAGACAAAGTCTTAGAGATGAAGGGATCCAACAGTCGGTGAATGAACAAGCTTTTAGAAGTGAGTCATCGAGGCTAAGATTGTACAGGTTTCAAAATAAGCTGTTCCCTCAATGTCTATTTCGGTGTCTCTTCTTGCCTTCTAGAGATACCCCAAAGGGTTTCCCTGCCAGTCACGAGGCAGACGGCATACGCCGGATAATGATGCAGTAAGACTATGAGCTTTGCTGCCGATGCGATGCTGATTTTCCGCTGTAAGAGGGTCAGTCCTCGTTGGATTCGACGTATTTACCAGCATATGCCATCTGCCTGTACGAGCCTCTTACTAGCGAGGTTGCTGGCAGCACCTGCATTGCTGCTGCTCTCTCAGCAGCTTTCATCGCCTCATTTTTGGTCTACATCGTCATCTACAGGCGGAGGACTTGTCGGTATGCCTAGGCTGTCGCAGCGGACGAAACGTATCTTAAAGATAAGCCCAGTATTTGTGCTATTCGGCTTTGTATAGCGCAAAGGCTTTTTGCGTGCTGAACCTTAAGGGCCGTAATTCTGCGACATTCCAAGTTTTGTCCTCTTTGTGCTTTTTTTTGGTCTTCTTTGATCGTCTTGTCCCTTTACTAGAGTTGCCTTCATGGCTTACAACCATGCAGGAAGACTAACTCGAGCCTGTCGAGTATTAGGAAAAACACACATAAAGCCACTTTCTAGAATAAGAAAATGAATGCGCGGGAACCTGTGTCAATCCTTCATGTATAACAAGCCCAAGAGAGATGTTCGATAAGTAGGGAACACGTCATCCCTTAAGTTCAGTGTCGACTTACACATTGTTATAATGCACTCGAGCACTTGTTAGAGGTAAACTTTCATACCGGCATCATTACAAATAGGAGATCGAGGAAATGCAATAGAGAAATAATTTATCCCTTTCCTTCCCCCCCTATCTTTGTCTTCCTTTCTATCTTATAATTCTGGTCTGCATTCGTTGCTCTTCTCTTTTTTTCGTACCTCCCCATTTCTTAATTTCCTCATTCAATAGCCTGCAAGAGTGTCTCATGTGCATATCTTTCACGGTATTCTCTGCATACATTCCCAATCGCGCAGCTACATCAAGAAGGGGATGCCCGGCTCGATAAGAAGCAGTAGAACAGCCCTCAGAGTTGTTCTATCGCCACAGTTAACGTTGCTTGTAGCACTAATCTATTGTTGACAGGTGCAACCGGCTGTTTGAAGAGGCAAAAGTTGGACATGTAGAGTTTTGCGAGCCATTTCGACGGCCACATAAGCTTCTTTCAAATCTTGGAGCTTCTTTGCACTCTATTATGTCTTTTTAATATATCTTAGTCAATAACCTTTCAAGGGCTTTAAAGAGGTTATGTCTTTTCGTAATTTTAACGAAAAATAGCGCCATCCGTAGCATTGGATACAACTCAGCAAGAGTAGGCTAATCACTTTGAACGTATGCGCCCCTTTTGTTGCCAACGCGAAAAGGTCTTCAATCAGCTTTGACTAGGTTTTGCGAACCTTGTAACGATAACTGGCCTTATCTTTCCATACTGACCTCTACATCTAAACGACGTTCACCACCTTTCAACACGAAAGGGATGTTTACATCTGCTTGTATAGCCGTATCTTTCATGCCAAAGCGAAAAATAAAGATTCGATAAAAAAACAGAATCACACCATATTGTTGTGCTTTTAAGGCTTGCCCGTTAGTCGTGACATAGAATGCGACATGGAACGTCATACTCAGTAAGATCTCTTAAACAATCTCTTCGGAGCGTGGGCCGACTTTGCATTGGTGTAGTTTTATTCTGTACCACCAGAGGCTAAGTAGTAGTCACTGAGAGAAATATCTGACTCGTATAGCATGGCTTTGAGGCATCTGAAGATGCGCAATCATTTTTTGGACGGGCTGTTGGCATTCCTGTCACATTAGAGTGAAGCCACACCGGTTATCACACACGCAAAAGGCCAAGGTTTTGTGAGGTTTTGTTACGCCACAACTTGAAAAAGGATGATGTATGCGAAATAGGTAGACATACAACGTATGTCAACTAATCATAAAGATGCGTGCCAAGCTCGTGTTTGGCTGCTTTTACAGGGCCAAGCAGTAGTGAAATTATCATCTTATTCGTCACGGTATCAGAATGCTGTTTTTATTGCATGCATGAGAATCATGTGCTTTACGAACTGGCCAGGCTCAATATGTATGACGTGTCCCTGGTTCTTGTGACGTTATTAATGAAACCACTACTGGTAAAATCAAGGTTAAGTATCAAAACTTATATGGCCTGTTGGCGTACTTACAGTCCTCTCGTTGTCTGCCAAAGCATTTTGCCTCATTTTCTTATTGACTCCATCCTTGTCTTCACTCGTACTCAGACTCCACGACTAACACCGGGATACAGATTGCAGGGTTCATGGCTCACCTCCTCCGGTCTGAACCCTGTCCTGTCTTGCATATTTTACGTGCATGCAAGAGCAGATTATAAAGCGGTCCTTACCATAAAGACTGTCATTTCCATAATGAACTACGTTATGCAACTCTGTTCGTACGGAGTACTCGTACTGTGTATCATGTTCAAACCCTGGATAAGAGCGGGCTCGAAAAGGTGTCACCATACGTAGTACAACCCGCCTTGTGACCAGAGGCTGCAGATACGATATGAAGCCGCATGGGCAATACGAACCTGGACATCGTATGGGTAAAGATGCACCACGTGTTCCGCTGATGGGTCTGTCCCTTGCGTCTTCGGGTCATACCGGTTCTACTTGCCGCTCCAAAAAGTTTTGAGAACAAGGCTAACAATCAGAGAGGGGACGGTTAGACATGGAGGAATATAGCCTGGACGGCACAGAGCTCGGGCCAAGCGTGCCGATCGCACACAAAATAAGGTATCTTTGCCATTTCCCCGCTCACGAAGCCAATACTCTTGTCAGGCCATGCGGCTTCAAGCCAATTCTTGCAAACGTGATGTTGACGGAAGAGGGTTATTTGCAGTCCATCAATCAGAAGACGTCTTTTGCTTGTGCAAGGGCTAGTCTAATGCGCTATTGCTGATCAGGCCCTCGTTAAGAAGGTGGCCCGCATGACATAACCTGCAACTGAAGCCGCATAAATTAATTCCTTCGACTTCGCCGACTCGAGGTCCTCTGAGATCGATCAATGCTTTTTTGCGGGGAAGTGGCTAGGTAAACGTGGCCGGAATTAAATTGAAGCGTCTTTTGTAAGATACCGGACATCCCATTTCTTCTCCATTCAACATATGGGATCAAGGGCATTGCACCACGCAGTCTAGGTGTCTTACGAGTGTTACTCCGTACTCGGGGTTTACGAGTCCATGCGCAGTCCCACTTAGTATAACTGCACACCTCACTTATTACTCCACAACTTCGACCCTTGTCCACCTCCGCAAAATCAACAATGGACTGCCATATTTCCCGAAGTCTGATGTCCTCGGCTAATATCGACGTTTTGTCTCGATGGCTGCCTATGTGCAGGATTTCTTTCCGGAAGAGCCGCTGGCTAAATACACCGTGACACTGGAGATCGTGGACTGGATATATAAACACCTGTAGACCGGCCTGGAGGGCGATCTTCTTAAGACGACCTTTCAGCATTGGCCGTCCCGTGCCACTCTAGTCACGTTAGACTAAGAAATGGTCTCCTTCCGGACTCTCCTTACCGCCTTGGGCGCTGTCGGGGCTGCTTTTGCTAGCACTGACGGCCTCACTGACCTTGTCACGTGGGACAACTTCAGCCTTAGCATCAACGGAACTCGTGTTTTTATCCAGTCGGCCGAGTTCCACTACCAGCGACTGCCTGTCCCAGATTTGTGGCCGGTTCGTAACAAGCCTGTCTCTATGGAAGTAGAGGAGGATGAAACCCAGCGCTGATGTGGTCTTGTAGGATGTCTTCCAAAAGTTCAAAGCCAACGGTTTCAATACGATCAGGTGAGTGTCCTGTTCTGGAAGGAACGCCGGATCGGTCTTTCTGTGCTTCCGATTCTGCGCCTAACATGCGGCTCTTCAGCATATATTTCTTCTGGTCGTATCATTCCGCCTCGAAGGGTGTTTTCGATTTTGAAAGCCCCGGAAAAGACGTCCAGCGCCTTCTTGATGCCGCCAAAGATGCCGGCCTCTGGGTGATTGCCCGTGCAGGGCCTTACTGTAATGTGAGTCTTGATGATAATACATGAGATGTTTTCATTGCTGATTCGTGCTTAATGCTGCTTGCTAGGCCGAGACCAATGGCGGATCGTTGGCTCTTTGGGGCTCTGACGGCAGCCTTGGCCGGATGCGGACAAGTGACGAGACATACCACCAAGCCTGGTTGCCATGGGTGTACGATAATCGATCCTCACTTGTCAAACAATGACCGGATGGTGCATGATAGGGCTGATACAACCGCAGATCTAAAATAGGCGCTTTGATCGCGAAGAACCAGATTACCAACGGTGGCGTACGTATCTGAATTCGGGGTTTGCAGCAATGTCTTGAAACAAGCTGACCCATCATATCTACAGCCTGTCATCCTCAACCAGGTTGAGAATGAGTTTGTGGAGAGTGTTCATTCTGCGAACAGCACACAGGTCCTGTATATGGAGCAACTGAAAACCGCCTTCCGAGATGCCGGCGTCATTGTGCCTTTCACGCATAACGAGAAGGGCATGCGTGCGAACTCGTGGTCAACCGACTACGAGAATGTTGGTGGCGCTGTCAACGTCTATGGTCTTGACAGCTACCCCGGCGGGCTCTCGTGCACAAATGTCAACACTGGATTCAACGTCGTTCGAACCTACTACCAGTGGTTCCAAAAATATGCACCATCCCAGCCCATATCAATTCCCGAGTTTGAGGGCGGCTGGTTCTCAGCCTGGGGAGATTCTGCATTTTACGATGATGTGAGCCTTGCACTCCCTGGCGGATACTAGTGCTCTAGCTGACAAGAGAAGTGTACTACAGAGCATTCTCCCGCGTTCGCGGATGTTTACTACAAGGTACAGCTCTCATAGTTGCCTTGGGAAACGCAACATGCTAACGACACAGAACAATGTTGGCCAGCGGGTGACCTCTCAAAACATCTACATGACCTTTGGCGGAACGAATTGGGGCCACTGTAAGCAGCTGCCGTCAGGGCCAGAACAACAGAGGTCCACATGCTAACAGCTTTGCAGCCGCTGCTCCTGTCGTCTATACGAGCTATGACTACAGGTGAGAAGTGACACAACAGGCACGTTGACAAAAAACGGTCGCTTACCACCCCGTACTTACAGTGCCCCGTTGCGCGAGACGCGCCAGCAGACGACAAAGCTGTTCCAGACCAAACTGATCAACATGTTCGACACCTCGTCACCGGACCTTCTCAAGACCGTCATGGTAGGGAACGGCACTGGTTTCCATCTATCGTCGAAGGCGCTCTTCAGCTGGGTCCTACAGAACCCGGACACCGGTGCTACCTTTACCGTCATCCAGCAGAGCAGCACACCATCCACGAGCAACGTCACTGCCTCAGCCACCCTGAACACGAGCGCAGGTAGCGTTGTTGTTCCAGACGTCGCTTTGTATGGCCGACAGAGCAAGATACTGGTGACAGACTATCTCTTGGGCGGTGGCGCCGGCTCCAACAACAACACCATTCTGTACTGTTCAGCCGATATCGCCACCAGCAGCACGTTCGGATCGGCAGACGTGCTTGTCCTCTACCTGAAAGAGGGCCAAACTGGCGAATTCTCCTTCCGAGACACAGCCAATCTGACATTCACCGTTTACGGCAACTCCCAGGTGACCGCAAACTCTTCTTCTCACCAAAGCTTCACGTATGTGCAAGACTCTGGCGCCACAGCCGTCGTCTTTTCCAACAAAGTGATCGTTTACTTGCTCGACCAGCCGACAGCATGGCGCTTCTGGGCGCCGGCCAACGGGAAGCCACAGAGCAGCCCGCTCGAGGTCTTCAAGAGCGACCGCCTTTTCATTCTGGGGCCGTACCTGGTGCGTTCGGCCGAGGTAGACTGGTCCAAAGGCACGTTATCTATCGTCGGCGACAGCGATGCGGTTACAACGTTGGAGGCGTTTGTTGGGTTTGGTCCCCAAGACAGTAGTAGCGGCAGCTACACAACCATCCACACGATCGAGTGGAACGGACAAGCCTTGACAGCCGAGCGCACGGCATACGGGGCCTACCGTGCAAAAATCCCTGGCGGTGCAGATCTCTGGACCGCCGCCCAGATCCCATCGCTGAAAGACGCCACCTGGTATGTGGCCGACTCACTGCCCGAAGCGGACCCGTCATACGACGACAGCCGGTGGGTGGTCTGCAACAAGACGACGACAGCGAGCCCTTCAGCGCCAAGAACGCTTCCAGTGCTCTTCAGTTCTGACTACGGCTTTTATGCAGGCACCAAGGTGTACCGGGGCCGGTTTTCCTTTGATGAGCTTGAGAGTGCGCCCACGGCGGTCAATCTCACAGCGTCAGGCGGCGTCGGCTTTGGCTGGACGGCATGGCTCAACGGCCAGCTTCTGGGCGGCGATGTCGGCACCGCATCTCTGGGCACGTCGTCGGCGGAGCTGGCGCTGACCGCCTCGTCGCTTCTTGAGTCGGATGAAGGCGACAACGTGCTGACCGTGCTCGTGGACTACCACGGACATGACGAGGAGAATGTGGCGCACGGCCTGGAGAATCCCCGGGGTCTACTGGGAGCACAGCTGCTATACGGCGACAACGAGGTCAGCAACGGCAGCTATACGGGCTTCTCGTCGTGGCGGCTGACGGGCAACGCCGGCGGTCCTGCAAACATCGATGCGGTGCGCGGTCCGATGAACGAGGGGGGTCTGTATGCGGAGCGGCTGGGCTGGCATCTGCCCGGGTTTGACGCAGCATCGGACACGGCCTTCCAGCTAGGCAGCCCCCTCGACAGCAACAGCAGCAACGGCGCGGGCGTGCGGTTCTACGTGACGACATTCCAGCTGAACGGCGGCAAAGGCCTGGACCCGTCGTTGGACGTGCCGCTGGGGATCCAGTTTGCGGCCCCGACAGACACGATGGCCCGCGTCATGCTGTGGATCAATGGCTATCAGTACGGCAAGTATGTGCCGCACCTGGGCCCACAGACGCGGTTCCCGGTGCCGCCGGGCATCCTGAATGTGGGTGCGGGCGAGAACAACACGCTGGCGATTAGCGTGTGGGCTATGACCGAGGACGGGGCGACGCTGTCGGAGGTGTCGTTGGTGGACTATGATGGCGCGTACGAGACGGGCTATTCGGCAGCGGCGACGGGTGGCGATGCTGCTTCGCGCGAGGCGCTGCAGCCGAAGTGGACAAACCGGGCGAAGTATGCATAGTTGGAGGGACACGGACAGCTGACAGTCAGGAGAAGAACAAAGGAGGAGATCGAGAAGATCGAACAGATCGAGCAGATCGAGAGGGTCGAGAGGGTCGATGGTATTATGGAAGGGTTGAAATGAAGAACGAGAACGAAGATATGACAGTCAAAACACGATACAATTAAGGAGTACAGGGACCAAGTGCCACGAGTACAAACAGACGATTCCATGTGCCGTCAAGACAATGTCTCACGAGAAACGCGTTGTGCTTTCCCGCCCATGGCAAGCGAGGGAATGGCCCAATTTACAGGAGGGAGCGCACAGGGCTCTGTCCAAGCAGGGTAGAGGGGAGAGGGCGGGGGTCTGTGATAGTAGGGATCGACCGGGGAGTACGGAGTAACGTGTTTTACATGGTAAGAACTGCGAGTGCCCTTTGGAAAGCAGGTCTCCATTTCCAGTCCTGAATCCACTCCGGCGCAGAAGAGAAGCTCTTTGTGGCGGTGCCAAAGGTCCGTAAAGCCTTACGTCGCAAGTGGTAGCGATGGGCCTTTTTTACGAGATTTACGAGATGTAAGATAACTCAAGCAGCGATCATTACTGTTATAGCGATTAGGTGCATGATGAGACCGTTCGGTGTTTCGAATACAGTCTTGTCTACCCCCCGGCCAAGCATCTCGTTGTTGGGTCTTGCTTTTTGAATCGCATTTTGCTTTTTCCTGTTTCCTTTTTTCGCCTCTACTTTCTACTGTACATACTCTGTAGTAGTAATACGTCGTAGACAGTATCGTTCCCTTCTGAACGGACTTGAGCACAGGCCTCTGGGTGGACTGGGTGCCATTCGGACACATACGAGCATTCGTACTTGTATGTGTCCACTTACTGGGTATTTCCAGTGTTGATCGTCTGTGCCCGTGACTTCGCCCCAACCGTACTCTTGTCTTTGGCAGCGACGATAATGCGGAAAATCCGTCCAGTCGCACGGCATTCGGCAGCCGGCATTTCGTGCGCTGCTGCAGCCCGAAAGGGCCTTGGCCTTCGTCCTATTTCCCATTTCGCCCCGTTTTCTTCAATAGACAGTTCTGATGCCCTTTTTCCACCTTGACTCTTGTGCCGCGTCTTACGACGACTACTCGCAGACAAGCTGTCATCCAATTTCATTTTTTAGTGCACGTGGTAATGGCTCGTCGAAAAGACTGTTAATCAATCTGAGAGTCGGCCGACCTCACCTGAGAGCTCGGCCAGAGGCTCGTATTAGTTTTCTCGCACCTGGACCCACCACAGCTCCCATCTTTTCTGATCCAAATACTCCGTTGGTGGGGGGTGTTACTTATCTTCTCCATGGCGCGCGCCCCTTCATCCCCCCCTTGGCACGAAAATAATGTTCTGGCTGGCGGTCTTGGACTAGGGCCCTAGTCACTATAAGTACTTTCAGCGCTATTGATGCCTTAGAACGACGCTGAGCGGATAGAGGCAGACAATTCGACCGGACAAGCGTCAACGGGCCAAACAGACTCGTACCTTCCCGAGAACGAAGGGAGCACTTTCCCAAAAGGAATATGTCTTCTGCATATTGCTGACTCTCGCGTTCGTGCAAATGACATCTTACGTATCTATCACAGAACAAACTATCACAGAACAAACCAAAACGATGTCTTACCTCTTCCGCCGACGATCGACTCACGCCCTCGGTCCTAGATGCCCCAAATTACGGAGTTTCCCATCCTCCGCCGTCTCCGTACCTGCAGACCTTGTTGCCTATCAGTCGTCCCGGCCGTCTCGCCGTCATCGGTTCGATCAGCTTACGTTGGCTTCTAAGGCCAAACGGGCAAGGGGCCGAAATGATGGGCCAGACATCTGGCCAGGACGGTCGCTCGTTCGTCCATATGTCTTATTGCTTCCCGAGTGCTGCTGCCGCTGCTGACAAGAAGCCTCTGCAGCCTCGGCCTGATACCCATGTTCGCACGCGACCAAAACGGCTCATCCTGCATCCACCACACTCTCGAGCGACCGTCCAGAACAGTCTGAGGAGCCTCGTGGCCACTCCGGATGCGAGCATGAACGAAATATTGGATATTGGGTGGACCCCTGCATGTCCAGAAAGAACAAGGGAAATGCGCTCGCCATCATCGTGGGATCCACCCACACGCTTTAAGGCGACCATAACGCCACTACGACGTATTGCAATCTGCAAAGTATCCTGCTCGTACCGCAGGCCGTGCGGCCCTCACGCCAGGCAGCGTGGTACATACGTTGTAGTACGAACACACTCCTCGCCTCTCTCTGCGTCCAGCCATGGGGATCCGCTTGGCAAAGATTGACCGACTTCCCATGAGGCTACTCTCATTCCGGAAGCCGCTTGGTCTGGCTCTGATGAAGCGTTATGCAACGTTGAAAGCCCCCTTTTCCCGCTTTGGTAGCCTGGCCCCCCTGGCTTACCGGGCACTATTGCCAATCCGAGCAAAGGACCCCTACGCCAATTGGTGCCATTGGCGTTAGCCAGGACACCAGGACCCTTGTCATCGGCTCCCGTGTATTGGCTCCCCATTCAATGGCGTCTTTATGGCCCAGGGCTTGTCAGAGTCAGGTACGTACACTCTGGAAAAGATCGAGGCGTGACTTGGGATGACTTCCGCCCACCCCCCTCCCCCAGAGCCGTTCTTCTGTTGTTTTGATGTCGCCTTTTGCTCTCTTTGAATATCGAGCCTCTACCATCCATACCACACCCACCCACCATTACATTGGCTGCTCTTGCGGTCGGCTTGCGTCTAGACCTTCACTAATAACCAAAACATAATATCTTCAGTCGACTTATTGGCCACCTTCCCTCTTTTGGCTGTGCGAGGTTTTATTTCTGTCCCCCCTTCCCGTGAGAGCATTGTCATATATAAAGAAGCCCCCCCTCTCTTTGCTTAAACCGGCTATTAAGAGACAAGCAGTTACGGGTACGAATATATACGGCAGCTGGAAACCATCTGAGCCAGTCTATTTGTCCTCATGCGTTCAATATTATAAGGCGCCTGTGCCAGGAAGACGGATCTTGGCCAGGTCACGACAAATACGGGGAACGAAGCCAGACAGGCATTGACGACATACGTTGCATTGTCACTCGAATACGGAGTACGCATCCCGACTACGCATCTCCTTTTGCTCGCCCGTGTGCAATTGCTGCTGTCGGACCAGCAGAACATCCAACAGCCGCTACAATCATGGGATCGACAGCCCCGCCAGCCGCTGCATCGATTTCGTGCATGCCGATCCCCCAAAGGACGATGACTTGCAGTGCACCAACAAAGCGCAATTTCCGGGTGCTCCTCCGGCCTCTGAACATCATTGTTCTCTCTCTCATCCTGGCCGTTCTCCTCCCGGTCGCCGCAGCTAACACAGCCGACCCGATCCCGCTCGCCTCCAATTCGAATTTCAAACCCACAGCCACGCTGTCTCCCGGGACCACTGAGACCTTTATTCGCGACAATCGCGTGCCAGTGAAGCAAAATGGACGCTGGGTCTATCTCTCGGACGGGAAGGTCGACGACCTGCGAAGGCGCGTCGATACTGCGACTGATTCCAGTACCAGCGCAAAAACTACAACAACAAAAACGACGAGCAAGAAGACCACATCCACCTCTACCGCCTCGTCCAGCGCGCTCCCCGAATTTTTTGATAGCAGCCTGGCCTCCAATTACTCGAGCAGTGGCAACTGCCCTACTTTTATCAAGTCATTCATCTCAAACTCCACCTTTACAAAGTGCTATCCATTTTCATTGCTTCTTGAGGTAAGCTCATCCCGCAGGAACCAGCCGATGCAAAAGACCGGCTCGCTAACTATCGATACACAGGGCTCTACCTCCTTCTTCAATGCGGAGAAGTCGCTAGTGTCTATCACACAGGTGCTTGACGCTTCATGCGCGGCCAACGTCACGTTTTGCGCAAATTATCTGGACAACTTAGCAACGGACCTGATTAGCTCAGACAACTGTGGAGACGACTACAATCTGGGCAACTCAGTTGTCCATGAAGCCTATCTAGGCATGCAGTCCTACCAGGTGCTCTATTCGGCAACGTGCCTGAAAGACTCGGCTTCAAGCCAATACTGCTTTGCCAATGCGATCACAAACCTCACAACGACGGCAAACGCATATTTTTACTATCTTCCTCTCAACATCTCTCTACCCGGGAGCTCGATGCCATCATGCAACACATGCCTAAAGAACACCATGGCAGTCTTCCGGGCCGCCTCCATAGACCGCAATCAACCGATCGCCAACACGTATGTGTCAGCTGCCCAGCAAGTGGATGAATTGTGCGGTCCGAATTTTGCAAACGATACCTTGCCGGTCTCGTCATCTGCAAGCTCTTTTTTGCGAACTTCGCGATCGTGGCCATGGCTTGCCTCATTGTTACCAGCTTTGATAGCATATTCGCTGTTATGACAAGCGTAGTCTTTGGGGCTAAAGCTTGGCTTTGTTTTCTCTTAAAACCAACTACCCGAGTTTGGAGTTGACGGCGTTATCTTTCAAACCGTCTCTCGCTTTTATCGGTCTCTTCCCTCTTTCCGGGCATGAGAATTCGTCCATAAAGCGTCGGCATGGGCTTGAAGTAGTTGCACGCATTGCAAACGGCGCTTGGATACGATACCCTTCTTTCTTTACTAAAAACATTATAACTTTCTTTTCCACATTATTACTGCCAGTGAGCAGCTGTCTATACTTGTTAATGGGGAGCTTGTCGATATACGGTGACTGGAAGTCTGGGAAAGAGATGGATGAGTTTCGCCTTGGGAATAACGACTGTATTCGGGGGGGCCTGTGATTAGGATTGGGATATACACTGTCTCCGGCTGGGACATTTTGGACGATACTGACGCACATGCAGGGCCTATATGCCCGTCTTGAGGATTATTGATCAGCTCTCTGAAAGAACTGCACTATTTCCGCTGTAAGATATATAGACATGATCTAATAGCACGAAGCTTCAAGCACAACCAAGCCAATGGTGTCTGTGACATTGTACATTGCATTATGCTCTTGTCTTTTTGGCACCCTGTTCTACCAGCTACCGAAGCAATCGCCCGAAAAGGATGCAAGTGGAATGAAACGCCCGCGCCCGCCCATGGAAACAAAACTCGTCTTGTGGACTTATCCACTGGTCCTCTTGTCGCCTCCATTGTTCTTTGTATCTTTCATGTCCCTGTTTCCCCCCTCTCGGCCGTCCTACCGCTTGACCAGAAAGCCGCGACTGATCGGCCGGCCGGTGCGCTTCCGCGCCACCAGCTCCTTCCGCACGTTGCGCGAGTACTTGCGGATCTTGGGAGCCAGCGCCCGCGGGCCGCCGTCGGTGAGCAGTCGGTACACGGTGCTGCCCTGGCGGCGGTCGCGCGGCGGCAGCTTGCCGGCGATGTTTCTGCGTCGTGCCGCCGTCCCAGTGGCCGACGGTTTCTTGGCGCCTTCTGCCTCGTCGTCGTCGGACTGCTCGTCGTCGGATTCGAGGAACTCGAGCGGCAACAGCTTCGTCACCTTGTTGGGCTTTGGTGCTGTGTCCGCCTTGGCCTTTGTTGCTACCACAGCTGCTGCTGTTGTCTGTTCCTTTTCCTCGTCGGCCTCACGCGCCTTGCGTGTGGCCGCCTGCTCCTTGAGTCGTGCGTCGCGGTCCTGGCGGCGGCGCCTCTGGTCGGCAGCCAGCCTGGGAGAGAGTCAGAGAGGTATCTAGGAGGGTGGAATGGTGGACACGAAAAGAGAGAAGAGGCGGCAACTCACTTCTCGGCCGCCTGGCTGGCGCGCTGGGCCGACTGCCGGGTAGCCGCGACCGCCTGGCTGGTGGAGATGGCTTCGGGGGCGTCATCGCTGTCGCTGTCGCTCACGTCCTCGTCGTCCTCGTCGTCCTCCACAGTCTGTCCTGTCTCTTCCGCCAAGGCCGCATCGTCAGCCCTCGTCCGCACCGGAAGCTTGCGCCGCTTGGATACGGGCCCGGATGCGGCGGCGCTCGCCACATCGGTCTCCATCGGCTCGGTGCTCTGCAAGTCGGCAACAGAGCCGCCGCTCTTGCGCTTGGACGACCGCAGCGGCCGAGACGCCGGTGCTGGTGCTGCTGCCGCTTTACTGACTGCCATGTCGCGTGGTTGGAGGACTGGGCGGATAGCTGTTGCGGCGATCGAATTTCGGGATATCTCCGCTTGACAGCCGGTTCCTTCTCGGTGTCTTGTGTAATTCCGCGGCGACTCTTCTGTGTGAAATGGGGGAAAATTTCACCAAAAGGAAAATGCTGCTGGTCTTATCGATCCTTTTTTTTCTTATCGCGAGGAATTCATTGCACATTTCTGGCTATGATTGGACAGACTTATTAAAAGACCCACTTAAAAGTTAAGCTGCGTCTTCTCTCCGCAACGATCCTTTTCGTCTTTGTATGTTTACAAGCAATATACAACACTGGTGCCACTTGTATGTCATACCATCCTGAAAACAGAGGACTATATCTCCTCCTTTCGAGGATCCTCTCGATTTCGTCCTAGCAGCCACTACAATAAATATGGCAATAAACGCCGTGACCTCTTTAAATTTAGCTCTAGCCAAACTGTGATATCTAAGCTACAAGCATGTGTAATAAGCAGTGCTGCGTTGTGTCCACCTTGAAACTCCCCCAAACCTTGGTATATAGCATAAGATAATGACGCTTGCTCTTTCCAATACAAAATTTGCACTTTAGATCTCCGGCTGGATGTAGTTCTCTTTATGCACCCACTGCATTGTCTCGCCGTCAAAGATGTGGCTAGTTCTCCCTGTTAGTCGTCATAAAACAAAGAAGGGTGAGCCATAGGTCGTTATGGAATACGCACTCGTGAAAGTCAGTGTTGGCAAGGGCCCAAGTACCGTACTCTGCCACGAGAAGATCCCTGTAGCGATAAGGAATCTTGACGGGAGTACCCTCGAAAACGGTGTTCCGTAACGGGAAGATGTATGTGTCCTTAATGCACAAGTCAGCTTGTTTGCTGCAGCCGCGCCGAGTTTTGGGAAACGCAACCTACCCTGTACTCGTGGCCATCCTTGCAGCTGAGCATGCCTTCGCCGGCCGGATGGGTCAGGTTGTAGCGTGCGGTGGTGATGTCGATAAACACTCCCGTTTCGGTATCGATCCACCGGGCGTCGATAACGTTCAGTTTGTCAGTCTGCTCACGGTTCACATAGTTGGGATTAACCTCCAGCAGGTATTTTCGGCCGTTGGGTAGCCGCGGGGTCTTGTAGTGGAAGATGGACATGTTGTAGTAGGCGGCAAGATAGTACATGCTTGGCTCGCTAACTTGGACGTCTAGGTCTGTGTCCCACGGCAGGATCTGTTTATTGGCCGGTTAGATACGAGAACGGAAAAGTTTGCTGAAGCCGTCGCCACGCACCTGTTTGTTCCACCACCAGCCCAGCAGAGAACCATGCATGAGCCAGGTCTCTACGCCAATGTCGGCAAAGGTGGCCAGGTACGTCTGGACTAGGTTCTGCAGAGCCAGCCTGTGCTCAGCATATACAAGCACGCCTTCGGCGAAACTGCGAAGAGTCAGGACCTGAACATGGTATTGTGAATCTGGGGGCCTTCTTACCGTGCATCGTAGTGTACATGGAATCTACGTGGCAACAAGGTTAGCAGTCTAGATCTTGGATGTCTGGCACTCTTGAGTACTGCTGGATACGCCTCTTACTGTAACTCGTCTGGAAATAGACAGGTCAGTCACCGATGAAGTAGGATGGATTGTCCACAACGAAAAGATAGGAAAAGCGTACGGAAGTGTTTTTTTGGTTGCGGGCCCGTGGTATCATCTGCCAAGTCTCTCCGAAACCTTCTCGGAGTCCGCTTGGAGCCATCGACGGCTGCAAACGCTGACGAAAGAAGCAAGGCGCCCCAGCAGATAGCGGCTGTGAGCTGCATTTTGGGCCGACAGAAGGGCTCACACGAGTGGCAGTAGCACGCAAATTGGCAGCTCGTGCACACAGTCCAGAGCTGATGGTGAGGATACACAGCGTCAAGCTCAATTGTTGTTGCGGCGTGAACAAGTTCTGGTTGTGGTGAAGAATCTCGAAGCTGAATTAAGAGTACATGGGCTAGAGATAAGAAACTTGGAAATCGTTGCGATGATCGGCAGGAGGAACCGAAAAATTACAGCAACCTGTAATCAAGGCAATTGCGGGTAGGGTTCAAGTATTGAGGCAAGCTAAGCAAAGCGCCATACGGGGCCCCAGAAACGGAGCAATCAGACGATTCTTCCCCGCCGCCATCGCACGAAAGAGACTGTTATTTATGGCCTCGGTGGCGAGCCTCCGACAGAGAGGCTTTGACGCATCAGTAAAGCAGGGGCCGTGATACGCTAAACGGAGCATGTTGCACACGTAACTCGACGACGTACGTCGTAGTGCAGGAGGTATTCGTTACGGGGCAGAGAGGGGCTCGTCAGCAGCTGTCAGTACGCGCTCTAGCCTGTTAGGGCCCTGTAAGATATGTAAGATATGAAGACTCGTAGGCCTGTATTCAAAGCCGCGTCATCAGCAAAAAGAACGGGGAGACTTGCGACGTGTTATCGCAACCATTCAGGGGTGCCGATCCGGGTGCCAGGCCTGCTGATCCCTACCTTTGCGCGCAAGGCCGACTGATCTCGATGAGCACATAGTGCCAGCCATGGCGACCGAAACTGGTTTCTTACGATTTCATATCGTGCCATGTACGAAATGCGTGTGCCGCTGCCATGAACGCAGCTTTCTGATTCCTCCAAACCCTGGTCACGTGGGCTACTCTGCATGATAATCCGCCCCGGTCCACAGATGTACTCCATCCTCTATGTACTCCTTGTTTGTAAACATGTCAATTGTTCTCACGATGCACCTTTTTATCCTCGCGTAACTAACTTACCTATAATCAAGATACCGCATCGTCGAACGGCATCCGCAGAACAGCCCTTCACACTTGACACGCACCTCGTGCAAAACAAGAGGCCAATATAGAAGCTACTGTATGCTCAGCCTGCTGCTCTACTATCGCCTGACTACGTAAGTATAGCGGCAAAAGACTATCAACCCGGACATTCATTAGCACTTGCTTAGGAAGATTCGACGCCGGTGACATCGCGGTACGAGCGATAAATGTCGACGTAAACTCGGTCGTAACATAGCAGAATAAACTTAATGCGGGCTACTGCTCATGTGTGCACTCACGCAAAGCGGCAGTGGTTGGTAATACGACAGCATGCAATCCCTTTAGACTTTGTTAACAGCCGGTAAACTAAGCACAATAGGTACGCGTAGATTCTGCTCTACTTGTAAAGAAATTAATTAATCCCAGATAATGTTATACATCGTTCCAGATATCAGTATAGCAGCCTCTAATCGTCCCAAGATAGAAGAATCATTATCATTTGCATTCACTCAAATCTCTATATGAATCTTGTTATTCACCATCATTCTCCCTCTCTAGTACCCCACAGAATGAATGAAGCATTCTCCTCTGATTTTGCTGTATTATTTCTACCCGACGCCTTGTCCATGTTTACATCATCGTCCCCGCTTCGCTCCATTTCCTAGTTTTCCCCGCTTTGCTTGTCGTGCTGTAGAGAGGGTTAACGGTGCACACAGCATGCTTAAGCAAAATATCGGAAAGGTGATTTCTAAATACTGTAATCAAGGATAGGCCGTCGCGAAACCCCCTTTAGGGATTCCCTTTTAGGGGTTCTGTTAACATTTCTATCTTATGCCATCCCTAGATAATTACCATAAAACACCGAATTGACCAGGAGCTGTTTTCGGGTGTCTCCAAAGCTATAGGAAATCCTAGGTAATACAGAGCTATCCCCGTTTTTTGATGACCACATGTCTACGGGCAATGCCGACTTTGGCGCCTCGTCCACTAGGTTTGTCTGGTCTTCGAATTGCGTGTACCGTTGCGAGGGCTGCATCAGCACGCAGCCTGGTATATCATGAACTAGAATGCTACTATACACTTGTGGCAAAAGTGGAAACATTGTTACAGTAGGTGACTAACGAGTATAATAAGCCAAACTTATTGATTGGCCTGGTAAAGACCTTTTCTTCTTGCCCTCCTTGGGTGCTTCTCTTCTCGTATCTTACATTAGGAGCTGGCTGGATAACAAGTATAGTGCTTGATCTAAGCTATAATTTTAGCTGAAGAGTTGCTTTAACGCTTCAACCCTACATTATACAGCGTAACAGATATATCGCGATTACGAAGGCGCACGTCGACAACAGATCAGAGTTGCCCGGATGGCTTCGCGTAACAGGCAGGTAGCTGCCAAGCAATGTTTCCTTAAACGTCTATAAGACCCCATTTTCTCTTCGAATAACACCAGGCTAGACAGCACACTGAAATCGCCATTTTGCCGCGACTTTTCTCGGCGGTAGCTAGGCTAATTCTCGATTCATCGTATGTGCACCCATGACTCCCTCTACTTAAGATTGCATGCTCACGGTCATGGGCAAACGTAAATAAAGATCGAGCACGCCAGAAAAGAGTAAGTGAAGCATGTGTGATGAGCAAGCAGCATCCAAACCAAATTGAAGGTATGTATTCCTGCCTAAATCCCTCTTAATAGATTTACCTCTCGCGCCCCCTCTCTCTTAATATCCATTCATTTGTGTCGGGATCGGGACCCCCGGTCCCGGTTCCCCATCTTTGTATAAGACTTTACCGAGGATTTATCAGAGGTCTCCAGAACTTCCTGGCTCCAGCTCATAACACTTGTAATCTTGGCGAGATGAGACCCAGCGAATGTGGTAGCTCAGTGGGCCGGGCAACTTGTCTAGGAAACCCGGGTTAGAGCTGCAGCTATGGCAACTTCTTTTCCCCAGACCTCCCACCGTATATTGAGTTTTCTGAGACATACTATGACTATCTAACCGTCCAACGCTTCACCTATTCAACATTGCTTCGATTTTACAAACCGAGTACGAGCCTTTTCAACCTGACCCTAAAATTGATTCGCGCCAGCAAAATAAGAACTCTCCCAGTCGAACTCCTTTTCCTTATAACTATGAAACCTGAACAATGAATTTCTGCCCAAACTGCCGTGAAGCTGATTCACTCCAATGAACAGTGTGATCTTCAGGTCTGTCAATTTTTCCCAGGCAATCACCTCGCCAGCCTCACTGATGGCAGTCCATTTGAGATGTTCCTGAAAATATTCCAAGGCTGCTGCTGAATTTTCACGATGCTGGATGGGCACGGCACGCGTGAGCGGGACTTGGGCGCGAGACAGGACATTGACACGCTTTTGTTCATAGCAGTTCTTGCAGGTAATGGCGTCCTCCTTGAGGGCAGAGCTGAATGTGAAGATGCTGCCAACAAGATTCTTCTGTTGGTTGTAAGGCGCTTCGGGGTCAACATCACCAAGGAAGAAGAGCAAGGAGTATGATTTTCCGTTCAAACAATAGCTAAGTTGAAGAATGTTAGAGTAAAGAATGCAAGTAATATGGTGAGGAAGTCTTCGTAACATACCGGTTGTAGACGATATTGATGAGAGGGTCTGTTGACTCTTCTGGATTCTTAAAGGCTTCTTCATCGGGCCCGTACAGCTTGTTGATGTAGGTGTGACACTTTCCCGGAATTATGTCTCCAAACTTATCAGTGATCTGATCCATATAGTTATAGGTATAGTTGAGCGCATCAACATGGCGAACGTTGTTGGAATTGAAGAAGTTATCGGGTTCAGTTGAAGCACGGAAGGGAACAAGATTTTCCAGAGGGCTGTCAGAAGCCACTTGCCCCAGCTTCTGGTGGAACCAGTTGCCCGGGTTGGAGCATTGCCACAAGTGAAGGAGTCTGTCGGTATTGCAATGATGCAGCCAGAAAACGGGGTCGAATGCGGCTACTGCGACTGAGCTCATGTGGCCTCTACCAGCACGATTTGTATTGCCGCCAATGAAGTCCTATCAGTACATTAGTGACGCTGTCCCAAAGACCTGAAACTTGCATGGGACGAAAAAGAGAAAAAAACTTACGTGGACACTGTTGTGAATCTGCTCTAGGCTGAGATAACCCTTGGCAGTGTCTCCCGGTGCGTTCTCTAGATTTTCCGCGACGTGCTTGGTAGAAGCGAAATTCACGTATTTGGTGGTGTAATCGCGCGTAAGTAGACGAAAGACAGCGTCCTTAAGCGTGAGGTTGTTCAGGTCTTCGTGAACGCCTGCCAAGGACAAGTCCACTTTCTCGTTGATGGATACTCCCTCAATCCACTTTCGTTCTTCGTCACGGAGTGTGATGCCATGGCGACTGGTGCCGATGCACATATCCCACTGAGCGTTGATTAGCATGGCCGTGGGAAGGCTACAAGGTTTTCAGCTGGTTGATACTTACCGGGATATCTTCATCTTTGTTGTCGATGCGGTAGTTTTTGTATATGGCATCGCCCATGGGCTTGTGACCAGGCATCTGGAACCGATACATGGGGTTATCCACTTCTTCATACTGGGGTAGGTCTTTGCTGTCCCAAGAGCTGATGATCGAAATCTTCTTGTCCCGGGCTAGGTTGGGAAGACTTGGCTTCAGAGCCCAGTCCCAGTAGGGCAAGCGCCAAAGGCTTGCAGCAGAAACCCATTCCTTTTTTTTGGGTCACGAGTCACAGCTTCTTCCATCATGAGGTCGCTGACTCGTCGCTACATACATTATCAGTTCCCTACTCTTGGATGTGTGAAAGAGGTCGTACATACCTCGAATAACATCATGTACGTGCGGTGCCAAGTGGGAAACAAGTAATTGTTATGCTGGCAGTAGTTACCACCCTTATTCTCCAATTTCAGGGTGTTGATGTCCCCGGCATCGAGCGGGATCGGTGCTTCACCCATGTTCCACGAAACATTGTGGGGATGGCCGTGAATGGCAGCGATGCGGTAGTACGAGAGTTGGTCATTAGGAGGAAGGCTCTGGAAGGCCTTTAAGGCTCGAATGAACAAAGAGAGCTCGAGCGCCGTCTTGCTGTCGGTCTTCGCCTCTGCGTACCATTCCTCGACGTTTCGATGAGAAGGAATCGTATCATTGGTATTGATGGAAATTGGGGTGATCGGGAAAGGGTCTGGAAACTCGATTAGAATACGTTGCCATAATAAGGTTTCTGTATTGATGTTATACCTACTGTTGTCATCGCTAATGTCAATAACGAGGTGTCCATTCCTCGCAAAGATCTTCCAATAAGCGAAGCGAGCGCAAAGCCGGACTGCAATCACATTTTCAGCCTGTGTCATCAAGTCAGTCAGAGACCGAGGAGGGCTTGGGAAAAACTTGTACTCACCTCGAGCGACTTCAAAAAATGACAGCTCATGTCAAAAGTCTCACCCTGCATCCATTCGTAGTCTTTGGAAGCGGCTTTGTTGGGGTGGCTTATGACGACAAGCTCCTTGCCATTGCCGTCCTTCTTAGGCGACGTCACGTCTTTGTTGTCGAGGATGACTAGCTCGAACCAGGTCCAGTTGCCCTGCCCCACATTGGAGATGAACCCTTGATCGTGCGACTCTGCAAAGAGTTTAATCGCGCGAATCATACGGAGGGTTTGGGTGGTGAGTGGCTAAGGAGAGTCAGTTACATTGGTGCCAGTTATAATTGTATAGGTCAAGAAACCAACCGGCGACTTGAACCAAATATTGGCGTGCACGGTCGCGTTGGATGCGCTAACGGAAGCATCTCCCTCGCTCTTGACGGTATAGCGAGTGTGGACAGCGGCGGGCTGTTCCAGCTTGGGAAGATTCTCAACCGCAGGCTGAGTGAGATGGCTGAGAGGGTCAAAGAATTCCATCTTGATTATTTGTTACAGTTGCAGATGGAATGTCAATGTTGGCTTGAAGGCTGAGATTGCTTAGAAAATTGTAAGGATAAGCTTAAGCTGGATTTATATACACAAGTCCGCACCTGTTGAAAAGCCTGGTAGGAAGGTGTAGATACTTTTCGAAAGCCAGCATGTAAAGGTACATCACCGCATTACCACCAGCTTATCTCTACCCCATACTGTAAAGAGAACGCGTCGGGCGTAAACTATATAGAGAATGTAACCACGGCAAAGTTAGGACCAATAGAATTGTAAAGGTTATGTAAATCTAACCCCCATCATGCACACTAGCTATGTAATAATACGTGTGAGTCAATAGGTGGCCTTAGAGGTGGATTATGATATGTGGCAGAGTCTGTCAAGTAAAGCAGCTTCTAGGTTGCAGGAAGTGCGATAGCGACAACAAGAGTGTTATCAACCTTCCTTTCTATCTTGCACACTAGTCATGTCATAACACGTGTTAGGCAATGAGTAGCCTTAGAGGTAGGCTAAGTAAAGTAGCTTTAAGGTTGCAAGAAGTGTGGTAGCAGCAATGAAAGTATTATTGATTATTAACCTTCTTTTCTATCTTATATATTAGCTATTATATAATACATATTGGGCACAAGGTAGCGTATAGGGGAAGTTATAAGATACGTAGAAAAGTTTGTTAAGTAAAGTAGCTTCCAAGTCGTAAATAGTGCAACAGCGGCAACAAGGGTATTATTAATATTAACCTTTCTCTCTATCCTGCACACCAGCTATGTAATGACACATGTTAGGCAATGGGTGGCCCTAGAGGTAGGTTATAGCTTATGCGCAGGGTTTATGAATATGATAATGCACTGTGAGGAACAGGAGGCTGAACTGGGTGTAGTGTGAGCAGACCTGTGTTGCGTACCTCCCGTACTAGCAAGGAAGAAATAGTTACATCGCGACCCTTATGGGGGTCTATATTAATCACCAGGCCCTGCTTTTGTGCCTTCTGACCGATCACAGAGCCGTGCGGCCAAGTAGGGCTGAAGGTTTACAGTGTGGCGGATTCTCATACTTAACAGCTTAAAGTCAAACTTAGGCTCCAAGGCCCTAGCATTTTTATGCATACAGCGCTTTCTTAGACTCGCATACGCCGTCGCTCACGTTGATCATCGGGAATAGGGTCAAGACTGACTACTTGCGCATTCTGTGTTCAAAGAAGCACGCCGATGCAATGCAAGTCCATGGTTTTGATCGTTACCGAGAATCCCGTCAGGATGGCCATTTTAAAAAAAGCTACTTATATCCAGGCTAGATGCTTCTCTGTGCATCATTGAGCCGTTCACGGCGTGAACGAGAGAGAAGTCGCCGATTTGCTGACGCAAGAATTTGACGGCATACGCATTGTTTCGTCGGTGAACGAACTAGCTAAGCACATGGACGATGCACACGATTCTCGCCAGAAACATGGCTATCTTTTCAAAGGAAAGCATTTGAAATACTTGTTTTGACTCTCCACTGATTAATTGTCGACTGCAAATACCACCTACCACGAGTGAGTAGCCCATGCATGCCCGGGCAGATCCAGGTACCGTTCACAAAAGCCCTCGCGGGAAACCGTCAGATAAAAGGCCTACACGTTAGGCATTCGTGGGCGAATGATCAAGCCTGAGCAGCATCTCTCCTCCAAATTCCGAAACGACCGCAAACGGGCATTCCCCAGATACAGGGCTGAATATCGTTTGGAAAAGGTCTCAACTGGGTCTCGATAGTATAACTAGATTCAATGAGCCGTGAGTGGGTCTGAAAATGGGTGGTCGGACATGCTTAAACGGAGGATAGTCAAGGTAAGAAGATCCCCTACCTGATTAGTGATGTGGCGACGTTATCGTCAACGACGAGGGGGGAAGCTTCAGTCCGGGCTTATTGAAGGATGTCTCCAGCCAGATGCTCTCTTACTTGTTCTACATCGAGCTTCTTTCAGTCCCAACAGCAGACGTAATGCCCGCCAGACATCTAGCGATGCGATGCCGTCTGCCACCCGAGTTACCGCAGCTGAATTTCTTAACACAGCTCAGAAAGGCCAACGGAGGGTTACACTATCGAGCGTATGGCGCTGCCATGCTGGGCATGGGTTTCTCAAGCTCATAACCATTGACATCAAGTTGCTGAGCTTATAGCTCGACGTAAGAGTAGACAACGTGGGTAGATCTCTGTATTAAAGAAGTTGATGCTTGACCAGGGTACTTATTGCGTCATTGGGCGAATAGACCATCGGGACACCGTTATTGGCGAAAGGGCTAGATCATCATTCACAATTTAAGGGGAATTGGACAAGTTGGACGAAGCGTTGTACGAAATTGTATCTTGGATCTACCAGCCAACCAGAGATTTCGAAAGTGGCATGCATATCTTGAACGTGGTTATTCAAGCTTCCCTTGAGTCTCCGAGTCATCGCCTCCTCACTAACCCTATTGCGTCCCTTAAGCGACACCTGAAGCGGCACGGAACCATCAAGCGACGCCCAAACATCAAATGACATCGAACCCGAAAGGAACACTGAAACTGTATACAGGAATTTGTTTACAAGCAACGTCGAACTTGACACCAAGTGACACCTAATCCAAGAGGGACACCGAAACTGTATACGATAACAAGCGACACAGAACTTAGTAACGGAATAGGGAAACTGTTTACATGATATGGAAAATTGACACAGCTTGGCAAAGGTATAGATTTCTGTTGAATTTAGATTTAGTTGTATATAACCCTGCCTACTATAGTGGAAGGTATGGGATCCCTGCTTCTGCCCCTAGTACAGGTGGTATGACAATTCATTGGTTACAAGACTGGTTGCGGTTCTCCCTGTACAAAAAGTCAAATTGTTCGCACCCCCATCGCACAAGGCCGCGGCGTTCGAGCCTACGCCAAATCAGAAGTTTACCACAAACATAAAATCACTACCGAAGCCCGCAGCAGTGGTCCGACTCTTCCAGGTTGAATTCGGCAAGTCTGCCAGGTAAACTCGGCAACCCTCGGTATAATCTGCCTAAATTCAGGTCTCTCTTAAGCATTCAGCTTTCCGCTTTGCTACAACCAAGGGGGGTGTGTTGAATCCAGAATTAGTCAAATATAACCCTGCCTACGGAGTATAATGGAAGGTATGGGGACCCCTACTTTTGCACATGTAGTATGACAATTCAATAGTTTCTCCTATTGCTAGCTTCCCTTGATTGTTTAAATTCTATATGGGTTAAACAGATCTTATCTGAGGGCCTAACAATATGGGTGCTAACCTGTTTTGTGCATTAGTCATTGAGCTTGCGTAGTGGGGACGGGCGACTAACGCAATGGGGGTGGAGGTGCAGAGTGGACTGAGATTCATACCACTGTTTCTTTACTTTCTTATACCTACAATCACCTCGGTGCCCAGCTGCTCTGTTACCACATTATGTCCACAATTCAAGACCTTCTTCAAAGGATCGAACAGCTTGAGAAGGAAAAGGACCAGGAACGACGCGAGAAGGAAGGGGCACAGCATCTCAACCGCATCAACCGCAACACAACTTTAGAGGAATACCTGAGGGCCTGCTACGAGGATGTCTTATCTAAGATCTGTCTCGTTACTGATGGCTACCTTACGACCAAAGTTCCTACCACCAGCCCTGCTAGAAAGCACTGCCCGAATCTAGTACCTTGGGACGACTTTGAATCAAAGCAGGATGCCATGATTGAGCGAATCGACAAGATTTTCCCTCATGACGAGCGGCTATTTGAGAGCTCAGCCTTCCTCCAAGGCATGGGCAATCGTTTATCAAAGAGGCCGGTTCAGGATGAAGCTTCTCTTCTTTTTATCCAGAACAACGCCATCGAGGACCCCGTGCGCCTTATCCTCTCCAAGCTCAACGACTTCCATCCTGAACGATACGGTCTCGCTATTCCCGAACAGGTGGACTTTCAGACAACCGCAAGCAGACTCCGCGACCCGACCGACATGAGGGACACGGTAGAACGAGACGCAAGGCTACGGACGGACCAGATCTGCGTGTATCGAAACTCGCGTCAGAAGGATATTGCATATGTTATCGAGTACAAAGCACCTCACAAACTCCATACGGCGCATTTGGAGCAAGGCCTCCGACCGATGAACATTTTTGAAGAAGTCGTTAATAAGCAGACAATACCGACGACTGAACCTGATAAATTCAAGCACTACGCAGAACTCCTCTCGGCAGCAGCCATCGCGCAGACGTACCACTATATGCTAGAGGCCGGGCTAGAATATGGTTACTTGACTAACGGCGACGCAATTGTTTTTCTCGAGATCGACTGGGCTGACCCGAAGATGCTTCGCTACCACCTGGCGCGGCCGTCTCGTGAGGCGACAGAAGACCAAGAGCCCGCCTGGGGTAATGCTGTCTGCCAAGTCCTTGCCTTTACTATTATGGCGCTTCAGTCGGGGTACCATGGCAATAACGAACGTGTGGCGGCGGCGGCCAAGTGTGAAAAATGGGAGGTTGATTTCAATTACATTCTAGATAAGATTATCAAAGAGGAGGAGAGGGAGGAAAGAAGCAACCCGACAACACCTGGGAAAAGAAAGCACCGCCGTGTGCCGAGCAGTCCCGAGTGGCAACCGACCCCTATTAAGAGGAGGAGGCGGAATCCACGGCAGCATTCCCCACCTGGAGACTCAGACCGAGTGCTTCGGTCACGCAATAAGCGTGACGGTCCTGAAGAAGGCGCAGGTTCCGGCGGAGACAGTGGTGGTGGTGGTGGTGTTGGTGGGTCAAGCCACGCCGGCGGCTCCCCCCAGGCTCCGGGGGGTCCGGGGGACGGCTCGGGCACCGCGGGGTGGCCATCACGGCTAGCAGCCAGCGGCAACAGTCCGCGTGAGATGCCTGGGCAATATTGCACACGGGCATGCATGTTGTCGCTAGTGAACAACCGGCTACTAGACAGCAGATGTCCCAACGTGGCGATGCACCGCACCGGGATGCGGGCTAAAGTCGAGGATGTCGAGAAGCACAAGAAGACACAAAAACCGCAGAGACATCCCATTTCCTACCTACAGTTCATGGATCTACTCCGAGAGCAATTTTCTCAGGGCTTAGAGCCGGGTGTTGTGGTCCTGGGGAAAGAAGGTGCCTGTGGTGCCTTATTCCAGATCACGTTATCAAGGTATGGCTACACCTTAATAGCCAAGGGGGTCACCGGAGGACGAGTGCCAGAGCTGGAGAAAGAAGTGGCCGTGTATCAGAAGCTGCGGAGCCTGCAGGGTCGTGGCATCCCGGTATGCCTTGGCTCGGTGGATCTCAAACCACTTAAGCAAGTCTTCTACTACGACTTAGACGTGCGCATCATACGCTTCATGCTGCTGTCGTACGCCGGCACAGAGGTCAGAGCTCGCAGGGACGAGACCAAGGCACGCATCATTAGCACAGTCACTTTGATCCTAGACGAGATGCACTGTCTCGGGGTGACGCATGGGGACATAAGGTGGCCGAACGTACTACAAGGTCCCGACGGGGAAATTAATTTAGTCGATTTCGACCGCGCTGTGTTTCTGCCAGCCAAAGGCCAACACACTCTCAGCGGCATCCCGCCGAATAAGCGGAGGCGGCTTATGGAGACGGAAGGGGAAGAGCCTTTGTCGGCGAAGCAAGAGCAGCTCTCCCAGACTGCAATCCAGCAGGACAATGGCAATGCACACAGTCTCTTCTCTCTCGATTGTGGCAGAATCGTCGGTCAGAGGGTGTGATGGCAACAATGGTGTGGCAGCGGCGTGGAGGAATCAAACAGCCCAGATCATTATTAATAGAGGGTGCATAGGTTAGACGGCGTCTTATTGATATCATAGCCAACACTAATTTTAATCGAAGCAGAAGAAATCATTCTATACTCAACGTTTTGGTACAATCTTACTAGGGGTGGTGAAGCCTTTACTCCTGCATCGCCCGTTCTGAGTTTGATAATTGGCTTGAGGCGTATTCGACCCTCATGATAGGCATGAGCACGGAAAGCAATGGTGGCGGGAGAGGAGCCTGTGTTAGGAGCTGGAAAGGCAGTTGCAGCATCTTTGATCAACATCGTGTGCGGTGCCTTCGGTCTGCTTCGCTGTGAGGGCAACGACGAGACTGTCATTGATACCTTTGGGGGGGCATGTTCGATTGCGTCTCTTTTGTCTCGATCTTCCGCTGCAGCCGCTTATCGTCCGGCAGACTGGTGTCGAGATCGCCCAGGATTGCAGCCACGAGTCGCCGCTCCGGCTGGTTGAAAGTCACCGCAGGTAGTGGCATGTCTGCCTCATAACGGCCAAGCAAGCAGCTGCTTGCCGAGTTACGGCTCGTTCTTCAAGTCAAGTAGTGGCGACGAGTGCTCTCCGCCACCTTGTGCCTGTGTGCTGGCTTTTCCCCAGCCTGCTGCTAAGTGCGCCTGGCTATAGCGGTAAGAACGGTCGACAGCGTGCTTATCTCGTCGTCCAGCTGTCGTACCTTGGCATTCGGACCAATGACCGGATCATCTCGTCGGTGACCCCTATTGACGCATCTTCGTCGATCTGTATCTTGAGCTGGTTGGAAGGCAAGATATGGCAATCTGCTACCGTGACCGAGGAAGACGACCTGGGTCACGACATTCGTCCGAGCCGTTGTTCATGAAGGTAGGCAAATTGTTAGAGACTTACTGTCGATGGCTTCGATGCTACTAAGGCGATAATTGTAGCTTCGCGGAACAATTGTGGAATTGGCCCCGTGTGAGAGGCTGCTCTGATATGACGTAGCCGTCCGGCGACTTGACGGACTTTACAAGGGGCACTACGAGCTCGAGCTACACAGTGTGCAAGTTTAGCACTGTTCACGAAAACACGGCCAGTACGGAGTACGAATGCGGAAAAGCGGGACATTACGAGTACGAAACGTTTGCGACGCAGCGGGAGCTGGACGTTGGCCGATCCATCTAGGCAGCCCTCGTCTGACTGCCTCTTACGCATTCAAGTAAGGCTGAACAAACATCGAATACAATCCAGTACAGGCCAACGGCAGCGTGTACGTGATTTCGCCGAAACCATGGGCTGGACGGTGAGTGTTTGCACCTGGACGTCTTGTCCTGCTAAGAGAGCTGTCCGAATGACGAGGGGATGGCAACGTTTGACTGACAGCAATGACAACAGGTCTTTCGGATACTGGGGGACTGCGTCCACCTGCTGTCCAAATGCATCCTCATGTTCGCCATCCACCGCAATCGGAGCGCCGAGGGTAAGAAGTGCCCCTTCTGACGAAGAAGCTGTCGTCGGCAAAAGCTGACTGGCCACGGTTACAGGCATCTCTCTCATCACGCAGATCCTCTATGCCGTTATATTCTGCACCCGGTACCTTGATGTTTTCAGTGAGACGAGCTCCTGGAATCTGTTCTTCAAGATTTTCTACATTGTTTCGTCGTTTTATATTATTGCTATTATGAAATGGGTCTATCCGCGCTCGCGCGAGAAGGAACTGGCCTGGAAGATGGGCGCCACCATCACTCTTGGATCGCTGCTCATCTCTCCGTTCGGAATGATGATCTTTGAAAGCAAACGAATCTGGAGCTTCCGATCGGTGCGTCGCCCTTGTTCTGATGCTTGCCGTGTATGGCCTTGCAAGCTGATGCCTTCGATCTAGTTTCTGTGGTCCTTTTCCGAGATTCTCGAGTCCGTGGCCGTTTTGCCCCAGCTGCTGCTTCTACGACAGACGACCGTGCCGACCGTCATCGACTCCTTTTACCTGCTCGCTCTCGGCTCCTACCGCGGCCTCTACATTCTCAACTGGATACAGCGCGCGGCTGGCCCGTCCGGCCGGAAACCTAACGGATTGTCCGTCACGTTTGGCATCATTCAGACACTCTTCTACCTCGACTTTGCCTGGGTCTACTGGACGCGTCAGCGGGTCAAGCTCCGCAACGGCGGCGTTGTGGACGCCGACGACATCCGCCATGGCTGGCTGATCAACCGCGTTCTCGGCAAACACGTTGACCAGTCGGGCCACGACGACGAGGAGAGTGCGCCGGCGCTCGGAGGCCGGGGCGGCAGTGAAAGCAGCAGTGGGGGGACCGGTTCTCGGTGGGGAGTCCGTGGCATCTCTGTCAGTGCCGACGACGCTACACTCGAGCACGAGGGCGAGGATGAGCATCTCTTCGCGGCCGAACGGTCCGACGGTCACCACAACCTGGATGCCAGCGTAGACCCGGACGCCAAGATGCAGGACCCAGATGAGCTTGCCCGGGCCCTCGACGACGATGACGAAGACGACGACGATACCCCACCTTTGGCGCCCCGGAAGGACCGTGAAGGCGAGGCTAGTGGTGTCCGGAATGATGAATGGGCCGAGTAGGAAGAACGGCATCCTTTTCTCTACGCGAGCCCGCCGCCTGAAAGGTCTGATCTTTGAACGTAGCAGCAAGTACGCGTGGGGATGGGTGCAGAGACTGGGTCTTTTGTCTGGCGCCAGGACACTAGGTGTCCTCTGATGTTTATGTTTACCGGGATTTCTTTTTTTCTGCAGGTCAAGACAGCTTCGGTTGACCTGACTATACCAACTTTATACTTTTTGCAGCACTTGTACCCCGCCTATTGTGATATGAGCTGCTTTTGACAGCAGGCACTGTTTGCAATTAAGTATGAATTTGCCAGGCGACGCCAGCTGGCAGACTTGTTGTCGTGGTAACAATCGATACAATGTGGATATCACGTGGACTTGGCCAATCGGAGAAGGTGGTGGCATAAACATGGAGGGGATTTGGCGACACGTTCAATCTGAGCTAAAGCTAAATGGGCCCCCTCTCGAGCATGGGAGCACATCTACGGCGCGTCTTGTCACTGCACCCAACGTGAAATCACAACCGCTTTTTGTGTCTTTTGACTTGCATGCCCACCATGGCTCCGGCTCAAGAGACGACGATGCCAGTAGGGCGGCGCACGCGCAAATCCATAAGCGGATTTTCTCCCCAAAAAACGACGGACAAGGAGAATGCGACAATCGACTTTGGCGCGTCCGGAGCGACCACTTCGATGCCGGCAGCTAGCAGGAAAAAGTCGCGCAGCAAGAGCATGGGCCCTGGGGGGCTCGACTCTGCGTTAAAGTCTTCGTCGGGAAATCGACGCGTTGTATGTTGAGATCTGTTGTTCTGCCGGACAGCCGGTGACAGTCTGGGCCGTACTGACTATTTGCTGCACGGCAGTCACTGGCAGCACCCTCCCGGCCTCCACCGCGGTCGATTCTGAAGCCGACGATGCCAATTCTTGCAGACATACCGCCTCTGAGGTCGAGAGCAAAGAGCCAGAGCCGCGCCTCGCCGGCCAGAGCAGCGGACGACGGGAGGAAGATTGCGCTGCGGACAGAAGAACAGCAGCAGGCGGCAGCGCGTGAGCGAGAGGAACGGGAGCGGGTGGCACGCGAGAAGGAGGTCAACGCCCATAGGGAGGCACGGCGCAAGTCTCTGGCCAACCGGCGGGTGTCCTTTGCGGCGGAGGCGACGCTGCACACATTCCACGAGATTGAGTACGTGCCCGAGGGGGCAGCGGGGCGACAAACGTCATCGGCGGCGGGGGCAGATGAGCTATCGACGCCGCCGGAGCAGATGGACGACGACGCGAAGAAGCGGCGGCGCAGCTCGACCGGGGCTTCGGTGCTTGGCTTCGACAACGACGACGACACGATGACGTCGACGGTGTATGACTCGGACGGCGACGGCGACGGGGTGGAAGAGGATGACGACGACAACGACAACGTGGAGGAGATGGAGTCGGATCGGAGCGACAGCGACTCGGATGAGGGCGACGGAGCCACGATGGTGACGGTGGAGGGCGATGAGGTGACGTCTGCATCAATCATGTCGGCCATGTCGGCCATGTCGGCCATGCAAGGACGATCGCGGTCGGCGTCGCCGATCGAGTCGACGGGCGACCTGGACGAGGCGCTGCGGCTGGCCACACAGCATGCGGGTGCTGAGGCCGATCGGACGCGACGACAGCGACCGGTCGGCGAGGACGAAGAGGTCATTCCGGCATTTATTGGCTGGGGCAAGAAGGCGGCTTCGAACGTGTCGGCAGCCCCGTCGTTGCCGGCGGTACAGCGAGACGACACGGAAGCGAGCATGGATATGGACATGGAAATGGACATGGACATGGACATGGATGCAGACGCGGGCATGGAGATGGAGATGACACATGCCATGGGTGGCATTATCCGAAGTGCAGCAGCCGAGAAGGCCGGGGACGAGATGTCGATGGACGTAACGCGCGTGTACGGCGGGATCATTGCGCAGCTGAGACAGCCTATGGACACGGATTCGGTGCCGAGCAGCCCGATGTTGATGCCACCAGACGACATGACGATGGGGGATGTGCCGATGGAGCTGACGATGGCAGTGGGAGGGATCCAGGCAATGACAGAGGCGGACGCAGACGCGGATGTGGATGTGGACGCACAGTCTGTCGACAACCAAGGCCTCGAGGATATGTCGATGGAGCTGACGACGGTGATGGGAGGCGTACTCTCGGCGATGGGAGCCGGCAGACAACGGAGAAAGAGTGTTCGGCAGACGATGCAGTCGACGATAGACGAAGAGCCGATGGACATGACGGTGGCAGTTGGAAAGATTTTGTCTGGACCTGAGGAGGACGGAGAGGAAGAAGAGGCCGAGATGGAGGATGCGACGATGGCAATGGACATGACGATGGGAATGGAAATGACGACAGCGTTGGGAGGAATTCTGCAGCCGGCCAACGAGATGGCTGCCACGCCGACGACGACCCGTCTCGAGTCGACAGCCCGGCTCGAGTCGATGTCGTCGCCGATTGTGCTGCCCAAGATGAGCGGCTCGAGCTCGAAGCGGACGCCAGCACGCGGATTCGTCGAGGAGAAGCAGGCGCTGGCGACTTCGACGACGCCGATGGGAGAGCCCATGGTCAAAGCACTAACAGCACCGACAGCACCAACAACGCCTCTGAGGGACTCATCCCCGATGCGGTTCATCGGCAGCCGGTCCAAGTCGCCCAAGAGGGGCACGTCTCCAGCCGGAAAGGCAACAGCAGCAGCAGCAGCAGCAGCAGCGAGCACGACGCCACGGTCTCCACCCAAATCGTCGAATCGACTGCTGGCTAGGTCTCCATTCACGCAGAACCCAGACACGGGCTTGGCGACGCCGTCTGTGGTGCTCACGCCCCAGCCAAAGAAGGTGGCCCGGCCTCGACCGTCTCTCTTTGCCGGTGTCGGACCAGCGTCTCCCAAGATCACAGAGATCTTTAACCGGCGATCGTCGCTCGTCGACACGGCTCCCGATTTTGTGGTGGGCTCGGCCAGCAAGGGTCGGGCGGTGGTGAGCTTTGACGAGCCGGCGACAGGATGGGCACAGGACGACCGCGAAGCGACGCAGAACCTGCGCGAGCTGATCCAGAACCTGTCGCCGAAGAAGAAGCCGCTGAAAGGCCGCAAAAGTCTGCACGTGGGCAGCGCGAGAGGGCTATTGGGCAAGCGGCCGCTCGAACTGGAGGACGAGGAGGCCGACAGCAACAGCAACAGCAATGACAACGACGATGAAGGCATCTACGAGAGCCAGGACCTGGTCAAGCGACTCAAAGGCAACGAGCCGAGTCCAGTGAAGAACGTTCGGCTGCAGCAGCCACCGTCGATGATGGAGACGATCGGACGGTCTTCACGGTCACAGGCAGTGGAGGAGCAGCAGCAGCAGCCGGCCAGCTTGGACAGCACAGGCAGCGAGGTCGAAACCGAGCGCATCCACCTGCAGGACTTTCTCAACATGGCCAGCATCCATTTTATGGAGCTAGAGACGACAAAACGACGTCCGACAGAAGTGGGACTTCCAGCGACCAACAAGGACGGCAGCCAGCCAGAGGACAGCACGAGAGACCCGGAGACGGAAGAGCTGGTGACGTCGGTGTGCAAGGTGCCGCTGCTGGAGATGTACCAGCACGCGTGCCGGGAGCTGAAGAACTACATCGAAGAGGGCCGGTCGATCATGCGGGAGATCGAGACGGAAACGTACGAAGAAAACCCGGCGATCTTCCGGGAATACATGACGGCGACGCCGGAGCTGCGGACACAGATGGACAACCAGTTCAAGAACATCAAGATCTTTGCACGGCTGCAGAGCAAGAAGCAGTGGTACGAGTGGCGGACGAAATTGCAGCAAGGACTGCAGGAGGGCATGCAGAAGACGCTGTGGGACCTGGAAAAAGACAGGGAGGTGCTGCAGGCACGGCGGTCAGTTGTGGACGCAGCATATCCGCAGTTGCTGGCCGAATACGAGGGCGTGGAGGGCGAGATAGTGCGGCTGATGGCCGTGGCTCGAGGCGTCGGCGATGGTGATGGAGTGACAGCATTACGTCAGCAGAAGCGACAGCTGCAGGCCAGCCTGGCGGCTCGGAAGCGCGAGACAGAGCGGCTGCAAGCCGAGACGCAGGCGAGCCGGGCACGGGTGGCAGCGATGAAGGCGGAACGCGAGCGGCACCTGCAGGAGCTGGAGGAGGCCAAGCGGGTGCAGGAAGAACGACGAAGCTGGAGCCATCAGGAGATCACGACGCTCAAGGCCCAGGTCGACGGGTTGGAGCGGAAGAGCGGATGGGCCGTGACGGGTGCCCAGGGCACGACGCTGTCGCTGGCGTACCGGCGGGAGGTGGAGCTGGTCTTTGACGTGAGGGCGTGGGCCGAAAAGACGGACACGACGACTGATCTCTGGTACATTGGCAAGGCCGTCGACCCGGACACAGAGACGTTTTTCGTGCAGTGTATTCGAGATCACGTGCGCTCGCTGAGACCCGCAGAAACATCGCCAGCCAGGCTGCTCAAGGTGGTCCGTGCGTCGTGGGACATCGCCCGGCAGACGGCCATGCAGATGCGCCAGCTGCGACGGTCGTTTCCGACGACGACGACGCGGACGTCAGACACGTCGATGGCCCTGACGGCATCGGTGCTGCTGATGATGCTGCAGACCAAGATTGAGGTCAAGGTGGAGGTGGGGGCCGAGCTGGCCGAACGGGCTGGACAAGCTGAACAGCTCCCCTTTAAGCTCGCGATCGAGGCTCGCGTGATCTACGGCGAGCCGTTCAAGGCAGCGCGCATGGGTGAGTTTCTGACGGCGCGAATTGGCGACGCAACGGCCGCCTGGGTAGACGTGGTGGAGGAGCTCCGGGGAAAGCTGGAGGCACAGGGGCGAAGAGAGAAGTAGGATGTCGGACAGGGTCAAAGGGGCGTCTATGGTGTTTGATTTTGCGTCGGACGGCACATATGAAGATGGTGGAATAAAGAGAAGCGAACAAGACGGATTGCGTTTGCGCGAACTCGTTTGATTTTTTGGTTTAAAAGTGTATGTGTGTATTTCCAATTCCAGTTCGTTTTATTGACTACATGGTGGCAAGGAGGAAGGTGAGGAGGTGAAGAGAAGGTGAGGAGGTGAGGAGGTGAGGAGGTGAAGAGAAGGTGAAGAGGTGAAGAGAAGGTGAAGAGGTGAAGGGGAAGATGACGGAGAGATGGTGATAAAACTTGAAGAAGTGGTGGTGATAAACGGGTGGTGACGATAAAGTGAGCCAAATCAACAGACTGATTTGACAAAGACAAGTCGAAGAGATGACTGGTGGATGAAGCTGACGATGATGCAGATATCGTCACAACTCCACGTCGACAAGAGGACGGCTTCGTTGCTATAGCCGTTGCCGCCGTGCCGAAATGTCGTTGTTATCATTGTCTTTTTGTTGCCTCGCTGTTGATTTCGGCCTGCTTCTCGCTTCGTTGCTGCGGAAATCAGCATCTCTCCGGCAGACTCGCCTCGTCACTGCTCGTCTGAGACACTGGCCTCGCAAGCGAGGCCTTTAATGGGTCTCCTTCCTATTGTTCTCCTATTGAGAGGCCTTGCACTCTATTGACGCCTGGCTGGCCTCGCTTACAGAGACGCGTTTTGCGGGCCGACTGCCAACATTGCCAGCTTCGACAACCTCTCGATTGCCCGATTAGGAAGGGACGAAGTGAATGAAGCAGATGGAACATGCCAGCTTTCCGCCACCGCCCTCTACTATTTATATCGTCCTCTCATCTTCCCTCGCTCTCTCTCCCTCCTCTTTCCTCCTTCTCATCATCAAGAAAACGCATTCTCAGTTTTTTACACGCTCCAGACTTTCAAGCCATTCATCTCTCTCTCCCTCTCAGCTTTTTTTTCTTTCTCACTCACCCCGGCGACCACGGAGCGTGGTTTTTTCGTTTCGACCTCGACTTCTTCTTTTTCGAAGTCCCCCCCCCCGGCAGCCAACATGCTGCCCGTCATCATTTTCGCCAGCCTCATCTGGCTGTTCACCCTCCTCCGCCCGGAGACACGCCCGGCAGCTCAGGTCCTTTGGCCAACTGCCATCGGATACCTCTTCCTCCCGGGCTGCCTCTTCCTGGTGGTGCCGGCCTCGATGTTCTTGCGGGGTTTGTGGTCTGGCCGTGTTTTCCCTCGCCTCCACTTGCTCATTTCCTTCGCCGCAACCTCCGCCGCACTCGCTGTCCTCTACGTTCTCTATCGCCAGCTCTCCTGGGCCACCGGTCTGACCATGGCCCTTGTCCAAGACTGGGAGGAGTTCGTTGTGGACGTGGCGGAGGGGCCTCGCGAGACTCTTGGCCCGCTCTTCCGTGACGCCTTCTTCGCCGGCCTCGACGACCTCAACTTTTTTGAGGGACTCAAGCAGGACAAGCGGGATCTGCAGGACATGGCCGATCGGGCTCTCGACGCCCTGTTCGTGCTGCCGGGAGTGATTGGCCACGTTTTCCACGCCGTCCTCTCTGTCCCCCGCTTCCTGATGGCCTGCGAAGACGCGCTCGACGAGGGCCCCCTTGTGGTGGCGACGTTTGTTTGGGAGCACCTCCTGGCTTTGGTGGCCTTTGTCGTTGGGCTTCTGCTCATCGCCATGGGCAGCTGCTGGCTCTACTTCATTCTCGTCCAGAAGAGAGCCCTGGAGATTGCCCACCGGCGGTCCCAGAACGAGCAGTTTGTTGCTGTGATCGACCAGCAGCACGCCATGATCAACGCCATGGATGAAGTTGCCGACCAACTGTACCAGCGCGCCAAGTCTGTCGTCGATGACATCTGGTACAATGTCTTCCGCCCGGGCGCCCTCCATCACCTGGCCCAGCTCCAGCATGCCTGCGTGCCCCGATCGATGGGGTCGCGCATCCGCACCACCCGGCGCAACACCACGCACTTTGTGCGTCACCGTGTGGCGGTGCGGCCTGGACTGGGCATGCCAACACCGGCTGCTCTCGCGACTTCCTTTGACCCGTTTGCCATTTACGACGCGCTGAATGATCTGTCCGACTCCAACCAGCTGATCATGAAGGGACTTGCCTCGGAGAGAGGGAGGCTGGCCAGACAGATTTCCGCGCTGGACCAGTATCTCGAGGCAATCCTGGCTGACATCAAGCTGCATCTTCAGCGCGGGCAATACGGACGGGAGTCGTGGACGCAGGAGAAATATCAGGCAGCATTCGCGCGCTATGACGAGTACGTCATGCGCAAGGCCGACAGCGACAACGACAGCAATGCTCCTGATATTGGCTCCTTTGAGCAGTTTCAACTGGCATGGAACAGCCGGGCCGCCATGGTTTCCTCGCCGCCCGCTGTGTCCCGGGGATGTGCCAATGAATGGGCCTCATCCATCTTGCTCGACCACTCGACAGTCATCGTGCCTCGCGACGATCGCCAGTGGGATGAAGATGCGCGACTGCACACGTCTCAGCAGCGGCATCGGAGTCCCCACGTCCGGATCGATGACCACCTGCAGCGTCCAGAGTATCGACTCCGCTTGCAGGACGAGCAGATGGAGAGCCAGCGCCTCGAGCTCTCGAGTGCCCTTCAACGGCAGCGGGCCATGGAGAGCCACCTCCACGCCCTCGAGCAGAAGTGCAGCCAGCAGCAAAGCATTCTGGAACGGGTCCATCAGCAAGGACCCCCTGAGTCGTCACCCACCGCGGCACGGCAGGAGGAGGACCGCCAGGGAGAAGCCTGGGAGCAAGATTGGTGGTAGCAGCACCATCTGCACCTGGACCGCCTCCCCTCGCCCCCTCCTCGCCAGCCGCCCCGGGAAGCTCAGGCCGAGTCGGCTTCGTCGGATGCTCCTGTCAGAGGTCCGACGACCACACCGTTCCAGGAGGCAGCTGCTCTGCCTTCTGCTCCGATTCAGCACGACGGGACGTCTGTCCCCCCCTCTGCCCCCGATCCAGCATTGAAGCTGTTTCGCCAGCGGCAGCAGGACTGGGCACTTTACCTGCGGATCGTCCGTGGAAAGGCCTCTGGCAGTCCCCAGCTCCCCGAGGAGCATGGCACTGTCGACGCCGGACCATCGAAACGGACGATGATCCCAAGGGCCGGTGCAAAGACAGCGTCCCCCGTCGCTCGCTCCCGTCGCCGTGTTCATTTCGCAGACACGTGCGACATTCTTTACTTCTCGACTTCTCCGTCTTCCTCGCCCGACGCCGACGCCGACAAGATGCTGCTGGATTCTCCAGACCGGGAGGACCAGCATGCAGCAGAGCGGGAATTCCAACGTCTGGAAGACCTCCCACCTCTGCCCTTGTCTCCGCCACCGCCGCCACCGCAGTCGTCCACCGAAGACGTACCGCCACTGCCGCCATTTCCGTCCGGCCGGAAGAAGATGGACAAGTCGACGAAGCGAGAGGTCTTGGCATCTCCCGCGACCATTTCGTCACCAGCCCCCACCGCCGCCGCCGCTTTGCCAGTCACGTCGGAGCCACTGCACGTGCATGAGACAACACACGACTTGTGTTCGTCTCGCTTTCTGCCGAGCCGTCATCGCGCTCAAGAACCCACTTCCAGGGTGCTGAGGCAGCGAACACGGCAGACGCAGAGAGTGCAGCGGACGCCGCCATCGCAGCGTCCGCTGCATGCACGCAGGGTCGACGTCGACGAGCGGTCGGCACAGGAGGTCCGGAAGCAGGACCAGATTGGACTCGCGGGAGAATCGACGCCAGACTCTCCCCCACACATGTCGCAGCAGGCCGCCACCCCGGCTGCGACCCCCACATCCCCTGCCCAGTTGTTGCCCGGGAATGCCCCATCCCCAGCACCGGTGATGCATTATATCCCGGGAGCTATGCCCGCCGGAAGTGGAAGTGAGGACGACTTGTTCGTTCTCGCGAAGCAGCGGACGGTGGAGGCCCCGATGGCGAAGGCTCCGAGTGCAGCAGCAGGTGCAGGGATGCACTCGATGGAATCCGATCCGGGAGCATCGGACATCGACATGACGACGGCCATGGACTTTGAATGGCACGCGGCTACAGAAGCCGCCACGGACGAGGAGGCCGAGATCATGGCACAGCTGGCATCGACGATGGCGTCCACGGACCTGTCTGACGTGCTGGCGCCACCTCTGGCCGAATCGTTTGCGGAGACCGGCGAGGTGCAGCACACGCTCCCTCTCCTGGAAGACCAGATGGCAGCGCTCGATGTCTGGAGCCTGCCATGCGACAATCTGCCGGACATGCGGGAGGTACTGGGCCTCACAGAGTGGCCCACGGACGAGGAGATGACGGAGCTGAGGGAGATCCTTGACAGGGCTGAGATCCCTACCTTGTCAGAGCTGTTGCCACTTCCAGACACGCCGATGACAGAGGGTATCGCCTCGACTGCTCCGGAAGACCCCGTCCAGACAGCCCCAGTGCCTCCCGCCCCACTGCAGCACCAGTCATCGCCCTTCGCCAGCGACAATCATGGCGACAGCGACACTGGCGGCTGCAGCACGACTCCGGCAGAGACCGCTGGTCTTCTGTCTCCCCTGCCTTCTGCCCTAATTCCATCGACCAGTACGAAGGTCTTTGGAGGGCCGTCGTCATCACCAGCGCCAACCTCTTCCCCAGCAGCCACGGTCCAGCTTGCACTTCCGACATTTCAGTCGCTGCCGCCCTCGGATCGTGCAATGCCCGTGGCTGACTTCCCTCTTCCGGACGCTCCACCCGCCACCCTCGTCATCCCCTCTCTGCCCCCGCCGGTCGTTCCAACGGCAGCAACATGGCCAGCGTCAGCTTTCGTGCCTGCGCCAGCTGCCACCGGCATTGACGAGAGGGAGATGATCGGAGTCGAGAGCTTGCTCGCGCTTGCTCTCCCGGCCACACCCCCCCCTGTCCCCTCTCTACCGCCGCCGGTCATTCCAACAGCAGCTTCTTGGCCAGCGTCAGCTTTCGTGCCTGCGCCAGCTGCTCCCGGCCATGACGAGAGGGAGATGGGCGGGATGGAAATGGAGTTTCCGGCTGTCCCAGTTTCACTTCCAGTCCCAGTCCCAGCCCCTGCCCCTGCACCGACCCCTGCTGCTGTGTTGATGCCGCCTCCGCCTCGGCCCAGACCTGCGCGGCCGCCAGTCCCCACAACCACCACCAGCCAGCCAGAGAGACCGTTGACGCCGATGCCGTCATCGTCTCGGGTGGTCGGGACCCCGCCGGCGCAGGAACAGCCACAGCAGCAGCATGAGTCGCAGTCTGCCCGATCGAAGGGCAAGGAAAAGGCAGCCGAGGACTGGGCGATGGACGCGATGGGAGACTCGGTACCAGAGTCTCCAGTTCGCACGACAGCGAGGGAGTCCGGCCAGAGAAAGACTCTTGTGCCGCGACTGAGGAAGAGAACCGGAGGGAAACAAACGAGCGGGCCCTCCGCAGCGCCAATGCCCGCATTCGGTGGCGACACACAGGAAAGTCAGATGGCACCTGCATTTGACTTTACGGTTTCTGCGCCTGTTGTCGTCACCGCCAACACCGCCACCACCACAACCGCTTCGGACGTCGAGTCCGAAGCCGAATCCGAGGCCGGAACCACTGTCGGCAGCAATGCTGACGCCGGCACCAACAACGACAACGACCGTGATGGCAACACAGGCAACGTCATGGTTATTTCCGGATTTGGCGGCCAGGGTCTGGAGGGCTACCAGGCCCCATTGTTTGCGCCGATGCCAGAGGAGGTCGCGGCTGCGGTGGCTGCCACCGCCGCGGCTGCTGGCCTGCCATCTTTGATCGGCGCAGACAGCGCCGCCAACACGGCAACGGACTGGAGTGGTGGTGGCCGCAAGAGAGGGTCGCTCCGGGATCATGCCCGGGCGACAATGGAGGAATACCAGGCCATCTGGGCGGATGACAAAGTTCGCGGTTATGCCGTGAAGCTGGAGCAAGTCATCCGGGTGGGAGAACAGTTCCTCGGGATCGAGCAGATCGACGACGAGCTGGCGAAGTCATGGCCGCACGCAGCGCGAAAAGAAATGCTGGTCTCTTTTGTCCAGCAACAGAGCACGCTTCCAGACAATTGGAATGCGTCTCTGTCCACCGTGACGGAGCTCTCGTTGAACTGGCTCGACACGGTCAGCCACTGGGACGAGATCGAGGAATACTTCCAGGAAAGCTTTGAGGCGAAGCTGTTCGAGGCCCTGGTGGGATACGACCTGCTGTACCAGTAGGTCGTCACGCCAGGGTCGGAAGGAGTCCTGTCCCAGTTCTCGGCTTGACGTGTCAGCCCTGCTGCCATCCCGACTGTTCTCCCCCATTCCTCCCAGTCATCTTTCTGAAGCAAAGTGGTGAGTGTGCTGTCCTGACCCAGGGACGAAAATGTCATCGCAACCAATGTACTGACTTGTTGAATTTCCAGATCACCTGAGCGAGTTCCCGATCACTATTGCTTCCTCCGACAGTCCAATAGCAATCGCGCGAGAGAGAGCTGTGCGGCCGACACCCCGATTTTCACACTCGAGCACGCCTCTCAGACGACGATACAAGCGCCATTGCTTTGCAATTTTTATAGGCAATTTTGCCTTTGTCTTCTGCATCAACCAGCTCCATTTCTTCCAGCGAGCCGCGTTTGCCAAAAAACTAAAAAAAAAAAAACTAAAAAAAAACCCGCTGCATGGTCTCTTTTGCCATTGCTGCCAACGCAAACACTCGATGCTTCCAGAAGACGGATTCCACCAGCTTGAGACAGGAACTCGCACGGTGACAAACGGGAGCAAACACACACTTGCACCATTCACTGCCTGTCTCAAGCTCGGAATCAGCCGACAATCATCGTCCACCATGTGGACAAAACACACCGATCCATCCCAGAACGTTCCCCGCCGCTCATACCCTCTGCAACGTTGCGCAGAAACACCACAAACACACACAAAGAGCAGCGGTTCGGGCAAACATCTGCAAGCGCCCATGCAACGTTCTGGGGTCCCAGAATTGGATCGCTTTCGACTTGGACATTCCCGAGACAACTGTCAACTCGTCAACATTTGCGACCCGTGCAAGCAGCCTCTTGGGATTTTTCTGGCACTCGCCATCCCAATCTGACACACGCTGCTGCCACACCTTGGCACCCGCTCGTCAGTGGGCTTGGCAGCGAGGAGAACGCTCACCACAGGCACTGGGAAAGGGAGACACTGCAGCTGCCACTGCACCACACTTTACGGTCCTCTTCTCGCAACCAACTTGCTGCTACTGAGAAGCTGAAGACCTGTCTCCCTCTCCGGTGCCCGTGTTCTCCTCCCCTGTCGCAGAGGCTGCTAACAGTCGCCACATGCACACTTTACACGACTTGACACGCTGCTGCCACAAAGCCTTGTCGGCAGGGTGTGGCAGCGAGGAGATATTTTACCATGGGCACCTGGGGAGACGCCACCACCACACTCACCCCTTCCGGTGCCCATTTCTCCTTCTTTTGCACGCAGACTGCGACCAGTCACTGCACAAGTTGTCTCGGGAAATTCCAAGCACTCACAACATTCGGGCGTCTTGTCCCCTCGGAGGAAAGAGACAGAACTGGGACAGGAAGATCGAAACAAACTCGGCAAAGAGCACACCCATCTCCACTCACACGGGCGCATCACTCACTACTTGCGCCCTCGGCTCCAGCCATCCACCACTCATCGATCTTCTTACTGTCTCTTTCCTCCGGCCACCTCTACTCAACGACACGGCACAGCTCCCTACCAAGGGACGGCACACGATTCCAGGACACACTCTCCACCAAAAAACTCCTGTGTTCCTGTGACTTTTCTGTCTGCCAACTTCACCACTCAAAGTGCCGTGTCGCTTAATGAGCGTGCCAGGTCTGGAAGGTATAATTCGTGCTATCCTCTCTCCTCGCTGTTCATTTTTCAATGCTAACAAAATCCCTCTGCAGAAAACACAAATCCGGCCGGCATCGAATAAACAGACAAAAAATACCCCCCACGAATATTCCCCGACCATCCACACCCCAATACGGAGCGATGGGAGGAGTTTTTTGGAGACAAGAAAAAAGGAGCAGCGAGAATCACAATCATGTATATAGGCTGCGGTGCTGGAGACGTAAAACAACCTCTACCCTTACCTCTCCACACCGCGGCACCGTGGAGGCAGAACAACCACTACCCCTGCCTCCTACGGTATATAAAACGAGGCAGAACAACCACCACTCCTGCCTCAAAAGCTGTCTGAGGCAGAACAACCTCTACCCCTGCCTCTCGCCCCTCGACCTGCATAGACAGGCGCAGGGGACAACAGCTTCCAAACTCATGTACTATCCGAGTGGCCACGAGATGACCCGGACAGATTGTTTCATGTATTTAGCTATGACGGATTCTCTCCACATGGTGGCAGCTTCGGCTCGCTGCCGGAGAGAGTCCTGCCCCCTGCCATGTATCGCTTGCTCCAATATACAAATGTAAACCAACAAATATGCATCTCGCAAAAACAAGGCACAGTAACTCGTTGATTGTCGAACACTACTCTCAGCCTCTTTGTTGTGCTAAGAGGATCAGGGGTGACGAGGATGAGAGACGAGAAAAGATCGTCCAAATACCACCCAACCAACTTTACCCACCAAGATCGCCAGTGCGCCAAATGATCGTCACTGCCCCCACTACTTGCTCGCCGCCTATACACGTGACGTCAACAGTCACCGACAGTGTTTAAGGAAGGAGCAACGCGGTCAGCCTGTGGCAGGTAGTTCGGACCTATCCTTTGACATTCTTTTTTGCTCTTTGCCGTTGACAATTGAAAAACCAAGGACGACGACGCATACATCATCGCAACAACACACACTACGGCGCGCACGATGCCCTTTTCCGACGAGGAGTGGCAGGAGGTGTTGGAGGAGATGCCGCATTCCGAAGACGCGGTTATTCAAAAGTATCTCAAGGGCCGTGAGGGACTGATTGCGGAGGAGAAGAAGCAGCGGACAGGTGAGTTTTTCGCGGTGGGCTTTTTACACTACATCGCTCTCCGCTCACTGACCCGAGCCAGACTATGCTTTCCGACAGTCGCTGTCGCCCATCGCGCGCAAAGCATGTGCCATTGTGGAGCGGGTACGGGACGACGAGCGACGCCGAATCTGGACGACTGGGCTCGAGGAGAAGATTGCAAGCTCAGGAGGGGCTTCGGGGGGCACGGGCACGACAGTGTACCCGGGCCAGATGTTCTCGCACGCCAAGGAGCTGATGGAGACGACGACGCTGTGGCACATTGTTCAGCGGCTGCCAAAAGGGACGCTGTTGCACGCACACAACGATGCGATGGTGGAGTTCAGCTACATCTTTGGGGTGCTTCTGGACACGCCGGGGATCCATATACGGGGACCAGACGGACCTCTGGCAACGGCTGAGCAGCGGGCCGGACGTGTGGTGCGGTTCCGGTTTCTGCGCCAGGCGCGGCCGCTGGTTGCCGGATCGAACCCGTCGCCGTGGGATGCATCGTACGTGGCGAACACGCCGGTGCTTCTGACAGACGCAGCCGACGCCTTTCCAGACGGCGGGCGAGCAGGATTTGTGGCGTGGCTCAAGGGGCGCTGCACGCTGTCGCCGGCGGACTCGACGGAGCAGCATCACGGAGTGGACCACATCTGGCGACGGTTCCAGGGCTGCTTCGACACGCTGGGGTCAGCGATCCACTACGAGCCGGTGTGGCGGGCGTTTCTGCGACGGCTGATGCAGCAGCTGCTAGACGACGGGCTGCGCTGGGCGGAGGTTCGGTACATGTGGGGAACGGACTACTGCCGTGAGGGCCACGAGGAGCCAGAAACGGACTACCTGCACGTGTTCGGGACGGCGGAGGAGGAGATTGCGCGGTTCCAGGAGGCAAACCCGGGCTTCTGGGGACTGCGGTTCATCTGGACGGCATACCGGCCGCTGCCGACGCGACCGCTGACGGAAAGCATGGACCACTGCCTGTCGACGAAGCTGGCATATCCGGCGCTGATTGCGGGCTTCGACCTGGTCGGGCAGGAGGACGCGGGACGACCATTGCGGGATTGCCTGCCGGAGCTGTTCTGGTTCCGGAAGCAGTGCGCGGCCGAGGGCGTGGAGCTGCCGTTTTTCTTCCATGCGGGCGAGTGTCTGGGCGACGGCGACGCGACGGACACGAACCTGTTTGACGCGGTGTTGCTGGGGACGCGGCGGATCGGACACGGGTTCAGCCTGTACAAGCACCCGCTGTTGGTACAGCTGGTGCGCGAGCGACGAATCCTGCTGGAGGTGTGTCCGATCAGCAACGAGGTCCTGCGGCTGTGCGGCAGTGTGCTGTCGCACCCGATGCCAGCGCTGCTAGCTCGCGGTGTGGCCTGCAGTCTCAACAACGACGACCCGGCGATGCTGGGACAGGACGCGGTCGGGATGACACACGACTTCTGGCAGGCGCTGCAGGGGTGGCAGAATCTCGGCCTGGCCGGACTCGGGTCGCTGGCGGAGAACAGCGTGCGATGGGCATGTTTTGAGGACCAGACGGCAGAGGCGTGGCAGCGAGACATCCAAGATGCCAGTCTGGGGACGGGGGTGAAGGCGAAGCGGCTGCAGGAGTGGCGGGTGGAGTGGGAGCAGTTTTGTTTGTGGGTGGTGACGGAGTATGGGGAGGAGGGGGGAGAAGAGAAGGAAGAAAGTGGAAGAAAGTGAATGGTTGGAGACGAAAGAAGAGGCGTTAAGAGAAGGAGCATCGAGACTACGAGTTTGGGGAGAGCTACAGGATATACAAAGTATGATCTTTATTTCGTAACTATATATGTTGCTATATGCTGTCTTTAACCCATCCGTCTTCCAGATCATAGCATCGTTTGAGGCTCTGCCCTCACCACCACTTCTCACTCTGCCCTACTGCGAAGCCTTCTGGATGTCGTGCTCGGCGCCGCGCTGCTGGGCCTTTCCCTGTTCGCGCTGTTTCTGGAATTCAGCCTGGGCGCGGTCGTTACCGGAGAGGCCGGCGAGGGTATCGCCAACGGAGCCCTTGACGCGATCCGCGGCGCCGCCGAAGAGATCGCTGGCCTGGCCGCGGGCTTCCTGCTGCTGGCCGGCCAGGTTCTGTTCGCGGCCGCTGTTCTTGAGGTTCTGCGATCCGACGAGGCCGCCGACAGCCTCCTTGGCCGACCCGATCGTCTGGTTCCAGCTGCCGGTGGCGCGGTCCGGGTCATCGCGCGCGACCGCACCCGACGACGTGGCCGTGAAGCCGGGACCCTTGACGGCAGCGTGCGAGGCGGCGTGCTCGCTGTCGGCCTGGGTCTGACGCGCGTCGCCGGCCGTCTTGTCGGCAGTGCTGCCGGTGAGACTGCCGATGGCGCTCTGGACGGTGCCGATGGCGGAGTCGAGGTAGGACTGGGTGGTGGAGGTAGAAGGGGTGGAGGTGGTGTTTGTGTTGGAAGACATGATGTATCTGGAAGAGAGTTGGGTGTAGTGGATGGTTGCGTGTCAATGGAGATATCAGAGATCGATGTATAGTATCAAGTAGATTGTTTAGTTGTGCATACTATCCTACAACTCTTCGAAGAAGATGTCAACACCTTATATACTCACAATGGCGTCAAGATCCCAGATATTATGTGCCTGGACGTTGCTTCGGCTCTGTCAAATGCCAGGATGATGTCATCAAACTGACAAGCTCGTCGAAAATAGCCATGATGTCACTTCTAGCAGGCGCGACCAGGAACGCTGGCGGAGGCTGCCGCTTTAGGCCACAGCCTATCATCTGATTCGTCCGCCAGCTTCTCCTTTCTGTGGCGCATTACCTCATCGTCATACTTTGATGCATTACGTCATGGTGAGGTCTCAGCAGGCAATACCCAGTAAATGTGCTGTTCTTACCATCTCAATGTGCCCTCTCACTTTAACCTAATACGGACACACGTCGCTTAGGGCCAGAGCGGAAAGTCCTTCCGTACTTCCGAGCCCAGCATTCCAGAAATGACAATCCACGCGTCATCCGATCGAAAATCGTGACACCCGTCTAATGCTGGCTCCACTGGATCGTGTTGAGGTCGACGCCCTCCTGGACCAGTTCCCAAAGCGGACTCAATTCGCGCAAGAAGTTGACGCGCTCGCGCACGGCCTGCAGGACATAGTCGATCTCGGCCTCGGTGGTGAAGCGACCGATGCCGAAGCGGATGCTGGAGTGGGCGCTCTCGTCGCTGTTGCCGAGCGCACGCAGCACGTAGCTCGGCTCGAGCGACGCCGACGTGCAGGCGCTGCCGGACGACAGCGCAATGTCCTTGAGCGCCATCAGCAGCGACTCGCCCTCGACGTAGGCAAACGACACGTTGACACAGCCGGGGTAAAAGCGGTCGGGGTCGCCGTTCTGGGTCGTGTGCTCGAGCGAGAGCAGGCCGCTGAGCAGCCGGTCCGAAAGACTCTTGATGCGACGGGAGTCATACTGTTCTGTCAGTCTGTGTGTGCAGGAGAGCGTGTAGAAGGGTTGTTCCAACGCACCGGCAGCTCCTGCTTGGCCAGCCGACAGGCCTCGCCAAAACCGACAACCAGCGGCGGCGACAGCGTGCCGCTGCGCAGACCACGCTCCTGGCCACCACCCGTGATGATGGGGTCGAGCCGGACGCGCGGACGCCGGCGAATGTAGCAGGCCCCGATGCCCATGGGCCCGTAGATCTTGTGAGCCGAGATGGACATGAGGTCGATCTGCATGGCGTTGACGTCGATGGGAATCTTGCCGACGGCCTGGGCGCCGTCCGAGTGGAAGAAGACCTTGCGGCTGCGGCACAGAGCCCCGATCTCGGCCAGCGGCTGGATCACGCCAATCTCGTTGTTGACGGCCATGATGCTGACCAGCGCCGTGTCCGGCCGGATGGCCGCCTCCAGCTCGGCCATGTCGATCAGCCCGTTGTGGCCGACCGGAAGATACGTCACGTCAAAACCTTCGTCCTGCAGGTGGCGGCAGCTGTCGAGAACGCACTTGTGCTCCGTCTGTGTCGTGATCACGTGGCGCTTCTTGCCAGCCCGTCCAAAGAACCGGGCGACACCCTTGATGCTCATGTTGTTGCTCTCTGTCGCCCCGCTCGTGAAGACGATCTCCTTCGCGTCCGCGCCGATCAGCGCCGCCACGTGCTCGCGCGCTTCCTCCACCGCCTTCTCGCTCTCCCAGCCGTACGCGTGCGTGCGCGAGTGCGGGTTGCCGTACGAGCCCACGTAGTACGGCAGCATGGCGTCCAGCACCCGCGGGTCCACCGGCGTCGTTGCCTGCATGTCCAGGTAGATGGGACGCTGGCCCTCGTCCAGGAGCGTAGCCTGTCGAAGCACGTCTGGCCGGTTAGAAAAGAGGAAGAAAAAGAAAAGGAAGAAAAGACAAAAAAAAAAAGACATAAAACTCACCAGAAACACCAGGAACAGACGCCAGCCCCAGGGTGCCGTCCACCTTGGTCGCCTCCGACACCTGCGCATGGTCCCGTCGGCTCTCTGTCACGTACGTCCGCCTCGTCGGTCGCCGTATCGGGACTGTCACCATGGATCTTGTCGTCGTCGGTCGCATCGTCCGCAGAGCTGCGGAAACGACCGGCGTCGAGGGCCGGGCAGCCAGGCGCGAAGCCTGCCGCAATATGAATGCGTGCGAAGCCATGACAGACATGGCAGTTTCAACAGCGGGAAAAAAGATGGCAAAGACGAGGGTGGATGGCGGATTTGTCAGTGTTCCTCCGACTTTATGCATTCGGGATTTGCCTCCACAATTTTCTGATTGGAGCGCCACACTGCCCCGCCTCGAGGCTTGGGGCTCTGGCGGACTTGGAGTCCAAGCCGGCGCCGTGACTAATCACCGATGACCGAAGGTCCTGTCCTTGTGGGCTTGTGGGTCAAGGAGGGAGGGGGAAGGAGGGAACGGGAAGACAGGGAGAGCACATGATTGAACGCGGCCAATCTGGACAGCGATATTAAGGGCCTTGTGCCTCGTCCAGTTCGTATCGTACAAACATCTTGATCTTCATCCTACCCCATACCCATTGCTCCTACGACCGCGGTCAACAGCCCTACCCTCGCCCCCTCAACGGCCACTGCCACCCCCTGCGCCACATTGGGAACACAGCTGACTCGCGGCGGAACGTCATCAATACAAATTGCCGTTCGTTTGTTTTGTGCACCAAAAAACCAGGAATCCGCCAAAAGACAACTCTTTCGCCCTTCTGCCCACAAAGCAGGCGCCGTGTGTCTGGCGCACGCATCTCTGTCAACACCTGTCCCCGATTTCTTGTTCTCCGCATCTGCGCTGCCCCATCCCCAGCATCACCGGCCTCTCGGCTTTTCCATCACTTTATCGCCTCCGGTCCTCGTTTTCGTCTGCCGACCATGAGTTTCCGCGGCTTCCAGAAGAGCGTGGTCCGAGTATGTAATCATGCCGACTTCCTTCTTTTCTCGCTTGCCCGTTTGCTCGTCGTTCGTCGCTCGTCGCTCGCTAACTCCCACATAGGCACCACAACAATTCAAGGCCAAGTTCAACATTGGCGAGCACACCAAGGACTCGATCTACCTGGACGCAGAACGGCGCTTTGACGAGGTCGAGAAGGAGACCAAGAAGCTGCACGACGAGAGCAAGCACTATGCCGACGCCATCAACGGCATGCTCTCGCACCAGATCGAGTTCTCCCGCGCCATGACGGAGGTCTATAAACCCATCAGCGGCAGCGTCTCCGATCCGGAGTCGTACATCTCCGAGTCCAATGAGGCCGGCATCCGGGCCTGTGAGGAGTACGAGGCCGTGGTCAAGGACCTGCAGGAGACGCTCGCGCCCGAGCTAGAAATGATCGAGACCAGGGTGATCCGGCCGGCCAACGAGCTGCTCGACGTCATCCGTGTCATCCGAAAGACTGCCGTCAAGCGCGAGCACAAAAAACTCGACTATGACCGCCACCGCCTCGCCCTCAAGAAGCTGCAGGACAAGAAGGAGAAGTCGCTCAAGGACGAGAAGGCCTTGTACAAGGCCGAGAGCGACCTGGAACAGTCCGCCCAAGACTTCAACTACTTCAACGACCTGCTCAAGGATGAGCTGCCTAAACTCTTTCATCTCGAGCGCCAATTCATCCAGCCGCTCTTCCAGTCTTTTTACTACATGCAGCTCAACGTCTTCTACACCCTGCACGAGAAGATGCAGCAGTGCGACATTGGCTACTTTGACCTGACCCGCGACATCGAGGAGGCCTTTGAGAGCAAGCGCGGCGCCATTCAGGACGAGGCCGAGAAGCTGACCATTGTGCACTTCCGCAAGACCGGCGGCAAGCGCCCGCTCAACCAGTCCAAGTACGGCACGCGACCTGCCCTCGAGGCTGGCCCGCGTCCGCTCGCCATCACCGCCGGCCCGTCCAGCTCTTCCACCTACGACTACGACGCCGATAAGAACAGCAGCAACGGCAGCAAAGACGGCGCTGACGACCGCTCGCAGTACCACGGCTATGCCTCGGCCTCGTCCGCACGTCGGTCCGAGGACGTCGACCGTCCGCCTCCGCCCTACTCGGCCATCGGTAGCGGCGGCCTGCACAGCCCGTCCAAATTTGGCGGTTTCGGCAACGCCACCAGCAGCAGCGGTAGCACTAACGCGCTGGCCGCAGCCGTGGCCGCCAAGTCCAAGCCGCCACCACCGCCCAAGCCTAAGCCGACCCGGCTGAGCGCTGTGCCGGCTCCTGAGACCGTCACGGCCCTGTACGACTATGCGGCTGCCCAGGAGGGTGACCTCGGCTTCCGGGCTGGCGACGTCATCGAGATTGTCACCCGCACGGGCAACGCAAACGAGTGGTGGGAGGGCAAGCTGAACGGTCGGCAAGGACAGTTCCCAGGTAAGCAGATGCGTTGCAGTAAGACCAAAGACCAAAGGCTAATCAACCTTTGCAGGAAACTATGTTCAACTGAACAGTTAGCCGGCGCCGAGAACAAGCCAGAACAACGAACATTTACCATGGAAAACATTATACCAAACCCCCTCTTCCCACTGCTTTGGGTTTTATGCCGTTGTGTTTTTGTGCATCGGAGCGAGAAGGAGGATTGTCATGGATTTCGGACGAGGACGGAGGAGGGACACTGTAACAACAGAAGACTCGGACGGCACAAGAGGCGGCTGTGCATAATATGAGCATTTGAAAAGCCGGTGGCTTGTGCGAGCGTGATGTGCCTCTTCTCAGGACAGGCAAGGAGCGTTGATGCTCTAGCAGCCATGTCCTCTAGCCCAGCCCTGGTTGCAGCGCCCGGACGAACATGGGCAAAATATCTTAGACGTTATGAATAGAGAGAGGAACAAACGCTTGCAAGGCGTGGGAGGTCGCACCTGTCCCATTAGATGGAGACTTTTGACTTTCTTCGTGGTTGTACTTTGAAATGCCGAGATTGAGGGGAAGATTAAAATTTGCCTTTGAAATCTGCCTGTGAAATCTGCCTTTCCAAAGTTGGGTCGAAATTACAAACAACACAACTAAAGGGTAGCGTCGTATGTTTCGTCATGTAATAGGCCAATTCCATCGCAAAAGAGTGCATGGGGTTGAAATTGGGCACAAAGATACCAAGAGCCCGTGGTTCGGGCGCATATGCTATCAGAAAGAAGAAGCTGTATGCCGGACAACTCGGGACTAAAGCTCCTTTTGTAGCTAGCCCACCCCAGCACACCATACCCGTTTAGCTCTCAATGAGCCACAAGGCTGGGCAGCGTCAAGCTTATCTATCAGAAGCCTGTACGACCATCTACAGACACGATGCTACGTAGATTCAGCCGCACACTAACTGCAGTGCATATGACTATAATCCGACGCCTAACGGAATCCCGATCGATATTGGTATAATCCAGTTTACAGATTGGGCACGTATGTATGAGAAGATGGGCGGCAAGACAGACGATCAGGCTGGTTCATGTTTATTAATGTTGGGTAGTGTTGCGTGTCTAATAAGACGCTTACTACCAGTCCAAGGCTAGCTGTAGCAACGGCATGCAAGATACGAATGCGCTCATGCAGCGTTGCATGGTATTAGTAGAAAAAGTGATATCCCATATCGATGTCTTTGTACAAGGGCACGTTGTTTGACGAAAGCCAATCTGGCTGCAACCCTTCGGGCGTTGGGTCGTCGTCGGATAGGTCGATATACTGCCGATAGTCGGGAGAGGAGGACACTGACACGGCCGCAGACCGGGTCACTGCCCTGTCCGGTCTGTCGTGCCATGGCCGCAAATGCGGCAGACGGACGGAGGCATCGAAGCTGATAAACACCAGGGCGTGCATTTTGTCATCGCCCTCGATGGAGTAGAGCAGTGACCGGTCGTCCCACGTGCCCGAAACCTCGCCCTGGTGGCCATTGGGGTTCATGATCCGGTCGAGAACGAGGTTGCGCGAGGCCTGTTGGCCCTGGACGGCCGGTGGCCACGTTGTCGGCTCGATCGTGGCAAACTGCTGCTCGATTTCACGCAGCGGGTATAGCTGTTCTTCGTCTTCGCCGGCCTCGTCCCTTGGGCTGTCCGGGCTGGGCAGCATTGGGCAGGCAGACCGCGGTTTTCTACTGCCAGCACGGAGACGCAGCCGTCTTGCGGCCGGATCGGTCTCGGCCGGAAGGTTTACCAGATCGAGAAAGGTCGAGCAGGTGGGAAAGTATGCGCGAACCAGACAGGTGCTGGGCGTAAACGGCATCATCTTGGACGAGTCATCGCCAGGATGTACGTTTTCTGGACTCCTGCGGGGGATGTGCTGCTTCCGGTCGACGTCTGCCATGTCGGGAAAGTCGTTTTGGCGTCTCCATCCATCCGGTCTTGAGCTGCTAGAGGCGTCATGATAGAAGACGTCCAGCGCAGCACCAATGCGGCCACCTGTTCTGCATGACAGGACAGCGTCATCCTTGGTCGGGAAGACGACCTCCTGGGTGTAATATGTTCGGCGACTGTCGCTGCTGCCGAAGCGCCACTCTTTCCGCGACTCGAGAATGGTCAGCCTGCCGGTCTCCTCGTCGGCGACCATGCGGATAAAGGACCAGCGCTCGTCAATGGTGCCTTCGGCATTCAGACGTCGCCAGAGCGAATCGGATGTGGCCTCGGTTATGGCATCCATATCCGACAGCGGAAAGCGACAGCAGTAGTAGTACGAATCGGTGATTCCGACCATGAGCTCGAGGCTAGTCTGGTTGGATAGGGCGTAGAAACAGTCGCCGATAATGTCAAAATACACATTGACGCCAATGTCGGAGCCAAGGACCCGGTCTAGATACCTGCTCGTTCCCACGAGGCGTTCCTCGCGAATGGAATAGCGCCGCAAGACCCATCGTCGGTGCCCATCGTCGCCTTGGCCGGTGTAGGTGCCAAAGATGACGTAGTCCTTGTTGCTGCGGGCAAACAGCCTTGTCGGTAAGGGCACCCGGACGCTGCGCGTCCAGTGTTCCCGTATGCTAAAGACGACCAGCCAGGTCTCATTGGTGGTCCGGCAGTGCGTGTAGCGACATGTCACAATGCCGTCTGCATAGTGCAGCAGTATGAACTTGTACTTTGTCGTATCCCTGGACTCGTCGACCGCTCGATCCAGCAACTTGCGTATGTGTACCACATACTCGCTGCGAGCATTGCCACGGAGCGGCAAGATGAACAGCTTACGCTCAATGATGTAGAGTAGGGTGCCATTTACGTAAAGATGGGAGTCTGCTACAGCAATGATGGCGGTGGCAAACGGCTCCAGATTAGATATGGCGAGTCTTCGTTTAGCCAGCAGACGGAATGCGCGAGCGTACTGCTGCGTCTCTTTTGCCTCGAGAAACTCGGAGGAAAAAGCAGCTTGGCTCTGTAGGCACCGGTCAGCAGTTGCAATGGGCCCCGAGGACGTGTGCGAAGCGAGCGGGAAAGTGGTTTTTGCACATTGCAGCCCAACAATGCAGCCCAAGTCAGTGGCCATCCATGTGAAAAGGGGGGTGTTGGGTTTGAATCGGGCACCTACCTCGAGGAGAGAGCGGCAGATGCTGTTATCGCAAAAGAGGTTCTGAAAGCGCCAACACGTTTGGCTCAGCCCAAAGGCGTCCACGATGGAGAGCTGTTGTACAATGGCAAACGTGAGTTCGTTTGGCAAGCGAAAGATGGAGTTCATGAGTTCGTGATACGCCTAGTAACGCTTCTCCAGCTATGTCAAAGAGAGAGAGTAGACAGGACAGGGGCACAAAAGAGTGTCTGAAAGACGATGATACGATATATTGCAGGATGTCGTTGTACAGGATCTTGCACTGGGGAGAAGAGCCATATTATCATAAAAATCGAGCCACATACGGCCCACACCTATTAGATGCACAACTGCCTATTATTTTAAATAGCAATTGAGCCTCATACGGGCTTGCCCAGTATGATTGCAAGCGGTGCGGCTCTGCAGATAGTTACAGGCTGAGCTAAACCTAATATTTTCCCTAGCGTTTTGGCAATTATTGAGCTGTATCGCGTTATCGCCCTCTGTAACGCCGAGTACCACAACCAAGACATGTCGTGCATCCTGCTTGAATCCATCACAAAGTCTACAGGCGAGAGTTGCGCCAAGTTTACCAAGTTGGTTCATTGTGCACCAATTTACGCGCGACACGCTATCAAAACTCCGAAGCGGCAAGCCTATGAAGCTCTCCATCTCAAGCATCGATAATTGCATTGGTTCGATTGCAGTCACACCGACGGGTGTGTTGTAGGAGGATGCGGTAACCTGCAAAGGAAGGTCCCTCGTCGCAGTACTCCGTAGACAAGGATGATTCACCGACTCTACGCGTACGGAGCACTGACTAGGGTCCATTCCAGCCATAGAGCCCTTCGCCGAATGCTTGGGCAGTTTCAGCCTCTTCAGCCTCCCCCACTGCGCTGGCAGACCGCTTCGCGCGCTATGTGTCTTGGCCTTGGAAATGCGGCTGTTGGCTTCCGGCCGGGCAGCTCTGACTGGACGCTCCGACGAGCTCAACGTACTCCGTACACATTGGCGACACGTTTGCCGATAGGCCCAGCGGGCTGCTGTTGCCGATCAGCCTGTTTCGGCAGTCGCGCTACAAGCGGAACGCCCATGTCAAGCTGAAGAACTCTGCGCCCAACACGTGGAGGACGGGCCGGTGCCACCGTGTGCTGCGAAGGATGCGGTTGGTGGAGCGTCGCCACTCAGAAGAGTTTGTCTACCGCAGCCCAGCGGCGGAGCTGGCAGCCAGTGATAGCTTTGACGACGAGAAGGGTGGCCAAAGGTAGTCGTGGCGAGCTTTCTGAGTTGTGCTAAAGGGAGGCGACGCTGACGATGCTGACAGTAAGCTGGCACCTAAACGACCGCTTACGAAGCGGAATCGACATCACGACCTATCTGGCGGCTACAGATCACAAGCGGGCCAAAAGACAAGCTGTGCCGTGCGAGGTCGGCAGCTGTATCTGACCACCTGTCGTGTGGCTGTGTGTCAAGGCCAGACCAGCTCCGAGGGACGGCACGAACGGATGAGGAGAGGCGGGCTAGAGACGTGTGATTCTGATGTGCGTGAGCCGAGAAGTCGGGCGTTTATAAAGTAATCGGTTTGACGGAGAGCTTGTGGGAAAGTGGGAGAGATTGGGATGACGTGGGAGCGAAAGAGTGCGCGTGAAGCGATGAAAACAACTGACAGTCTGCGCGGGTCGTACATCGGAAAGGAAGTGTGACGAAGTGAGTGTGGCATTATCGTAGCTGTGTTTGTATTATGTACGAGCAGGGAATCAATCCTTTGAAGATACTCTGTACTTTCCCAAATTGCAAACACATTCCTCTTCTGCGGCTCTAATCACGTGTCTCCTGCACCTGGCTGTGGGCCCCTAGTAACCGTTGTACAGCCCTGTCTACCACACCGTCACGGACAGGAAGGAACGTCCACCTGTCACTCGTATCTTTATCACAAACTGAGGCATTTCGAATCATACGCGACCTGTCAAAAGTCCACCGCGCCGCTTTTCGTCACGCATCCCTCCTTTTGCAGCCCCTGCGGCTCTGCCTTGCCATCCGACATATCCCTTGACTTTCCTGTTTCGTCGCCTGCAGCAGTCGTTTCCGCTTTGCCCCGTCTCTTTCCGTCCTCACCTCCCCCGCCTTTCTGCCTCTCTTCTGCCTCCTCGTCTCTTCCTTGCGGCCTCTGCCCCTCTGCTGGTCTGCCCAGACGGAACTCGCCCACCCAGAGAGCGACGACGAGGCCGCCGACAGCACACCACACGGCCAAGCACCAGGTGGTGGTGGCCCAGCCAAAATCGGCCTGCAGATAGCCGGCCAGCAGGCTGCCAATGGCGCTGCCCAGCGCAAACGACGTCGTGAACAGCCCGTATCCGATGCCGTAGACGCCGCTGGGGCCCCAGACACCCGGCCGCGCAGCCTCCTCGGCCTCGATGGCGAAGCTGATCTCGGCCATCATCGGCACGTTGGCCAGCGTCATCGTGACGCCCAGCACGGCCAGCAGCACGGCCAGCAGCACCTTGTTGCCCATGGTGTCGCCGTCGACGAAGCGCAGACACACCAGCAGCGGCAACGTGGCGGCAAAGCCGGCCAGCGCCGGTCCTTTGGCGCCCCACCGGTCCGCCACGACGCCGGCCAGCGGCGAGACCAGGGCCGGCGGCAGGTACGGCGCAAAGAAGAGCAGCCCCGATGCCGTCGAGCCCCAGCCGAACTCGGACTTGACAAATAGCGGCAGGATCGTGTCAAAGGCCGTCAGGATGCTGGCCATGACCATGCCGCCGAAGAGGGCCGACGCCATCCGCCGGACACACAGCAGCATCCACATGCGGAGGAAGACAGAGGGCGTGGAGACTGGAGGAAGAGAAACGGCAGCCTGTTCGGCCAGCTGGCTCTCCTCGTCCCGACTAGCCGGTCCTCCTGTCAGCTGACCTGCCTGCTGGTCTGCCTGCTGGTCTGCCAGTCGGTCCTCCACATCCTGCTCGACCCATTGCCGGGCCACCTTCTTCTCGATCAACAGCAGGCGCAGGACAATGTCGAGGGCGATGAGACCAAAGGCGACATAATAGACAGCATAATAGCCGGCGCCGGCATAGACGTAGCCGCCAATCAGCGGGGCCAGCAGCAGGCCGGCCGACATGGCGATGCTTATGGAGCCCATGGCGAGGCCCATGCGCGAGCCCATGGTGTCGGCCAGCAGAGCGAGGCCGACGCTCCAGACGACGGCGGCGCTGGCGCCCTGCATCAGACGGCCAGCCACAAACAGCCCGATGGAGCGGCCGACACAAAGCATGACGGTGGCGCCGGCAAGTGCCACGAGGCCCATCAGCAGCGGCAGACGGCGCGAGGAGGTGTGGTCAGCATACATCCCCACGATTGGGCTGCCGACAAAGAGCGCGATGCCGTAGCAGGCAAACAGGATGGCGTTCCAGCGTTGCACCCGGTTGGCTGCAATGCCGAGCCGTGCCGTCAGCGCAAACGGCATCACAGGCACCACGAGCCCATACAGGAAGATGTCCGTGAAAATGGCCACGCAGATGGTGGCCACGATGAAGACGGTCGACGAGCGCTGGCGGAGGAAGGCTGGTGGCGGTGCTGTTGACGGCGGCGCTGTCCCGGATATCGGTGACCGCCAGAGAGAGCGGAAGCCGGCCATGTTGGCGTTGTGCTGCTGGCTGCTGGCTGCTGCCAAGGTTCCCTATCGACGGTGTTGACCGAAATGGACCGACAGAAGTAACAGAGGTGGACAGCAGAACTAACCAGCAGATGTAGCCAACAGAACTAACCAGCAGACAGTCAAGCAGAGCAGAGCACCACCGACACGACGGCCGTCGTCCCTCTTGTAGACGACATGCTAGCTTGGCCGATAGCCAGATCAAGCTAAAATCCCTGCACCTTTCTCCATGTCCTTTTCGACGGGGTCCGCGGCCACCGAAGCCGGCACGCACTAAACCTGGATAAACTCCTCGGCTTCCCGTCCGGCGTTACGGCAGGGCTGCCTAGATGCCATGCTCAAAAGGGCATCTCCTTATGCTTCTTGCCGCTCTTCACGAGCCAGACATTGCTGATAAATCGTCGGAAAGAATTCCGAGGGCGGTCGGCAGGCGGACCAGACGGATATGTCCCGATGAATGTGGAATAAAGACGAAGGACTCGAAATACCAACTCGGGATCGACAACGACTAAGCTCTGACGCGATTCGGCGAGGGTTGACGCTTCGACAAACTAACATACAGAGACCAGAGCCTGGGAGTACAGTACCTGGCTGGCGGGTAGCAACTGGGAAAATTCTATGTGCACTAGCCCACGTGACTTATTTTTGGCGGTCATGACCGGCTGAATACTGAAATCTTCGTGTAAGTTGTGTAGTTTCAAAGGATATTGACAAAACACGGATTAAGAACGGAAAAGACTAGTAAATACCATGCAATCCAGTCTCACCGCCCTGCTGTACCGGAGTGGCAAGCCCGCGGCCTGCGCCTCCTGCACAGCCGCTGCCTCCCGATCTTTCCAGGCCGCTACCTCTGCCTCTACTTTTTCCTTTGCCTTTGCTACTGCTTGCGTATCTCGCACCACTAAAGCTGCTTGCGCCGCTGCTGCACTGCTGCTTGTATTGCCGCCGGTGCTGCCGCTTTAGTATTCTGCCGGTCATGACCGCCAAAACAACTCGCACCTAGCAATTTCTGGTCATTGTGGGTCACTGATACATTTAATGCTTATCTTATCTACATTTTTTTTTCTCTAAAAAGCATTCGTTTGCCAGACCTATCGTCGACTATAGCAACACATACACACGCCATGGCTCCCATTCCAGCCACAATAGGCGATTTCTCCGTTCTACCGGTACGGATGCCGGCACTGCCATCGCTCGAGATGGCAGAGCCGGCCACACACTATATCTATGTGAGGCCCAATGCGCCCAAGATCCCGACAGCCGACGACGAACGCAGCCTCTTTCTAGCCAACGTGCCGGCCGACAGCACGGAGGCACATATGCGGGCGATTTTTGCACAGCTAGTGGGCCCGGGTCGTTTCGAGTCGATTGTGTTTGAGGACGAGCGGCGACAGGCGGCGGCAGTGTCGGAAAGCGCGAAGACGGCGATTCTTCCAGGCCAGGCAGCGCGGCTAGCAGCGTTGCAGTCGCGCAAGAGGAAGCGGGAAAGCCGGAGCGGAGCGGCAGCGGACGACGACGCCGAGAATACGGCGGAGACGGCCCGGGAGCAGCAGGCACGGCTGCCGTCGACGTGGCCGCAGCGGCTTCGACGGAGCGGTAGCACAGCAGTGGTGCTTCTGGTGGACGAGCGGAGCGTGTCAGCAGTGTTAAAGGCAGTGGCCAAGACGCACGTGCGGGGCGGCAAGGTGGTAGAATGGGCGTCTGGGGCGACGATGCCGAGCTGCGGTCCTTTTTGGCTGGCTGCACACAACCGGCTCGTGTATCCGGACCGGGCGACGATCGACAGCAGCGTCAACGCGTTCTTTGCGCTGTACAACGAGCGCGAAGCGGCGGCGGCCGAGACGGCGCGACGGCTGCGCAACGAGCCCGACGAGGACGGATTTGTCACGGTGACGGGTGGCGGCAACAGCGGCGCTGGCGGCGTGGCACGGCGAGCCGAGGCCGAGGCGGCACGCGCGAAGCAGCTGGCCAAGCAGGAGAAGAAGACGGCGGAGCTGACCAATTTTTACCGCTTCCAGCTGCGCGAGCAAAAGAAGGAGGAGCAGGCCGAGCTGCAGCGACGGTTCCAGGACGACCGGCTGCGCGTGGCGGCGATGCGGGAGAAACGCGGCAAGTTTCGGCCAGAGGCGTAGACAAAAGGTACGATATCTCATGTTCCCTGTTACGAGCAGCTCCCGGATACGGTATCCTGTCATGATGACGCCGCGGGGCCATCTCAGCATCCGGTCCGTGTCTTGTCCGTAGACGAGACAGACACGGCCGGATGAGTGCCGAAAACGACCGCGTTACCAAATACATCTTCTCAAACTCTCTGACGACAGGCCGTATCCGTCCATACACTATGCACATACACATCTTTCCGCCGCAGAGGGCTTTGCTAACACGGCGCATACAACGCAGACACAGAGGACATGCAGACTCTTCTGTCTCGACTGTGACTGGGACAACTCGGACCATCTGTGGGGACGACGGGGGTCACTAGCGGTGAATAGGGAAAAGGAACCACACCGCATATTGTGACAACGGCAAGCGGGCCCTGGAGGCCCAGTTTTTGTCTCAACGGGCGCCCTCGGTTCGTTTCATTGGCCAGATAGGACCAGGGCCCTGCTCGTCTGCACACGGGGCACATGGGCTGTGTGTGCCTGTGTGCTGGTGTGCCTGCCTGCCTGCAGCGACTGGCAGGCTCTGGAGCAAGCCGATAGCAAAACCATGTCATCCATTCCAACGGGACATCGTATATCACCTCCGTGCAACCCTATGTGTGATATGCAGTTGCCAGTGCGCAGAAACATGCCAGATACGCCACCATCACACACGTCACGTGGACCAATCAGGCGGGCGCGGCATGGTCGCCACAGCAACACAAGCGCCACATCGAGGCTTGCCGTAAACAAAACACCTGGCTCGTCCTGACAGCAGCGGAAAGGGCAGACAACAGCAGCCTCGTCACCGAGGAAGCCTGTACTCTGTACTCGTACCTTGCTTCTAACGTTCCCTGCTTTGTCTTCCTTTCTCTTTGCGTCGTTCCTTTGTCTGCCAGCTGCATTTTTGTATTTTTTGTATTTTTGTATTCTTATTTTTTCTACTCCGTACTCCCGAGACAGTTCTTGGCCGTCCGTCCCCACACGAGACAAGAGTTTCGAGTAATAATTTCTCCCTCCTCCCCTCGAGCTCCGACTGCAATTTCTTCTCTTCCCCTTCTCTCCCCTCCCCCTTTCCTCTTTCCCCCCTTTTTTCTATCATCCTGGAAGGACTGCCATCTAGCACGACGAATGCCACACGCCACGATGACGGACCTGTCCAACCTGCGGACGGCGTCAGCGTATATTAACAACCAGCTGCTGTCGCGCGGGCTGCTGCGAGATGGTAGCACCATTGACTTTGCCGATCCGTCCGGCAACGGCGACGTGGCTGTCACGATGGGGCGGATCATCAGCGTGGTCAACGACCTGATTTTGCGGCGAGACGTATGTTTGTGTGCGATTGTGCGGTCGTGCAGTCGTGCGAGCGTGCAATCTCATGCTCATCCCCCTCAGCGTCCATACTAACGGTTTCTTCGCAGCGAGACGCTGAACATCGCGAGTCTCTCTCGGCGGCACTGCGAACAGTCCGGGCGGAGTCGCTGCGCCAGACCAACGACCTGCAGCGAACGATGGAGCGGCTGGCCGATGCGGAGCGCCACGTCGATCTGGCCGACGCTGCCGAGATACAGCTGCGCGCCCAGCTGGCGGCGGCCGAAGCGGCTGGCCGACGACTACGCGACGATGCCGCGCGCATGCGCACGCTCGTGGCGCAGACGCGGGCCTCATGTACGCACGAGGTGCGGAAGCGCGACAGGCAGATCGACGGCCTGAAAAAGGCCGTAGCTGAGGCTGGACGGGCGCGTGGCGAGCGGCGCAACCCGACCATCACATCGATCACCATTGGGGGCGGACATCCATCAAGCCACAGCAGCGCTGCTTCCTCGCCGATGCCGTCGGCCGCCAGCGGTTCCGAGTCGGCCGGGACATCGGGGGGCGCGTACGACCTCCGGAGCGAGACGAACGCGTTTCTGGCCGAGCTGGCACGCGGCCTCAGTGACGACAATGAAACGCTGCTCGGGCTCGTGCAGCACACCAGCCGACAGCTGAAGGCGATGAGCTGCTACGACGACGACGAGGGACCGCAGGCCAGAGACGCCGGCGCCGACGCCAGCCTCGATGCACTCGCCCAGGACATGGACGAGGTGCTTGAGCACCTGCGCATCATCCTGACGAATCCGGCGTTTGTGTCGATCGAGGAGGTGATGCAGCGCGAGTCCGAGATCGGCCGGCTGCGCGACGGCTGGGAGAAGATGGAAGGCCGCTGGAAGGAGGCCGTGCATCTGATGGACGGCTGGCGACGCCGCATGGCCACAAACGGACGGTCCGTCAACATGGAGGAGATCAAGATGGGACTGCGACTGAGTCCGGTGCGGGTCAAGAATGTGGCCGAGACCCGCAGTCTGGGACTGGAGACGCTGGCCGAGGCGGATGAGATGGATGAGGATGAAGATGATGACGACGACGACGAGGATGACGACAACGACGACGACGAGACGGACGAAAAGAAGGGACTGCAGACAGAAGAGATGGAGTATATCTATGAGCGAGAGGAAGAGGATAGATTGCTGCAACAACAACTGCAGCAGCAGCAGCAGCAACAGCAAGAACGGCAAGAACGGCAAGAACGGCAACAGAAACAGCTCCACAAACTACTGCTAGAGCAACAGCAAGGGCACAGAAGAACGCGCAGCAGCGAGGACGGGTCACTGCGATTGGTACCGGCTCCAGAAGGCGAAGACGAGCCGCGGCTGTTTGAAGACCTGGACGTCGACAGCGAGGAGGACGAGGAGGAGGATGAGGAGGACGAAGACGACGACGACGACGACTTGGAGCTGGATGAGGAGCCCAACGTGCAGATCCTGGCACAGTCGCTGGTGATGCCGTCACCAGTGCTGCACCACGTGACTTCGAGTGATACGCTGGCACGATACACACCATCGCCGTTACCACCGTTGGCGTCACCGATTCACGAAGCAGAAGAAGAAGTGGTGGTGCAGACGCCGGCAGTGAAGCAAGGACCGGTCACTCGGTCAGCCACACGATCGGCCACACGATCGACTACGCGATCGGCCACGCGATCGGCCACGCGAGCGGCAGCCCCGTCGGCACACAGCACGCAGGCGCCAGTGTCGCGGCCGACGACGAGAGCGCGGCCAGGTCTGCGGCCGTCGGAAACGGCGGCAAACCGAGGAGACGCCGGCGCCAGCACCAGCACGGACTCACCTGCAGCCTCGGATGGGATGCGTGGCAAGAAACGGCCACTCGACGATGCGGCAGTGCTGACTCAGCCGTCCCGGACACAAAAGCCGGCAACGAGGGCAGGAGCAGGGGCAGGAGCGACGACAATCGCACCAGTCGCACCAGTCGCACCTGCCAAGAGCATGGCAAGCCCCACCCGGCCAGCACCACTACGGCTGGGAGGACCAACTGCTGCAGCCAAGCGGAGGCCAGCAACAGCACCAGCGACTGTTACATCCGTACCACCATCGCCGACACGCGCGACACGCACGACGACGGCGTCTCGAGCACAGCAGCGGGCGGTGGGAGGAGGTGGAGGTGGAGGCGCAGGTGCGGGTGCAGGTGCAGGTGCAGGTGCAGGGCGAGCAGCAACGACGAGAAGAGGACCAGGATTGACTGTCAAGGTGGACAGAACGGACAAAGCGAGCAAGCTGGAAAGGCTGCACTCGCCGACAACACCACGACGAGAGCACAAACTGCCGCCTCTGCCGACGACGGCGGCGACGACGACAACAGCCATGGCGACGACGGCAGCAACGGCCACGATGACAGGACGGAGACGCAGTCGATCATCGCCAGCGAAGCCAGAGGTGGGAGAGAGGGAGAGGGGGGAAAGGGGGGAGAAGGCGGAGAAAGAGAGGGAGAAGGAAAAGGAAAAGGCAAAAGAAAAGGGAGAGAGGCCAGCAGAGACGGCACCCGTTCCGTCATCTTCTCGTCTGCCACTTCCGGCCACAGGCATGCAACCAGTCAGTCCAGCGCTCAGCATGGCGGCCATTGCAGCAAAGCTGGCGGCATCGGAGCGCGAGGCAGATGCAGCGCGGGTGCGGGCGAAGCTGCGAGCCGTGCGAGGAACGCGGTTGGGGGTCGATAGAGCGAAAGAGGTGGTGCGGACGCCGAGAGAAGAAGCCGTCCGGCAGACGGATCGGTTGCCGGCCGACTCGGTCGATCCGGTCAAGCGCAGCCGGCCGGTCGACGTGGATGCCATGGACGTGGCCGAGCTTGGACTGTCGGGGCAGTCGGCACGCTCAGGACCCGTCCAGCGGTCACTGCGATCGGCTCATGCGTCACCCTGCAGCTCGACGGCCGAGCTGGCCGTGCCACGGAGGAAGCTGCATCGGGACCAGCGGCGGGCCAGCAAGGTGGCATCGCGGCGACGCAGCACGCTCAACCAGTGGGAGCTGGCCAGCCTGATGGCAGGAAGTGCAGAGGAGTAGGAGTGGAGGGAGAGAGGAGAGAGAGGAGTGGAGAGAAAGGGGAGAGAGGGGAGAGAGAGGAAAGAGGAGAAGAGAGGAGTGGAGAGAAAGGAGAGAGGAGAGAGGAGAGGAGAAGAGAGGAGAGAGGAGAGCAACGAGGAGAGCAGATGCGACAAGGTCACCGGCCTTGACGACATTTCCTTTGTCTTTCCTTTGTCTGGCCCGCCGGGCCTCTAATGTGTGCATGTCCAGACTCTCAGCCAGATAAAAGGCGAGGGCTAGGTTACGATAGTTACGATCCATGTCTATACCAAGGGAGGATCGAAGGGTGTACAGTAGTAATGCACTGTGTATGGAGCCGTATGTCTTGGATGCACTGTGTTGTACTGTCCTGTCCCAAAGGGAAGCCGCGTTCGCGTAGTGGGTCCATGTATTAACGCGTCTTCAGCGTTTCCTCGTCCTGCGTTTGCGTTCTGCTTTCTGCTTCTACTTTCTGCTTTCTACAATCGACATATACGACAGGCCAGACCGGGATGGAGCCGAGCAGAGGGCCAGCCAGTGCGGCGAGCATGCCCAGGAAGCGAAATGCAAAGGCGGCAGCAGACGGGGCGACGGACAGCGTGACCGCACAGGCTGGCCGCGACGCCAAGAAGGCGAGGACAGCTGATGACGAGGCTGCTGACTCGGGGCGACCGTCTTTTGGAGGTGCAGCTCGCAGCCGGATGGAAGCCTTCTGGGATGATGGCGTGCAGAAGCAAGCGGACGGTCAGCTGGAGGCGGCCCTGGCAGCGCTTACCAAGGTGAGTTCAGGGTTCACGGGGGGGAAGCTTACGGAAGAGGATTCACGGCTCACTTTGAATAGGCCCTTATTCTCTGTTCGTGTCAGAACCAGACACGGCAGCAATTCAAGGCGGCAGGCGTGCCGCTCAACACGATCTGTCCGATCGGTCGATGCTCGTGCAAAAACTTTGTGGCGGCAGCACAGACACGACGGCAGCAGCAGCAGCAGCAAGAGAGACGAGACCCATTTCCGATCAGTCAGCTGGACCTGGATGCGGTGTACCGGCTAGCAACGTCACGCGGCTGCAGCTGCGGCTCTGGGCGGGTGCGCTGTGACGAGCGGTCGCACGTGGCAGTGGTAGACCGAATGGCGATGGTGGCAGCACGGCTGGGTCGTCACGACGAGGCGCTCCGGCTGGCACAGAGCATCGTGGATCTGGCGCCACAGCGGGCTGAGGGCTATCTGCGGCTGGCCAAGGCGGTGATGGGCAGCAGCAGCCACGACCGATTCGCGGCTCGCTGTCTCTACGCCCATGGCCTCCACAACGTGCAGACACACGGCAACGGCGACGACCCTCTCGTGCAGGTCTTGGCCCACTGCAGCGCGCGCTACGGCTCGGCCGACTACCTGCCGCAGCTGCCGGTCGAGACGGTCGAGGCGGTGCTGTCCCATCTGACGCTGGCCGACGTGCTGCGGTGCTGCCGCGTCAACAAGACGTGGGCATCGGTGCTGCGACAGGTGCGCGTCCGGCTAGACTACGTCGAGCTGGGACATCGCTTCGCCGTGCATCGAGCCGGCCGCGGCTATCGGCCGGATGCGCCGGTCGGCCTCGGCTCCCTCGCCCGCCTCTTACGACGACTGCCGCATCTCGAAGCGGTGGCCCTGAAGCTGAGCGCCCAAGGCTACCTCGAAAAGAACGGCCGGGTCGATGCCACCGGTGCCATGGCGCCATGGATCGCCGCGGCCCTGCACCATTTTGCCGGCGTCGAGAGCCTGACGATCTGGCTGCCCGAAACCTGTCCGCGCAGCTTCGCCGACATGCTGCGCCAGAACGACAGCCCGCTCCCGCCGTCGCAGCGTGCCCATGTCTGCCTGCTCAGCCGCTGCCAAACGCTGAGCCTGAGCAACATCAATCGCTCCAATCGTGCCGCCGTGCTTGGACTGCTGACCGACGCCGGCCCGACGATGCAGTCGCTCCAGTTCTGCTGTTTGAAGAAAGGGACCAGCATCAGTGTCGACAACGTCGACCTTGCCTTGCCGCACCTGAGGTCCTTCTGGATCTGCAAAGGCTTGTGGACACTTCTCCCTGCTCTTGATATCGTGGTAAGGCAACCGGAAGCGGGGAGAACGAGAGAAAGAAAAGCTGACAGGAGCAGCCCAGAATCTGCATGGCCGCGCCGGGCCTCCAACAAGTCTTCTTCGATGAGGTTTCCTTCGACTTGACCGTGCACGAGGCCTTTCCGGGCTATGATGAGGCGGTGGTGCTGCAGAATTTGCACACGTTCGCGGTACGCAACAGCAACCTGGGCACCACTCTCGGGTTCCCGGGCCCGTTTCCACGGCTTCCGGCAGCCACGATGCGGTGCGTTGAACTGAACTGCGCGAACCGCGGCGGCGAAATATTGCAAGATATGGTGCTGGGAGCGCTCCTGGAAGGCCTTCCGGTGAGCGGTGGGATGCCGCGACTGGAGGTGTTTCGCTGCGCAGAATCGCTGATGGATGAGTCGCTGGAGCTGCTGCTGCAGAGCACGAGGGGCGGATCTCTATACTCGCTAGAGATCTGCGGCAAGGAACTGGAGGCGTCACTGCTGTACGACGAGTGCCTGGCCGTGCCGCATCCGAAACAGCTGCGCTGCATCGGCCTCTGCAACCTTGACTGGGACCCGGACCCAGGACTGCCAGGTTATGTGGCTGGCCGGTCTGTCATCGCCTGGCTGGCTCAGTTTCCCTGCCTCGAGGCGGTCCGACTGCATCTGGAACGGCCCGACGATGGCCGTCTGTTGCTGGCGCTGGTCGAGACGATCCGGAAAGCGAGAGAGGCTGCCAAGACGGACGATGACAGCACGACCCAGAGGAAGAGCCCGTGGGCCAAACTCGTCACTATCTACTACAAATGCGGCTCGTCTGTCACGCGAGACCGAGCCGAGAACCAGGCCCGCAGCCTCGGCATCACCGTCGATTTCACGGACCGTGATTTTTTTACGACGCCCACAATCTTCCCATACCCGGACAAGAAAGAAGTTTACGCGTGGTGGAAGAAATGAGACTGGTCACGTGTCTGGATAGCATGTTGAAACAAAAAACACAGTAGCTCTTATTACCTTCTACAGTGGGGAAGGTCCTAAGTCATCGCTACGAGCTATTTCTGTCGCTGCCTCTGTGCGCGTACGAGTACAAAAAAAGAATGGCAAGAGCCGCCTCCCCTGTTCTGTCTCAGGTGCAATGAAACCACAGCCAGGGCCGGCTCTTTGGGTGCTGTTGTTTTTGGCACCCATCCCATGTCGCTCGCTGGCCTGTCCTTGCATCCGCCCGCTCGTGTCGTCGGGGGGGAGGGGTGTGCCAAATTAAAAATAAAAGCAGGCATGCTCGGGAGTCCTCCTATTTTTGGCAACAGCCGCCGTTCCGCGCTAGTCGTTCCGTCCTCATTTCATCTCGGGTGAAGGTGGTGGGGATTGTTGTAAACGGAGAGCCGCATTTTGCAGGCCCAAGTGCACGCGATGGCTGACGTGATCAACGGTTCCACAGTCGGACTTTGGTTGTAAGAATGAGGACTGTCAAGGCGGCAGATTGTCGATTAACGGCATCGTATCTTTGCTAGCTTTACAGTTTGGTGGGCTTTACATAACTCTTCTGTTAGGTTACTGAGCTGCAAGATTCGGTACCGGTCAGAGAAATAGTAAAGTCAAAGTATACAGCCTTGCTGAATAATAAACTAAGGTGAGGCAGCTTATGAGGAACCCAGGTTGAACTGCTTGATGACCAGTAGGGTTCAGCTTCCATCTTGACATGGCTTGAAGGAGGGCAGCGGCCACTACGGGTACCGGTGCGAAAGCGAATTCTCCCGTTGGAGATCCGTGTTGCATCGTACACCGGAGTCCAGATGCAATTCGTGTCGAGTTTCGGTTGTGCTGTCCTCCGGTGTCATGGACCAGAGCAGTATCTTACGTCGTACTTCGTACTCGTACGCCCGCTGTCGCTACGACCAATTAGCGCGTCCATGGGTCCTGGAAAAGGCCCACTGTATTTAGCCCCACTGCTGAGAGCTCTAGGGCGATCTGCGGCATCCCACCTCCTGAGGAACAGCGTGGGCACAAAGTGATCGCCACCGTCGTATCTTGCCGTATCCGGGTGCAAGGATCAGGTGTCGGCCACAGGATGGAGCCCGAGTATGTGCCATCCGGCCGATCGGCTTTGCGCGCTTAGCGCTTGTCGCTCCTGTTTCTATTTTCGTCCGTCAGACGACCTCGTTCGGTGCGAGGACTTATGGCCATCGGACTAGGCAGCTCGATCCGCACCTGCAGTCCCTGGACCTCGAGGCGGCCAGCGCGCCAGGCAGCCAATTCTCCCCTCCTGTACCACTAAATAAGCACCAAACAGCGCGTTCGGGAACCTCCCTGCCGGGACACCTCCACATGCCTGACGTCCACATTGGGACGGTCTTTTAGAGGCTGTGCACTGTCCGATTTAGATGGTCAATTCTTTTTTTATGCTTTTGGCGTTGTCTCTGTCTATCCTAGACTGCCTCTCGCTTCAGTTCAGAGCCGAGGCCTGTTCCTGCAAACCATCTGTCCTCTTGTAGTGCCCGCTACAGAAGCGGCTCTGAATCCTGCTGAAGAAGAAACACCAAATGACAAGAAACAAACAAATATGACATGTAACAGTACTTTCAAATTTCCAGAATTTGTAGAGTTCGAGTAGCAAAACCATGGCCCTTTCCGCTGTCTGTATAATGCAGCCTCGGCTGAAACGTCTTGTAGGGTCCCGTAGGGAGATGAGCCCGTCTCGCAGGCTCCCTCCCGTGTTTCCCCAGCCAGCATTCCCTTTCATAGATCAATCATTCTCACGAGGAAACAGCAATTTGAAAATCAGTCAAACAGCCAAAAATGCAAACTTAACTATGATGGTTCATCGTGCTTCTGCTTCCAGAGCAGCATATCGAGGCCCCATGCCTGTAATTACCAGAAATATGAAAATGAAAATGAAAACGAAAAACAGAGCAGAGAGAGCAAAACAAAGAGCCCAAAACAACCTGAAAATGGCATGCTCGTCTAAGACGTTCCCCAAATGGGTCCTTTCACCCTGTATATCCAGTTTTTCCAGTCCTACCCCTTCTTTTTCTAAACGCCATAAAATCCGAATGCAAAAAAGCAACTGTGTGGGCATAGCCAATAAAGAGACAGGACTGGAAAGGGAAAAAATGATAACCAAAAATAGCAGTGAGCCCTAGATGGGAGAGACCAGATCCCCCATCTGTGCCTCTAAAGCTTGACAGAGAGGATGCTTGCTGACCGGCCTAGATAGAAAAAGATAAAAACTTAGGGGTATTAGAGCCGTGTGGCCCGTAGGAAAAAAAAAGCGGGGGTTGCTCTAAACACATTCCCATGCGATGCTGTCGAAAAAAAATAAAAAAAATAAAGAGGAAGCGAGACGTGGTTTTGAGGTCGAATACCAGTCCGTTGAAAATGGATTGCGGAGAGAATGAAAAGCCATGAGCCGTTAGGATCGAAGTTGTAGCGAGCAAACTGAGAGGGAAAGCATGTAGCTGTTATCGAGAAGGGCTGCCAGTTAAGACTGCCAAGCTGCTCCCAAACAGGGTCAAGACATCTCTCACTCCTTCTTCTCCTTGGATTTCCTTCGTGTCTTCGGCAAAAGGATGTGTGTTGTGCTCATTACCAGGCGGAGGCGTATGTTGAGAGAAAGAAGGTTGCATATGAGAGAAAAGGAGGTGGGAGCAAGAGAGCAGGAAACACTATGCAGCCAATGGCTGCATCACGGTGGTGCGAAATGTGGCACGAGTCGATCGTGGCCGACGAAGAGGTAGGAGAGTAGAGATGGCGTGCGAACTGTTGACGAGGTCCTGGCCCGGAAGGACTGCAAGTATCGCACCCATGCCCAAAAAGCAAACATCCTCAGCGCACACGATCGACACGACTGGCACCCCATCACCGAAGACACCACCCTTCACCGGTACTTGGAGCTCTGGTGAGACTGGCCGCTGTAGTAGCCAGAGTCCGAGTAGGTGTATGTATCGTCGCCGTAGGAGCCCTGTGTGGGTTCCGAGTGAAGCGAGCAGGTGTATCCCACAGGGATTATCCGCTCTTGGATCTTGTGGCCGGATTGGTTGTACGCCGCACATCGGTCGACTGCGTGTTGGTGGTAGACGCATCCGCAGACGGAAAAGCGTTCGACCAGACGGTAACACATGTTGAACTGACTTGAGTTGTCACTTTGGTATGGGGTGTTTGTTGTTGGACTCTTTGGTCGCTAAGAGGAAACTTGCTGGGCTGTGTGCTTGTTGGACTGGGCTCTTCTCTTTCTGGTGCTGGTTGCTGGTGTGTGCTGGTTAAAGAAACGAGAAACAGAACGGGAGACAGACGAGGCTATATATATGTATATGAGACCAAGTGTAGGGCAGAGCAGGTGGATGACTATGTTCCCAGAGGGCCGGACAGATTTGGTTGCGTATTACAAAAAGGAGGACAGAGGTCCAGAAGGAATTGAAGTCCGGAGTTTCGAGTTGAAAGTGGCTCAGGCCGGAGGGGGCGTCGACGGAAGAAAGCAGGACGAGAGACACGATGGCCAGACGGGTGGGAGGGGGGTGTAAAGAAGGAGGGAGCAAACGAGGGCAGTAATATGATTATCCGTTGAGGGAAGCAAAGGGACAAATGAAAGAGAGTGAAGTAGTTGTGGATGTTAAATAAGACTCATAAGGAGGGAGCTAGAGAGGAAGTGGGAGAAGGCATCGCAGCCTTATAGGTTTGACAGCCTGGAGGATAGGCATCATGATAGACCACACCGAGGACAAGGGACATCTGTTTTTGGCAATGATACCAATCAGCTGCGAGGCGACCAAGGCGCACTTGACCTTGCAACATGCAGCTAATCCAGCAAGGTGATGCAAGTGCAAGAAGGCGCAGGCACGAGCGTTGAGTCCTGGAAGAATAGAGCACACACAAGTGCGTGCACGAAGAGAGGGTGGGGAAGGTACCTGGGCACTCCGTAGCTTTGCTGGGTCGGTAAAGGCGCAGTCGGAGGGAGCGTGGATCGGAAGTGTGGATCTTGGGCGTGGGCTTATTATTGCTCGTACAGAGGAGGTGTTGGCGTGCTCAGTGGAGCCATGCTGGTAATAGTCAGATACTCGTACAGAGCTGTTCCTGGCTGCTCGGAGACAAATAAGGGGGTGGGGTCTGAAAGTGGATGCAGGGCGTGAGGATGAAGACGAAATGGAAGAATTGATGCCGACCATGAGCAGCAGCAGAGGCTCTGTCAAGAAAGTCGCGGTTGAGCAATGACAAGATGCCAATTGACAAGATCGCGACAGAGCGACAGAGCAAGCCGGCGACACAACGAGCCAGGCAGCCGACGACACACCGATAGTGTGACGACCAGCTGCCGTGATGGATAAGGCAAAACGGTGGTGGGACGTGTTCGTGGCTGACGGGTGTGGCATCGTTTGTGGTCCAGTAAGGCGCTATTCAGGGAAACGGGTCGAACGGCCCCGCCGCTAATTGACGTCCACCACGGTGGGAGTGGTGCCAGAAACGGCGTTCCAGGGCTTACAGATCAACGGCCGATGGTCATATCGTTGCTGTGGTAAGATGCCATCATCGTACATCTGGGCAACGACGAAATGGGACTGGAACAGGCCACTCGTTGACACATCTCGGCTGTCTGCCTTGAAACATTTCCATTGTTGTGACGGGTGGGTCGCGGCTGTTGCCTTGTTGCCTCCTGGTGATGCACGTAAGACTGCTGGAAGCAGGAAAAAAGAAAGAAGAAGAAGAAGACGACGATGACAGATCAGCTCGGCTCCCAGTGTTCGGCGCCCTTGTTTCAGCGATTGCTGTTTCGTTTCAGCGGCTCGTAGGGCTGCTACCCCGACCGCCTCGTGGCTTTGGCCCTGCTGCACCGTTGGGCGCAGGCGATGGGGCCCGAAAGGGAGGCCAACCGGTTCCCCGATCAGAGATCTCTGTCTGCTCTGCCATGTACTCGTATCTTACCTGCCCGTGTGGAGTAGTATCAGGATGGTGGCTGGTCCTGGAGCCCACCGCTCCTATTGGTGTAGCAAGAATGGCAAGGAGCGAGCAGCTTGGCCCCCACAGGTGCAAGTGGCAAAGACCATTGTTCGTCGACGGCCTTCTGCAGGAGCAGGATGACTGCAGGCACAGGGCTGATGCGGCAGCCAGGGGAGGCCGACCAGAGCATCTGACGGAGTGGGAAAGGCACAAACATCGGCAACAGAGCAGTCGAGCATGCATTGTAAGATACCGTCTGACAGCATAGGGCTGCAATGGGCCACGAATCGGGAAGGCGTGCCCTGTATTGTTTCCGAATTTAGCTGACAGGGGCTCGGGCTCAGGCCGCAGTCGCCAGAAGGAGAAAGCGCGAGGCCTCTGCTGACGGTCGCCGGGCGCTTCGTCTCCCAATGGGAGGACGTGACGGCAGGAACGAGCGCCGTGTCTGGCCACTTTCCGACAGTCTCTGTGGACCTGTGCTTCGGGGACAGGAGGACCCTGCTACGAGGATCCTCTCCATTGTCCGCCCTTAGCGCCTGCACTACAGAAGACCCAAGACGCCGGGAGAGCATCGCTACCCTTTCAGACCGTTCGTTGCGGCCACGCCTCACCGAGACCACACACCACACGGCAGGCTTTAGGCATCCGTGCCAGGCATCAAGGTCTGCGACGACCTTCTATGACGCATTCGTCCATCTGCCGGTAGCCCGAAATCCCAGGCTGCCGTGCCAAAAACGAAGGCGGAAAAAAGGCGCGCCAGGCTTCTACGATTCGCTGCTGCCGATGGGATTTCTTCGCATCCTTGGCTCGCCCTGGCAGAGAGCCCCGTCGGCCGATCGGTCGGCGGTGCGGTGAGGCATTACGGAGCTCTCGTACTCGTACAATGGACGATCCGAGCAGCGGTGGAGCCGGAACGCGAAAGGTGAAAGGTGAGAGATGAAAAGGGAACAGCGAATGGTCTACGGCAAATACGAGCACTGGTCCGGAGCCGAGGTGTGCGAGGGACGCAACCAATGACGTGAGTAGAAAGTGCTCTGCGTCTGATCGCAGACCCTGCGTCCTTCTAGAAGACTACCAGGATTCGTCTGACAGGCGCAACGGCAGCAACTCGGCTGCTGCCTGGGAAATGGCTCGATGTCCTCTACGAAGTACAGGCCTGTCGGTGGCGAAAAAGGCACTTGCAGCCAATCACCCGCTCCTGGCCGTTCAGCCTCGCCCTGTAGTTCACCTGTACCTGACATACTACTTCGTACGTACCGACTCGACCGTCTGGCTGCATGTCTCGGGCCAAGGCAACCATTCGTCTTCATCCGAGGAGCCCGTCATTTCGCGGGATCTGGCCAATCACGACGGCAGGCCTCTCTCAGCCTTAATCTGTTCCGAGACGTGAGCGACCGACGGAATGTCTCCAGGGTGGCATACAACCCACTAGCCACCAACCAGAGGCCTCGCTGTTGCAGTGTACATAGCTGCGCCTCAACCGGCAGCTGCAGGCGAGTGGGGCCGACTGATACTCCGTACGTCGTACTTTCGCGGCTGTCCATCGAGAGCACCCTCCTTTCGACGGACAAGGTACCGGCCAGAGGGACAAAGGTGCGGCTCCAAGCTACGGCGTCGCCGGCAGATGGCACTAGGCCGGATGAGGGCCTGACGGCCAAGGGAACGTTGCCGGCAGACGACGTGACTGGGTCGCCAGAGAAGAGATGCGATGCCATTTGCTGGCTGTGGTTTGCCACTCTCGACGTTGCCATCTACAACGCTGTAACGTCCAAACGGCTTTCTGCTACTGTGGCAGCAATGGCATGTCCAAGCCATGGCATTTCGATTTGGCCATTCGCCCTTGGATTGGAGAAGAGGGTGCCCAAGTTCGAAGAACACGGAGTGAATCATAAAGAGTGACTCAGCAATCAATGGCAGGTTGCAGGCCAGGCAGCAGATCAGGCAGCAGATCAGGCAACCATCACGAGTAGCAGCAAGAAAACAGAAAGAAAAAAAATCCTATTCTGGGACTGGCGCAAGGCTCTCTGCCTGTCGAGGCCAATACGGTGAGACGAGGACGCCAAAAAACGCCTTACCGATGCGGTGGTAGGGAAGTGGATCCAAAACGAGGTGAGATACGGACTATCTTACGGTGAGATCACGTGGGGACAATTGGCCCGTTGGAGCGCAAGGGCAGCCAATACGAAGGACCCATTAATCTTACCATTTCTGGCCAGTCGTAGAGATCACACAGAGTATCCTGTATCTTACCGCCGTCCTCCTGGGTGATCCCAACGGCATTAGCCGGCTCCACCGGACAGTCGGTGGCGAATGGCCTCTCGTCCCTCTGCTGCACGACTTCAGGGCGAGCCAACGGCCCTTTTCCGTGTTCAGGCCTCTTGCAGGCGGCCTCCGGCATGGTAGCCCGTGTCGTCCGGACCCCCGGTCTCTGTTCATTTCGTCCCAACCGTCTCATCCCATCTTGCTGGCCAATCGTCTGGCCGTCGATCTGCGTTTCAGATACTCGTACCATTGTATAGATAGTCCCTGCTCGTAAACTGCTTTTATTTTTGCTTTTCCATTCAGATATCGTTCCCATGCAACTGGCATTTGAGGCTGCCGACCACCGAAACTCTAGAGAGAGGAGAAAGAGGCCGACCGAGAGGGCACAGAGTACAATGCAGACAGGAGAAAAGAACGAAAAAACGACAATCATTAGAACGCGTGCTTCTGTGCCCCCTCTCTCTCGCTCCTTTCCCACCCTTCTCTTCCGGGCGCCTCCCTGTGGGCGTCGTCCTGTTCTATCGCGTAACGAGCTTGGAAATGCAGTCTTTGAAAAAGGAAACCAAGAAGAGGGAAGAGAGAGAGGAAAGGGAGAAGGACAAAGGAAACACTGCGTGATCGCCGTGGGATTACGTGAGCCCGCGAATCCTCCTAAAAAGCAAAAAGCAAAAAGCAACAAAACGACCGGGTATTTCCTGCCTTTTGCAGCCCTGCTCCTCTCATGCTCGCCGTGTCATCGCTGCCGTTGCCCCGGCTGCTGCCAGGTCTGCCCTGTTGGCGGTGGTGCCGCTGACGACCCGTCCGGCAGCCCGTGGCAGGTTGCTGCTGCTCATGTTGCTCATGCTGTTCATCACGCCTCCTGTGCCGCTGGCGCTGCTGCGACCATTGGCCCCGTTGTTGTTGTTGTTGTTGTTGCTGCTGCTGGACCCGGCAGCTCCTCCTGTTCCACCGCTCGTCCGCTTCGCCACCGACACCGTCGATCCTGTCACTGCCGAAGCCCGTCGAGACGACGACATCGTCGGGCCCATGCTGTTCGACTTGTGCGGACTCGACCCTATGCTGCTGCCCGCTACTCCGCCCACGGCTCGCATCGTCGGCGGCGCGCTCAGCTTCGTCGTCAATCCTGATCCGGCCGGAGGCTCCGGCAGTGGCCGTGGTCCGGTGCCGACTATTGTGTTGTGTCGTCGGATGGGCGACCCGCCGTCGCGGCTGTTACTGCTCCCGCTGCCGCCTCCCGAAGACAGCGCAAAGACGCTGCCGTTGCTCGCTCGCCCCATCAGCATCGGTACCGTCTTCTGGTGCGTGATAAACTCGTGCCGCAGCGCCTCCTCCGGCTTGAGCCGGCGATCTGGGTCCCAGCGCAGACAGCGCCCCAGAAAGTCCAGGAACGGCTCGTCGTCGCACTTGATCGCCTGCTGCAGCGTCTTGGATGACGGCCGTCGTCGCCGGCCCTTGGACGACACCGTCAGCCGCGGCTTGCCCATGCTGTCGAAGAAGAGCTTCTTGCGCGTGCTCTTCTCGATCAGGTGCTTCTCCGGAGGCCCAAACACCTCCATGATGCAGGCCAGCTGCTCCTGCTCGTTCTCGCCCGGGAAGATGGGCACGCCCGTGTACAGCTCCGCCAGGATGCAGCCCAGACTCCACATGTCGATCGGCATGCCGTACGTCATGCCCAGGATCACCTCGGGTGACCGGTAGAAGCGCGACTGGATGTACGTGTACACCTTTTCGTTCTCGAAGCAGCTGGACCCAAAGTCGATCGTCTTGATCTCCGTGTGCAGCGGGTGCCGCAGCAGGATGTTTTCCGGCTTCAGATCGCAGTGGATCACCCGGTGCTGCTTCAGCAGCATCAGCGAGCCCAGCAGCTGCTTTGTGAACCGTCGGATCATCTTGATCGAGAAGCCGCGGAACCCGTTCGCCTTGATAAACTCGTACAGGTTCATGTCCAGCAGCTCCGTCGAGATGCACAGGTGGCCACGGAAGTAGAAGCTGTGCGTGAAGTTGACCATGCTGTGTTTGTTTTGAGGGTCCTACACGGTCAGTCGGAGCAGAAAAAGGGAGGACAAACAGATACACACCCATTCGCGCAGCTTCTGCAGAATGTTCACCTCCACCAGGGCCTGCTGGTGGAACCGTTTCTTATTCCGGATGATCTTGACCGCCACGAGCACGCCTGTCTTGTGGTCGATGCAGCGTACCACCTGGCCGAAGCTGCCCTTGCCCAGCAGGTCGATGATCTCGTACCGGTACGCCAGATGGTCGCCCGGCACGATCGAGTAGTCGCCGCGCTCGTCGTCGTAGCCAAAGTTGGGCAGATCCGCGTGCAGGTCACCCACCACCTTGGCCGCGTTCTGCGTCCCGCAAAAGTACACGTCGTTGTAGTCGATGATCTCGCCGCGCTCGTAAATGTTTAGCATCGCAATGCGGATCGCCTCCTGCGGGCTGACCCGCTCCTTGGGCGTCGCCCGCTTGCGCAGCGCGTCCAGCGTCCGTGCTGCCAGCTCCGTTTCCTTGCGGCGCGAGCCCAGCTTCCGCATCTCCTCTTCCGCCACCAGGTCGTCCTTGTCCAGGGCCGACGTCGATACCGCCTCTGTCTTCTCGTGGTGCCGATGCCGGTGGGTCAGGTGCTGCTGTGGCGCCGACTGCTGCGACGACTGCTTCTGCTGCCGGAGACTGCTCGACGATGCCTTTCCCTTGACTATCTTCTGCACCGCCGACGAGTTCTGCGTCGCGTACGTGCGCGTGGACGATACCGTGCTCGTGCTCGCGTTGGCCTCTGCTGCCGCCATCAACGTATTGATCGTCATTTCCTTCTTGTGCTGGCTGTCTGCCATGCGCTTCTTGTCTGTCCTGTCGTGTGCTACGATGGCGTTCATGCTCGAGGCAGACGTCTTCCGCCGTGTCGGATCCCTCGGCAGATCGGACGTCGGGCTCGCCTTGAGTGAGTTCAGCGTGGCCGAGATGGGAATGCGCGGTGGCGGCATTCCGTCGTGCTTCACGTTAGCAGAGGACTGGCGCTTGTGGTGAAAGGGCAGGTGGTGTTGCTGTGGGGGTTGCGGCTGTTTGGAAGGGTCGCCCGAAGTCGATGGAACGGCCACTTCCGGCTGAGCCCCACCGACAGCTTTGTTGTTGCGCTTCCACGACAGACTCAGCTTCCGCCGAAGGGACGAGCCGATGGACGACGGCGTCGGCGGCTCCTCTGGACTGGACAACGGCGGTGGTGATTTGGCCGGCGGCAGCATGGCAGTTTTCAGAGGCGGCATCGGGTTCTCGGCCATAGCAGCGGCCGCCGATGCGATGATGGCCGATGCGGCCTCCATGGCAGCAAACGCTCTGGACGGCGTCGGTGCCGGCGCGCGCGGTCCCGACGGCCTGTGCGGTGTGGTGACCGGTATTGGTGGCAGAGCCGGGGTTGTGAACACGCCGGCAAAGTCGCCGTCGTTGCCGTCGATGGTGCGCCGTTTGAACATGTTGGTGCTCATAGGGCTGCCGCCCTTGGGGACGGACGAGGACGAGAACGGCGACATGGACGGCTTGTGGAACGGCGATTTCGTCGGGACAGGCGCGATGGAGTCGGACGAGCTGGCGGTATCTTCGCCGCTCGGCGAGTCGCGACGTGTGTGGTGGTGTACGGACGAGCTGCTCCGTATGGCTGCCGGGAAGTCAGCCAGGTCGTCGTCGTGGCGGTGCCGCGAAAAGAAGGACCCCTTGGCCGTCATTGGCGTGGTCGGGGTCTTGGCGATGATGCGGGACGGCGGCGGGCTGAGATTCCGGTTCGTCGTGTTCTTCTGTTGCAGGGCGGCGATCTTTGCGGTCGTGGGTGTGCTCAACGGCTGCAGGTTGATGGGTGGCAATCGCAGTGGCTGCAGGTTTTTCTTGTTGTTGCCATTCGATGTAGCTACACCGTTGGCTGGCTGACTTGCCTGACTTGCCTGACTTGCCTGACTGGTCTGGCTCGCTTGATTCAGCTGGCTCATCTGGCTCAGCTGGCTCGTCTTGTCACCGCTTCGGAAAGCCCGTGTGCTGGCCTGGCGCTGGATCTTAGCCGGCGGTTCCAACGACTGCGGATGGCTGCCGGAGAGGCTCGCGGTCGACGTGCTGCGGGTGCTGCTGCTGTCAAAGGCAAGGCCGGACTTGCGCTTCTCCAAAAAGGACAGCTCGGCCGGCGAGCCCTTGGGTGACTCGTACGCCTTGGGAATGGCCGGCACCGGCGGCACGTCCTCGCCATCGTCGAGATTGGACATGGAGGTTCGTGGTGCCAGCGTCTTAGGGCCTGGCAGGCGCGAGCTATTGATGGGAATGGGCATGCTTGCCTGTGGCAGTCGAGGCTGCACCGAGCCGACCGAGTTGCGCGCAGCATTGTAGTTGGCCGACGAGCCGGCCGAGAGGCCTGCGGTGTAGGTCTTGCGGTTCGGATCGGGCGTTGTGCGCTGGGACGAGGGCGTCGACGTCTTTGGCGGCAGCACGGATGGTGACCGCGACGAAGCCCGGACCTCTCCCGATGGCGGCAGAGATACGGCTGCCAGCTGGGCTGTATCCCGACTGGCGGTGCTGGCAATGTTCAACGTACTTGTTGTGGTGCTGGCACTGACGCTGACGCTGGCGCTGGCGCTGGCGCCGGTGCTTCCACTGGCAGTCAAGCTGCTGCTGTTGCTGGGCGGCATAGTGGACATGCGCTTCAGCCTCCTGGTATCGGTAGGACTGATAGTCCTTGCACCCAGCCCGGTTGCGTGAAGGGCAGAAGGCGCAACAGACGCCCGTTTCGCCGACGATGGCTGACTGGCCGACCCCTTGGAAGCGCTTCCGAACCCGACGCTGATGGTGCTGTTGTGGATGGGCGTGCTGTTGTTGCTCAGGCCATTGCTGCTCCGTGGTGCCCGAGACGTCGGCCCCATGGCTCTAGCAGGGTGGCTCTGGTTCTGGCTCTGGTTCTGGCTGCTACCGCTTGCAGCGGACGCCTTGGGGGCGCCACCGCTGAATTGGAAAGGCTTCACGGTAGTGGTCCGTGAGCCGGTCAGGCTGCCACTCAGGCGGTTGCTGCTATCCAGAGACGAACGGGTCGAGCCAGAGGCTGGACCGTCCGAGATGGACGTCACGCTTGGCCGTCGACGCGATGAAGACCGCGCCAGGCCCGATCCTTGTTCGGGGTCGAAGATGCCCGAATTGACCGACTTCCTTGGCGCCTTGCTGAGGTTGCTGTTGGAGACGGGGGGGTAGTGGCTCGGACGACGCTGTCTCGTGGCGACGGCCGCCGAGGTCGTGTCGGAGACGGACGAAGAAGCCGGGATGCTGCTCTGGCGATTGGTGAGGCTGGGACGACGCAGAATACCTGCTCTCACATTGCGAGCGGCGGGCAGGACGTTCACGGCCGAGATGGGGGTTGACGAGGGGCCAGCGATGCGGGAAGAGCCGGGGCCAGCAGAAGGGACTGGGCCTCCGGCCGTAAAGACGACCGGTTTGACCGGACGGTCAGCCTTGGGGTCCAGGATGGCGCCCTGGCCGGAGGGCAAGGGAAACTGGGCTAGCTTGAACTCGTGCGAGGCGGACTCGAGGCTGCTCTGCAGATCGTCGAAACTGACGGACGGGAGGAAATCAAAGGTGGATCGGTCGGCCGAGTCGTCGCCATGGTGGGCGGAGCTGTTGGTGGAGGGATTCCCGGAGGCGGCAGCCACGTTGTCGGAGCCATTGTTGCGGCCAAAGGAGAAGAGCGAGTGGTTGTTGGAGGCGGTGGCGCTCAACATTGGAGTGGTGTTCTCGGAGACGGAGCCCCAGGACGGAGATGGATCGTCTGCCGGTCTGGAGCCAGCCCGTGGCTTGAGGCCTTTGGTCATAGAGGAGGGCGAGACACCGGCTGGGCGAAGCTGGACAGGTTGGACGGCTCGTGTCGGCAGTCGAAGGGGAAGGCTGCGCGTAAAAAGGGACAGGATCAGCAAATCAGCAAATGGGCAAATCAGCAGCAGCTTCGCACGAGTGGAGAATGCGGGAATGCAGCGAAATAGGGGGCTTTGAAGCGAGAGGAGCCCTCAGGAACAGGGTGTGAATGCCGTGCAGATGCAGGCGTGAGACGGTGGCAGGATCTGTTCTCTCGCGTTGTGGACAAAGGGGAGGGAGGAATTTCAATGGGGCCCAGAGCCACACCCACCACCACTCACTCTTATCCAGAAGAGACGGCCGCAGCGACGATGGTGGACAACAGCTCAGTCCGGTCAAGGAGCTGAGAGCATCCAGGAGGCTACCTCATTCCGCAGGATGGTCTTTTGCTGACGAGACAGAATGGGCCGGGCGAGGGGGAGCGAAGAGACAGAGGTTGGCTGGTGATGGACGCGAGAAATGGGCTGTGCCCAGGCAGAGCGAGAGGGAGGGAGGGAGAAAGAGCAGGAGCAGATGCAGGCAAGTGCAGACGCCAAAAGCACAGAGCGGTCGATGCAGCCCCCCGAAATGCAGCCGTCGATAGATGCGGTCGTACGCGTGGCACGAGAGGGTGAGGGTGTGAGAAAGAGGACGGGAGGAGAGAGACACGAAAAGCGGAATGGAGACGGGAAACCGTGATTTGTTGGGCAGTCTGTTATGTTCGCAGCACGGCGAAGGAGGCGGTCAGGGGATTGGCAGCTGGTCTAGCGTTGTAGCTAGCATGCAGTGCTGGGGAAGGAGGCTGCAACAGGCCCTAATAATTAGGTGCCATGGCCACTACTGGCAGGAGTGTGGGTCTTCTGTCTGCAGGCTGGCCACAGTCGAGGCGGTATTACGAGAGGGTCAGGGCAAGAAGGAAAAATGGGAAAAATGGGAAAAAAAACGAATGGAAGTGCAGGGTCGAATGACGTCGAGCTTCAAGCTTTAAGCTTCGGTGATCCGCAGTCTACGAAGCGAACACGAGTACTCGCACTCCTCCTGCGTACAGACAAACAACATGATTACACGAGCGGGAAAGCCAGGTTGGCCTGCTGTTGCACCACGTGCCGGCTTGGCCAAGGCGGTCTACAAAGTACAGACATGCGTATCTTTTGCACACAGCTCTGACAAGCTCACCAGACTTGACCTGGTGGCGTCCCATCGTGAAACAAGCTCTGCCGACGTCTGTCAGGTGCTCAGAGAGAGTCGTGCCGGTCAGGAGCCAATCCGATGCGGCCAGTGTCCCTCGGGCAACGCTCTATCAACTGTGTACTCCGTACTCCGTACTCACACGCATCTACTCCGTGCTCAGATCGGACGTCGACAGACTTGTCGTTAGGTGGCCGTTGCAACCACAGAAGGGAAAAACGCCTGTCGGGCACTAGTGCTGCCTAGCGCAGGCACAACGCGACGTAAAGGGGCGGTACTATGTATCTTACAAGCAGGCCGCCACGGCCAGGGGCTGCAATCTTTTTGTCTTTTGCTTTTTCTGACCAGAGATGAGGCGGAGGGATCGTCGTCGGCTGGCGATGCAACAGTGCTGCAGAGCTGATGATGCTGCTGCGTGCCGCTGCTGCTGCTCGTATTTGTTTACCGTGCGTCTCGACGGCGGGTCATCAGCGCGACATGTCACTCGGCAGATTGGGGGATGTCGCAGGTTCAGCCATGTCGTATCTTACTGTGTCAAAAGAAGAAACGGAGCATATGGCGGCCATGGCGATATTAATATCGTTTCAAATTGCCGTCGCACGTAGCGTAGATTGCTGCCGACGTGCATCAAGCGTGGGCGTCGCGGATTGGCCATCCGTTTGATGAGTGTGACAGCCCAAAGCGTGGCTGATACGTTCTCGGTCAGGCATAATGTCGCGAATATTGCGTACGGGGTATACCTACGAGTAGTAGCATCGTTGGTTCGATTTGGTACGGAGTACGTAGTACAGTACGAAGAGATAGTGTTGCTGAGTCATCACACACCCAATCAGTGCCTTCCCCGCGTCCAAGAATGAGTGCGAGCACGTGTCACAGACATGTGACGTACTTTCGTCTCGTGCGCAACGCGATATCGTCATCAGGCCTCATCAAACCATGTCCGGCTGCAGCTGACGGTCACGTCCCTTGCTGCCATGGAAGAGCTGACCTACATGTTTCTCGGCTCGCCGTCGATCGAGGGCGAGCTGGAGCCGGAGGCCGCATCGCCGGCCAGTCGTCACGGTGCCCAAAGCAGTCACGAAGGCAACCATCGACGGTCTGCATCAGCAGCAGACGCATCCCCGGCATCAGCCACGAGGCACGCACGGTCGCCGTCACGCCCGCCCGAGACGCCCAAGAAGCGACGCGGCATCCGCGGCTTTCTCAGCAGGGCCAACCTGCAGGATCCGCTGCTGGACAAGCTGTTCCAGCAGGTGATCCCGATCGACAATCTCAACGGCGATGAGGCGGCCGATGCAGACGGCCAGCAGCCAGGCACGGACGATGCCGGCGCGCCAGAGGATGTGGGCGACGATCTCGATGACATCGACGGCGGCAGTCCGGCCAAGAAGCCGCGGCCCGGCTTCAGCGTCGCCATCATGTCGGCCAACTTCCGGCGCTTCAACGCACGCATCGGCGTCGTGTTCCGCTTCCAGAAGCGGGTTGAACGTCTGCTGGCGTGGCGTCGGGCCTCGCACACGCTCGCCCTGCTGGGCGTCTACTCGCTCGTCTGCCTCAACCCGTACCTGCTGACGATGCTGCCGCCGGCCATCTTCCTGCTGGCCGTCCTGATCCCGGCCTTTGTGGCTCGGCATCCGGGAGGGACCAGCGGCCCATCTGCACCGTCTTCGCAGTCAGCAGCAGCAGCCAATACTCCCGACTATACGCCTTATGCCCGTGGTCCACCGCTGGCGCCGCCGCGCACCGTCAAGCCCGTCAAGGAGCTCAGCCGCGACTTCTTCCGCAATATGGGCGACCTGCAGAACAGCATGGAGGACTTTAGCGTGGCCCACGATCAGGTCGTCCAGCTGGTCGTGCCGGCCACCAACTTCTCCGATGAGGCCTTCTCGTCCGCCCTCTTCGTCGCCCTCTGTGCTGCTGCCTCGCTGCTCTCGGTTGCTGCTCATCTGCTGCCTTGGCGTCTGCTCTTCCTCTCCGGTGGCTGGCTGGCTGTCGGTAGTGGTCATCCGGCCGTTGCTCGTGCCCTGCGGCTCTGGAGCCGGAAGACGAGGAGTGACAATGGTACAGGCAATGCTGCCACTAGTACTGCTACAACTACTACCAACACTACCAATACAAAAGATGCCACCATATCTACTCCCACCTCCACCCCTATCTCTACCACTGCTTCTCTCTGGAATGCCTGGGTCGCCGCCGACATCATCTTGGACGAGCCGCCCGAGGCCCGCGAGGTCGAGATCTTTGAGCTGCAGCGCCGGTCTGCCGCTGCCGCTGCCGAGTGGGAGCCCTGGCTGTTCAGCCCCAGCCCCTACGACCCGCTCTCGCAACCGCGCCTGTCGCTCTATGCCCGGCCTACCGGCTCCCGCTTTTTCGAGGACGTCCTCCCGCCGCCCGGTTGGGAGTGGAGCGAGAAGAAGTGGGCGCTCGACCTCTGGAGCCGCGAATGGGTCGAAGACCGTATCATCACCGGCGTCGAGGTTGAGACCGAGGGCGAGCGCTGGGTCTACGACATCTACAGCGATCAAGAGCAGCAGCAACAGGCTCAGGCTGCTGCCCAGGCTGCCACCGACGCTGGCCTCGCCTTTGGCGACAGCGACTTTGACGCCAACGACTCTGTCCTGCGCCCGGTCGGCGCCGCTGCTGCTGCCGCGTCCGCGTCCGCTTTTCGCCCGCAGATCGGCCCTATCTGGGAGGAGGGTGAAGAGGGCATGGGCCGCCGCGGTGAGTGGCGTCGTCGTCGCTGGGTGCGCACTGTCAAGCGGAAGAAGATCACGGCCTCGTCGTGAGGTGCGGTGAGAAGGGAAGGGATCGGGGCGTTTAGGCTGTCAGTCTATCGTCGATTGTTCTTGTGTTATTGTTCTCTACTGATGTGTAGTCTTGATGCTTTGACAGTGTTAGGTCTATAGCTATTGCTTCTTCGTTCCAATTCATGACAGACTGCCGAGTTTTTATTTACATATCCCAAATGTAACTTTCCTTCCTCCCGGAATGGCTCTCAATTTAGGTGGCTTTATTAAACATAGGTACTAGACCACGGAGCGCATCGTAATACTAGATTAGTGTACGAATATGCAGAATTTTCCAGCGTCTCTAATATTGTTAAAAATTTCTGAATCAAACACAGCAGGGCCGTGATATGACAAACAGAATCCGCAAGCGTTGTTTGGCAATAAAACAAGTACAGAGGGGAATTTTGTGACGATTCGCTGTTCCTTGCCAGCTCCCTTGCGTGATTGTTCCTTGCAAGATTGGACATACACTGTTGCCGTCGCAAGCCGTGACACCCAGTCTCCATGAGCCCGAATAACTGCATGACCAAGGGGAGGTTCGATAACATCATCCCACGTCTCAATTGATCGTATCGGGGTCATCGGGACCATCGGAGTTTCTCCATGGTCGGATGTGCATGTGCATTTATTTTTGGCCAACCGTGCAATGAACATCTTGTTGAGGCATCTCCGGACGTCGACGTCGCCAATCCATGTTCCTTTGTGGTATATTGATACGATAGACTCGAGAAGGAAGACTTGTCTGTCTTGGTTATTTCCACTTTCGGCCCCAACTAAGGGGACGTAATTTGTGCTCAGAGATCGCCATGATATTTCGTCCCGGCCTGCCATGTCCGGATTATCGGGTGATATAAGAATAGTGAGTCCAGGTTTGCCAATGTTCCCCGCTACTCTCTTCAACTCGCACGGATCGGGAGACTTCCATGGGTCACAGGTGAGCTGCAAGATAATAGTTAGAAGCCAGAATTAATGGTATAGTAGGCATTCGCACACTCACAGGCTTAGCAATATATAGACTGTCCTCATACGCGATAGAAAATGCACGAACTAGTGTACCTGGGTCAATGTCGCAGCCTGCCTCAAAATATGCAACGCATGAAAAGGCCACTTCCTGGCTAATTTGACGCAAGATAGGTCTAGCAAATCGGTAGGCTGAATCGTTCAAATAAGCATGCCATTTTGTTAGGTGCAATGGCTTATTTAAAACTCGGGTCGAGAAGGTTGCTTCTGGAAGGTATTGGTATATCATACGGGCCGTATAATGCGCATCTATGAGAGGCTCCAGGTCCGATCTGTCCTTCGTTTGATACCTTGGATTGAGTAGGGTTTTGAGAGACCCCGGGCCCGATCCACCCATCATTTGATATCTTAAAGTAGAGAGTAGGGCTTTTATGTCGAACATGTCTAAATTCAAACACCATGCAAGGTCATCAATGGTTGGTATTGCAATGCTACCGTCAATGCGGGTCGCTACCGGATTTTCTTCCACGAAAATTGCAGCATGTTCCGGATCACCGCATACGTATTCATACTTTTGTCGGTCAGAGTTGAAGTCACCGAATAGCCGTGTAAACACAACTTTCGGAGGAAGGTGATCCTTTCTTCTGGACCTTTCAGTAAGCCAACGAGGTTGCCGATATTTGTCAGAGCTTTGAAAGGGGATTCGAGATTTATCCTAATGAATGCTCTGGCTTTCTTTTCTCCTAAAGCAAACAATTTAGGTACCATATCGTCATGATAGTCTTTAGCACCAATGTAGGCGCGAGCGGCTTCGTAGAATATATGATTCCAGCTCTGAACTTCATTGGACTTATAATCTCCTGTCTTCGAAAAGCTTTCAGAATCATCCGCATAACATTCATCCATTTACACCATGCGTCTATTCTGCCCATTCACACCGCCATCATAAAATCACATGACCGACATCCTAGTACTCCTCAAACGAGCAGTTGGGATGCAGCACGTAGACCAGCTGCTGGGCCGACGCTGACGACGGACCGGCCGTGCCCTCGGTGGCGTCACCCTCGTCGGCGATGCCCTGTCCGCGCACGGCCATGACGATCTTCTCCTTGATCATGCGCTTCAGCACCATCAGCACCAGCGCCTTTTCGCGGTGGTAGTCGGCCTCGGTCTCGAGCTCGGCCTCCTGCTGTTCAAGGAAGCCGTCGGCCAGCGCGCTGGCAGCCACGCCCTCGCCAGGTCCCGACACCTCGTCGTCGCGCAGCCGCTCCACCATGGCGTTGACGATGGCGACGTACTTGTCGTAGGTGATGGTGGCCTTGGAAGGTGTGGCTGTGGTGGTTGTAGCTGTAGCTGTGGCTGTGGCTGTAGCCTCTTCGCCATCGCCCTCCATGGCTACATCTTCTTGCACGGCCTCTGGTACGTCTTCTGCTGTGGCCTCTGCTTCCTGTCCCCGTTCCTCCTCCATCTCCATCTCGACGTCGTCGTGTTCGACCGAGATGATGCTCTGACGCAGCAGGTTGTACGCCTCCGTGACCATCTCCGGGGTGATGTCGTCGACGCAGTTCGTCTTGGCAATGGCCTCGCTCAGACGGATCATGCTCTCCAGCTGTCGCACGGTGATGCGGTACGAGTTGCGGCCCACACCACCCTGGGCGTCGTCGGCCCGCAGCTCGCGGTACATCTCGACCAGCAGCTGCTTCGCCTCGTCTGTCATCTCAGGCTGGAAGGTGCGGGCAAACTGGATGTAGCGCTGCAGCTGCTCGGTCGTGAATTCGGGCGTGATGGCCTCGTCGCGCAGCTGGTGGATGCCCACAATGTGCTCGGCTAGCCGCCGGTCGACGCTCTCGTTGCACTCGTCCAGGATGACAAAGAAGAGGTCGAACCGTGACATGATCGGCGCTGACATGTTGATGTTCTGCCGCAACGTCGCCTTGCGGTTGTATCGTCCGCCGACCGGATTCGCTGCTGCCAGAATCGACGTCCGCGCGTTGAGCGTCGCCTGAATGCCTGCCTTGGCGATCGAGATCGTCTGTTGCTCCATCGCCTCGTGGATCGCCACCTGGTCGGCCAGATCCATCTTGTCGAACTCGTCGATGCAGCAGACCCCGTTGTCTGCCAGCATTAGTGCACCCGCCTCGATCGTGAACTCGCCCGTCTCCTCGTCCTTGACCACGGCTGCCGTCAGACCGGCAGCCGACGACGCCTTGCCCGACGTGTAGACCGCCCGCGGCGCAAAGCTGCACACGTACTTGAGAAACTGCGACTTGGACGTCGACGGGTCGCCCACGATGCAGATGTTGATGTCGCCACGCAATTGCATCCCCTCGGCTGTCGCTTTGTGCACTCCCGACACCATCTGCAGTAGCAGTCCCTTCTTGACGATCTCGTGCCCGTATACCATCGGCGCCAGCGACTTGACCAACCGTGCGTAAATGTACTCGCTGTGCACCATCTTGCGCAAATCGTCAATCTCCGTCTTTGTGTACGCGCTCAGCACCGCTTCCTGTGCCTCCCGCGACGACACAAACGCTCCGACCCCTCCGCCTCCACTACCGCCGCCAGGACCGTCTCGTCCGCTCGTCTGTGTCAGTGCTGCCACAATGTCCGTCCCCGTCGTGTCCGGCCCGTTGGGGATACTGCTGCTGCCGCCCAGATTCGTCGTGTCCGGCAGCACCATGCAGGCCAGAAAGGCCATCCGATATGTCAGGTCGCGCACACCCAGCGCCTTGAGGCCTGAAATGCCCGTGCCGCCTGCTGCGTCTGCTCCGGCCGCCCGAGACGCGCTGCGGTCGTCCCGGATTGCCGTTGGCCGTACACCTGGCAGCCCCAGCTGGCTCACATCTGGCACCACCATAAGCATGCCGTTGAAGATGCACTTCTCGCCCGCCTTCGCCCGATCCACCATCTCGCCACGCAGAATCACGTCCATCGTCCGCGGCATGCTGCCTGTCGGGATCTCGCTGCTGTTCTCCTGGATCCGCACCTTCTGCCAGTCCACAAACGTGCTCTGTCGGATGTCTAGCTGCCATGCCTGGCGGTTCTGGCACGTCGGATTTGGGCACTGCGTCGGCTCCGTGTACCGGAATACCTGCTCCACGTTGGGAACTACTGCCTTGCATGGCAGACACGTGAACGTGGCCAGCGAAAGTTCCGGCCGCACCTCTGACGTCCGTGTTACCGTGCCCGATATGCTGAGCAGCTGTCCGATGTTGGTTGCCCGCAGCGACCGAATTCGCGACACCAGCGGCATGTTGTACACCGCCACTGTGAACAGCTTGTCTGTCTGCTGGTTGCTGGTCTTGCTGCCCAGATCGGCCGCTTGCGAGGACCCTGCGTGGCTGCTCCCCGCCATCGTGCCGTACGACGCGCTGCCGCTGCCGCTGGCCGTCGTCGATGTCAGCTGTCGGTGCTCGCGGAAGTACTGCGGCTCGTACTTGGCAATCATGTTGTGCAGCCCTGCCGTGAGGTACGGCAGCAGCCGGAAGTACATGCGCAATGCCGCCTCCGACAGCACCCCATTGTTCCAGAGCGTCAGGTGCCGGAAGTCGACGTAAAAGGTCGACAGCTGGTAGGTGCGCATACCGTGGATCTGCGCCACGTAAAACCGGTCTGTCACTGCCGCGCTGGAGGAAACGTCGCCTGAGGGAGAGGGTTCTTCGACGAATCTGCCGCACGAGTCAGCAGGAGATCACGACATATACACAACAGACCACGCACTCTTCAATAAACGTCTCAAAGTAGTGCTGGACCGCAAGACCGATCTTGTCCTCGACACGTGGCACCGGATCGTCGTTGGCACGTCTTGCTCGCTGCGGCACCTGATCATCGGCAAAGCCTTCGCCCTCGTCATCGCTTGGGGCACCCATGCTTTCCGACGGTGGGCCCCGTGGCCGGGCTGACGATGAGCTGAGCAAGTTGGGCTGGCCGCGGCGGCGCGGGGTCGCTGCTGCTGAGGGTGTTCGCGAAAACCCGTCTGACATTGGGTAGCCAACATCGCTAGATGGCGTAGCCATGGTGGCGGCGTCGATGGTGTGAGGAAATATGCAAGTGAGTGACGCGCAGAAGAAGAGGGCAATTGACAGGGATTGTTCTTTCGCAGTTTGCTCGTATAGCAGAGTCGTGGACGTTGTCAGAACAACAGGAGAATTGCAGTGGAGAGTCCAGGAGGCTGAATTTGGGATCCTCGATTTTTGCCTGTTCATTTGCAGCACGCGTCGCCCCTCCCTGATTTACGCGTCTGGACGCGTTCGGGCGGGGCGAATATTGAGCGCTGATTGGCCAGGCGCGTTGTTTAAGTGGTTGCATATCACGATAAAGAGGTCGACTACAATGTGCTTGTGATCAGGTTGAAAAGACGCCTTTCAAGATGCCCAAATATGATATTACGCTATCGCCGTGTCGACCGTTGCAGACGTCCTCCTAGCCTGTAGCTTTCCCGGTGCCATCACCTTCATCTTTGGGGTAGGAGTGTATCTGCAAGGCGATCGAGTCAGTAAACAGCTGAAGCAGAAAAACAGCAGAAGCCCTCTGAAGTAATGAGAAACGAAAAGAACTCTCGGAACTTAGTCTCACCTGTTCGGACAGCGCCAGCCACTCGTCCACTCCCCGCATGTGTGCATCCGTTGCCGCGTCCGGCGCGCTGTGATGTCCCCATACGATCATCTCGTCGAATTCGGCCAGCACAGCCAGCCCACCCGTCACCGTCTGCTGGCGTTGTGCCGCCTGGTCATCCACATCTGCGTCGACGTCGATAATTTCTTCGGGCTCGTTCCGCTGCCGTGCCTGCTCCTGTGCCGATGGCTGCCGTGCGCCCACAACGCCGCGATATCCCTCGGGCACGTGGACGGCGTGTCCGCAGAGCTTGCGACCGCGGAAGTAGGCCGTATGTTTTGTTCCTGGACCAAAAAAGGGTTAGCGGCAGCCTATCCGTGCGCCTCTATGCGCCCCCTCTCATGTGGCCTCACCCTCTGTCTTCGGCGCCCAGAACAGGTCGGTCGCGCCAACAGGGCCAGTGTGGTGAATCCGGCAAGGCAGCAGATGCGGCTTCACCTGAGGCGGCGCAGAGGCGCTCTCGGACGTAATCTGGAGCATATGCTGCGCCATTGTGTGTGATTGTGTCGTAGATTGGACTTGCAGCACGAGGGTGGGTGCGGAAATACTCTGTACCCTTGAACGCGTCCAAGTGTCAAAGTACCCCGTTAACGGATTATCGCATACATACATAATCGGCCGTGTAAGAGCTGAATTGGCTTTGCTCGTCTTGTACAGCTCAATCAATAGATCTTCTTTGCATAGGTAAGGTCCTTCGAGAGAATGGGTAATCACTATTGATAGTCTAGGGCCACTTATGTTGATTCGCTTATTTAGAAATGTATGTACTGAGTTTTACAAGGATTGCAGCAGCAGGGATGCAGAAAGCAGAGGGGTATATAGGGACAAAAGAGGAAGAGATGACGAAGCGGTAGGCTATGGCGACGCTCGGCACGACTGGCCCGTCTCTTCAGTGCTTCTTCCGCTTTTTCTTCTGCAGCTTCTTCTTTTCTGGTGCGGCCGCATCCAGGCCGACGGCGGGCTCCTCGCCAAAGCGGGTTGCACACTCCACGTCAAAGGCTTGCTTGTGCAGCCGAAAGAGCTGCATGGTGACGCGGGCATCCTCGACGCTCGAGTGGGCGCCCTGCTGGATCTCGACACCGAGCAGCGTGCGGGCCAGCACGCGCAGCGCTGGCTTGGGGCCGTTGCCGTACTGCTTGAAGCCCGAGAACTTGGCGGTGTCGCGAATGAGTCGCGGCGGGTGACTGACGTCGAGCACGCGCAGATCGTGCCGCACATCATGGCCAACCAGGAAGCGCGGCTTGCCGTCGTCGCCTCGAAGCAGCCCGGCGACGACGTCGCGCACTTCTGCAAACGGCCGCGCCTGATGCAGATGCCGCGGCGTGATGCCGCTGACAGCCGTCCGCCAGTCGACCACACGCTGGCCTCGCTGCATCTGCACGTACGAGTCGTACACCTGGCGTCCAAAAAAGTCCACCACGCTGACGCGTGCCAGCGCATCGTCGTGGCCGTCCGCACCCACCCCGACCATCTCGCAGTCGAGCGCGACGTACTTGCCCACGACCAGACCCGCTGTCAGACCGGCATTCTCGCGATCGTCCAGCGCAGCCGCAGCCAGTGCTGTCGACGCAGCGAGGCCCGAGGCCGCTGTCAGCCCGCCGCTCCGGCTGCTGCTGCTGCTGCCACCTTTCGACACGCCGAGTCCGTACGCCTGCGCCAGATCCTCGGGTGAGATGTCGTGGTCCTCGGCCCACAGCGCCAGCGATGGCGAGGCCGCCTCGGAGCTTGCTTGCAAAATCCTTGATCCACCTGGTCGACCCCCCCGGCCGACAACGCCCTCCTGCTTCGTCGGCTGCGATGACTGGGCCACGCCCATAGCTTTCGGCTTCTGGACGCGCCGGCGCTCGCGGGCTGGTTCTACAGCCTTGCTCGGACGCTTCGGGGGTGGCTTGCGGGCGTTGTCGCCGTCACCGTCGTCCTCGGCCCCGCGCGTCCTTTTCCCTGTGACAGGTTTTGCCGCTGGCTTTTTGGTGTACGACGGCTCAGATTTGATTTGGGCCTGCAGCTTCTTCCAGTTGGAGGACAGCTCCATGGCCATGACGACTTCCGGGATCAGAACGAGATCTACAGGTTTGGTGGGTGAGGAGAGAACGGTCACTCCATGTGCTCGTGCTTGTAGAGAACTGGTAGGAGTTACTTGTACTCCGTACTAGGCTTTTTTTTTTTTTTTTTTTTTGATAAGTGATTATCTTATCGCTATCAACGATCGATAAGTACTTATCTTGTAAGTTCTCCAACTCGGCTTGGGCACTGCAAGTTTACTGCTGACAACCGCGGAACAAGAGTCTCAGTCGGTCGCATTTCATCAACATTTGCCCGAATTTCATCAAATCAATCGTGCCTCGGGATCGGGACGTCATGAAGTCAGACGCAGCAGTGGGCTCTGGCGAGCCGCGGGAGAAGGGCAAGGCCACACCCGACACGATCAAGATTGGCTGCATCGCCATGGTGCTGAAGGACAGCGTGTTTCGGCGGGCGGAGATCCTGAGCATACGCGACACGAAGAGCGGACGGCACTTTTACTGCAACTTTGACAACTTCAACAAGCGGTTGGACGAGTGGGTGCCGACGGCGCGCATCGACTTTGCGCAGGACGTCGAGTGGCCGAACCCGGACAAGGACAAGCCGAAGGAGTCGAAGAAGAAGGGAGCGGTGGTGCAGTCAAAGAAGACGGCCGTGTCGAAGAAGACGGGACCGCGGCGGAAGCGCGAGCAGGGCAGCGTGTCCGAGGCCGGCACGCCCCATCCATGGACAGGTGAGAAAGGGAAGAGAAGAGAAAGAGGGGAGGCGGGTGCTGACTAAGCCAGAATTCACAGAGGCACAACACAAGGGGACGCCAGGCGGTGGCGACGACGGTGACGACAGAGCGGCGACAGGCACCAGCACGGGGGCAGCATCGACACCAACGGCCGGGGCGGCAGGCGGGGCCGGGGCTGAGGGCGACGAGGAGGACAGCACGATGGGCGGAGCAGACGGCGGCAGCACAGCCGAGACAGGCGGATTCAGCCGCGAGAAGGAGATTGAGAAACTGCGGACGGGCGGATCGATGACGCAGAACCCGACAGAACTGTCGCGGATCCGCAATATTGCCAAGGTGCAGTTTGGCAAGTATGACCTGTATCCGTGGTACTTCTCGCCGTATCCGGAGTCGTTCAGCCTGGAGGACGTGGTGTACATCTGCGAGTTCTGTCTGGGCTACCACGGCAGCCTCAAGGCGTTTACGCGGCACCGGCTCAAGTGCACGCTGCAGCACCCGCCGGGCAACGAGATCTACCGCGACAGCTACGTGTCCTTCTTCGAGATCGACGGGCGGCGACAGCGGACGTGGTGCCGCAACCTCTGTCTGCTGTCCAAGATGTTCCTGGACCACAAGACGCTCTACTATGACGTGGACCCGTTTCTGTTCTACGTCATGGCCGCGCGCGATGAGCGTGGCGTGCACCTGGTCGGCTATTTCTCCAAGGAGAAGGAGAGTGCGGACAACTACAATGTGGCGTGCATCCTGACGTTGCCACAGTTTCAGCGCAAGGGTTACGGCCGGCTGCTGATCCAGTTCTCGTACGAGCTCTCGCGCATCGAGGGCAAGCTGGGCTCGCCCGAGAAGCCGCTGTCGGACCTGGGGCTCCTGAGCTACCGCCAGTACTGGACCGAGAACATCATCGATCTGCTGGCCGGCTACAATGAGCGCGGCGACAAGTGCAGCATCGAGATCATCGCCAATGCCCTCGCCATGACCACACAGGACGTCGAGCATACCCTGCAGGCCCTGCACATGCAAGTCTACCACAAGGGCGAGCACAAGGTCGTCATCCCGACTCGCCTGCTCGAGCAGCGCCAGGTCATCCTCAAGAAGCAGCGTCGCGCCATCGACCCCGAGCGCATCCAGTGGAAGCCGCCCGTCTTCACGGCCGCCTCACGCACTTGGGGCTGGTAGAGGTTTGCGTGTTGTCTTCTGGTTCTGTACGATAAGGCAGGTTCGATGATATACCCGGGGTGTCAACTGTATATATTGTTATCTTTCTCAATATTGCCTCCTTACTTGAACGTGTCTGTGAAGCTCTCGCTCAGATCATTTGTTGTCGTTGTCGCTGGCTGTGCGTCCCAGTCGCGGAAGACGCGGGCCAGCCGCCGGACGCCCTCGTCCAGCCGGTCCTCGTCCTCCCAGGCGAAACAGAGGCGCAGATGGTGGTCAAAGGGCGCGGCCGCCTCGTCACCCTTGACGCGGAACATGGATCCGGGCGGCACGACGAGATTTTCGGCTGCCATGGCGCGTGCGGCCAGCTCAGCGGCGGCGATGTCCTGACGGCGCAGCCGCAGCCAGAGAAAGTAGCCGCCGTAGGTGTTGGCTTGGCGGTTCTCGATCTGCACGTGATCACACAGGTGCGTCTCAACGGCAGTAACGAGCGTGCGGTGGCGTCGCTGCAGGGCCGGACGCACGACGTGGCTGAGGTGGGCGTCCAGGCCGCCAGAGCGCATCATCTCGCAGACGATGCTGGCGGTCAACTGGCTGGGGGCGCCGCCGGACCGCGTGTTGCCGGTCTGCGAGAGCCCGTAGACAAAGTCCGGCGTGGCCTCAGCCCAGCCGGTGCGCACGCCAGGGCCGACGAGCTTGCTAAAGGAACCGTTGGAGACGACGTTGCCGAAGCGTATCGAGGACTGATCATGGCTGTGGTCGTGGTCAAGCGGCAGCATGCGGTCCACGTCGACGAGCCGTGGCAGCGTCGGTGGCAGGGCGACTGAGGCCGAGGATGACTCATCCGCAACGGGCCATTGAAGCAGGTCGTAGACGTCGTCGGCCAGGATGAGGGCGTCGTGGCGTCGGGCCAGCCGCACGAGGGCCTGCCGGCGGGCCAGCGTCATCGTGCGGCCAGACGGGTTTGCCGATGTCGGCACGACGTAGATGACGTGGCGATAGGCCTTGCGATCGGGTGGCAGATGTTGTTTGGCTGCAGCAGAAGCACGCGTCGTGCCCTCTTCGAGCTGCGCCATGCCCTCCTCGAGCCGCACCACGTCGATACCCTCGTCGTCCTCGGCCACGGCCCGCAGGCGGCCTGCAAAGCCGGCATCGTCAAAGATCGGACAGGCCAGGTGGTAGCATGGCGCGCAGACCCAGACGACCGCCGTGAAGACCGGATCCGTAAACGACAGCAGCACATTGGCCACGTTCTGGCTGGCACCGCCCGTGATGCAGATGCGCTTCGGGTCGGCTGGTGCGCCATGCGCTCCAAAGGCTGCGCTCAGATACACCGCCAGCTGCTCGCGCAGCGGCTCGTAGCCCGGGTCTGGGCCGTACAGCAGACTGTCGGCCATCAGCTCTGGCGCTGCTAGCACGTGACTCGCTGCCATGCGCAGACGGTCCGCCGCCAACAGGCTCGCGTGCGGCCAGCCGCGCAGAAAGTTGATGAGCGGCTTCTCGGCCGTCGCTGCTTCTGTCATGGTCAATGAGTTCTGTGTTCGTGGATGGCGATGGTCAATTGCGGCTCATGTAAGGTGGAGAAGAAACTCGTAGTCTTCTTGTTCTATCTCGTATTTCCCTTCCGTTTACACCCAACGGCCGTGACTTCCCAAACAAGAAATCTGCCTACTTCGTACGCCAATTGCATACTCTGCTGTCGTCTGCATAAAGAGCGATCAAACACACAGACGTCCTTGCTAAAATAGCGCATGGGCATCTGCGGGCGATGACGCAGCTTTCAGACAGCGGGGCTACTTCTACCGGCCGATTCGGAGCGAATGGGCGTAGAGCACGGAAGTGAGGGAGCAAGAGCTGGCGAACGAACGGCGGAATGGCGGCAGGATCGGCTTCAGCAGTAGCTAGGCTGGAAAAAGAAAAGAAAAAAAAAATAGAAAATAGAAGAAAAAAAAAACAAGAGCCCGTCTTGCCTTGCCACAGTGCCTGTCCATCGCCCCTTCTTTATCAGGATTAAAATATCTCACCCCTCCAAATCTCTCCTCCTATTCCGAACGATCCCTCTGTTCTCTTCCCATTTGCAACAACATGCTCTGAGAGCATCAGCCCTCGCTTCATCCTCTCTTTTCCTTTTCTGCCGCTGCCTCTGCCACGGCTGGCACGGCCTCTCGCTGCGGCTAGCGTGCATTGGCCTCGTCACGTCTCTGTGACATCATCGCGCCTCCCCGTCAATGGACCTCATCGCGAGAGCAACAACAGTTATCTCAACCTCTTTAGAACCGCAGTTCTGCTGCCTCTTGCAGCCATGCACGTCGCAATCAGTCCCCTCGCGCAGCTCGCACGTTCCGGCCTGAGCCGTCGTGCCGGTGTCGTCGCATTGGCCGCTGCTGCGTTCTCTCCGTCCTCAGCGCTTCTCCCTCCCGCAATACGGCCTTTCTCAGTTCTCTCTGCCCAATCGACCTGCCGCCTCCCTTTGAGGACCACTGCCACACAGCTTCTATGTCGGCCGCCTGGATCTGTGTCTTCCCTGGCCATCCGCCGCTACGAATCAACCAAACCCACCACCACTACCACGTCAGAACCGTCTCCCCCGTCTAAGCTGCCCCGCCGCCTGAGCATCGCCCGGATCTTCTACCTCACCCTTGCCTGGTTTGGCGGCTCCATCGCCTTTGTCGGCTTGGGCGTCGTCGCTTTCTTCCTCTATGACGCCACCACATACAAGGAGTCGGCGGACTATGACGAGGTCGACGTGTCGGATCTGGCCCTGAATCCACGCCGTGGCGGCCCCAAGAACCTGCCCATCTACGAAGTCCAGATCGACGACGATGACTGCCCCGAGAAACGCAAGACCAAACACAAGCCCAAGCTCGTCATCCTCGGCAGCGGCTGGGGCAGCGTCGCTCTGCTCAAGGGACTCAATCCTGACGACTATCACGTGACTGTCATCTCGCCCACCAACTACTTCCTCTTCACGCCCATGCTGCCTTCTGCCACTGTCGGCACCCTGGAGCTCAAGTCATTGGTCGAGCCGATCCGCCGCATCCTGCAGTCCGTCCACGGCCACTTTATGCGTGCCCGTGCTCAGGACGTCCTCTTCTCCCACAAGCTGGTCGAGGTCATCCAGGCCGACGCCAACGGCCGCGAATCTCGCTTCTACGTGCCCTACGACAAGCTGGTCATCGGCGTCGGCTCCGTCACCAACCCGCACGGCGTCAAGGGCCTCGAGAACTGCCACTTCCTCAAGGACATTGACGACGCCCGCCAGATCCGCAACAAAATCCTCCAGAACCTCGAGTTGGCCTGTCTGCCCACCACTCCCGACGAAGAGCGCAAGCGGCTGTTGTCCTTTGTCGTCAGCGGTGGTGGACCCACGGGCGTCGAGTTTGCCGCTGAACTGTTCGACATGCTGAACGAGGACCTGACAAAGCACTTCCCCCGCCTGCTACGCAACGAAATCTCCGTCCACCTGATCCAGAGCCGCAGCCACATCCTCAACACCTACGACGAGGCCGTCTCGCGCTTTGCCGAAGACCACTTTGCCCGCGACCAAGTCGAGGTCCTGACCAACTCGCGTGTCAACGAGGTCCGTCCCGACCGCATCATCTTCACCCAGAAGGGCGGTCCCGACGGCAAGACCCTTGTCACCAAGGAGCTGCCCCAAGGCCTGTGCCTGTGGTCCACCGGCGTCTCGCAGACCGACTTCTGTCAGCGCCTGGCCGAAAAGCTGGGCCCTGCTCACCAGAACAACCGCCACGCTCTCGAGACCGACACCCACCTGCGCTTGAAAGGCGCGCCCCTCGGCGACGTCTACGCTATCGGCGACTGCAGCACCGTCCAAAACAACCTGGCCGACAACATTGTCACCTTTGTGCGCAACCTGGCCTGGAAACACGGCAAGGACCCCGAGACGCTTGAAATCCACTTTGCCGACTGGTGCCTCATCGCTGCCGACGTCAAGCGCCGCTTCCCCCAGGCCATCGCTCACCTGCGCCGCCTCGACAAGCTCTTTGCCGAGTTCGACAAGGACCACTCCGGCACCCTCGGCTTCGGCGAGCTGCGCGAGCTGCTCCGGCAGATCGACAACAAGCTCACCAGCCTGCCTGCCACCGCCCAGCGCGCCAACCAACAGGGCATGTACCTCGCCCACAAGTTCAACAAGCTCGCCCGCGCCGCTCCCGGCCTTGCCATCAACGAGATCCAGGACGGCGACCTGGATGCCGCCGTCTACAAGGCTTTTGAGTACAGGCATCTCGGCAACCTGGCCTACATTGGTAACTCGGCCGTCTTCGACCTCGGAAAATTCAGCCTCTCTGGTGGCCTGTGGGCTGCCTATGCCTGGCGCAGCGTCTACTTTGCCCAGAGCGTCAGCTTGCGTACTCGCATTCTGCTGATGATGGACTGGGCCTCGCGTGGCCTTTTTGGACGTGGTACGTTATTCTCTTTACCGTTCTGCCTGTTTCGGCCGTCTTTGTCCCCCATGCTAACGGAACACCTCTAGATATGATGAGCTATTAGGTGTTTGCGACTAATACACTGTCCGGGTCTAGTCCCTGGCTTCGGTGTAGTCCATTGCAATTTCACGCGTCTCTTTGAATGTCCAAGGCATCTGATCTAGTCTCAATTTGTCTTCTGGGAGAAGAAAGGTATCGGCCCAACATAGAAAATAGGAGTCGAGATTGGCATTTAGACCAGGTCGCTCTAATGATCTGGAGAGATCATTGCTATACTACATATTTATACAATAACAGACTACATTAACCTCTTCCCTGCATACATCAAATTCACAAAGTAAACCAAGGCGATGGGGGTGATGCCTGCATCATGGAACTCCAAGGGTCGGCGTCGGCTGTGGGCTCATAAACATCGGGAACCATGCCAAAGCCGTCTGCCAGCGCCGAGTCAAAGTCTGGTTCGGTTTCTTCCCAGTCCGTTCCAGGCCCTGATCCTGTTGCCGACTCTGATTGGGACACCGAATCGGACAGAGATACGTCTCCAGAAGTAGATGTCGATACTGGTCCTGGACATGACGCCGAGATCATAGCCATCGACTTCTCACACACGTTGAGTTCCACCAGCAGGCTCTCCGCGTCCTTGTTTAATCGAGCCTCCAGTGCGGGATGTTGTACGAATCCTTTATCCTGGCCGTCCCTGACCGTAGTTTTATCAGATACAGCAAATTCTTTTGAGAGCAGATACGCGGACGACATTCGCTGACTCGATTTGCCATCGTGACAGGACCTGTCTTTCAGATCGACAGCATCTTGCTTGTCGCGCACATGGGCGCGATACCAGGCAAGGCAGAACTGGTAAATCTCCCGCAGCTTCCAGAAAGCATCTTTGTTTTTCTCCGCAACGTCGGTCCCATCATGGGACATTGTGAATGCCATCATTGAGGCCATCTTTTGTTCCGAGGCTTCCAGATACCGCTCTAGATCGGCCGCTGCAAATAGGTTGACTTTTCCTATACCCACGTGTCCCATACTTGCCCGCGCAAGAAGGAAGACAGCATCGAGATGGTGACTTACTTCCTCTGTGGTACAATGCCTAAAGACGGGATTCGGGAGTTCGAGAAGGGTGGTGATAAAGTTTTGGGTGGCGTGAATGCATTTCATAACAATGGCCAATCGGGTCGGCGATATACACCAGTTGCAGCATGGAGCAGCTGACGATGATCGACTGATGGGCCGGTGACTAGACGGCACCTTCAAGCCAACTTCGTAAATGACAGCCGGCAAATACGTCACGGCGCATTTGAGGGAAGCTGGGTCGACAGATCAGTAAAGCGGGCGCTGACGGAGAATAGAATAGAAGCGTACCATTGTCCCAGGCCTCACTCGACATCGAGTCCCTTATACACGCATACTGGCGCTCAAAATCCTTGACCATTGTGTCGATGTATTTCTCGTCCATGATTGCATTGTCGTTCGGGTTGCTGATATTGAAGACACGATGTACGTCCTCCGTCAACTTGCGAATGTTCACATGGTGTAGCAGAAGATGTACATCCGACGGTACTTCTCTACTGGTCGCTAGTATCTGAGATACTCGATCAACTCGATCGTCAAACTTAAAGTGAGTTGGCTTCCGGCGTGCTATGGCAACGCTCGCTGACATGCAATAGGTTCCAATGAAGGTGCGTGCACGTTCGATTTCGTCGCGGTAGCCTATGGCCGGGTTGCGTTTACTCCCTGTCGAGGATTGAGAATCCGAGCCTCGCATTCTTGGCAAAATATCTGCTTGGCATATTGATAGGGAGTTTTCCAGATCTAGATCGACGGCCATGGTTACAGCGATCTGCGAGAGCTGATACAACTGGCTGCTGGATGGTTTGAAATACAGATGGTGCCTGTAGACATTTATGTTAAGAGCCTAATCGGAAAAGGTATTTGCCTAGGACGTCCACGTACCATGTGCAGAAGATAAGCAAGCCTTGCAACAGGTCGAGACCGGTCTTAGACTCTACGATCAAGGATTGTGCAAGGCCTTTCCGAAATTCAAGGGCCAATCGTGCCTGAAGATGAGTCTCGGCACCAACAGTGAGTACTGCCAAGAGAACAAAAGGTCGCTCCCGTCTCATGTGGCTGAGAGTCACAAACGGTGGGAGGAGTACAAAGGGAAACTGCTGTTCACAGTTCACAGTGTACTCTGACAGAAGTGATTGGGCCTTCTCTTCTTTGATGATATTTCGATTAATGACATCGTTGCTCAGTGAAACTGGCATAGTGTTGGCTGTCGAGAGGGTTATAGTTCGTTCCGGAAAATCGGTCAAAGAGATACCCGTATATTTCACTGGTGATGGCGAGGGATAAAAGAATGGTTGTGAAAATAGAGGCAGCTGTGTCTTGGGAGCCGTAAAAAACATTTCGGCAGCAGAAGCAAGGAGGTCTGGCGGCGATGCCAACTGGACAGGCTCCAGAGCAGTGACAGCATCCTGGGCAGCTGTCGCCTTCCTTGCAGCTATCAGGGCAATCAAGCCATCAAGCTTCTCTTCGACATCCCTCACCCGAGTGCGACTGGTACAAACATCTCTTAGCCCGCAGCTCAAGTAGCAGCACTTGGTATATGTAAGGAACAACTTACGACGAATATTTCAGCTTCTTTGGTCGAGCTAATGCATTCTCATACACACAGTTCACTCCATGGTTCAAACACCTATACGAATTGCCGGATGCGAAGTCAGCAGCTGCAATGGTTCCCCGTAATCGAGATCGGCATTTTTTCAAGGGGGGTATTCAGTTTAGCCGCAGTCTGGTCTGTGTGTTGCCTAGCTGTAACGCACCTCTTGCAACATCGGGACTGGTCCGTGGCTTCTGCCACCTCAATGATACATTTGGCCTTAACTGTCCTGCAGGCCTCACAGGAGCGTCGAAGCGTAGACGTTCGCTGCCGGGTCACAGAGCCAGAAAGGGGAGGTGCTGTGGTGTTCATAGCGAGGACACCAGCATGGATGAGCGCTAGAGTGGGTCAGTCGGTGCAATGGGCATACGCGATCGTCTTGAGAAATGGCGCGCCTTGGTAACTTCCGGCGTCGGGGCGATGGAATACAGCTGCTCTCCGGCGGACGATTGCGTTTATGATAAGAACGACTTTGTATGCGATTCGAAATTGGATACAAACTTTCTGGCCAGACTTCACTTCCAGCTCCGAAGCCTTTGGACAAGCTCTTGCAGCCTTGCTCTGTAATGATAATCCGGTCGCGCGGCGCCGGCCTAAATATGTTGCTCCGAAACTCCGTAGTGGAGCCCACGCTTATTGCAGTTGTAATGCCAACGAATGAATTGGCGAACACGGATACAATGTTGTGAGACGAAAACGTAAGATGATGCGTGCTGAAAGAAACAGATAGCAGAGAGCTAACGGCAAGATACAATCGGCAGGGAAGGAGCAAGGCGGCAAGGCAAGCCGCGTTAATAATATGGAGGTGACGTATTGACACCACCAAATACAATACAATACTAGGATATGTAGTACATAATCCAACATTGCGAATATCATGAAACTTCGCCTCTTTATCCTAATCATACGGATGCTACTTAATGCAACTTCTGTGGCCGACACAGCGTTTGAATCATGCAAGATACACAGCTCAGAACAAATGGAAGTCCTTGTGAGCCCACTTTTCGGTAACCTTCGTCTTGGCTTGCTTCCGGAATGGCCGTTTCCTGCGAACCTCTACCTTTCCTCGGACAAGAAGGCTTCGATAGCGGTCCTTGAGCAGGTTGCCTTCGGGCTTGAGCAGGCGCAATGAGTCCCGCAGCTCGTCTGGCAGAACCAACTCCAGATCTTTCTCTGGTAGTCGGAACTTGCCCAGCTGCCGCCGCCGTAGCACAATATCATCTCCGCTTTCAGCATCTGCGTCGCTTTCGTCAGACGGTGAAGGCATCGCCAGTGCCTCCCGCGCCGCCTGCTCCTCGGCCAGAATCGCTTCGATTTTCTTGGCCTGCTCCTCCTTGCGGACGATAATCGCGTCGTGCTTCTTCTTCGCCTCAGCTTCCTTGCGCCGTTTGATACGGTTTCGTTGCGCGGGAGTTTTGCGTTTCGGCCGCTTTGCGGCTGTCGCCTCGTCCTCCACACCGCTCTCGAAGCCCTCCCATGCGGAGTCCTCTTCCCACTCCGACATCTCGGCGCGTGCCTCGGCTTCATCGGCCTCGGCTGCCGAGCGGGCAACGGCCTCCAGTCTTATCCGCTCAGCCTCAATGGCCTCAAGACGCTTCCGCTCGGTCTCCACGGCCTTGTTGCCCTCTTCTGTGAGCAACGCCTCGTAGTCGTTGAATGCCGGGTTGTAGCTGAACGAGGCTTTGGGCTTGGCTACTGCAGGAACGGCTTTGCCGCTTGCCGCGAGCGAAATGGGTGCGTGCTTCAGCGTCTCCGGTGCCTTGACCTTGCTTCGTTGTGGCAAGAACGAAAACTTGCCCTGCTTGCTGTGCTCTACCTCTGCCACCTCATCCTTGGCCGCCCACGGATCGTAATCTGCATCCACAATCTGTAGCGACGAGGCATGGTTGCCATTTGCCAGCTGCCGCAGGCGCACAACCTCCTTCTGTGTGACGTAGTTGGTGCGCTGCCGCTTTGTCGAAAGCACGCCGTCTGTCGTCTTGCTGTCCTCGCCTTGGCGCTTGCGACCAGAAACTGCCGGGACAGCAGACCGCTGTGCAATGATTTCGTCTGCCTTCAACGTTTTCTTGAACTTCTTGGGCAACTGCCTCGCGATCTCCGAGTCTGCCTCATCTGCTACCTGGAACAGGTCTTTAGAGTCTCGATCGACGATCACTCCTCTGCACAACAGGATATAGGTCAGTATTTCGCGCTATATTAGAGCACAACAAGGACTAAGCCGCCAGAAAAATCATAGTTTACCCTTTGATGATCTGCTCGTTGCGCTCCTCCAATCCTTTTTCTACCTCAGAGACATCGACGTTTTTCCTCCAGGCTTTCCTGCCCTTCCTTGAAGGTTGATTGTGTTGTTGGGGGGCGGCGGGCGGTCCCGCCAGAGGCTTGAGAACAGGCATCTTCGTCTGTCTGTGATTTGAGGTTAATCCAGTCAAGTATGTAAAGTTGTACAAGAAGATTTCTCCCAATATTACCAATCCTGGCTTTTGGAAAGGTTGATCGTTCAGTGGGGCCTGCTGAATTTTTGCTGTTTTCTGCCTTTTTTTCTTTCCAACGCGATAAGAGCCGTATCTTATCTTATCTTATCTCCACGTGACGCAACTGTAGCGTCGCCGAGCCGGCCAGACTAGAAAATTGACACCAAGCCTAAAATACACCATGATGTCTGGGTCCATGCTCTCATAAGTTCTGGTGGAGCAGTCAACGCATACCACCTCCATAGAATAACGAAACATTGGCTCTTCCCGGATACCGAATCGTCCACACCTCCCGCTCTCTCAATATCGCAACTGACCGTCTTAGCGACGTCCCCACACCAGGACACTTGCCCCCTTTTTCGAGCTACAGTTATCAAGCATATTTCTGTCGTTCACCTATCCCTCTTCTGCCACGTTTCTATTTTTTTTTGGATTGTTTTGCTGCGCCTAGATCAACCGTCCTCCTCCTTTCGGCTATCCGCACGACCTACCTGTGTCCCATTTCCAACAACAACTCTTCACATTCCTCTTTGCTCTCTTCTCGTTGCAGCGATGGCGCAAACGGGAGCTGGCGGGTCCTATAACAACCCGTTGAAGAAATACAAGTAATTATCCGCTCCCAATTCTCTAGCTCTCCGCAGTGTCGGGAGAGTCTCGTTTCTGCAGCACGGGATGGGCTGAGCTAACATTATGTGTAATCTAGGCTGGTATTTCTGGGCGAGCAGAGTGGTACGAATCCAAAGTCACTGGCAGAAATCAGGTTGGCAACAGTGTACTGACTATTACGGCTTTGGCCTCACAGTGGGCAAGACGTCCTTGATCACTAGATTCATGTACGATTCTTTCGACAACATGTACCAAGCGACTATTGGAATCGATTTTCTGTCCAAGGCAAGCTATCTCAAGTTGGGAGCAGGCGGCATTATGCCGCCGCCAGCACTGTAACATATACGAGCCGTCACGACTAACTGCCTCTAGACGATGTACCTCGAAGACCGAACCGTTCGATTACAACTTTGGGATACAGCAGGCCAGGAGCGTTTCCGGAGCTTGATTCCATCCTACATCCGCGACTCGAGCGTGGCTGTGGTTGTTTATGATATTTCTAGTGAGCGAGCCTCCTCTCGGCCGACTTGTGGCCCCATTATCTTCCGCAGACCGCTAATTGGCATGACTTGTACCCAGATGCGAAATCTTTCCAAAACACACGGAAATGGATCGACGATGTTCGTGCAGAGCGTGGAAACGATGTCATAATTGTTCTCGTTGGAAACAAGACAGATTTAAACGACAAACGTGAAGTAACGACCCAACAGGGCGAAGAGGAGGCCAAGAGGAACAACCTGATGTTTGTGGAAACCAGTGCCAAGGTGGGCCACAACGTGAAGCCGCTATTCAAAAGAATAGCACAGGCCCTTCCGGGAATGGAAGGGACGGACGCCGCCGCACAAGCGTCAAGCCAGAGTCAGTCGACCCCTCTGTTGTGTTCATTTCCCCTGCTATGCTGCCATGGGAGTTCTGGCTAACGAAAGCAGTGATTGATGTCAAGACGACGCCCGCCCCGCCAAGCCAAGAAGGATGTGCTTGTTAGAGCTGGGGACCAACTTGTCAGCAGCACACTCTACGCACCGCTATGATCGCCTTAACGCATGCCATCACGTTATGAAACAGAGAGCAGAGTGCATGCACTACTTCTCATTCCCCTTTGCCTTCAGGACTGACATGCAACATTGTATAATAAGGACAAAACGGCGGGCCATGGATGACGAGTCGCGTGCATTTTCTGCCTTTCTTTAATGCATACCATAATAGCCCTTCTGTTTTCTCCTTATACTTTGCGTGCTGTTATAAACCGCTCCTGCCGGATAATGCTGTGAAAGCCGAGCGAGAGCGTGAAAGTGGAGATACGTCAAGGTGTTTATTGGCTGTCTGCTACGGAGTAGACTTCGATCACGTGTGTAAATACGGAGTAAAACGCAATCAGAGACCAGCGTCTACTATCTAGATAAAAGTTTCTTGGCTTAGTTGGCAGCGAACGCCCATTGAACAATGTCTTTAAGACAATTGCGTTATCTACCAAGGAGAATTGTCCTGCAGACAAGCGGCCATCAATTGCGACCCCATCGCCACTTGTCCTCACACATTTCACACAATATGGCAGACGCAGCCTTGCTAATTGAACAGTCCAAAAAGGCTGCAGCATACCAGGCTGTCAAGGACCATCTCACACCTGCTTTCCGGCATATCGGTATTGGCTCCGGATCCACGGTCATCTATGTGGTCGAAGCTATTGCCGCCCAGGGTGCTGACGTCACTGCACTTATGACGTTTTACCCCACGGGAGATCAATCGATGGCCCTCATCGAAGATGCTGGCCTGCGGCTTTCCAGCATTGCTCAGCTGCCACTGAATACCAGCCTTGATGTCTGTTTTGACGGTGCCGACGAGGTCGACGAGGAGCTCAACCTGATCAAGGGTGGCGGTGCGTGTCTCTTCCAAGAGAAGATCGTTGCCACATCTGCCAAGAAGTTTGTCTGCGTGGCCGGTACGTTATCCAGCCTGAGAAGATCCAGATGGGAGGGGGGTGGTCTAACAACGTAGACTACCGGAAGCTGGCGCCGCGTCTCGGCACCAACTGGAAACAGGGAATTCCAATTGAGGTGTTGCCGCTGGCAGCGAAGCGCGTCCTGAACGAGCTTGTGCAGCTGGGAGCACAAAATCCGCAGATCCGCCAAGGACTCCCGCGCAAGGCTGGTCCCGTAGTCACCGACAATAGTATGTGGCTGATAGACGCACCTTTTGCACCCCTGCAGCTATCCAAAGACGGCTTAGAAGCGCACGCGGACGGCGAAAATGGCATCTGGACGGTGGACGGCCTGGCTGATCGGCTGATCAAGATCCCCGGCATCGTCGAGATGGGCCTGTTCACGGGCATGAACGGCTACCAAATCAAGGCCGGCCATGGAGGTGCACAGAAGCCCGTCGCTGCGTATTTCGGCATGGCCGACGGAAGCGTGAAGATTCGCAAGGCGCATGCTTGAGAAACCGGTGCGATCCGGGAGTGGCAAGACATTCTTGAGAGTTGTAGAATCCTAATGACTTGTTATATGAGGCGCTCTTCACGTCACGTGCAGCGCCGCCCGATAGCTGCACATACAGCGATTTTCATTTATCAAATTTGAAATAAAATCATCTCGAAGATATTCTAATACAAACCTGTCCTGGAAGATTGCTTACTGCGCAAGTGACATATCTTACATTACCGGAACACTCGTACTGCCCGAGGCTTTCTCACTTACAGCAAGTTTCAGCAGTTCAGCGCCAGCCCACTATCCTCCTTTCAATCTTACACCCCCACTATAATAGGTTTACCCCCCTTTTTTATTGTTTCCTGACGAAAGAGGGAGCCCATTCGTATCATATACTCCGTGCACCCACAGGGACTCCTATGCAGCTGTCGGAAGACAAAGGATAAATGCATTTTTTGTCTTTCGAAAGGGTTAAGAAACTCACCATATGGTGTGAAAGCGGTTCAGATACTCACACACAAACACCTGACAAATGATAGGGGCTCACCCCGAAAACAGAAAGGGAACGATTTCATTTCACATGACATGTTAAACATCGTGAAATCGAGCAATAGCCTCCCGAGTGCGTGGCATGAGTCAGCGTAACTCACACGTGAAAGGTGGACCATACGCGTAAAAATTAATAATGATTGTACGGCGTATTCTTGAGCAGCAATTCTGAGGCGATAGGCCCCACTATTCAAGCGCGAGTTAAAGCCGACTATTCCGACAACGTCGAATTTCTTGAGGCTATCTTCATTCTCGGACGGTCCGAGAAATGTTTTGCTCCAGTATATATTTTTTTCAAATCTGACGGTTTACTGCAGCTTGTCATTGTAGACAGTACTTCAAGAAGATGGCATTTTTTTCGACGATTACACCGTGGTTTCGGCTACCACGACCCAAAGTAAGTGCTGTGCGGCGAAAAAAAAAGAAACACAAACAGAACGATTTTTGGTCGTAAAGGCAGACGCGATGCGACAAGGCCTGTTGTTGGCTGGGCGCTGCTGTATAACATCATGTTCCTAACAAACAACAGACCTTCCTTGGCTTCGTTCCCCTCCAGCTGGGCACGGGGCTTATCGTGCTCACGCTGCTGTTCAATAAGCTCACCGGCCTCTATGGCGTGTTGGCCTTGATTACGGGCTTCTCCTTAAACGCGACGCAGTTGTCGGCCTATTTCTACAACATTGCTGTCCTTGTGACAGTCGCGATTTGCCTCCCTCATATCAGACGGGAGACGCCATTGCCGAATCTGGTGTTGGCTTGGGTATACGCCATCGACACAATTGCCAATGCTGCCTACACGACTGTCTTTGCGATCGGCTTTTACAATGCTGTAAGAGCAGGCAAGTACGGATTAGTCCCCGGCGCAATAGACTCCCTCACGGACGCGACAATATCATCGCTGGCGGTGGCGACGGCGTTGATTCCGACGCCAACATCTGCGTCGACAATAGTCCGCCGGGATGCAGAGACAATAGCGACTGTCACCGCGGGCCTCGCAACGGCAACAGCGAATGTGGCAACGGTGACGAGCTCATCGATCGCTGCAGTGACAGCAACAGTATCACCGATACCAACGGCCGGCAGCGGCGGGTGGATGGGAGCTCACGAGGCCTCGGCCAGCCTGACGCTGGTTGTGATTGTCACTGTGGTGCGAGTCTACTTCAGCTTGGTCTTAATGTCCTATGCACGACGTGTGCTGCAGCGGTACAGCGAGCATGTAGCGAACCTGATCCCTCTCCCATACGACGATAGCGAGAACGATGCAAACGAAGACAAGGGAGAAGAAGGTTCCGGGTGGGCATCCCACGATGCTGGGGACGACGATATTGACGATGAAGAGGCCGGCCTCAATTCTGGTATGCGGTCTTCTCGCGGGCGGTCCAGCCGTCGCCGTAATCATGGCCGTCGCTCCAACAAAAGCGGCAGTGGCAGGGGCAACGGCGCCAACCCGTTTGCAATTGGCTGGCCTGCGGGAGAGGGTTGGAAGGGCAAGGTTGGCCGGGCGCTCGTTACAGTGGGCCGCGGCTACTGGCTCAACCGTGAACGAGACGACAACTGGTCACGCGACATTGGAGCCAAGGTCCGGTCGCCGTGAACGAGACGTCGCAAAAGAGATTGTACAGCGCACAACTTGTCGAAGAAATCATTGGCAACCCGCTGGACGGACATGCCTTTGCGTCTGTGTTTGGGAAATGGACATATTGGAGCGATGGCGTTATCTACACAGATTGACTTGGCTCAGTTTGTGCACATTTGCTGGGGAAAGAATAGGTTTAAGGCATGATGAGCACTACTTCTCATCTTAATACGTCAGGCGATACTGTCCTGGCCCGTTGCGATATTTCTGGGTACATGCTCAATGATATACAGGTCATATTTACTCCGTACATGTCATTTTATCGTTTCTGTTTCGCTACCTTCCGTACGCGTACACATGCCGTTTGCGTGCTTCTATGGAGTTACTCGTACACGAAGAGATGCCATGCTCGCTATTCGGGATTGCTGTACTCCGTATTAGTCATAGTGAAAAGAGGGGACGACCCACTGGCAGAAGCTCAGTCATCGGGATTTGAAAATGCTCTCATTGGTTGCAAGCACTATCGGTGGCCGCCGAGCCACCTAAACGCCCGGGGAGCCCTAGCCTTCGCCGCTTGCGTCGGGCATTCCTACCGCTGTCGGCGCTGTAGTTTGAGAGCACGGCTGCCCCCCGTCACTTTTCACTGCTCTCGCCAGCCACGCTAGACGATCACGCAATCGGCTGTCCGAGGCGCTGAGTGGTCGAAGCCTCGCCGACACCGTCCTGAGAAAATATAGCCTGCTGATGGGATGAGCAATGGGGCGTTCTGAGCAGTATGCTACTCTATGTGAAGAGGAAGAGGAGGCGAGTATTAGTCGTCTCTTGTACCCGGGGTACATCTCTAGGCGCATCGTTAGTGGTGAAGACGAAGCGGCCCTCTTAACGATTTTTTTCGTTGACTGTGTTAATTTTTCCGTTTCTTCGACGCCTCTTTTTATTTCCCTTCCTCTCCCCAAACTCCTTCTCCTGGCCGTTAAACTCGTCTTGGGAAAGAGTCAATTGCGCCTACAATGGCTTCGTCTGCTCCGGTCAAGACTGCTGGCGAAGCAGGTACGTGCACGCTTCTTGCTTTCTTTACCGGTTGTTACTTCTCTTGTTCGGGATGGTTCGTCCTGTCTCGCACCTGCCCTGTGCTGGTGGTGCAGCATGGACAGAAGGAATTGGATGGACATTGGCATTTGTAATCCAGCTGCTTCCCAGACAGGAGCCAACACAACTTCTCGCAGAAAGGCTGTCAAACTATAAATATGCTGACCAGAGTTGCTGCACAGTGGCGAGAATTGCCTACCTGGCCAGCGATGTTGTCATTTCGGTCCAGCCGTCGCTGAGCGCGGATTCCGAGTTCTCGGAGCAACTGAAGAGCCTCGAGAAGAAAAAGGTGCCAAGCATCATTGCATCGACAGCTGATGCTGTTCCTGAGGTTGGTGACTCCCTGCAGCTGGACTTTTTTTCTGCCGCGAATCGGAAGAGGGGTTGTATTGCAGCAGCTAACATTGGCTGCGCACTAGATCCAAACAGTGCGGTTTAACACGGACCCCCTGCTCTCAGTCTTCGGCCCCATCCGGTCAGGTCGTCTGGTCTCGGTCACGACCAGCTCTGTGATCCTGCTCTCTTCAGTGTCGCACCTTTACAAACTCGCCAACTTCCCGGTTGTTCTTCACGTGGCGCTCCACCCCGACCAGTTCCCAGACTACTCATCCATCACAGCAATTCGCAATGCTGGCTGGACCTTCCTGCAGTCCGGCTCCGTTCAGGAAGCCCAGGACATCGGCCTGACAGCTCACGCTCTTGCTATCCGTTCAGGAAAGGGCGTTGTGCATTTCTTCAGCGCTACCGTCCAGGCGGAGACTGCGCCGGTTGCCCCCGAGGACTCAGAGATTGTCCGGGAAATTCTGAACATCGATAACGCTCGTCGTTTCCAGGCGGCCCCTGTCTCCGGCACGGCCATTTATGCCGATGAAGGCCGCATAGCCGTCGTATCAGACGCTCTCGAGACAGCAACTCCCGCTGCTCAGTCAGCGGTGGCAAGCAGCCTCCAGCTCCCTGTGGACCCGAGCACAGCGTCCACCAGGGCATCCGAACAGTCCAGCCTTTTGAGCACCACGAGCTCGCCGGCGCCGATCTCCCCAGCGACGACGATCGAGCCCAGTGTGCCTGCCATCACCTCAGATGACATTTACAAGTATGTGTCGACTATCTGGAGCCAGCTGGAGAGACTTGTCGGCCGCAAGTACAGCGCTTTTGAGTGGACCGGCCCTGCCAACGCCGAGAACTGCCTGTTCGTTTTTGGCTCTGATCCTACGCTATTTTCGACAGCCGAGATCGCCGCATCGACCAACACCGGTGTCCTGACCCCACGGCTGTACCGGCCGTGGCTGGGCTCCAAGCTCTTAAACGCCTTGCCCAAGACTGTGCGAAGGATTGCCGTCCTGGAGCAGATCAGCCGCAAGACAACGAAGTGGGGCCCGACGTTGCTGGACGTCTTGACTACGGTGAAGAGCGGCCCTGGCGGTGTTGAGACCATTGTCGGCTACCAGGTCGGCTACCTCACGCGCGAGACTGTGGCCGAGGCCCTGCGCACCGTCCACGAAAACCTGACGGCGACCAAGCCGGTGCAGAACCTGAAGATCGGTGCGCAGGAGATCCCAGAGGTTACCGAAGTGTCGTATACTCTAGAGCAGCCCAAGACCGAAACGGCATACACCAAGATCCTCAACCAGCTCTTCAACGACCGGCTCTACGTGGCAAATGCGCTGGGCTCAGAGAATGCTGGTATCTCCAGCACGGTTGCTGCGACTCCTGAGTTTGGCTTCGGTTCCCTCCTTGCGCGGAAGGAGCACCGGCAACGATTCGTGGCCGATGTAAAGCGGGCTGCCGTGTCGGATACGTTCCTGACCGCGGCGCCGAACCGCCTGCTTACTCGTTGGGCCGCAGTGGCCAACGACTCCAAGAAGGCGGATGAGGTTGCCGACGAGGTTCTGGCGCAATTTAAGATCGACCGCTCAGCGGCATCCCGCAAGCTGCTGGAGAACAAGCACTTTTTCCACAACGAGTCGCTGTGGCTGGTAGGTTCGGATGCCTGGTCTTACGATCTGGGCAACTCTGGTGTGCACCACGTGCTGGCATCTGGTGAGAACGTTAATGTTCTCATCATCGACTCGACGCCGTATTCCGAACGTGTTGCGGCAGATGCGAGTCGGAGAAAGAAGGACATTGGGCTGTACGCAATGAACTTTGGCAACGCATACGTTGCCTCCGTTGCCGTGTACAGCTCCTACACGCAGGTTCTGCAAGCCATGGATGAGGCCAGCAAGTTTAACGGACCGTCTGTTGTGCTGGCGTACCTGCCGTACTTTGGCGAGCATGATTCGCCACTGACGATTCTGCGCGAGACCAAGTCTGCAGTGGACCTGGGCTACTGGCCTCTGTACCGGTGGAACCCGAAGAACGAGGAGAAGGGAGAGGCCAACTTCTCGTTGGACTCGGAGCGCATCAAGAAGGAGCTCAAGCAGTTCTTGGACCGCGACAACAAGCTCACGCAGCTGATGCAGAAGGAGCCCACTTTTGCTGCGACTCTTGCTCAGGACTTTGGAACTGAGGTTCGCGACCAGCAGAAGCGCAAGGCTCGGGATGCCTACAACGTGCTGCTCGAGGGCCTGTTTGGTGCACCGCTTACCATCTTGTATGCGTCCGACAACGGCAACGCGACGACCTTGGCGAAGCGGCTTGGCAACCGGGGCCGTTCGAGAGGCCTGAAGACCACCGTCATGGCGATGGAGGACTACCCGCTGGAAGATCTCTCAACGGAGGAGAACATTATCTTCATTAGCTCCACCGCAGGCCAGGGCGAATTCCCGCAGAACGGTCGTGCTTTCTGGGATGCCATCAAGGACAACAACGAGCTGGACTTGGCGGGTGTCAACTACTCCGTTATGGCTCTTGGCGACAGCCACTACTGGCCCCGGAAGGAAGACAAGGTGTACTACAACAAGCCGGGCAAGGACCTGGATAAGCTGCTGGCTAACCTCGGGGCCAAGCGGCTGGCGGATATTGGTCTGGGCAACGACCAGGACCCGGATGGCTTTCAGACTGGGTACCAGGAATGGGAGCCGAAGATCTGGCAGGCTCTGGGCGTGGACAAGGTCGAGGGCCTGCCGGAGGAGCCGGCACCACTGACGAACGAGGACATGAAAATACAGTCAAACTATCTGCGTGGCACGATCGTCGAGGGCCTGAACGACACGACGACCGGAGCGATCAGCGCGTCGGACCAGCAGCTGACCAAGTTCCACGGCACATACATGCAGGATGACCGGGACCTCCGGGACGAGCGCAAGGCGCAGGGCCTGGAGCCGGCGTACTCGTTCATGATTCGGTGCCGGCTGGCTGGCGGAGTGTCGACGCCGAAGCAGTGGGTGCAGATGGACGACATCAGCAACGAGCTGGGCAACGAGACGATGAAGTTGACGACGCGGCAGACGTTCCAGTTCCACGGGGTGGTCAAGGGCAAGCTCAAACCGGCGATGCAGGCGATCAACCGGGCGCTGATGACGACGCTGGCGGCGTGTGGTGACGTGAACCGCAACGTGATGTGCAGCTCGCTGCCGACGCAATCGAGCTACCACCGCGAGGTGCTGGCGTGCTCGCAGCGCATCAGCGACCACCTGCTGCCGGCCACGACGGCGTACCACGAGATCTGGCTGACGGACGACGACGGCAAGAAGACGCAGGTGGCCGGTGACGCGGTGCAGGACTACGAGCCGCTGTACGGGCCGACGTATCTGCCGCGCAAGTTCAAGATCACGATCGCGATTCCACCACACAACGACACGGACGTGTATGCGCACGATGTGGGCCTGGTCGCGATTGCAGGCGCGGACGGCAAGCTGGCTGGCTTCAACTTGCTCGCGGGCGGTGGCATGGGCAGCACGCACAACAACAAGAAGACATACCCGCAGACGGGCCGGATGTTTGGGTTCGTGCTGCCGGAGGACGTACAAATTGCGTGTGAGAAGATCATGCTGGTGCAACGCGACTTTGGCGACCGCAAGAACCGCAAGCACGCGCGTCTCAAGTACACGATTGACGACCTCGGGGTGGACGTGTTCAAGGGCAAGGTGGAGGAGCTGTGGGGCAAGACGTTTGCAGCGCCGCGGCCGTTCCACTTCGATTCCAACGTGGACACGTTTGGGTGGCAGCGTGACGAGAGGGGCCTGAACCACTTTACGTGCTTTGTGGAGAACGGGCGGATCGAGGACACGCCGACGTTTCAGATGAAGACGGGGCTGCGCGAGATTGCAAAGGTGCTGAAGGGCGAGTTCCGGCTGACAGGCAACCAACACGTGATGATCAGCAATGTGGCGGACGAGGACCTGGACGAGATCAAGGCGCTGATGAGCAAGTACAAGCTGGACAACGTGCAGTTCTCGGCGCTACGGCTGAGTTCGTCGGCCTGCGTGGCTTTCCCGACCTGCGGACTGGCGATGGCCGAATCGGAGCGGTACCTGCCGGTGCTGATCGGGAAGCTGGAGGACTGTCTGGAAGAGAACGGACTGCGGCAGGACTCGATTGTGATGCGCATGACGGGCTGTCCCAACGGCTGCGCGCGGCCGTGGCTGGCCGAGGTGGCGTTTGTGGGCAAGGCCTACGGAGCTTACAACATGTACCTCGGCGGCGGCTACCACGGACAGCGGCTCAACAAGCTGTACCGGTCAAGCATCAAGGAGGAGGAGATTCTGGCGATCATGAAGCCGCTGCTGAAGCGGTATGCGCTGGAGCGGCAGGAGGGTGAGCGCTTCGGCGACTTCTGCATCCGCATCGGCATGATCAAGGCCACGCGAGATGGCCGGGACTTCCACGATGATGTAAGAATATACCGTCTGGAGTAACGTATTTTACGTGACAGCAGAGCTAACCAACCGAACAGATTCCCGAGGACGAGTCGGACGAGGAATGAGCGGCACAGCGGCTCGGGGTGTATCGCTGCTCTTTGAAGACACCAAAGTAGGCACACAGACCAGCATGAAGATTTGGCATCGGAGACGGGAGTTTGTGTATTGTTTGCGACGTATTAAATTGCCATACCTGGATTTCTGGAGTCGAACAACCAACATTCATCACGTGACACGCATAATACACTTAGTAAAGGGAGTAAACAAGACAGGCGCTGCCATTCCGGGGCACAAAGGCCCATAGTTACCGAGACAGCGTAACGCGCGGCTGTTCAGACAACGGAAAGCCGTCAGTGACACAGGTTGTGGGGAAGAGTGCGCAACGGCGGATTGTTGTCGTGGCAACAGATCGGCATGGACGCACTGCCACCCCTAAACAAAGATTATTGGGGTCTTGGCTGTGGGACCTATGCATCAGTGTGGACAGCAGCAAAGCAAGAAGCGCCATTGCGAGATTTGTGCCGGCCAGTTGGATGGGATCCATGTGCTCCCCTCCCTTCTTTCTTTTTCCCTCTTCAATCCGCTTTCCACAAGAGCCAAGTTCTGTTATTGATCCCCCAGATCCGCGACGTGGTCACATATCACAAGACCGGGCAGTCGACACTGGGCGACAGCAGCACGGCCCATCGCTAGCGAAGCAACGAACGAGTCAACGAACGCCACCTGTTTCCCGCGGCCCCTCCTGCCTGAGCAGCAATGGATCCAGGCATGCCGACGCGGCCGCCCGACTACTATCTGGGCGGCGGGGCATCTTCGTCGCCGGCGGGGATGCACAGCCGCGGCAATCCGGCTGCGATCCGACTGCTGACATCATTTGACGGCGGCAGCCTGGACGAGGAGGCAGCTCCGGCGCCACGACACATGAGCAACAGCAACATGACGCGGACGGGCAGTCCGAACCGGGTAGCAGCGGCTGTGCTGACGCTCGAGGACCGGGTGCGGTCAACGGAGCAGCAGCCACAGCGCGGAGCAGATGGATGGGCGACAGCAGCAGCGGGCAGCGCGGGTCGATACCAGACACCGTCGCTGCTGTCGGATCCGTTTCTAGGCAGCAGCTCGCGGGCATCGTCGATTCTGGAGCCGCCGGTGATGATGCCGCCGCCGGAGTCGATGTATGCGCCGATGCGGACAGTTCGCAGCGACTTTAGCAGCGGGACCAGCCTGCGACCAGCGTCGCCGACGCGGCCTTGGACGCCATCGGTGAGCGGGCTGCACCACCACCAGTACAGCCGGGTGCCGCCGCCGGTGCCGCTGCAGTACGAGCCGGCGGAGATCAACGGCAGTCCGCGGCCGGGGACGCCGTCATCACGGTACGGCGGCAGTCCAAGGCGGCCGCTGCCACCAGCGCCGCTCTTCTCGGAGGTGGGCAGCATTCGGACGTCGACGTTTGCAGACGACGCGACGGTGTCGATTCCGCTGGGCGGCGGTGGCGACGACGACTTCAGCCAGCTGTCGTCAGGGCTCAGCCACGAGCCGTACGGCGAGGAGCTGGACGAAGACCTGGAAGCCGGCAGCGACGACGCGTTCCGGCCGGCGTACCACCACCACAATATGTCGCAGGCCACGCTGAACGAGGACGGTAGTGTGGGCGAAGACATTGCCGACGTGCTGCGGCGAAAAGAAGGCATGGGACAGGGACAGTATGGCGAGCAGGAGTACAGGGATTATGGAGATCACGTGTACGACCGGAATGAGTACGATCAGAACGAGTACGACCAAAACGAGTATGGCCAGAATGAGCTGGACCAGAACGAACTGGGCGACGCCAGCAGCCAGCTGCGTGCCAAGGTGGAACACTACGGCCCGGCGCCGGAGGGACGACAGGAGCGACGCGGCGTGCGCGAGCCGCAGATGAGCAAGAAGGCGGTGCAGCTGATCAACGGCAAGCTGGTGCTCGAATGCAAGATCCCGACGATTCTGTTCAGCTTTCTGCCGCGACGCGACGAGGTGGAGTTCACACACATGCGTTACACAGCAGTCACGTGCGATCCGGACGACTTTGTCAGCCGGGGGTATAAGTTACGCCAGAACATTGGGCGGACGGCGCGCGAGACGGAGCTGTTCATCTGCGTGACGATGTACAACGAGGACGCGTACGGGTTCACGCGGACGATGCACGCGATCATGAAGAACATTGCGCACTTTTGCGGACGCAGCAAATCGCGCACCTGGGGCGAGCTGGGGTGGCAGAAGATCGTGGTGTGCGTGGTGTCGGACGGACGCGAAAAGATCCATGCACGAACGCTGGATGCACTGGCAGCCATGGGAGTGTACCAGCACGGGATCGCGAAGAACTACGTGAACCAGAAGGCGGTGCAGGCGCACGTGTACGAGTACACGACGCAGGTGTCGCTGGACTCAGACCTCAAGTTCAAGGGAGCGGAAAAGGGCATCGTGCCGTGCCAGATGATTTTCTGCCTGAAGGAACGCAACCAGCGGAAGCTCAACTCGCACCGGTGGTGCTTCAACGCGTTTGGGCAGGCGCTGAACCCGAACGTGTGCATCCTACTGGACGTGGGGACGCAGCCGGGCAAGACGTCGCTGTACCACCTGTGGAAAGCGTTTGACACGGACTCGAACGTGGCGGGAGCCTGTGGAGAGATCAAGGCGATGAAGGGCCGGTTTGGCGGCAACCTGCTGAACCCGCTGGTGGCGTCGCAGAACTTTGAGTACAAGATGAGCAACATCCTGGACAAGCCGCTGGAAAGCGTGTTCGGCTACATCACGGTGCTGCCGGGAGCTCTGAGCGCGTACCGCTACCACGCGCTGCAAAACGACGAGACCGGCCACGGACCACTGAGCCAGTACTTCAAGGGCGAGACGCTACACGGCCAGCACGCAGACGTGTTCACGGCCAACATGTACCTGGCCGAGGACCGGATCCTGTGCTGGGAGCTGGTGGCGAAGCGCGGCGAGCGCTGGGTGCTCAAGTACGTCAAGGGCTGTACGGGCGAGACTGACGTGCCCGACACGGTGCCCGAGTTTATCAGTCAGCGACGACGCTGGCTGAACGGCGCCTTTTTTGCGGCCGTCTACTCGCTGGTGCACTTCCGGCAGGTCTGGGCGACCGACCACACGTTTGCGCGCAAGGTGCTGCTGCATGTCGAGTTTTTCTACCAGTTTGTGCAGCTGCTGTTTACGTACTTTTCGCTGGCGAATTTCTACCTGACGTTTTACTTTGTGGCTGGCGGCCTGGCCAATCCGAAGTCGGACCCGTTTGGCCACAACGTCGGGCTGTACATCTTCACGGTGCTGCGCTACACGTGCGTGCTGCTGATCTGCACGCAGTTTATCCTCTCGCTGGGCAACCGACCGCAGGGATCGCGGCGTCTGTACGTGGCCGGCATGGTGATCTACGCCATCATCATGACGTACACGACGTTTGCCTGTCTGTACATTATCGTGGAGCAGCTCAAGGACTCGACGGCCATCTACATTGGCAACAACGTGTTTACGAGCCTGATCATCTCGACCATGTCGACGGTCGGGCTGTACTTTGTCATGTCGTTCCTCTATCTGGACCCGTGGCACATGTTCACGTCGTCGGCACAGTACTTTGCCCTGCTGCCGAGCTACATCTGCACGCTGCAGGTGTATGCGTTTTGCAACACGCACGACGTGACGTGGGGCACCAAGGGCGACAACGTGCTGCGCACGGATCTAGGTGGTGCCGTCGGCCAGGGCAGCACGGTCGAGCTGGAGATGCCGTCGGAGCAGCTCGACATTGACAGCGGCTACGACGAGGCGCTGCGCAATCTGCGTGACCGCGTCGAGGTGCCGGTGCTCGGTCCGTCCGAGTCTCAGCTGCAGGAGGACTACTACCGCAGCGTGCGCACGTACATGGTCGTCAGCTGGATGATCGCCAACGCCATCCTGGCCATGGCCGTGTCCGAGGTCTATGGCGTCGACAGCATCGGTACCAACCTGTACCTGCGCTTCATCATGTGGTCGGTCGCCGCCCTGGCCGCCTTCCGCGCCATCGGTTCTACCACCTTTGCCGTCATCAACGTCGTCAACATGGTCGTCGAGGGGCGCGTGCGCCTGTCGCTGCACATGCCCTCGTGGGCCGGTGGCCTGGGGTCGCGGATGAGCGAGAAACTGAGCAGCATTGGGAGTCTACGATGAGGTCACGTGTATTTAGATCACGGGATCTAACACGTGGTGGTAATGTAGGATACGGAAGGAACGAGGGACAACGACGGTATACCACGTCCATTTGGACTTTGGAGTTTGGCGTGTTTTAGAGTCATAGTGATTTTAGTGAGATGTCACTGTACTGTGGCAATCGATCAATCGACTGAACTTTCAACTGTACTCATCTGTCCCCAAATATCATCCCAGCGACGACGACTGGTCCGCAGGGGACCATCGAGGCGGCCGAAGCGCGGTGGCCGTCCGGTGTTGGCCTCTGGTAGGCACAGCCACTCGCGCACGATGTCGGGGACCTCTTCTCGGACGTGAGCGATGCAGATGAGGGCCTGACGGTCGGTGAGGCCGGTGAGGCGGTCGTGGTGCGGGATGCCGTGGCTGAGGAAGTGGGCGCACTTGTCGCGGACGCGTTCGTCCATGCCGCTGAAAGCCTCGTCGAGGACGACGATGTCGGGGTGCTTGATGGCAGCGCGGACGAGCAAGAGGACACGCTGTGCGCTAAAGGAAAGCTCGCCAAAGAGGGGGACATCGGTCGAGCTCCCTCCGCGGCTCGTCCCCAGCTCTGGCGCGAACCACTGCAGACAGGCATCGACCAAGTCCGGGGCCTCGGCTGACAGCTGTGGCCGCGACCGGAACGTGTCGGCCCAGGCACTCTCAACGACCTGGCGAGCCGTCAGGCTGCGCGGCATGTGCTGGTGGACCTCGGGGCTTGAGTGGCCGATGCGGGCCTGAATGTCCCAGAAGGTAAGGGGGGGCCGGTAGGGGACCGACGACGACGACGACGAGTCCGATGGCCGTTCCGGCAGACGGCTGCGGCCAAACAGCCGGATCGGCAGCGAATACGTCTGCGGATGGTCCGAGCACAGCAGCGACACGAGCGTGGTCTTGCCGGAGCCGTTGGGCCCAAACAGGCCCCAGCGCTCGCCGCGTCGAACGGTCCAGACGAGCCCAGACGAGGCCTGGGAGCTGTCGGTCCAGTTGCCCAGCACCACATGATCGCCATACTGCACCCGACAGCCGTCCATCTCGACGAGGGGCTCACCGAGGGGGGTGGGGGTAGTCTTTACTGTTTGTGTTGGTTGTATTGGATGTGTCTCCTCGTCCAATCCCCGACCTTGGATTCCTCGATCCGTCAACAGCCGGCCCATCTCGCCGAGCGTGCGCACCGGCATCTTGTCGTCCTCAGCCAGCGTGCCGGCCCGCACGCCACGCACATAGCTGCGCAGCCGGTCCAGCACCATGTCGCGTGGCCCCATGGCCGCCACCTGGCAATCTGTCCGCAAATACGCCAGATGAGTGATCCAGGTCGGCAGTGGGTCCTGTGGCCGTGAGCTCAGAACCAGCTGCGGCTCGGCGGCCGCGGCCATATCGCGCAGCAGAGGACTCAGTCCGGCCACTGTCGGTGGGTCCAGGCCCATGAATGGCTCGTCCAGCAGCAGCACGGCCGGTCGCATCAGCAGTGCTCGTCCGATGCGAGCGCGCCGGCCCTGGCCGTTGGACAGAAAGGCCACCGGCAGGTCCAGCAGGCTGTCGAGCCGCAGATCACAGACGACGCGCTCAAATAGACCGGACGAGGACGACGGCCTCTGGTCGGTGCCCTCGTACGGATTCAGCTCCGTGTTGCCGCCAAGGTAGTCGCGCAGCGAAAAGTCGGTCGTCTCGCGCAACGACTCATACCGCGCCGACAGGTAGGCCGACGTGGCCGGACCCAGACCGCTGCCCTCGGTGTCGAACCCGACATAGCGCAGGGCCTGTGAGGCGCTCTTGAGCCGCGCCGGCACCGCTTCGGTGGCCAGATACGGAAACGACCGGGCCGCTGGAGGCAGGCAGATGTGCTGGCCCTGCAGGAGCTGCAGAAAGGTCGTCTTGCCGGACAGAGAGGGCCCGACAACACACCAGGACGACGCGCCATCGCCTGCAGGCAGCTCGAAGCGCAGATTCGAAAACAGCGGCCGGTGGCCCTGGGCTGCTTGCGGACCGGTTCTCGCTGGCACTGAACTGGGATGCTGTCGGTAAAAGGTGCCGTTGGCGATCCGCACAATGGGCGGCCGCACCGACAGCGCCGACAGGGACGGCATGGGCAGAGTGTTTCGCGCTCTGTCACAGACGGCAGAGTCATGCCAGGGACAAGCCAGACAGTCTGTCTTCTGCCGTATGCAGATCAAAGTCTCGACTATCATACAGGTTGTAGGTGGGCGGGGAGACTAAGCGGGTTCCACCACGTGACTTGGTGGACTGAATAGGTGGGGCTTTCAAGCCACAAGCTGTGCCACACGACGGCGAGCTGTAGCTGCGAATGCAAGCTGCAGCCTGTTTGCAGCCAAGTCCGTTTCCAGCGACGACAGGTCAACTCGGCTCAACACTGCACATAGCCATCACGACCGCACGACCGCACGACCGCACGACCGCACGACTACACGACCGCACAACGCACAACATGGTAGGCCAGCCGTTTCCGTGCGTCTGCCGCGGGCGCCCACGCTAATCTGTGCAGTCTCTCCGCATCGTCCCGGCCGACGTGCACACGGCCTCGTTCAGCCATATTGGCGCCCGGGAAAAGGGCGCCCCGTCGGCACCGGGCCTACACGACTTGCTCCGGCGAGGCGTTGGTCCGACCAAGGCGACGACGAGCCCCGACGCCGCATCGACACCCGACTCGGCACATCCCCTCGAGGCGCGGCTGAAGCAGTGGGAGGCCACGCGCGAGGCGCTGCGCATGGAAACGCTGCGGCGGGCCTTTGGCGTGGCCGAGCCGGTGCGCCGCGGCATGGAGCTCAAGATCACGCGCGAGGGCGAGTGGCGGCCGCAGGTGCTGCGGTCGGCCGGTGGCGTCGGTATGGGCCAGCTGCCACGCAGCGTCCACGAGGACATCCTGATGGCCTGTGAGGCTACCGTCGAGTGGGAAGACGTCTTTGCCGGCGACGAGACCCGGACCGTGCCCGGGATGCACGACGAGATGGAGCGGAAGCTGCGGATGTAGGAGGACGAGAGGATACACAAGAGGTGGAAAGAACCATTATGCGTACGAGAGAACCCTTCATTCCAACAAGTCTAGAAATACGGACAAAAACAGCATAACAACATCGCTGCGCTCTCGTCAGGACGATTCTATCATGCGTGTTCTGTAAATTATACTGGATTCACGCTCACAACTAGTAGGAAACACAACAGAAGCACCCAGAACATGCCGGGCATACAAACATAAACATAACACGGAAACAACTTGATAGGACGCCAGTCGCATCTCTCCGTACAAAGAACAAATAAACATGCAGCAATCCCGGAATAAAACAGCCCATGCCTATACCCAAGCAAAATAAAAAATGTATGCGTGTGTTCATTAAGATCCGCAAGTGTGGCCGCGACCGTCCCTCTCAGTCTCAACGGGACGACTACTCATATGCCTACAGGCATTTGCATGCATGTTCGCTCGTGTCAGATGCAGCAGGAGACCCAGAGCAGAAACAACACAAAGCAGCCCCGTCTCCGGCAGACATTTCCGTCCAAAATCAGAAAAACAGCAAAACGGAGAGGCGGGCTGGAGGTGAAGCACAATGCAAGATACAACCGACGAATCTCCGACATACCAGCCAGAGAAAAATCACACCGCCGTGATGAGCCGCCTATAAAATCACACAGCAGCCAGCACCGCCTTCCCGGCTGCGCAATACCCTGCCGTTGGTATTGTTCTTCGTGGTCTCGTCATCGTCCACCAGCTCGGCCGGCTTGACCGACATGTGGACGACGTTGGGCGCCTCTGCACTAAAGTGGTATGCTGCAAGCACGGTCATGGTCAGCAGGTCGTCCCAGAGTCATTGTGTGTCATGGTACATACTCGTCAGCTGCTCCTTGTCGTCGAGAAGCTTGCCAAAGTGGATCAAGCGGATGCTGCTGGGGCTAGCTGGCTTGCCCTCCCACTCATCACGCCATTCGCGAAGAATCAGTTCTTTCAGCTTGTAGACAGATACACTGAACGGGTCCTTCTTCCCAGACTCCGTCACACCAGGAACGTCGACGTTTCGCTTGGCCAGGTACTTCTCATCGATGCGGTAAGGATGTCTCGCACCCGTTGGCAGCAACAGCGTGATGTTGCACACCACAGTGTCGTCCACCGCCGCTCCTGAGATTGTTCCATCATCCGGAGCCCCGATCGACAATGAATCTCCACGATTCCGTGTTACTGCCGCCACCGCCGGCTGCACAAGTCCGTCCGTGGTCGCAGCGACTGCAGAGGAAGACGCCTCGGGCTCGGCTGTCTCCTTCTGTTTGTCTTTGTTTTCCGTCGCAGCCACGCCCTCGCCTGCAACACCGCTGACAGTCGCTGTTTCATCCTCCTCCCCCGTCTCGGCACCAGTCGTCTCTGTCGCTGCTGTCGTTGCTGTCGTTGCTGTTGATGCTACTGTAGCATCTCCCGCAATGGGTAGGACCTTAGCCGCCACGACACTTTCCTTCGCGCCACTCATAACAGGCTCCGCGTCGGCCATTGTTCCGGTCTTCGTTCAGGTGCAGATGCGTAAGTCGACTTGCGCCAGTGTCAACCTGATTTTTCTTCGTGCAAAACACAATTAGGCTCGGTTGTATCAGAGCGTGTCGCGTCTTCCTGCCGCTGACGAGCCTGGTGTTGGCAAACGAGGCAAGGTGGGTAGTGTGCCGCGTATGAGAAGCCTACGGCAGACTGTACGGTGGATGGCTGGCGTGTACCCGTTGTCACACGATCCTGTCTTACCTCTTACCGGGAAAACGTGCAGCAATGTATGGTAGGCCGGCGAATAACGCAATTCTTGAGCGTCTTGCTGATCGTCGAGTAAGCTGGGCAAAAGGGGGCGACAGCACAACGGCAGGCGAAATCAGTTGATCTCAGACGGACCGGGCGAGAGAAAAAGGCAAAAATGCAAGTCTTTTCTTGGCTATCGAGCCGTGCACGAGGCCATGGAGACTGGATATTATGATACTATGCAGTAGGCTGGGCGAGATCGAGAAAGCCAATCAAAGGATTGAATGCGTGGACTTGGCACAAGCAAACAATTGAGCGGTCGGTATAAGCAAAATAGGTATCAACTCAACGTGATGATAATGGTGTCATGCAACACAAAACAATAATGCAGTCTGCTCTTTTTGTGGAGTGCGGAAGAGAGGGCGTGCGTGTGCGAAAAGAGAGGGAAGAAAGAAGGATGCGAGACAAGCCGACCAGTGGAAAGGAGCTTGCAGCGGGTCAGTGTCTCCAAGCGTGTTGCCGCTGAAAGATAGGTGACCGATTGGTCCGAAGGAGTCGACGCCTTCCAGGGAACAGGCTACTAAAATAATAGGGGTCCTGATGACAAAGGCCGGGCAAAAAAGGTGTCTAGCAGCCAGTAGGCAAAAAGCAGGAGGGAAGAGGAAGGAGGTTGTGAACAAACACGGAATCGGATAAAAAAGAAAGAAAAGAAAGGAGGAGGCAGGAAAAGAAATAGCAGCAGAAGCAAAGCAGAAGCAATACAACGCAAAAGCGGCAGAACCCCCACATCGCATTATAGGGCCGCTGCAGCTGAGGGTTTCGAGGTTCGTTCAAGACTACTCCAATCACCTCCTGCCCAACCGGCGGCTTCACCGTGCCACACGGTGGGCCCAACTATTCCAAGGCCTAGATTTGTTTGCTTGACGGCCAGTATTTGCCCCTTCCATTTTGCTCGTGTTGTCGCCATTGCCGAGCACGCCGAATGGGCCGAAATCGGTATTGCCTCTGGCAAACTCTTCACTCGTCGGCTACTGTCGATATCGATCAGGCCAAGGCATTTTTGCACCTTTGCCATCCTTGCCATCCGTGCCTTTCCTGCACGTGCAGAGCGCATGCTAGACTGCGACAGAGATAAGCATTGCAGACACTATTTTCGTGTCATGAATTCATCGTCTTTTTCGAGTCGGGTTACAGCGGCAAGACATGTGGGCCACCGAAGCTAACAACTGGTAAGATATCATAAAGAAGAGGGCAAGGGCGCATAATCGCAATGTCTTTCATTGGGTGACCACCACAAGTTGCGTGATACTACCATACTTTGGACAATAGAGGCCGTCGTGGAGCAATCGATCCGGTCTTGCGGCTACATATAGCCTCCTGCGCAATCTCGCTGTCCACTTCGTCAACTTTACGAAATAGCCCCTGCACTTACCCCAGACAACGATTGCTAAGAGTTCCACCCCGCAAGCAATCAGACCCGCCCGAGCCGTAGGCAGGTTGCTAGCCGCATGACAAGGGTCGCTCGTATTTATCCGCCTTCCTTGAGTATGCATCTACACCTTTAGATCCGGCTGCATTGACTTCAGTCATGTTTATGTTATCACTATAACATACCAGAGATTGAATATACTTCGTAGGATCTTCAGTCTTGGAGAAGAAACTCTGGCTACAGAATAGGCAGAATGATCGTCCCAGTGCCAGATGTGAAGCCATCTTCATCTTAAGAGGTGACGACGATAAGGAGCGCGATATCCCACATGGAGTTTCATCATGAGTGAATACGCTATGACAGTTACATCTTAAGGTGACACAAAAGGCCTCTAGTGATGTTATTTTCACGCTCTTTCCTATTTCATAGTCGTGGTAGATGCGTCGCTCCTTCCGCTTTCTACCAGTTACTCCTGCTCCCTGCCACTTTCTTGCCAGTCGCCTGATTTTTCTGGACATACATCTGCCCGGAATTTTTCTCTTGAAAGCTTCCTTCAACTAAAAAGCTCAGATTTCAAGAGCCATTTCGATTTCCATCTTGTCTACTTCTACGCCTCACAACTTCAGCCAGCACCGAAACCATGCTTATCACCAGGGCCGTCCGTCTTGGTGCTACATTTCTTGTAGTTGCCTACCAAGCCGATGCTTTTCATTGTGGAAGAGGTGATGGCTCACTGGGTGATGCCTTCACCACCTACCTGAGCCCCAATATCACGATCCACAAAACAACGTATGTATTGTCGCTCACTGTTTACGACATGGCAGCGAACTAATCACTTTGTAGTGATCTGGTTGCTAGCACTGTCTCCAACGCGACTTTCACAATTTACAAAGCCAGCTACACCGGCGAGCCGGATACGCGAGTCTTGACCAGCGTGGCCGTCTCGACCGTAACAGCTGCCGTGCCTGAGCTGGCCCAGCAGCACAAAGGCATGCACCTTCATCGTGCGGTGACAACAGTCACCGAGATCGAGGACTACGGCACACTGCCCACAGCAGTTTCTCATTCGACTTCTACCAAGGAAACAGGTGCCATTGGAACAACCCAAGTTTATACAACCCCAGACGTCAGACCCACACCGACAACCAAAGATACAACCGTGGTTGTCAGTCCTACGGGGACAGTCTCTACCACGAGACCTGGGGAGATGGCATCCACGGGCAGTTCCGCTTCTTTCAGATCGTCTCTGTCCGTGAGCTCTAGCACGCCGGTCACAGCATCCAGCGCGTCAGTTCAGCCCAGCTTGACCATTCCCCCGACCGAAAGCGAGACGACTCCCATTACAACGCCCACAAGCATTCACCACTCCGGCAGTGCCCATTCGGCCCACGGATCGCACAACTCGCTTCTCGCTGTCATGGGTGCATCCCTGTTCTCCATTGCTCTGGCATTTGTGGTAGCCGCCTGAATTACAGACGGGATACTCTGTCTCAATCGGGTTCCGCAAGAGACGTAAGTTGATAGCGAAAACAAAGGTGATGGTCGGCTTGAATTTAGGGGGCATAAAGTAGACCACACGAAGAGGAAACAACATGTCAGACGAAATGCTATAGTTTTAAGGTCAAATTAACCTGACGCGGGATATGTGAGTAACGGACGAGTTGAGCAAGGCACAAGGATGTCTATTATTACAGCTAGGACATTTCATTTTAGTCGAAAATACAAATCAATTTTCCAAAAAGGACCGCTATACTGAAAATACAACATTAGCCCAAACTCTTCGCCTTTGTCAGGGCAAACCAATCACATAAAGATCCTGACCACATGGAATGCTTTCCTATATACCAATTACACGCACGCCGCAGAGGACCTCGCTACAACAGCAGATCCCCGTTGTTCATCACCCCTTGTGATGGATGAAACACAGACTGCGGTGCGTTTTGGTTGACCAGATATCCGCCGCCGCCAAACGCGTCAGGCTGCTCCTGGATGCGCATCTGAGAAAAGTACATGTCGGCCTCCTCGATGGCGTTGCCGTTGGCCTGGCCGCCGGCATTTTGGCCCTGCACGTCGCGGCTGAGCAGGTCGATGTTAGACGGCTGGCCGCCGTTGCCCAGCATGGAAAGGCTCTTGTTCGAGTCGTACAGCAGGTCGACCGGCATCCCTGACATCGGCTGCTGGTACATCTGCTGCTGATACTGCATCTGCATCTGCATCTGCTGCTGCTGCTGTAGGATTTGTTGTTGCTGTTGCTGTTGTTGCTGCTGCTGCTGCTTCTGTTGCTGCTGCTGGATGAGCTGTTGCTGGGAGGCCGGTGATAGGGCCATGGACAGCGCGGAGCCCTTGTTCGAGCTGGGCTGCCGCTGCAGCGCAGGCGAGTCCTGCAGGCGCCGTGGTCGGGCCGAGCGGAAGACGGTCTGCACGGGCTTGAGGTAGACGGTAGCCAGGGTGCCGACGTTGAGGCACATCTCCTCCAGGGTCTGCGGGTCCAGACGCTCGGCCTCGGCCGTGATGGAAGGCTTCTCGCCCATGACAACCTGTTTGGCGGCCTCCATGTCGGTCGAGAGCAGACGCCAGTACATGTATGCCCGGTCGCGCAGGTCTGGGTTGTCGGTCTCCTCGGTCGCCCACTTGAGGACGCGCGGAACGAGCTCCTGGCCTTTGGTCGGACGCTGGATGAAGAGCTTCACCGTGGCCGTCAGCAGGGACAGCTGCACCTCGACCGGCTCCTCGGCAAAGGAGAAGAGAAAGTCTTCCAAGAGCACGTCCGCGTTCTCAATCCGGCTGGCGTACTGGCCAATGACCCACACCATCGCGGCCTTGGCCTCGGGCTCGTCTAACGAGTCTAGGTTCTCGCAGAGGGTCCCGATAATGGACTCGTACTGGTTGGGGTACTTGCGGAAGATGTTGCGGATCACGACGGTGGCCTCCTGCACAATGTATGTGACCTTGGTGGCGACGAGGTCGAGCAGCAGGTTGATGCAGCGGCGGGCCGCCGGCTCGATCTTGATAGCAAGCTTGCCGATGGCACGGACGGCCTTGCGAACAAAGTGCACGTCGATCTCGGTAGCGTACTCCCGGAGCTCCGTGAGCACCTCGTCAATGTTTTTCTCGCTGGCGAGCATGAAGATTAGCTCGAGCTTCGTCACCTTGACGTAGATCGGGTCGTTGTATTTGCAGAAGAACACGCGGATGTCGTTTCGCAGCACCTCTGGCCGGCGTTGCAGGATGAGCAGAGCATTGCGCAGAGCCAGGTACTGGACCTCAGGGCCCTTAGCCAAAAGGGTGACGAGCGGCGGCGACAGCTTCCTGCACAGCGCCGAGATCTGCTTCTGGTCGGCAATGTAGTTCATGAGGTAGAGGATGACGCGGATGCACGTAAGCACCACAGCTGAGTTTGAGTGCGAGAGCCGTGGGGCGATGCGTTCGGCGAGGAGCGTCGCCTCGGTGGATTCCTGCGGCGTGTATGACATCAGAGCCTCGAGAATGTAGGTTTGACCCCATCTGCAGACACTGTGAGCAGGATGGAAGCGGAAGAGAAGAATATCAGTCAGCCAGACGTGACGAGGACCTACTCTGAGCAGTCGGGGAGAATAGACACCATCTTGGATGCATTGCCATAGTCGATAGTGAGCTTGATGGCATCGCTTCGCTCCCAGATGTCCATCAGACTGGCGAGGGCACTCGCCACAACGGTCGGGTTGTCGTCACGCAGCAGCGTGTTCAACCGGTCGATGAGGTCTGACCCTTCCACCATCGCCTTGTCGTGGTCGTAGAGCTTGGCGACGCAAAAAGCAGCTGTTTTGCGCACGTACGGGTCCGCGTCCTTTAGCAGCACCTTGACCAACGGTACAGTGGCCTCGACAAACTCCCGGACATGAACGTAGGACATTGTGCGCAGCGCAAGAGCGCGAACTAGCGGACTGGCGTTTTCCATATCCTGCGCATGCCATGTTAGTGGCGCATCGTCATGAAGGAGGAAGGGCATGCAGCGCAACACACATTCTCGAGAACGGGAATTGCCTTGACCGCAATCTCAGGGCGCATTCTTGAGTAGTTTACCAAGAAGAGGAAGCACCTGGGACGCCATTAGCTCATCGTCTTGGAGACCAGCACCGAGGCGACGCTCACATCTTCTTGATCTCGATGCTTTGGATATGCATGCATCCGATGATGTCGGGGAAGAGGGCAACCATGTCGTTGTTGCTCATGGTCATATTGGCGACGATCTTCTTGAGCGCGATCTTCTTGGCTGTATTGTTCTTGTCCTTCTTGCCGCCGCTGTTCAGCTCGAGGCGCAGCTCGGCAACCTTGCCCTGTGAAGTTTTTCGTCGTGAGTACAGGTGATCTGCCGGAGGCATATATGCCATGAACATTTCGGCAACATGAAGACGATGCGCCACGAAAATTGGGGACGGCGGTGGGCAGCACGCCGATAGTGGTGTGATGCCTGGAATGGGGACACAGCAAAAGTACAGTTGCTGTTCAAGATGAGGGGAAAGGGCATGACGATAGCATGGGGGTATAATGTCTGTCCGTGCGTCATACACGAGGAGGAGAAAGGGCAATCGAAGATGCGGTCGCAGGGAGAGGATGGGAACATACTCGAGCGAACAGCTTGGAGTCGCCACCTCCTTGTGAGCTCGACATGGCGATTGCTCTAAGAGTGGTCGGCCGTTATATCTCGAGGACTTATCGGTGTCTGGAGGGGGTGTCTGGAGGGGGTGCCAAGCGGACAGGATGTATCTTAGCTGGGTGCCGCAGCTGACGGGAGACTAATGTGACTGGCAGGGTTAATGAAGACGGTTAGCCTGGTGTCTGTTGTTTGCCATTGGACATGTATCATGCAGGTATATCGATACAAGAAAGTCGTGTGAAGACAAAAGGAAAAGAGAGAAGGGGTCTCTGGGATTTTCGCAGATCACAACGGCAGCACAGCACCAGATCTGGACCGATGTTACCGCATTTGAAGCAACGGGAGGTCTAAGGAGCGCTGTTCTCTGTCTTTTCCCGCCGTGGTCTTACCAATTGGCAGCAACTGGAGCAATCGAAGCTTGGACAAGTTTGGCGGAGAGGATGCGTCCGAGAATGGCCAGGAAAGGCGGATAGGCGGCTTGTTGCAGGGGGACGTCGTTCCTGGGGAAATGGAGTCACTCCGGGGTGACTGGAAACTGCACTTCTGATCTCTAGCTGTCGTGTCTTTGGATGCTTTTTTTTGGTCGCGAGTTGGGCCAAGACCACCGACCGGTTCACCTGCTATATTCTCCAGCGATTCTGTGTCCCCTTTTTCCGACGCCACAGCGGCAAGGGGCGGAAGGTGGGGCGGAATGTCTACGGAGTAAGCACTGCCTGTTTAGTAAGATAACGACAGAAAAGTGGGCTGCAGTCGCTGGAAAATCAGGACAGCTCTTTATCTCGTAGCAGCTTACGAAACGACCATCGCTGGCCTCGACTAAGGAGAAAACAATGAGCCACAGCAGACACACCATGTCGGAACTCAAGCTTGTGCCCGCAGCACCGCCCAGATGGGTTCTTGAGCTGGAATCGCCACCTCCAAGAGCCAAGGCCAACGGTATCATCGACCCGGCGGGATTTCCCTCCCAGGCCCCATCGACTGGTGGAAAGGTATGCGCCTGCCTATGCGGCATCTCTCTTGTCGTTCTGCAGAGGGCGCCTTGCTGACCAATGGCGCGAGCAGAAACGCGATGGCAAGGACGCAAAAACGGCACCGCCGGCCAAGAAGCCGCCGACCCCAGAGCAGATGGACACGCTGAAGGTCAAAAAAGCATGGGAGGTGGCGCTGGCCCCGATCAAGAGCCTGCCCATGACGGCTATCATGATGTACATGTCGGGCAATTCCCTCCAGATCTTCACGATCATGACGGTCTTCATGGCGTTCAAGAACCCCATTGCCGGCCTGCTGGCCACACAGAGCACCTTTGAGCGGTTCGAGTCGCCGACCAACGGCGCCCAGCTGCTGCAAGTGAAGCTGGCATACGTGGTGTTTCAGTTTGTGGCGCTGGCGATGGGTGTCTGGAAGGTCAATGCGATGGGACTTTTGCCGTACGTTCTCGCCTCCTTGATCGGGCGGTTTTCGGCGTTTTCACAAAGGCTGACACATATTACAGGACTACACGGTCGGACTGGCTTGCTTGGGAATTCCAGCCGGATCCGTTGGAGGTCGCGGTACCAGCACTTTAAGCTGAGCTCTCAGTGCAGATGTGAAGATGGGCGGGCAACATCGAGTAAACTGTTTGAATATCTCTCTCTATAACTAAAACGACGAAAATGACCCTTCTATCATCCGAACATTTTGACCGTTGTGTTCTGCTACCCTGAGATTTGGTACTCTTGCCTCTTTGTCTTCCTCGGCTCCCTTGCTCTACTCAACTCCAGTTGGTATTCTGGCGCTGACAGCTGCAAGCTTTGCGTCCGCTAGCCACACTATCGACCTCCTTGGCTGCCTCAACGTTGCCGTTCCAAGGTATGCAGGCCTCCTCTTATAGGTGGCATACAATTTTGGGCGTTGTCGGCGTTACCGCTCATGACGCTACCGATGATCCGGTATTACCAGATATGTTGTCAGGCTCATGGCTCGGAGCAACACGCACATCAACAGATAGTCCGTCGGCATCGGTGTTGAACTCGCTTACGGAGTATCTGCGAGGGGTACCATGACTAGTATAGTTGCTCTGGGAGACTTGGACGTGCAGGCTTGTACCGACGTACGCTACAAGCTGAGACTGGACATGCTGGGTGCGTTGGGGCAGATGGGTTCGTACTTCTGCCCCGTGACTTGGGTCTGTGAGTTTGTGAGCGTGATAGATTGTCTTGGGATTTTTGGATGGCAGTCCCACATTGATGCGCAACAGAGTTCTCGCTGCTATTGTTGTGGACTTCAAGTACTCAGCAACACTGTCATGGCAGCCATTGTAAATCAAACGGGGGCAGAAGTGTATCCTCGACATCATCGTTACTCACCCAGACAGCGGGAAGCCAGTACGCCATGGCAAAGACAGGACAGCTTAGTGTCTCAAGTTAGTATACAATGGCTCTTGCAGTTGAAAGGAAGGAGCGCACTTCAGGAGAAGACATGATGCAAGGTAGGGCTGAAAGCTGGGGCCGGCGAAAAGTTTAGGTTTGCTCTGATATCAGATGCTTTGTGGTATGCATATTGATTTGAAAAGAACAGGAAGGCAAGGCATGGTTTATATAGGCCGCTGCCAGCCATCACGCCGCCGAGGTGCAGTCGCCATACGGTGGATCTGGTTTGAAGTCATCAGCGAGAAAATTTAGGACGGCAAATCAAAGTTGGACAACTATTAGGTAGAGAGTCGGTGTACGAAAGCCCATAGGGGAAGAGGAGGGAGTGCTTGCCGTGGATATCGGCCTCTTCATACGTCTTTCTGCTCTTGTTTTCCTAAGCTCTTATTCGACGGTGCTTTATCACACGACGGTTGCAGGCCAGTACATTGGGCAACGACACCGGTCGGCGAGATAATAGCCGCTCATTCTTTTGACTTGTTTTTATTTATATCTTATGTATTCTGCTAGGGAAATGGCACGTTATTCTGCAGAGAGACGAGTAATGAAGGTGCATGTGTCGTAGCCGTGTCCGAGGCATGCGCATACTTGGTATATGATTGGTACGCGTTTAACAAGCAAAAAGACGTCGCTAAAAGATAAATGTATCAATCCGTGGAGATGGAGGCATAGCGGTGAAGAGTGCGAAACTAGAGGTGGCACTTTGAGGACCTGTTGAGGCTTTGACGGGCAATTGCACCATCTACAAAAGGATGGCACGGGGAACTTCATAAGCTCCTCCGCGATACGACCACGTGGTCGAGTATTAGGCCCGGAAAAGAAGGTTTTGTGCATCCTGAAATCTACGTCGTGAAGGCGCCGTTGCATATCTGCGCCATCTGGCCAATCTAGGGTGTTGCCGGGCTTTCCCGAATTCGAGAATCCTTTCATAAGGCACAGCCAGAGCTGATCAGTGGAGCCGGTACTCGACAAATGGACGGAAGATAACCCCCAAACCCTATTCGTTGAGCCTCCGTCTAAACATGGCTTTACTAGTAAGGCGGCTAGCCGCCTTTGCAACCATCGCAAATGATGATTATCAGTTCCGGAACACCAGGCCCATTCCCGTGAGCGCGACCTGCTGTCCTGCTGCCCAACGAGAGGTCTGTCATCGTGCAGTGCATATTTACGTAGTATCAACGTACCGGAATGCTCTCGTCCTCCTTCCGGGACCGCATCTGCGACCTGCCGCTGATAATCAGCTGCAAGTCGATCACTCCGGGAAGTCATTCTGGCCAAGCTTTTATTCGTGGCACGAATTTAACGAGACAGCACAACGGACACAGCCACGAGGGAAGAAAAAGCAACTACGAAGGCAGTTGCAACGATGTTGAGGTAGTCGCTAAGAGACGGAGAGCTAAGCTATCTCTTGTTTATCGCGGTAAGAAATACCTGGCATTTACTCCGTAGAGCCAGGGGACTAAGGTCGTCAGGATTCTTGAAATGACGACGGAAGTAGAGCCGAGGACAACCCGATGGGCTTCTTTCCGGTCTTCTCACCCGCCGCTGCGACGGTGGTATGACGGCCCTGGTGTTTCCCCATCTACAGTTTCGGGTCTGCGAATAGCAGAGGAGTTTGCGCAAAACAGAAACAGGATATTTCGTTAACACCACTAATTTAGACTTTGGCGTAGCTTAAAGTTATGCCGGCAAGATCTGACGAGACGCACTAAACGCCAATAGACAAGCTGCAACGCCCCTGCTGTATTTGACACTACATGCTATAAGATCAGCCTGCACTTGTATAAAAATCTTAATTTACAGGAAGGTGCCAGTGCTTATTTACGAAAAACAAATTAGGCAATAGCATACCGAGAGCTGCACTTTCCCACTATTCTCGTACGATGATCTCTACAGAAATTAATGTATGACGATAGCCTTCTTAATATAGAAGTACCCTATAAACTGTTGCTAGGCACATGTCCTCTCGGTTGCGCTAGAACCTTTGTTCTTCTGTCTCACCTTAAGACCGACCATATTTGGGCTGGCTTCTCTTTCGCTGATCCTTTTCACGATACTTGTGCTAGAACTATGTAGATTTGTGACCGGACAGGTCGAAATGCTCTTAACAGGTTGCAAATGTGGTTCCTTCCACATAACACATAAAGGGAATTTGGCGTTTTATCGCTCCTGTTTTCTGCACGACGTTTCGCACAACATGCACACAGCCAATATGACTTCCTTTTCTCGTCCTTTAGATCCATCATTTGATACTGAATGGTGCACTTCTCTCCTCCCTTATAACCTAGACCACCCACATAACTTGCACTTTCCGTACTTACAACCTTATAAAGTCTGCTTGTAGAAGGTCCCCGTTTCGACTGCCAATATGCGCTTTCCTTTTGCTATCAGCAACAGAAATAACGTCTTTAGGAAGGAGACATTGACGAACACGAGGAAAAGGAAAGCTCCTTGAACAATGCCCAGTCTTTCACATCCTCTGGCATACTCTCTTCTTCATGTCTACTTTGTCCCTTCCCCCTATCATTCATTTGAATTTAATACTTCCTGCCATTGGCTGTGCTTACCTCTCAAAAATTTCATACCCAAACTCCTATATCGCCCGCAGATTCTTACTTTTCTTCTTCCTGATTATCGCTTTCATCTCTACGGTCACTTGATCTCCATCTCCCGTTTTCGGTCTACATTATGACCAGGCCATGTTGTCATTGAGCCTCAGTGCGATAACCGACTCGGTGCCACATTGTCGCAGATTTTCATGTAAGGCGCCTCAGAAACATATTGCAAACATCAGCAGTTGCTGCATCCTAGCTAATGCTTGCAGGTTCTCATCACAGGTGAAATAATCGAAGGATCCTTGAAATTATGGACACCCACCCATCCGTTCCTCAAAAAAAAAAAAAAAAAAAAAAAAAAAAAAAAAAAGAGAATAAACAAACACAGTAACCCACTCCTCGTCCTTTATAGGAATCCATCTGAGCCCCAAGTTCGAATCAGTGCCGCTGTGCTTGACAAACAGATGAGTGTCCCTCTGTGTTTTGTTTGACCTTGGGCTTCGGCACTGATGTGTAAATTAATTTTGTTCAATAAGAGGGCATCAACTCAGCCATTAGCTGACCTCCCTCAATTTATATACCAGGAATTTTCGCCATCGAAACCAACATTTTGCGACATGGCCTTATTTCTGATTATGCCAGTCACGGTAGGTTTGAATAATCTCATCAACCTGGAAGAAGTCATGACTTTTGGATCAATGTACAAGTCTATCGGTGCAAGTCATTACTTGGTAACAACTGAATTCTCCATTACCGTCGAATTTGTGTCGAATTTGTGAAGCCCGAAATGATCTACGTTTGCACAATCACACTGGACTAATTTCGAGGCATGTGCCGAGACTTATATACTAGAGGAACACATCTAACAGAAAAGTATATACTGTGAGAAGAAAACCCGTTCTTCACTGGCACCTTCTAGGCGGGCTTCTCGAATTAGCTACGACGCATCAGTTCCTTAATTTCAACATAACAGCGATCATCTGCGTATTGCAATCTCGATACGCGCAAGATCAAAAGAATAATCTCCTCTCAAGACCGACACCGCCGGTACTAAATCACCGGACTTTGGTTAGAAACATGTACACACACCAGAGGATAGAACAGAAAAATGACATATTTTCAGTGAAAAATGGACCTGCCCAACATGTGTATTTTAGATTCGCAGAGATGTAGTCATTAAGTGAAAGTTGTTGTTGATTGTATGTACGATTAGTTTAAGAATATAGTTTTGCTTTTGTACAGTCTATTCTACATTGACCTGTGATAGGTACCCATTGAAAGACTGGTCTGAAGACTGTTATGAGTGATAACGATAGCAACACCTCAGTGATGGACATCTTTCAATCCCAGAGCGTATTAAACTCACAGAACTTACAAAGATACTGTGCATATGGAAAGCTGGTTACCAAGACAAGTAGAGCCAACACTGTTAGGCCTAATAAAGTACGATTTGTTCTCTTTGGGCCAGAAAAGTCTTATATTGCCATCTCACATCACATCGTAAATACATATCTGCAACTGTATTGGCCTCTGTAGAATCAAAAGCCAATGACTGCTATCCAGCATTGTAAGCTCATACCTCCCCCTGCCTCCACTCGAAATCTACTTCTCTGAAATATGCGTGGCTACTGACGTCTGTGGCTCCACCTCCATGACGGTTCCTGGTGCCCGGTCCTTCTGTCGTCTTGCGAGGTCCTTTTGCTCGGCGGCCTTCTTCTCGAGCCGCAGGCGCCGCTCTTTCCGCCACTGTGGCCCACGGCGGTAGATGAGCCAGAGAATGGGAGACATGGCTAGACACAACAGGGCCCACAGGGTGAAGGTCCAGCCGCGACCTAGGCGGACGAGCATGGTTTCGATAAAGGCCATGACACCGGCACCACAGAGGCAGCGGACTAGGTTGACGCCGGCGACAGCGGTAGCGGGGGCCTGGGGGTACAGGTCGACAACGAGGGTGTTGAGGATGCCAAAGGAGCCGGTGATGCCGAGGCCGATCAGGAACAGGATGACGAGCGGGGCGGCCAGGGGCTGGCGGAAATCGAGGACCCAACCGTAGGCGATGACGGCGAAGATGCCGAGGACCATGAGGGGCAGCATGGGCTGTATGCGGGCGAGTTCGATGGGGAAGTCGGACAGATCGTCGCCACGCTTGTGGTCGATGGTGAAGCCGATGTTGCGGGCGACGCGGCGGTAGTTCCAGTCGAGCACGTGACCCTGTGCGATGGCAGAGATGCAGCAGCCGACACCGTAGGGCAGATAGCAGAGGCCGATCTGCAGGTTGTCGAGGCCGTAGAGGTCGGCGAAGATGGTGGACAAGGTGGCGACGCAGATCATGAAGACGACGTAGAGCATGGCGGCGAAGATGAGAATGAGGAAGATGTCCTTCTCGAGCACGACGCGGAGGGTTCGCAGCGGGTTAGGGAAGCGAAGTTTGTTCCGGGGCGGTGGAGGGAGGTCGGAGGGATGGCGGTGCTGGCGCACGATGTCGAGTAGGGTCCTGTTGAGCCAGCGCGGACGGACGGAGCCGTTGCCGACGACATTGCGCGACGTCTCAGGTACAAAGGGCACGTAGACGAGCAGCAGACAGGCAGATAGAATGCAGCAGAACCAAAAGATGGAGCGCCAGCCGAGGTATTCTGACAGGAGACCGCCGAGGACAGGACTGAGAGCAGGCCCGACGTTGACACCGGCGCCGACATAAGCCATGTACTTGCCACGCTCGGAGCTGACGGCCATGTCGGCAACGACGGCGTAACTGAGGGCCAGGGTGCCACTGCTGCCGCCGCTCTGAATCATGCGCAGGACCATCAGGACGGCATAGCTGTCCTGCAGGGCGAGGCCGATGTTGGCAAAAAAGTAGATGACGAGCGCGATGATGAAGGCGGGCCGGCGGCCGGCCATGTCGCCAAAGTCGCCAAAGACGGTCGGTGCAATGCCCTGGAAGATCATGTATGTTGTCAGGGTGAGGTTGATCAGGCTGACGGACACGCCGAGCGAGGCCGCGATCGGGTTGAGGGCCGGGAAGTAGATGTTGGCCGTCATGGGCGAGACGAAGCTGGTCATGGTCACGACGCTGACGATGAAGAGCTTCTGGCGGCTAGTAAAGACGCTGTAGACGGGGCCGCTGTTGACGCGAGCCAGCCGTTCCAGATCGTTGACATTGTCGGGCGGCGGACCGGTTTCGCCGGGAGCAGCAAACGTGGCCGTGGTTGCGGCGGCGGCTGCGGCTCCCGATGCCGATATGGTGTGGGCGCTGACGCCGAGACCGTCAACGTCGTCAGAGTCGTCAGAGTCGCTGTCTGAGCTGCTGAAGCGGCCCGCTGCTTCTTCTCGTTCTTCCTCGTGGCTTTGTACAGCATTGGCTGCAGCGGAGTCGGTGTCCAACGCCGGCTCACCGCCCAGCTTGGCCGGCCGGGTGTTGGCAACGGCTACATCAGGATTGACTGATTTTTGTGCGGAGGATTCATGAGCATGCATGGCAGCATTGGATGGATACCGTATATCGATGCCGGACAAGTAAATGCTCGAGCCAGAAAGAGACGGACAAGGAAAGCAGATATACAAGAGTTGAGGAAGGCGCAGCGAGGCTGTCGGATCAACGCCGAGTCGGCTCCTGCCTGATTGGTTTACAGCGGCCGGACGTCTTGATCGGGCAGGCGGTCCTGAGCCGGGAGAGCATAATGGAAATACTGTCGAAAGGCAGTAGAAGTGGGCCCCCTTCACGTCTGGACGCAGGGTAACAACGGGAGGCGACTTATTTCCGGGCAGTTCAGAGATCAGCCGGTAGCCTCACGAACAGGAAGATAGATCTACGGGCCTAGCAACAAGCTCGAACACCGCATTGGTATCTGACCGCTTGATGAGGCTGAACCTGATTGGTTGCTTACGAGACGGCTGCCCAGACGGAGCAAGTCCGCTGTGAGGGGATTATCATCAACGAAGCGGTATCGGAAGCTTCGGCCACGAGAGGTCGGAGGACCGGCATATGTCCGGCCGAAAAGGGTACGAAAGGCAGGAGAGTATTGCGTTTAAGTGACGTCTTGGCACGTGCCTCCAAAGGTCAGAGTTGGTGGGTGGGGTCGCTAAGCGCCACAGCAAACTCATTGTGGCTGTTAGCAACGTCGCCACATTTGAGCTTCACAAGCTCGCAAGACGACCAAGCTGCTGTCGACGAAGAACTGACGGGCCTCGCCTAACACGAATTTACGAGCATGCCGAGATAGAGAACACAGCCAATGAGGCACCACCGCAAATAGCAGCAGCAGCAGCAGCAGCAGACGAAGCAGCAGTGGCACCAGAACAGAATTGCGCCCCGGACTGCCCACAATGTATGCGGCCGATCTGACGGCCGTCTTTGACGAGCTGTTGAAGAAGCATGGCGGCCGGCCGACGACCGGAGCGAAAGGCGTCCCGGACACGACGAGTGGTTTTCTCAAGGAGGCCTACCGAATTGTGGGTTTCAGCGAGGGAGAGTAAAGGCGAGGAAGACCAGGCTGACGATGTGCGCGCGCGCAGAACGGCCACATCGCGACGCTCTCGAAGCAGCTCGGCGACATCCGGCCGGCCTACCTCTCGACAGCACGGCCGCGGCGCATCAAGCCGCGGCGCGGCGATGTGGGCGGCACGACGACCATGACCGGCCTGACCGACGGCCAGCGCGAGGAGATTGACGGCAACGCTAAGCGGCTGCTGCGCGACCTCAACGCGTCGATCCGCGGCCTGGCCGACGCCGAGGCCCTGCACCAGGAGACGCAGCGGGCGCTCGTGCGGCGCCGCCTGGGCGGCGGAGGGATGGGCATGCGGCTGGCCGGGCTCGCGCTGCTGCCGTCGCACAGGTCAGCCGAGCAGGCCGCCGCCGAGGAGGCGCTCGGCCAGGTGGCAGCCCATCGTGAGAGCATCCTCTGGCTGCTACGACAGCGGCTGCAAGCGTGCGGCCAAGCACAGCAGACGATGATGGAGGCGCGGGTGGCGCGCATGGTGGTGGAGACGACGGTGGCGGGATACGGGGTAGGAGGAGGTGGAGGAATGGCGACAGCAACAGCCTTGGAACAGGACGAAAAGAGCCACGACAGCTCGCCCGCCCTCGACACAGAGGCCGGCCTGACGCAGGAGCAGCTGCAGATGTTTGAGCACGACAACCTGGACATGCTCAAGTACTACGAGACCACGCTGGACAAAGTTCGGTGAGTTTTTTTTCTCCCGCTCCTTTCCGGTTTTCCTCTTTTCTTTTTCTTTTTGTTCTCCTTTCCCCTCCCTTGTCCCCGTCCTGCTCTTCCTTCTTCCCACACCGCCTACACCGCTCTAACACACACAGCGCGGCGGAGCAGTCACTGGTGGAGATCTCGGAGCTGCAGTCGATGCTCGTCGGCAACCTGGAGCTACAGTCGGCACACGTGGACCAGATGGTGGCGGACTCGGTCAATACGGCACAGAACGTGGCGCGCGGCAATCAGGAGCTCAAGAAGGCGCTAGACCGCCCGAGCGCGGCACGGTACACGTTCTACGCAGCCAGCGGCCTGTGCCTCTTCGTGGTGGTGTGGGATTTCTTCGTGTGAGTACGGGAGCGGCTGACACACATCTTACGAGGAGCGCGCGCCGATGGGAAATTGCACGATGCACCAGGTGCGGCTCAGAGGATGTGTGGGGGACCTTATGCTAATGGTAACGGGGCTTACTGTTTTTAGCCGGACGGGGCGAGATAAGATATACGAGCTACGGGGTACGGAGTACGAACATGTACAACTCGTACGAACTACCAAGTATCTTACAGAGTACGTCGTATTGTAGATTCCCTCTGGTCTTTTCTCATTTCTCATTTCCCCAATATTTTTATCATTTTTTCCCCCGTTCCCTTCCCCCTACACAGGGCCCCTATTTTCTTCAATTTATCCTTTTCCATCGCCCTTAGGGCCCTTTTCTCCGTTTGCCCTTTTAGGCTTTTTACGGAGCAGAGGACAAGGACCAGGTCGCCCGCCTTTTTTTTCGTTTCCGTTGCGCCGCTGCTGTCGCATTCCGGCGATGCGCATACGAGAACGTCGTACATGCTAGTCCGCTATTCGCAGGCGGATTGATCGGGCCTCGTTCTGATACACGTACCAGACAAGACCAAGTTAGGCTGACGCCACGGCAATGTGTCATGATCTTGCTCCTCCCCCGTAACCCCCGCCATTTGCCTCGGCCTGATCAGCTCATGGGTCTGGCATCAGCTCACATGCGACTGGCTGGGCTATGCTGCTTTGCTGATATCTCTGGACCTCGTCCGTGCCAGATGGCCAAGACCGATTCCTTCCTTCACTGCTCGTCCTCAGGCAATCGCCTGCTCCACCGTAATCTTGTTACCAGTCTGGTGACTCACACAGCCCTTCAGCGTGTGCCAGCTAGAGCTGTGGTGGTCTCATTCCCAAACGGAAACCGCTGATTCGCCGCGCTCTGATTTGCCAACGGCCCCGCCCTGGCCTCTGGCGGACAACCGGACGATACAGGCGGACGTCTAGCTCTCCGGTCGCCTCGTAGCTGCCCTGTGGCCCTCCCGTCTCTGCGTTCCTTCTCCGCGGTCGCGCCCTAGACACCCTGCACCGTGCACCTCGCACCTTCCACATACGAGTACGGAGTACTCGTACACACCCCCTACCTTGTTGCAGGCACATCTGCATAATAATCAACGGGCTGCGGTTCCGGCGACAACCCCTCTCTCCCATTATCTACCCTCTGTCTCTCTCTCCCTCGCCTCTCTCTCTCTTCTCTCCGAAAAGGCCAGCTCGGAAATCCATCCCGTCTGCAACGCGCTGCCTCTTATTGCACCATCACTCCTAATCATCCTTCATCAGAATGGCAAACGCACGCTCCACTTTTTCGGCGGCTTCTGGCTCTGATCTTCTCCCTTATTCACCCCCTTCAGTGTTCGCCGCGCAATTCAACTCTCTTTCCTCCAAGCTTTCTTCCTCTCTCCCATCCCCATCGTCTTCTACGGCCTCCGACCGCCTTCATCACATCGCACAACACATGGCTGCCCAGACAAACGGCGTCAGCGCCACCAGCTTCCCGGCAGACGCTGTGCCCCAGGCACCTGAGGATCCGCTCTTTGGGCTTATGCGTGAATACCGCGCCGACAAGAGCAAAGATAAGGTGGACCTGGTAAGACTTGCGCTTTTCGTCCTTCCTTTGTGCTTATGCTTTGTGCCTTGTGTCTCGTGCTTTGTGTGTTTGCGCACATCGTGCGCCTCCTGATCTGGACTCACTGTGTTCAGCCTACACAATCTATTTTTACACGACTTGCTAATTACTGTCCAGGGAATCGGTGCTTATCGCGACAACAACGGCAAACCATGGGTGCTGCCGGTGGTCAAAAAGGTGAGGTCGATTGCTAAAAATGGCACTCTCCATTGAGACTGAAGCTATTCGCTATTGCTGGGTTTATCCCCCACGCGCCCAACCCCAGACCCCATACATTGCCCCATAGCCCATTGCCGAAATAACGCCGGTGCACCCCGAATGCACCCCGTATTTTGCGAATCCTTATTCCCCGCCCTCACCTGTTCGATGGAGGACATGAGCTGATTTTTATTTTTGGTTTTCGCTAGGCCGATGAAATCATTCGCAATGATCCCGAAGCCAACCACGAATACCTGCCCATTGCTGGCCTGGCCTCTTTTACTGGCAAGGCCGCCGAGCTGATCTTTGGCGCCTCATCGCCGGCCATTGTCGAGAAGCGCGTTGTGTCGGTCCAGACGATCTCTGGCACCGGTGCCTGCCACCTTGGCGGGCTCTTCCTCGACCGCTTTTTCCATGGCAACCGCACCGTCTACCTCTCCAACCCGACTTGGGCCAACCACAACCAGATTTTTGCCAATGTCGGCTTGCCTACCGCCCTGTATCCCTACTTTGACAAGCAGTCGCGAGGTCTCGACTTTGCCGGCATGACCAGGGCCATTGAGGCTGCCCCGGACCACTCCATCATCCTCATGCACGCCTGTGCCCACAACCCAACCGGTGTTGATCCTACTGCCGAGCAGTGGCGCCAGATCGCCGACATTCTGCGTCGCAAGCACCACCTGCCGTTCTTCGACTGCGCCTACCAGGGTTTCGCCTCGGGCGATCTCGCTCGCGATGCCGGCGCCATCCGCTACTTTGTCGAGCAGGGCTTCGAGCTGCTGCTGGCCCAGTCATTTGCCAAGAACTTTGGTCTGTACGGCGAGCGGGCCGGCTGCCTGCACTTTGTGTCGGCCCCGGGGGCCGCAGCTGCCGACACCACCAGCCGGGTTGCATCGCAGCTGGCAGTGCTGCAGCGGTCTGAGATCTCCAACCCGCCCATCTACGGCGCACGTGTTGCCAGCACAGTGCTGAACGACCCTGCACTGTTTGCCGAGTGGGAGGAGAACCTGCGGACGATGTCGGGGCGCATCATCGGCATGCGCACGGCGCTGCGGGAGAAGCTCGAAGAGCTGGGCACGCCGGGAACGTGGAACCACATCACCGACCAGATCGGCATGTTCTCGTTTACGGGCCTGTCGGAAAAGCAGGTGCTGAAGCTGCGTGAGGACTACCACATCTATATGACTAAGAACGGGAGGATCAGCATGGCCGGTCTGAACACGAACAACGTCGAGTATTTTGCAAAGGCGGTCGACCAGATCGTACGGGCGACTCAATGAGCTCGGCTTATATTTGGGGTGTTTTGAGCAGAGCACATTTCCTTGGTTTATTCGTTTGCGCATGTTTTACAATTTACTATAGATTCCCTATCCGTCTTTTTAGGAAATAAACCGCCATCCGCGGCACTATCCGGAGATAGTCATCCAGGAAATTTGAGCCAGTCTTCATTGATTCTATGATGCATGATGAAGTGGATGGTAATTGACGAGTGTCTCACATCGTGTACCAGAGCTCGGCCTCTTTTGTTTTAGAAAGGCCCATTCACATTGTCTTCATGGAAGACAGGAACAGCAGTGTCAGCATGACGACGGGTGGCCGTCCTCTTTTTCTTGGGGGGCTCTGCCGGCTCCGAAGAGTTGTCATTTTCGGTCTTGATGGCATCGCCATCGTCCTGGTCCTGTGTTTCTTCCTTCTTGACGGCCTTGCGCTTGGTTCGAGCGCGCTTGGGGGTGGCAACCGCAGCATCGGCTCCGGATGCAGCGTCAGTGCCTGTACTGGTACCGACTTCCTCCTTCTTGAGGGGAGTTTTGGCTGCCGGGGTGGTGATGAGGCCGAGCTTCTTGCGGATGCGGTACCATGAGTCCATGCCGCCTTTGGGGCTGGCCAGACCGGCTGCAGCGGCAAACTTGGGGTGGTCGATCTGGTTTTGGTTGGCAGTTAGCAAGAGAACGTGGTGATAGTCGGGGACCCGTATCGTTTACCTTGGGCTCGCCTCCGACGAAGCACTGCATCGCCAGGATCAGCAGCTCGGTTTCTCGCGCAGACAGCGTGCTCAAGGCAACGGCGGCCACGTTGGGATGGGCCATTGTGCAGATGGATGGGTTGTGATTGTGTTGCTCACTCGGACAGGGGGGGTTCAGGCGAAAGGAGAGCAACCAAGAGCCTGCGACAAGCTGGGGAATGAGGTCGGATCGTAACCTGTTCTGGCTGTTCCTGCTAGACGAAGGCGAGGGTAGACGTGCTGGAACAGCTTCGCTGTCTGGAGATGGGTCAGGTTTATGGTGAAATGCAAGTGAAGTGTAGCTGACAAGTTGAGTGAATGAAACTGCGCTAACGAGGACGTGAGTTGTATGTAGGACAGGAGACTGAAGCGAGTATCAGTTGATCCACTGCAAAGATAGTGCTCTATTATTGAGTCGTCCAGACTACGACAGCATACAGCGTATACAAAAAAGCGAAACCGCCTGCAATGCATACAGAGCCTAAAGCCAAAGTCATCGTCATCATTCTGCGTAACGTCCATACTAGCATTACAGAGTCGTATCCAAGACCGGTCCGACCTCCTAGACGGAAGGCATATGCTGAAAGGAGTAGCGCATCTGCTGTACCATTGTGTCGCCGGCAAAGTCGTACTGCCACGTGCGGTCGAGGTCGTGCAGCAACTGGCGCCAGAGCGGTCCGTCGGGACCGGGCCGACGATGGACGCCGGCAAGGTCGAGCCAGAGGCGGATGGCGCGAAAGTCGCAGCGGGCGCGTCGCGGCACCCACCAGACGTCGACGAGACGACACAGCAGCCCCATCCACATGCCGAAGAGCCAGAGGGTCTTGTGGTCGCGCACAAAGAGGAGATGGCGGATCTCGGGCGTCAGCTGGCTGAGAAACTGAAAGTAGAGCAGCACCGTCCGTCCGTTGGCCGGCAGCGTCCACAGCTCGGCCAAGACGCGCAGAGGTCTACGGTACAGCCGGTCTGCCTCTGTCTGGACAGCCGTGTCGGCTCTGGCCCTCCCACTGCCACTGCCACTGCCACTGCTGCTTCCACCACTTCCACCACTGCCACCACTGCCACCACTGCTGCTGCTGCATACACTGCTTCCGCTGGGACTGCTGGGGTTGGCCTGGCTACTAGCACGGCTAGACGTCGACAAGCGGGCCTCTTCCGGAGCCGGATGCTTCACATACCGCTTGATGCGGCGGTCGATGCCAAAGAGGTCGAGCCAGGCCTGCGGCACGCGGTGAACGCTCTGCCAGGTTCCCGACAGGATGCGCCGCTCGTCGTCGCTGTTGGCAAAGAGGTCGCGCAGCGAGCTGTTTGTGCGCCACGGAGCCGTGGCCTCGATCAGCGGGGCCAGGCCCATGGCCACGGCGAGCCAGACGAGCCGGTTGGGCTGCGTGCTAAAGACCCACGACCGACGGGGATCAATGTCCAGGTTGGCGCTCGGGCTGCGGCCCAGCCAGCCCTGGTGACCGTTCTTGCTTGCCCCGTGCCACTCCATCACGACGTCCGACTCGTCCGTGGGCACGATAAAGGCGAGCATGTTGATGATCATGGCCGTGATCAGCAGCGCGTCAATGGCGGCCTGGCCCTGCTCGGCCAGCGGCATCGACAGGGCCTGGCGATACGCCTGCATGGCCATATTCTGCTGGTAGAGCAAGGCTATCCGGTTCTCACGGCTGCCGGGGGCCCAGTGGCACAGATGCGAGGCCGCCACGGAGATAACGGTGCCGCGCAGGTGGGAGTGGCGCACGGCCAGCGGCAGAATAGACCGCACAAAATCGGGCATGTCAAAGACGGCAATACGGCCAACCGTCTCAAAGTGGTGCAGAAGCGCGGCCGAAGACGTGCCCAGTTCCTGGTCGCTGTCGGGAAACGGCTGGTCGCAGAGCGTGCGGAAATTGGGACGGGAAGTGGCCGAGATGGCGTCCAATCGGACGGCTTTCGTCATCGTCATCGTCGTCGTCCCTCTTTCTGGTCGGCTAGCCTGCAATGGCCGCTGGACGAGTGCAGTTGACGTCTGTCCGACCACAGAGCCTGCCGGCTCGCCATCCGGACCCGTCTTCGGATGCTCATACACGCACTCGCGCTGGTTGCGTCGACAGCGCAGACACGTCGGCAGGGCCTGGTCACACTAGTCGTAGGGCCTGTTAGCGCGCTGATGCCCCACGACTGTCCACTACTTCCTCCGTGCTTACCTTGACCCGCTTCAGCTTGCAGGCGGAACAGCCGCCCCGTGACTTCTTGTGGGTGCGTCGCCGTTTGTAGTCACGTGTCTGCTGGGCACTGCTGCTGGCATCGCCCAGGGAGATCACCTGGAAGAAGCCGGGTGCGGATGCATCGGACTGCTCTTGGGACAGCCCTGAGGCGCCCATTCTGCATTTCCAGACGCCCGGAAGGCCTGGCTGCAACGGCCCAATACCACGTCTCGCTTGACGGCTCTCGGCCGGGGCCGCAGCTAGCCGGCCGATCGTGTGCCAGCCAGCTGGAGAAGAAACACGTGTGTGTGCTCTCTCGGGATGGGTGGGTGGGTGCTTCTTTGGCTGGACGAGGAAGAAGGGGGGTGTGGGTGGCAGGCAGTCGTCAGCTGACAGGCTCCGAGGGGCGACAAAGAACGCGAGCAAAGCAAATAGTAGCCAACGACGACAGGCCGGCTGGGGCGTCCGGGGCAGGAGGAAAAGGGGGGGGGGGGGTGGGGAGGCTGCTGTGCTTTGGTTGCAAGAAGAAGAACCGTTGTGTTTCTAAATCACGGAAGCAGGCATTAATTCTCGCTTGTGGGGGGGAAAAGCTCGTTTTCCGGATTGGGACAGGTCATCTCCACTTTTACGGAAGGTGCGGCTGTCATTGGTCATGGGCGCATTGGCAGCGGTTCAAGTTGCAGATGAAAGCTGTATGAAGTACGGAGTATCGTGGGAACCCTACGATCCCTGCTGAAAGTTCATGCTGTAGCCGCCCGTCTTCTCGTCCCGGACCATCTTGAAGTTGTCCGTGCTCATGCCAAACGGCCGAAGGATCCCGTTTCCGAGCTCCTTGAGCTTCCCCCACATCTCGCCCATCTCAGCCTCCTGTGCCGCCTTTGTCCGAGCTGGCAACTGCCGCAGCTGTGTCTGTATCAGTCGTCGGTCGGCCGCCGTTAGCGCCGTGCTGTCGGGCTCCAGTGCTGCCAGCGCCCGGTAGTCCTCCTCGGCACCCGACAGGTTCGACCAGCCCCCCAGCATGGCGCGAGCGCGTCCTCGCCGCAGCAGCACCTTGGCTCGGATACGCTCGCGGTCGCGAGCTGCCATTTGAGCTGGTGTCAACGCCGCCTTGGCTATCGGCGCCGCCTTGCTGGCCCCGGCACTGATGATCTCTTCCTCCACCTCGTCCTCAGATGGCTCCTCTTTTTTGTCTCCTTCTTTCTCCTCCTTCTCCTTTTCTCCTCCTTCTTTCTCCCTCTTCTCACGCTCCAGTGCATCCAGCGCCTGCGTCGCCGCTGTCACTGCCTCCTTCCATGCTTCCATCTTCAGGTGGCAGGCCGCCATGTTGGACCGTAGCACCGCCAGGTCGTAGTCGTGGTGCGCCGGTAGTACCGCCGCTGCTGCCTCGTACGCCGTCAGGGCGGCGTCGGTCCGGCCATGGCCAAAGTGCGCATTGGCTTCGGCCTTGTGGGCATTCGCTGCAGCCAGCAGCTCCTGGCACAGTCACATCAGCAAGACGTAAAAGACAAGGGGAGTGAAACGAGAGAGAGAGACGAGAAAGAAGAAAAACAGTAGAATGAAAGGAAAAAAAAATCAAACAAACGAGACACCAATCTTACTGCTTCCTGCTCAGGAGAGAGGCCGGTTGGCTCGTCCTCCGTCTCGTTGCCTGCTGCTGTATCTTCATCATCACGGCCAGTTTTCATCGTCGGATTCGCCCCGCCTTCGTCTGCCCTCTTCTCTTCCCCGGCTGCTACTGCTGCATGAGGCCCGTTGGCGGTTCCAGAGAGCCCAGACATCGCAGTCTCACGTGGATGCGTGGCGGCTGGCTGTGTACATTCGTCGCGATCTTTGCTTCTTCCCCCTTCTGTCTTCTGGTTTTTAGCCTGCCCGATAAGTTGGCCAAGAGGGGTCGATAGCCAATTTGCATACGCCATCAGTCCCACTTTCTGTCCACCTGCGGGACCTAGAATCCCACGCTAACCACAATAGACACAAGCGCCGCTGTTGGACATTCATCCTTCTTTTCACCTCATCTGAGTCAATTCTGCGTCGCCGTGATCCTGCGGAAGCAACCCGACAAGAGCGCACAGCAGAAAAAACGCAATGGCTCCCAAGACAGAGTATGCACCCTGCAGCTCCCGGCGACCGAGAAAGGCGCCCTGAAAGTGGAACCACGCTTTGCTAATCGCGCAATCAATCGCCAGCTTTCCACCCGTGCGGGCGTGCCTCTTTGACATGGATGGCCTCCTGATCGACACCGAGGACATCTACACTCTCTGCATCAATACCATCCTCGCCCGCTACGGCCGCCCGGACATGCCCTGGTCCATCAAGGCCAAGATGCAGGGCCGCCCCATGCCCCAGGCCAACGCCGTTTTCATGTCCTGGGCCCAGTTGCCTATTTCCCAGGAGCAGTTTCGCCAGGAGAATTCCGTCCTGCAGGCCGACAAGTTTCCCAGCACACAGCCGCTGCCTGGTGTCGTCGACTTGTTGCGCTGTCTCGGCCGCACTCGCTACTGGGACTTGCCCGACGCCACTCCCACTGGCCATCGCGTCCACATCGCCCTCGCCACCTCTTCCCACGCGGCCAACTTCCGCCTCAAGACCGCCCATCTGCAAGATCTCTTCTCCGTCTTCGAGGCCCCTCGCCGCGTTCTCGGCGATGATTCCCGCATTGCCCCCGGCCGGGGCAAGCCCCTGCCCGATATTTACCTGCTGGCCCTCAAAACCATCAACGACACGCTTTCGCCCGGTGAGCCTCCCATCACCCCGGAAGAGTGCCTCGTCTTTGAGGACAGTGTCCCGGGCGTTGAGGCTGGCCGCCGTGCTGGCATGCGCGTTGTCTGGTGTCCCCACCCACTCCTCAAAGAGGAGTATGCTGGCCGCGAGCCAGACGTCCTCGCCGGCACTACCGGTGAGGCTGGAGACACTGGCGCCGACACTCCTGCTGGCCAGATCGACGATGGCTGGTCCGAGTATCTCGCCTCTCTCGAATCCTTTCCTTACCATCACTACGGCATCGTCGTTCCATCCCCTGAAGTCGACAGCCTGCCCTCCATGAAGGCCGCTGCCGAAGATCCTTCTGTCTTCAAAGCTGAATCTGCCCCAGCTTTTTGAACGGGATAGAGTATTTGTTGTCTGGACGTATAGATCTATCATTTCTGTACGCTGATAGTCAAAAGGGGCATTGTTCCATCTCATTCCTTGATATAGACATTAGATATTGACATCATATGCAAAACTCATAAAGGGTATCCATTATTTACATCTCCAGACAAGTACACAAATCGGAAAGCTCCGTTTCCAATCCTGTCGGAGCGTTCTTGAACCCAACAATGAGGCCGTCTAGTCGTTGCTGTTTCCCACCAGTGGCATACAATAAGATGATAGGATGTGCTTCCTGACATTCGTAGGAAACGTTAAAGGGGTACAGATACAAAAATAAAAATAAAAATCAGCAGTGGAAGAGTCAAAAAAGGAGTCGCAAGAAAAGCATTGCGAATTTATAATGTACAAAACCCCTTCAGACATCATATCTTTGCCAGGTTGTATGCGTGCTGCACATCGTTGTCTCGCTGGGAGGCTTGTAAAATGCCTTGTATGGATGATCAGGCAGACTGAAGTCTGCACGTAGCAATGGGTTTACTACTTGTTGTTGTCCATGAGCTGTCGGACCAGGAGTCCCTGGCGAGGAATTCGCTGATGGGGACATTCCTTCACATGCAGATGACGACATAATGGAGGAGACTGAGGCGGTAGGGTGCATGTGAATGTGGCCAGAAGACTCAGTCATTGCAGAGCTTCCTGGCGCTCGAACGAAATGTCTGGCTGTGGTTGAAGCACCGACACTTGGGCCAGGATATTCTCGATAGATTGGTTGTGCTCCAGAAAGGTATAGGCTGAGACCAGTGATGGCCGTAGGACTGGATTCTGGCCCAGAGCTGAGCGCAGACCTTCTTCTAAAGCCATTTCCAAGAACACCGCTTGCGGGTACTTCTGCAAGAGGCGACCTGAAATCAGAGGGAGATGCAGAGGATGCAACGCCCCACACGTCATTGTCACGCTTCCAAGCATGGAGCAGTTCTTGGTATACTTTCACAGTGCGCAAGCCTGTTTCTGTGGCTATTTTGTTGAAGAGTGTAGTCACTTCGTCCTGTTCGCGGCGGTTTCGCAAGACATGTGCAGCTATGACGAGACTGCGAAAGGCCACACTGATTACACCACCGTCTTTTGTGTGAGCCACGATCCCGCATACTTGGTGCGCATGATGTATCTGGGCCGTTTGATTTGCGCCCAAGTCCGAAGGTTTCATCGGGTTGGTTTGATGAAGCAATATCATAGCTGTGTGGTACAGTAGGCGGCCGATCACCGCAGCTCGCCTGACAAGCCTTTTCAGACTATTAGTACCCGGTTAAGAAGAAAGGGCGCAGCGTGTACAACTAACCAGACTTTGGGGAAGACCGATCCAGAAGGGGAGATCTGTGTTGGATAGAGATAACCGAACGGCTTCATGGAACGCGGACATTCGCGATTCCAACCATCACAAAGACTTTTCAGAAGCTTCCACTCGGTAAACCGATTCTGTAGGCGTAATTGCTCGACATGGGGCGACGGCTCTTGAAACCGAGGAATGTTGGCTCGAAAGTTGGCTATTTTCGCAACAATGTAAAACATGCGGTGTGTCCACACCTCATCAGCACAATCCCCAGTATTGTCTGTTGGTGCTTCAGCTACTCGTTTTTCGTCGTCCGGCTGGTCTTTGTTTCCATCCCCCCTATGAGCCGAAGCTTCAATGGCCCTCTTGTCACTGCGGCCAACGAAGTCGTCGACGAAGCCAAGGTCGAGCCCCCAGTGATTCGGGTCCCATGCTGTTGGCCAGTTGAAAGAGAGACAGCTGAGCACCTCCATACCAATGTTGAGCCAAAAACAAGCGGCACCAATTCCTTCGCTCTGAGCGTTCCAGCCACACTCACGAATCAGAGCGCGTGCCCCAGCAATATGGCTCATCCGGTCATTGGGCTCTTCGCTCATAATCTCGTAGACGTTCAAAACGACAGCAGTTGTAGCACACTCTGTCATATTTCTGTCCGGATTCTGTAGGTTGCGTAAAAGCTGAGTGGTTGACGTATCGTAGTAGAGTAGGGCCTTGCCATCCTTGCTGACCTGGTTCGTCAATGTCAGATGCTTGACACCGCAGGCCAAGAATGCGTTGAGTAGCATGGGCGACTTGAGAGCCAAGAACGGGATGATGCGGCTAAAGTGTTTATTTCTGTCCAGCAAGTCCATCCAGATTCCCACTTTTTCCATGAACACTTGCATGTACAGGATCTCATCCGGCGAGCTGAGATATTCTTTTTCGCCTATATTGTCACTGAATTCGTTGCCAAACTTGACGACGCCAATCCCAGTCTCTCTGCCAACATGTATCTTCTCGGACGGAGGTGTGGGTAGCGTGTCAGGTAAAGCATTGCGAGGTTGACGTGTGCCGGCACGAGGGGTCCTATTTCTCGAGACAACGCCCCCGGAGGTGATTCCTAGTTCTGCACGGAAAGACGTGATAGATGAAGGCTTTCTCATTTGGGGCACCACCGGCGAAGCAATGCTAGACGAGTCACTGACGAAAGAGTCACTTGCTCGCTCGTTTGTTTCTTCTTTTATGGGCACAAGACCAAAGATGCCCTCTTCGTTAATGCCAATGCTAGAGATCGGTAGAGCTTGTATTCTCTCTTGAGTCAATGCACTAGGGGGTACCGTATCTATACCGACCAGTCCTCGAGCTAGGCTCGCGGATGACGGCAGGTTCGGAACGGCGAGTGCTGATCCGCAGTGGCCGCCATTTTGTTTGTCGGGGGTTTTGGTGTTTCCGGAGAGGCGCCTGCGTTTGGCGACGGGATATGCACGAGCCTTCACTTCAGGCAAATGTATAAACGCCTCATCGGAAGGGGGATAACGACTGACGCCCCCGGCGTATTCCGAAGCAATCAATCGAGACTCGTCGATGAAGGAAACTGTCAATGAAAAGTAAGCTTCAGTGTCGACAATTTTAGTCTGCCTCGGGGTAAGCTCACCAGTCCATTCCGATACAGGTGGCACGAAAGGGATTGGTTTCGTCTGAATATCGACAAAGTTCAGTCGTAGACCTCTCTTGCATTCCCGGCTACCTTTGCGGCAGTTTAGGCAATCAGGGACACTCTCATCACATTTCAAATGTCGCTCTCTGCATGTGAGGCAACCGGTACGAACCCGTCTTGACTTGGTCGGTGTCTGAACTGCTGCAGAGGAAGCCAACAAATGGTTCTGCTTCTTTCCTTTACCCGTTGTTGGTGGCGTAGGTGTTAGCTCTACCTTGACAGCTGTCGGATTCTGCAAGCTTGATCTGTTGCCTTCGACAGAGCCCACGCTCGGATGAGGACTCGCTTGGCTGCTCCTGCGACTTTGTGCCGTACTAGGACGAGTTTGGGTAGTCCCAAGGCCACTATTTCTTCGGCTTTGGGGCGCAGAAGAGCGCCATCCGGTTGGGGATTGGTCATTGTTGTCGTGTGTCGTTATGGGATCGCCCCTGGCCGGCTGAGATGACTTCATCCTCCACAAGTCCTCTGGGTGTGGAAGATGAGGCGGAGGCGGAAGCAGGGGCTTCGTGGATAAGAAGTGAGTAGTATGTGGTGAGTGTGGGATAGAAAGAGGAGGAAGTGTGATATACGGCAGTGGAAGCGTTGCCGAAAAATCGCCTTCTGGCACAAGCGAGGTATAATGCCGGGGACGCATGGGATCAGAAATTCTGAAGTCATTGTTTTGGCCAACAGAGAGAATTCTGCAAGCATTTTCGTTGCCTGTACTCGCTTGGCCTCGGGGAAGAAAGGTGTCTGCGTGGTTTTCAGCCCGGAGGTCTCCTGTTGCTGACAATGTTGGCAGAGTGCCAGCTGAAGAAGCCGAAGCTGGATGGCCCAAGCAAGGCGGAAGTGTTGTCGTGTGTGCGAGAGGAACTGACGAGGGTGAAGAAGGACAACGCCGATTTGTTGTCCCCAGGCTCATGCCCACGCCTTTGTTCATTTCCGCACAATGCGTCGGTAATCACGGCACCGGAGTGAACACAATGGCAGCGCTGGCGTTCGCGGAAGCCGAGTTAGCTGCCGTGAGACTTTCTTCCCGTCAGAGAAGAGAGAGCCTGCAGAGAGAGACCTTTTTAGAATAGATGGAGAGGTCTCAGACGGGGGGGGGACAAGCTGATAGGGCGAGTAAAGTAAATGGCCCACACCGGTGTCGACAATTGCTGATTTTCATGTCACTGTATTTCCTTCTTTATCATACTAGTACTGCGACATCTTCCTGCCGTGTACACGGGGCGGGGGGTAGTGTGGCTTGTGTTCCCACAGTATCTTGCGTTTCCGCAAGAAGGCTGATGGCAAAAAACCGGAAGAAACGAAAAGAGGTCTTGGTAGAGGCCCTAATGCGCGGTATAGCAGTGGTAGTCAACATGCAGCAAGAGAATTGTCTGGTAAAGGGAGAGCGGCTTGTCTGTAAAGCTCGAGAAGGCTGAAATCGCTGCGCAAGTTGAGCAAGTTTTCCAAGAGGGGCGAAACAATGGAGTCGGACAGCCGATGCGATGAATAGAGACAACCGCCACAACAAATGGTGCAAATCGAAGCAAAGGACCAAGAAGAAATATAAACGGCAATGACAATATGTTAAAAGGCTGTTCAGCACGGCTGTAATGAACACAGCGTGGCCTGGCGTCAGGCGGGATGCTTGTATGTTTTGGCGTTGTACCAAAGGTGTGTGGGAGAAGTCCAAAGACACGACGAGGAGAGGGATCAAGAAATATAGGGAAGAATTATAGACAGACACACAGCAAGATCAGGAGGATACTGAGGAATTAACGGCTTGCTGTGAAGGATCTATCTTCTTGGATGGGATCCGGTGCTGCATGATCTGGGTGAACGATATCGACAAAAGGTCTAGACAGGCGAGGCCGGTAATCGCAGGCGTGGATATTAAGGTGCCGACAACACTAGAGAAGTGGAAGAGTCCGACGGCAGTGACGGGAGGATTGGTGATAGTGATGCTTCTCCGGACCGATGGCTTCTGCACGAGTCACCACCAGGACAAAGCACTCCAGCTGCGTCGGGGGTATTGTCTCAGAGGGCGCGATTAAACGAGCACGGGGACTGTGCAACGACAGGGTTGTGCAGATGCGGCTGGTGACAATGGACAGTGTGTGAGGCCGAGGTTGTGGAAATCCGATGACAGGGGCACGGTTGTCGTCGGTATTTATGAAGAAAACGGATGGGAAGCAAAACAAGGGGCAATTTCACAAGGCCGCTTTCTAGCAAGCAAAAGCAGATGGGCAAGCAATATGACACACCCCAGGACAGGAAGGGAGGAGGCTATAGATCGCGACGAAGAGACCGGAAAGGAAAGAGCGCCGCACGCTCGCCCGCCAGCTTTTAATGGCGGTCCGCTTTTCAGGGGAGGCCTATGAAAGAAAGACAGCACAGCTGTAGCCAATGAGCTGGGCGCGAAGCTATCGAGGTCGCTTTCTTTTCTTTTTCGGCCCTCCTGCCTCCCTGGCCCTCCGGATTAACGCCCACAACTTTTATTTACAGCCCTGCTGACAAGGCGCGCAGATCAATCTCTCTACGACACGGGGATGGCCAACCAGGAGGTAGAAGGACTCAACGGCCGGCCTGTTTCTGAAGTGACGGCCGTTAAGACACAGTTCATACGCCCTGCACTATTGAAGGGTTGGTTGGAATAAGGGAGGGGGAAAGCAGGGATCGCGCAATCCCGAAGTGTGCGCCATCCTGGTAGGGTTACAGCGAGGCTTGGGCCGTGGCAGACTACTGGTAGTGCTCTGGGGTCGAGCGGATAGCCCAGGGTCCCCAGCAAAAGAAGAGAGAGACCCACCCAACCAGCATTCTCGCAGAGGAAGAGTGCGGTTCGAGCGTCACAGAGCTGCCTCGACTGCCTCAACTGTCTCGTCTTGGACTGCTGGCAAAAGCAGATGCGCTGATCCTATGACACATACGCAACGAACGGACATGTCCGACGCTGCCAGAGGTGCAAAGAAGCGATTGGTCTGCTGGGAGGCCTGTGCTGGTCTCGAGACATGCGTCGGTCCTTGGTCTCGTGCCGGCACGGCAAGCCCAATGGCAGGCCGAAAGGGAAAACAAGGCTTTCCTTATTTCGAGCCCATTGTCGCCATGACGGGTGTAGAGTGCCGACTGATAGTCCAGTTTGCTTTTTATTGCTTTCAGCCTGCGCTGACCACTCAGCTGTCGGTTTTGCTTCAACATGGACAACAGGGGCGAAGTACAGTGGGGTGAAGAAATCACTGAGGGCGTTATGCAATAACTTCAGAAACGATTTAGGTGGCGCCAGCGAGCTCGTCAGTGGGCTCAATCAATCGACAGACAGCCATGTCTTGCTTTTTGTGGTGCCGCCTTTAGCACTCTCTCCATAGCATGATTGACTGCCAGCTATGGTGACCAAGCGAGGACGCCGCCTCGGAGCCGTTCGATCGATCGAGCTGATCCGACCTAGGCCAGCTACGCTACGTGTCCAAGGCGAAGAGAGGCCTGCCACGGCACTGCTGTGACACAAGGGAGGGCCCTAGAGAGCCGGGGTCCACGGATCAGGCCGTCCCCAGCTGTGTCCGTCATATAGGCTGTATATCGATCAGACAAGCCGATATCGTCTTATTCCGCTCGTGTGCAATGCGTATGTTGCATCTCCCCAAAGGCTACTCATTCAATCGCAGTGTCCGGAACGTTTAAGCATCCAACATGGACCTTGCTTCACCGCTTGCGTAAAGGTTCCGGCCTAAAGTAGCCCATATTCTGGAGACGGCTACGGCCGCAACGACAGGCGCAGAAATTTTGCGTGCAAGCCTGCACATTTCGCTCAGCGGTGTGGACACAGCTGTGGAGACCTGTGTGAAGACGGGCCCATCTAAAAAACGACATCTGTATTGGAGGGAGCTAGCAAGCTTATTGCTTGTTTGTTCTTTTGCTTCCTGAGATGGAGAAGAGACTGGCTCGTGCGTTTAACAGGACAGAGCAACGAGTATTCGTGACAATCATCAAAAGGGGGCGAGGCGAGGAAACGCAAGGCCAAGACTTATAATCAGAAGAACTAATATTTCTACAGCTGTGTCTGTAACAAGCTGTTAATAACAGCACTGCCACGGTCTGCGCAAATTGTGTCAGAAGGACACCTGTGGTTAACCAAAAAGAACAGTTCTCGACCTAGCCTATCGACACTAGGCCGTTGCTGTAGTTGGCTGTCTCGGAGAAATTGGGTGCCCCGATCCTGTACAGCTTACACGCTGCATCATAGCCGTTTCTGTGTAATACATAAGCGACTGTTCTGGGCTATTCCAGGCAATTTCCAACCCGCAGGCGGCCTTGTTTCATCCCTATCGCTTGCATCTCTCTCTTTAGTCTAAAATCGGGGCTATATAAAGAGCAAATGAGCATGTTGTACGCCGAGAAGGGCCTTTGTCTTGGACGATAGTAAAGCTGACCATATGATATATTGTCAGATATTGTTTACAACAGGTAGAAAAAGTCGGGAACCTTCGTTCTCCAGCTTTGTTTTGCTGGCCTCTATCAGAATAGGCATAATGTCCGTCCGTAGATTTGCTAAAACTCACCGAAGTTAGCAGACACTATTTTGCACTATTCTAATCAATACAAGGCTCTATAATACGGCGTGTCGCCAGGCTTAGATCGGCTTATCTAGCACAGTTATCTAGCTTTGAATTAATATCGATTATTTGATTATCTTGCGTGAATTTCTTACTACTCGCCATCACGCAACAGTTGAACATTTCGAATAACGCAAGGCTTAATAAAGTCACAGAGGCGGATCATTCCTATACTACAGAAAGTTTATATGAGAGAAAAAGGACCTAGGAGTTCTCCTATTTGAGGTTGACAAACAAGCAAAAAGCAATCGAGTTCATTTATAAGAATATTAGCCTATCCTTCAAAGGCTTACAAAGTACAAACTAGCAAGTCATCTTTTCCCTACTATAGTATGTAAAACTAAGGACCATAGGCAAACATACAAAATATCATGTTCGCACCGCCTATTCAAAAGTTGGCTTTAGAGAGTGTTTAAGTAACTGTCCACCAGCAGGTTAAGGGATAATATAATATATAAAAAGCTGGGTAGGCACTTTAAATCCGAATGTCTCTTAGTGCGCTTAGAGGTGTTTCGGAAACTATCATGGATGCGTTACGATGTCGAAGTTCAAAGTTCGTGTGCCTAAATCTTGTTAGCAATAGAACAACCATACAGAGACTTGGGAGACTGACTGAGCAATGAAACAAGTATTAACCTCCGTGAGCTCCGTTATGTGATGGATTCGCCAAATTCTGTAGTCTGGAACCTTACGACTCTGTACTCGTTCCGGATATTTGCAAATTCAAACTTCATATTGGCTAGTCCATCTCTGAGATATCTGCTTGATCGATTAAATTATGGTTTGGCCTGAGCTTGAACCATACTTCCCAGCGTAGTAGGCGAGTTTTATATGGCGAATTTCAATCTCAAGCTCGGAAATGGCTAGAACCACTCCGGGCCTACGTAATATATTCGCTTTGCCGCCTTCATAGCAGCCTTCTAACAGATTACGTATGAGGAGCGCACCGCCTACCACCGTTTTTCTCGCAATCATCACGAATATCACTGAATTAGCACAGAAGGCAGCGGATGCACAGGAGGCTGCAGCAACAGCGTGGTCCGGTAACCCACGTGCCGTCTTCTAAAGGATGACGATTTGGCGTCGTAATTGGGTTTACATGGTATGTACTGATCTTTTCTGTTCTTGTTCAGTGGTATTCGTCTTGTTTTGTTCCAAATCACCACTTAGACGAATTCAGTATTCGGCCAGAAGGGTAGTGTAGTACAACTACAAAATCACAACGTTGTCTTCGTCTCCGTGGGAAGAGTCTAGAGTGTAAAGCCTACTACGATATCTTTCAACAAGTTCCATAGTCAATGTAACGTGCACATAATTAAAAATACTACATGGAACTGCTAATCGTCCTGGTGCGAGAGCATGGAGCTCTACCAGGAGCCTGCATTAGCTCTTAGGGTGTCTTGATAAACTTCACTTTTAAGAAACATCGCCTATTTCTTGACGGAAATTATGAATGTCTTCTTGCCATCAATTTCTAGCGCATCTGACCGAGATCGCACAGCTGAGACGGAAGCCCACAAAGATCACCCAAAATCCAGTAGTTGATCGTAGGGTATTTATTCACTGCCACAGCATCTACTGCCCGCGCAAGAATGGTCTGCAGTGATGACTCGCAGAAAATTTGAAGCTGCTCATCAATTTGGCATGTGGCTGGAGCTGGTGAATGTCTCAGCTGATGATGAAGGCTTTGGAGGCAAATCAGGCAACAGGAGGCGAGGTCGTCATCTGTGCATTCGGGCAACCGTCCATCATAGCAATGTCTAGAGTAAATATATTTCGGAACGTGTGGTCTCTACAGGCGACAAGCGTAGTGCAGATAACGCTCTTGTTAAATGTTGCAATAAAAACCTGTACAAGCCCTCTGTGCACGCCTTTGATTCTGTGCGTTGGCCGGCTGTCAAAGTGTTAGAAGTTTTTATACTAGGTTTCTTCGGCGGGAGGTGATTTTTTAAGTATTCACAACCTAAGCCAAAAAACAAAACTAGGACAGAGAGACTGGCGAAATTCTATTGATTGTAAAGACAAAAATATCCATCCAATATTGTGATTATTGAAATAAAAACTGATCCGATTAGCAAAACAATTTAGTCCCATTACAGAGTGCGACGTTTGTAGCAACTCTACATTTCGACTGAGTCTGCAGTGCTTACAATCTCGGCAAGCTTCTAAGGCTATCAGCACTAAGTCGCAATTGCGGTTGTTAGATTGCCTTGTTTACATGGATTGGCTTGGTTGACTTAGTTGGCTTGACTTCCTTGATTTGGGTTAGCATGATTGCCTTAGTCGGCTTAACGCGGTTTAAAGAATATGTATTACTCTGTAAAAAAGAGTTTCGTAAAAGAGTACGGAGTAGAAAGATAGGCAGAAAAAGTCCTGGCGGTAACTACGACGTAGACGTGCAGGGACCTTAGGGATGACCAACACGTACACCATATGCCAGGTGCTACCACCTGACAGCCAAGGAGCCCGTTGGTCGCACGAGTCACCAACGCTTGACCGCTGTCTTCAAATGCGGAGAAGGATCGGCCACGTAAAGTACTTGCCGAATAATTGCATAATATACATGTGGCTAATCAGGCGCTGCGACGTGATCGCCGAGGTTCACATGTTCGCGTGCTTACATCGCCGTCATTGTTAGACAAGATACAAAAACAGCCGAATAGCTAAACCCCAGATTCTTCTTCCCCACTGCCGATTCCTCCTTCTTCCATTCTTATTTCAATTCTCCAATTACTCACGACTTCACACGCCTCGAACCCTACTCTCCGTCCTACAGCCGATACCTAGTAGACCCTTTCTTTTTTCCAAATACACATCCTAAAAAAGATCACCATGCCTCTCCAGAACGGTAAGTAGCATGGAGCTATTGCGGAGGGAGCCTTGCGGGCTCCTCCGTATTAATCCGGCAATCGTATCATAGTTGCTGTAGGCTAACGAGCACCAAAACAACAGAAAAGTATCCCTCCTCCGTGGCTTTCGACGCCATCAACGATGCCCTCGCCAACGACGACTTCAAGAAGGAGGCTATCAAGCAGGCCAAGGCTGTTTTCGGCATCACACTGAAAAACCCGGCCGGTGAAACCGAGAGCTGGTTCATTGACCTGGCCAAGGAGGGCAAGGTTGTGCAGGGTCTAGACAAGTCTGATGGTACGTTCTTACATTGACTTTTGCTCTAATTTTTCTCTTCTTTTGCCATACCTCATCAGTTCCCCTGCCCCGTCCGTTTGCAAAAGCCCGCTTTTATTTGAATCGCTTTCTGCATGCGGATGACTAACCGTACCTAGTTGAGCTGCGGCTGTCCGACGAGGACTTTGGCAAGCTTGTCCTGGGCAAGGCCAAGGCGCAATCCTTGTTTATGTCTGGCAAGCTCAAGATCAAGGGCAACGTGATGAAGGCAGCCAAGCTTGAACCCATTCTTAACAAGGCGCAAGGCCAGACGAAGGCGAAATTGTGAGCACGGGCCGATAATAAGTGTAGGCACGAAATGGGATTGCTAGGATAGGATAACACAGGCTTGTTGAGTCTTTTTTTTCTTTTCCGCGAAGATTCTCGCGCATTTTAGTGGGAGACCTGTCGGTTATATTCTTGTAAGATACAGCATCACACTTTGCCTCATACGAGCGCTTTCTTACGTTGATATAATCGTGCTCGCATGTGTCTCCTGATGCCGGCAGACAGGTCGTTTGGCTAGCTGTCTACGGCTACTATAATCCACTTTTGCCGCCCTGCATAGAAACCCGCGCTGCATTGGCACCTCAACCGGGCTGCCAATCCACTCTGTCACAGTGCCTGCTTTGCAATCCGCGCAAGTGGCTAACGGTTGTCCGTTAATTGACATACGGTTGTGGGAACATGGCCATTCGTATCGGCAATCGACTTTGTACACTTCCATCATAAAATCGCTCCCTTTGAGATGCTGCGACTTGTCATGCGAATAATGTGTACATGATGTGATGGCCTTTGAGCGCCCCCACGTAGTCTGACTCTTGGGCTGAAGCTGGTCTGGCAAGGTAAGCTCACTTCCGGTTTCGTCGCACCTGCGAGGTCCCGTTGTCGAAGAGGCGGCGTGGTCGTAGAGCCGTTGGGAAAAAGGGCAAGCAGGCAGTTGGGCAGAAGTGAGCCTTGCATTAGCATTCCCGGCAGCCATGAGAACAGCGAGAAGCAACGGGTTGCCAACGCCGTGCTCAAGAAAACAAAACGGAAAACGACAGCTTTGCGCCGGCAAATCGAGCCGGGGCCGACAGCTAGCCTTGGTTAAGGGACAACTAAGAGGACCTCAGAACTGCCCCACGGGGAGACAGTGCGATATTTCAGGTCCAAAGGTCACCTGATGTGGCCAGTACAAATAGAGCTCCTACCCCTCCGCTCAATTTTCGTCTTCCCTCTGTTTTGCTTCTCGACAAACCCCTCACTATAATCGCGCATCTACATCTGCACCATGGGCATTCTCTCAGACCTGAAGCTGCCGGTGGGCGTCATCTACGGCGATGATGTGCTTAAGCTGTTTCAGTATGCACAGGTCCACGGCTTTGCCATCCCCGCCATCAATGTGACATCGTCGTCCACCGTTGTGGCTGCGCTCGAGGCTGCTCGCGACGCAAAATCTCCCATCATCATGCAGTTCTCCAACGGCGGTGCTGCCTTCTTTGCCGGTAAGGGCATCACCAACAGCAAGGAGAAGCAGGAAGCTTCGGTTGGTGGCGCCATTGCGGCTGCCCACTTCATCCGCTCCGTTGCCCCTCTTTACGAGATCCCAATCGTCCTTCACACCGACCACTGGTACGTATAAGCCCCCCTTCCTTCCAGCCAATTGTATTCGAGCGCGATTGCTGACCCGTACAGCGCCAAGAAGCTGCTCCCATGGCTCGACGGCATGTATGACGCGGACGAGGCCTTCTTCAAGGAGCACGGCCACCCTCTGTTCAGCAGCCACATGATCGACCTGTCGGAGGAGCCGCTGAAGGAGAACGTTGAGATCACGGCCAGCTACTTCAAGCGTGCCAAGCCCTGGAAGCAGTGGCTCGAGATGGAGGTTGGCCTGACTGGTGGTGAGGAGGACGGTGTCAACAACGAGAACGTCGATAACGCTTCCCTGTACACCCAGCCGGAGGACATCTGGGAGATCCAGAAGACTCTGAGTGCCATCTCACCATACTTCAGCATTGCTGCCGCCTTTGGCAACGTTCACGGTGTCTACCACCCGGGCAACGTGCGTCTGCACCCCGAGCTTCTGGGCAAGCACCAGGCATATGTCTCGGAGAAGCTCCAGGACAAGTCCGGCAAGCCCGTCTTTTTCGTCTTCCACGGCGGCTCTGGCTCGTCCAAGGCCGAGTTCGCCGAGGCCATCTCTCACGGTGTGGTCAAGGTCAACCTCGACACCGACATGCAGTGGGCGTACCTGTCTGGTCACCGTGACTTCATTGTCAAGAACATTGAATATCTTAAGACCCAGGTCGGCAACCCCGAGGGCGTTGACAAGCCTAACAAGAAGAAGTACGACCCGCGCGTCTGGGTGCGTGAGGGCGAGAAGACGATGAAGGCCAGAGTCACTGAGGCCCTGCAGGACTTTGGTGCTGCTGGTCAGCTGTAAAAGCAGTATAATTCCAGGACTAGTCTGTTCTCTGTAACTAAAATGCAAACACAATATTCCACCTATACACCATTTCAAGCCTTTTCCCGTCCGCATGAAGCCGGAGAATGCTCGCAGACCGGAACATAGCCGTCTTCCTGCATGTATTCGGACTCTACCATTGTTTCTAACCGAGGTTTTATCGTTTCTGTCCACACCATTCCGACCGGTATATCTCATCGTCGTCTTCTAACAGCATAATCGCGCCAATGATGGACCTTTTACCCCACTACATCATAGCACAGTGCGAATTGTGCGGTGCAACTTGCGCTCTTGCCCGCCCATTCGCGCCGCCAATAATGGAGTTATTTCTCACTTGTTTTTATCGGCGCCCGTTCTTCCATTCTCACAGTAGGATACTTCGCCCCCCTTCCATGTACCCACTTAATCGCGACCCCATTGGCTGGCCAAAAATCAGGAGCGCGTTCCCTAACTGGCATAGAGGACAAGCAAATTCTCCTTTACTATTTTTTTTCTTTAGTTTTTATTTCTTGACCTGCTCAGACTTCTTTGGCGCCCTAGCGCATCTCCTCACTAATTTTTTTTCTCTCACGTTTCTCCAAACTTGTCGCGACGTCCATCAGCGACTCCATCTAAATCTCATCGACGCGTCATTCATTTCGACTGTCCGTACTTGTCTTCTAAGTACCTGGTGTCCGTTCCAGTTTTCTGTTCCTTGGCGGCTGTTTCTTCACCCGCTCGAGACAACGTTCTTGTCGCGATCGAATTTCGTCGAAGCGCGGTGTCAATGCATCCCATTTAGATTGCCGACGTTGCAGCATCGTCATCTACCTCATCTTCTCTCCGTTTCCATCTACAATCACAGCCACACATACCTTCAATACAATGGAGACTCCTCAGAGACGGCAGAAGTCGTGGCTTAGCAGCCTCACTGGCCTCGTCAGTGGCAGCCGCTCTTCTGCGCAAGATACCGCATCTGGCGTGGCTGCGGGCGTTATCACAGGCAAGAAGACAGAAAACGTTGATTCATTCTCCTACCGTCTTCGCTCTGCTCAGGCAGGCCATACTACGCCCTCCCGCTACTCGGGCACCTTCTCCGCCCCCCCTGTCGAGTCCCCCGAGAGCCCAGTCAAGCGCGCCTCACCAAGTCAGCTGGCACAGCGCAAGATGCATGAACGCGCCCAAGGTCCGTCTGGTAGGGCTGGTGCTGCAGCAGCACACTCCAGCTCTGCCCGCGGCGAGAGCAACAAGAGCTACCACAGCGTCAGCTTCGATAGCCACCTAGCCACTACGCCAAAGCGGACGAACTTCCCCTCTGCAACCACTCCGAAAAACGTATTTCGCGATTCCATGTCTCGCGACGTGCCTGCGTTTACATTCACTCCCCGTGTTCCGGCCAACACCATGAGGGGCGGCTTCCCTGCAACAACACCGGGCCGGTCGTTCCGCTCTTCGGGCATTGAGCTAAGCAGCCAGGAGATGGCCAAGACCTCATTCAGCGATTTGTTTGCAATGAAGATTCCCGACCCGGATCCGAAGTTGAGCGGCGAGGCCATTGCTGGCATGGTACCGAAAGATCTCAAGGCCGGAAGTCGGTCCGTCTACGCGAATGAATACTTGGCCCATCTTTGCCCCCCTGACTTCAGCGAGGAACAGCGCAACCAGTTCTTCTGCATTTTGGATCTGCGGCGCCTGAAGTATGCTGCCGACGAAGTTTTTGTCAAAAAGGACTGGAAATTGAACATTTTGAACTTCGCAAAGGAGTACGAGAAGAACCGGAGCCTGATCATGCTGCGATACGGCCTTTACGAATTCAAGACGGTCAAGGTGTCGAAGGACGTCTTCCAGAAATGGAAGGCGGACAACAACATCCCCGATCTGATGGAGGAAGATGAGCTTGAGGATACCATGACAAGCAAGTCGACAACTGTGCCAAAGGCCTCGAAGCTCAATGGCACTGAAGGCATTCTCCAATCCGGGAAACGCAAGGCCCAAGACGTAATCGATCCTGCTGCCATGGAGTCCTCCTCATCAACCTTTTCGGCGAACAAGCGATCGCGGCCTTCTGAAGGTTTCAAGGCCGAACGGGAGCCCCTGACGGAAACAAGCACCCCTCTCAACCAGTCCAAGCGGAAGGCAGCCCAGAACAACAACGCCGAGCAGATTCAGCGGTCAAAGATGCAGAAGGCAACGCCGAATCCGCCTTCTGCGGCCACGTCTGCCACCAGGGCGTTGTTTGAGAAGTATGCAAACTCTCCTTCCAAGGAGCCAGCTGCAACCGAGACTCCGTCTATTCTAGTTTCCAAGCCATTTGGCGAGAGTGGCTCAAGCTTGAAGGCAGCCTTTAAGCCGAACACTACGGGACAGCTGCCCAAGTCATCCTCCGGCAGCCTGGCCCGTTCCGTCCTGGAGAGTGGCCTGAAGACGAATGCAGGTCCAGCTGGTGGCAACATATTTGGCTATCTGTCAGACGCAAGCTCTGCAAAGGGCAGCGGCAATGACAATGCCGATGCTGACGCGGAGGATTCCGACGAGTCAGACGGCCAAGAGGAACCCGAAGCACAAGTGTCAAGCGACAGCACTGGCGCTTCTGCCAACGGCATCACCAATGCCACTGCAAAATCGGCGCCGTCGCTCTTCTCCGCCGCCAAACCGGCAAGCTTGGTGCCTGGGGCCACAGGCGCTCTGGCCGGCTCGAGCGCTTCCTCGGACGTTTCTGAATCCGCCGCGGGACGCAGTCTTTTTGATCGCGTCAACAAGACCAGTGATGGCCAGCCGATTCGTGTGTTTGGTGCTGAGAGCAACAGCTCACCCTTCGGCACGTCCGCATTTGGCGCTAAGGGCGCACCTGAGCGGCCGAGTCTCGAGAAGGAACCTGCTCTGTTTGGCGGAAACAAAACATGGAGCGCCGATACGCCTATCAAGTTCGCCGGTGGTAACAGCTCTACGCCAGCGAAGTCCCTGTTTGGTGCATCCACGACCAACAGCGGCCCGGCTTCTGCAGCCAGCACCACGCCGAATTTGTTCGCGTCGGCGTCCAAAGAAAGCAAATCGGACGCTCCACCATCTCTGTTCGGCTCTGTTTCTGCACTGAAGGAGCCGAAATCAGCTGCTCCTACTTCCCTCTTCGGGTCTGCTGCGGCGGCACCGAAGGACACCAAAGTTGACGCGCCTGTCTCTCTATTCGGTTCCAAGACGCCAGCGACATTGTTCGGCAATACCGCCAAAGATGCGCCGCAGTTCACGTCCACAACGCCTGCAGCAAGTACCGCGGATGCACAGCCCACTGAAGCGCCGCTTTTCGGCTTTTCGAACAAGCCAGCTGGCCCAAGCACGCCTGCTGCACCCTCGCTGTTTGGCGCCAGCACTGCAGGGTCTGGAACGCCGGCTACTTCGCTTTTTGGTAAGGCACAAGAAAAGCCGGCCACGACGACGGCCACGTCTTTGTTTGGTAACGCTGCGGGTACGTCGAAGACGGCATCTGGCTCTGTGCTGCAGTCGCATACTCTGTTTGGCGGTGCTCCCAAACCGGAACTTGAGCCGCAAGGACTGAAGCGCACTGCGGACGACAAGGGAAGTTCGTCAGCGGCTGCAACGTCGGGGGCTTCCCTCTTTGGTGGCGCTCTCCAGAACGGCACCTCCAGCAAGGACGAGCCTCAGGCAAAGCGGCCTCTATTCGGCAGCACTACGCCGTCTTCGCAAGCTCCGTCTTCCGCCCCGCTCTTCTCTTTTGGCAGCACAAGCACGAATGGAGTGAGCGGTGGGTCCAAGGTTCCAGGAGAGACGGCCAAGTCGCTGTTTGGGTCAACTATCAACGGCAGTGCGGCAGAGCCGGCAAAGACACAGGCTACTAGCCTGTTTGGGAGCACGACAACGGCGGCCGCCAATCCTGTCAGTGGCTCGATTTTCAACTTTGGCAACACCAACAGCAGCGCAGCTCCACCAGTCCCGTCGTCCTTCTCTATTGGAGCGTCGACGGCTGCACAAGACAGCGCACCACCGGCGCCCATATTTGGTGGTGGCAATACTGTGTCGGCTCCCTCATCTTTCACGTTCAGCGTTGGAGGTGACACCAGCAACCAAGGATTCCACAATCCGTTTTCCTTTGGCGGTGCTGGGGCCGAAGCTGCTCCGTCTCTGAGCTTTGGGGGCGTTGCATCGGCCACGGTAAGCTCGTCTGCGTTCCAGTTCGGGGCTACCACGACGCCTGCGGTAGCACCTCCGGCCTCTGGCGGGATGTCGTTTTCGTTTGGTGCCGGGGCACAGCCGTCGAGCCAGCCAGTCAACGCAGCACCTGGGAACTTGTTCGGAGCCACGCCGGCAGCATCTGGTGGTGCCAACGGCAGTTCAATGTTCAGCTTCGGTGGTGGTGCTCAGGCACAGCCCAGCAACACGCCCATCTTCGGACAGCAGCAGCAGCAGCCGGCCCTCGGCGGTTCCATGTTCAATCTCGCCCCTCCAGTTGGCGGGACATCTACAGGTACTAGTGAGTTATTCAAGAATTCCCCTGTTGCGGCTGGGATGTGGTGGCGCATGTAGAGTCGCTAACAAGCGTGCGCTTCTTGCAGATACCCCCTTCACCAATCTCGGTGGCGCTTCTAGCCTGGCCACTACACCGGCCACGGGCACTCCCGAGCCTGGTGCCGCCCAAGACAATTCGGACCATAATGGACACCAGGCTGACGGAGATGAGGCCCCACAGGAACAAATCAATTTAACCGAAGGCGGACCGGGCGAGGAGGACGAGGCCGTCGCCTATGAAGTTCGTGCCAAAGCGCTCAGGTTGGCTTCGGCTAAGGAAACAGACGGCGGCTCGCCGGCCGCAAAGGACAAGAAGAACCCGTGGAAGACGGAGGGCGTCGGTTCCCTCCGGGTGCTGAAGCACAAGACGACGGGTGCGGTGCGGCTGCTGCTGCGAGCAGAGCCTCGCGGCAACGTTGCGCTCAACCGGGTTCTTCTGGCGGACTTCAACTACAAGCCGGAGCCCAATGCCAAGTACGTCAAGCTGACGACGTCCAACGAGGCAGGCACTGGGCTGGAGACTTGGATGTTGCAGGTCAAGACCAAGGAAGCTGCTCAGAAGCTTGCCGAGGCTCTCGAAGAACACAAGTTGGCAAACAAGAAGTAGGAACAGGTATGAACGGTTGAATGCAGCTCAGCGATCTCAATCTACTATTACCCCCCCTTCCCATATCCCCCCACCCTCTACAGAACGTGTTTAATCTTCTCCTGCGTTGGTGCATATTTATGGCATATCCCCTTCTCCCACATCCCCCAGCCCTTTTTGCATTGTACAACCCCCGATTTAACTTCAACCCCCTCAGACATGATGTCTTTTGCTTTAATTTCCAAGTAGGTTTTAATGCCTTCTCGTCAAATCGTTTTAAGCGTTTCCCGTCCTTGTTTTGATGCCGTCTCTGCCACATCACATCCCCCCCCCGGAGTTTTGGAGATGAAGTGAGCATAATTTTGGTTTCCTTTGCAAAATAAGGCATATATGTATAAGAACAGCGGAATGGAGCATGTATGGTGTTTATAAAGAAGGAGATAAAAGGAGGTGAATAGGAGATGAATAGGAGGTGGATAAGAGGCGAATAGGAGTGAAATTATGCAACCGATTTGAACGTTGCAATAGTGCGGTTGATAAACTAATGCGTGAAGATAAGAGGCGGCAACAAAACGGGATTTACTGTCTCCGCTTTCCTGCTTACTCGGCTCAGCTCCGTGTGCTGTGTGATATTTAAATATGCCTGCGTCCGATAACCAGACGTGATTGTGACTAGAGACAACCTTTCATCTTTTTCTTAGGAGAGTGATGCACAGCAAGAACGACAGAAGCAGAAGACGAAACGAATATTGATACACGATGCCGTGGACCGAAAGTGTGGCTCTTCAGGAGGTGCAACGTTCCAACAGCACGGTGCAGCGAGAGATGGACAGCGAGGCGGTGCCTCTGGAGGCGAATTCGGCGACCGTGCGAGGGGCCAAGCTGTCGATGCGTGACGCAAGGGTGCTGGCGGGCCAGGCGCTGCTGCAGCTGCCGATCTGAGGTGAGTACGATGCCGTCTGGGATGTCTGGGAGGATGCTGACCAATCAGGATTTGCCATGGGCTTCGGCGTGTTCCAGGAGCACTTTTCGGAGCACTGGACGCTGGCAGGCAGCCAGAGCGCGACGGGCGTGATTGGCACGACGTCCAACGAGGTCATGTACTTGGCGATGCCATTTCTGTTTGCTGGCCTGTCGTGCAAAAACGTTGTCGGCTCGACCTGTCCGTTTCTGTTCCGCCTGCTGCTGGACCGTCTGGGCTTCCGTGTGGCCCTGCGTGTCTGGGCGGCCGTGACGGCCGTTTCGGGCGTGGTCGCCATCCTGCTGGTGTCGGGCGGTGGAGGCAGCAGTGGTCTGCCAGCTCCAGATCATCGCAGCCGTTCGGTCCCGTGGAACTTTCTCCGGCACAGCACCTTTTATGTCTACGCAGTCGCCACGGTGCTGCAGAGCTCCGGCTACGGCATCCCGCAGACGTACCTCAACACGTACGCCCACGACGTGACCCAGCTGTCGGGCGGGTCGGCCACGCTACTGCTAACGCTCTTCAACATCCCCAGCATCGCATCGTCGGCCTTTTTCGGCTTCCTTAGCGACGACCGTGTCCGACAGACGCGGTTCCACCCACTGCTGCGTCTGCATCTGCTCTCGACGCCCGCCGTCACCGGCCTCTCGGCCGTCAGCTCTGCCCTGGCCGCCTGGCTGCTCTGGGGTCTGGCCGCCCGCGGTGACATGGCCCTGCTCGTGCTGTTCGCGCTCGTCTTTGGCTTCTTTGCCGGCGGCTATAGCGCCACCTGGGCTGGCGTCATGTCCGACCTCGAGCGCGAGGCGGCCCTGCGCAACGAGCCGGTCGACAGCGGATTCGTGTACGGGCTGCTGAACGGCGCCCGCGGCATCGGCTACATCAGCGGTGGCTTCATCAGCGTCAGCCTGCTCCAGTCTGGCACGGCGGCAGTGACAGCGGCCACAGGCTCGACAGTCGGCGCACATGCCGGCTACAGCACCAGTTACGGGCCGCTAATCATCTTCACCGGCCTGTCGACCGTTTTTGGCGGCTGCGGGCTGCTCTGGAAGGCTGGACGGGCAGTGCGTCTGCTCCTGTGAGAGTGGGTAGAATGGGAGGCTGAAATGGGTGGAATCCGAGTCCCAAAAGTAAGGGCTCACCGCTTTTGGCAAAATAAGTAGGTGAATAGTACGTTTATTTGTTAACACTGTATTTACCACCAATTTATTAGCGCAGTCTTATGTGCTGGGAGCCCTGTAGCTATATTAATAAGCGGATCAAATTAGTGAGGTAGTCTACTAGGCTTTAGCGAGCTGTCGCTAATGGTTTTCTCCGTATATTGCTACTATGGAAAAGCGGTGAGCCCTTTCTTCTGGGAGGGACCTCCGTATCCGTAACTCAAAGACGGTGAGCCCGGTTTTATCGAGCCGTGCGCCACACGGCCTGCAAACCCCGCCTAATTCTGTCGTGGGGGGTGTTTGCGAATTTTGGCTGTGACCCAAACTATCAGAACGGACGAGCGTATCCGACCCGCGGTCTTCATAGAGCACGCAGCAAGCCGAAGATGCCTACGATTGCCGTGGACAAGTACCGGCTCTTCGAAGAGCTCGGCCAGACGTCAGTGTCTCCGTGTCTGCAATTGCGCTTCGCATATGTCTCTAACGGCCGTTGTGCAGCTTCACGCCCGATGCCTTCCAGGACCTCGCCTTTGAGTTTGGCGTGGAGGTGGACGAGGACACGGAGGATGATCCGTCACGGCCCAAGGATGAGCCGCCGGAGCTAAAGATTGAGATCGGTGCGAACCGCTACGACATGCTCTGCTTTGAGGGCATCGCCATGAACCTCAACGTGTTCCGCGGCAAGATTCCCATGCCACAGTTCCAGCTGCTCGACATCCCGGTCGAGAAGCTGCAGACGATCACGGTCAGCAAGGAGACGGCACGCGTGCGGCCGTTTGTGGCTGGCGCCATCCTGCGCGATGTCACCTTTGACAAGGCCGTGTACGACTCGTTCATCAGCCTGCAGGATAAGCTACACCAGAACCTGGCGCGCCAGAGAACGCTGTACGTTTGTGGTTTAGTGTTTTAATCTTATGGTTCTCGCTGACTCGCTCTCGACGACCGGCAGCGTCTCGATCGGCACCCACGACCTCGACACGATCCAGGGCCCCTTTACGTACGAGGCGCAGGCGCCCAAGGACATCAACTTCGTCCCGCTCAACCAGACCAAGACGTTTGCCGGCGACGAGCTTATGTCCTTCTACGAGACCGACCGGCAGCTGGGCCGCTACCTGCACATCATCCGCGACAAGGACGTGTACCCGGTGATCTACGATGCTAACCGGGTCGTGTGTTCGCTGCCACCCATCATCAACAGCGAGCACTCCAAGATCACGCTGAAGACGAAGAACGTCTTTATCGAGATCACGGCGACGGACGAGACGAAGCTGGACATTGGTAGGTGGGGTGAATGGGGCGATGTTTCTGTCATGGCCTTATGCTAACCTGCAGTCTGCAACATGATGGTCACCATGTTCTCGCGCTACTGCGCCAAGCCGTTCACGGTCGAGCCTGTGCGGATCGTGTCGGAGCACAATGGGACCAGCCGGATCACGCCGAGCCTGACGACGCGGGTGGTGGACGTGGAGGTGCGTCACATCAACGAGGTGTGCGGACTGAACGAATCGCCCGAGGCGCTGGGCCGGCTGCTGAAGAAGGTGACGTTTTCGTCGGTCCCGTCAGCCGACGGAACGGTGCTGCACGTGTCGGTACCGCCAACACGCGCCGACATTCTGCACCCGTGTGACATTGTGGAGGACGTGGCGGTGGCGTACGGCTTCAACAACCTGCCGCGGTCGTCGCCGAACAAGGCGGCCACGATCGGACGGCCGCTGCCGATCAACAAGCTGGCCGACATTGTGCGGCTGGAGGCGGCCATGGCCGGCTGGATCGAGGTGATGCCGCTGATCCTGTGCTCGCACGACGAGAACTTTGCCTGGCTGAACCGGCGCGACGACGGCCAGACGGCCGTCCGGCTGGCCAACCCCAAGACGGCCGAGTACCAGGTCGTGCGCACGTCCCTGCTGCCGGGCCTGCTCAAGACTATCCGCGAGAATAAGAGCGTGCCGCTGCCGATCATGATCAACGAGGTGTCCGACGTGACCATCAAGGACGAGTCTGTCGAGCGCAAGGCCCGCAACGAGCGCCACTGGGCTGCCGCCTACTCGTCCCGCTCGGCCGGCTTTGAGCAGGTTCACGGCCTGCTCGACCGCGTCATGCTGATGCTCCGCTGCGCCTTTTTGACGCGCGAGGAGGGCCTCACCTCCGGCAGCGGTGCCGGCCTCGACGGCTACTTCATCCGCGAGATCGATGACCCGACCTTCTTTCCCGGCCGCGCCGCCGCCATCTACGTCCGCATCGGCGGCGAGAGCAAGCGGATAGGCGAGCTGGGCGTGCTGCACCCGACCGTGCTGGAGGCATATGACCTACGGTGAGTTTTCTGTCGTTTTCTGTTGTTTCTGTTTACCTACCCTCACCACTTGCTGACTGCCCAGGTACCCCGTAAGCACACTCGAGCTGGATCTGCAGGTGCTGTTATAAAATAGATGCACCCATCGATAGAGGAGAATAAAACAGCTCAAGACACCATGACGTGAACAAGAGGATGAATAAGCAAGCCTACGTCGTACTTCGTCTGCGTAATAAGAGAGGACCCTTCCCAATGCAGATTAGCGGCACCCAATGGCCTAGCAATTCTGGCAGCTACGACGCTTCTAGGCCCATTTGTGCTATTGATGACCGGGAGGCCCGGAAAAAGAGCTGCAAGACGCAATGAAACAAGTCTAGGAAGGGATCCGCAAGCATTACCCATAAGGGGGGAACCCCATACGACTTCTCCTTACTCACTGTGGAGCTGCTGCTATAGTAGCAACGGGCGCCGGTTTTTGAAAACGTCCTGCAGCCCCGACCAACGACAGTTCTGCATATCGACGTTGCTCTTGAGACAAAGCCGACTTCTTCGTGGCCCTCTCCACCTCCACGCACCCAAGACATTCCCGCCGACCCCTGTCTCTGCTCTCCCGCTGCGTTCCGTCTCGCGCGCGCACTCTCCCACCGCTCTGTCGGCGTTCTTTTGCATCCCGACAGCCAAGCTCACGGCCAGGCCACCTCTGTGCGCCTCTCCACGGCCAGGACACGAACTCGATCTAGCTTGCCCGTTTTGCATCTCACCCTGACTTGTCTGCTCTGCGCGAGCATGCCTCACATTTGTCCCCGCATCCGCCGTCGATAGCTCTTCGAGACAGCTCCAGAATCCCCCAGGCCCACTGCTCACGTCCTGCTCGTCCGCCATCCCCCCACCGAGACCATGTCCGACAGCGACGGGGACGATGTCAGCTCCAACTTCTCCCATCTGCACGTGGCCGGCCTCGTCGTGCCCGTGCTCATCGTCCTCGGCGCGTGCACCATGGCGCTCGTCGTCATCCGGCGCAACCGTCGGACACGCCAGGGTCTGTCGCTCAACCAGCAGGGCCGCCTCGCTCTTGCGCGTGATGTGTTGGAGGACGGCCACAACGGCACTGCTGGCACCGATGCCGCGCAGCCAGGCCAACAGCAGCAGCTGCCATCCTACACAAACGGCAGTCGCATACAGTCGCCGCCGACGGCCAACCGCTGGGCCTGGACAAACGCTGCCGGCATAGCAGCGATGAGCGGTGGTGGCAGCCGTGTCCGACGCCGTGAAGACGGCCTGAACGAGCTCGGCGAGGCACCGCCGCCCTATGAGATGGCTGCCATGCACACAAAGGCCGCCGAAGATCAGGTCGCCCAGCAGCCGACGCCGTCGCCATCGCTGCTAGCCGTGCCCGCACCCACACATGTCCGAGCCGCCACTGCACCATACTCCGTTGCGCCGTCATCGGCAGCACAACCACAACCACAACCTGCTGATGCTTCCTCTTCGCCCGCTGTCCCGCCCAGTCTGCCCCCGTCCTACAGTCCAAGCGTCCCAGCACCGGCAGCGAGACCGTCTGCGGCCGACAGGTGATCATGGCTGCGCGAGCCCGCTCTATCTAACCTCTCACTTCTCTCCTTTTTTGTTTCTCTTTCGGTGCCAGCGGTGTTTTGGGAGGGGGATCTCTTTTGCAGGCGTCTGTTGTGTCGATCACACATGCACAATGATTTTTATTGGTACCATCGGACGGTGGACTGGAGTTGTATTGGGTCAGATATCTATGCTCGATGTGAGATCTGCTGATGGAACCACTTAATGAAATCGGAGAGTAATCCCAAATCAGTTCAGCTGGCTGTACTAGTATCTAATTATATTTAATACAGCAGGTTAGGAGTTTCAAGTGCAAAGGTCCACGTGACAGTTGGTAAGGCTTCCCGGTTATCTAGGTGCTAAGGTATAGCAGTTGCATGGCGAGAAGGTAATTTATGTAAGATAAGGCCGTGCGCCGAAGGCAGACAGCAATAGAAAAGAGCTGGAAAGACGAGACATAATTTGCGCCTAGGAATCTCGTTGAAACAAAGGCTCTTGTTGACACATTCCAAAAAGGATCAAAGCTCCTTCAACCTCGGTGAGGCAACTAAGCTTCTTGGCGTCTCCTATGAATCAGTATTGCATCTCCCAGTTTACCTTTAAATCGCCACTACATAATCCCGCTTTATATCAGAGTAGCTTATGTTATCTCTGTGTATGAAAAGGACTCACTCTTTGTGCGTTTGCGTTATTAAACTCACAAAACCCCGTATTTCTTTGCAATTTCCATCGTGACACCTGTTTCCAAACTACTACATAGTGTTGAGCACGAATTCTTCGCTGTGCAACATGCCTCTCCCCGACAGACCCATTGTGCTACCAGAAGGCCGACTTGTCTGTCGGGATCACCGACGTGTGACCTGCCACATATGCTACTGTGATTACAGCTCCACGAACGAAGTACTCAGTCTGCTGTCTAGTCTGCTGTCTAATAACACCGACGATACCCTTTTCCAAGCCCTTATCCAAGATCTTTCTTCTGTGAATAATGTCAGTGGTATTAGGATTCCAATGCCATCATCGTTTGCACCATACACAGGCGGAGCGGCAAACCCTCGGGAGATCTTCCAGTTGGGGAGCACGCCCATGAGTCATCGACGATTTGTGAACCGAAACGACCCGAGCCAGCTTCTCATCTACACCGACGGCTCGTGTCTCAGCAATGGCCGTGCAGACCCGCAAGCCGGCTGCGGCGTTGTTTTTTGCGAACGCGAGCCGGGCAACGGCGGACACTTGGCTTTTCGGCTCTAGAACAGGGGTCCCAGTGGTGAGCCGCATCCACAGACGAGCAACCGTGCCGAAATGCGGGCCGTTCTGGCTGCCCTGCAGGTTCGATACTGGCCTGGCGAAGGGCTCAAGAGCGTCGTCATCGCTACCGACTCGGAATACGTCTTCAAGGGCGCGACTGAATGGGTGTATCGTTGGCAGCAATACGGCTGGTACACGGCTAGAGGACTGGTCCGGAACAAGGATCTCTGGCTGGCGCTCTGGGCTGAGCTCGACAAGCTGGCTGTATTGGGACTGCAGCTGTATTTTTGGAAGATCCCACGGGATCTCAACGCAGAGGCCGATCTTTGGGCGCGAGAGGGTGCTATTCAGGACGAGGAACCTTCGTTTAGGAAGATCTTTAGCGTCCTGTCGTAAGCAGATACTAAGCCGTGTCTGCAGAAAGATAGATGGTGCTATCGATATGCCTACATCTGAAGAGATCAGAAGCACATGTTTCTTATAGTAGATTGTCATAAAAAGGAAACGTGTCTAAGACGCTTATCAAAACTAGTCACTTGTAGAGATTCTACTAATTCTATCGTCTATAATATAACATAAGAGTTTATAGCCACTAAAATATACCGTGGCAAAGTTGTAACAAGCAGTTTGAAATTCAATCAGACTACATTAGGCAGCGTCTAGTTAGATAACCTCAGCTAAGCCACGTGTAATGAGTTATACTTATAGATGTGTTCCAAGGCGCAGGATAATAGGCACCTTTCAGCATTTTAGATTTACGAGGAAGTGGTGAGTTGTATATCTATAATGTACGCAAGGCGAGCTTTAGTAAGCATTTTCATTGTCTTGGTAGGACTCTGGGTTAAGACGGCGGATGCAAGTATAGATGCTGCTGGAAGGAGGGCGTATAGGAACAGGGCTTATGCTCGTATGTCTTTTACAGAAAATTGTGTTTAGGTATAAGGGAGAGCAGCTTAATTCGCAGCATCTAGTGCGACGAAACGGTCAGAGAGAATTGGTATATTACGCAACTCTAACACAACTTTAACCAACTTGTGTACTGTAATCCGTAGCCTCCTTTAGCCGCTTCGACCTGGCTCAATTTCGTCTCAGGTCTACTCTGTATTCTGGTCTCTTGTCAATGCTTCCGCCTTGTCACGTCGTGTATCTGCCAAGACATGCCATTCCTGCTCTATCCATTCTTCAACATCGTTGACAGACTCTCCAAGTAGTGACAGCACCGCTTCCGTCAGTCTCAAAACGTCTTGCCTCGACATTCCAGACGCAAGCCCCAAGTGGAAGCGCCTCGCCAAATCATTCTCTCCCGCAATCTTGGCAAGTTTGGGGTGTCCCGCCTTGGCAAAGCTGGCCGCAAAAAGACCATCGTCTGCGCTCAGGCCAGCCTCGCCGCCATATAGACAACCCAGATCTGCCGTGAACAGGCTTGGCCCAAAGGCCTCACAGGCTGGGACGAAGCGAGCAAATTGCCAGTCGATCACGGCGGTAATATTATAGTTGTCGTCGACTAGCACATGGTCACCCTTGTCGTCAACATGTTTGAGAAAGAAGGACCCCAGCGGCAAAGGAGACGTTTCAGAAGCAAGAACTGGTCCTATCCGATCACGTAACAGACGGTAGAATACAAATGCCTCCTTGGGGTATTTTGGAAATAACTGCCCGTCGGCAATCAGGTCGAGACGGAGGTCAGCTGTCGACGAGAAGTAGGCTAGCGAGTTATCGAATGGTCCGTATTCCCCGAGAGTCAGAAACCGATCACTCGCAATTGGACCACATTCCACGCCCCGTTTACCATCGTCGTTGGGAACGAGAGAGCATGCCTGTGGCTGTGGATGTTTGCTGAGAAGAGCCAAGATCTCAGCATATTGAGCATAGACATGTGCCTTCTGCTCTGCCGTCGCTTCGCTCGCATAAAAAGGCTGTCCCGGAATGGCATCTTCTAGAATGTAACCGACACCAATGGTATTGGCAGGGTCGCCGAAGAGCCCGTAGTCATAGGCTCGGGGAGCAGGCACGTGACCGATCGTCTCAAGAAAGTGCAGCGTTGCGAACTCGCTCCTGATCAAGTAGTCGACCAATGGAAGGGGCACGTCACCAAAGCCTGTTGTCCGCGGTATACGAGCAAGCCACTCGACGCCGTCGGCAAAGCGGAGGCGTGCATGATAGTTGGCACAGCCCATGAGGAGAGCGTTTTCGTCGCCAGCGCCAGAGTGGCGACTACCTGGAATGAAGGTGCAGGTCATGCCACCGCGGAGATGACTGGCCCGTTGCTCGAGTGCAGCGACATTCACCTGCGCTAGGAGAGAGTCGATTTCGGCCTGGAGGTTGGCTTCCCAGGTGGCGTCGTCCATGTCTCTGCTCGACGGGCATGTGTGTCGTAGCGGGAGGATGTGAACGGCACAGAGATGTTGACAGCAGGTTGGACAGCTGCGTCCTCGAACACCAGGCCGGTTGCAGTCGCCGACGGAACAGGTTGCAAAGCGTGCAGTGGGAGCAGGAAGCGTGCTCCAGTCTGGCATTTCGTCGTGTCCAAAAGTCTTCAACAGACACTTGGCCAGGTTATGTACTTCCTCTCTGGAAATGCCAAGACCCATGCCCAAACCAAAGATGAAACGCCGCATCTTGTCGCTTTTGAAGAAGCAAGAGAACTTGATATTGCTATTAGCCATCTCCTTGCCTAGCAGCCTGTCCGCACCGCTGAGACCCAAGCGCCCCGAGTAGAGGCTGTCCATGTCGGCCGATATGAGCGAGGGCCCAAAAGCTTCGTAGGCGGGCACTGCCCGTGCAAAGGTCCAGTCGATGACCCCAGTGATGCGGTAGTCGTCATCCACCAGCAGGTGGTCGCCCTTATCGTCGCAATGCTTGAGGAAAAAGGGACCAGTGTGCAAGCCATTATAGCCGCGATCAGACAGCCAGGAAGAACCGTCTTCGGTCCTGGTCATCTTGTCGGCCAGAAATGACCATATGCGTTGCACAGCTGACCATCTGCGACAAGATTTCGGTATGTTGTAGCCCATGCCTTGTAGTAATTGTAGGCGTCGTCAAAAGGGCCAATTGGAGGCAGCGTTCCTGTCCGGTCGCTGGCCAGAGAGCCGATTTTTATAGTATGAGGACTCGTGGAAAGTGATGCTGATGTGGCTTCTTTTTTCACTTCGGATTCAAATTGTAATGATCCGATTTTGTCGAGGGGGTGTTTGCTAAGAGAAAAGAGGATGTTGGCCCACTGGCTAAGAACCTTGTTTCGCTGCCCTTTCGTCGCTATATGCGTATCAAATGGCCGTCCGGGCAACTTCTCGATCAGCATGTAGGCCACGTCGCCCACTTCATTGTTCTGACGATCACCACGCAGACCGAAGCCGTGCACTCTAGGCGAAGGCACGCCGTCTACGCTTTGCAGCCATTGCAGCGTGGCACACTCGCTTAGCAAAATCTGGTTGCTTAGCCGGTCGTCAAACGACGTGTGGTTCTCGCGCAGGATCCGGGCAAGCCAGACGCTACCGTCGTCAAACAAAATCTCTCGGTGGATATGCATGCCGCCCATTTTTTGGCGGCCGAGAGGATCAGCATCATCAAGGGGGTCATCCTCAGTGTGTTAGCGCACAGAGGCTAGACTTCAAAAAGTGCCTTTGACTGATAGACTTGCTGTACATGTGTGTCGTGAAGACCGAATATGGTCGGCGCAGAACATGGACCTGCATTTTTCGCAGGTGCCAATGTCGATGGCCGCTGCCCTTGAGCATGACTTCACAGCGCAATCCCAAAATCGAAACATTTAAAACGATGGATACGAAACAGTTGACATTTTTAAAGTTACGTTCAGCTTTTGGGGCAAGAGCAAGAAACGAGAATACGGAACAAGCTGAAAGACTCATTTAGTATACGGAGTACGTAAGCATTGAAAGGCAAGTCTTTTAAAATGACCCCGCCAGCACTCTTTAAAGGCTCAAGTACGGTACAGGACAAGCAATGAAATTTAACACATTATAGTCCTAGATATGTAACTCACCTAGATCTGGAAGTTCCAGATTTTGCATGCAACAACTAGTACCCTATCGTTGATATAGAGTTCTGACCCGATGTAGCACGAGTTACACGAGGCATATAATAGAACTCGACTTCCTCGTCCTCGATCGTAGCAAGTTCGTGAGAAGGACCGCACAATTTGGCTTACTAGTTCCGAAGGTAGTAATTTCCTCGTAGGTGTCGAGACTGCTCTTCCTTACATGTTTCTAAGAGATGAAACCAATCATCTCCACCGTACAGCTAAAGAGTAGTATGAATTATGCGCGTCAATATAACATGTCCACCGGCCGAGTTGGGTGCTACCAATGTTTGTGAGCGCTGCTGCCATATGCGGCTATAAAACACTATACTGCTTAGTTGGCCGAGATGATCGCGAAAATCACCCGAGCACTTGGCAGGACATCAACAACTGCCGCGAAGCTATAAGCTGTGTGCTTTGCGATCTTATTGACGGGATTATTGAATTCACTGCGCCCGTTGTCTCGCTTCCAGATATTAACAATATTAATGATGCAAGTATTACCGCAGATTTCATAACAATATCGATGGCAGCCATGCGTCAATGCCATCGTGATCACATTCCAGAAGGCATGTTTCGGCGCAGTTTGTATATTAAATCGCACCCCCGCGTCAATTACCCGCAGCCGGCACAGAAGCCACATGACGTCCAGGCAATAGAGCATTGTGTGCAGGGCAAGAGCACAGCCGACTAGACATTCAAGCTCCGCGTCATATGGGTGAAGCTCGTCGACGGCGCTAGTGCCCTCGGAAGGTAGTGCAGTGATGGTGTTTACGGCTAGCACAAACCTTCAGGTTTCGGCACCGGAACCAGGACGCCGCGAACAAGAAGGCATACAAACCGAAAGCGCCTTGGGCCTTTGCGACCCTGCCAACGAGGCGCATACACACAAAGCCACCGAACGTCTGTCCGCCATTCAGTCAAGCTGGAGGCCTCTATGTGCTTCCGGATGTCAAGGCTTGGTGCCCGAATTTGAGCGCGTGGCCAATGTCTAAATGCCTCCATGGCCGATTTCGAGTCTAGCCAAGGCGCCTTTACGGCCCGTGCATTAGCAACAGGGATTGCTTCGACAACGTCTGTGGGGCCAACAAGCCAGTCTTTCTGTCATTTTCTGTCATGCTGCCACGTATTCTGCTCGGCCTGCACTAATGGTGGCGGCCGGTGAGGCTGGCAAAGCTCCAGCCTCCCTAACCTTGGTGGCGCACGCATCAATCCCACAGCAGTTCCGGTGACGGCAGCAGCAGTGGCGCGCAGCCACACAGAACCAAGTAAATACCTGACAAACATCTGCATACGGTGTCGCTCGTACCCGAGCAGGCTGTGGGAAGAGTACAGGGTGAAAGAAGAACTTGGCTGTCAGGACTGTCTGCCGTTCCACGTCTCGGTTGAGAAGCCTACGTCAGCCACCTCGGAAAACTCGCCATACGCGAGGCGACAGGTGCGGAAGTGTCTCGCAATCGCTGATGAGGCCGTGTCTGCTACGAACGCATGACAAAGTTGCATGGCGACCACTACTCCGTATAGGTGAGAAAGATTTGATAGGACTGGGAAACGTAGTCCCTTGTTGACCCGCTGGATGTCTCGAGCCTCGTCCTGTACTTCCTTAGGTTCCAGGCACTTGAAAGGAAAAGCTGGCAGGATACAAATCCCGCAGGTCTGTGTTTATGTCAGAATCCCCATTGTACTAAGGTAATTCCCTAAAACCCAAGTAGTTGTCCCAACCCCGCTCTAGCAACCTGGTAGTGATGCAAAGGATTTCGTGCTTCGCCCAAGAAGTGAGACGAAATGCCTTGGGCGGTTGGAAATTTCAGGCTCGCGTGTTAAGTCATACCGCTACTAATTTTCTCCACCTAAGAATCAAGGTCCGTCTTGCCACTTTGCGTACCAAGCCATGATACGAAATAGCGGTAAAAGTAGCCGCTTGCCTTAAGAGTTAGGGATATTTTCCTTGGGCGCTCTATACGAGGTGGAAAATCAGGACACTTCGCCTTGCAGCTTTATAGGATTCTGCCTTGGGTCGTCTTGCCCCTCTAATTTTAATAGAGGTTATGTTGCACGTGACCATATGGGTTACTGTACAGACTTTTTAAAAGAAGCCGTTTCCCTTGGAGAGTATAAATAATTTCGTAACTCCTTGGATCAATGACTATGCTTTTGGAGCAAGAAAGCAAGAACGATGTCTTTTCCATCCAACATTTGCGTAAAAACTATAAACACAACTTGACCCCTTTGCGTGAAGGTAAGATAGTATTTGTCCATCACTACAGGCACAATGGAGAACTACACTACTAACTTCAGCGTTCAGACACCTTACCTCGATTTTACAAGCCTCCCTTTCACTAACATCAATTTGACAAACCCTGGAATCCTCCAAGACCCGAATTCGGTTCTCACTAATACAAATCAATCGCTTGTTGTTTCAGCGTGTGAGGCAGCCCCGAATATCAGAAAAAAATGCCCACAAGTCGCCGCTGCTAATGTACTATAGGTTTAGAAGGTGCTTCCTTGCCTGGGCAGCCTGTCGGTCAGCGAGATGTCGAATTCAGTACGTGAAAATGTCAACACATCTCACAACCTATCCTCAATCCATCAAACCTCTACATTGCCATTCTCCTTCGTCTTCGTCCCTCCTCACTACCTTCGACTGTCTCACCACCTATTCTCCTGGCTTGTGAGCAGCCAGAGGGACTATGAATCGAGTCATTTATCTTACACTATTAACTGTCTTACAGATTCACACTTGATCAATATTCCTTTCAACAACAACAGGAGTGAGCTTGGAAACTTCAAAGCACCCCCTCCTTCAAGTATATACTCACAAATATACAGATGTGAGCCATGTGCCTTCGGGTAACGATGATCCGTTCGGCCATCTCCACGATAGCCAGTGCCATACTGCAGGGTATGCCACGAGCAGCCAATATTAATCCATTTGACCACCTTTTTAAATCAAATAATCGCATCGCATTATAGGGTGCGAGGTATCTGACAACCCTTTTTAGACAGCAACATTGCTTCAACACATATCTCGACTATAATATGACTGCAGAAACCCCTACGATTGCTGCCCCTATCGAGTCAGGAAACACCGCTGGTCATAGGTCCCCACTGCGATGCTCAAGGTCCGGGTGCCCAGAAGATCGCGAGTTCCTCACCGACGTTGAAATTCGGTCTGTAAACTCTCCTCCTACGAGTATCCTGATGCTAGCACTGACAAATATCAGAAAGCACGAAGACAAACACAATAAGCCTTACATCTGTCAAGAGCCAGCATGCAGACACACCCGCTTTGGTACTAAGGGTGGTCTGGATCGACACAATCGTGAGGTTCACGGATCACAGAAGCACTATTGCTCTATCACTTCATGCAACCGTCACGTCCAAGGATTCGCAAGAAAGGCCAACCTCATTGATCACCAGAAGCGGCGTCATTTTTCACAATTGGCGAGTTTTACATCCCCGCCGATTTCTAGACAACGAAAATTCTATGAGGGCAGGTCACCCTCGGAGACACCCACCGGAGAAAGAGGGACGTTGAGAATGGAGTTGGAGAGTCTTTACGCCAAACAGGCGGAAATTGCCAAGATAATTCTGCCCTAGAGACAAGCTTGAAACATCTGGAAGACGATTCCTTCTGCTGAGGTTAGAAAAACATCTGTATATTATGGGAGTGTGTTAGTTTTCTTGTACTTAGCGTTAGAGAAAGCATTTATCTTGCGCCACATCGTCTACACTTTACCTAGAGAGATAAAAAAAATGGCTAGTAAAGGGGCATGTATTGTCCTCTTACATCTCAATAGCGGTAGCCGTAGGCTTGGTACGTAGCAATAAAGTAGAATATAGACAGGGAGCTACAGGATGCCTATTTCACGTGTGCTTGACACTCGCGCTGAAGGGCAAAGCCAGTATTATTACGGTTTTGTGCCGACGGCAAAATTGGATTGCATTCTAGCACTTAAGCGTGAACAGATGAGCAAGTTGACAGTTAAGGTCCAGTCGATGACCCCAGTGATGCGGTAGTCGTCATCTATGGAGTACCAACAGGTGATCGCATTTATCATCGCAATGATGAGGGAAAAGAGACTAGTGTACAAGTCATTGTACCCAAGATCAAACAGCCAGGACGAGCCGTCCTCGGCCCTGGTCATCTTGCCAGTCAGAATCGACCACATGCGATGGGCATCAGTAGAGTACTGGGAGCACAGTCGGTCTGCGACATGATTCCGGTACGTTGCAGACCATGCCTTGTAGTAATATATGTAGGCGTCGTTACAGGGGCCGATAGGAGGCAGTGTCCCTATTTACTGGGGGGGCGGAAAAGCTATACTCGTGCCCCGCCCAGGGTGCGCGTTATAAAACGCGCACCACCTTAGGTGGTGCTAGCCGGCCAAATGGGCACTATTTCGTTATTATCACTACCTCCTACTTTAATCTCGTTTAAGCGGCGCATACGCTTCCCGGCCTCTCGGATTTTATACGGGCCTATCCGTATTGTTATTTGTTCGGTGTACTTTGTAAGATACTTACTACTCCGAACTATTACAGTCCCAGTAGCAAGAGAACGCCGTCCTATTACGGAGTAAGATACATAGCAACTCTTTTTTTATCCTACTCCCCGCTACCCCGCCGCATCATCCACGTCCTCCAATGCGTGGCCGCCGTCTAGGTCATGGAAATATTACTCCGGACCTCCAGTGCACCCAACTACCATGCCTTTATCACGCAAACCCACGATTTCGCGCATCGTTGCTTTGATAACCTTGATCACCGTGTCTCTCACCATTTGTGGAATCTGGACATATTCCAACCCTTACGACCCTCACGACCGAATGCTTGTATCCACCCCATCCACCATGACTCTCGTCCATACAGTGCTCTTCCAGTTCAAGGAAGACAGCCAGCCAGAAGCTGTGAAAAAAGCATGCGAGCACTTTCTGTCTCTCAAAGATTCGTGCATTTACCCGACTACCAACAAGCCCTATATCCTGTCGCTCAAGGGTGGCAAGGATAATTCTCCCGAGGGCATGCAGGTACGTTCTCCCCCATAACAGAATTCCCATTATGTGCACACATAGACACCTAGAAGCTAACCAGAGCAGAATGGTCTCACTCATGGATTTGTCGCGACATTTGCGTCGGCCGAGGACAGAGACTACTACGTCAGCAAAGACCCGGTGCATCTAGCTTTTTCCAAGAGCGTTGGCGACATCCTGGCAAAGGTCACTGTTGTCGACTTTCTCGACGGCATCTACTAGAGTCTACTGGAAAGACGATCTGCACAGGCAACGTGGTTATGGCGTGATATTCTCTTTTCAAACATGTTTTTTTGCAGGCCTTTCTAGTTGTGTATCCTTCTTTGCCTTTGGGGCTATTTATTTTCTCCTTCTGTACTCCGTACCAGTACACGTAACCATTTTTGCACACTCATTTAGCGCGTCCTTTCTATCCTCCGCTATATCCTTCGACCAAATAGTTTCAGATCTTTCCCGCAGCCTGGAGAATCTGAATGACCGCCAGGGCGGCTTGCACAATGCTTAGCACGATGCTTGCGCCCCCAAAGATGGTCACGAGCCAAAAGGTCCAGAACTGCAGCGTATCTCGGCGGTCGCGCACCAGGTCACGTAACGTTGTGGGCTTGGCGCTCTTCAGCTCGTTGGCTAGCAGCTCCACGCGTTCGTACAGGACGGGAAAGTCGCGGGCCGCATAGTAGACTCGGCGGTCCTGTGGTAGACATGCGGCAGCCTCGGCGGCCCCCTCAGTGGTCCCGGCCTGTCTTTTATCCATGCACAGCCGTAGGAGTAAACTGTCGGGCTGTGCAAACGGCGCCATGCTCTCGTTGTACACGAGGCGGAAGAGTCGGCGTGACTTGGCCGACTGGCCAAATAGCAGCCTGAACGAGGCCAAGACCTCTTGAAGAAAGTGGGCAATGTCGCTTTCGTCAGCCCGCGGGTCAGCCGCGTCTAGCTCAGTGCTAGCAAAGGCAAATATGGCACCGCAGCGATTACACTGTAGCTGCGACGCGCACATGGAGGGGAAGCAAAAGAGCGATAGCGTTCGCGTCGACTTGTCGTAGTCCAGGTGCAGCGCCAGTGTGTCCACCCAGCGGAACTTGCAGCGCAACAGCGAGTGCAGCAGGTACGCGTTCATCTGGTCTGGATACAGAGCCGTCCACGACGCGACCGCCTTGCTGCTCTCGACAGCGGCGGCGGAGTTGCTGTTGCTTTTTGACCGAGCCGGTAGCAGATTTCCAAAGCCCTTGAGCAGCACGTATAACGGCCGGTCGCACAGGTCGACGGGCACAGTATAGGTGTCATAGACGAGCCGCGAGTCGGGCTCAGCGCGGTAGATGGCGAGCGAGCTGTCCGGGCACACCTTGAACTCGGGCTGGTAGACCATCGATTGCCACCCGAGAATGGAGAAGATGAGCGACCGCTTGAAGTATGTCGATGGGCCAGATTGCGAAGCGTCCAGATCCAGGCTGTCCCAGTCAAGGTGCTCAATAACGTCGTCAATGCTTAGGCCACGAGTGGTACGGATGTGCTTCAATATCGCCGATTCGAGCGTGTCAAAGTCGGCGTCGTCCAAGACGAAATGCGTGGGGTTTCTGTCATTCCTGTCGTTCCTGTTGTCGGGAAACGCAGGATGTTTGCGTCGCTGTTCTCGTAGCCACGGCCGATACCAATCCAGATCGATCACTCCCCCCTGGTTACCGATCGACCGTCGCCCTTTCGCTAAAGCGATTTGTCCTAGAGAGCGACGGAGAGCTTTGTTAGTTGATTCTCTGTTATCCACATACAACCCATAATATTCTCTCATACTTGTGTTGCTCGTTAGCGCCCGCTTGTGGACAGTAGCGCTACCCCGCAGGCGGCTTTGCTCGTGAGACATGGTATCAGTGATAGGTTTTACGCTATTTGCAACTCTGTTGCCTTTCTCTGAATACAATTCGCAAACCGGAGGCTTCTGGACACAATGCATGAGTTGAGAACATATCCCGTCAGCTTAACATCCCGGCAAGCTGAGCCCCTGCCTTGCCTCGCCTCCATTACAGAACTGCTCATAAAAACACGAGTGATTTAACCGCTGCCCAATGTCAGCTGCGATTGGATAACCAATTGTGATTGGATTACCAGGTGTGATTGGATAACTTGTGGGGCACGACAGCATCCTCATGCAGAGAGAAGGGAAGACGAAAAGAGGGGAAGCAGCCGCAGCCACGAGAGTCAGTAGCAGTCTAATAAGAGCGTCCTCGTGCGGTTAAACGAGTACATGCCATATTTCTTTGGGTGCTAGTTTTTTCGGCGTCTTTCGAGCAGCTCACCGCCCACAATGTCTATCTCCTCCGTTCATCCCAATTCCAAAGGGCACCCCAAAACGGACGACATCGCTCCGTCCAGCCCTACGACCAGCATTTGGCTGGCCGCCATTGAAAGATACTACGACGAGCTCGCCAAGGGCGGAATCAAAGCCGCTGTCATTGACAGAGACCTCTGGCGCATCAGGAGCCCCGAAGAACTGCTAGCCCAGATCGAAGCATTCAGTCCCAGTCAGAGCGACCAATCCAGAGCATGGACGAAGAACCTATCGCAGCTTCGGCCCATCCTGCTTGGACTCAATGACTTTGCTGCTCTCGCAGCGTGGGCGTTGGGCATGGAAGGCAAGGTGGCGGCCGTTCTGTGGGGTTCCATTCGGCTCATTATCAAGGTAAGTTGCTGTTTTACGGGATATTTTCCATCTTTCTCTTTGGCTTTTCCTCTTTGCTTTGTCACCGGGCTGACTCCTTCGGCGATGCTCAGTTTGCGCAACCCATTTTGCCCGACATTGTAAAAATGCTCGAGACCCTGCACCATGCCTTGCCACGCATGCAAATGTACGAAAATGAGCTGCCCATGACTGAGCCGCTCGAAAAGGCCCTCCTCGACATGTACAGCGAAGTGATTGTGTTCTGCGCCCACGCCATTGCCTTTTTCCGCAACAATCCGAACGTAGGCCCGAATCGCCATGCCTGGTCTCAATTCAGCAGAGATTTTGCAATGGTCGTGGAGAACATCCAGAAGCTGTCTCGCCGAGTGGACGAGACGGCAGACATGATCCGGCTCTCTAGAGAAGCACGCACGGTGGAAACGGTGGCCGCCTTTAAGAATTTGCAGCTTAAGGGCAACAAGGGTCCTCCTGCCAAGTTTCCCTGTTTTTCGGTACCGTACGGACTCCACCTTCATTTATTCGCCAGGGAGATGGAACTGCAGACCCTCCAAGAATGCCTGGACCCGTCCTCGTCGTCCAGGACACAGCTCCAGGCCGTCGGCATCCATGGACTCGGCGGTGTCGGCAAGTCGCAGCTGGCTCTCCAGTACGCCAACACGTCGATGCAAGTATATGACTTGATTGCTTGGATTGCCTCCGAGTCCCAGATCAAGCTCATCCAGAGCTTGTCCGACCTCGCTCGTAAGCTGGGACTGGCCGGCGAAGCGAATCAAGACGACTACATAAGCATTGAGGTGGTCCGAGACTGGCTCAACACGTCGGGAAAAACGTTTCTTCTCATCTTTGACAATGTCGACGACATCAAGCTGCTGCGCCATATTTGGCCTTCAAGCAACAAGGGTTCCATCATCATCACAACCCGATCACCGGTGTTGGCGGCAAAATGGGCCACCAAGACCATGCCGCTGGGCTGCTTCCCCGCTGATACTAGCCCGTCCATTTTGGTAGCCATGTCCGGTACGATTTGCTCCTCGCCTGAGGAAGATGCTGCATCGGCAGAAATTTGCAAGCGGCTAGGCGGCTTGCCTCTGGCCGTGTCGCAAGTCGCCGACTTCATCCGCGAGAGAGGCTGCACGTATGCCGAGTTTTTAAAGATATACGATAAGTCGGCCCACAAAGTGCTCGCCAAGGCGGACAACCTGGTCGGCTACGACCACACGGTGCTGACTACATGGGAAATCTCACTGGAGAAACTGTCTGCCGAAGCGGCCCGTCTGCAGAATTTACTTGTCTTTTTTGACCCTGACAAAATCCTTGAGAAGCTAGTCTGCCTATCTGAGGATGCTAATGGGCTAGATGATCCAGACTTTGAGTTCCTGAAGGACTCTTTTGAGTAAGTCAACTCTATCTTGTGGTCTTGTGGTTCATACCCTGCGCGGGCTTGACTGTTGGCAAATAGTTTCAGTGAAGCGGTAGTGGAACTCACCCGAGGATCCATGATTTCGAAACTTTCATACTCTGAATCTTTCTCGATGCACCGCCTTGTGCAGCTTGCTGTGTTTTTGCGCATATCCAAGAAGGACCGCCCAATGTACTTTGACACGGCCACGCGGTTGTTATACTACGGCTTTCCAAACACATGGAACGCGAGAGGACCGCACCAGGGCCATGGTTTCACCTACTGGACGACTTGCAGTGAAATCCTGCCCCATGTCTCTTTCCTCATGGACATGTCCAAAAAGTACAATATCAAAACAGGCAACGCTGAAATCTGGGCAGAACTTATTTTTAGAACGGGAGCGTGAGTTGCAAGAATCTAGTCATGTTTATATACTAGTTGTTTTGATTTTGACCAGCAAAACAACATAGGTACCTGTGGGAAAAGGATCAGCAGTTGCTAGCAAGAGCATTTTTCGAAACTGGCCTCAGCATCGACGACGACTCAAACAGCCCCGTCGTGGCCCAGGCTTACCGATATCTGGGTCACATCTCGGTCGATCTCGCTCACCCTCGGGCCGGACTGGCTGCCTACAAGCAGGCCCTCACCGTACGCGAGGCCATCGAGCTCCCGGATTCTCCCCCCATTGCCGATGTGTACGATTCCATCGCCTGTGCATACACAGAGGCTGGCGATATACATAACGCATTTGACTTTGTCGATCGCGCCACGGCCATTCATAACGCCCACGACCCGTCCAAGATGTCCCGCACCCTGGCCATCCGCTCCATGGCCTGTCTGCGCGACGGTCAGGCCGACAATGCCCTCGACGCCATCCAGCAGTGCTGGAAGCTCCAGGACATGACACAAGACCAGATCGCCACGTCCCAGTATCCTAAACACAGCGGCGACATTGTCCTCTTGGCCCGAATCCTCTGGCTGCAAGGTGAAAGGGACAAACAGGACGGAAAAGACAAGAGGAGCGCAGCCCGCGAGCTCGCCTCCCGGGCCATCACTATGCGCCGCGGCACCTTTGGCGAGATTGCCGGCCCCCGCGTCGCTGACGCCATCTTTATCTTGGCTACGATGCTGCGCGACGACGGTGAGCCTGTGTTAGCGGCCCAGCTTCTGCGCGAAATTGTGTCCATGGCCGGTACGCAACCGATCATGCAGAGCCACAGGGCGCGGGCGCTCTGGTTCCTGGGTAACCTCATGGGTACCGCTCTAGGCCAGGAAGAGCAGGCTGCGGCAGAGACGCACGAAAGCGCCAAGAAGGCCCGCGGCGAAATCGAGAGCCGCGAATGGCCAGATGTGGACAGTGACGAAGGGTTTATGCGGCTGGTCTCATGGATGGTCTGGTAAGACGGGCCCTGGGGGAGGAGGGGCATAATCGAAGGATGTGCCTAAACAACAAGAGTCTCAATAACAAAGCCAAGGCGATCTAGAATATAGGCAAGAGAGACAGCTACAAGATGTCAGGATCATGTGCTTAGAAATCACGCTGAAGGTTAAGCTAATATTATCACGGCTCTGTACTTACGACAAAAAATAGATTTCATTTTAGCACTCAGGCGTGAACAGGTGGGCAAGTTGATCGTTATCACATATCTTGTGCTAGCCGATGGGCATAGGCCAACCTGCTACGCTCTGACGGCCACTGCAAGCTTTCACGGGCAAGTCTGTAAGCTGTGTCGCAGTGGTAGCTATATTATCATATACAAGAAAATGGAAAGCAAACTGTGTATGCTTTTTTTTACCATCTTGTTTTGTAAGGTGTACCATAGTATGACGGCTGCAGTCGGAGCTTGCGGACATTTTGATAAGCTTATTAGACTGTACAACAAAACCCTAAACCGATACGACTAGCATCGTCTAGAAGAAAGTATATAGAGAACAGTCTAATATATAGGAAGCGTATCATATTACTGGCAAAGGAATTTGTTCGTATCTTTGTGTACTTATTAGCATGACTAGAAGCAATAACCAGCAAGTGCAAAAACAAAACAAGTATAGTCGACATTGGTCGTAAAGCCCACCAATTCTATGTTGTTCGTATTACGATATGCAAATAGCAAGCCTACTCGTAGTGCGACCGGGTTTATGCACGTCGGAGATCTACGTTGTACGAATTTTTTCGATACCCCTGCTACCTTGAAAAACGATGGCACCAGAGATCGGCAGTTAAGGGATTTTATTGGAGGGGCACTCGTGGGCCTGTCGAATTGGAGGACTGCCAAGAGCATTTCAAGTCTGCTCCATTACCAGCTGCCCGAACTGGTTTAACCAATGCACGTTGAACGGTGACAATACTTCCTTCCGGAATTGGCAGCAACAAGAAGCCCGGCAATTCTACTCGTAAGATACGTTGTACTTAGTAAAGAAATCGACCAACTCACACTAGCCAGACTAACCGTTGTCAAAAAAGTATAGTCTCCTTGGCAAAGCCGATAGCAGTCTGGGCCACATCGGCTCCGTCCACGGGCTCTACTGGCTAGAAGGCGTGGAATTTCCCATGTGCCGCTACTACTCCGTATGTACGGAAAGATGAACGAAACCCCAGGGCACGTCATCATGTATTACATACGGTCCTATCTTACATATATACGGAGTACTTCGTACTATGTAGTGTACTCTTTACGGAGTACTACCCTCCTCCACTGTCCAACGTCATCTATTTTGTACGATCCTGGCACGTTGCCTTGTAAGTGGCCCGAGAGCGCGATCCAAGCGGCTCCTACGTTGCTACTGCTTTCTGCAACTGTGATTGGTATATGCGCCCTTAGTGACCCGGCAATAATGGCGGCAGGAAGGGATCCCTATGCGGGTCAGATCCGACCAGTTACGGATCTCCTTGTTGAGTGACAGGTGGATCCTTCTAAAGCAAACCCACTACCTAGACAACTATTATTGCAGTACCAGTGCCAAGGGCCTACGACGTAGCTATCTTGCCCGGTCACGGCGATTTCTACTGCTCCGTACGGGGTACTCCGTATGTTCGCTGAATACGCGTACGAAGTACTTACTGCTGACGATTTGTTGCACGCGTATAACTGTGGAGCCGCCCAGCATTTAAGAAGTAGGCATACCACTACATGCCATAGTAGTTCGTTTCGACAACGATTGACCTGCAGGGTTTTCCTCTCACCATTATCAACGTCGTATTGTTTGCCAGATGGTGAGCGTTTTATTTTCGCCTGGCTGGTAGCCGGGGGATGTAGAGATTAGAAACTTGTTATATGTACTCGGCCAATTCCTTGACGAGATTGCGAAAGGCCACTTCTTCTGGTCAGAGACCCTACCTCTATACCTCCAATCAAGCTGACCCAGTTCGCGGTCTGTCTCTTCAGAATGAAGGTTGCACCTGTTTTTGCGTCTACGGCTGGCCTCCTGGCCTCTGTGGCTGCTGCTGTTACAGTTCCGTCCAGTTCCCGAGACCTGATCGAGGATGAGATAACGGTCAAAACTGTCATTGCCGACATCACGGACCTGTTTCAGTTTCGCCTACAGCTAAACGCTACGAAATCAAACTCCAGCTGCACGCCGGATAAGATTGTTTACCGCCGAGCATAGTAGGTTGTGCTGTTTACTACATTTCCTCCCCTTGTCACTGACTCGGACAGTGGCGCCTTATCTAGACATGAGAAACTCGACTACATTGGTGCCGTCAAGTGTCTCATGATCTTGCCGTCTCGCACGCCGGCCAACGTTTCTTCGGGTGCCAGGTCCCGTGTGAGTGAGGGATTTCTCGTTTTTCTCGGCTAGATCCGTGACTGATACCGCTACTAGTTTGATGACTTTGTTGCCACTCATATCCAACAGACGCTAACCATTCACTACTCCGGCAACTTTATGGCTTGGCATCGCTGGTTTGTATACTCATACGAAAAGGCATTGCGCGATGAGTGTGGCTATCAAGGCTACCAGCCCGTAAGTGGTGAATACTTGATACTTTCCACATGCACCGCTTTCTGACAGCTACAAGTACTGGGACTGGCCGCTTTACGCCAACGCAACCGAGGACTCTCCCATATTTGATGGCAGCGATACAAGTCTCGGTGGCAACGGAGACTACTTCCCGCATTCTGGCCGCGTTATTACGGCCCCTGCAGGCTCTAATGGCTCTGATATCCAGCTGCCGGCCGGAGATGGCGGCGGCAACGTCACGACTGGTGCCTTTGCCAACTTGACTGTGAACCTTGGTCCCGTCGGTGGTGTCAAGGGCATGGTCCCTGGTCCGGACGGCGGCTTGGGCTATAACCCGCGCACATTGACGCGTGATATTGCAAGCGTCATGAACATGGAATACGCAAACTATACTACTGTTCTAGGTAAGTGATAGAGTACTAATCGCCTGGTCTAACCAGTACTAATCAGCTGTATAGACCTTCTCGGCAAAGCCAACATTGATACGTATCGTGCCCTCCTCGAAGGCATCCCGAACAACATTGTTCTTGGGCCTCACGGCGGTATTCACAACACGATTGGGTGAGTGAGCTGGAAGAAAAGAGAGTCAGAAGGAGAAAACAAAGACGCAAAGTAGACCGCGCTAATATACATAACTATAGTGGCGATCCGAGTAGCGATCTTTTTGCATCCCCCGGTGACCCTGTTTTCTGGCTCCATCACTGCCAGATGGACCGAATGTGGGCGCTCTGGTATGTCCTGTCCTCATTTGTTCTTAGTGCGACTCTCAAAAACCCCGTTCTCACAAGAATCGCGTAGGCAAACTCTTGACCCTGCTGTCCGCCACAGTGACCTCAAGGCGGGCAACTTTGGACACATAACCTGGAACAACAAGCCGGCATCCCGCTACACAACGCTTGACGATGTGATTGATCTGGGATATGCTGCGCCATCCACTACAATCAGAAACGTTATGGACACGACTTCGGGGCCGTTTTGTTACTATTACCTCTGAAGAATTTCCAAACTTTTTAAACGAAGCGGATAGGTGCACTTATGGTAGGACGTGACCTTCTATGGCGAAGTCGTTAGCATTTGGAACAGTTTATGTAGATTACTGGCCGAAAGGAGTTTAGATACCGCCCCCACACAAGGCTTTCATGGATTAGTCGTTTTCGTCCATGCCAAGCTTTCCTGCACTATTATATCATAAGCGAGAGCTGTTACCATCGTCCCGTAGTCGTAAGCCGTAGAGTACAGTACCAGTTCCATGGTAAAGCGTGCAAAAATCCGAATGTCGTAGCACCGCCCCATATCGCGTCACATACAATTGATCAACAGAGGGGTTAAGCCCGTGCCCCCCTAGGAGAATGTGACGGGAGAGGTGGGGAATTTCTTTACGGCCTCCTTACCTGGTCTCCGGATCTGTCTATCTAGGCATGACAAGAACCATCCTATATGTTCAGATTCTAGAGCTATGGTAAACCAGGTGCTGGGAATGACGAGAAAGAAGCAGGATAGCGTCTCTACATAGCTCGAATACTCTTCTTATACTACCGAATTTGGAACGTCAACTGTTGCTGTTTAGGGCAAGGTGTCAGATGAAGGGGATCAGACTAGGCCGGCTATCTACTCCGACCCTCATCGTAAACAGGGCCCTTTGAACCTGATCCACTAAGACCCGAGTCCAACTGTTGCTTAATCCCAATTCTTCAGTCAAGTGTAGTTCAGCGTAGTCGATCTTCTTGACAGGGTTTTAGTAGTTTATACTCTACTCTTTGGTTATAGTCCTATCGGAGCTAGACAGGGCAACTTGACTTAAGATTGTTTGACAAGGAAGGAATAGTTGACTTAAGCTCTACTACGCATAATGCTTTTAGTAATATACGCTTACAGAACGTCAGATTGTCGTACAAAGTAGCAGGATACCTCTAGGTGATGCCGGTTCCCGGAACCCATATTATATGGGTTGGGCCCAATTGGCCCGTGATACAGAGTAAAGGGTATCCAGAGGATCAAGATCAGCACAGATTAGGTAGCCACGCATACAAAGTACTGGTGAAAGGGTTTGTGCTCCCGATAGTCAACGGCGATGTCGTAATCCCCATGCAGCCAGACAGAGAAGATTCTGACAAGCATGAAATATATCAAGTCTGTGCCATGATTGAAAGACTCTGTGTCAAGAGAGTTGCGGTACAAATCCAGACATTATGTCTCACCGAGGTTACAGCTAAGTTGAGGGATATACGAAGGGGAAACAGCTTTACTGCTCGATGATGTATAGGTTCCTTCTTAAATCAAAACAAAATCTCTACCTCCCGATATGCTTAATACTGGAAGCGCCAGCGAGGATCATCGTCACCCTCCCAGTCTACAATGTATCCTATCTCTTTCACTTCCTCAGTAAGGCCAGCTCTTCTGCTATTTTCCCTCTTCAATATCCAATAAATGCCCCCGGAAACCACAGCGTTTGCGACGAGGTAACCAAGGGCAACACTGTGCCCTACAAAATATCGCGGCCCATCTGTGGCACGGTATAGCTGCGTTCCCAATACTGCTCCCAGGTTTCCGATACTGATCTGCATCGCGTTGGCAATGGCGCGCTTCGTCTGGCCAGAAACGTTGATGGCAGGCCAGGACAATGAAAGTGCAGTTGCTGGATAAATACCTCCAGCTGCAAAAAACGTGCCTACATATGATACCCCAGGTCGACGGGTAGGCTCGCTGTTGGTGAGGAGGATAATGTACCCGATAGCTGCAAAGACTGCTGAGCCAGCCATAAACAAGGCTCTTTGGTTGAGCCTCTCCGATATGGTGGCCACGGCAATAGTCGTGATGAAGGCAAAAGCATACGGTGGTATGGTCAAAAGCTGTGCACTAGCAGCTTTGTATCCTAACGCACTGATGATAGTAGGCTGCAATGCGGTCAGCTAATGGGTAGACAGGATTATCGTTGACAAGAAAAGGGACACTCACGATGAACAGAGAGTAAGTGTACAGGGGAAGACTCATTGTATGAAAACTGAGTCCGTAAAGCCAGCATTTCGGGTCCCGAAGCGCTTTCGCAACATTTCCCCAAGTGAATGCTTCATCATGAGTGGCGTCACTATCGGCTGCCAGATATCTCTGAATATACAGGCGTTGCTTGTCGCTGAGAAACTCTGCTGTCGCTGGATAGTTATAGATGAAGAGATATGACAGTGCTGCCACCACTATGGTAAATAGCCCTTCCTGCAACGTCTGTTAGATGGCCGGGTGCCCGGCCTCCAAAGTATCCTCGGGGGTACTCACCAGGATAAATATCCAGTGCCATCCATTTTTCCATACAGTCCCTCTCATAAAGCCGATACCCTTTCGCTTTAGTGTCAGTCTATCATCTTCTCAACCCAGCCGCGAGACAGGCTCACATATGCTAATATGCCACCAAAAGATCCTGCGAGGGCCGCAGCGCTGAAGAAGAGGGAGATTCGAAACTGCCGTGCACGTCGTCGATACCAGAGAGAGAAATAGTATACCACGCCTGGAAAGAGACCACTCTCGGTGACTATATTTAGTGCTTAGTCGTCTCTGCATCCATAGATCAAACGGCATAAAACAGATGGAGATGTGGAAACGAACGGCCAAGGAAGAGGCGTGCAACAAAAAAGCCAGCCAGGCTGTGTACGACGCCCAGTAACGTAGCCACTATGCCCCAGAAAATAGTCAAAGTCGGCAGCCAGAGTCTTGGACGCGTCCTTTTAAGGATGATGTTGCAAGGAATCTTGACAGTCGTGTAAGTAATACGATCGCTGCCAGCCCAAAAGAACGGAACTCTCAGTTACCTCGAGCAAGACATATCCGATGAAGTATAAAGTCAATCCAGTGAGATATTGATTCCCAGCTGTTTGTCTCGTCAGGAAGCTGTGCGCAGTTTCAAAGCCGAGGTTTTAGACAAAGGTCTTACTCATATGCAAATCAGTAGCTAGGCCCTCAAGCTTGGCATTCCCAACTGGCAATGTTAGAAGTTATCTTGGAAGGTCGTTCCACCTGGTTCTGGACCGACAATCCGTCAAGAAATTCATACCATTGCTGCGGTCCAAGAAAGACAGCAGGTAAAGGATGCCAACTGCAGGCAGTAGCCGAATATCGATCTTCCGGAGCAACGCAGTCTCGTCAACCGTATCGTCATGCTCGGGCCCAAGGAACGGCCTGTCCACTGGCCGGTTGCCTGTCTTCTCAATCTCTGAACTCATGCTTAACGCTAGATATGTGATACAGATATTTGGTTGAAATAGATGATCTGGATTGCACAGTTTAGCCGCAACTACACGCAAATTATTACACAAAAGGTAGGACTCATCTGGAGGTGGGACTCACCTCAATTTTAAACAATTCTCATATTCAATATCGAACCCCCGACATCAACAACCCCACTGACGACATATGCGCAAGGCTAATGGTAGATAGATGAAGCGCAACATACCATTGGCCAAGCTGTTTGATATCGCCTTACAAGGCGTCGATCACGCCATTTACTACGCTCCATCTACAGACTTGACCAACCTATTGCGGTTATTGCATCAAGCTGTCACATGTTAAAACGGAGCAGGATAGCTCATTGTTCACTTATAAGAAATCCAAAGATTGGAATAACTCCCTGAATTGTTTTCAGAACTTTCTTAGATAATAAAACACAGAAAGAGAGAGTTGATATCATAGTTGGTAATCCCTGGCTGTATTTCCTAGTTCCTAGCCTATCTCACATCCTCTTACTGTCTGTCTAGGCGGGGTAAGAAAGATCGTAGCGATCGGTACTGCGACCAGAGCGGCGGAGCGAACAGACAAGCGCTATACCGTTCTTTTTTGGTTATCTGAAGCAGATTATGATTGCTTTAACTGTATAATTGATAGTTATAAAAGCACAATGTTTTATGACAGCAATTTAGCAGGCAACGTATATTGATTGCAAGCCTTGTTGCCTTTACACAACGAGCGGCAATAATGAAGGATAGTTTGAAGGACGTTACAAATACACATGTCCTGATATAGCTTAGACACTTGTTAGCTAAAACAACAGGCTCCTCTTCGATTAATGAGACCACTTTGGCTAAGGCATACTTTTGCTTGTAATTATAAAGATAGAGAAACTTTAAAGGAGAAAGAGATTAGGTTTAAGAAATTAGTGCTGTAGAAAGCCTTACAAGGGTTGTAAGATGGAAATAATTGTGTAAATTAAAGACAGAACTCTATGGCCGTTAAGAACTGTCTGCTTAAATGTATGTACTTCTACTGGAGATCTCTGTTCCCCATGAGTCCCCCTTAGGACACCTGCCTTATGGTTTGACAGATGATCAACAATCTGAAAGAATGCCTATCGTAATCTTAAACATGTCGGAGATGGGTGTCCGGCGGTCTTAGCTCGGGGTTATTTGCCATGTCAGCGAATCGGCCAAACGCGCGTCAAAGGGGGAATCTCATGTCTAGCATAAGCTTATCAATGTACCGCACTGCTTTAGATAGTTGATGTCGCGGCAGGTCCGCTCAACCAACAGTGTATGCTTATGTATCACATTGGATAACATGGCCGTCTGTGGCTTATCTTGGCTATAATAGCGTGTCCTGTTCACCTACCCTTTTACCACTGGCCTAGGAGGTGAAAATCAATAAGGCCATTGACTTTACGACATTTGGGACAAGGACCTGGCCTTAGTCGTCGATGTATGAAAGCGAGTAGTAATGCAGCCTTAACTTAGTGTCGGTGAAAAGGTCCATCTGCCAGATCATCCAGAATAGCTCGGTGGGCAGTTTCACAAAACTGTGGCGTCGGTGGTCCGGTTGGCAGCGGCCGCCTTCCTTTGTCATTAGCCATAGCTCCGTAGGCGGACCGAGAAGGTGGAAAGCCGAAGTTCAAGGTTAAAGGAAGATTGTCGATGTATTCTTGACTGCAGATATTCAATGCTTGTTATATCCACCATGTGTCGTAAAATCAACAATTACTATGCAACACGATATTCCCTCACTTTTGCCATTAGTGCTCGTATAGCAAAATATACAGAGTGCAGTTCTTAGACAGCATTCAGATGAAGTTCAGATTGGCACATACAGACGTAAAACGGCTATCCGTGACCACGCATGTATTGTTGTAGTTAGGTACCTCTAAGGCTATCCGCGGGGAGCTTGCTTTACAGGAGAGAGTCTTTCGGGAGACAACTGACAGGGAAGAGGCTGTCTTTTTGGGGATAAAAGGCCTACTAAATGGCTGCTGACGAATTGGTGCAAGCGCTTGAGGATTGGAAAAGATGTAGACTTCAGCCATGTGAAAAGGGGGCCACAGAGTATATACTTTAACTGTCAAAGACGAGATTCAAAAGCCAAAGAACGGTCTAATACACTTTAGCTGAAGATAAAAATGGCTTTGTGTGGGCCCCAGAGAGTGATTGCGTACAGAGTAAGGTATCAACGCTTTGAAGTTGGGGTTACTGTCTTGAATGAAGATGCGAATTGTACATGGTATGCAGCTATCCGTGCGCAACATCTCTTTTCATTAATAAAGCAGAACGATAAAAACATGCATAAAAGCGGCAAAGAAACGAACACTAGCATGTGATACGCCGTAAATCGTCTGGAAATAACATGACTGACTGCGTGCAGTGCTCAGGCCAACCCACCATCTATTTTCATCAATCAGTCCACGAAAAGCCAAGTACGAAAAGATGGTGCGCGCTATTCGAGGTTCGCGCTGTGCATATAAGTCCTGTGGTTTGTGGTCCTGTCGGATTCTGACCGGTCTCTGTAGGAGTGCTGGTCGAGTGCGACCCGGCTATCAAGTCCATCATCGTGAACATTGACAGCCAGAACCACGACTACATTATTGAGGAGCTCGACGAGCAGCGCCTCGTGGTAAAGGAGAATATGATGGTGTCGCTCAAGACAAAGCTGGATGACGTGAGTAGTATCATACTTCTGGCGAACCCAGTCGTCTTCTAACTCAGTATTTGCAGCGTCTAAAGGAAACCACACAACAGGAGGACGAAGAGTCGGACTCGAACTAGACAGAAAGCGGCGTTACTAAGGCTTTTTTTTTCATCGACAGTTACGTCTTGTCCTAATACGATATACTTAATGCAGTGACTCTTGTGCTCATGCGCGTGTGGGTGGCAGTGACATCCTTCATGAATCCAGGCTACAGCTTCTCAAATGTCGGACGGGTCTTCTGCATGCCTGATACCAGCGCCGCCTGAACATCGTTGGACTGAAGCGCTGCCGAGTTCCACACGGTCGTGTATCGGAGGTCTGCATTCGGAAAACGTACGTAGTCAGCGCGTCAGTAGCAAATAAGGGGGGAGGAGAGGTGGACAGGACGCACTCTCGGCAACGGAGTGGTCTCGGGCGTGCTGGAGAAGCTCCTTGGTGCCTTGCACGGCCACCGGGCTCTTGGAAGCGATGAGGGTGGCGGTTTCAAGGGCGACAGCGACGACGGCAGCCTTGGACGGCAGGACGCGGCTGACAAAGCCGACAGCCTCGGCCTCGGCGGCAGGAAAGACGCGGGCAGTCAGGCAGACGTCACGCACCCACGAGGAGGACGCAACGATCTTAGGCAGGCGAGCGAGCGTGCCGATGTCAGCAGCGAGCCCGATGTCGACCTCCTTGACGCTGAAGCGGGCGTCCTGGGTGCAGATGCGGATGTCGGCACAACAGGCGATGTCGATGGCGAGACCGAAGGCGATGCCATGGATGGCGCAGATTATGGCTGGACCGTTAGGACAAAACTGAGAGACAGGAGGACATGAACAAGAATGCATGGCACATACGCTTCTCGCACTCTTCAACGGCACTGATGCAGGCCTGGAAGTCGTGGACAAAACGACGGAGGTTGGTGGCACGGCGGGCCGGTTCCGGGTGGCTCGAGGCCTCGCCCATCCACTCGCCGGCGGCAAAGACGTCCAGGCCGGCGGTGAAGCCGCGGTCGCCGGCACCTGACAGCACGATGGCGCGCACGTCGGGGTCGCGCGACAACTGGCGAAACACTTGGCCCAGCTCGGCCCACATGGCCGGCACGAAGGCGTTGATCTTGTCGGGACGTTGCAGCTCGACGTGCACGACATATTCGGCCGGGCGGCCGATGCTGATGTATTCAAGGGTCATGATGGCGAGTGGCGGTGGTATGGTGGGAGGAGGAGCAGGTTGAAGACCATTGTCTGCAGGAAAGTGCAGCTCTGTCGGCTTGTTTAATACCCCAACTTACATCTCGAGATGCCGAGGCTCCCAAAGGCCGTCTGGCAGCCACGGGCTGTCGAGACCGTGCTAATGAAGACATGCACTGTACCACACTGTGTGTCACGTTACGACCGAACAGCTACTGTGATGGTTCCGCCTGTGAGATATGCGCGAGCTCATGATATTATCGATGCATTCTCTGCAGCCGCAGCAAGGGAGCCCCTAGCCTGCAGGCGAGCCGGGGCTGTTGGGCTGTCATTCCTTTTCTGATGCTTTGTTGTTTGGAACCGAAATTCGATCGTTTTTACGTCTCCGTCATCCGCTCCTTCTCGTTCCTTCTGAACGGGGCAATGCCTGCCTTGTACAGTACTCCGTATCTTACACAGCACCAAGGAGCAATGCTCCGTAGTCCGTAATACCCATCGGGTTGCAGAACTTCCCCAACACCCTAGCTGGGCTACTCCGCACCCCCTAGACCGCCTGTACCGCACCATGCCCCCCCCTATGGCCCCCCGCTAATCAAACCCTTGCCCCTCCTACGCGCGATCGTCAAACGAATAGACCACCGCCCACCCGCCCGTGCTGCTGCAGGGAAAGAGGGCCTGCCGCTCCGCCTCGCACCTGCTCTCTCCCCTTCGCGTGGCACTCAGTGCGCGCACGGTCAGCTGCAGCGCAACTGCAGCCTCTCTTGCGCAAGAACGCGTCGCCTCTGGCAAGATCGCTCTTGTTTTGCGTTTTGCCGTGCCTGGCGCCTAGAGCACGAGTGGCCCGCCGCTAATACGAGCTGGCATCGTATGGAGTCCGCATGCATTCCTGCTCGTACTATGTATCTTAAGTTGAGATACGAGTTCGGACAACGGCCGTCTCGCTCCGTGCATCCTCCAGCTCCCAGAGCGGATTCATCTCCAGCTGCGGCATCATATCGGCTGACCATTCTCGTTGCCGGCTGCATAGTATAATTTTGGCTTGCCCTTTTAGGCCCTTCCTCTGGTGCCTTCCACTCAATTTCGGCCACGATCGACTGCCAAAACCCACTGTTCCCCCCTCCTCCTTTCCCTATTTTTTTTTCCTTCTACCTTGTCCTTCTAGCCCGCCCAATCGGTCCTGCAACCAATTCGCTCTTTTTCTGTAATCCATCCTCATCTTCTTGTCTTTCGAGTTTCCTTAATAGTTATTTGTATTTTTTTCTTCTTCTTGCAATCCAGACCGCCAACCACGTTCCCTTCGTCTACCTGCCGTCTAAGACAACGTTCCAACATTCGCCTCCGCTTCTGGTCCGCCTTTGCTGTTCCCACTCACTCTATTCGATACCCTCGATCGGTGCTACCCCCCTCCCCTTTTCGATCTGCCATACGGACTACTCGAGACATACCCGGCGAGATTTAACAAACCAGCTTCCCTGTCGTCAAAGCCTCGCCCGTCAAACATTCGTTCGGCTTTCCCCAATTTCGCAAGCCCACGCCCCCTTTCATCGAATTCGTGGCCATATCTTTCGCCCCCCGAAAACCCCCCCTTCTTTCCGGCTTCTTGGATCTCGCGCGCCCAACCTTGTCTTCATTTCCTTTTGTTTCTCGGCCCTCCGTTTGCCTGCTGCCGCAGCCTGCCTGCTTCTATCGCCATCGAATCGCGCTTCTATTAATTGCTGCCGCCATGGCTGCAGCACATCAGTCCCGGCCCGATGTGGGCGACATTCTCATTGTCATCCGTGAGTTGGCCCGATTTTGTCCCAGACGAGAAGACGAGCGCTGCATTGCCACATGGCTGACTCCCATTTTGCAGACGACTTCCAGGCTCGCAGCTCCGACGAACTCACGCTGGCAAAGGGCGACCGGGTAGAATTGCTGGATCGTGATGATGAATTCGGCGACGGCTGGTTCCTGGGAAAGCAGATGGTCAGTGGGAATACGGGACTCTTCCCAGAAGGTACGTGGCCTTCCGTTTCCTGCGTCGTCGTGGCACGCAATCGAATAACCCCCGATGAGCCATCGCCGGGTCACTGCTTGCGCGCCCAAAGACCCTAGTTCGTTGCTGACGTCGAGTTCTTCTTCTATAGTGTACACTCGACCAGGGCCTAAGAGCTTCCTGACTGGACCGAGTGCGCTAGCTGCTGCAAAGCAACAGTCCATGCCGCCTGTCCCAGAAGCTGAAAGCTCACCTGAGGAGAGCCGAAACCAGACGCCTACCGAGTCGGAAGAAGCAAGTAGAGACATGGGTCTCGCGCCGCAAACAGAAAACGGGTCGCAAGCTGCGGTCGCCTCTGGTGTGCCGTCCCCGACTGCTGCTGCCACAACAAACAATGTATCGCCTCCCACAACAGCTGGTACCCTAACAGACACCATATCAACATCAGACTCTTCACAGCCCTCGCCGTCTTTCGCTGCCGTGTCAGCCGCGGCGCCGGCTTCGTCCCTCCGATCGTTGTTACAACCAACAACCCCCACTTCCTCCATGACGCTAAACGGTCGCGTCAGCTCGAGCCAGGACAGCCAGGTCTTACACGAGACGCTGAACGTGATCGACGAGCACATTACGGACCTGCGCTCACCGTCCGACAGCAACGGAGGCATGCTAGCTGTGACTGCGGACTCGGGCAGCGAGTACAGCTCGCAGCTCGACCACCGCATGTCTTATATCCACGGCGAGGAGACCGACGAAGAGGAGGAGGCTTTGCACACACGATCGGAGGTGGAGTCGTGGAACCCTGACGATGTTGCTGAGTTTCTGTTTACAGCCGGAGTCGAGAAGCACCATTGCGAGGTGTTCCGCGATCAGGAAATTTCGGGCGAGGTGCTATTGGGCATGGACCAGGCGTCTCTTTTCATCAAGGCATTTGACTTGGGCCCGGTTGGGCGGCGCTTGAAGACGTGGCAGAAGATCAAGACTCTGCAGGACGAGGTCAACAACCTGGTGCGACCGACCACAAGCCATACCCGACGAAGCACCCAAACATATGGCAGTGACGTCGGCTCTGATGATGCACGGCGCCCTAGCCGCAGCCGGACAAACACCATCACCAGCTCTTCGAATACCCCCGTCTATCAGCAGCAGAGACTGCCCCCCATCGACGACCGCCCCTTTTCCATCCAGTCCAGACGCCTGTCTTTCAGCCAGGCCTCGAGGATGGACCCTACCATGTCGCCCGCCTCGCACAAGTCGCCCCAAGGTCTGTCTTCCGACGGTAATGCGTCAGGACGGCCGGTTTTCCACGAAAAGAGGCCGTCGGCGGCGTCTATCCGCGATCTGCACCACTCACGTCGGCATTCATCTGTCGACTATCGCCTGCCAAGCACGTCTTCTGTGGCTCAGCGGATGTCCAACAACGGTAACTTTGCCGAGCCAGACGAACCTACACCACAGCATAAGAAGCAGCCCTCGTTTGACCGCAATTGGACGCTCGGCGGCGCCTCCGCCAATACCTCACAGGCGCCACAAGGGCAGCGGGTGCAACGCGAGTCCGTGCAGATGCGGCCCCTGTCTTCGGCCGGCGTTCGCGATATAGTGGCCAGCCCAGAGCTTGATCTGCGTCTGGATATGGGCGGTCTTGCAGGCGGCCTGGGCGAGTCCGCTATCGACTACGACCGGGGCTATTTCTCCGGTCCCGATACGGAGAACCGCCGAAAGTCTTTCCTACAGAAGAAGCAGCGTGATAGCGCATTGAAATATGGCCGTGGAACTGCGTCCATCTCCGGAAACTCGTATGCGGAAGAGCAGCGTGTGAGAAGTGCCACGGCCCTATCGCGGCACTCTCGCTTTGGAAGTGTCGATTCCGTACGAGACTCGACGATATCGCCTGCGGCGCAGAAATACTATGGAGTGGCTACCAATGGCGGTTCCGGTCCGCACCGCAGAACCACATCTTCCAACACGGCTGATTCGTCGATCATGCGACCCATTCTACCTCCGAAGGATACGTTGGCTCCTACCGTCACCCGGCTTGACACTGCTTCGAACAACAACAATGGGCGGACCTCCTTTGACAGGACACGGCCGTCTCCTGTCTCCCCTGCATCACCGGCATCTAACCGCAATGGCGAGTGGTTTTCCGTGAAGCCTGGCTTCAAAGCCCCTGGGTTTGGCTTGCGTGCGCTGTCAGACGCCGTCTCTGGCCATGATCGTGGCAAGATCATATCTCCCGTCGCTCATTCCGACACCTTTCCCAAGGACTCGCCCATGCAGTCTCCATCACGAACTGACTCCAGCACGCCATCTGTCGGCCCAAGTTTTGAGCTCGACTCGCCTGACGCTAAGAGCCCCAGCACCACGGGCACTGGGATGTCAGCCCGCACGAACGCTGCCCGCAGAAAGAACAAAAAGGAGACCAGCGCCTACCAGCGCGGGCTGCTGAAGATCTCGCCTCGTGAAGCCATGCTAGATGCGGACTACAGTGGCTGGATGAAGAAAAAGAGCTCGAACCTGATGGCCACCTGGAAGCCCCGCCTGTTTGTCCTCAAGGGCCGCCGGCTGGCCTACTACTATTCCGAAGACGACGAGGAAGAGAAGGGCCTGATTGACATCTCTTTCCACCGTGTGTTGCCGGCCGACAACGATCGTCTGACGGGACTCCATGCTACCATCATGGGAGCCTCCGCTTCGCCAGCCGTGCCTGCGAACAGCTCTATGCCGACGCTGGCAGAAACAGGCGCAGATTCGGAGATGGCACTCAAGGCGGCGACATCATCGGACTCCATCTTTATTTTCAAGCTCACGCCGCCGCGAGCCGGCCTGTCTCGGGCCGTCAACTTCACCAAGCCCATGGTGCACTACTTTGCGGTGCCGAACGTTTCGCAAGGGCGCCTGTGGATGGCAGCACTAGTCAAGGCCACTATCGATCGCGACGACACCGTGCCTGTTACGACCACATACCAGCAGAAGACCATCTCTCTCACCAAGGCGCGCGAAATGCAACACCGACCGCCGGCGCTCATGAATCTTGACGAGCAGCTCAGAGCCAGCCAGGGGATGCTAGAGGGCGACAGGGCCATCAGGGACGATGATGATTATGACGACGCCAATGTTTTGGGCGACGACGAGAAGAGGATGTTGGTAGCAGCACTGTCTACGACCGGCCAGCGAAAGGTATCGGATAAGGCGGCCAACGGCCTGGGCATCACATACGATGAAAAGGACAGTGGCGTGTCTGGCGTGTCTAGTTCACCAAGTGCAGACAGACTGGGAGTCAAGGTGCCGTACAAGGCAGAGAGTGCTCGATCGCGGCAGTTTTTGTTCGAGCCCGAGAAGGATGATGACCGGTTTCCTATGAGTGCATGAAGGGGGAGAACTTGTGTGTTGAAGAAGTGTGATACCTAGATTAATTGTCTCTATGCCCCTACTGGTTTTTTGGACCCTCTTCGGCTCCCCTTTTTTGCAGCCATTTCCTAGCTTTTCTATACTTTTTCCGCGTTTATTTCAAATGAGATTAAACGCCGAACTCCTTTTGCTCTTCCAATTCGTACCGTGAATGCTACAAAGGGAAGCGTGGCTGAGACGGGGTATCGCTATTCGACATAGACGCCGCAAATGTTTTAAGCCGACAACCCTCATAGTATCGTCAGCCCGTCACCCGTACAGCTCTTCATCAGTTACGTGCAAGTATTGTCGAACAGAGTGCCAATAGGCATCTACCTCCTGTGGAGGCCGTCTATGCGACACACGCCCTGAATATTTTAGCTCCTTTTCCTGCTTCTCAAAGCTGTCGTCGTCCAAGTGGCCGTCTGTCTCGGCGAACCATGCCAGCTCTCGCATCACCTCATCCAGCCGCTGCAGCGAGCTGGTCTTATGGTGGTGATTGTGGAGATTGTCGTCACAGAGCCAGCCTGCGCACAAAGCATCAGTGCCTATCTTGCTGTGTCCACCAACGGCGCCATCAAGGCCGCGTACTGGCGGTGGCTTTGGCAGCAGGTACGTCTTCTGCTCTAGAACGGGCCGGGTAGGTCCTTCCGGGGTGTTGCTGAAGGGCGCAGAGGAAGAGGTCAACGTGGTCGGGGCAGTGGAGGTAGAGGAGGCAGTGGTGGCGGTGGAGCTTGTGGCAGTAGATGCCGATGAGAGCTGGCGATGTACTGGCCTCGTGGAGATGAAGGGGTCTGTTTCAGCGTCGCAGTTCTGCTGCTGCTGCTGTTGCTGTCTTGTAAGGCAACGCATGTTCTGGGGGACTGTCGACGGCTGTGGAGGAATTGTCGGAGAGGTAACGACTGCTGAAGTTGCAATCTTGCCTCTGCGACCAACACTGGCCGTGCTACCGGTACTTCCAGCCTTGGCAACCGTGCCCGATGCTGATGTCTCTAGCCAACTCACTATAGCACGCACCGACGACGGTGGAGTAGTGACTGGGTCCCGGGAGGCGCTGGTTTTGTCGTCCATGTTGAGAACGAGTTTCTTGTCTTTTGTTCGGATGTCGTGCGCTAAAAAGCATACGGCAGTCCAAGCCTGTTTGTTCTATGAAGAAGGCAATGCTGTCAACCGCCAGGGTCGACTTGGAGGTGGTATAAACGCAAGACGAAAACAGTGATGAGAAGCTATAGAGGGGAAGAGAAGAACGTGAGAAAGATATGGAATCAAGATAAATAAACATTAGAGAAGGTTTATTTTTGCAGAAAGGGGCCGATTGCTAGATATCAGGCTTTTCCGCACGGGGAAGGTGCGATGGCGAAGGGCCTTTTTGTACATCAGTCTGTCCTCCGAGGCCGACAGCTCCTTTCGCATTTTGCTCCCCTCAACCAACTCAAGGCCGATTGCATCCGAAACAACGGAGAAGAAGAGAAGGAAAGAAAAAGGGGACTGTTCGCAAATACGATAAAAGAGCGTTCCAACCTCGTGCGTTCACTGCGGTGTCCCCGTCTTTGTTTTTCGCACACTTTGTCGCAAGAGGAAACAAGCAGGGAGAAATCGACCTTCTTATCAAGCCAAATCCTGTACCGACGATCTTTCATGCTATCTTACAAAGGGCTGAAACAGAGCCAGATGTGCTTTGCAATGATTCCAAAAACATCCAGCAAACCGAACGCTTATCAAAAGCTGGCGGTTGCGCTATCCCGCTGCTCTTCGTCCATCATCTTGGCAATTTCCTCCACCTCATTTTCCAGCATGCGCAGCTCATTGGTGACTGCATCCGCTGGCCGGCGACCAGATTGGGACTCGACACCATGGCCCAGACCCAAGCCACGTTCACTGCTGCTTGCGTGTGGCGGTGATGGAGTTCCGGCCTGTGCCTGTCGCTCTTCTTCTGCCATCTGATCGTATTGCTGTCCTGCAATCTTTGATTTTGGACCACTACTAGCAGCTGCTGCTGCTGTCTTCCGCGTTTCCATGTAGCGCAGAATGGCCGACTTGTCACCCAGGTACGAGAAGGCACGGAAGGTGAAGTCGTCTGGCTCGAAGCCTGCGCGCTCCAGCCGCTGCAACGTCACGGCTGTCTTTTTGACGTTCTGCAACCGTGCGTAACCCGCCATCAGCGTGTTCCACGTCACCTGGTTGGGCTCGACGCCGCGGTCGCGCATCATGTGCAAGATACGCTCGCCCTGCCTGACCTGTCGGTGGAACATGAAGCCATTCAGCAGGATTGACCAGGTGTACACGCTGGGCGGCGGATGTTGCGGCTGGTAGTCGGCGGCCTCGCTGTCGCCATGCTGCAAATCTGTGGCGGCATCCCGCAACATGTCGCCCACAACGTCCAGAGCAACGCGCAGCATGCCCTCATACTCGCACAACGCCATCACCACAACGTCGTGCACCAGCGTTCCCTGGTCACGCACTAGACCCGTGGCTACAGGGTCGCCCGCTTGCAACAGACGGCGGAAGTGCGAATAAAACGCGATCACGTCATAAGGGTTAGACACACCCTGGATGTAGCCCAAGATCATGGTGGTCAGCGTTAAGCTGGTCGGTTCCACAATCTCGCCTGGCTCCAGCTTGGGCAACGCATGCACTGTCGGTCCTAATTGTGCGGCAAATTCCCAGCGGCCGTGCAGGGCGTCAGTCTGCCGTCCTTGTGCGTGTGATGAGGTCAGGCCGCCGCCCGATCCGGCATCAGGGAGAATAGTGCGCAGCGGCTCAAGTGCGAATATCTTGGAATAGGTCTGCAGCATGAGCGGGAACGACGGCACGACACGCGGCCGCTTGATGGCAGGATTCGCCCTCGCCTCGGCGAAGGCGGTTGAATATATGGATTGGATAAAGTCGTTCCACACTATCGGATGATTGATCCTCTGGGCTGCTGCTGTCTCGGCTACCCGACGGAGAACGGAGAAGTCCCCGCGAAGCTTGGCCCCGTTCATCATCGTGGAGTAAACGTATTCATCGGGTTCTGTTTGATTATTGATCATCAGTTGCAGCACCTGCTGGGCTGCCTCCAGTTCGCCTTTGAGACAGAGGCCACGTATTATAGTCGTGTACGTGATGAGGTTCGGCTCAAGCCCGCATCGCAGCAGCTGTTCAAACATCTCTGCCGGCGTCAGCGAGGGTTGCCCGTCGGTCGTTGCCGTCCCCTCACTTCCCTCCACCGACAGAATGGTGGTACACAGTGCTGCTCCCTGTGGTGTGTTGATGTCAAGATCCGTTGCCGACAGCGCGGCCTGAAGCATTTCGACAGTCGGCATTTTGAACGCAGCGTTTCTGGCGACGCGACTGGCCATCTGCAGCCGCGTGAACTTATGGAGTGGGTGCCCGTGTTTAACTAAGAGGTGATACAGGTTGTCCACGCTCTCCGTTGTCTTCGTTGCCTTTACAAGGAAAAAAATTGTGGACTGCCGCAAGCGTAAGTAATTTGACGAGCTGTTCTCCAAGACCATTTTGAGGAGCTCGTAGACCTCGTCAGCTGTTGGGTGCATAGAGCCGTCCGTCGAGGGCTTTTCCGCAAGCTGGCGACAGAAATGATGGATGGTGTCTTGCACGGCGTAGTATGGAATATGAGCAGCATCAAACGTCGCCGAAAATATGATGTGCGCACGGCCAGGATGAGAACGCAGAGCAGAAACCATGATGGATGGCCATAAATCACGGCGCCGCTCTGGTGAAAGCTTCGACCAAGTCTCTCGTAGCTTATGCATGCTCTTGCCTCCATCTTTGTGCTCTAGGAGCCACCGAAGCATGTTGCTCTCGCTTTCAGCTCGGGGAAGCTGGGACGATTCGAGCATCTGCCAGGTCTCTGAAAGCTGTTTCTTCCATAACCAGAACGCCGCATTCGCGCGTAGGTAGTCTTCTGGAGAGACAGCGCGTCTGAAAAATCCATGGGCATTCAGAAGTTCCTGTGATTTCCGCTTTGTCCAGCGTTTCTTTGATTGAGGGTGTCGTAGATGTGTCGTAGCCGTCGACTTTGTGTCTCGTACGGGAGATGGCCGGCTCGGACGGCGCCCAGGCTCCGACCTTCGTATGGGCTCCCGGTTTTCTGCTATTGAAGAGGATTCCTGTCTCAACGCCTGCACCCCATTTTCGACACCTTCCACCGCAGCTGCAGCAGCTCCCCAAAGCTCATCGTAATTGCTCCAGATTGCCCCACCCTGCTCACTATTGCTGGCCTTGTTTGGTTGTTCGTCCAATAATTCGGGGGCTGATTTTTCAGGGTTCCCAGGAATGTAGCGGTCCAGTGCAGGGTCGTCGGAGTGAGCGCTGCTTTCGGCTACTTGCGACAAGTTTCTCGCTCCCGGAGCGGTTGAGAACGACCGGGGCGGATGCCAATTCCGCTGGCATTGCCAGAGTAGCCGCACGCGAGTGCAGGGGCAAGCCTGCATCGTCCACAAATAGGCCGATTGCCCAATTATCAAGTATTGGCGGGCATCTTAAGGCAGCCTGCGTTTTATGAAACCGTGGACAAGACGAGTGAAGTCAAGACGAGTTGCCGGTATTTTCTCTTTAGTGGCGCCGACATCTTATCGACGATAGGCGCGCTGCATTGTGGCGTATATTAGTCATCCGTTTATAACACTAAAATTTCGTTGTTTTCCTACAGACACGACAGCTACCGGCATACCTTGCTTGAGAGCAGCGAATTTGAAGCTTTTTGCAGCTTCCCGCTTCAGACAGATTCTCCAAAGTCAAAATGTCATCTTCACATGCCACGCTGAGTGCGGCAGCCGACGACCGCAAGGCACGGCTTGCCAAGCTACGGTCAATCAAGCGCAAGCAGCCCGGAGACGAGATCGTGCCACCAGAGTCCGACCGCGTATCGCCAGCAGTACTCACCGGGTTGGAAGACAGTGGTGCAGAGCACACTGCCGAAGAAGAGGCGCCCGATGTCTCGCGGCTTCATCTGTCTGGGCGAAACTACGACCCCGAGGCGCGTGGCGCAAAGCTGGGCTTTGAGGCACCCCCGAACCTGGCTGCCGGTAGCGACACACTGGAGGCCAAGGCAGCCGACATCGAGGCCGACATACGGAGACAGCAAGAAGAGGAGGACGAAGCGGACGCGAATGGAAAGGACGGCGGTGATGGCGGTGCCGCTGCCGCTAGCAGCAAGGGCATTGACCTCTTCAAGCTGCAGCCGAAGAAACCAAACTGGGACCTGAAGAGAGAACTGAACAAGCGGTTGGAGCCGCTCAACGCGCGCACCGACAGAGCTATTTCCAAGATTGTCCGCGAGCGTCTGTCGGCAAAGCAGCAGTCGGGCCAGAAACAGACACAGGCATCAGCCAGCACAGGCGATGACGGCCAAGGGGCTCTGGAGGGCGCTGCCTTTGTAGAGGGCATTCGGATACGGGAGCAAGAAGCAGAGAAGGAAGAGCGGCGGGAGCGTGAGGCGGAGGAAGACGAATGATGCACGCGGCTTTCGCAACAGTCCAAAGGCAAAGGTCCAAATCACTTGCGGTAAACAGAAACAGCTCTTGGCGTGTTTTGTGGGTGCGAAACCAGTCGCCAAAAGTATGTATGTGTCCGCCTTTGGGCATAAAACTGATACCCAGCTATTCTTTACAACGCCCTTGCACCTGTTTATATCCATCACCTTCCTCGGTTGGCGCCTTTTGTTATTGCTAACCGTTTACTGAAAGGGCTCAAACTCCGCTCGCGCACGGACGACTGCTGTTTGGCGTACACATTCTGGCTCTCTCTATCCCTCGCGTCATCCCGTTGTCTGTAATGCTGTCGGCCCCCCCTTTCTGACTCCCTCGCTGATGGGGGCCGATCTGGAGACCTAGAGTCCCGTCGTCGCTGTGGACGAGCCCCATGGCCACGATCCACTGCTTCTGGACGATCAAAAAAGTCGGATGAGATAAGACGTGCCTTGTGTGGATCGTCTCGTCGGGCGTGTGGAGATGGCTGCCGAAAACGTGATGGAGGAGAGTCCCGTGTTTGAGGACCGGCCGAAACTACCGATGGACTGCGTCTGGACGCAATACGCCTAGACGGCGCGGGACGATTGTCGGCTGACGCGTATGGCGAAGGGGAACGGGAGGCAGGGGAGATCGAGCGTCTGTCGTATTTCGGTGGCGGTGCATCGAGCAGTTTCGGCCGCTGCGTGGGTGCTGATGCAGTCGCTTCTGGGCCACGCGAGGTTGTTGACCGCGATGCGACAGAGGATGCAGAATCGGAGTCAGAGCCAGAGTCAGAACCAGAGTAGCTTACGGAGCGCTGTCTTCCACGCTTCGTCTCGCTGCTCTTGTTTCCCTCCTTGTCGCCGTGTTTCTGGGTCTTTGCCCTCTCTGCCTCCCTCTTGGCTAGCTCTTGATCGGCTACTCCTTCCCTGTTTTGTTCGTTTAATTAGAGGAATGGCCCAAATAGATGCGCAGATTATATTGCGCCGCCTTCTTACTTGATTTGGAGAGCATTGAACGTGTCCTCGTGTAGCTTGGGGACGAGTTTGGGGTTCCGGAGCTGCTGCGAACGGGATGGCCGAGCCTTGTACGGGCGCTCCTGAGGGGTCACCTTGCACTCATACGAGTAGTGGCGTGGTCGAAGCATGTTAGCTAAAGCTTGGCATAAGGGGCTGCGCGCAGAACATATCTCTTTTCAGGCACTTCTGGCACAACACGGTAGATGGTGTCGTCTTTGGAGGCCCTCGACGGCCGGCGTAGGAACTCATCTCTATGGATCTGAGGCGTGACGCGACGGGAGAAGACAAATCAGTTTGAGCACCCACGAACGTCGGCAGCTGGGGGGCTGGGAGGCGTTGTGTCGTGTCGCGTCGCGGCAGCTTGTTCTGTGATTGCTACAAAGCATCGGTAAATCTGTATGTCGGACATGCAGAGGCCGGTTGCACGTGACTGTCCAAATCTGGTCAATTTTGTTTCTACAGAGCAGAGCGTAGTGGGGCTGTTTGAGTTGGAAGACGCTGCAGTCCACTTTTTCCCACGGCTCCACTTTCTCCATCAAACTGGTTGTTTTCTCATCTCCAAAATCTATCACCATTGACGCTGCCAGTCAAGCCTGTCTGTGCCTGTCTTTCAGCCTTGCAAGCCGGTACGGCGCAGCCAATTCTTCATTCGGTGTCTGTTCCGGAGACTTTGCATCTTAGTCTGCCGCTGTCGCCTTGCGCATACTGGAAGAACCTGAGCCGGCCTGCGCAAAGGGATGGGAACAGCTCTGACAGCTGCCCGATCGTCGGCTTCCTCCTTTCTCTTTTTTTTTTACCTTTCTGGGCCCCTTACTTTCTTCTTGCTCTCTCTCTTCACTTACTGGAACTCGTTCTCGTCCAAGACGGCCTCAATTTTAGCAGGCCTTGCTGCCACGTTGCCCCTTGCTCATCCTCTTTCACGCCATCTTCACATTTCTGCTCCTATACACAGTCAACGTCGACTGTCTTCCGACCTGCTTGCACATCGCTCGTTCTATTTTCACCTTCTTCTCGACACTGTCGCTGCGTCCTCTAAGCCTCAGCCACCCGGCAGTTAGACGCCATTTTCGTGTGACCGTGCCACTCACTCCGCCCCGTCCGTTATTGTGCTTCCCCAGCAGGCTGCCCTTTGCCATTTTCTAGGCCAGGTTTCGACACCGGACACCATCGAGATCCTCTACCGCAAACTACCCCTTCATTTCACCTACCGCAAAGCCGCTGTGGATCCCATTTGAGAATTTGGGCAAACGACATAGACTCACGGGTAGCAGGCTTGTTACCTCTTTCAAACGAACACAAGTCCTACATTATAGCGACCCAACGACGTGAATACCAAGGATTAACGACGACGATGACCCCCATTGCACCTCATTCCACTAGGACTGCTTTGAAATTTTCTGTTCCTTAGACTCGACTGCATCTCCGTGTTTGACTTCGGCTTCGAAAAGGCAATATACGATTGTCAGATCTTGTTTGCTTGAGACGTTGAAGCGCAAAATATCAAACGTCTAGTCTGGTGGTTCTATATAACAGTTCGTGGTAGGCCGTCACTATCGGGTCAATCTTCTGATCGCGACTTGACCGCCATCAACACTCGGCTCGGCCTAAAAGCAAATATGGCAACATCCCCAATAACAGCTGACGCTGGAAAGCTGTCTTTTGCAAAGGTAATTTCCGCACGCTCAGATTGATTTCCACTTGTACTGTGACATGGGAATTCGAGACTAATGCAAACTCTTAATGTAGGTAGCTGCCTCGGCCTCGAAGAAGGAAATTGTTCTGGTGAATTCTACCTCCAGAGCTCAAGGCGCTACGACCTCTGCAAGTGTCGCATCTCCTGGAACGCCTGATGTATCTGTGAGCTCCAGCTTGCCTGCTCGTCTGACTGCCGTAGAAGGTAAAAGTACCTGCGAAGGCATGGAAGAGCGAAAGAAGGCAAGCAGAAAGGAAACTTCTTCACTTGCTGGCTTTGCTGAGGGGACGGCGGATCTCGAGGCCTTAAGAGTGACAGAGCTCAAAAGGCCTGATCTGGTCCTCAGTGGCATGGCATCTTCTTCGGCGGATAGGAGCACCAAGCCATCCTACAGCAATGGCAGTATCCAGTCGCAGCCATCATCTGATGATGTCTCTCAGAAGGCCGACTCTGAATTCGGCACAAAGCCTCCCAGTCTCGATGGCAAAAGCATCACATCCGGGACGACCTTCAACGCCCTTGATGAGAAGGAGAGCTTGAGACCCGATGACAGCGCAAGCGTCAAGGCCGCAGCCGACGAAGATGACACGTTCTCGGTCCGTGGCTCCTTGGTGGTCAATTCTCGCCTGGGCTCTGATATTGCCCCTCGCATCCACCGTATCCAGATTGGTGATATGCCACCCCGTATCATTGCCCACATAAGCCCGGAGCCGGCTGTTCCTGGCATCGTGACCCCTCGGAGCCTATCCTCAGAGCAGCAACCGGTGACTGAGGCTCGGGTGCAGTTGGCCACGATCACAGTGCCTCCCGATGCTCTGAATGGGCAGAGCCCGGATGAGAAGCTCCTCGATGCGATGCAGACTCCAAAAGACCGCCTCTTTCTTCTCAGGCTGGAAAGCGACGTTGTCAATTTCGTGCAAAACTCAAAGTCAGTCTCTACAGTCGCCTCTTCACATGGATTGTCAATGGGGTTTACGTACTAACTTGTAACTCATTGTAGGGAACCGTTCATGGACTTGCCACCGAGCAACTCTTTTTGTCGGATGCTCACGCACAAGCTGGCTGATTACTACCACATGACACACTCTTTCGAGGCCGTCGCCGGTTCTGTTCGCATATTCAGGACACCGTTCTGCCGCGTTCCCCCACCGCTGGCCAGCCTGGTCGCTGTCAACCCTCCGAGTAGCAACACGCCTCCTCCGACCATCCAGCCAAAGAAGATCATGCGGCGAGGTGAAGACACGGAACTCTCTCTTAGCGCAGGGCCATCGAAGGCAAATTCTGAGACTGGAAGTGACTCCAAGGACAAAGGAGCCCGGGCAAAGGAAACGTGAGAACTTGAGAGCCATTTAACCGATTTTTGGGTCTAGTGTGCTGACGAGGCCGCTTCAGTTTGTCGAGAGAAGCCCGCGAAGAGGCCTACAACAAAGCGAGGGAGCGCATCTTTGGCAGCTCCATGCCGGCAGAGTCGTCCACACCTGGTAAGTTGTTCCAAGCTCAGAATATGAAAAATTCAATGTACCAGTGATGTGCTCACATGACGTGTACAGAAAACGACGACGGGACGGGGATCTCACGAGCAAGCTCTGTGTCCGCAAAGGACAAGGCAGCCTTGAACAAGAAACTAAAGGCAGGAAAGCAAAGGCGAGACGACTCAGAGAGTTTTGACTCCAGGTCTCAGTATACCCCATACTATACGCACCCGCAACAGCCGACTTGGATTCCTCCGCAATACATAATCCCCGCAGGCAACGTCCAGTACTCCCAAGGGCAGGCCGTCATGCAACAGGCACAGCCCCCTCTGTCCCAGCAGCAGGTGCAGCCACTGCCGGCGCAAGTTCAAACGCCACCTTTCGCCAACGCAATACAGCCGCAGGTTGCGTATGGCAACCCGCCATCGGGCTATCCTCAAGCAGCACCAGGCAATGGTCTTGTTCCCCAGGCCGGCGCCTCCCCTCAGGTATGCTATCAGCAGCGTGGATTCCAGACTCTTGCTGGAGATGTTTGTGACGTTGTACTGGTACTGATCTTCTTTATCAGCAATATCCCCCACAGCCAGTGCCATCGCGCTACCCGACACAATCCGCTCCTCCCGGCTTTCCATATGCTCCGACCGTCCAGCCAGGCATGGCGGCACAGCGGTGGCAGCAGCCCCCTCCATCATTCAGTCCGAACCCATTCCCGAGTCCACAGTCACGAACGTTGCCGCCTCATGTCGGAATTCCATATGCGTTTGGCCAGCTGCCCGTCAATGTTAATCCCAACGACCCGAAGAGCCAGCACCCCATTCCTGGAAGCTATGCGGGAAACTACAATCGCCATTCGTTTAACCCGCAGACTCAGTCGTTTGTGCCCGGGAACGGAGCGATACCGCCGCCGGGTCCACCGATGCACTACGGTGGCGGCATGCATGTACCTATGGTCGGCCTTCCACAGGGTCAAACTGCAGGACCGCCGAATGCATATGGTGGAAATGGTTATCAACAGCTACCAGCGCTCTCGGTGTCTCCGTACGGCGAGGGTCCCGTGTCCAGCTACGGCATGCTGCGACAGGGTTCAAACAACTCGGGGCCGCCGTTCGCTCAGGCTCAGGTTCAGGGGCCGATGGCATATCAAGGACCGGGACCGGCTTCGCATGGTGTGACTCCGCATGGGCCGGCACTGGACCCTGCTGTTCACGGCCCTCGCAGCCAAGTGGCCGCTCGCGGACCCAATATGGTGCCGTTTCACGCGCCCCCGCGGGGACCGTCTCACGGCGCAGCACACATCCACAAGCAACACGTCCAACACGGTCCTGTATATGGACCGAAGAAGGCAGGCGTGGCACCGGGTCCGGTAGCAAGGCCGCAGGCATTCAGCTATCTGCCCAACTACGGGAACCCAGCGACGTTGCCGCAAAAGCCTGCGACGGCGGCAGAACTGCGACATTGAGCAATCAGTGCAGACAGTGCAGACAGGGCTGGGAACGAACATGCATTGGCGTACACAGGGACGGTTTCATATTGGCGTTTTCGACATGTTGTGTATTACGGCTCTATAATTCGTTTTTTATTTGGACGGGAAGTGGGACCTTTCAAGTCCTGTCCTGAAGGATGGGAGAGATAAGAGGACGGTCTATGCAGGCGAACGGGCGTCATCGTCATCAGCGGATTTGCGTGTCCTTTGCAGAGTTCGGACTAGAATGAGGTAAAAGGCGACATATGCCCCGGCAAGGCCAGTTGGTTCATAGAGGGCACGCAGCGAACACTGTATAGAGGTAGGGAACAAGAAAGGCTTTTGCTTTGATTTTTTTAGTGGTCCCCGCCGCCTACCGTCTCTAAAGACAGGCAGCCAACGCCGGCGCCGTGTTGGAAAGTTGTCCTCCTCCGGCCGCCCTCCTTCAGGGCACAAAGGGCACCAAAACCTAGACCGATTTTCCGGCCATCCAGACGGAAAATGCGTGTTTCTCATCCTTTTCGTAGACGACAAAGGGAAGGGGTAAAAGAGAGGAAATACGAGAAGCAGATCAGAAGCGGATCAGAAGCAGATCAGTCCTCCCGCGGCTCCCTTGACTCTCGGGGCTCTCTGGACTCTCTTGGTTCTCTGGGCTCGCGGTTTTCTCCCCGCTGGCCGCCACGGCCGCCACCACGGCCACCACGCTTGCCACCACGCTGGCCGCCGGCGCCGCGCTCGTTCTTGCTGTCGTCGCCGTCCTTCTTCTCGTCCTTGTCGGGGGCGGTAAGGGTGGCGGTAGCGAGGCGCTGGGCGAGGTCGATCTGGGTGCGGATGGTGTTGGCGAGGTAGGAGACCATGAGCACGTCCTGGATGTGGTTGTTGAAATCGCGCTCGATGCCAAGGTTGTCAGCCTTGGGAGCGAGAGACATAGCGTTCATGAGGTACTGGCCGATGGCGTGGTTAGGCTCGCGTTCCTCGTCGATGACGCCACCGACAAAGTCAGCGGTCCGGTCGAGCAGGTCGAGGGTCTGCTCGATGCTGCTAGCGAGGGCCTCAACGTCAGACACGACGGGAGCAGCCCGCGAGTCGAGGTGAGCAGGAGTGGCAGCAGCAGCGACAGCCTCGAGAGCGGCGCGGTCAGCGTCGCCGTAGAGCAGGCGATGAGGGACCTCGACGAAGAAGCACGAGTCGGCAGCACGATCGGGCGAGGCGGCGACGGGCGAGGACACGTAGCAGCGGCTCTCAATGTCGCGGCCGGGCTCGGTGCTGATGGTCAGATGGACGGCCGGGTGCGGAAAGGTGCCGGTGTCGGGAGCAGCAAAGAAGTTTTGGATCAGAGCCGAGAAGGAATCGAGTGCGTGGGAGGTGGTGTACCAGCCGAGCAGCGACTCGCGCGGGGCGGCCTTGAGAGTCAGGGCCAGCATGTTCTTCTGGTACTCGACGTCGACCTCGACCTGGTCGTCCGTCTCGGTATGGGGGATCGCAAAGCACGACCGGACCTCGACCTCGAGGCCGTCTTCGGATCGCACGCCCACCAGCGCTCCGATGACGCGGGCCGACTGTGTCGACGACGTCTCTCGCCGCACGGCATGGTCCAGGATCGATACTACTGCCTGTCACGGGGGGGGGTAAGCTCGATGTACGCAGACAAACACATCTCAAACGGGCTAGACTCTATACCTGGGGCTGGATGGACACGGAAAGCGGCGCGGTGATGGTGCTGAAGCCTGCGCCCGTCGGCAGCACAGGGCGCGCGAGGTGCAGAAACTCCTCCTGATCGATAGCCATGGTCGCAGCGGCTGAAATGCGGATGGTTGGCGGATCGGGTACGGCGGTTCGGTCGGCGAGTCGGTGGTCTGGCCCTCTCTTCTCGCTCGGTGTGGAAATTCGTGAAAGAATATTTTCGAGGGCATTCGCATTTGCTGGTGGGGGTGGTTGTGCGCGCTAAGATAAGCCGATAGGATGGTGTGGCGCAGATCCTGTGGCGCCAGTTTTTTTTTTTCTGCCGTACTTATAAGTGGTAAAGCTTCTTGTCTCTTGGCGGCAGGAGCGCATTCTGAGTGTGTCTACGGTGAATCTGTCCACCAATTCTTGTCATTCTGTTTGGAAAATGGGGCCAAGATCCAGCTCTCGCGGCCGAGGGGGCTCACGAGGGGGCTCGCGAGGCGGGCCACGTGGCGGCGGCCGAGGACGGGGAAGAGGCCGGGGCGCTGCAAGAGGAGGTTCGAAGCACGACAGATGGCGGAACCGATTTGACAGCTCTCGGTTGGCTGAGAAGCGCGAGTAAGTTCCTCATGGGTACACGGTATCTCACTTTCGGCTGAAATTTCTGACATGTGCACAGAGACGAGGAAGGACAGCCACCGGCAGAAGAGGTCGTCTCAGAGGATTCAAATCCAGAGTCGGACGAAGAGTCGGACGAAGAATCCGAAACCGAGAGGAAGAAGAAGACGTACATGTCTCTTCTTAAGAGCCTCGAGAGCGGTTCTTCTCAGCCTGCGTCGAAGAAGCGCAAGCTTGACCACAGTGACAGTGTCGAAACAGCCCAGGTCGAGCCAGCAGTTGGTGTCAGCGATAGCGAAGAGGAGGAGGAGGAGGAAGAGGAAAAAGCGGATGTGGACGAGGAGGAGGACGACCTTCCAAAAGACCCTGATCACGTCGACGAAACGGAAGACCAGTCAGATTCAGACGACGAAGACGAAGAGGAGGACCAGGCTGACACGGCAGATCCGTTTGAAACGCACTTCGTCAGCCCAGACGAGCAGAAGGTGACCCGGCGAATACATTCGATCAAGAAGAACGAGTGGACGACGGCCAAGGTTTCGGATGGAGGCTCGCGCATGGTGTTTTCTCTTCCGGGCAGCGGCAGCAGCAGCAGCAGTGCGGCTGCCTTCTCTCCACCAGCGGCCGTGACCGGTCCGGGCGACCTCAAGCTGAAACAGAAGCTGCTTGAGAGCGTGCTGCAGTCGAAGCGGCCAGTCTTTGACGCCGTGGAGCAGTCGCTGGCACCGCTGCTCTTCAACTACTATGACATGCTGTATTGCGAGCGGACGCCGGCCAACGGACAGAGCCTGCGGCACATTGCCTGTCTGCACGCAGTGAATCATGTGTTTAAGTTGGTGGACCGACACCGTACTTCCCCTTGTAGCATTCTGACCTTGTGCTAACCGATACGCCTAGGACACGGGACAAGGTGATTAAGAACAATGCCAAGGTAGCCCGGGACGACGGACGGGACGACGTGGAGTACCGCGATCAGGGGTACACGCGGCCCAAGGTGCTGATGTTGCTGCCGACGCGGCAGTCATGCGTGCGGATGGTGGAGGCGATCTGCGGAATCTGGCGGCCGGAGCAGCAGGAGAACCGGAAGCGGTTTGACGACACGTACGACGACCGGTTGGCGGTGTCGGGCGAGGATCGGCCGGCAGACTTCCGGGACCTGTTTGACGGCAACGACGACGACATGTTCCGGCTGGGACTCAAGTTCACGCGGCGGTCGATCAAGTACTTTTCGCAGTTCTACAACTCGGACATCATCCTGGCGAGTCCGCTGGGCCTGCGGATGGCCATGGGCTCAGACGACACGCTCCTGACGTCCAAGAAGGCGTCAGCGGACGGCCAGAGTGACAGCAACAGCCGCAGCAAGACGGACTACGACTTTCTGAGCTCGATCGAGCTCGTCGTGGTCGACCAGGCGGACGCGCTGCTGATGCAGAACTGGGAGCATGTGGAGCACATTTTTGCACACCTAAACCGGCAGCCACGTGACGCGCATGGCTGCGACTTCAACCGGGTGCGCAGCTGGTATCTGGACGGCCAGGCGAGCCACTTCCGGCAGACCGTTGTGCTGTCGGCCATGCACACGCCGGCGCTGGCCGAGCTGTTCCGCCACCACGCAGCCAATTGGACCGGCAAGGTGCGCGTGCAGCCGGTCGAACATGCCGGCGTGATCGGCCGGCTGGGCGTGCGCGGTTTGCGACAGACGTTTTCGCGCTTTAGTGCGCCGACCGTCGAGGCTGAGCCGGACGCCCGGTTCGACTACTTCATCAAGGCCGTCGTGCCGGCTGTGATCACCAAGGCCGGTCGATCGGCCGGCTCGGTAGCCTCGACATCGTCCGGTGGGATTCTCGTCTTCATCCCGTCGTACCTCGATTTTGTCCGCGTCCGCAACTGGTTCTCCACGTCTGTGGCCACGGCCAACATCAGCTTCGGCCAGGTGTCCGAGTACGCATCCACGGCCGAGGCTTCGCGCGCGCTCTCGTTCTTCCTGACCGGCCGCCACAGCGTGCTTCTCTACACCGAACGCGCACACCACTTCCGCCGCCACCAGATCAGCGGCGTGCGCCGCGTCGTCTTCTACGGCCTGCCCGACAACCCGGCCTTTTACGCCGAGATCGCCGGCGGCTACCTCGCCCGCAGTCAGCGCAGCCAACGCCTCGGCCCCGGCCAGGGCTCCGTCCGTGCCGTCTTCTCACGCTACGACGCCTTCCGCCTGGAGCGCATCGTCGGCAGCCAGCGCATCGGCCAGATGCTGCGCGAGCAGAGCGACACTTTTGTCTTTGAGGAGGAGCGGGCGTTCTGAGGGAGGAAAAGCCAGGGGGGGGTAGAATGCAAATTCAATATAGAGTGACCTTTATATGGGCAGAACGGAAATACAACGTTTCGGCTCACAATTCACAGTTCGCGGCTCACAGCTCACAACATACCCAACATGATCACACATGCTTGAATGCAGTTTATCCTACGCAAAAGTGGAAGTGTACAGTGGTGGCAGATCAACAGAGAGAGCGAGATCCGATTGGCCAACCGCGAGTCCTCCAGCCGGCCTCATGCCCTTGGTCGCCGTCTGTTGGCAGCCGCCTCGGCCTTGCTGAGACTGGGGTCGCCGAGGGCGTCGACGAGGTCTCGTGAGCTGCGGCTGGTCCTGGCCTTGGTGCTCTTGGGATCCCAGAAGTCGAGCACGGGCTTGGTCTTGCGGGGCGTCCAGTGGGGGTCGCTGCGCTGGAAGATGCTGGTCTCGACGTCGGCCATCTGGGGGCCAGCATCGGCGAGCCGGAGGGACTGCGTGCGGGCGACCATGGTCTCGAAGGCGGTCTCGCCGTCATGGCGGAAGCGCGTGACCTTGGCACGGTTGCGCAGCGTCAGGTCGCTGTGCTGACGGCCGAGGGTACGGTCCCGGGCCACAGCGGCAGCCGTGACGGCGAAACGCATGTCACGCGGCCCGTCAACCAGCTCCAGCACAGCTGAAGGCGCCTGGTCGCCCTTCTTGGGCTCGGTGCGCAGCACGCGCGTGTAGCCGCCCGGCCGGTCAGCATACCGGCTCTTGAGCGTGCCAAAGAGCTTCGGCAACAGCAGCTGGGGGGTCTGTTGGTCAGCATCGTCTGTCTTTCTGTCTGTCTGTCTGTTCAGCTCACATAGAGAATCGCTTGGGCCTTTCGCCGGGTCTCCTCGTTGTCTCGCTTGGCCAGCGTGATCAGCTTCTCGGCCAGCCGCTGGGCCTCCTTCGCCTTGGGCCACGTCGTGTGGATCGCCTCGTTCTTCACCAGCGACGTCACCAGGTTCCGCAGCAGCGCCTGCCGATGCGATGACGATCGGCTAAGGTGCCGGTACTTGACCAGACCTCCGGCCATGGTGGGCTGTGTGCGGAAGCTGCGAGCTGCGAGCTGCAAAAAGTGCTTCTTTCTTCTGTCGACACGGTCTTCTGCACCCTGAATTGCTGCTCGGTCCCGGGATGTATGGGTGTGGCGACAAGGCTGCCTTCTGACTCTCTCACACCTTCCAGACAGCCTCGAATTGAACTTTTTCCGCCCGCACGTGAGCGTACAGCAGTGCCGTCGAAAAGCGGGCCTCTGCCGCAGGGCTTATCGGCGATAACAGCCGCTAGACGCTGTGCGACAAGTCCCCTGGGAAATAGCGCAGGCCAGCGCTGGCGCAGATGCGGCTGCTTTTGCTCGTGAGCATGGAAGATTTTCCAGTCTTCTGAGCCGACGCTACGATCTCCATTCCGCGACACGGCATCCCGACGACACCACAGCGACTCAGCCGCTCCAATTCCTTTCTCTCTGTCATCTGTTTCTGGGCTGACCTGAGCGCCTGCGCCGTCCTGCGCCCGTCACGATGGGCTTCACCACCGGTTTCGTACGATCGCACCCGTCTCGCACACACGGAGCCCGCTCTTCTTTCTTCTTTCTGCTGACACCTCCCAGACAGGCGGCGTGACCTTGACGCTCGGCGTGGCCTATCTCACCGTGCTGACGCACCAGCGCAACCGCCAGGTGCAGTGCGACGCCCTGCGCGTCAACACGGGCGTGCTGCGGGCGCTGGCCCGGTCAGACCCGGTCTCGGCTGCACGACTGGCCGCGGCACCAGCGGCTGTGCCGGATCTCTCGACGCCGCTGCCATCGCTTTCGTATCCGACCGAGCCGGAGCAGTCACGGCTGCGGCCGCGCTCCAGCTTCGTCGACGAGCTCAAGGACCGCTGGAACGCCGAGGTGGCCGGTGCCGTCCGCTGGGTCCAGACGACCGACTGGGTCGAGGTGCGCGAGGACGCCGAGACCGCTGCCAGCAATATCTGGTCGCGCGTCGCCGGCAGCAGCAATGCCCATGCCGCCCGCGACAAGGTCGCCGAGGTCGCTGACGCCGTCAAGACTGAGGCCAAGACCGTTCAGGCCGGCGTCGCTGGCGCTGTCACTGCTGCTACCCGTGCCGTCGAACGCGGTGCCAGCAAGACCAAGGAGGCCCTCGCTGTCGACACGTCCAAACTTGTCAACACCGCCCAAACGGCCGGCAAGACGTCCGACGTCGAAGTCGCTCTCCAGCAACGATACGAAAAACCCGACAGCACCGTCATGAAAAAGAGCGTCAACGACTTGCTCGAGGAGCGCTACAAGCAAAAAAACTAGGCGGCCAGGCCCGCAGACGGGGACGTGCAAGATATCCAACGCCATTATTAGACACATTGAAGAGGGAGGCTTGTTTCCCAGCATACGACGTATATATGATTGCTTAGTCATGCTTGTGCACTACACACGCTGCCACGATTGTGATGTGCCTCGCCAATGCACGGATACAGCGAAATGCGCTTAAGCACGTATACAGCCTCCGCCTGGCCCCGCAAAGTGCTCCACTGGACCTAGTCCTGGCCAATCGTGCGTCTCCTTATTCTGACCAACGGCTAAAGCGACAAAAGCCGCAAAAATGGCCATTTTTCTATCTACCCGGGGAATTATCACCACTGTTTTTCCCCATCCCACGCACACAGAACAATCACACTCCGCTTCCCATCACGGCCAGCCCGGCTTCTCTTCCACAATCGACCCAGATCCCCCCCGCCCGTCCGCCGGCAATCCTCAATTGACTGTTTCTGACCGGCCATACGGAGAGGAGGAATCGATCTTTCTCCCTAGCTCCTCCTCTCGAATCTGTACTCTTTTTTTACCGGGTCCTCATCCCCCTCTCCGGCCGAACCGTCTCCCGTCCACGTCACCACAGAACCATTACAGACATGTCTGCATCTTTGCGGACAAGGGCCACGGCCCTGCTGCGTGGTGCGTTGCTACCGTCACCGTCTCCGAGCGGCCAATCCGTTTGGGCAGTTCAGGCAGCTCGTCAGCCTCAGCTCCGGCATTCTGCCCTGTCTGCCCGCCCTTTCTTCCCCCTTTCCATGTGCTAACCAGACACGTCGTCGGAACAGCCAAGCCGAGCTCGATCAGCACCTCTTCCGCCCTGGTCTCCTTCCGCGGCGCCCCGACCGTTGCCCTCTCCCACATCAATTCCCAAGCCCCCATCTCCTCGTCGGCCCGCCGGAAGAACGCCTCGGCTGTCGAGCACGTTGCTGCACCACATAGCGCGACCGGCATTGCGCGGCGCGAGCGCAAGGAAGTGCCGCTGGCCAGCCAGGAGGGCACCAAGAGCCTCGTCCAATATGCACTGTAGGTCAAGACGGAAGAAAAAAGAGATGCTTGGGATCGGGGAAGCTGCCGCTGACCACCGCTCAGTACCACACTCGACATCATTGCCAACTGGGGCCGCCAGGGCTCTTTCTGGCCCATGACCTTTGGCCTTGCCTGCTGTGCCGTCGAGATGATGCACCTCTCGACGCCACGTTACGACCAGGACCGCTTCGGCATCATCTTCCGCGCGTCGCCTCGTCAGTCCGACGTCATGATCGTCGCCGGCACCCTGACCAACAAGATGGCCCCGGCCCTGCGCCAGGTCTACGACCAGATGCCCGAGCCGCGCTGGGTCATCAGTATGGGCTCGTGCGCCAACGGCGGTGGCTACTACCACTACAGCTACTCTGTCGTCCGTGGATGCGACCGCATCGTGCCGGTCGACGTCTACGTGCCCGGTTGCCCGCCCACGAGCGAGGCGCTGATGTACGGCATCTTCCAGCTGCAGAGGAAGATGCGCAACACCCGGACGTCCCGTCTGTGGTACCGGAAGTAATGGTCCACCCGAGGAGGAGACAACGGCGACGAACGAGACCGAGAGCCCGGTCCCGGAGCATCTAGACGAGAGGACGTCTCACAGAACGCGTCGTGACGCCCTGAAGATGCTACATATATCACGGCATCCAAACAGACAAAGCAGACTAGAAGCCTGTTTCTGTCAAGGGGACAAAATCATTTTATTCACGTTTATTCGCCTTGCCCATTTGTGCAAACATGTACATATATACATCTTACACTATTTTTTTTTTTTTTTGCGTTGGCAATCATTGTACAAGAACATTGTCGTCTAGCTTGCTATTTGCCCACGATGACATGCCAGCTTGGCACTAGTTCTCCACGTCATCGAACAGCTGTCGTGCGTTTTGCCGATTTTACCTGCATTTCCTGGCAGATACATGTTCAATCATTCGAGACACTCGAGGTACCACCGCAACAAGAAACACATGTCGATTTATAGTAGGAGAAGAAAAGGTCATCCAACGCGTGAGCTGAAATATCATATGGTGCTGAGGATTTGCGAGTTAAGCATTTATTTGTTCGTGAGCCATTCGCAGTCACAGAATCGACAAGAAACAACGGGACCGAAATAGAGTCGAACTCCAAAAACATTACTCCTGGCCAAAACCCATCGTTTCCTCCACGGCAATCGTCATCTTTCCTTGCAATTGTTCCAGGTTCTTGTACGGTGGTAGGTCCAGCCGGTTGAAACTAAGGGACACGATTAGCATCTTGCTCAGTTGCGGAAAGCGTTAAATGTTATCAGAACAAGAACATACCATGTATGTGCCTTTGGAAGCGTTTGGATATCTCCCGCCTTTTCGATTGTGAACCGTCTCGGACCGTCACTACCTTGGAGGTCCTTGAATCCGTTGACTGGGATTCGAGAAGTGCCCGTGGTAAACTGTAAGAGTCGAGACTTCTGTTCGCCGTCCCATGACCGAACAGTCTGCCAGAAGAACTGAATCACATCGTCCGACTCCGTGTAGCCGCGATAATCAGTGTGCTTCTTCCAGTCGTCAACGTCGATCTCCGCAATACCACCCATGAGCAGCTCCAGCTCGCGCTCGTCAAACACATTGATCAGGTCCTGCGGGATCAGCTCGTTGAAACCCTCCTTGAATGCCTGGAACTGCTCAGCAATCCGCTTCTGAATGCGCCACTTGACCATCAGATCAACGTATTCCTTCTTGTTCTCGTTGGTCACATCAATGTTGCGGCCATCCTCAATCAGATCTTCCACAGTGATGACACCAAAACGCTCGTCTTCGGTCGAAAAGGTCTGCTCCAAAATCCCCCCAGAAATGTCGTTGTCCAAGATCCATTGCAAAGAGCGGTGGAAATCAGCGTCGACACCCTCCATGTCAGCCAAAACGACCATCTTGCCCAGAATCATCTTATACAGAGCACCAATAAAAAAGGCGTCGAGGAAGCGGCGGTGAAAGATAGCGAGGCCGACAACGCGGCCAATAAACCGGAAGTAGTTCAGGTGCTCGGGATTGATTCCAGAGTGCGGGTTGATCTGCAGCGTGTAGTTGTCGTGCGCCGAGTACTCGAACAGGCAGTAAAACGGGTTGAACATCTCGTGCGATAGGAGGAAGAAAAACTCTCGTGACAGACCACCGTAATCCAAACCGTCTTCGCCGTCAAACTTTATCATCAGGCGTTTCTTCAGGTCCGTCGGCGACTGACGCGTGATCTCCGCAAATGAATCCTCAAAGATATGCGAGCGCCGCACCTTGATGTGGCACTGACCCGAGAGGATGCGCATAGCCGGCTGGGAGCGGAAGTAGATCAGCTTCCGTCGGAAGTCGCGCTTGTACTGCGGCACGTTCTGGTCCAGAGATGACGGCAGCCGAGGGTCGTCCCACGTCGTAGTCTTAGTATTGTGGTCGACAAAGTAGACACGGGCCGTGTTCGTAAGCCGCATTTCCCACCCACTAGGCAGGGGTCCCAGCTGAGAAACGGGCTGCTGCTGGATGACGCCATTTGCGTTGTTCTGGCCGCCGTACATACGAATGTACTGCTGCCGGCGAGGGTCGACCCACGTGGTTGTGCGTGTGTTGTGGTCGACAAAGTAGGCCCTGCCCTCGGGTGTCCATCTCTGCTCCCATCCTGGAGGCAGCTCCCCGGTGCCAGGACTAGTAGCACCCGTGTGCATCATGGTTGATGAGCTTGCGGTCTGGGCAGCCGCCTGCTGCGCTTGTTGCTGCTGCAGTGTTGGTGAATTTGCACCCGTGCGGTCCTCGGGTAGCGTCCGGTTCTGATGGCGCTGGCGCTCGACCTGGGTGGCCGCTTCCTGCTGGTTCGACCGTTCGACTGCGCCACCAGCCGTGGGCCGCGTCCAGCTTGTCGTCCGAGTGTTGTGGTCAACATAGTACTGTCTGCCTAGATTGTCCTCGCGTCGTTCCCAGCCGGGGGGCAGTCGACCCAGATGGTCCTCGAAAGGACTCATCGTGCTGGTGGTGCGTGCGTGCGAGCCGGCCGAGGCCCCGCCCGCAGCAGCGGTTCCAGAAGCTGGAGTCGTGGTGATCGCCGCGCTCGGAGCGCTTGCCGTACCAGAAGCGCCGTTGGGGGAGGGGGTAGGTGCAGCCACGCTTGCAGGGCGATGCGGCAAAGCAGTGCCGTTCGGGCTCAAGGCACCATTCGATCCGGCCGCAAACGACGGCGGTCTGTCAGACCGATCGACAGTGCTGGTTGACAAGGTTGATCCTGGTGTAGTGTTGACCGATACACGGCTGGACGAATGCGCAGACGCTTGATGAGACAACGACTGTTGCGAACCGTGAGGGGCGGGTTGGTTCTGGCGGATGGGCGCCGAAAGGTCGGTAGACAGATTGAGGATCAGCTTTCCGTGAACGACGAGGTTATCCGTAGATTTCTTCAAGTCAGGTGCGAGCATTTGATCTATATAAAGGGATTGTCAGCCATGTGCGTGGTGACTTTGTAAGTCGTGCATGCGGGGGGCGATGAGAACGGTGAAGTATTAATGAGAACCAGGAAAGGGCGCAAGATGATTAGGTAATCACTCACCGTCCGCGTCGGAAGCCAGTTCGATCACATCGCCAACGCGGATGTTGACAACGCCCAGGAAGCCTTGGTCCTTCTTCTTGAATTTCCTTTGATCAAACACTTGGACGGCCAATATGCTGTCTTCGTTTACTCGGCTGTAGCGTGGTGGTGCACAACGTTAGTGGCTGCTGGCGAGAGGACATCGAAGAACAAGAGCAAGGCAGGCAGGTAAAAAGATGCATACAAGTCAAAACTCTCGTTCCAATATGGGTTCAAGGTTCTTTTGCTAACGGATGTTGTCTTGGTTTGTTCGCCTCCAATCGTAGCGACGGCGAACGGGTCCGGGAAGCCTGAGAGAGTGAGACAACGAGGTCAGCCAAGAGCTTGAAACTGCAAAAACGCAGGACACAGAAGGGAGGGCACATACGAAAGACGTCTCGTTTGTAAAGGCCATCTGCAGCGATGACTAGAAGCAGAAAGGTTAATTAAGCTGGCCGGAACAAAACAGCCACGTCAGAGCACGGAGATGTAATGCCATACTTGTTACGCGAAGATTGGGCTGGCTGTATCCGAGAAGAGCTGTCAGTTCCATGTTCATGTTCCCATGTCGTCAAGGCAATACATGACTGGTCTGGCCTTGGAGCTTTGTCCGTAGAGGCTCCCGGTCACCCATTGCCGGCAAGGCTGTGGAAGCAGACAGGAGAACTTACGCTGAAAGCCCTGCATCTACCCGGCTGCTGCTCATAGCGAGACAGGCGAATGCATCAACAGCAGGCTGGGAAGGCTAGTGCAGGCAATCGAGACCAAAAAAGGCGATGGCGGATTTCGGGTCTGGTCGCTAGACACGTGGAGTGTTCAATCAACCGATGCAGGGGAGAGGTGGAGGCTGAAGTCGAAAGAAGTCCTGGTCGAAGTGTCGGATGGGTTGTGCAATCGAGCGGCGGGAAAGGGGAAGAAATGCCAAGCGAGTGCGATGATTCGACAGATGTCGACCAACGCAGCACAAGAAGCCCTTTCTTTCCGGAAGATGAGGGAGAGTGGCTGGCAGAAAGCGACAGTCAGGGGGCGAAAGAAGAATGACAAAGTTGCAGGCTCGTGGATTCGTCCTGAACTCGTTTCGTAAGGTGGAGTGCCCAGTTAGCGATAGCGTTGGGGCTGTGCTGTTTTTCCAACGCTACGGAGTACTCTGTACGCCTTTCCGCTTTCATTTGTTGCCTTTGCGTCAGCCCTCTTCGTCAGTCTTGAATTAGACGGCAACTCGGATTGATTCGGTCACGGCTGACAGTATCAACAAGCATTTGCAGCAGGCTGGCCACGCTCAGTAAGCAAAGGATGCAAGAGATAAGCAGGGAGGCCGTATGTGGAGGAAAAAGGGACAGTGCAACCGGGTGGACTCCAACGAATCGTGTCGTTGGATGAATGCTCGCCCAGACGAGGCGTTATGGAAGAGCGAAGGGCGCAAAGAGATTCACAAACAACGGTTTTGAATAGTGAAACAGTAAACACACTGAAAAGGCAAGAGGCAGCGCCGTTGCGGCTTCTTTTTGCAGGTCGCCGGATTGGGAGGGGACGAGCGTACGAGAAACCGAGGAGGCCTGCGGTCGCCAAAGGAGGGGAGGGGCGAACATGCAGCGCACATATCAGCGCATAGTAGTGACTCGCCTGCTACAAGGTCTCAGTCTAGGCCTTAGCGCTCGGTGTGGCTCTGGCCCGCCGCCCCCGCGGCTGTTGCCAGTGAGGGGTTCTGATTTTTAGCGCCGAGAAGCAGCCAGAAGCGTACGAGCATATGCTTGGCTGATAACGTAAGCTTGCCCGAATAGGCAGGCGTGAGCAGACATTGAAGATACCACCTTGCGCCATGTCTACGAAGTACGGAGTACTCCGTGCGGCCATTACGGAGTACGAGTACGGAGTATAGCACCTCAATCCGAGCATGCGAGCATGCGATACTACCGTCGTATTCCAAAAGAGCTGTATTAACCCCTTGCCAGGGACGTTGACTTGTACAGCATATTACCCGTCCGCCTGCGAGATCCTCCATCCAGAATAATCCGTCTTTTCCCCCCCGCGAGTTCATGCTATCGTACACGTCCAGGGAGGAGGACAGCTTATGGTCTCTTGGGGAACGCAACCCGACACGCCGTATTGCCTCCTGCGAGAACTCCCAATCAACAAGAGAAAAGACCGAGTCCGCACGGCCGTGGCAGATCAGTTCAGTAAGGTGCGAAGCCGCCTCGCCCACGGCCTCGATACCCGCCGCGATATCCGCCTCGGGGCATAAAACCGCCCCGACCAAAAGCCCCCCGTCCACCACCCCGGCCAAAACCGCCTCGTCCGCGGCCCCGGCTCATCCCAGGAATGTTCGTGCGCTTGGGCACGACCTACAGCCGGCGGAGCCGTATGGTTAGCTTGTAGCGATGCAGGAGGTGGGTGGATGCTTGGAGCCTGTCCCACTTACCTTGATGTTGCGGCCCTTGAAGACGCTCTCGTTCAGGACCAGCGCCTGGGCGACGAGGCTGGGCTCTGAGAACTCGACGTAGGCGTATCTGTGCACACGCATTAGCGGGCCGGACTGGGCCGAGCACAAGTGGTTGCATTTTGCATCGTTCTGTTCAGACGTACCCCTTGGGCTGTCCCGTAAACTTGTCCAGCAGGATGGTCACGCGGTTGATGGAGCCGCAGCTCTGGAAGTGTGCTTGGATCTCCTCGGGAGATGCGGAGTAGTCGACGTTGCCGACAAAGATGCTCCGCGAGTCGACATCCTCCTTGTTGTCGGCAAGCTCCTGGCTCTGATGCTCGGTGTCCTTCTGCATCTCGCGGAGTCGGGCGGCCTCCTCTTCCATCTCGGCAACGCGTCGCTTCATCGCCGAGATTTCCTCCTGCGCCTCCTCGTCAGGGTTTCATTTTCCTCTTCTCCTTTTCCATCTCCCGTTCAAGGCACATTTTCATGTTCGTCTCCTAGTCCTCCTCTTCGCCATGATGTTTGTTCTCACCTCGTCGTTGCCCACATCGAAGGATTTCTCCAGCGACTCGGTCGCTGACTCCTCTGGCTTCGTCTCAGACATTTTGCTCTATGTTTCCGCCGGTCAGGCTCTTCGTTTGCTTATGCCCGTCCTGCTATGAGGGGATGGCCCGATGACGTGTTGAGCTACGTAGCTCCTATGGCGGCGCGTGTCAGTAAAAGAAGCAAAAGAAGAGTTTTGAATCGGGTCGCCTGAGCGGTCGCAAAGCTCGTGGCTAGGGAACAATGAGAAACGCGAAACTGGATATGTTGCCGGGCTATTAAAAGCAAAAATGACAGCTTGCTGCTTTCGGATAAAACAAACGCAAGTGGCTCCCTTTCAAGCTCGATGACACGAAAGCAAAGATCGGTGTGAAGCAAGGCCACGCTGCGCGGCAAAAGCACCATGGGGAAGATAGACCTACCCGAATCGTTCCTGTGGGATGTGTTTCGGCGAAGACGCGATGCTTATTACAGCATTTCTCAGTGACTATCCAAGGCTTGCAGCAGAACACGATTGCGAACTACAAAAACTTTATGGCGTCTCTAATACTGAACCGTCTTGGGCGATAAGATATATGTCACGTGATTTTCGTCGTACACATCTTCGAGTATGTGTCGCAGCAGCAAACGCAGGTCTCTCTAGGAGGAAATTGTTTATAAAAGAAAAGAAACCCACTAAACTGAGAGTAGATTCCTGTGATATCTCTACGATCTGGCTCATTCTTGGCGTCTCAGTGGTTTCTCTCTCTCCCATGTACGGAGTATGATTAGAGCTAATAATTTTCAAGAACCCTGCTGCCTCATCTTAGACAAAAGACTCTCGTACAATCCCGATTTTTGCCCACGCTTCAAGCGATAGGGACGAAAGTTTTTTATATGTAGATTGGTAGCAATGATATAATGGGAAGGAAAGGCGGTGCCTAGAAAACTTGTAGTTGGTATGCGAACTTTGTGGTAGAAGACATCAATCTGAGGCCAAAGTGAAGACCAGACTGAAAAAATCTGCCCACAAGAGGTGATCGCTCTGTGAAACATAGAGCAAACTGTTTAGGGTTTCTCTCCCTTTTTTTCTAATCATTTTTCTCTGGTTGTCTGTGTGCGTTCCTGTCGTGCCCGCGCTCGCTACACACCAACACACGTCAACGATGGCAGACGTTCCACCGGTATCCAAAGACGGCTTCACATTCTCTGGAGAGCTCTATGCTGAGACCACCGGTCACAAGCTTCACCGACGTGCGATGGCAGCGGAGCTCCGGGCTCTGTATAAGTCTAATGATGAGAAGGACTATCCGGGTCACTGGTACGAGGCACAGCTGATGCACTATGGCCTGCGACGGTCGAGAGTGAAGAGCACGGCAAAGATGCGTCTCTTCGAGTTCGTGGTCAAGCGATATGACAGGTTCTGCGTGCCCCCGGATATCTTGAAGATCAAGGCGCAACTGAGGACCGAATGGCGCAGGAACTTGCGACAGGCGCGGAGGAACCAGAACATGAACAGACAGAACAGTGGGCCTGCAGTAGAACCCCATGCGGCCAATTGGGAGAACATGGATGGTCCCAGAGGCAGCAATATGTACGATGGCTCGGGCGTCAATTCAGCCATCACAGCTCCAGAAGGCTACAACGTCACGCTGTCGATCCGATCCAAAGACCGACAGCAGTCTGGACAGGGCAATGCGGGCCAGGCACAACACGCTGGACCATCTACACCGGGACAGAGCTGGCAAGCAAATGGGACGCCGAGGGAGGTCATGACTCCGGCCGGAAGAGCACAGAACACGGGACAAGTTGGGCTGCCATCTCACAACAACACGAGCGCAGAGGCACATGACCACCATAAAAAGAAGAAGAAGAAGAAGAATCTTTGGGTGGACAGAGGTGCTCAGGGTCATGCCGGCAACCAGAATAGCAATAATTGGGTAAGCAACCAGGCCAATCAGATCAATCAGGCCTACCAGGCCAACTCAAACAGCCAGAAGGACCAGAGAGGTGCATGGCAAGTGGAAAACCAGAGACGGAGGCACCACCAGATGCAACAGCAAAACATGCGATTCCCGCGAGCCCCACAAACGCCCACAGCAGCTAGAGCTTTCTACGGCAACCAGACGCCCCAAAATGTGTCTTCACATCGGCAGACAACACCAGGGCAGCGGACAGGCACTCTGACGAATGGATGGTCGTCCCCTTACCAGCCGTATGCAGGACGACTAGAAACGCCGCAACAGATGCCTCTTCCGCCGGCCTGCGGCGGCTCTTGCATGCAGCGAAACAACGGCCAGAACAGACATATGCAAGGACGAGATACACCTGCACAAGCTGGAGGCAGTGGGCCAAGACACGTCCACTTCCGATAAGATGGTCAGCAAAGCAGTTACGTAAGATAATGTATAAGCCTGATGCCGGGACTGGCAGACATGCGAAGAAGGGGTAACAATGGTTTGAGGGGTGTTTTGTCATGTTGCCTAAGGATCTGGTGGGACATCAGTCTACTTTACAGTATGTACCCGTATGTAAGATATCGTTGTAGTTTCCCCCCGTAGGTTCCGCAGCTTGACTAATGGATTGTTCCCAGTTTCAGCCGGCACTAGGCCTAGGCTCGCTTAATGCACTAACGGCCAGGGCGTCCTAGCGCCTGTTGCAGGTAGCCCCGCAAGAAATGCCCCTCCAAGCCAAAAGGCCAGCTTCAATTTGGAGGTGTCTGGCTGGCTAGCTTGTCCAGGCAGCAAGATTGCACGGAAGTCGAGGAGCGTCTGGGTGATTTCAGTGACGACAAGAGTTCCTACAGAAGCTAGCATTGACAGACGATGGCGATGATTTCGGTGGAGAAGATTCTGGCGGCGGCGCCGGTGACGATTCGGGGACAGCCAACGCAGCTCTCGGCGGATGCCAAGGGCGAGCGGATAGCATATGCAGTAAGAATGACCAAAAGACTGCGAGAGTAGAAGGAGAAGAGGGGATGAGAGGAGAAGAAGAAGCAGAAACACAGTACTGACGATCACAGTCGGGCAAGTCGATCTTTGTGCGGCGGATCGACGAGCCGGCCGAGTGCAAGCAGTACACAGGCCACACGGCGGCGACGACGGTGGCGCGGTTCTCGCCGTCGGGCTTCTACGTGGCCAGCGGCGACGTGTCGGGCAAGGTGCGGGTGTGGGATGCGGTCGAGGCAGTCAACACCAAGGGCGAGTACGGGATCGTGTCGGGGCGGATCAACGACATTGGATGGGACGGCGACAGCCAACGTATTATTGCGGTGGGCGACGGGCGCGAGCGATTTGGCCACTGCATCACGGCCGACAGCGGCAACAGCGTGGGCGAGGTGAGCGGCCACAGCAAGGTGGTGAACGCGGTGGCACTGCGGCAACAGCGGCCGTTGCGGGCGGCCACCGTGTCGGACGACGGCTCCATGTGCTTCTTGCACGGAGCGCCCTTCAAGTTCAACGCCAAGACCGACAACCTGCACCGGGGCTTTGTTTTTGGCGCGGCCTTTTCGCCCGATGGCAGCCGTCTGGTGACGGTGGGCGCCGACCGTCGCATCCAGCTGTACGACGGCAAGACGGGCGAGCCGACGGGAACTGTGGGCAGCAGCAGCGGTGACGACGCCCACACGGGCAGCATCTTTGCCGTCAGCTGGGCCGCTGACTCACGGCGTCTCGTCACGGCCAGCGCCGACCAGACCGTGCGGGCTTGGGACGTCGACTCGGGCAGCCTGCTGCAGCTCTGGCGGCCTGGCAACAGCAGCAGCGAAGCCGGCGTGGTGGCCAGCGTGGCCGACCAGCAGGTCGGCGTCGTCTGGCCGCACGGTCGCAGCGATGACCTCATCATCAGCATCAGCCTCAGCGGTGACCTCAACTATCTCGTGCCCGGCCAGGACCGCCCCCTTCGTGTCGTCCAGGGCCACAACAAGTCCATCACTGCCCTGGGTGCTGCCTCGGACGATAAGGGCCTCGACCTGTGGACCGGCAGCTTTGATGGCCGTGTCTGCCACTGGGACGTGGCTGCTGGCAAGGCCGCCCTCGTCGACGGCCAGGCACACTCGAACCAGGTCAGCCAGTTTGCCGCGGCCGATGGCCACACCTGGAGCGTCGGCTGGGACGACACCCTGCGCACCGTCGACGAGGCTGCTCGCACGTTTACTGGCTCCGAGGGTGTCCAGCTGGGCGCCCAGCCGCTCGGCGTGGCCGCTGTCTCGACCGGTCATGTGTACGTCTCGTTGGCTTCGGGCAAGATTGTCGTCTACCGGCAGGACCGTCTCGTCGGCGAGCTGGCCACCGAGGGCTACACGCCGGCTGCCATTGCTGCCCATGGCACCGTCGTGGCTGTCAGCAGCCCATCTGACCCGCTCGTCCGCATCTACAAAGCCGACAACGACGGCAGCAGCAGCAAGCTCACGGCCGTACAGCAACTCACTGGCTCGACGGCCCCTGTCACCGCCCTCGCCTTCTCGGCTGACGGCACACATCTCGCGGCCGGCAACTCCGGCGGCAAGATCGTTGCCTACGACACTGCTTCCTGGGCCGTGGCCACTGATCGCTGGTCGGCCCACACTGCCCGCGTCACCGCCATTGCCTGGAACGCTGCTGGCACCCACGCGGCCAGCGGTGCCCTCGACACCAACGTCTTTGTCTGGAGTCTGGCCAAGCCCGGCACCCGGGTCAAGGCACTCAATGCTCACAAGGACGGCGTCAACGGCATCGCCTGGGTCGATGGTGGCTCCAAGATCGCCAGTGCCGGCGTCGATGCTGCCGTCAAGATCTGGAACGTGCAAGGACTGCAGTGAGTCGTACAGCTTGCTTGTAGGAATACATAGAATACATGGGCAAGCATACGCCTGCCAATCGCCCTAAATGAGAGTAGTATCCAAGCACTTTCTTCCCATTCAGTCCAGCTGCACCAACGTCGCTTCTGGTGCCGGCAGGCCACAGCTGCTGGCAGCCACGGCCGCCCAGTCGAACAGTCCGCTGCGCTCGGACTCGGCTATGGGGAACTGGTCCGGCTCCGGCTGCCGGAATCGGCCGGCCAGCAGGTCCAGGTCAGCGTTCTCGACCGCCCGCTCGACCGCGTCCTGGAGTCGGCCTAGCTCGCCCTTGATAGCCCAGCCGGCCGTCTGCACTGCCTCGGCCAGCTCCTCCTGGTGGTTTCCCAGCAGTGCCCCGTTGGCCACCACCACCAGTGGAATGTCCATGCGCACCGTGTCCAGAATCGACCCCGATCCTGCGTGCGAGATCACCACGCCCGGCCGCCGCTCGCCAACTCGACCCCGGCATGGCACCATCGCTGACGGGATGTCGGCCGTGTACGAGAACGTCTTCACGGCTGGCCACCGGCTCGACGTCTGCTGTCTCTCTTCCGTCAGCTGCCGCATCCGCGTCTGAACCGCGTCTTGGTCCGGCCCCGTCTGTACCAGCAGCTCTGCGAAGCCCTTGGCACCCAGGAAGTCGAGAAAGTCCGCGCTCAGAATCTCTTCCAGCAAACGATAAAAACTCGCCGTGGCGCCCACCGTCACAAAGCATCTCCTTCCAAACGGATTGTCAGTCTTGTAGGCCTCGACGCCCTGCTCCTGTTGCTGCGACATAATCGTGGTTGGTCAGGTCCTTTGTAATTCCCGTGATGCTTCTTTATTTAATCGTGGCAGCTGTCAAGTCCAAGGCCGGAGGGTTTCATTAAATAAAGTAGTGGTCCGTGCGTCTGCAGTGGCGCTAATTGATGACCCATCTTGTAAGCAGCGTAGGGCTGTTGTTCTGTATCTCACCTGTATGTGGACAGTATTCGCTTCTTTCGACTTCTGTCTTCTTCTCTCGTTTCCGTGGAAAGTCAGGAGCTTTGTGTTACGTGGGGGATTATGCGAGGACTGTTTTGATTTTTCTGATTTTTCTGATTTTTTTTAAAAATATTTTTTTCTCGGCCCTATATCTTGCGTATAGGTAGACGCTTATGAAATTTCACCCAACATTACGACTAGAAGATTTCCTCTTCAATGCCCTCTTCTCTTTACTCTCGCAGAAACACTTCCGTCTTCTAGTCGGAAGCACAAGCACAGCGTTTTCCGACTTGTGTCTCCTTTCCTTTCGTGTATCGGCACCCTGCCTATCATGGCTTCCCAACTTCACTCGGCCTGGTGGCGTCAAAGTATCACGGCGGAAGAATTTTGTGACCGAAGCGGACTCGATGGGTTTGAGAAGGCCTACTTCGTGCACCTGTTCAAGGAAAGAAAGCGAAAGGGGCATACTTTGGCCGAATTTATTATCGAGTTTGCATCATTTAATTTGAGCAAACACCCGGGCATCATGACCATCCAAGATCCTGACAATGTGGTCCATCTATGGCTGGAAATGATTCAAGAACGCAAGACGGCCTCGGCGGATGAAACTAATTCTTTCTACCGCAAGCTTCTTGCAAAATATGAAGCCAAGGAGACGAAGGGGCAGGCAACTGCTTGGAATGAAAGTGAAACCAGACGACGATCGGCAGCATTCGACAGAGCAGAAAAATCAACTGCTAGTCACGGCTACCCCAGTTTTGCCGTCATCGAGGAGCTGCGAGGCCAGTTCGCTCAGTACGTTGACGCCCCCTCTTTATGGATGGGGCCGTACACCACAATCATCGGCCCCTCGGGGATTGGCAAGACCTTTACCATCAAGCAGTTTGCCGTACGCCACGGCTTCTACGTGGCGTATTCCAACCTTGCTTCTGCGCAGTCAAAGTGTTACCCACGGCCTGTTGTGGTTGGCGAGCTTCCTCTGATGACAAACAAATCCGACCGCGCAAGTCTGGTGAAGACCTGGATAAAATTCCTGGATCTGCAGCTTCATCTGGTTCGTTGCAGCCAGCAGAACGGCATCACCGCTCCGGGGTTGTTTTCTTTGATGACCTCGGCCGAACCCGATATTGTCCAGAAGCGATGGCCTCTACAGACCTCCTCAGAAGCTACAATGCAAGAAAATCTGGCTGCCTGCAAGGATGTGTTGCTCAAACACGGCCAAAATTCGTTGCCTTTTACAGATCCAAAAGAGCGAGACGACGCCTTCACAATTATCTGTCTAGACGAGGCACGAGCACTGCTACACGACGATTCTGACAACATGTCCTTTCGAGCCCTGCGCGAAGCGGCCGGGAAAGTGTTCGAGGACAACCAAAGTGCGCCGTTCTTCATAATCCTGCTCGACACAACCTCTCGTATCAGCCATTTTGTGCCGCCCGTAGAGCAAGACCCATCGAGAAAGTTCAGCGAAAAAACCGTCTTTCCGCCCATATATCGAATCGATACTTGGGACATATTGGCGGACAGGAGCCCGCACGATGCCGATGGGTCGGATGCCTCTGTGACGAAGCTGTTCTCGTATGGCCGTCCGCTCTGGGCTGCGAACATGGAGGCTGGTGACAGCCTCGGCGAGCTGGTACGGCTCGCTGCAAACAAGATGGCAGGCAACACAGATGCTCGACTTTTGGCCTTGCTGTCCTGTCGAGTTAATTTCTACATCACTTCGCGCCAGCTGGCAGAGACGCTCGTCGCCTCTTGGATGCGGTATCTCGTATCCTTTTCAGACGACAACACCATGCTTACGGTGCAGCCTAGTGAGCCTGTCCTCGCATATGTTTCGTCCAGAGAGCTTCAAGATCCTGCGGTGCGGCTACGCTGTGTCAAGGCGTGGTTTAGCAACCTGCAGAAGGGCGCCTGCAACCTTGGCGATTCCGGAGAGATGATCGCGGCCCTGGTCCTGCTGTTTGCAGCCGATTACGTCTCCCGGCCTCTGGAGTCACGACCCCATTCTAGGAGCATGAGGGACCTCTGGACATCCTTCCTTGGATCTTCGAGCTGGTTGGCTGTCGAGCGGCGTTATTCGAACGCTCCGAATATCGTGCATACACTCGAGAACGGCATGATCTTTTACAACCACTTCGTCCGGACGAGTCACATCCCAACCATGGACGACCTAGCCTTGGCGTATAGACAAGGAGCCGCTCTTTTTCTTCCTACAAACTTTCCAGGGATGGATATCGCCATCCCGATCTGCATGGGAGATGACGAGGATCTGGCCATTCTGCTGATTCAAGTGAAAAATCGACAGGCAGATAGCCCGACCGACGGGCTGAGACGGGCATTGACAGAGGATCTGGAAAAGGCCCGAAAGGCGCTTGTCGGTGTAGCCCACCCAGAGTGTGTTGTGCTGGGCCTGGCAATGTGCCTCCGATGTGACGGCGATCCATTGATTGATATCAAGGTCCCCCCCGCACCGCGCAAGAAGATACCGGGGACGGAAAAGGCATCGTCAGTGGCATCGGCCAGCACCAGAGCCGCGGCGGGAGCACCCTCAAACCTGATCGGCATCGTGTTCGGGCTAGGCAAGGATGTGTATCCATGCCTTGGAAAAATCAATGCCGGCCGCCCAGAGCAGACGGCCATGGCTCGAGTCTGCAGTCTATTTCAGGACATCCTGGAAAGATGGCCTGACTTCTACCCGGACAGGGACACACAATCAGCTTATGCGAGGAGACTTCTATATCCTTTCTATGGCGGAAAGGATGGAGAGAAACAAATCGAAGCGGGGCCGGCAGTCCCTGAGGCTGGTGGCAATGAGTTGGACTTGTATGACGAGTAGACGACTCAGCCTTTTGCTGGTGGTTGGCTGTTCTGATGTTTTGTGTGTGGCATATATATCCTGCTGATCAAGGACTGGGACGCAATTGGCTGGTCAGGGAAGAAGGCATAAGAGAGTTTGGCCTAGTGGCATTTAGAGAATCTTCCGATCCCTTATGTGAAGCTGTTCGGTTTGTGATATAGGTAGTCTAATTGTTGAAGCCTTGAACTGCTGGCTAGGATTGAATGGTGCGACATCCCAACATTGTTCGTTTAAACATCTACAATGGATGTAAGCCAAGACTGGCTCTGCAAGGGAAAGAGTGGTCCGTGCACAGGGCCGTTTGTTTTGCACGTGACATGTAAATTTTCAGGAATCGGCACACAATTCCTAGGCCAACGTCAGTAAAGCAGAGGCGACACACGACGCACGACGCACGCCCACGCACGTCCACACACGTCCAGGGGCCGAGACGGAGTCAATTGCAACCGGAAGTATGGCAAGCACGGTTCAGTCGCTACAGCTCTGCGTGCGCAGATGCTGTGCAGGAGCAGCGGCTCGACGGGGAGGAGCCAGAGCAGGGATCCGAACGACGACATCAGCAGCAGCAGCAGCAATAGTCGGGGCACGGCAGCTGTCAAGCACGAGCGGGCGTCGGTATGCGCGGGAAGGCGGGGACGGCGGCGGGGACGGTGCGGGCGGCAAGGACCAGGCGCTGGAGCCGTGGGAGGTGGAGCTGATGGCCAAAGAGGCAGCTAGCGAGCGGATCATGACGATCTCGGAGGCGCTGCGGGCGACGCTGACGGCGGAGCAGCGAGCCGGTCTGGCAGAGGCTAAGGGAGCGGGGACCGAGCAGGAGGCACGGCTGCTCGTGGAGATGCGGCGAGAGTTTGCGCTGGGACGACGAGGCACGCCGCGGAAGCGGAACACGTTCTGGAACGAGGAGGAGCCAGACGGCGAGCTGATCACGGACGAGGTGGGCGAAGACGAGTTCCGCGGCGACGACATTACGAGCATGGCACACGGCAAGCTGGACGAGCTGCGCGAGCGGCGACACTATGCGCGGCTGGCAGCATGGGAGATGCCACTTTTGTCGAGTGAGTTTTTTCTTCCTCTTTCCCTTTCAATACGTAAAACCCTCGCTTACGTCCCCAGAACTGGCAAAACCATTTGAGCCGCCGACGGCCGACATGCCGCTACGCTTCCGCTTCACGTCGTACCTGGGCGAGTTCCACCCGGCCGAGAAGAAGGTGGTGGTGGAGTTCTGTCCGGCGGACCTGGGCTTGACGGACGTGCAGCAGCGGAAGCTGACTAAGCTGGTGGGCGCGCGCTACAACCCGGAGACGGAGATTGTGCGGATGAGCTGCGAGCAGTTTGAGCACCAGGCGCAGAACAAGCGGTACTTGGGCGACCTGGTGGAGAAGCTGGTGGCCGAAGCCAAGGTGAGTGGATTGTGGGGAGAGAGAGAGAAGAGAGACAGAGAAAGAGAGAAAGAGAGAAAGAGAGAAAGTCAAGCTAACGGTCAGGACCCTGCCGACACGTTGGAGGACATCCCGCTCGACACGCGGCACCACACGTTCAAGACCAAGCCCAAGTTCCCCAAGGCGTGGCGGCTGACGGAGGAGCGACGCCAGCAGCTGCAGGCATTGCGCGCACAGGCCTTCCTAGCCGACCAGCAGAAGATGGCCCAGGGCACGCTGGTGGACGGGGCCCAGCGCGTGGCGGCTTCGCTGGCGGCGCCGGCAGCGTCGGACAGCCCGCTGGCAGACAAGGTGGCCGAGCTAGTGCGAGCACGGCGATAGGGGTGGTGGTAGGCTGGAAATGCTGGGGAGAATGCTGGCGAAAGTGGCTGGCTGGGAAGCAGAAGGCTGACAGCAGGACATCTACAACGGCCGATGCGAGACATGCATGTGATACACGTGCCAGCATGTATCAGTACAGGAATATACAAAGTGAAACCGACAGTCCGAACGACTGCATGCATCCAACGTCCAGGATCGCTTCTCCTCCTTTTCGCTTCTCCTCTTTAGCCGTTGGCGCGTCATACGTTTGGCAGGCGGGCCTCGGTCCGATGACTAAGCATAACTGTGTGGGCAGCTGTCCCTGCCCGAAGTGTTTAAAGCTCTGGGGGTGATCGGATTCGGCTTCATCCCGTTCATCCCGCTGGTCATCAGTGTATCGTGGTCTGTCGCCCATTTATCGCCGATCTGCCATCGCTCTACGTCGTATTTCTGACCTGTCAGCACCGTCCCCGTTGTTCGTATCCGTTTTTGTCAGCCAACCGCAGGCGATGGAAGGGATCCCTCCGTTTGAGGCCACGAGCCTGGACGCGATCCCGGCCAAGTGTGCCGGGGTGGCGGCGACATTCCGCAGCGGCCGGACCAAGGACGTGGCCTGGCGCAAGGTGCAGCTGCGGCGGTTATACTGGGCGATTGAGGACTACACGGGGCCGCTCAAGGCAGCGCTGCAGCAGGACCTGCACAAGTGCGGCTTCGAGGCAGCGCTGTCGGAGCTGGACTTTGTCAAGAGCGACTGCCTGTTCCTGGAGGCCCATGTGGACCGGCTGGCGGCCGATGAGCGACTGGGTGCGCCCGAGGTGCCGGCGACGTTTGCGCTGGCCGGACTGCGCACGCGCAAGGAGCCGTTGGGTGCCGTTCTGATCATCGGCGCCTTCAACTTCCCGGTGCAGCTGCTGCTGAGTCCACTCGTGGCTGCTATCGCGGCTGGCTGCACGGCCGTCGTCAAGCCGTCCGAGATGGCTCCGGCCACGGCCATGGTGCTGCGCACGCTGATCGAAGACCGGCTCGACAGCGACGCCTTCCGGGTGGTCAACGGGGCCATCGACGAGACTACGGCCCTGCTCGACTTTCGCGATACGGCTGCCGTCTCCGTGTCCGAGGACGTTCCGAGGGGCTGGGCCAAGATCCTCTACACCGGCAGCCGCCAGGTGGCCCGCATCATCGCCACCAAGGCTGCCCAGACCCTCACGCCCGTCGTGCTGGAACTCGGTGGCCTCAACCCGGCTTTTGTCACCGATCATACGCCTGACCTCGCCCTTGCTGCTCGACGCCTTCTCTGGGGCAAGTCTCTGAATGCCGGCCAGGTCTGCATCTCCCACAATTACGTCCTCGTCCATCGCAAGGTGCTCGACCCCTTCATCCACGCTCTCCAGGCCGCTTTTGCCGTCTCCTTTCCCGATGGCGCCCACCAGAGCGATCTCGCCCACGTCGTCAGCGACCGCCACTTTGCCCGTCTCAAGGGCCTGCTTGACGCCTCTGCCGGCCGCGTCGTCGTCGGCGGCCGCATGGACCAGGCCGCCCTCTTCATGGAGCCCACCGCCGTCTTGGTCGACTCGGCCAGTGACCCGCTCATCCGCTCCGAGACCTTTGGACCCATCTTCAGCATTCTGCCCGTCGACAGCCTCGACGAGGCCATCCGTATCGCCAACGACGTCGACCCGACCCCGTTGGCTTTGTTTGCTTTTGGTAACAAGGAGGAGGTTAAGAAAAGTGAGTTCTTTTCTTCTTTTCTTCCTTTTTCCTCCTTCTCTAACAACCCAGTCCTCGGCTCTGTCAATTCTGGCGGCGCCAACATCAACGACTCCTTCACCCATGGCTCTGTCAGCTCTGTTGCCTTTGGCGGCGTTGGCCATTCGGGCACCGGTTCCTATCGCGGCTACGCCTCGTTTGACGCCTTCACCCACCGCCGCACCGTGGCCGAGACGCCCGGCTGGATGGACCGCTTTCTGCGCGTGCGCTACATGCCCTACGACTCCCGTCACACCCGCCTGATGAATCTGCTAGCGCCCAAGCCCAAGTTTGACCGCACCGGCCGCTCCGTCCGTGGGCTTGGCTATTGGGTCAAGCTGCTGCTCGGCCTCGGTGGCACCGGCGCCAAAGGTGCGTTTGTACGCTGGTGCGGCTGTCTGGCTGTCCTGCTGGCATATAGCGGCCGTGATGTTAAGGCCTTGACGACGCTGATCTGGAATAGGGGGTGAGGAGAAATGAAGAGGGAGAGACGGTTCACAGTTGTGTATGTTGTGGCTTGTGACACTGAATATTTTTGCTCTATGACAGGCCAGATTGTCCTCTTGTACTCCTATTATTCCCTGCCTGTTTTCCATGGCCATGCAATGTAAGATACGCCCCACATCTGAACGGCATGCTGTACATGTGTATCACGCGGTCACTTCTGGCTGCCCTCACCTGCCGGCGAGCACGGCAGCCAGCTTGTCGCCGCGGTCACCGCCCAGATAGACGTCGTCGTCGGCCTGGTCGGGCGTCAGGTGGGCCAAGTCGATGGCCTCGCGGTACGCGCGCATGACCATGGGTTCGTCGATGGGCAGGCGGTGCTCGACGAGCATGGACACGACGCTGCGCAGCCGGGCGATCTCGCGCATGGTCTCGCGGCTGACAGGGTCGTTCTGGCTCGAGTAGATGGCCGCGCTGACGGCCTCCTCCATGTTGTTGAGCCCGACGGCCGAAGGGGGGCCTGGGGCGGCGTGCGAGGCATGAGAGGTGTGTGTGGCAGACCGGCCAGCATCGCCAGCCGCATCAACCGCAGCGTCGGGCGATGGCGGCGCGACGTGAGCGCCGATGAAGACGTAGCCGTTGACGCCGAGGATGACGTCGATCTTGCCGGCGCCGGTGCCGAGAGCCGAGACCACGTGACTGGTCTCGTGACCGTGATCATGGAGCATCTCGTTCTGGGCATCGTCGTCGTCGTCGTCGTCGTCGAGGCCGCCCCCATCGCCACCACCACCACCTCGGCCGATGGTCCAGAGCTGACGGCGAGCACGGACGACGCCGGCGCCAGCGCCAGCACCACCGCCGGCGACGGCAGCAAAGACGCCGTTGCGCAGCTTGCCGTAGCGAAGGGAGCGGGTGTGCAGGACGGCGGCACCGTCGGCAAAGATCTGCTGGACCTCGGCCAGCAGCAGGTCGCCCTCGGCAAAGAAAGAACGGATCTGCAGCTCGTCGGTCTCGGTACGCTTGCGCAACACGCCGCCAGGCAGGTTGATGGCCGAGAGCGGCAGGGCTGCCAGCTGGGCGGCACCCACGTCGACGCGCCAGCGGCGGGCCTGGACCTCGACGATGCGGCCGACAACCAGATCACCAACCTCGGGCGCGTAGCGGGCACGCAGCGGACGCACCGACAGCAGCCGGTTGGTGCGCATGACGGTGCCGGCTAGCGAACTGACGATGCCGGCGCCAGACTCGTCTGCATAGGTGCCGTGGCCGCTGGGATAGTTAGCGGGAGAAGGGAGAAGGAGAAGGTAGAAGAGAAGAGGGAGAGAGAAAAAGAAAGAGAAAGAGAGAGAGAGAAAGAGAAAAAAAAAAGAGAGGCAGAACAGAAAAGCACTCACCGCATCCATTTGGCATCTTCCGTCACCACCTCGCCCGGCGTCACGATCTCGTCTCCCCCATCGCCACCTCGCCTCCGCTTGCGGTTCCTCCGGCTGCTCGCCGCTGCTGCTGCTGCTGCCCGTCCCACAGATGCTCCCCCGTTGTCGCTGGCGTCCGAGTCGTCTGAGCCGTCGTTGGCGGCCGCGACAAACCGCCGAGCCGCTGGCCGCTCGGGCCGGAGGATGGTGATGGGCATATAGGTTCGTAGACACAGTTCCTTACGTGTCCCGGTGCTCGGCCGATCACGATGTTTGTAGCGAAGAATGAGATTTGCGGGGATGTGGTCGTCGTCAACGCTGCTGCTTGTTCGAAGACTTTTCCAGTAGATAGTACAGTGTGTGAGATCACCCGCACTGTCCCCTAACCTGTGGTGTCACGCCCGTCTAAAAGCTGCTATTTGACAACGAATACAATATATTACACACATCTTGAAACCACGCTCTCTGGACAGGCCATCCGTGTTCTGTTCGTTCTTTCTAGCTGCCTGGCGCTCACCGTCTGCTCACGCAAACAGCCGCCACACGCCCAGCCAGACAAGTCCCAGCGAGATGCCGGTAATGCCAAACTTGCGGCTGCGCATGCCAAACATGGACTTGCTCTGCAGGATGGCCGCACGCTGCTGCTCGAGCTGTGCCTGGCCGGAGATATAGCTGTAGGCTCCGAGGCCGAGAAACGCTCCGCCGCCTGGATACAGTCAGTACGTCGTGCTTCGTGCTTCGTGCTTCGTGCTCCGTGCTCGCGCGCAGGAGAGCAGCACCCACCAATCACACGGCACGGCAGACAGTCGTCGCCGCGGTCCTCCTTCAGCAGGTTCTGGTACTTTTCTGGCCGCTCGAGCGACGCGAGCGTCGGGATCTTGTCGCCGGCCATGGTGGGTGGGTGGTGGGATGCTTGCAAAATGGAGCAACGAGCACGAATACTATGCGCACGGTAAAATACTGTGCAGCACTGCAGTATGTTTCTGCCATAGCACACCGCCTGTGGCCAGCTCACCGCTTTCCTCTATCAGCTATACCGCTGTCGTGGCCCCACGTCTGTTCTTTCTCCAGCGTCATCGCCCAGGCTCATGGCCATCACGACGAACTATGGACGGTGTCATTGAGGCGCTGCACATCTACGATGAGCACAAGTGGGTGTCCCTCCGCGCGCGGCCTCTGTGTCCTGTCCTAACCCTGCCAGCAAGCCGGTTCTGTCGCACGCATACACGGCGCGGCCGCTGTCGGCTGCCCAGCTGCTGCCGCTGTATCTCGATCGACTGCAGCAGCTGAGCGGAGGGCTGTCCTCTTCTCAAGCCGCAACCTCGACCTCTTCCTCCACACGGTCCCCACCACCCGGCCTCGTGTACGTGCCGGCAACGACGCCACCGACGCTCGTGTTCGCTATCAGCCACGGCCCGCTGCTGCTGCTTCTGACCACCACCTCGGAGCTCGAACCGCTGCTGGCCCTCGAGTTTCTGCACCGCGTCGCCGATGCGCTCGAAGACTTTCTCGGCAGCCCGTTGACGGCTGCCCGTATCGAGGCTTCCTATGACGTGGCGGCCCAGCTGCTGACCGAGATGTGCGATGCTGGCGCCGTCGGCACCACCGAAGGCAATGCCCTGCACGATCTCGTCGAGGTTGAAGGCCTCGTCGGCAAGCTTCTCGGCAGCATCTCGCTTCCCGGAAAGGCGGCTGCTGCGCTTTCGGCCGCCACATCTGCCGCCACATCTGCCGCTTCGTCCTCTGCTTCACCCTCTCTCCTGCCCTCGTCGCTCTCGTCGCTCTCTTCTGCCTCCTCTCCCGCTCTGCCTTGGCGCCGTGCCAACGTCCGCCACACGTCCAATGAGCTGTATGCTGACGTGGTCGAATCGCTCGCCGTCACCCTCGCACCCTCGGGCCGGCCTCTCGCCGCCTTCGCCCACGGCTCCATCGCCTTCACCGCCAAGATCTCCGGCCTGCCTGACGTTCTGCTCACCCTGTCGGATGCTCGCCTCCTTGACCTGCCTGTCTTCCATCCCTGCGTCCGTCTGGCTCGCTGGCGTGAACACCCTGGCCATCTCAGCTTCGTTCCGCCCGACGGCCGCTTTGTCCTGGCCGCCTACGAGGTCGATCTGATGGCCGGCGCTGTCCCTGGCCAGACCCCCCTCAACCCGCTGCGCCTCCCCGTCACCGTCGATATGCGCACCAGCCTTGGCCCTGTTGGCGCTGACTTTGACCTGCGCGTCCACGTCAACCGCTCCTTTGCCACTGGCACCGGCGGCAGCGGCAATGGCAACCACGGCAGCGCTGGCACCCCCGCTTCGCCGTTGCTGCAGGACGTTCATATCACCGTTCCGCTGCCCGCTGGCATTCGCAACCTCGCCGAAGTCCGGCCCACCAAGGGCGACGCCGCCTACAATCCTGGCGACCGCTTCCTCGCCTGGCATATTGCAGCACGTGACATTGCTGCCGGCACTACCTACTTTGGTCTGCGCTGCACTGTCGTCGGCCACGACAGCGGCCCCGACGACCCGGAAGACGACAATAACAATGCCGGCCTCGGTCCCGACGGTGGCGACGAGTTTGGCTTCCGCACGACGGCTTCCTACGACGACGGCGCTGACGGTGACGACACCATCAACGAGGGCGCATACCAGACGCCGGCCCAGACCAAGAAGAAGAAGAAGAAGAGGGCGGCAGCAAAGGCCGCAAAGGCAGAAATGGCAGAAAAGGCCGCCGCCAGCGCCAGAGACGAGAAGGAGGCCCAGGACGCAAAGGACGAGGCCGCCGCCGCCGCCGCCAAGCGCAGGAGAGACCGCAACCGAATGTTGATGCCGGCATCGGCGGCCGTCAGCTTCTCCGTCAAGGGCTGGCTTGCCAGCGGTGTGCGCATCGACAGCATTGTGCTGGACCCGCGGCGCAGCCGCGGCCTCGGCGAGGGCGTCAAGCCGTTCAAAGGGGTCAAGTACCTGACCATCAGCAAAGGGGGGGTCGAGCTGCGGTGCTGATGTATGCATACGAATTTATACGCAGTAGATGCATTCCTGATACACGCATCTCGTGTAAATATATACTGAATACCGATTCACTCCGTATTATCGTCAATCGTTCTCCAGCGCCATCAGGTCGGCCGACCACAACATGCTGCCCACGTCAGCTTCTGGCTGACGGTCCAGCAAAAACGAGTCGATTGCATACTGTGTGAGGGTAGACCGTCAGCAGAGTTCGGGCACCACGAGCAGACGGAAATACGCACCCAGTCCAGGTTGTAGGGGCCATTGAGCACCGCGTCAAAAGGTCCGGGGTCGGCCCAGTCGTATGTCATGTGTGTTGGCATATGGGAGAGGGTGGTAGGAGACGTCGTTGCAGACGCGCCCTTTGGCCTGTCAGCTTCCTCCAGCTTCCGCACAATGGCACCCAGCACACGAGCAGCATGAGCAGCGTCACGTGACGTCAGCCGGCGGTCGTTCCAGAGGGCAAAGGCACCGCGCAGGGCCGACAGCTTGGCGTCGCGGTCGTCGGCGCGCTGCTCTAGCGAATTATCGGAGTGTGTACTGGCAAGCACTTCCGACCCATCCTCCTGGTCCTCCTGTCCCTCCATCAGGTCTAGACAGAGGATGGTGGCAGCCAGCAGAAAATCATGCAGGGCCACGCTGCCAAACATGTGGCGGTCAGTGGCCAGCCGGCCGGTTCCGCATGGTGCCGTGCTCGCCGGCCGCGTCTCCATCTCAAAGTCTATGTGCAAGTCGAGGATGCGCAGGGCCGAGACCAGACAGCAGCGGCGGTGCTGGCGCGTCGACTGCGAGGCCGTCCGGCTGTCACGCGTCAACGCCTGTCGGAAGAGCATGCAGATGGCCTTGTGATAGAGCAGGTCCAGCACCAGCCGGTTCATGACGTCGTGGCTCGTATCGCTGAACGGACAGTCGCGAATACGGCATGGCATCTGCAGGTGCGCCGGCAGGCTGCCGTAGACGGCGTGCAGCTCGGCCGCCAGGCGGTCCAGAGAGTCTGCTGACTCAGCTGACTCAGCATCGCCGCCCCCCCGTCCCGTCAGCCGGACCACACGGCGCAACAGCCGGATGTACCGCAGCTTCAAGGCGTGGTATAGGGCCACGGATGCATCGGATACCGGCCGGTCAGGTGGCAGTTCCGCGCAGAACTCGTCAAAGTCGTCGTCGCGCAGGTTATGTGGCAGATCTGTCGCTGTGTCGGCCTCGTGCACAATGGCCGGCATGCCGAATTGGAAGCTGTAGAGCATGTCGTAGGCCTCGACCACATACCATGTCCGCCGCCGCATCTCCTTCTCAAATGGCGTCAGTAGACTGCGGCCACAGCCTCCGACCCTGCCGCCGTCCACCTGCTGGTAGCCCATCCGTTGCGCCAGTCGTGTCGCCACACAAAATGTCCCCCAGAGCGCTGGGTCGGCGTCGCGACGCTGCACCAACCGTGTCAATGCGTTGAGTAGCAGCGCCTCCACTACTAGCGGTTGTGCTGTCAGGTAGTCGCCCGCCAGAAGACAGCGCGTCGACAGCCGTCGCAGCCGTGCCGCCAGTGCCAGGTCTGCATTGCTGCCTTCCTCTTCCTCGTCCCCCAATCCTCCTCTCCTCTCTCTCTCGGGCAGCCAGTTGTCCTGTCGCGTCCCCGTGATCGTTGCCGCAATGCTCAGCGTCGATGCCAGCATGCTGAGCCACAGAAATGGGGACCCGCCGCAGATTCCCGACGCCGACGCTGTCGCCCAGAAACGCGAGTACGTCCGTTGGAAGTGTCCTGCGTGCACAAATGGCTGCCTCATGAAGCGCGCCTGGAAGTACTCTGTCAGCAGCCGGTCGCATTCCTGCCGTCCCGGCAGCTCCCCTGCTGCTGATGCTGCCGTAAATCGTCCGCCCTGTCCGCTCCCGCTTCTTCCCCCTGTCGTCGTCGCAAAGATAATGTCCGACTCTGCCTCTTCCAGCATCGCCACCTGTGGCTGCACCCGGGGCGACTGTCCCATTCGTGCCTCGTCCGTCTTCTCGTCCGAGCCCGTGTTGCCCAGGTAGCTCTGGATATCCCGGATGCTGTCCAGCACTGTTGCCCAGTTGGTTGCCCCAGGCATCTCGCCAGTCATATCAGTCACCGGGAAGAGGTTTTGTTGGTCATGTTGGTCAAAATCTTTCTGTGCCTCTTTCTGTCGCTGTCGCTGTTGCTCCTCTCGCTCTCTCGGCTCCCGCTGCTCCTGGTCGTAGCTCCCTTCTGTCGCCACGCCTCTGGCTGCGTTGCTCGTTCGTCTCCTCCTGCTGCCGCCTCTCTTCCCACCCCCCTTACCGTCCTCGGCCTCCGATCGAGCCACCATGCCGTTCACGAGCATCTCCAGCTTCTGCAGCTGCACCTGCGTCTCCTGTCGCACCGCTGCCACCTCGCCGATGCTGTCACTCCTTCCCCCTCCCGACGACTGCGACGCCGGCCAGTCTGTCACGCCTTCTACCCTGTCGCTGTCGTACCGACACAGCGCCTCATCACCCCGTCGTCTGCACGTCCTGCACGGCAGCAGACGGTCACACTTCTGCTTGCGTGTCCGACACGCGTGACAGCTCACCACTGGACGCGCTCGCGTCCGTTCTTGCGCCCGCCGTGCTGTCAACAACGACGACCCTTGTCCCCCCGTCAAGCTGCTCACGCCAGATAGGTCTGCTTGCTGATCCCCTCTCTGACTGCTGCTGCCGCTGCCACCAATTCCGGTTCCATCCTTATTTCCGAGCCGAACTCGGAATACCGATGTATAGTCGGCCAGATATGTCATGTCCTGTTACAATGGGCTGTATTGAGATAGTGCCGAAGAAAACAGAAAAGGCAACAAAGCCAGGAGTGATGCATATAAACCAGCGCGCGATGTTCGATACGGGCCCAATTATTTATTTCCTTGTTCGGAAAGAGCTTATCTCCGGCTCTTGTACTGATGTTTCCTGCTCCCAAATAGGCAAATCCGATTATAAAGGTGCTTTAGTCCGAGAACACTCTTGCTGCCTATTTTATAGTATCGTCTTTCGTTATAAGTGACGAAAACCATCAATCTTCCCCTGCCAAGACCTCGTCACGCGAGATTCGAACTCGCTCCCCTTATACGTGATTATTTAGGGCGACCAGGTTGAACACCAATGACGCTTAAGGGCCAGACCCAAGGCTTTTCAGTTATCAAGAACAACCTTTCGGTAATCATCAAACTGATCTTTCGGTCATTGAGTGCAAGTTCGCGTGGACTTTCGTCCATGGAATTAAAAAAGGGGGGGTAACAAGGCGGTTATCCGGATAAATCGCGGGCAAAGGTTCGGTGTAGCTTTATCACTTCTTGCCTTTGGTTGTTCAAGCCCAGTCCTGGTATCGGAATAGCGAGCTGCCGGGGTCTTTGGCTTAGATTCTTTAGCGTCACCGTCATAGAGAACGTCGTAGAGTGACTAGAGCCTGTCATGCGGTAGATCTTCCTCTGTGAAGGGTATCTTGACGGTGCGCACAACTATTCCTTCCTCGTTCACTAATGTCATTGGCTCAAACGGATCCGTCGACCACTGCTTATCCTCCACCATATCCTCAGTCACTCGACAGCCGTATGCCTCCCAAGTATGGAACCGGTCGTAGTCTCCTCGGCCAAGACCGAAACCAAACGGTCGACGATGCTGCCTGACATGTGCGGTTGACGTGACTAAGCGATGCTCCGTCCGTTCAGATTCTGGGGTGAATGGCGCATGTGTGGGAGATTGGGCGATTGTCTCAGATCTCGATCCACCCTCACCAATTAGTTGGCCATAAGACCACTTGCTTCTCGTCATGTCAGAGGCGATGAGTTTGTTGCCGCAATCAAGGAAGCGTGCAGAGTCAGCGGCAGGATGGCCCGTTGTCACGATGTCCACTGGCTTCGGAACTTCCTCAGGTCGTTGTAGCCCCTGTTCACTTCAAAGGCGGGTGTCGGAGCAAACGAAAGTTCCCAACCTTCGGCCTGGAGAATGGGTACGTCGGACACGGGTACGATGACCCAGTCTACTCCCTGAACTCTGTCGCCCGTGTGACTGTATACCGTTTCTTTTCCGGGCTGATCGACGGCGGCGGCTCGGCTCAGGGCTACATACTCTGTATCGAGTCTGTCGTCGTGCTGGTCAGACTCGGCTGCAAGTAAGCTAGCCCACTGTTGGCTTTGGTATTTGAGCTTCCCATGGCCGTCCGAGATAACTCGACGGTACGGCACTCCAACAGACTCCCAGTACTTCTCGCGTTTATGTGCATTGGAGAGTAACACGTCCAGATTGGCTCCTTCGGTTCTGTCATCTTCCTCGTCCTTCCAAGCAGTGGGCCAGACCGTGTATTCAAACTCGAGTTTCTCTATATCTTGGGTCCCTGTGGTAATTGTTTTGGTGGTTGTACCCCTATTTGTGGAAAAGAAACTCTAAAAAGATGGGGTAGTATACCAGCCCTTGGCCGCAGCCGAAAACTCTGCAAGGCCGACAAGGTCGTCTTCGAAAATTTGATCTTGAACTATCTTGCGGCCATACTTGATATTAAATGGAGGTGATCTCGCTGGTTGAGAACTGGTTGGTATCTTGTGGTGCGTATGTTCTGAACTTTGTTGGCCAGGCTTTTATTTTCTTCGTTTAGGTGCTATGAATTGTTTTTTAATTACGCCGAATTTATGCTTGTGTGGCTGGAAGGTGAACGGACGCCTGACGCGGTTGTTGCCTAAAATACTTGAGTTGTGTGGCCAGAAAGGACCGAATAGACCAACCTCGGCCATATAAATGACAGTTTGGTTTTGTTATGGGGACGAGATGAATATTTCACCCAGCATTTTTACTTTTTCTACCCAACTCGTACAAGAAACCGAAACTACGGTCACATCCAGCAAACAAGCAAGCACGGCAATCATATTAATACCACACCTATTGGCAAAGTAAGTAGAAGCTGACAACCCGATGATAAGTTTGGTAATGATCGGTATTAATCCGAATACAAGAACTTCGCCTATTGATGATTGTGAAGATAAGTCTAAGGTCTGAACGAATCGACGCCTTATCTGCGTCAACAACCTTCTTAGAGCAGTCAACCTCGCCATGTTTCTTTTGGCCGCCCCCTTCGATAAGGGCGGAAGGCACATAGGACCAAATGGTGTTGATTAGTCGCACTAATCATCAATCCGTATTTAATTACATTGATGGTAAGCTTCCTTGTTTCCATCAGATTCGTCGTTTCAACCCATGCCGGTCGAAGATATGGGCTCAGCAGCAGAGAAATGGCAAGGGCCCGGGGATTGCTGAGGTTGTTGATAGTGGCAGTGGTAGAGCTGGTTAGCACACTGGAGAGGCTGTTGACAGAACTGCTCTCATGAGTGGCCAGAGTGGGAGCGACGGGTTGGCGGACAGGTTTGTCGGTAATATAAGGCCGCCGTTTGCCATCTGAGCCGAGCTATACACGAATCTTTGTTAACAATGCTGGCCATGCAATTCCCATTCAATGCAATCAACGCAGCTTTGCGGTCAGGCCGGAGGTCGATTTCGACTATAACCCAGCTACTGTAACCCTTAAACAGTCCATCTCTCGTGCCGCCCAGGACCTCCTATACCGGCATGTGTTTCGAGATCATCTGCCTCATCTGCCCTTGAACACTTTACTGACCGTGGGCGAAATAGGAGGCTACTCGATAAGAAAGCCAAGCTTACCGCATCTAGAATAAAAGCTGCGACATGTCCCCTCGAGTCCTTTTGGTATCGAGCCATAGAAGTCGCCTCGAAGCTCGACCCGAAGGCTGACTCGAAGCTCAACTGTTCAACAGAAATGCTCGAGATAGCGCTGCTATGTAGCTCTCAGAGGCCAATCTTCCTACGGCCTTTCGAACTTCGACAGGCTGCAGATCTAGCCAAGATGTGAAATATGCTATGCTTTATATAGCGATTAACTACTACTAGGATAGCGTTATATAGACGGCTATTTAAGCCTAGGCTTAACTTAAGACTAGTTATAAAATCTATACTAATGTGCTAGAATGGCTAAATAGGTATTTTGCACACCCGCTCTCAGATCACCTTACCCTCGTCAACGCCTTCAACGCGTATGTACACGTACAAAAGATACACGAACTTCGCGAGCAGAAATCACAGATATGACAACTGTCCGGAAGGCCCTTTCCATCGCACTCCATACCAACACTGCCATCCATTGCGCTTGGGATGAATACCGCACCGTCCATGAAAACGTGTCCGGACTTCTATCGCCGGCAAGCCCCCTCGCCGGCAGCCAATACGAGTGGATCGCTCAGTCTAGCTTCGTGACGATAGGAGGAAGGCAATATTTCGGGACAGCGACGGTGATCAATGCAGAGTGGCTTGCGGTAAGATCTTCCGACCCAGCTATCATCCACCACGTTTTACTTGCGTTGGCAGGCTAGCAGGTGTCTAGGAATCACAGTTCTTCCAGGATGGCAAGTTACCGCTAAAAGGGAACGGTCTCCTTGAAGGCAGCCTGCCGTCAAGACATCGCTTGTTCGTGCAAAGCCCAAGCTTGCAACATCCAAGGCCGACTAGTCTAAAAAACTGGCCCTATCAAAAGGAGGGATATTTTAGCCATCACATAATACTTCCCCTCGTTAACCGATCAGACCCATCTTGCTTCAAGGGACTGCTTACAGCACGGGTGTACCTCCGAAGAAGGAAATTGTCAATGACAGTTTTCGTGTTTATATTAGGCTGTTATATCCAAAATCACGCTGTCGCTAATGGTACATACATGTTCGCACTTACTTACAGATAGATCGTCTTTCGTGTACATGATCGGAAATCAAAACATATCCAACTGGCAAGCATCCACGTAGAGATCATCTTCAGTCCTTCTGTTCTTCCGCGGCCCTCTTGTCCTCTGCTTTTGATCGTGCAGCAATCGCAACATGTCATCCGTACGCATTGCAGGGTATCATGCCAAAACATAAAAAAGAAACGCCACAACTGTCCTAGACCGCATAGACACATTACACTCTCACACATAAGAGAAAAACAGCAGACACCAGGAAAAGCTATACATCTACACCAACGCAACCCCTCGCCTCACCTTGGCCGGCCTGCCATAGCAGACTGTATATCTCGGAAGCGACTTTTCCACAAGTCAGTCTGAGGCCCTTTGACGTCTTGCGGAAGCTGGATTCAAGTTACCGTGGACACAACCGATCCCGCTCCCACCGTGGTGCCGTGCCCGATGTTCACGCCCGCGAGGATCGTCACGTTGCCGCCAATGAACACGTCGTCGCCAATCGTGATGCCGCGTCCGTGGATGGCGCTGTGCACGCCCTCGCGCTGCGTGTGGTCGGTCGGGAGCGTCGTCGTGTAAAAGGACACGTTGGGTCCAATGTAAACCCGGTTGCCGATGCTCACCGGCATCGCATCAGAGATGTGGCAGTTCCGCCCAATGTACACGTCTTCACCGATCGTGATGTTGTACCCGTAGTCTGCGTGGAACGGCGCCTCCACGATCACCTGGTCGCCCACCGACCCGGTGTGGGCAATGGGAGACATCTGCAGTTCGTCGCGTGGCTGCAGAATCTCCTTGAACAGCCGCGTGCGTTCGCTCAGTGAGACGCCGACGTTCGGGTTCATTGAGTTGTTGAATTTCCAGCAAGCCGCAGAGCATCGCTCTCGCTCCGCGACCAGCTCCTTGTCGAACGGGAAGAATGGACGGCCAGCGTACATCTCATCCCGCTCCCGCCGAGCTCCTGGGATAGTGTTAAAGAATGGCACATTGCGCCGTGGCCGAGGCCGGGTCTCGCCGCTGCCAATTCTGTTGTTGTCGTTGGTATTGTGGTTGCCGCCATCTTCGTTAGCAACTGGCGGAGCCTGCTGCTGCATGGCAGGCGGCGGCGAGTAGGGCCGGTGCTGAATCCTGTGGGGTTGCTCTATCGGAGACGGCTCCTGCTGCTGTTGGGTAAGGTGGTGGGGATTATACTGGTGAGGGAATGAAGGACGATGCTGGTGCACGTGCACTGCGTGCTGTTCCTGTCCGTGTTGCGGTGGTTGGTGCTGCAGCACGTGATGAGCCTGCTTCTGCTGCTGCAAAGGTGGTTGGTGATGTTGCGGCACGTGCTGGTGGAGAAGCTGAACAGGCGGCTGCGACGGTTGCTGCACAGATGGTTGAACAGGCTGCAGCGGAGGCTGCTGCACCGATTGCTGTGCAGGCTGTTGGTTATGTTGGGGCGCCGACTGGGGGTGCTGTGAAGGGTGGTGTAGCTGGTGCTGCGGTGGCGATCGTTGCTGTTGGACGGGGCTGTCCGAGTGCCGGATGTTCAGTTGCGTCAGAGGACTCGAGTGCTGTGGCGTTTCCGGCTCGTTGCGGCTGAGATCATGCAGCGGAGGCACACGCTGGTACTCCTTGGGTGTCCGGTCCATGAAAGGGACCGTCGTGTTGGCGCTGACGGGTGTTGGAAACGCTGCTGGTGCTGCATAGATCGCAGACAGCTTGTTGTTTTCCGGACTGGCCGCGATGGAGCTTGGCATGGTTGTTGCCGTCCGGTCGTCGTCCGATTGCAGAGGTCGACCCTGTGGCGGCTCGATACGCAGGGTCGGACCACGGTAAGGCGGCTGCTGCTCTCGTCTCTGCTGTTGGTACGCTCCTGGTTGACTGTCTAGGGCGCTGATTCGCGGCATTCCATAAGCCCCCGGAGGCACGTAGGTGGGATCCTTGGACTCGATCTGCACAGTAGTCTTTGGCAGCTCGATTTTTCCCCATTGGCCCTTCTGCGGCGGGTATCCTGCACAGATGAAGCCACCGCGAACGCAATTGCTGCCTGAAAAGGAGTACGGTCAGCACTATATTTTGACCAGCAGACTAAGGTATCGGGGAAGCGACAGAAGCTTACATTCTGGCTTGGTCTCATCACACTTCTTCTTCCTCTTGCGGCATGTGAGACAGCCGGTTTTGGTGCGATTGCTAAAGTTCCGCTTCCTCCGCTTCGGGTCGCCGTGCTGGAGAGTTGTGGGATCCCGGCGCTGCTGGCTGGGCGAGTGGCCTGCAGGCATAGAAGATGGCCGGTCATCCTCATCTGGAGTGCGCCCAGCGTACTCGCTTTGTGGGGAGCCGGAATCACGTCCAGCCGACCGGTCATGCTGATGCGGGTCGCTGCCTGGCTGATCGTCGGCAGGCGACTGCATAGAGGATGCGCCAGTTGTGTATCGGGCATCTTCGTAGGCAGAGACCGAAGGCCGGTCCTCGCGAGACGGCTGCTGGGAGGAAGGGTACCAGAGCTCGACACGCTGCTGCCCGCGTTGATGCAGATCGCGCTGTCCACGTTGCAGCTCGTCGTTCTCGGCCAAACGAGCGCTGTAGTCCCGGCTGCGTGGAAGGTTATAGGGATCGCGTTGCTCGGTGGTCGAGTGAGGCCGATCCAGCTCGCCGTCTCTCGACGCACCCCGAGCTGCCACAGCAGCGGCCGCTATAGCCATTGTGTCAGGGCCGTATTGCGGTTGTTGCTGTTGTTGTTGCAATTGGTCCGAGCTGGTCTGCTGTGCAGAAGCCAGCCGGTGCGCCGACTCGTCTACGGACAGGGACCGCTTGCGTTTTTGCGGGCTTTTGACAGGGTTTTCAATATCTGGATAGGCAGCAGCAGGTTGGCGTGACGACTGCTCGACAGTCGGGCCACTCCAGATCTCGCGGTCTCTGCGGGTGGAGGCAGTGATGTCAGGCATTGTCCTCGGCTCGGTTGCGTTGGGCGGCTGGCTGTTCCCGCTATACTCTCTCTCGTCAGACCTCGTTGGCGGCAGCCTCACCTCAATGGAGCCGCCGACATCGCCATCCGCCGTCCTCGGTGAGCCAGCACCGCCGTTGAGCGCCGTGAAGGCTGGCATCTTCGTCCAGAGGTCCTCGCGTTGATCCGAGGCCAGTAACATACGCGGAAGCAAATGCGCGTGGAGGGGCAGCTGGAATTGGCCTGAGGTGAACGAACGATTCGGCTCGGTGAGCTGTGTAAGACGTAGAATGGAACCCACGGATTGCAACGGACCAGCGTAAGCAAAGGGGTGGACAGGACGAGTAGAACGAAGAGGCTGCTGCGGCTAAGAAAGGGACTGCGGCGATAAAGAGAGCTGTCCCAGATCTGGATAAGTCTAGCCGGCTGGCGGAGAAAAGAGAGTGAGCAAAAGAAGGCGAGCGAGCTAGCGATGCGTATGTATTAGAAGCAGAAGCAGATGCTCGCCGTCTCCAGAGCTGCGGTAGACAAAATGTTGGAAGATGAGGTACTCTGGGTGCAGAGGACAATGGACGCGAGGTCAGCTGAGCGGTGGAGCTGAAGGAGCGACGGAGCAGCAGAATGCCGAGAGGAGGCGGTTGGCGAGCAGATGAAGAGGAGAAAAGAGAGAAGAGGAGAGCGAGGCCGACGATGTGGTTTTGGGGGGGTGGGGGGGTGTCGAGCAGATATTTGGAGATTGGGGAGGCAGCAGTAGAGAAAAGGAGGAGAGCAGGGCGTTGTGGAAACGCGAGTAAGGTCGAGAGGGCAGAGAGAGGCAGAGAGAGGCAGAGAGAAGGGCGAAGAGAGGCGGAGAGAGGTAGAGGCGGAGAAGAGACCTCAGAGGACGCAGCAAGCGCTGGCGACTAAAAGGCGACAATAACAATGATAATAATAATAGACGGCTAAGAGGACGGTCGGTTTACCTCAGGGGAAGGGGGGTTCTTACTCGTACGGATTGGCTGGCAGGCAGCCGAAGCTCAAGAAGGAGAAGGCGGCGTGCCGAAGCTGCGGGCTAGGCGTTGAGATGTCACCTGTGGTCTCCCCACTTTATGACCGTCGGTTGTTCTGGGGGGCGGAGAGAGAAAGAGAGAGGAAAGAGAGAGGAAGGGACAAGAGAGAGAGAAAGGTGGAGGGGGGGGTGAGAGTTAGTTTGGGGCCTGAAAGAGGGGGGTGTGTTCGTCGCACTTGCGCAGTTGAGTTGAATCGTCGCTGCCAAATTCGGGCCAAAAATAAGTCTTTCCCTCGCGATTATAGTGGAGCAGGAGCAGCAATAGTTGGGCGAAGGAAGGGTCGAGGGAAGACACTCGAGAGCGAGCGGGCGGGCGCTTGAGCTTTGGCGCGCGATTATTGTGGGCGGTGCGCCTGTTTGGTGTCTCAGTCAGTACGGAGTACATAGTAGGGCGGCTTGTCCTGGCAGATTGAGGACGCCCGAATAAGGCAAAGAGGCAAAGAGGCAAAGAGCCTGTGCGCTCTCGGTGCTCTTCTGCGAGTCGGATGTGGGAGTCGCGGTGGGCCCCCCCCGTCGTGCCTGCCTGTCTTACGTCTAGCGGCGTTGACCGCAACGAATGAGACGGCCTCGCCCTTCTTTCGTATTGGGCGCGCAGGCGAAGCTTGTTGGAGCCGTCTCGTTTGCTGGCAAAGCTGCACGAGAGCCAGATATGGGGCTGAAGGCGGTGCGACCGCCGGGACCTGACAGTACGAGTATCTTACATAGTAAGATACGATACGAGCATTCGCCAAAGAGGGAATAGGCGGGTGGGCGGCAGTCGGCCACAGACACGGATGGCCGGCAGTCGAGCGCGGTGAGCGACCAGGCGCCCAAAAGACGAGGCGAAGATGATACCGGAAGACTATGGAGTCAATACTATGTACACATTGAATGATACATAGTACGATTCCTATGCCTTGCGCACGGGCAGACAGGCAGAACACCTGGCCTGCAAGATACTATGTAGCAGTGCCACCGCTACTTCCGTCGACCTCTTGGCTGCACTTTTTCCCTTTTCCTTTAATCTGTCAATTCTCTTTCCGTACGATGCTTGGCGCTTCGGGCGCCGAGCCTTCCTGGACAAGGCGTCTCAGGTACCGGTCCGATAAGATAGCCCACAGCAGGCCGAGTTGGGCGGCCACAGCGCTGAGAGTGCTAGGGGCCCTGCAAGCACTACCCTTACGCCGTCGTCGTAGCAGGCCGAGCTAGCCAGCTAGCTGCGTAGTGTACGCTAACTCAGCGCACCCTCCCGCCGCCCTCGTTACCGGCCGGGTCGTGTCGCAGCTCACACGCTAGGACGATTGACAATTAGAGCCAACCGCTGAAGCAACAGGAGTCCTCCTGGAAACGCCCGGATCGCCACCAGACCGGCCCTAGCACGAGTAGCAGTAATGCAGCGCGATATGCCAGGAACCTTGTCTCGCTGGCAAATCCACCAGAACCCACACCTGTCCAGAATGAATAATTCCTCGTACGGAGAGTACAGTTGTGCAGGCTGGCTGGCATGCATGCGAACAGCTGGGGCTCGCGTAAAAAGGGCCCGCCCCACGCGCTGGATGCCAAGTACGCCGCCATGCCCATTCCTGGCTCTTTCTTTCTTTTTTTCCCTCTCCCTCATCTCCCCTCTGTCTTCTCTGTCCGACAACGGTGTCGTGTCTCGCTTGCTCTCTCTGGCAGATCCTCCCTCGCTCTTTCGTCCGAGTACAGGTACAAGCTTTCTTTCTGGAGACGCTTTGCCGCCGGCGAGCTGGCAGCCGGCCCCTGGTCAGATGCCAACACACATCCACACCCCTTCCTCTCTACTCCGTACGAGTACGTGTACGAACATACTTTGCACTTACTCAGTACGTTGGAACCAGATGCTTTATTCCGTAGTACGTACTTGTACTTCCTCTGGATGGTGCTTTCGGGTCTGCGGACCCCACCTTCCCAGTAGAAAATACTCGAAAAGAGAGATGCTGAGAAGGAGACTTGGTTGCGAGGATCATTATCTGCCCATGCTGGTCGTTTATGATAGAATAATCAGCTGGTTGCAGCATCTAGCAGGCAGAGCACGGAGCTAGCGCACAGAGCACGAGTCAAATTGCGGCGCAAATTAGGTGCACGATTAAGGTACGAGCGTGACGAGGTGTACGCGTCCGAGAGCAGAGCGGTACGAGAGCAGGGAGAACACACACGCACACCGCAGGGAGAGAAAGGCAGACAGAGGGGACCACTCAAGGTGACAATGCAGGAATAATGAGACATGGACGACTACGACGACGACAAGCAAGAAAAAAACGCAGCGCCAGCGGGACTCGAAGCTGGCCGGCCTGCGCATCCAACGTATCTTGGTTTTGCCGGACGCGGCCATTTGCCGTAGTCGTTGACCGCTGTGATTGGTGACGAAGCGCTGCAAGAGCCCAACAGGCGCAGTGGGCGGTGCTTCATCCCGCAGTGCTGGCCAACCAGAGCCCAGAAAAGCAGCCCCCCTCCCCCTCCTCGTCTGTTGGCTTCGCCTGTGTGTCCGGAGGGCACGTACACGCCTGTACGAGTACGAGTACTACTCTATGTATGTATCTGGCATGCGCCAGCGGGAAGGAGGAGCGGGCATCGAAACAGAAGCAGCCGGCGGGGCCGGCTTTTTAGGCGACCGCCCAATCAGAGCACGTGTACGCACACAATGAACAGGCGTCTCCCGTGCACAGTGCTCGAGTCTTCCTGCCTTCCTTCTCGTTTTGCCTTCCTGCATTCCTGCCTTCCTTCCTGTCACGGTTTCCTACCTTCCTCCTTCGTCGCACCTTCCCCCCCTGTGCATGCTACTGTGTACTGTGTACGAGTATAGCTTTGCAGATATACGAGTAGTGCGAGCAAGATTTTCGCTTCAGGGCAGGCACGGCTCCCCACCCGCGTTTACAGAGCAAGTCTCAGGGTGCATTGCTGCGCTTCACGCCAGCAGCCCCACTACGCTCACACCCCCTCACATCGCCATTCCACCCCTAGCAGAAATATCCACACCTGAGTACTCGTACGGAGTGCTGTGTACTCGTACTCCGTAGTCTTGTCCACTCCAAATCCCACGCCCCGAGCCTTCAAGCCAACGTCCTTGCCTCAATATATCCTTCATCGGCACCGTTATGCCTCCCTCTCGTCCCCTGTCAAGGACCACTCGTCGCGGCAGTGCGGGCCTACATGCGATAAGTGAACAACGAAAACGTGTTCCGGCATACGCATATGCATCTGGGCATCAGTATCTGCATGGGCCAATCTATCTACGATAGGAAGAGCACGCCTCGTGCCTCTGTCTCTTCGTCCTTCTTGCGGATGCTCTTGCCCTAATCCCCGGTATACTCGTACGCCAGGGCCTGTTCTCATGTCAGCTCCGCTGCTCTGCCTTGACTCATTCTTTGAGTGGGACCGACTGGAAAAAAAGAGCAAGCGACAACCCCAGAAGTATTGCGCTACAAAGTACGATGACCCCGGCCGGCGGGTAATCTTTCCGAAAAAGGAACACCCGGGCTCTGCCATCTGGATCGTTAAAGACACAGCACGACGTGCATGGATTGTCCTTATTTCCTTTAAAGCCCGAGCATCCTGCGAGAGGCAATCAACGGTTGGGGCAATGCCCGTACAGACTCAAAACATTTCTGCGAATGGCCGTCCTTCTACCCTCAGAGGCGCCGACCGACAGGGCGATGATTGTGCCTGGCGCGAAAGATAATTTTAGCACAAACCAACCCCAGATGGAGCAGGGGCCTGCTTCGAGAATGCACTGCTTAGGATGTGTGTGTCCGTCCGCTCATGCAGCAACAAAATGAGCGATGCGGCCGAGCGCAGCATAGAGGGCCCGTCTCGACGACGGGATCTTCCTTTAGCCATTCAGCCATCCGGCCTTCCAACTGCCTGTGAACTTTTGCCTCCCAACCCGTCTTGTGATCTCTCTCTGTCTTCTGCGCCGTAACGCGTGCTTGCTCACCCCGAGACCTCTGCTGTGGCGCTTGTCTCGGATGTGGGTCAGCCGGGAGGCGGATTGCGATCTCTGCGAACGAGTACTGAGTACGACCAGTCACCCCCCTTTCATGATTTCACCCGCATGCAAGCTGCTCTTAGCCTACCCGGCCATTTACCGCCGGCCTGCAAATAGGAGCGCGGCATTTGCAGGTGCTGTGGCCCGCAGGGAACAAGCGTGACGAGAAGATGGGGAGCCGACCCAGCTCTGAATCGTGATTGGTCGAAAATGCCGTCAGGACAGGCGCTTTGGGAGATGACCGGACGCTTGTTCTCCCCTAACGTATCTTAAGATACTTTTTTTCCCTGGTCTCCTCTATTCCGTACTCCGTACTCCGTACGGCAACGGAGGTCTCCGTGGGTACGAGCAGCACTGTGGGGAACGACAGCCTGCAAGGAGCAGAAGAACGAAACACACCGAGTGATCCTTGCCCATCGCTAAGCCGCAAGCGAGCGTCGCAGAAACACGAAAAAAAAAAAAGCAGCAGCAGTGACGACACCTCCCGTTCGAAAGCCTGCATTTGCCCAGTTTTGAGCAAATTAAGATACGACGGGACGGGACAACGAAGTTGAACGGCGATGGTTGAAGGGTGCGAATTGGCGCGAACTGGTGCGAGCTGGCGTTGGCGGGAGAGACAGACTAGGAAACGGAACAGCATCCGCGGGGTAGTGTCTGGATGGCAAGACAAAGAAAATGGGGATGGTTGGGGCCAATGCTGTCAGCAGGTGCATGAGCACATCGGCTGCAGAACGAACCGCAGGGCGATGCACGCCAGCAGGTAAGCAGGCAGGCAGACAAGTCAACGTTCAGCTTTTCGTCTGACCGGCAGGCAAAACGGCTCACAAGAAAAGATTACTGCAAGCGGGATGTTGTTCGCCATTGGCATCTCCATGGACGAACACCAGGACTGGCTGCTCGGCCTTTTCCCCCAATGCAGATAGGTGTTGCTATTTACGGCGGGCTGCATGCTACATGTGTCTGTTGGTCTCCGTCCGTGTTGGCACAATGTTGTAATGTTGCATGCATGCATGTCCTCATCCCCCCCTACCCCCCCTCCCTTCCTGCCAGGATGTGGAATGACCAGCCGCAGTTCTCGTCTTCTTCTGTACGGAGTACAAACAAAGTACTCCGTGCTCGGATGCCCGTGCTCAGACTCGAACGATCAGCCGGCCATCTCTCCTCGGCTGTCGGCTTTCACTGCGTTTTTCTGCGATTGTGTAGATACGAACGAGCATGTACTCGTATCTTAGCTGCCTGTAGAGATGGCAAGAGACGAACAGGCGATTCTGCGGCTTTGCTTGCGCTCGGCCCAGATGCAAGGCCATCTTCTGTGCCACGGGTCTCGGCGAATATCACACGGGCATCCCGCCGCCTGTCTTGTTTCTTGCCTTTGCGTACTCCTCGTCCTCTTGTCGACGAAACGGTCTGCTAACGATGTTTGGGGGCCATTTGTTCCCAACGGTCTGGTTTGCCTACTTGCGAAATACGGCTGGCGGCCAGCACACGACCCCCACTGTATTTTTCGCCTCCCCTCTTTTTTCCAAGGGAAGCGGTAAAATGAACACTGAGAAATTGAAACAATAACGGCCGGCACAATGGCGCAACTCCCCCATCCTTTTTTGTTCTTTGCCACGGCGGCTAAAAGTACTGATCGAATACGGATGCCTGCCGCATGCTTTGCTCTTTCCCGAAAAGACCGCCACGTTGGACACACGTGACGCACCACTTCTGTTCGATAGCCTTCATTTGATTGCGCATACGGTCTGAGTCAACCTCGCCAGATTCTGGCTTGCCGATGCTGTTTTCCAGTGTGGTTCAGGCCGGCACCGAATCTCGATAGTCTCTACTACTCCGTACCTCTCCCCTACTGGTTTCTTAGTCGCTGACTCTTGTCTGACAGCAGCAAATCAGGAGCATCCAAAATAGCCGCCCACTTTATTAAGCCGCAAGCGCCCGACATCTCACCCCAGATATCTGTCGAATAAGAATAGACACGGAGGACCCGAAGATTCTGCGCCTGGCTCCAAGGCGCCTCCGCCATTCGTCCTCACGGATAGCCGACTATTTTCGGTGTTTTTCCTGCTTGATTTGGCCTTCGCCTGGCCTTTCTCTCCACACAATTGCCCCTCACCACCATCTCGTATATTGAGGCTCTGCGAACATCTGGCGCGTCCTTTCTGAGGACGTGTTGGGCGGTGCGTCCTGCAGCAGGAAAGAATGCGAAATTGAACGGACATGGGAGGGACGCTCGATGGGTGACATGGGCGCTTCCCTCCATCGTCCCGGCGTCAACGGCCGGTCAGGTCTATTTTTGGGGAGAGGATGCCGACCAGGATGATGTGTCAGACAAGGCCCAACTCTCCGCGTGCAGAAACACGGCTGGGAGGGAACCGGAGAAGGACACAACTCAAAGTCGGCGAATAAAGGTCGATGAAAGGCTGATGGTGATGCACCCTTTTTTCTTTGCCGCCCTGCCCCCAAGCACAAGTATCGGCCCCCCTTCTTTTCCCCTGACATCCCCACACCATCTTTGAGCCCTGGCAGGCTGCTGCCGCTGCTGCTGCTGACTCGACTGCCGAGTCACAGTGGAGGGGAAGCAGCAGCGCGGCAGGCAGGCAGGCTGCTGCCCAATACCCGACACCCTGGGACGAGGCGGCCAGCCCTGCCAAGTCAGACGGCGTCACAGCTCCATCGTTCCGTCACTCGCAGCCCGTCAGTCTGTCACGGCGCAGGTACCGTGTCCAGGCGAGACGCTGTGGTGGACTCTACAACAGCACTCCCCCCTCTTTCCCCAGGTCGGTTGCTCATCTTGGCTCTCTCCAGCCTCTGCAGATACTGGGAGCAGAAGATAATGACCTCTCACTGGTGGAGCAGCCGCTACAAGTCCCACGGCCTTATGAAACGGACCATTGACGGCTTGCCAGATCGGGATGTAAGTCATCTCTGCCACGACCAGGCTGGCCTGCGAGGAAACCAACGGCCATGAAAACGGCTGGAGGGGCTTCTTGTTGCACACACCCCCTCCCTCTCTCTGATCTCCTCTGCATGGCAGTCCGTGGCGTTGGATCAGGGGGGACCTTGACAGATGAGACTGGGCTGGGGTGTTGCTACTAGTTGCCGCTTGATATCTCATACAAGCACTCGTGCGTGGCCCGTCTCTGACCAGCATAGAGCCAATGCGAGGCTCTAGAAACATGGCAGGAAGCAGCCACTAACACATCACCTGCAGGTACGGATTCCAGGCGCCTTGCCTGCTTGTGTCCATTTATTTATAGACACAAGATGATAGTGTCATGTTAAGCATATTGCAACGACATGTGCTGGACAGCGCGTGCTCCTTCGCAGCCGAAGTGGTACGCATGCACGAGCATCTTGTTGGCTTCTTCATTCCCTTAGCGCTTAGCAAGATAGGCGTAAGCCAAGGTGCATAGATATCGACAGGTTCGTGACCTTTCGGTCGCCTCCCTGCTCATCTCTTTCTGAGACCTAATTATAGCAACTATATGACCCCGATTGGACTCCTCCTCGGAGATGATGTGACGTGTGGTTCGAGACGTTGGCGGCCGCATCTCTGGGCCCCTAATTGGCCCTTTGTCTTGTAGCCGCGGATAGCAGAGGGTGATCCCGCCGGGCCTTTGTTTTACATGACGAAGCCGCCCAGTGCAATGCCCGTCTTCTGCAGCGGAAGATACGCATCAGCCGTTTCATTGGTGCGATGCTGTCGAGCTTCTATTTATGTCCGTCCCCACAATCTCGACGTCCTTCATTTTGGGCAGAGCTTCTCCCAGTGTTCCGGAAGGACGACACCGGCTGCTTTCTGTAACGGTCATCGGACCTGTTTGCCTGGCCCGCGTCTTGGCAGATGCCGTGTCTCGAGCGTGCGAGTCGTTCACCACTGCCATTAGATTCAAGAAACTCTTCTCAAACGGTAGCAACGAATGTGCAAGTCCAGATCACAAGCATTCTCAACATATTACACTCTGTAACGCACACATTCTGCAAGCAATGGCAATACATTGTAATACTGCATGTTATCGTAAATTTGAACAGCGACCTCACTTCTTCTGCCGCTTTGCGCTCTTGTCGCTGGCTGCACTCAGCACGCTGGCACTGCGCTTTTGCCCTGTGTTCACCAGCGCAATGCCGCTGCTGCTGCTTCCCGGCCGCGAGCCCGGTACTGCCAGCCTGCCCGGGTCGCCGTCCTCTGTATCGGCATCGGCATCAGCTTCTGCACTGCCGCTGCTGCTGGTGCCGGTGCCGGTGCCGGCTGTCGTCGTTGCTGGCTTCTGATCTTCCTCTTCGGTCTTCAAGGCCACGTTGTCGGATGATCTTTTGCCGTCTTCCGTCCTGTTCCTCCTCGGTTGCCGCTCTTCAGCAGCCGTGACATCTTCCGTCTTTCCATCTGCCGTGATCGTGTCAGAAGCAGCAGACGCTTCGCCCGTCGAGATAACAGCATCAGCCTTCTTCTTATCTAATCCCGCTGCGTCTCCGCTGCTGACCCCTTCTGCCCGGGCAGCCAGCGGCGGCCGAGTCTTGTCGCGCTCCATCTTCCGCTGCTCCTCGATCTTGATCTCACTGTCCAGCTTGTCGCTGCCCTTGCGCAGGTCCACCAGCTGCACGACCGCATTGACCAGCTGCTCAAACTGCGCCGTCACCGCTGCCGTCGGCATAAACAACCGTGCTGGCATGTCCAGCTCGTTCAAGATGTTCGTGATGCGCAGCTGCTGTTGGCCGCTCTTGTGCGAAAAGAGCTTGTTAATCTTCTCGTATCGGAACGTCGGCCCGGATCCAAGTCGGTCGTGGTACGTCACGCCATACACATCTCGTTCCTGGTCAGTCAGCTTGCGCCGTTCTGCCTGTGCACCGCCCTTCTTGTTCTTCCCAGGACCCGACATCGCCGACGCTACCCCCGCTGCCGCTCCTCCTGCATCCACGTTCGCCAGGTTGACCGTGCTGGAATCGCGCCGGTGGTGGTGGTGGCCGCCTGCAGCTGATGCCGCAATGCTGTCACGCCGTCCGCCCGACTCGGCCGCTCCGCCCACTGCTGCCGTCGAGCCGGAGCCGCCAGCAGCGCCGCCGGGCATCGGATTTGCCACCTCGCCCGCTGCAAGACTCTTGCGCTTCTTGGACTTCTCGCTGTGGAACATGAGGCTCTGCAGCAGCGTGTGCAGGCCCGAGCTCGTCTTGAAGGAGCTGATGTCCGTGTCGGCGTGGGGAAAGTCGAGCCGGTTATACAGCTCGCGTCGTTCCTCGTTTGTCCGCTCGACGCGAGCCATAATACGCCTGACCTCCAGCAGCAGAGCCTCCTCTTCGCGCACCTCGTCCCGGGACCGGGTCAGCGCATTGCTGACAAACGCCTTCCGTGCCTTTTCCTGCTGCGGCTTGAAGTTGGCCATCATCCCGTGCAAATTGTACTCGGCTTGCGTCATATACTGCGCCGGCTTCTGCACTGCCATCATCTTCGCTGCAATCTCGTAGTACCGCGCTTTCAAATCCTCCATCGACCGAGACGATGCTGTGCCAGATGCCGTGACGAGTGACGTGGACGAGGAAATCGCTCCTCCAGTTCCGCCGCCGCCTGGTCGGTAGTCGTAGCGGTCCCAGATGAGCGGCCAGCGGAGATCGAAGTCCTTGACAAGTTCAAGCAGGTAGTCTGTCTCCTCCCGCGTCCAGTCCGGGTGCACCAGATTGGCATTGTACTGGTCGTCGTTGTACTGTGGCACAACCACCTTGACGTTAAACTTGGCAAACACTGAATCCTCCATGGACGCCTCTGGTGCCGGCACTAGTGCTGGTGCTGGTGCTGCTTCTAGTGCTGGCTCTGGTACTGTGCCCTCTGAGTCCACTGTGCTCCCAGGTTCCGTCTGCTGTTGTGCTGCGCCTTCGCTCGCCTCGGGTTGTCGTCGCCAGTGCCGCAGCACCAGACTTCCATCCTCGCGTGCCGAGTTCTTAAATGCCCGCAGCTCCCAGTGCGCCGTCGGCTTGCGGTTAAATATTCTCCTCTTCTTGAAGCTCGGCATCAGCTGTGGTACAATCGCGATGGGGTTCGCTCCGCCGAGGCTCTGGATTTCTCGCGCCAGACCCTTCAAGCTCGATCGCGATGCGGATAGAAAGGCCGATGATGTCCCCGTCTTCTGCTTCTTCGACGGTCGACTGGCCGCTCCGCTGCTTCCTGCGCCATCCTGGTGAAGGCTCAGCACGTCTCGCACGTCTGACGATGACATATTCGATGGCCTATCGATGGATCACGGTTCGTTGCTGTCTAGCTGTTCAAATGCGCCGACTTCGCTCTCTGGCCCGTCTATCTATCGCATCCGAGTCGTGAAACGGGAGGCTCCTACGCACGTACGAAGGCACCCATTCTATGGCGGCACGGATAGCAGAAGAAAAGAGCGGCGTTAGGGGGATAAAAGTATGTATTGTCGTCGTGCATCGACTCTTGTAGAAAATAATTCTGCAATCGCGTTTAATGATTACCCCAAACGTGCACGTGATGCCATGAGGCAGAGCTAAAGCTTTTAGTGTGCTTCGCCCCTATAACTGCACGCTCAAGAGGTAGTCCAATCAAGCGCGTGTCCTCGTCGTCGCGGATGTATAGCTTTGCACGTGATTGCTCTACGGCCAACGAAGTCCCTTTTTTCGAACGTGGCAGCTTGGGGACATTTCTGCAAGAGCCAGCGCGCGACAACTCTGACGGCATTATTGTGATCTGCCACCTCGACGACCCTCTCTTCCGCCATTTCTTGCTGGAGCCATCCCCAGCCAATTGGCCAATCCTTCCGTCGAGCCCGAGGAACGAAGACAGACGGCCCGCCGCACCCACGAGCGCCCGCAAACGCAGCAGACAAAACACAGCAGCCACGATGAAGGCGATTCTCCCTCTGCTGACGCTGGCCAGCGCAGCCAGCGCTTTGCACTTGTACATTGACAACACCAAGCCCAAGTGCTTCTTCGAGGAGCTGCCCAAGGACACCCTGGTGGTCGGACATTACAATACCGCCGAATTTGACGATAGAACCAACAGCTGGCAACAGCATGACGGCATCAGCACCTATATCTCGGTCGACGTAGGTTCTTGTCTTTCTGCATCGGACACACGCCCGTATGCGCGTGCCTTCTCACCATGCTCGAGCTGACAGGCTGCAAATATGGTAGGAGACCTTTGACAATGACCACCGGGTCGTCTCGCAGCGCGGCGCTGCCAACGGCCGCTTCACCTTCACCGCCGCCGAGGCTGGCGAGCACAAGATCTGTTTCACGCCCAACTCCAACAGCGGGCGGAACGGCGGCGTCAAGTTGAACCTCGACCTGGCTATCGGCGAGTCTAGCAAGCTCGAGAGCACGGACAAGGGCAAGCTCGAGGACCTCGAAGGCCGCCTGCGCGATCTCAACTCGCGCCTCAACGGCATCCGACGCGAACAGGTGTTCCAGCGCGTGAGTTCATCTCCCTCTCTTCTGCCCAGTCTTCTGTCTCTCGTTCTGACAACCGCCCTCGTTCCCAGGAACGCGAGGCTGATTTTCGTGATCAGTCTGAGGCTACCAACGCCCGTGTCATCCGCTGGATCGTTATCCAGCTTGTCGTGCTCGGCGTCACCTGCACTTGGCAGTTGTCACACCTGCGGTCCTTCTTCATCAAGCAAAAGCTCACCTAGAAAAGACACGATTGGAATCTGGGTTCGTCGGTAGGCTTGCTTCGGGGGTTAGATACAAAATAGTAGGGGGGTTCGTGAAGGAACTGTACATAACCAACTGGTCTTCTTCAAAAAAAATCCCGAATTTGTTATTGTAGTGCTACGTCGATACTACAATACAAAACGAGACACGTCTTTCTTTTCCTCAAATGAATGTTTAGTCGATTCGTCTATGCTTTTCTGGCTTTGGCTATCTTCAAAATGAGAAATGAAATCTTGACTCTTTCCCACCCCACAATATTAATACGACGATACAAAAACATGACAGTATAAGAACAAAACGAACTGCCAGACCCAATGCAATATCCCTTTAAAAGCATACTTCCCTGGCGCCGTGCTGCGCGATTGATTGGTCGAAAATCGAAGTTGATCCTGAGCTCATCAAAGAAATAAAGCCGTGACATGTTTTTGTTTCTTTCTTGCCACTTTTGTTCTCGCTGTTCGGACTCTGCAGTCAGGCAGCACGGCCCTGTTTGACTCCGGATCTGCGTGTCTCTGACATATGAAGGACCAGAGCGAGTATAGAAACAGACGGATCTGGTCAAGAGACAGAAGCGATGCGTGATTGCACCGGATCGGTTTCCATTTCTCCTTCCCCTTCTGGAGACGACAATATGTTGATGGCAACTGCTCGGGACAAGCCTGATTCGATTCTTCCCCAGTAAAAAAGAGAGACAAAGAGAGAAAAAGAGAAATTCGCCTGCCACCGTCTATCTCTCAATCAGTGCCAAGCATTCCCAGGTGCAATGTACCGGCAGCGGTAGAAACTTCGGGAAGTTTGAAGACCGCGCAAATTGGGGAGGAGGCACGAAAACGAGGAGACAGAATCATGTGAGAACATGCGGTGGTAGTAAAAGCGACAGTGTAAAGTGTATGGGATGACCCCTCAGCCGGTGAAGTCCTTCAATCGGTCAAGGGGCCGGGTATCACCGCAAATTTAGCCACAGCAAACGGCCTTCATGAACTTCTGGAAGCCTGTGGGCTGCGGCTCGGGAGCACGACTGTTGGGCACAGCAGCTGGCGGCGGTTGCGGAATGCTGCTCGGATCAGCGGGGCGAGGCAGGTTTTGAGTACTGGTCTGGAACTGAGCCTGGGTTGAACCTGCCGGCGTGTTCATGTCGCGAAGACCCCCGGCTCCGCTGCTCCCCCTCGTCGGCAAGGTGGCGACGGGGGCGCTTTGCCGATCTTTCCTGGTACTCGGTTTGATCGGTGAAGGAGGCGGGGGCTGTGCGGCGTTTAAACGGTCGGCAGTCAGACGGGCACGGGGATCGTTCTGGTGAGGCGTACCGGTGCCGCCGCGAGAGTTGGCGTGGAGCTCGATGTTGGACGGGCCCGGGCGCTGGTTCGGGTTGTGCAGGCGGTCCCATTCGGGCTTCTTGGAAGTTTCCTTGCCAACCTTGAGCCAGTCATACTCGCCGTCCTCAACACCACCGGTGTCCTTCAGAGCCTGGGTGAAAAGGTCGCGCAGGTAGTCGTAGTCGGGGGTGTCCTCGAAGCCAAGATTGCGCACATAGGTCAAGTACTTCTCGAACTGCAGGGGGAAGCCCTCGCAAAGATCCTTAATAGCAGTCGTCTGCTTCTTCTCGCCAATCTTTTCGTACTTCTGCTTGTTTGTAGCAGCCTTCAGACCTTGCCACGGCAGGCCACCGCGAAGGAAGTACATGAACACATGGCCCAAGGCCTCCAGGTCATCACGTCGTGATTGCTCGCGACCAAGATGCGTGTTAATGCTCATGTAGCGGGCCGTTCCGGACAAGGACTTGCGTTCGCGATAAGGAATGTGCTGCTTGGTCTTGGGGTCGCGGTACTGCTTGGCCATGCCAAAGTCAACGACATGGATGACATTGGCAGCCTTGGTGCCTGGCCGGCCAATAAGGAAGTTGTCGGGCTTGATGTCACGGTAGATGAGGTTCTTCTCGTGGATCGTCTGGACACGGGAGAGCTGTTGCTAGTGTTAGAATACCATGATTAACAAATGGAGCCAGGGGCTGGCACCGTACCATCTGCTTTGCAACCATCACCACGGTCTTGATAGTGAATCGCCGGTTGCAGTGATCAAACAAGTCTTCCAACGAAGGGCCGAGCAGATCGATGACTAGGATGTTGTGGAGACCCTCCTGACCGAAGTAGTAGACATTGGGGATACCGGCTAGCGAAATGATAGATTAGCATCAGGTTATCGACGTAGTCCGAATGGATTGCAGCAAGACCAAAGAACTCACGGCAGCCGACGAGAATCTTGTACGTGCGGTATTCATCTCGAAGTTGGGGGGCGTCACTCTTCCTAGGTTCCTATGGGGTGGTTAGAGAGCGGGTAATCGGAGTGGTGATGGGCAAGCGAGATGGAAAGCATGTCGAAGATGGAATGGGATGCGACATACGAATTTGATGGCGACCTGCTGGCTGTTTAACAAGTTGGTGCCTTCGAAAATGACACCAAACGAACCCTCTCCGATTTTCTTGCCGACGCGGTAGTGCACGCCGACGACGTTTGATGACGATGAAGCCATTTTGGTTGGATCGGTGTCGGTGGCGGCCGCTGGGGGTCACAGCTAGCCAAGGTAACGAGGCGCGATGACAACGAATACGGCGAGCTCGACGAGTCGGACTAGAACGCCAAGGGGTCACCGACTCGAAGGACTCTGTTGTGGCAATTGGGAGTAAGGGAAGGAGAGACGGAGGGAGGGAAGGAGAGGGAAGGAAAGAAAGGAGAGGAAGAAGAGAAGAAGAGGAGGATGGGAAAAAGGAGTAAGAGGAAAAAGGAGAGTAAAGCAGAAGTACCAGTAAGGCAGGATACGATAAAAACTAGGCGAGGCCGCAATTTGGGGGGGGGGGGGGGGGGGGGGGGGCGGGTAGTAGTCTGGTGTGTCTGTTGTGGGCAGCAAGCTACCTGTGGCGTCGTATTATGGACTATTACCGAAATAGACAGGGACTGTGGTAGAAGGTGGTTGGCTGGCTTGAGGTCGAGAATTATGGGACAGGCGGTCAAGAGGGGAAAGGCGGCATTCCTTACTGGCCTTGCAGGATGCAGAGAGGCACGGGAGAACGGCAACGGTCACGAGGAGAGACGAGGGGGAGCGAGACATGGGTTAGGAAGGGCGAAGAAGACGAGAGGAATACTTGCGACGTTAACGGCGAGAAAAGAAGGACGGACGAGACAGAGAAGGAAAAGGAGAGGAAGCGCTGCAGGAAAAGGGAGAAGGGGCGACGACAGCAATGGCAGGCCCCCAACAATAGCGGCTGGGGCCAACAGATTAGATTTTTATGGGCTGGACCATTAGGTACCTTGCAGTGGCAGGTAGCGCTATGGGTGCTGGCACGGGCTGGGTGGTTCAGGGCAACAGAGCTAGCAGCGGGCAGGATACGGAGTAAGAGTGGCTAGCTGCCATGGCACGTCGAGTACAGATGATTGGCGAGCTATCACTTCGGGCTCTTGCCTTGATGCTTTGCTCCTCCCAACCTGACGCGTTCCAGCGGACACACGTCTGCACTTGTACGAGCAGAGCAGCAGATTCCTATCTACAATGTCGTCGCACCTTCCTATCTCTGACCGAGTGACATGGAGACATGGCAATTGTGCACGGCAAGGCCAGGAGGGAAAGGGGGAAAGAGGGCCGCCAGGTGGAGTCGGCCGAGGAATTGCAGGTGGGCCTCTCCTTTTGGCGCAGCGGATTGCGTATTTTACTGGGGAGGCCAGAATAATGAAGAGAGAGGCCATCGAGTCAGCAGGACAAGGCGTGTCTGAGCAGCGCCAGCAAATGGAGAGACGGCACGCGGCCGACGCCCCCCAAAGCAGCAGCTGCTTACCGTCATCGCCGTGCCATCATGCTGTGGCGGCCACAGCATTGGGCGCGACAAAGAGGCCATGTCTCAGGCCTGTCCGGTCGTCCATTGAGCTGTCGTATTGATTATCGTAAGATGCGCAGAAGGGTTTTCTTTGCGTCGCGCATGGAATACGAGCCTCGAAGGCCGTCCAGTGCCTGCATCCTCCCAGCCGCAACACCGCAGGTCCACCCTGCCCGTACGGACCATCTTGAGATCATCGGCCAACCCTGACAGCAGAGCCAGACGAGTCAGGCCAGGTCTGTCGGGTGTGCGCGAGGCTGTGCAGCGCTTTCTCGCCGTCGGCGACAAAGAGGCCAGGCACGAGAAGGCAGGCTGGAGCGGGCTAGAAGAGACGACTTCTTTGCTTCTTGCCACCCGACTCTAAAATAAGGAGCAGAGCAGCAACGAAAAGGAGACCCAGGGCGGCAAGCCCTTCCAACCGCCCCGGCGAGCTGCAATGGGCGAGAAAAGCCCAGAATCCGACTGGGCCTTGCATGCGCGATACCCCAGTTCAACGCTACATGCCTACCAATGCAACCAAGCAACCAGTCCCCCACATCTCTGCAGCGTTAGCCGTGCAAAGCTTTGGAGTACGGAGTACGGAGTGCGCAGTAAGATACATGCTATGTAGTATCTTACGTACTCCCTTCTTGCGAGAGAATGAGGGAATGGGAGAAATGAGGACGGGGCGGGAACAGGAGAAGACGCGTAGCATTTGACAAAGGCAGAGCATGAACAAGAAGCAGGCCGGCCAGACCGTCGAAAGCCCCGTTAGCTCTGCCAGCTGTCTGCCGCCTCCCGATTGGACCAGCCAGGCTACTATGCAAGATAGTAAAGCAGCACACATTGTCAGAAGCTATGGCATCGTCGTACAGCAATGCTCAACCGTACTCGAAACTCGGACAAACGACAGTTTCACTTTTCGGCCCTGCAGCGGCAGCCCTGCAACAGCCCTCCTTTGTCCGAGCACACCGACATTACGAGACTCCGTAACGATGGCCCAACCACTTTTCAGTGGGCCGTTATTGGCCGTCCAAAATGTGAAACTAGCCGCCTGGCTGTCGATTTGGGCTCGACGAAGGGCCTGGCTCTCCGTCTGTCAAATTTGATCTCTCCTCCACAGTAAACGTTTTTTGGCTGCAGGTTGCTGACACAGTTCTGACCAAATGCCAGTGTCTCGTACATACATACTGTGCGGAAGCACTGTGCTTGACATCCGTTCGTTTTCGTATCGTACGTGATGTCTGACAGTACAGGTTTCCTTGAAAGCTACCTTTCTACCCGTATACTGGACGACCTGCATGTTGCCATTCGCTCGTCCCACATCTCTTCCCTTTGTATACAAAAAAAGTGTGTGTGTTAGTGTGTATACATGGAATCCTATGGCCAGCCTCTTCCCCCTTCCTTCCCCCAAAAAGAGCCCGTACACAAACAGTTAAGATACAAAGAACAAAGAACGGAGAAACAAAAAAAAGACAGGTACTTTCTTCAGGACAGCTTGTTCTCCAGTAAGTCTAAGTCAGGAGAACATCCATTACCCTGGTCGTACGCAGACCCGCAGACCACCAACGCCGTATTGCTCCAGCCTTTTTTCAGCCTTTCAGACTTTCAGTCTTTCCTGTCGTGTGCATCCTCTCTTCTTTTTCTTTCATCACTCCGCCCTTGCATTACGACGACCGTTCTCCGAAGAGCTTCTTCCCATTCGCCTGTGCCACTGGTGCCTTCGCGCCCTCTCGGTCAACCGTCAAGCGGTCCACCTCGGCCTGGCACGCCTTCTCGGCCGCCTCCACGGCTGCTCGACACCAGTCATCCAGCCGGCACTTGTCAATGTACCGCCGGAGCAGCGTGTCCTCCTGCCGCATCGCATCCAGCATCTTCTCGCGGAACGCGTCCTCCAAGTTGGCAAAGCGCGCCGTCGTCGCCGGATCGCCGCCGTCTGTGTAGACGCCCAGGGCCTCGGATGGCTTAACCACTGCATATGAGATGGAAGCGTCGAGTTTGTCTGCACCCAGTTAGCATCCGGCTCCTTCGAACAGATCCATCCCCTCACCACTCTGGAACTCACGCTCAATGCACAGCGCGTACGCCGTCGTGTATACTGCTGTCATCGCCAGCACAGCTGCCGTCGACTCGTCGTCCTGCAGCTGTGTGTTGTTGATCTTAGTCCAGTCGTCCCGCGCAAAGCAGCGTCGCCAGATCAGCCGCTGAGCCTGCTGTCGCTCCTCGCCGTCGCGCAGACCTCCGTAGGCTACTTGCAGCGCCAGATAGAAGACATCCTGATCAACCGGCACCTCGTCACGACGTGCATCCATCAACGTCAGCACGTCAATCAGCCCAAACGCATCTAGCGCCTCGTGTCGCAGTAGCCGGCTCAACCCGTCTTCCAACACGTGTAGCAGCGCCTTCTGTCGCTTCGGGATCCGTCCTGCGTGCTTCTCCATCGCCAGCTGCAACTCGGCTCCCTCGTCCACTGCCGCCTCGATCGACGGCAGCACCCAGCTGTACACCAGGTCTTGGATCTTTATGATCCCCAACTGCCGGTCCACCTGAGCGATGCTGCCCGCTGAGGCTGCTGCTTCGGTCGGTGCAGCTGTCGTCAGTGTCGCCATGGCCGTTGTTAGCGCCGCTGTCGGCCCCTGTTCTGCCAACAAGGCCAGCTTGCCCAGGCTCAGCTCGATCTTCTTGTTCCATAGCCGCTGCTCCCGGTCCATGCCCAGCGTCAGCAGCGTGCCGGCCGCCTTCTCCACGTCGCGCTCACGCTCCACGTCGTTGATCCACGAGATCTTGGCCAGCTCCGGCTTTGACCGCAGATACTGTGTCGCGAATCCGATCGTGTCGCCCGGGAAGTCCAGCACTGCCTTGATCCCGTCGTCGCGGAGCAGAATGTCGTACACGGCAAAGGCAAACGGCCGTCCGTACTCCACAAAGCACTCGGCTATCCGCTGTTCCTTAGCGAGCGCTGAGGCACGCTTCTCCGTCGCCCGGCTGGTGCCCGCGTCCACCGTCATCGCGTCGCTGCGCAGCTTGCGCACCTCTTCCACCATGATCTCGGCTAGCGCCGTGATCGAGTTGTGCTTCCTGGCCACCGCGATGGCGTCGTCCCAGAGCCCGTAGTTCTTGAGCCGGTACACCTTGGAGTAACGGTCCTCAGAGTACGTCTTGGAGCAGCGGTCGCCGTATAGACGCTCAGACTCAGCCTCGCGCGTCTGCGTCCACCGGTAGTGCTCCTGCAGTGCCAGCAGGTAGCGGTCTGTCAAGCTTGGCAGCGCCTCTCGTATCGACTCGATCAGCCCTGGGTCCGGTGCCGCTGCGGACGTTACCTTGTTCGGGTAGAACTGGTCGAGCCAGTTGCAGCAGAGATCCACCAGCCGCTTCGCATTGTTCGTAATAAAGTATGTCGATGTCCACGGCTCTGGCAAACCTTCGTAACCCTGCACGAGAATGCCAGACTCCAGGTCCTCCTTCTCCAGCCCGTAGAAGCTGAGATGGTCCACGCGGTACTTTGCCGACCCGTTGAGCGCACCAGAGTTGACTTGCACGCCCTCGTACATGAGTCGCGTCACGCCACGGTCGTCTAGTAGATGGTCTTTGTACACGTACTTGATCACCTCGTATGCCCACGCGATGAACAGGTCCATGCGCCAGACGTCGTTGACGAAAAAGTGCCGCACGCGATCCACCTCGCCAACCTCGCGGTTGGGATTCTTCTTCTCGTCCTCGTGGATGTACTCGACAATCTCCGAGACAATCGTCTTTCGCTCGAGCGTCTTGCCGTCTGCGCGGTCCGTGAGGAACTGCTCGTGCAAAAACCACATCGCCGACGCCGTCGCCATCTTTTCCGCGTCCCACAGCAGCCGCCAGCGCACGCGGCGGCTGAGCCGGACGTGCCGCGCGCTCAGGTGCTTCACGAGTCTGGAGAGGTAGTTTGCACGTGTCTGCAAATTGCTCTCGAGCGACGCTGGCACCTTGGGCGTAAACGACGTCTTCGAGCCGAGGATGTCGCGGCTCAACTCCATGGCCGCCTCGCCAATTTCGTGGTCAGAGAATGGCGACGGCCGCTTGCCATCAAAGACCAGCGGGTTGTCGTCTTTGATGCCGAAAAAAACCGCCTCCTCTAGCTTGCTCTTCGCCGTTACCTCAGGAGGTCTGTCGCTGATGAAGCGATCGACATCTATCGTGGCCAGACGGACCACGCCGACGCCGCGCACAATCAGGACCGCGGCCGGGTTTTTTGTCTTGTGACGATGCAGGCGCGATGCTACAGCGCCGGCACCCGGGCCGTCCAGTTCGGACGAGCCATTGCCCATGGGCTCCTCAACACCCGAGCCGACGATTTCCAGCGTGCTGTCGCTGCGAAAGTCGACCACGTCCTCGAAACTAGCAGGGAGGTGCCTATCCTCGCCCTGTAGCTGAGAGTCCGGAGTCTCGGGAGGCTGCGCAAGCGATGCGATGACAACTGTCTTGTCGAGCACAACGTAAGCAACAACGGCCGGTCTGGGAAGATACACACGGGGGCGCTGCTCGGCAGATGGCTGGTGTGTGGTAATCGGAGACGTGAGAGACGTGATCGGTCGAACCATGCCCACCTGGGCGACATCGTGTGAGATGATGAGCTCGATGAGGTAGTATGGTGTGCGCGTCTTTCGTGGCAGGGCGACCAACAGTAGGAGCTGATGTATGGAGGAATCGTCGGACTCGGTGAAGTTGCTAAGACGGACAGCATCAGTGTACTTGTGTTCGATGCCCTTGGGCACAAAGGTGAAGTCGACAATCTCCAGGGACTCGGCTGCGAAGCTGTCCACGCTGGCGTCAAACTGACAGATAGCACTAATGATTGGCTCCCGTGCGTCTGTGTCGAGAACAGTGTCATAACTGCCTCCGCGGTGGACCTTCCAGGCGCTGAACTTGCCCTTGGAATTGGCGGCCAACACGGTGCGCTCACCAATCCTGAAGACAGGGCCTGCCCGAACGGCAACCACGTCCTCTCTGGCAGCGGACTGCTTCAGCGCGTAACGAATGCTACCGAAGAAGCCAGTCGAGACGGCGCTCATCCCGGCGCTCCGCAAGAATTGCACCGAGATGGCCGGCCGACCATGCGCATCCCGCACATTCATGCAGGCGAGCCGGCCGCTGCTGGTCAGGAGAATGAAGCCAGCAGGCTCGGCGTTGATGATCTCGGTCACATACTCAGTCGAGGAGATGCCGGGAATGACGTCTTCGACGCCAGTTCGCTGTTGGCGCAAGAAGTCCAGTGTGGCCGCGCTCGAGATGGACTCCCAGTAGCTGACTTTGCCGGTCATGGGCATGATGACAATCAGGCCGGGCTCTTCAGATGACGCAGACGGAGCCACGAGGGCGCCGAGAGGAAGGGGATCGGACGCGTGTCTTGACGGATAGGGTAGCGCGAATGTGAAAGTCTCGGGGGATGGGCTGTTCGCGGTATAGGGCCAGACGATGGCGTGGGTGTGTGTGAGGCTGACGGCATAGCCGTTGGCTGAGTAGATGGATCCATGTTGAAAGCCTGTGACGGTTAGATGGGTAGTGGATTCGTCTTGAACGTCTGCAGCCGTATAAAGTCGCGTCGAGAGAGGAGACTCACTACCGGGTTCAGCCCGAAGCCTGTCTGGTAGAGCGGGCAGCTTGCCCTCACTGTGTACGCGCTGTTGCCGGCCTTCACGATATGTTAGCCGCGTCGGCTATGAGGGAGAGAGATGGGGAACGTACCAAGACAATGCTTCCGTCGCCTTTGCTGATCCGCTCGCCGGCCTTGGACTTTTTGGAGCGAACGCTGAGCTCCTTCTTGGGTGCGGCCTGGACGGGCGGCAGGGCGTTTTCGATGCCGTCACGCTTCACGGTCATCATGGCCGCCTTGTCGGCCTTGACCTGGAACATCTCGGGCGCGACTTCGGGGTTGCGAAAAGTCTGCTCGCTCAGGGGAAGGCGCTGGCGCTTAGCCTTTGGTTGTTGGTGTATGGTATCGGATGTGATGGGCCGCTGCCGCCGCCGGCTGCGCGTGGCCGTGGCCGGGCCTCCTTCAAGAGGGGAGAACATGTTTGCGATGTGCTATGGTAGTTGCCAGCTCGACAGAGCGGTGTGAGAGATGTCGTTCGGTCGTTGACTGTCGACGACAGGCCGATGACCGATGGCCGAAAGCCGTTGGTCAGGGGGGTAAGGGATGCGTCAAAGCAATCGCGAGATCTCGGGTGACGTCGACGATGGGCGCGGATGAGATTTCGCGATGACGGACAGGGAGATGGATATGACCGTATCCGTTGACGACGAGGAAAAAGCGCAGGCAAAAAGACGGTCCGACGAATTTGATGCAAAGATGCGGCTCGCGATGCAAAGTGGATGGTGTTGTTATGCAGATGCGGATGCAGAAACAAAGGAGCTAAAGAGGAGATTGGGTTGAGAAGTGCGTGTGTGTGGCCCAGCGAGGCGGAAACAGCTGGCCCGATGACATTTGACAACGATTGTGCAGGGCCTTTTTTCTGTCTGCCTCTTACGGTCCGCAAGATCGATTTTTTGACTTTGTATTTTTGTATTTTTTTTGCTGTATTTTTTTATTTTGAGGCGGAACCTCTATTCAACTCTGCTCTGCTACTGGTCAGCTCGCTGCTGTATTGAGCTTGGTCTTGCTGTCGTGGACAACACATTGAAATCCACTAATTTGCTCTGAGCGCGGGAAGAGCTAATCCCTATTTGTCCAACCACGTAAGACCCGACCAGCCCATAGAGGCAGGTACCGTTTCACCGCCCTGTTCCTTGCCCAGCTTAAATGTATCTTAAGACAGCATTTCGTTTGAGGCAGCGCATTGCGAGAGTTCGCATACCTGCTGAGTCTGTCCGAAACATTGTTGAAGGCTATTTATTACGAGTAGAACAATGATAAACTTACGCACTGTCATACGCTGCGAGCCCTTGGGGGGATTACGACAATACTAGGCGGCTGTTAAGCGCATCATCCATTGAGTGGCAGCATTTTATTGTTGGGAACAAGTGACATCATCAGTCAAAACTATGTCAGCCGAGCCTGTAGAGGAAAGTCGTCGGAGATCGCAATGCCACGACAACGCTAAAGGATGAGCACGAGCATTCAAGCAAGTAAAACTGGATAGGCATGCCTGATTCAAGACCAAGTAGCCCAAAGCACCACAAGTAGTAGTCCCTATAACATGTATGGCGAGCCTTAGTGACCAAACACTTCAGGCTGCAGAATCGGTCCTCTCCTTGAATAGTAAGGAGGCGGTACAGGAAAGCGTCAGAATTTCGTCAGTCTTGTGTTTATACATTCATAGCAGTCGTAATGTTGTCTATTTACTTGTTTATCTTCACATTGTGTTTTCAACGCTCCTCGCAGACAAGGTCCCATTTTCCGGCTTTGTCCCTACCACCTGCTTTGATCCCGCCATGCAATCGAGATAGGGCAGTTCTGTCTGAGGAACGCAGGTGGCACGGATGAGCATCAGTACTGACAGCCCGTCGCGCGGTGTGACGTTGCATCAGTTTCTCTGGGTGCTTGTAGTGGCGTGAAAACCAGTCTTTGATACTGGAGTTCAGCCCGAGTCCCAGGACCAGCCGTTCGGCACGGCTTAGTGCAATGTGGCGGGAGCTGAAGACCGGCTGGGGTACAAAGCGTTGTCGCGGCTTAGCCGGAGAGGGCCAGTAGACAGTGTCGCGCGGCCCGGTAGGGCTCAGCTCGGTATATATGGCAAGATGCCCAGAAGACTCGTGGTACAGCCGCCCAGAGAATCAGATGGTGTCCAGGTTCTAGTGCAACCAGCTTATGCGATGCTGACGCCTGGCATCCAGGCCTCGCCGATGCGCTGCATGTCTCCGTCGAAGCGACGGCTGGTGATCTTCTTCCCTCCATGACCTGAGGGTGGCGAGTGTTCGTCGGGATCGAAGAAGGGGTTCTGGAGCAGCCGTACAAAGGCGGCCTGCATGGCCTTGAAGACCTGAGATAGGGGGTCAGTGAGAGGACTGGAAGGCAGGGAGGCATGGAGGAGTGAGCTATGCAGCAAGACGTACGGGCTTCAGGTCTGTTTCCCGCAGTCCGGTCACGCTGCCTCCCAGCGACATAGAGTTGCGATTGCCGGCAGAAGCTGAGCCCGAGCTTGCGCCCGTTCCAGAGCTCGGGGTGGCGGCGACGAGGTTGCCGCCCAGGACGGAAGCGCGACGACCGCGCATATCGACGACAGCCACGAGCTTGATCCCGGTATTTGTCTCGTAGCCGTAGGCGGCCAGGCGGTCGTCGAGGGCGTGCAGCAGCAGCAGCCCGTTGGCGTCGCTGGCGCCGCTGAGGCCGGCGCTGCTGGAGCCGGTGGTCTTGGCAGTGACGGCGGCAGCGGAGCGCACGGCAAAGATGTCGAGCGTCCCGCAGATGATGAGCGAGAACTGGAGGGGCGTGCGGACGGGCACGAGGCTGTTGGTGGCCGCGTCGTAGGAGGGAAAGACGGAAATATGGAGGGGGTTATTCTAGGGGGACGTCAGCTTGCTGCTTTTCGGGAAGTCCAGTCTCCCTGCTATTTTCAGAGTCCGCCTTACGTTTCGTCCGATCACGCCCAGACAGGCAATAGACGGGATGGTGGACGCCATGGTGGAGGGCGGGGGGCGAAGCGTTGCGATGGATATCGAGTCGAAGTGAGGTTGGAGAAGAAGAAGATGAATTGGCGGTATTGAAACGAGTTGTTGAGAACGGGACGGCCCTACTCAGACACAGCTGGCTGACGCTAACTTGCCAAGCGGACACAAAATGCTGTTAGCGGGCTCGGCCGCTGAAAGAAGCCCCTGGCGTGCTGTGGGAGGTTTCTGTCTTCAGCGCGTGTGGGCCGAATCGTGGCCGTGATTGGTTGCGAAGGCCTCGATTTCTTCGCTAAAGGGCTCCGCTTTCGGCCAAAACAGAAAATCGATTCAACAAAATATTATTCAATGTCTGCAACGAGGTTCGCAGGCGGACAACCAGGGCGCCCCCGAACCCTGTGATCGAGGCCGACAAGACGGATGGGCGAGGGATCTCGGAAAACGAACGATTGAGGCATCAAGACGATCATCCCAGACGGACAGCCCCCCACATCTTCTTCCGCACTGCATCCCGCTCGCTTACAGCCTACGCAGCCTTCCCGTAGCCTCGAATCCAAGACGGAAACCTCTCCGACTTTTCTCTCCTCGGTACAATGTCTGTCTCCAAGGCACCGCAGCAGCAGCCCAGCCTGCTCTGGCGGACTGCGTCCACGGCCGTCATGGCCACCACCGGCTTGATCTGCCGCACCTTTCTCTACGGTCTCAGCAGCGTTGAGGTCCACGGCCTGGACAAGTTCCTGGCTCTGCTGGACTCACGGCGCGACATTGAGGCGCGGCAGCGGGGGCTCATCACTGGTGGGTAGTTTCCATCTGTCTCATCCTGTTTAATCTTCTGCTGACATGGACAAGTCTGCAACCACGTATCTGTGTAGGTGTCGTGTCTTCAGGCACATAATGTACCACACCCACACAATCACCCACACACACAACTGACCGGCCTGCAGCCTCGACGACCCGCTCATCTGGGGCGTCCTGCCGTGGCGGTACACCCTGGACCACCGGAACCTGCGATGGGGCCTCGGTGCCCACGACATCTGCTACAAGAACAGGTGAGTGTCTCGGATTCTGGTCATGGCCTCGATCATCTCTGCTCATACAGCTGCCGGCAGCCTGCTGGGCCACTTCTTCTACAGTGGCCAGACGCTGCCAACACACCGCCTGAACCACTCACCGCTGGGCGGTCTCTTCCAGCCGACCATTGAGCAGGCCGTGGGCGTGCTCTCGCTGCCGTCATCGACGCCGACGACGACGACAACAACGACAAAAATGTCCGCCACCGCCATGGCGCCCTTCTTTTCGACCAACGGGGTCGATCGCTGGCCATCGCCGGCCTCGTTCGCTTGCAACCGACCCGGTTGGGTGCACATCTTCCCCGAGGGCGCCGTGCACCAACAACGCGACCGCGGACTCCGCTACTTCCGTTGGGGCATCGCCCGGCTGATTCTTGAGAGCGAGCCAGCCCCCGAGGTCGTGCCCATGTTCATCGACGGACCTGACCGCGTCATGCCCGAGGACCGCGAGTTTCCCCGCTTCCTGCCGCGTGTCGGCCAGCATATCCGCGTCGTTTTTGGCGACGCCCTCGGCTCCGACGCCTTTGCCGAGGAACGTGCGCGCTGGCGCAAGCTCGTGGCTGCCGGCGGTGCCGACGCCCCCTCGGATTCCTCCACCGAGTCTCCCGCTGCCGCCCTCCGCCGAGAGGTCGCCATGCGCGTCCGCGACGAGGTCCTCAAGCTGCGTCGCCAGCTCGGTTACCCCGACGAAGACCCTGCCCTCGGTCTCGCCGAGACCTGGGCCCGCGAACCCCATTTGAAGCGTTATCGCAGCCATATCGATGACAGCCTAGTCAACCAGGAGTAAAGACGGCGGACCGGAACATCTCACATATTTGCTTGTTGGCGTTTGGTATACAAAAAAGGAGGGGGCCGGCCCTGAAATGGGCTGCAGAGAAGCTGCACCATGCATGTATGGTATTGATTTATATGCGTATGGCAACATATTCGTAGACTTATCGTACGTCCTGTCGACCACGACTATTCAACACCTCCTGTGGTACATGTCCGCATGTATTGTGAGTCAAAAGGAGAGACTACGTCCCATTGGCCTTCTCTTTTGGGCATCCCCTGCCAGCCATGCCGGCTTGCCCTCATGGCGTCAGCTATCTTCCGCGCTTGCTGCATGCCCAGCTTCGCCCACACCATTTCGACCACGGCCAGTGCCCATCGCCACTGAGCTTCGGGCACCCCACGCCCACAGCCAGCCGCCTGCAGGTGGAATAGCAATGGCGGCATACCCACCGCCCCGGCGCCGGCCTTGCGCGGCGGGACCGTTGTCGGCGCTGTCAGCGCGTCGTAGACCTCTCTTGGCACGCGCGGGTGTCGCCAGAATGTGGGCGTGCTGACCAGAATCCCCTCGGCCATGCGGCGGATGACCCGCAGGAGATGCGCCCGCAGGCAGTCAAAGGTCTTGTCTCCTGTGTCTGGGTCGTCTTGGTTGCCATCGATGTCAGAGCTTCCTGGTCTCCCTGTTCCCACTGGCACACGCATCGCCGCCTCTGCTGACTGTGGACATTTCTCCGCCATGTCCAGCAGCAGCTCGCTATTCAGGATCCGCACCCATCTGTAGTAGCTCCACATACGGGCTGTCGGCATGTCGGCATAGCGGTAGAAATGCCCGCCGAAACAGGCATCTGGCGGCAGCACCGTCGTCTGGCACAACTCCATTTGCCATTGCTTGGACGTAAGTACACTGCGCTCCCATGCAGACAGCCGTGCATCCAGCTGTCGTGTCTTTGCTATCAAGGTAGTTGTTGATGCCATATTATCTGCAATCACGTGACTCCTCACGTGCGCCGACAGATTGACGAAGCCAGCCGCCACCACCAACAGCTCTGTGATCGCTCGCTCATTCGCCGGTACGTTGCGCGACCCAGCCGTGACGTAGTCGAGGACAACTGGTGGCATGCGAGCTCCCGTCGCATAGCATGGAATTAGCTAGAAGAGTGAGCGAAATGCGATCCAGAGGGGGTTTCAGAGCGGCGCCCCGTATAATTCGTACCAAGGAAAAGCAATACTGCATCAGACTCCGGAACGGCTGTGCCGCCGGTGGTAGCAGCGGCAGGAAGTTGCGCATAAGCGCTGCGGCGCCCTTGACATGTACGCTGGCAATATCAAACGACTCATTGTCGCCCCGGACGACCTGTATAGAATCGGTCAGCACAGGTCGGATCCCTCAACTTCAGCATCCCCATGCCCGTTAGCTCACCTCGAACATGGCCATTAGTACAATGCCACGTATCGTTGTCTCCATATCCTGCAGCCGCGCGCTCATCAGCGACTGGTTCGTCTGCCGCAGTCCAGACAGGTAGTGCTGTCTCGACACGTCCCGTAGCTCCTTGTCGCCAGTCAGGTTAGCCATAGCCACGAGGCCTACAGCCGACACGAGCGAAGTCGTCGCTGGCTGGAACAGCCATGGGTACTCGATCGCGAGCAGCGCCGAGTCTGATGGCTCATGCGCCTGTCCGTACATGTAGCTGCCAATGTAAAAATGCAGCCCGCGCTCGGCCATCGTTGTCTGCGGTCCCACCGCCAGAGGACAGGGCTTGCGGCCCGATACAATCGCGAGGTTATCCGGCGTCTGGGACAGGCGCCTGCTCTCCCTGTTTGTCTCCACTAACCATGCTATGGCCCTCTCGTCTGTTCTGTCGTCTCCGTCTTCTTCCTTGACCAAGGGCCTGTCAACCTGGTTGGACCCGCTGCGAGACGTGGTTCTTGGCCACCGTCCCAGTGTGCCAGAGGAAGATGCCTCCGGAGTGACTAGCAGGGCATTCGCATCTTTGGTGCTGGCCACTGACGTGGAAGCTGAGGACGACGCGGTCGCCGGGCCGCCGCGAGGATGAATCTCTTGGAACTTGCTCCGCACTTTGACCGTCTCGTCCCGGAACATCAGCGACAGCTGGTCTCGGTAGCCGGGGCACTTCTTGCCAGCCCGCGTGCATTGCGAACATTCGGGCTGTAGCTTGTTGCACTGATAGAGAGAGAAGCAGAGGCGCAGCCACGTCAGCAATCTTGCTGATCGTTAAACAGGCCCACTGCAGGGGTTAGGCCGGAGAGGAATGGAGGGGACCCGGGCTGGCCACGCTGCATGCCATAGCCTAGCCGGGGAGCGTGGAGAAAAGCGAGCCACGCCAGACCAATATGGAATACGATATAGACCGGACATAAAGCCTACAAGGGCACGCACCTTGATTCGTCTTATGCGACAATTCTTGCAGCTAAGAGACGCCTTGCCACAAAAAACCATGACGTGCGGCCGTGCTCCGTCCTCCGTAGGCTTCGAAGAGAGGGGAGCTACAAGAGGGAGCAGTGGAGGGTGGGAAGCGTTACTGATTCGCTTCGACCATGGGTGACAGACAAAGTGGATGCGGTGGGAGGGGGGGAGGATGTGCCAGTGCCGGCTGCCTCGCTTCTGTCGTCGGGATATGTCTTCTCTTGTCTGTTTTAGGAATTCAGATCGTTGGCTGCTTTAGCCGACCACTGAAACGGTCACGAGTCGTATTGTCGTCAGTGTGGACTAGGGTATCAGGGATCCTCTTTTTTAGACGTTAGTAGGGGCAATGCTGTTGGCGTTTCGCGTGAAGGTACGGCAGTGCTTCCGAAGCTGTGTGCCGGACGGAAGCCGGGAAGAGAGGCGTTTATGGGGGGAGAGAGGAAAAAGAACTGTCGAAAAGGGAAACCAGATCGTTGGAGGATCAGATCTAAGTAGGAAAATTACGAGTACGAATTACAAGTGCTGACCCAAGAGTACTCGTACTATGTACAGAAGCAGGAGCACCTCTCGCTATACGTCGTAATTAGGTAGTCCACCCTAAAAAGTGGACTGAAAACTGGGGGCATTGGCAGAAGTGGCCCTAGAATTAGAGCCTAATTTGGTTCCTGGTGTTGAACAAGTATCGTCCGATTCGTTATACTCTCCGGCCATCTATAAGAGTTTCTGCCATCGACAAAAGTCTCTTACCAACGGACCTTTCTGTATCATACTGCCTTCGTTTTCTGCTCCCGCAAGTCCGAAAAAGCTACAAAGTGAGCCAGCAACAGCTTGCTTATACAAAGCAACGACTGCCAATAATGCATTGACCATCTTTCGATTTTTCTTAACTCTTGCCTGTTGCTGACCTAACAGTAATCCCCACTAAGCCAATCATACCCGCATCGGGACGCCCATTATTAATTTAGCACCGGCCTTCTTTATTTTAAATCCATCTACGGAGTGCTCATACGGCCTTGGCAAGGTGCAAGGATTGATCAGCCCTGTTTGATGTATGTCCGGGACGGGCATCTAGCCGTTGTGGTTATTGGATGAACCTCCTAAGCTGCGGGAGCCCTAACGAGTACCGAGTACAGCATTAACGACCAAATCACGCACGCCCTCCCTACTGCGACGTCGCTTGTGAGACGATGTGCCATACTTCGTAGCTTGCACGGCTTATACCGAATGTGGGTCGGATTGCGACACGTCCATTCCACCGCTCTCTCAGTCTCATTCTTAGCCTATGGAAGGTGGCTTCTGGGATATGGACGGAAAAAGTGGTCAGTTTTGCTTTTCTTCACGCCTCTGCCATGTACGGAGTAAGTATCTTCTACCCCTCCGGAGCTCCGCTCTTGCATGATCCCTGATCGACAGGAGCAGCGATTGAGTCATTTAGGGTTATAGGCCTGAGCAGAAATACACCGTAAGTAGACGAGGTCTCTAGTATGATCGGAGTTTTATGATCAAAGCGACATAAATTCGTAGGGGATAGCTATTTTCACGGTTCTTTCTCTGGTATACCTGAAGGTTGTTGAGATTGTGCAAACTGAAAGAAGGCACGTAAGGTACAAAGGCAGAGCTTACCACAGTCTGGGACCACCGGCACATCTACCGGTTCCAAGCACGGGGAAAGCTCGTCTCCCGAGAACCACCGCCGGCAAAGTTGCGCAGCCGCCCTAGGGGTGTGGACATGCAGCTGGCAACTCGAAGCAGTTGACTGGAGGCAATTAACGTGGAGGTTGATAATGATGATGAGGAAGAGGCGGACTTGATAGGCACGGCGCCGGTAGACTAGAAGAAGTGACAGGATGGAGAGGGTACAGAAGGGTTGGTCGAGTAATAAAATGTGTATGAACCGTTCAAGCAGAGGGCATAAATCAAAGGAGGATAACTGATTACAAGTGAGGTTCTGCGTATCGCCCTTTTAGGCAGTGTCTCAGTAACTACACCGTTGAATTCAGAGCACCGTTGCTATAACAGCGTCTTTCTTCTCTGCCTTCTAGCACTTGCTGCACCCTATTTAGGCACGCGGAGTTGCGTGTTAGTCCTATAGTAAGTGTTACTTGAACAATGATGGCTGGTACAGTATCAAGTAGGTGGTTGTAGGTAACGTGCATGAAAAGCTTATGAAAAATCTAATATATCGTACAAAAAGCAACCCTCAAGAAAAATTGTTATTCTATCTAGCCAAACCCCTTTTCTGAATATGGATATCAATGCTTCGGCAGTATCTGGTCCATCGGTAGGCCCTTGTGTTATACTGTAGCGCAATGTGCCTGCGTTCGTGTTTAGACTGATGGCGGAAACCCACGGGTACATGAGCACCGAGTGGAACGATTGTATACACGAAAACCACCACGACCATCGACATAGCATATAGTACGTACTAGCTACAGACGATGATTAGTAGTCACAAGAACGAAGGTCAGCGGTCCAGTAGACTAGTCGTCTATCGGACGATAAGGGCAGCGTGTTCGAGTGCCTAAGAACGTACCACCAGTCGTGCTTCTCGGCACACTGTCTTTTGCCGAGGGCAACTTCGGCTTCTCGGTAGGTAGACCAGATCTGTCAGAAGCCACAAGGTCAGGCACCCCACATAGGACGGAACTTAGGGTCGGCACAGCTCACATGATAATGCAGTACAAGACGTTGATAACATACAGCAGCATCCGCCAGCGGGACTCAAACTGATACTGGCTGATATCGATGGTGAAGAGCTTGTTGCCTTTCACGGAGCGGAAACGAATGGCTGGGATGGAAAAGAGGCAGAAAGCACCGATCTTCGTGCTGACGCCTGCGAACGCAATATCCATGCCTTTCTTGAGCTTGGTGACAGTGCTAGCTTCCGTCGCCTGTGTTCCTGAGAATATTCCAGCGCCGGCGAGCAGCAGCAGCAGCAGCGCAAAAATTATGCAGCCGACAAAGAAGGTGTCGGTCAGCGCGTCGGCATACAGAAGTCGCACGGTGGGGGAGGTTATAGCAAGTGATGCTCGCCATCGTAGGAGAAGGCAAGTCAGAACCGGGACGAATGCATGGAGCTGATGAGCAACAGTATCGGTTATTAGGGAAGGGGAGCACGGATGAACACGCCCGCAGAAGAGAAAAGAACGGCACACAGGCTAGGTTATAAGATACCTGAATCGAAGACAAGAGACGGTCGCCCGCGTATGTCTGGGGGTAACATGCTTTTATATGGCCAACGGAGGCTGGCACGTCTTTAGATGAGACTCCTATCGGCGAGTTGGCGAACGGACATTGTACCTTTCTACACGCCGTCCTATGGCAAGTGCTCTATTGATGCCAAATCAGTACAGGACGAACGACTGTATAAATCTACTACCAGTCGGTTATAATCACCAAATTCGAACCCCCCAAATTTTGTATCGGTCCGTCTGATTTTCTTGGCATGGCTCAATTGATCTAAGCTATGATAAATAGGGGCTTGGGCCAAGGCATTAGGGTTCCTGTTCTCGTTCTGATGCAACATACTATTATGCGGGCTGACAAGCCTCTATCATGCCTGGCCGCTTCAGCTTGTAGGAGGGGTAGACCTGGGACCATAATCTTAAAGATGCAATGCAACGTAGGTGGTAGATATACCGGCACCTTGGGAGAATAACTACCATTGCTGATACGGCCTGGGCACGACTAGGCTGTGCTGCCGCTTGACTTGCAGACGGTGAACGTATGGCGCCGTTTTTGGAACAACGCCCCCACATTCCCCTGTAAGTCGACCCAGCCTTGTATTCTCAGCTAAACAAGGAAAGGCTCTGGCACCTCTTTGCAAGGCAAGATACAAATACGATCCCAAGATGGAGTTGTCCTGATAGGCCGCGGCATAGCCTTGTGTAGAAATTTGCCTAACAGCGCCTAAAACGGAATACATTAACAATTTAAACAACTGCAGAGTCTATAGAATTCTTGGTAGCATCCTTTACCGGCCTAGCAGTCTTTACTTCAACAAAAATCCAAAACGATCGAACATAAACAGAAGCATAGGTTGTCTAGCACAGCGCTGTGATAACTCATTTCACAAATGTTAGGATACGAATATCTTCTTTGCGGACTGGCAGCCTATGTTTCTTATTCAATTCATTGTACGGAGTAAGATATGTAGGTACAAACTTCACGTCTTGGTAGAAGCGAGGACAAAATAAAAGAAGAAGTATTGTACTTTCCTTTAAACTCTCCATCATGCCAAGACTTTTAAAACTCTTGTCATGCGTCTGTTGTTCCTAAATGCGTTATGTTTTCATGCATATTGGAACTTACGGATTTATGCATTCGTGCATTTCATATTTACGATTACCGGAAAGACGATACACTTTTTGGGTCGCGCCTGCCCTTTACCAGCGAGACCCACTTTTTGTCTCTTGCACGGTTAATTTTCTTTTTTACCTGTAATTTTTTTGTCACGTTCGAAAAGCGAATGCCAGTACGTCAACCTTAACCTCAACCTGATTTGTGTGTTCTATCATCATCACTTCAAATCGCCCACAACACCCGAAGTGGACAATCGACGAGGAGCACAGACGACATCGGAACACCTTGTCAAGGCAATAAAAAGGCTCACCAGCACTTACATATTTCTACCATCCGTTGCTCATTCCCCCACCACTAAACCCCCTATCTGCCACATTTGGCAACACTTTATTTTGCGATTATTTCCGCACCACGACTCGTTGACCTTTACTACAAGCCTGCCTCTGCCTTTTCGTGGCAAATCTACCGCTTCTATTATCAGTTCCCCCCCCGGCCGTTTGGTTGCTGCAAGCCGTAGTTGATTTGTTTCTCACGTCTCCAGTCGGACCACCGCGCCCTCTTCTTTCTTTTGTCCCCGCCCCTGGCATCTAAGCATCCCAACAGCTACCGAACCTTGTGCATACCGATACTGCCTCTCTAGAAACCACATTTAAAAATTTCGAAAATGTCGACAAACGGAGTTAGCCACGAGCAGTACAGTGCTACTGTTTCCAGTACCAACGAGACGAGCCAAAACTCCTCCTCCGGCGGCAACCTCTCTAAAGACGAGGTTGGCTGGTACTTTGTGGAGCAGTATTACACCACACTGAGCAAATCTCCTGACAAGCTTCATGTGAGTAGAATTTGAACTTATTCGTAAACACCCAACGTTGCAAGGCATATGCTGACAAAAATGTCCCCGCCCCCTCATTAGCTTTTTTACGGAAAGAAGTCACAGTTCGTCTACGGGCTTGAGGCTGAGGTTTCCCCGGTCTCTGTTGGCCGCCAGGTATGAATTTATTGCAGCTATGTTAACTACAGTGGCCTATCCCTCTTACTAATGTGTAACTTTAAATACAGGACATCCAGGAACGTATCCACAAGCTCGACTTCCAGGACTGCAAGGTGCGGATCTCCAACGTCGATGCTCAGGCATCCTTCGACAACATCGTCATCCAGGTTATCGGTGAGACTTCCAACAAAGCAGAAGAGCCCCGGAAATTCGTCCAAACCTTTGTTCTCGCCCAGCAACCATCCGGCTACTTTGTGCTCAACGATATACTGCGCTTCATTAAGGAAGAGGAGGAGGATACTGCTGAGGTAGCAGCCTCCGCCGAGGTTGTCGAGCCCGCAGCTGCCACTGTTGAGGCTGAGGCCGAGACAGAGCAGGAGCCTGAGGTGGAGACGGCCGAGGTGACGGTGCCGGAGCCCGAGCTTGATGCTATTGTCGTTGACAAGAAGCTCGAGGAAGCAAGCACGGAGGTCAAGGACTCGTCAATTACTGATGTCGCCACCCCTGCGGAATCTGTTGTGAATGTTGCCACTGCCAATTCTACCGAAAGCGTGGCCGCACCTGCTCAGCTCCCGGACACGGAGAAGGTCGTCGAAGAAATCGCCGAGGAAGATGTAAAGAAGGTTGAGGCACCAAAGGAGCCCAATTCTACCCCGGCTGCTCCCAGTGCCCCCGTTGCGGCTGCTCCTGCGGAGCCTGAGAAGCCAAAGGGACCTCCTAAGCCGATGACATGGGCTAGCCGTGCGGCAGCTGCAGCTGGAACAACACGGCCAGCCGTGGCCATGCCGAAGCTGGCTTCCCCTGCGTCTAGCATTAACAAGCCTGCGGTACCCGCTGCGGCACCCCCCGTGGCACCCGCTGCTGCGGCAGCTCCGGCGGCACCGGTTTCAAAGTCGGCCTCGGAGACCCCTGTTGCTGCCGCGGCCACCCCCGTTGCGGCTGCAGCCCCTAAAGATATCGGCGAGTGGCAGACGGCTGGTAGCGACTCTAGGCGGCAAAACCGCGCACAGTCGATTTCCGGCTCTGCCCAGGACAAGGATACGACTCTCGGATACGTTAAGTATGTGACGGAGAAGGTGGACGAGCCGACACTTCGCCTGCACTTGGAATCGTTTGGACCGGTAGTGTACTTCGACATCAACCGGCTGAAGGTGAGCTTTTTTTCTCTTCCTTGACACCACGGGGTGTTTGCTGACACAATTTTATAGAATTGTGCATTTATCGAATTTGCTTCGCCTGCTGGTTACCTGGCTGCTGTTGCTGCTAACCCGCACACCATCAATGGCGAGAACATTGTGGTGGAGGCACGGCGTCCTAAGGCCAGCGCCTACGGCGGAGCTAACTATAGCAACAACCGGGGAGGTGTGTCCGGTCGCGGTCGTGGCGGCTATGAAGGCCGTGGCGGCAACCAGGGAGGTGGTCGCGGCAATTTCTCGGGCGGTCAGAACCGCAGCCGCGGTGGTGCTAACGGTGCTGCCCGCGGCCGTGGTGCCCCTTCTCAGGTGGCCAGCGCCTAAACGGGTTATTCTTCGGTCTTGCCACTGAGAAGCGGTGAGGAGCCGGAAGTCCACATGTGCTGTTGGTGAAGGCTCCAGAGACGTCGAGAACTCCCAGATCAAGCTGGAAGAAGTCGTAAGTGAACGCGCCACGATGAACGTGGCGGTCGGGTACGGTTGTGGCGGTCCAAGGGCCAATTTGAGCTTTTCTTTCCCTTAATCAGGCCTTCAAAAGTTCGGGTATGGCTTTTACGGAGGGGCTTGTTCTCATCTTTAAACGGATTCGGTCGTTCGTTAGTAGGGGGACTATTTTCTTGCTGGATTTCGGTACGGCGCTGATTTGTGATACAAAAGCTTCATGATTTGTCAAAAGTGAGGATTTGTGAGAGCATGCACAGCGAAAGGGAGAGGGAGGAGGATAGGAGGAGAAGAGGAGCATATGGAAAAGAAAGCAATGGGTGGGGGATGAACGAGAGACCCCTGCCGTTGCTTCTCATATGTGACGATCCCCTGGCCTTTTCTTGCTTCTTCGACCTCGTTCAACATTGTTTTTCTTTTTTCTTTTGTTCTCTGAACCGCTTGGTTGAAGCATTTACAAGAGGCCTGGAGGCGGGAGAGGGGCAAGCGGCATAAAGGGGGAGATGGGAGGGGGACACACGAGACAGGACAGCATGATGCCCGTGGGCAAATGCTATACTGCTTCACACCTTCATTCGGGGCGGTTCTGGAGACGGGTAAATGAAAGGGGGCCTGTACATTAGGAAATCAGGGCGGGATGCCAGGATGTGGCAAGGCAGTAAAGAATAATCGAGACATGAATAACTAAAGGGTGTTGGCCTTTGCCTTACGAGCACTCTGTAGATTCGTGGAAAATGGTCGAGATTGTGAGATACGATGGTGTGAGGAATTGGCTGGCCAGCTCTACATAGTATTCGGTACGACACACGGTTACAGCAAACCGTCCTGGTGGCGGCAAAGGCGGCCAGCGATGTTTGGTCCGTGTTCATCAAAACAGAAATCTCGCGCCCCGCTTTTTCTGGAGCCACGGCCAGAAGATTGTCGACAAGGACACGGACATGGACAATGACAAGGGACATCGGAAAGAGGGCTCGCACGAGCAGGTGGGATACTCATACTCTGTACGAGTACTCCGTAGACTCGTATTTCAACTTTTGTCGATCAGAACTGGAGGCGTACGAGTACGACGCAATGGTCACGGAGCTGCATCGGGAGACGGAGTGGACGACCTAAATACTCGGCCGTTGTTGCGATGTCTCTTAGTTCGCAGGGGGCAACATCCAGTAAGAAGAGCGGCAAAACAAAGAAGGCTCATCTTAGTAAAGCGCCTTCCCGAATAGTGTTCGCCCGGGTGTGGTGGTGTTTCTGGGGTTCGTTGATAGCGCCGATCGTCGGGAAATTCAGAGGAGACAAATGGCGCAGAGGCAGGGGAGCTTGCCCGTACGAGGACAGAGCACGGTAATAACGCTATCGCACAGACCCAGCAGCTGATAAGCAGACTCGGCTATAAGAGTTTGTGTGGCAACAGCATGACAGGAAAGCACCTACCTCGAAGAGCCTAGCTGGTGGTTTGGCTGCGTGGACTCGGCGCTGCACAGCCTCAATGGGCCATGGGCTAGTCCTGCTGCAGTGGCCGTTGTCCCTGGTGGATCGGCCATGGTGTTCTTGCCTTCCCCGGCCCATCAGCCGCACAACGTGACTGTTATAGGAAGGAGCTGTGCTGGCAGGACCGCTTGATAGGTAATGGGATTACGAGAGAGGATGGCAGGCGGTGACGCAGAAGGGGAGCCCCTCTGACTAGACAGGCTTTTTAGCGCACACAGCAGTGCGCGTCGGGCGCTAGAGCTGATGCTCTCCGCAAGCACTGATGGAAAGAGAGGCATAACGAGGCCTGGAGATGCTAGTGTGGGCGTGACTGGCACCTGTTGCCGGCCGGCTTAGACGGATGCGGGCAACGGCTCATTCATTATTTTTTCCGTATTATTATACGAGTATTACTCGTGCTCTGTTCTCTGTTATTTCCACTTCATGGTTTGCACAACGTGGTTGTGCTCAATGTCTCGCCCACAGACATACGACGGGACTGCCTTTGATCTGTCTATACCGGGCTGGGTGCTATTATAGCAGGACTCGACGACTGGGGTTGAGAGAGAGAGAGAGAGCGAGCGGAGGGGGGAGGCAGACGCGGACTCGACGACAAAAGTCGGAAATTGTTGACGACAACGAAATAAGACGTGCAATGATGATGGAGCGAACAGTGTCCCAGGAAACGCTCAGGCTAGCGGGGCCAGGATCTTCGGCAGCACCGCCGTCGCCGACGCTGCAACGACGCTCGTCCCTGGAGGAGGACTACTTCTACCGGCAGTTGATGACGGTGGACAAAAAGCCGAGGGAGCCGCCACCATCGTACGAGTCAACGCTCAAGAAGATGCGGCGGGCGGAGGCGGGCGAAGCGGCACCAGCAGAGCCGGTCTCTCCAGCCTTGGCCGTGTCGTCGACGGTGATGCGCAAGGTCAAGAGCAAGGGCAAAGAACGGCTGGACGGGCTTGTGCGCAGCAGCAGCGCGGTCGAGGAGCTGCCAGCGTACACGTGCGACATCAACATGGAGGGCGTGTTCCAGCGCAAGATGGAGATCGAAAACACGACCAAGCGAGCGGCCGACCGGCGGTGGTCGCCGGTGGTGGTGAAACTGCGTGGCACGGCTCTCGAGGTGTACAGTTGCCGCAAGGACCGCAGCTGGGTCGGACGGATGGCCCGTGGAGGGCCGGGTGTCTCGCCGGATAACCCGCCGTGGCTGCGGCCTGGCAGCCTGGAGAAGAGCTACAACCTGACGTATGCGGACGCGGGCATAGCATCCGACTACATCAAGTAAGTCGTGTCGGTCCTGCCTGTGCCAAGAGAGGCTGTGGCTAACGAGCACGTCCACTCCCGGCAGACGTCGTTATGTCATCCGCGTGCGAGCCGAGACGGACCAATTCCTGCTTGCGTGCATCGAGCTGGAGACGTTTGTGCGCTGGCTGGACGCACTTTTTGCGGCACTCAGCATCGCGCTGCCCATTGACGAGCGCGATTTTCCGCGAGACCAGAGCATCCCGCGGCTGCAGCGAATCCGGTGGTATCGTGGACGTGATCGCGAGGCGGGCGCCCAGCAAGACGGTGCCCGCGAGCTGCAGGAGGCCCTCGACGGCGAGCTGCAGCGGGCGGAAAGCCTGGGTGGAGGTGTGGAAGAGGGCAGTGGCATTAGCTTGGGCAGGATCGTCTCCCGATCGTCTGTCTTTACGGCCACATCGCGGCTGAGCGAGAGGACCGTTTCGGGACCGCCAGCGGCTTCGGCGGCTGCTTCGGCGGCTGCTTCTGCTGCTGCTGCTCGTGCAGCAGCTGCTGCCCAGGCAGCTGCGGCCTTGGTGGCACCGATGGCCCCCTTGGCCACGCGACTGTCGGCGACAGACTATCCAAACGACGCGGTCGACACGCAGACGGGCAAGTGGCAGCCGCGACACCGCTGGACGACGACGCACGACATGGTGTACGCCAAGCTGTGCTATGCGACGCTGCTGTTCCGCAGTCCGCGCAAGAGCAACTACATTGTCATGCGCGGCAAGCAGTGGTTCGTCGACTGGACGACGGGCAACATGTTCCGTGTCAGCCCGCCGCGCTACGGCGAGGTCGAGCTGTTTGGGCCCTGGCAGGTGGTCCGGACGGAGAACGCGCGGATCTGAGGATGGCCGGGGCGGAGCGGATGTATATACCTTTTGTCTCTTACCTTTGGCTTGGGTCATCAGCGGCGTTTTGCATTCTCTTTCTTGGATCGACAACATCTTGGCATGGCCACCGTGGAAGTAGGAGACACCACAGCGACCTGCATTTGGACGGAAAATCTTGTATTGGAGCATGGTAGGAGGCACGCAGGCAAAAATACGAATACAGGAGAGAACATGTGAGGACGCCTTGTAACGCCGTGATGTCGTAGAGGGAACGAGAGAGAACCAATCAATGCTTAGTCATCATTTCTAGACGCCCGTCATCTCGGCCTCAGCAGTGCGCGTCTCGCGTGCGAGCTCAGCGAGCAGAGCAGCGTCGTCGGATCCGCGGTGGTCGAGCAGGGAGGCAGCAGCGTCAGCGTCGGCGAGGGCGCGTTCGAGGGTACTGGCGAGCCGATCGGCCTCGGCCTGCTGAGCAGCGAGGCGGGCGAAGCGAGCCGCGTTGGTCTGGTGGGAGGCGCGCAGGCGAGCGGCCAGATCGGCAGCCTGGACGCGTCTCTGGGGAGCGAGATGGGCGTCGAGGACGACGGCCGGGGGAAGCGTGTGCGGCGGTCGTGGTGGTTGGGGTGGCTGTGAAGGCTGTGCGAGCCGCCGCTGTCGAGCGGCCCGGCCGAGCGCCTCCAGCTCGTTCAGCCGCTGAACCACCTGGCGCTGCCGCATGACGACGCCAAACTCGGCCGCACACAGCTCGCCCAGCCGCCGCACCATGGCCCCGTGGACCGTTCGCAGGGCTGCCGGACTGCGGGTCGCCGCTGTCGGATAGCAGGCCGCGAAGTCGTCCCAGCTCACGCGCGCCAGCGTGTGTGCCAGCGTCGTGCCAAAGAGATCCTGCAGCCGCGTCGCCCGTGGTCCCGGCCGCGGTGCCTCTTCCTGCTGCTGCTCTTGTTCTTCTTGTTCTTCTTGTTCTTCTTGTTCTTCTTGCTGCTCTCCACTCGCATCCACCTCGTCGTCTGGCTGGCCGACATCCATCGCGTCCCCGTCACCGTCGTCACGTTCAGGTCCCGCCGTTTCCGCCGTTTCCGCCGTCTCGTCCGGTGTCGCCATTCTGCCGTGCTGCGTCTCGTTGTTTGCGCCGGCTTCGTTGGCGCGGGGGTCAGACGCGTCTTATCGATACGCCAAATATGCAATTAAACATCAATTACAACATGTACTCCGTACTCTGTACTCTATATGCACGTAAAGGCAACTGCTGAAACCAACCACCATTTCATTAACATCAGGCCGACCTGTCTCTCTATAATGTAACTACATCTCACATCTCGCATCTCACATACGGCTATGCAACACCAACGACTCATGCAGATCAAACAAGGCCTATTGGTAGTCCACCCGCGACGGCTGTCTGCTCGTCTCGCTTCTCTCCAGCCGCCTTCTCCGCCGCCGTTCGGCTGCTGATGGTCCCGAGAGGTCTGGCGCCAGCGTGCTTGCGCCATCACTGCCCTGCCGCCCGCTCGACCCCGGACGAGCGGCTGCACGTCGTCCCCGTGGCGACGGACTCATGGCGCTCCACGTCCCGTGTGTGTCCTGGCTGACTATGCTGGACAGCGTGCCTTGATCTGGTCCTGCCGGGTGCATCATGTTGTTGTTGTTCGATGGTCCTGCAGCGCCGACACTGCTCTCGGCCTCGTGCTCGTCGTGGCTCTCGCCGCCACCACCGCGACCGGCTGCAGCCCCGCCCGAATAGTACGTCGAGTCCTTGGGCCGCCGGCCACCTGCAAACGGTGGATTCGGGGGATCCAATGGCGCGTGCACCGTGCTCTCGGACGGATTAGTCAGCTGCAGCTGGGGCGGCGACTGCATCTGTTGCTGGGCCTCTGTCGTCCGCCGCTCAGCTGACTGCTCTGCCCTCCGAATGCCGTTTGAGTCGCGTCGGTATCGTCGTGTGCTTGGCGAGTCCACCTCTGACAGGCTGCTCGCCGAGTCGTCGTATCGTCGTCGCGGCTGCTGCGACCGCTGGGACGGCTGTGATGGCTGTGAGTGCAGCTGCGATGGCGCCGGTTGAAACTGCTGCTGGCTGCCACCGCCTGCGCGCTCTGCTGCGGCCTCCTCATCCGTCAACCGCCGCAAAGTGACGTTGCCGCCACGGTCGTCATGCACCCGCAGCCGCACGCTCACCGGGTTGTTGCTGCTGCTGCCGCCACCCGAATTCGTTGGTCGTCGCTCCTGTTCTCGTTCTCGTTCTCGTTCTCGTTCTCGCTCTGCTCGTCGGCTGCTCTCTCCCTGCCCCTGCGAGTCTCGTCGCTGTCGCTGTGGCAGGACCGTCGGCAGGACAGACGACACATCCGAGTCCGGCATCGCCGGCATCGACACCTGTCCCGACCGCCGCGGGTTCGACGTCCCCTGGCCGGGAATCACTGGTGCCGCTGGTGCCAGCGAGCTCACTGGATCCAACACCGAGTCCGTCATGTCTGACATCGACTGCATCCGTGTCGGTGGTCGTCCGCTTCCTCCCGTCTCCGACCGCCGGTCCCGTCGCAACGGCGTCGGATTGCCTTGTCCTCCCAATCGCCCGTCATCCTCGTCCTCTGCTGCCGTCCGGCCTCCCCGAATCTTATTCGCGATCCACCCGAGCCCCATCCCGCCAAACATTCCTGTCTTTGCCGTGTTGCCCGGTCTCGTCGCCGCTGGCGTCCGTTGCGACGGGCTTTGGTACGGCGAGTCGTCCGATACGTCGTCGTTGTCCTGCACCGACTGATGCCGCTGGTGTGACGGCCGCGGCGGCGTCACCGGCCTGCTGATGCTGCTGCCGTCATAGTCATTGTTGCGTCGGGACGAGCTTGCTGCCCCTGCTGCGGCTCCGGCCGCTGCTCCTACTGCAACTGCTTTGCCCACACCGTGGCCACGGCGAGAGGCCGGCGTCGGCGATGTTGTCCGCGCCGGCAGTCGACTGCTCTCGTCTTCCGTAAAGTAGCTGCTGATCTCGCTCTGGGGTATCGGCTGTCGTCGCGGTGGTGGGCGCTGCGCCCGGCTCACCTGGCTGTTGCGGCCGTATCGGCTAGGCGTGTCCGTTTCCACGGCCGAGTACTCCTCGTCCCGGTTGCGGTCCTTGCGCTTCGATAGCAGATTGCTGAAAAGTGCACCCGCCCCGCCGGCTGCTCCGGCCGCCATCATCTTGCTCATGAACCCACCGCCCGCTGGCTTCTTGTTGCGGTACTTTTCGTCCTCCACAAAGCTCTCTGAGCCTCGGTGTGACGACATCATGTCCGTTCGACTGCGACTGAAGCTGCGGCTGCGACTCCGGCTGCGACTCCGGCTGTCCGCACGGGATCGACTGTCCACACGCGACCGGCTGCGAGATCGTGCCTTGTTCCGGCCTCGAAAGAGCGCCCACGCCCCTGCTCCGGCCGCCAGAGGCGCTATCCAGCGCATCATGCCGCCACCGCTGCTACCACCGGCGCTACTGCCTCCGACCACCGTCGACTTGCGCCCTGACGACCGTCTGCTGCTGTGGTACGAGCCGGAACGGTAGCTACCACCCTGGCGGTGGCTGAGAACAAAGTAGACCAGCAGCAAAAAGGCCATCCAGATGGCGAACAGAATGAAGAGCACCTTGGGCGAGCCGTACAGCGTCAGGCCCAGCGGCACCTGCACGATGCCCAGCAGGGCAACGGCACGGCCAGTCCAGCGGTGCAGATTTAGACGCAGCGAGTGGCGCCCGGCAAGGTGGCGAACGAGTCGGCCGCCAATCGTCTGCACCATGATCAGCGTGTAGATGGCGATCCCGATGCCGTGATGCGGGTTGCTGAGGCTGCGGCGGGGACCGACGGCAAACCAGCCGAGGATCAACACCACCGTCGAGAACATGGCCGCCACCACGTTGAGGTACGTGTGGTAGCGTATCGCATGGCCCGACCGGCTTCGGCTGAACCGCGCAATCATCACGCTGATCGGGATGAGTACCAGGAACGTGATGGCTCCCATGACCGCATGGCCCGTCACTAGCGAATGGTACTGTGCGATGCTGGAGAACCGGTTGCCCATTCCTGTCAAGGAGAACGACGTCTCGGTCAGTTCACGTCACCACCACGCTGTCAAGAAGAGGAATGCAGCTGGACCCACCATTGTAGCGCATCGTTGCAAAGTTGAGGCCCTCGAGATTGGGCAGCAGAAAATCATTCTTGGTATAGTCCCAGGTCCCGTCGCCGACCTCGAGTGTGTTCGACGAGTAGGAGCTGGACCCGGCCGCAGCCAGGGTGTCGACCGGCGCCATGGTGGCCGCTTTGGCAGCGTCGTAGTCGTCGTTGGTCGCTGTTCGTCTCCTGCTTGGCTGAGGAATGCGGGACGGCCAGGTCACAACGGCCGCCGCTCACTATTACTCAGCTCCTCCGCTGCGCTCAAGTAAGACACGACAACGGCCCGGCCTGTGTCGTTGAAACCCGCCTGCTTGATATGCAGTGATGAAGCAAAGAATGTGTCCTAATGTGCCGACGTGCTGATATGTGTTTGCGATCCTTGGACGACGGCAATATTCGATAGGGCCCGCAGCTCCCGGTGCCGACAAAAGGGGTAACAGGAATGTGAGAGACCAAAAAGAAACAAACGGCAGAAATGGCAGAAAGAGGCGGAGATGGTAAATACGGCGTAATGGAAAAAAATACTGGAATCAGGCTTAATCGTCGGATCCCTCCCCCCGCTCGTGTCCAGATACGGGCAAAATCCTGGCAACCTGCAGCACGCTGCGGTAGCTCTCGCCGGCAACAGAGGCGCTGATTGGCCTGGTCTGTCGTGGTGTTGTGCGGTGAGCTTGTCCTGCAGCTGTGTGTTGGTCTATGGCTGGGCGTTTCGTTGATGGGGTGACGAGCTCAAAAGGCCCACTCTTGCTCACAGCAACGCCAGATTAGGTAAGAAATGTCCCGATGTCCCGATGTCACGTGGCAAAATCCTATGTATCGTACGGAGTATGCCTTTGCTTTAGCCGCACGGCACGACACGAATGCGACCGTTGTGCTTGCGGATATAGGTGTTTATGAGCGATACTGGCCAGACAAGCTCGCAGTGAGCATGGCGGTGAGCTGGACATGGCCAGATGTCCGCCCCTATGTCGAAAACACGCTAGCTCCCGTATCGGATAGCGTGTCGTTTATGTAAGCGGTCTCAGCTACTAGACGGAGTCCGGTACCTGGCTCCCGGCTCTCCAGACTAACAAGCGCAAGTACTCCGTACGCAAGGAATACCCCACACAAATTTGATCAGGTGCAAGCCGAGGCAGAGCTGCCTCTCCTGCCGAGATTCCAGCCAATTTCTCCTCCACGAGTCCAGCCGCGCTGAAAAGCATGTCGAAGGGGGGACAAGGAATGCGACCGACAACACGACACATCGCGTCCATGGCCTCGCCCGCTGTCCGTGATTCTCTCCACTAAGCAGCAGAGCGGCGCCCGATCCATCTCCGAGGAGCAAGCACGCGTCTTTTCTTCCTAGCCCTCCGTATCCTCCACCAGCCTTCCTCGTCTTTCGTCATCCGCATCACCAGACGCGACTGTCCGACGAGACTGCTTCTCCGCCATGGCCTCCCGCACCTCGTATACCGCCGCCATCAACCCGGCCTTTGCCGGCAACGGCAGAAGCGGCGGACGCGGTGGCCAGTTGCTGCTCTCGTCGTCCATCTCGTCGCTCTCCACCTCCGTGTCGTCGCGCCATGGTCATCCACGCCACCATCACAGCCAAGCCGGCAACAGCATGTCCAAGATCTATCGCCAGGCCTCCTCGCTCTTCCTGACGCGTCGGCTGCCCGAGGCCCTGTCGACGCTGCTGCCGCTTCTCATTCCGCGGCCTGTCGAAACGGACGGCACCAATGACACAAACGGCACAAACGGCTCCGATGCCCCGTCTGCAGCCGCTGTCGAACCGGCTCCGCTCGCGAGTGCGTCTCGCACCACCCGCGTCAAGGTGTGGAGCCTCTACCTCACCGTCCTCAACGCCATCCTCGAGCTCGAGCCCGACGAGGGCAAGGAATCCTTTGGCACCCAGGAATGGCGCTCTCTCTGCGCAAAGGTGCGCGATGGCGACATCTGGGACGAGGTCGTCCGGAACGGCTATCATGGCCAGGAAGGTGACGTTGACGCTGATGTCGTCATCAATCTGTAAGCCTTCCTTCTCTTCTCTGTCTGACCCACTCTCCACCGTCGCTCTCGCAGCCCTGCTCACATCCTGTCTTCCATCCAGTGCCACGCTTTTGTTGGCACACGCGCCGTCGCAGGCCGTGAACCAGAAGCGGCTCGAGAGCTATCTGTCCTACTCGCAGATGCCGAACCTGGACCTGTCAGGCCACTTTGACGTGCCGCCATCCCCGCGCCACCAGTCGCGCCACCGATCGGCGACCAAGCCTACGCCCGGCACCGACACGCCCCGGGACCTCAATGCCCGCGTCAAGATCCTGGAGCTCTACACCCTGCATGTGCTCCTCCGCAACGACGAGTGGGACTACGCCCGGGACTTTATCAGCGCCAGCCCCGTCCTGGACGAGGAGCGCCGGGAGGCCTTTCTGCAGGCCCTGCAGAGCCTGCGCGAGGAGCAGCAGCTGGCCAGCCAGCGCGAGCAGGAGGAGCGTGAGCAGCACCAGCAGCAGCTTGAGGACGCCCGCCGGACCCGGGCTGAAAACGAGGAGCGCGAGCAGCGCCGAATAGAAGAGGAACGTGCTCGCCGTGAAGACGCCGCCAGCGAACACGGCTCCGTCACCCACCGTCACAAGGCCCCGTCCTATGCTGGACGGGGCCGGTCCTCCCCATCATCACGACCGTCCACAGCAAATGGGGCCGCGTCCGCAACAGCGGCAACAGATGCTGCTTCCGCGGCCACGCCAAAGGGCAAAGGCAAGGCCAATGCCTCCCTGGGATCACGCACCGCTCTCATCTTTCACAGCCTCCGGACCCTCGTCGACCAGATGGGCGCCAGGTTCCAGGCAAGCCCAATGGCCCTAGTCCGTACCCTTCTGTTCATTTCTGCGTTGCTCGTCATGTTGGGGAAGCGAAATGTTCGGGAGCGTCTGGCTCGTGTCCTGGGCAGCGGGTGGAACAAGGTCAGGGCTACGGCCGGCATGGGTGTTAAAGTCAGTTACATCTAGGCGTCTGTGTCTTCACGTCTGGAGCGGATATGCGAACCCAGGTATCTCTTCACGGGGCTATTATGTTGTACAACTATTTTATTTTATCAGGCTTCTTTCCAACCGTCGAAATGTCCCCCTTTCCTTTATATAAAACAGGATCCTTTCCTTACTTCAATCTTGGTTCTCCCTCGCTTTCTTCTCCCCCCAAGGCTTCTATCATGCTGTGGGTATCAAAATAATCAGACCGAATACCACCTCTGTGCCTAATTGTTTCCTCTGGCCTGGCCAACTCTAGAAGTGCAATGCCTTGAATTCAACAGAGGACCGGATGTGCCGTGTAACAAGCCCCAAACCCAGGGCAAAGCCAATGCTAGTATTGCGTCCGATTTGTTTTCTTTTGGTAGAAGAGCTGTTGGTTTGTTAGCATGCAGCCTGTTTATCTTCGACCCTCTGTCTGGAGCGGAAACACTTACATCTGTCCTTGAACTGCCCAGGTTTATAATCTTGGGACACCCGTCCCGGTCCTTTTCCAGCCGTGTGCACTCAAAGCAGTAAAAGGCGTCCGAAATGCCCTCGCCACCACACACAACGCACTTGTTCTGGTAGTTGCCGAAGCTGCACTCGTCACAGATCCGCACAAGCGTTGTCGGCCGCACGTACGAGTCGCAGACGGGGCACTTTCCATCGCACTTGTCGCATAGCCGGCCGATGGCAATGCCTGGCTGCTTCCGGCACATGACGAGATCGGGGTGATGGCGAGACATGGCGAGCTGTTGTTAGGCGAGCTGGGCTAATGGAGCAGCGGGGGAATCGATGATATAAAGTGTTTTCGTCCGAGTGAGCTTCAACAGACAATCGGTTGCACTTGGTGCTGTCGAGCGTTTGTCGAAGTTGGAAGACAGAAGCTGTTGCTGTATGGCTTGGATTTATCACCGCTTTGCCACTGGTTTCCAGCCACTTCTGTGGCTGGTGCATATTTGTAACTAGTGGCACGTAAGATGCGGCTCTGGATTCGAGTTTCCCGATTTACGGAGTACAGAATACGGAAACCGACATATGTTACATGCCAGTGTGAATAAGCAGAACTCAAGAGAAAAGCATAATGTTCAGAGTATACAGGAATTGCATCTGCTTTTGTATGGTACATGCTGTATCTGTTACTGTTTCAAGCCTCTAGCACCTATGCATGTATCCACTATTGTTCTTATCGAATTGTCGAATTAGCCATTTAGCTCAACCTTCCAGAAGCTCAGCCGGATTGTTTTATCTCAAGCATTCTCGGTTCTGTAGCCGGCGTTTCAATCGGCCATCATGCCCACGAGGCGATCCTTGACACTTTGGGGAAAGAATATGTAATCCCTGCTCGCTCCGTCCCCACCATCAAGACTTCAGTAAATCTCCGAAAGGGGCAGCTTGTATCTTGGATAGTCATGACGACCAATAGGCGAGTAGCCAAGAGGCTTGCGCGAGATCTCAAGTCGGCGCGTGGCGAGTCTTCCATGCTAACGAGGGCTTGGCCTCATGCAGCGATTCCTTCCTCACCCCAGATGGTGAGGAACCCCGATCAGACCAGGCTGTAACCAACTCGCATTGGGAGGACCGCAAAAACGGACAGCCAACGTCGCCGCAGACAGGCAAGAGACGGAGAGACTCAGAAGGGTGTATGTCCCTGGGAGAGGTAGAAGACACGGGACCGCAACCGAATGACGACCCCCGAGACGACGAGCCGGCGATCAAGCGGGCCAAGGTGGCTGATGAGCGAGGCGACGACGAAGGGCCGGCGCGCAACGGGCGCCAAGACGAAACCGGCCGAGACGACATCCACAGTCGTCGCCATAGCCATGGCCGAAACGGCAGATCAGGCCCTGGGTCGGTGGGCAGCCAGGGCCTCAACTACTCCGATCACGAAGGGGGAGAGCAACGGGGAAGCTGGGATCGCAGAGAGTCTACGAACCGCGAGGAACGCAGGGAACGCAACGAACAAGGCCGGTCACACAGCAGGCGTCCTTCTCCTGTAGCCGAGCCGAGCGCACGGGATGCACCGAACCGGCGCAAGGTCAGTGTCTCGCAGGAAGAGCGCAAGCGCGGACAACGGCTCTTTGGCGGCCTTCTCAGCGCACTCAGTCAGCCTGCAAAGCGCTCAGCGCCACAGGCGCATCGGAGGCAGGAACCAGAGCAGCAGCAGCAGCAGCCAGAGAAGCGAGAAAGCAGAGAAGAGAAGCAGCAACAGGCTGAGCGCGTTGCCAAGCTGGCGACGGCACGCAAGATCGAACAGATCAAGTTTGACGAAAGAGTGGTGGGTGACCGGTACTCCCATCCTTTGCGCATGGTCCGAGCTAACACTGGAAGATGCTCGCTCGCCATTCGAATCTGCTTGCCCTCGCGCGCAACCTGCAGACCAGGAGCGAGCCGAAACTAGTGAGTGCTACCACAGTCATGTCCTATCTCCAGCCGAATGGACAGTCTGGGACCGTACGCTGACACGATTACAGTACTACCGTCCGTGGGAGCTTAGCAAACATCAGGAGCAGATCATTGAGGATCAGATACTAGCCGCAGAAGAAAATATTGAGCGTGAAACAAGCGAGTTTGCACGCCAGAAGCGAGAGAGACTTGCAGTGCTGGGCGTCGTGGCATCGAGCCCACCACATGAGCCTGAGGTCACGACCAGCGCTGCTAAGACGGAAGTGGAGGACAAGGCTACGGCAGATGGACCTACCACGGCTGCCAGCAAGGAGCCCGAGGACCAAGAACCAGCTCCGCCTCTGCCATCAGTAATGTCTCCACTACATCCTGTATCGGACGAGAAGGACGATCAGGCAGAGGAGGCGGAGGAGCCCGAACATCATGACGATCAGACACACCGGCACGACCATGACGACAGAGACAGGGATATCATGGTGGAGACAGAGGAGGACACGGTGATCTACTGAGAGCCCATAAGTTTTTACATTTTGATATCTAGTGCTTTTCTGATGACCCTATGTTGTCGTGTAATGGGATGTTGCCTTCCACTTGCAGGCAGGCCATACGATATCAGGGCGTACAGGATACACCTAATAGAAATCAGAGCCTGTGGCGAGGCCGTTGGTCTTTTTGACCGAAATAGAAGATAAACGACTTTGCATCGTAGGCAGACGAGAGACTGGTAACTTGGACGAGGACGTGCTAGGCGCTGATTTTCGCGCTGTGCGAATTGCTTAGCAGCCTGAAGCGGGCTGCTCCGGCCGGGCGATCTGCTGAACGCGGGGGCGTGTGGCCTCTGCCTGGTACGAAACGCTGCTGCCTCGCGCCCGAGCTGTAGTGGCGCATGATCCGACGCGCCCCATTCGTCGCTTCCCTCCGCATTCTGCTGAAAAGCAGGGCAGGCACGCGTCGTCTGTCAGCCACGTCCGTCAGACAAGTCCGATTTTGACCCACGACGATCAAGGCGATTGATCACTTGTCTGGCTTTCTTTTTGCCGGTGTGCCACGTTTCTAGTGGCGGCCGTGGTTTCAGGCCTCTACTCCGCGGCGACTGGGAGCCCTGTCTCTGATTTTAGTGGGGGTCATTCTGAGAGGCTACCAGTCAGCCTACTGACCGATAGATCCGCCATCGACCTTCTCTACACCAGCAACACCATCAACGTCACGAGCAGTCCCGACCCCCATATTCATTCCGATAAAATCGCGGGTCTTTCCCCCAGAAATGCAGCGGCAGGCAAGCCAGAGGACGAACTCGATCTGCCCGTGTCGTCCATAAGAAGGGACAGCTTCTGTCAAGCTCGCACCCCTAATACCTACAATACGCCCATCAGGCGTACCAGCAAGACACATATTCCCATCATGGCCATCATAGACCGGCTGCGGGGCATCCTGCCGGCCAAGGCAGCGGAGGAGCGCGAGTATGCGCCGCTGAATGGGGGCCCGCTGGCGCTCGTGGGCGAGGACGAAAACGGTTACGCGACTTCGTCGCTGCTGGAAGGCTCGGGCGAAGACATCGAGACAGAGAACGAGGCTGTCTTTTCGTGGATGGAGTACAGCATCTTCGCCATCATCGGCGTGGCCATGCTCTGGGCGTGGAACATGTTCTTAGCGGCGGCGCCATACTTCCAGATGCGCTTCGCTACCGACCCGTGGGCCCTAGCCAACTTCCAGTCGACCATCACATCCGTCTCGACTGGGACCAATCTAGCAGCTATGCTGGTGCTGACCAACATTCAGTACTCGGCCTCATACCCGTTTCGTATCAACTCGGCGCTGGTCATCAACGTTGCCGTGTTCGGCCTGCTGACGGCCTCGACTTCGCTCTTCCTGCACGTCTCGCCGACCGTCTACCTCGCCTTCTTGCTGCTCATGGTCTCGGCTGCGGCCTGGGCCTGCGGCCTCATCCAGAACGGCGCCTTTGCCTTTGCCGCGTCGTTTGGTCGCCCCGAGTACACTCAGGCGATCATGGCCGGACAGGCCGTTGCCGGCGTGCTGCCGCCCATTGCCCAGATGGTTTCTGTGCTCGCCTTTGCGCCGTCTGGAGGGCCACCCGGCGGCCCACCACCGAAGTTGGTATCAGCCACCAGCAACGACGTTATCAGCAACCAGGACGCCATCGCGGCCGCCGGCACGTCGGCATTCTTCTACTTCTTGACGGCAGTCACCATCTCTGTCGTGGCCCTTGCCGCCTTCCAGCCGCTGGTCAGACGCCACCACCGGCTCGTGGAGGCCCGCATGGTCGAGGCGCTCTCGGAGAGCATGGCATCGATCGAAGAGGCTGAGCGGACTGCACGCAAGGTCATCGGCATGAAGGCGCTATTTCGCAAGCTGCATTGGGTCGCGCTGACCGTGTTTATGTGCTTCCTCATCACCATGTTCTTTCCCGTCTTCACGCCCAAGGTGCTGTCTGTCACGACGCCGCGGTCACCGGCATCGAGTACCAGCCCCGACGCAGCGCAGCCCCCGCCGATGTCGCAGCAGCCGAGACTGTTGCAGCCGTCGGCCTTCATCCCACTCGCCTTCTTCTTCTGGAACCTGGGCGACCTGCTGGGCCGCATGTCAACTATGCTCCCGATGGCGACGAGGCTGCGCCAGCGGCCCGTGGTGCTCTTCGTGCCGAGTGTGGCGCGGCTGGCCTTCTTGCCGCTGTACTTGTTGTGCAATCTGGGAGGACGCGGTGCCTCGGTTAACAGCGATCTGTTCTACCTCTTTTGTGTGCAGCTGCCATTTGGCCTGAGCAGTGGCTTCCTCAGCTCCAGCGCCATGATGGCGGCCGGCGAGTGGGTCAGCGACGGCGAGCAGGAGGCGGCCGGTGGTTTCATGGGTCTCTGTCTGGTGGCCGGCCTGACAGTCGGCAGCCTGCTCAGCTTTACGGTTGCGCGGATATGACCGCTTTGTTTCCTTGATATGCGCTCGTCTGTCTGGGTTTGGGTCTTTGCTCTTCTCCTTCATCTACAATGCATTGCCTAGAAGCGGCAAGCTGCATGAGTACTTACGATTTTAGATACTGGATATTTGTCGCCTGTTGTACTAGGCGTTTACGGCATTGCTTTTACTTCTCTCTCTTTTATGTACTTTTTCTTCTTCATTGCAATGGCGTCCTACGGCAAGATACAAGCAGCTAATGATATTTGAACCGTTACCATGTAAAAGTCACCACACTCGCGTTCCACCACGCGTGAATGTTAGCACGATCATGCTGTGTAATGGTCTCGTTATCTCTTGTCCGAAAATGTGCCACCGTGTATGTATGAAGAGGTGACAGACTATAAATGCATAAATGCTCCCAGTAAATGCCAGATTCCGCCAGCCCCTAGCTCCCAGATCCCAGCTGTTTATGTCTGTCTAGGTCCAACCTCGCCCGTGATGCTGAAGCCAGCCGAATGTCTAAATATATGATGCCTAGTCCTAGAAGTACAAGTAGTATACAGAATAAGCCGCCAGGAGTCAGCGCTCCAGCCAGCACTGCGTGGCCTGCCGCGGCTCCTCGGCGGCCGTGTAGAAGCCGCCGTCGATCAGCTCGCGCTCCTGGGCCTGCCAGCGGGCCAGACGGCGGCGGCCGTCCTTGCGGTCGAGGTCGCCGAGCTTGGCACTGACGGCAGAGACGCGACCGTCGACGTGCAGAGACACGCGCAGGTAACAGGTGCAGTCGCGCAGCGTCATGGCGGTCTGGAGACGGTCCAGCGCCTGAGCAGCAGCAGCGCCGTCGTCGCCCGGTCGGATACACAGCGCGCCCTTGGGGTCGTACTCTCTCTGGATGACGGCCAGGCGGCGGAAGAGATCGGTCGTGCGTACCCAGCGCACAATGGCAGCACGGGCAGCCGGAAGCAGCGCCGAGGCAGGGTCGTTGGGCCCGAGGTGGCGGCTGAGGTAATCCCAGAGGGCATCGTCGAGGCGATCGGCCGCCTTGGCCGTTCCATTTGCACGGAGCGCCTGCTCTTCGGCCACGAGCACGAGCGGACACGGCTTAGGAGTCCTGCTGGTCTTTCCAGGTCCCTTGCTGGCCAGGGCAGCCGACAGGGCGCAGGTGCGACAACGACGGGCGCCAGAAGGAGCGGTGGGCGACTGGGCAAGCCACTTTGGCTTGAACTGGATGGTGGCGGTGGCAGCGGTGGCAGCGGTCATGTCCTCGACGAGCAGGGCGACGTCAACGTTATCGGCCACCAGACAGCCGGCCCAGTCGGGACGACGGCGGCGGTGAGGATCGTCGTCGTGGGCTGCCAGCAGGCGGTTGAGATGGGGGTGAAGCTGAGTGACACCGCAGACAAGACGCTGGCCGACGAGATAGTCAGGGCCAATCAAAGGCTGCAGCACTGACACATAGTAATCGTGGTGGTCGATGCAGACGTGGGGACTGACGCCAGGAGCAGCCTTGGGGACGCGGAGAAGATGCGAGGTGATGATGGAAGGGTGCAGCATCGTGGTGGATACAGGCGCTGCAGAGGCAGCTGTAGAAGCAGCAGCAACACCTCCCGGCCTCATCTGGAAGACTGCATTGGCGGAGCCCTCAGCAGCAAAGGTACAGGTCACCGTCGTGGGAAGGACACCTAGCTTGGCGGAAGGCGGAAAGGATCTCCGGGTAGATGTGGATGTCGAGTTGGAGGTGGAGACGACAGTTGAGACAGCAGAGGCGCCGGCAACATCGCCAGCCGGCGGGACGACGATGGCAGCATCGTCCCCTTTTCCGGCCATTGGCTAGCGAGAGTGCGATTGGGGGGGTGGGCTCGTGAAGAGATGCCAGAGCGCAGAAACCAACCCAGAACAGTCGGCTGTGGGGAAAGAGAGCGTGGGGGGAGAAGGGAAGGGTATGGGGGTCGTGGACGTGGGCAGAGAAGGGAAAAAAAGAATGCTTGTCTGGCAGATTGGCGCCCCGGGCCCCAAAAACCGGCGACGCTTGAAAAGAACACCAAAAGAAGGTGTTGGGCTAAAGAAATAGATGTCTTCGTTCGCGGCCGAAATTGGCAATTAAAACGGGAGGCAGGCTACGTTCAAAGATATGTAAGATACATAGTAAACGGCAGGCGCCGCCAGAGCCGCCTGCAGTAAACACCACGGCTGCTTTTTTCCCCCTTTTCTCCTAATGCCCAACGACCTCGGCCGTCTCGTCGCCGCTTCCTCTTCTGGCCGTCTCCTGTTGCGCCTCGTTCCTCCTAGATTACGTGTCATCTCATAATCCCCATGTACGAGCATACTCGTATTCAGATATCCGCTTAGATTCCCGCTCCTCTCGGCCTCTCACAGCCTACATCCCAGGGATGGCAGCCCATCAGCCCATGCACCACCTGAACGAGGACGTCAGATGCACACCACGCCGCCTGCTCTCATTGGCGACAGGCCCGTCCGGCAGGACCGTCTTACCCGCGGGAGCACGGCCAGGGACCACGAACCACAAACCCTGAACACGGCCACAACCACAAATAGTTCCCTTTTAATCTCCTCCCGTCTCTTCTAATCTCTCCTCTGATCTACCCTGTGATCTGATCTATCACGCCCGGCAGTCCTCCCCCCCACTGACATGGGGCATGTGGACGCCTGATGTTCCTGGCCACCTCGCAGGGGCTGTATCGCACCCATGCACGGCCCTGGCCCTCTTCTGCATGCACTCTGCATCCGTCCCTCTTCTGCTTGCCCATTTCGGTCCGTGAGAGTTACGGCATGCAAGGCTCTCGGGCCATCTCTCTCTCGTCCATTCCCTTCACCTTGGCTCCCCGGCATCGCCCTCTTCTGTCTCAGCTGCCCAACTGTGGCCACTGGCCGTCGAGACAATTCGAAAAGGCGGTGGAGCCTCGCGCCGTCACCGCCTCTCCTCTCCTTGCATGCGTTCTGTTGTCTTGCCCAATGCTGAGTTTGTCTCACTCGTACACCCACGTAAGACGGCCTACGGAGTACGGAGTACTAGTTGTCTTTTTTCCCTTATTCTTGCCTGTCCGATAAGGCACATGAGCTTCTACAGCCCTCCTGAACATCCCCCTTGCCGGGTGTCTCAGGATATCTCACATGCCTCCGTGAACTTCCGCTTGGCCCAGCCGCTCGTGAGAGGCCGCTCGGGGACAGACGTCATAACAGGCCACACGAAAAGCAGTCAACTGGGCTCTCGTACGGAGTATTGGCTTCCCCTCCCCTTTGCAGTGCAGTGCCCCGCCAGCCTGAAAAGAATCGTGTGAGCTTCTCGTTGTCACCCCACCGAAAAACCCCCCCGGATATTTTTACAGTCCCTGCACGCTAGCACTCGCTAGCACTGTAGTGTGCTGTAGTGTGCTGCAGTGTGCTGTAGTGTGTTGTCGCTAAGCCATCGCCGTGCTGTGACCACTGTGGCACGCTGTCCCGCGGCGGCCTGTTATCACGTGCACTACTCCCAAAAACTGCAAATACGGAGTAGATCCTAGTGCGTTGCGGGGGTTTAAGGGAGCTAAAAATACGCGTCTAATTGGCACGCCGACCGGCCTTGTAACCAATTTCCTCACACCACCCATTTTTCTCGGGGGGCTTTTTTCTCCCGTGCTCTGCTATTTTTTTTTTCTTTCCATCCGTCTCTCCGGCTTTCTCCACCACAGCCACTCGCCCACCCACACACACATGAACAGTTCCCCAACCGCCTCGGGGTTTTTTTCTTCTTTTTTTTTCTCGTCGCTCATTCTAGCTTGGCTGCTCTGCTTCTCTATTGTTTCGCGTCCTTCATTTGCTTTGCACGTTCTTGTCCTCATTGTTTGCATAGCCTAGTTCTAATCTTGACATTTCAACCTGCTCCCGTTTTCTTTGTCTTTTTGTTTTCTCTCCGGCCTCAACGCTGCCTTCGACTCGACGGCCTCAACGCCCCAGTATAACCGAAAGCCGAAGTCTCATTCAGCTTCAAGACTTCTGTGAACTCTCCCTCCTCTTCCCCTCCTTCCCTCTTCGACTATACCACTACTCTCCCGCGAAGTTCAACCCTCAATTCTTTCTTGCACTGCCGCAGCCTCCAACTTGGTTCAACATGCAGCAAGGTCTTGAGACCGTATAAGCGATTGGGAAACGGGATTAGCAAGCACGCGGTACGCACACACGCTCTTGCCCCGGGCGCCGCCGCCATGGCCTTCAACTTTAACTGGTCGCCGCTTGCGGCCGATGCCAGCTTCTACCAGCGCGCCCGGGACCTCCTGACCACTGCCCTGAACAAGACTCCGAAGCCTCCCATTATCGTCGACGACATCATTGTCACCGAATTCAATCTAGGCTCCGTCCCTCCCGACCTCGAAATCCTCGAGATCGGCGATATCGCCGCCGACCGGTTCCGCGGCATCTTCAAAATGTGCTATACGGGCGATGCCTTTCTCACCCTCAAAACACGCGTACAGGTTAGTGATATTCTGCGTTCTCTGTAACGCTGCTTGTCGTCCGCCTCCGCAACACCCACTCTCATGTGCTGCGTCTTCGGCCCCTCTCTTCCGTGGGCAGTGGGTCCGAGCGGCGGTGAACACACGATAACGTCTTTCTATTCCATTTTTGGCAACTTTCTCTCCACTCTTGTCTCTGTTTCTGTTATCGTGCCGGCTGCCGTCGGGCAATCACACCTTGGTGCATTTTCTTCGTCCATAAACGCCCTTGGTCGCATCTCACGGTGCTTAGTCTCATTGTTTCCGAAAGAAGATGTTTGGAACCCCGCTGTTTGTTTATTTTCGTTTCTCTTAGCTCTTGCAATTCTGCCGTGAAAGGTGTTGCCAATATCTCTTTCTCGGTATTTTCTTACACACCTCATTTCCCATTTTTACTACACCTCAATGTCATTGCATGTCATAGTTGCTAACATGCGTTGTCCTGTAACAATAGGCCAATCCGCTAAACACATATCTCTCCTCCAAACCATCCTTCACCTCTCCAGAACCACTCGCCGCGGCATCCAGCTTGACGATCCCACTCCAAATCACATTATCCGAAATCAAACTCTCCGCCTTCATTATTGTCGTTTTTTCAAAACAGAAGGGGTTGACTCTTGTATTTCGCAATGACCCCCTCGAATCGCTCAAGGTCTCGTCGACCTTTGACTCCATTCAGTTTGTTAGGGACTACCTGCAACGGACGATCGAGGGCAAACTCCGCGACCTGATGATGAATGAGCTGCCGGCCATCATTCACCGCCTGTCACTTCAGCTGTGGTCGCCCGACCAGGCACCCAAGGAGGACAGCAACGCTACCGCCGATGATGACGGTGAGGTGCGCGTGAACCCGTTAGCCGACGTGCCGCCAGATGCGGTGGACGCGTATGGCAACCCCATCGACGCTGGCGAGATATCGTCACTGTCGACCACAGGCAGCCCAGAAACCCAGTCGCTCTTCTCGCAGAAGAACCTTGTGCGGCTGGCGGCGCTTACCAACTCACACCGGACACTGTCGCTGTTCACCCCTGGCATTCGGGAAGTTGTCTTTCGGGCATGGACACGGCCAGTTGATCGGCAGGATGCCAACGGCAGCGGCGGAACCGGCAGCAGCAGCAGTCCGCCGTTCTCGACACCGAATCTGGCGCGGTACAACTCGTATACGGCAGCAGCAACATCCACGACCGCCACTACTACCACATATACATTCTCCGACACGGGCAGCCAAGTTCACGGTCATTTACCTGCACGGCCATCAATGGTCAGCATGGGCTCCGTGACTACAGGACTGTCCCTGGGTGCCAATCACAGCCGACATAGCAAGGCCTATGGCGGCGCGCGCAAGAAGAAGACGCGCGTGGTCAATCTGCGCAAGAGCAGCGACAGCAGCAGCAGCAGCAGCAAGGCCCCCATTGGTGTCGGTGCGCCGGTCAGCGAGGTCGAGACAGGATCCGATAGCGTATCGGTGCAGGGCGCCTTGTCGGAGCCCATTCTTCCAGCATCGATTCCCGAGGAGAATGAACTGGAAGTACAGCCAGAACTGGCGACAGGGCCCCCGGGCAGACCAGGGCTAGCTGGGCTAGCAGAACTGGGACAGCCGGCAGGACAAGGAGTGCAGGCACAGACAGCGGCCGCCATTGCCATCGAGCCAGTCACCAGCATTGGCGCAACGCTGGCAGCAGCCGGCCGTGCCCCGGACCAGAAGGCGCCTGAAACGGCAGAAGCAGCAGTGCCAAGGGCGATGGTGCCCGGGTTTATGCACGCGGGGGGCGTGCTAGAAGCGGCGCTGGCCGACGAAAAGCGGCGATCTCAGGCGGCGGCGGTAACAGCAGCCGCAGCATTAGCAACATCAACGCGGCCAGGCATAAGACCAGGTACACGGTCCGGCGCACGGCCCAACGCACGGCCACCGCAGACAGCACAGAACGACTCGTCAACAGTGGTGGAGAAGGAGTGGATTATGAAGATGGCGAGCGAGATTGCCAGGCGGGTCTACGACGAGAACCGCAAGAACCCTACCTTTTGGGACGAAGCGCCACCTCCGGCGTACGAGGCTACGAGATAGATGAACCGTTGTATGAATTTATCAAATTGAACATTCTAAAAATTAGTGGATGCACGTGATACGGCGAATCGGTATACATAATTACGTAGTGCTGCGCTTGTATGGACTGTATAAAAGTACAGTGCATCGCTCGTAGAAACACAGTATAACTCATCGCGGTCGGAGCCGTGATTATTGCTCTTAAAGGCATAACAAAAGATAAGGATTAAGTGCCTACTAATCTATATGCCGTCATAGGCAGTTGTGAATAGGTGCGGACACATCCACTTCTTCTAGCTCGTATTCTCGGCGGATCAGACCTCGGGGATCAGCAACTCGGCTTTCTTACTTTTCCGTAATCCTTTTCAGTCTCCCCTTTTCTGCCAATGGGCTCGCTGTCATCGACGGTGTGACTGCTACGAGGAAAGAAAAAAAGCTTTCTCTGCGATTGCGTGGCCACATCGCAACATCCAATCCGCCACTCCCGCTGGTATCCGGGTGCACCCCCACTGCTCTCCACAGTCAGTGACCAGTCGCGACAGCAATCAGCAATTAGCAATCAGCAGTTCTGCTGTTCCCGACCGACGTTGGCGCCCGCCGCGAGACGTCTTCCCGTTGCAGTGCGCCTGCGTCCGCAGCTGGCCAGCCGGCTTTGCAGCCTTCCGACGAGCACGAGCAGCCTCGAGGCATCGACGGTAGCTAGCAGCGACATCCAGGAAGCGATCGGGCGACGGTGGTGCGACCGGGGTGGTGCGTGCGAGACTATGGCGCCGACGAGCGAGAAGAAGGCGGACAGGGCGACGCTGCTGAGCTCGATCAACCCGTGGGGAGCATCTCGGCGCAACGCGTCGCCGGCGCGAGGGTCCGAGGCCGAGACGCCGTCTGTTGGTGTGGCTAGCGGGCCAGGAGGAATCGGAGCAGTTGCGGCAGCCGGAGCGACAGGGGCAGCAACAGTACTGGGACTAGGCTCGACGTCGGGGCCAACGATGGGTTCTGGCGCAGCAACACCGTCAGGGGGCGTGCAGGACCACAGCATCAGCCCATTCTATGGACGGAGCATCCGCGAGTATCCAGCCGGATGCCCGCTGCTGAACGTGCAGTGGTTCCACGCCGTGGACGTGCCGAAGCGCAAGGCCGAGTGGTTCAAGGGCAAGAAGGCGGTGGCCAAGGACGGCAAACCACCGCCACGGCCGAAAAAGTACGTGGCTTTCTCGATATCTGACAGCCGATCGATCGAGACGGCGTACCAGGCGGTGCTGGAAAAGATGGAGGACAGCCGACGGACGTCGGGAGCGCAGGCGTGGGGTACGCGCCGGCGGTCGCCATCCTCACGACGGGACACGGCCGATTCGGGCGACCTGGGCGATATGGGGATGGAGGGAAGCGATGTTGACGGACTGGGACGCGGACAGACCGGCCAGCCTGGTTCCCGTCACGGCCGCGGCGTCAAAGTGCCGGTCAACGAGGATTTCTTGTTCGACGTGAATGTTGAGGACCGCGAGCTGACGCCGGTCTACTGGCTCGGACCGGTCTATGACGTGCGGCGCGGCAGCTGGTTCTATCAGGAGGGCTCGACGCTGCGGCCGTGTGAGGAGAACTTGGCGGCACAGCTGGAGGAGGGCTACCTGAAGGTGCGGCCGTGGCAATATGCGAGCGAGAGCTTGACTGAAGATGCGGGCGGTCCTGGAGGCTCCAGTAGCTCTGGTGGCTCTGGCGGTCCGGGGAGTTCTGCATCTACGCCTCCTCTAACCTCTGCCACTACGTCTACGACGGCTGGCGACTCCTCGCAGCTGCAGACGCACCGGTTGTTTGGGCAGTACATGAACCATGTGGCCACATATCAAGACGCGACGACGGCCTGGCTGTCGACGGACGGGATGCTGTCGTGGGTGACGTCGACCGTGTACGAGCGCTTTTCGGGCGGTGGCTTCATGAGCGGCGTCAAGCTGGTGCGTGGGTACTCGGAGCCAAAGAAGGCCAAGGAAGCCAAGGAGGCCAAAGAGACCAAGGAGACCAAGGACGCAAAGGACGGCAAAGAGAAGCAGCAGCAGCAGCAGCCGACCGGCGGGAATGCAACCGACGAAAAGAGGGCCAAGGCGCTCAAGAGGCGGTCGGCGCCGCCCAGCATACAGTCGGAGCGATCGGACGGCGACATTGGCGGCGGCGACGATGCAGAGGCGGTGTCTGAGGTGCAGTTCCGAGGCAAGCAGCTGCTGTCATCTTTGATGGGAGGCGGCGGAAAGAGCAGCCGCAGCAACAGCAGCGCGAACGTGCCAGAGGCACAAGAAGAGGAGATCCGCAAGCGGGAGGAAAAGGAGATCCAGGATGACTACAACGGGCAGAGTGGAGAGACGCAGGGTCGCGAGATCGAACATCTTGTCCTGGTGACTCACGGAATCGGACAACTACTGGGAATTCGGTGAGTCATCTTCATGATGCTGACATAATACGTTATACGGTATACGCTACACGCATACACTAACACGTCCAGCATGGAGAGCCTAGACTTCATCCACGACGTCAACATGCTGCGCAAGACGCTTAAGGCAGTGTACGCGGGCTCACCCAGTCTGCGGGCGCTGAACTCGGAGCTGCCGGGCGGTCCAGGCAACTGTCGCATCCAGGTGCTACCAGTGTGCTGGCGTCACATCTTGGACTTTCCCAAGCGTAACGAGGGACGGCAGCAGACGCAGGACCTCGGTGACATGAACGAGGAGGAAGATTCATGTAAGTGTGTGGTGGCTCGCTGTTTTTGCCTTTTTGAGACGCTGTCTGACATGCACAAGATCCGGCCCTGGAGGATATCACGATTGAGGGGATGGCGTTTGCGCGGTCGCTAATCTCAGATCTGGCGCTGGACGTGCTGCTGTTCCAGAGCTCCTACCGCGACCAGATCTCGGAGATTGTGGTGCGGGAGGCGAACCGGATCTACCGGCTGTTCCGTGAGCGCAACCCGGGCTTCAAGGGCACGGTGCACGCCGTCGGACACTCGCTCGGCTCAGCCATTCTGTTTGACATATTCTGTCGGCAGCGGGATGACCGGACAGTAGCGCAGTCGAGGCCTGGCAGTGGCAGTTCCAAGCAAGCCCGGGACCTGAGCCTTGCGTTTGACGTTGAGGACTTTTACTGTCTGGGCTCACCGGTGGGCCTATTCCAGATGCTGGAGGGTCGGACCATTGCGGCACGGCCTGAAAGCAGCGATGGGGGAACAAAAGGAGGAGGAAAAGGACGCACAGCGTTTGTGGACCTCACGTTGAACGAGTCGGATGCTGAGCCGCGGGTGGTGTCATCGCCGCGGGTGTCACAGCTGTTCAACGTGTTCCACCCGTCGGACCCGATCAGCTACCGGCTGGAACCGCTGATCTCACCGCCCATGGCCAGCCTCAAGCCGCAGGTGCTGCCCTACACCAAGCGCGGCCTCTTTGGCAGCGTGGCGCCACAGGGACTGACCGGCATCGGTGCCAAGGTTGGTCAGAGCGTGTCGGGCCTGTGGTCGAGCTTGTCGGCTGGAATTGCGAGCAACCTGCTGAACCGCAGCCTGGGCTTCAGCCAGGAAGACGTGGCGAAGCTAGGCCAGGAGGCGGGCGGTGCTGCTGCTGTGTCTCCCGGGGGAGATGTGGCGCTTGTCGACGGCGATGTTGAGACGTTGTACTCGCACTTTCAGAAGAAGCGCGCCAGCCTGAAAGGCGAGGATGCGACGACAGGCAGCCACAGCAGCCAGTGGCTGGCCGAAGAGGCCAAAGCGCAGCGCATGCGTCGTGAGGAGGCCAAGGTGCGGGCGCTCAATCGCAACGGCCGTGTGGACTATAGCATTCAGGAGTGAGTTTGTCTTTCTTGGATGCTGCTGTCCTTTGATTAGTATTAACCTCTTCAGGAGCGTGCTCGACTTCAATCCCATCAACACCATCGCCTCGCACATGGCCTACTGGGCCGACGAGGACGTCAGCCACTTTATCATGTCGCAGGTGCTCTCGCACCGGGCACGACCGACGCGGAAGCGCAAGAACCAGCATGCGCATGAGACGTAGATGGCAAAAGGAGCCCGCTGACAGTCGAATGGGATAGCGACAGTGGAGAGAAGAACTAGGCAGCAACTGGACGGAGTTATTGGGCATAGACAAGGAAGGCGCAAAACAGGAGAATCTGCCATTGAAATTGTGTGGCTAGCATACCGCGCATAATAGACCTGAATAGGAATGTACGCTCGGTGTAGCCCTCAACAGTTCCGTCGAAAGGTGGTGAAATGGCACTCGAATTTTGTGTATTTATAGACATTATTACTCCATACTCCGTATTAGAAAGTACGTATGAAATTGACTGATGGCGTCTAATCCGTACCAAAAGCACAACATGCATCAACACAACGGGCTGCTCCGCTGCAACGAAATGACTCGAGATGCACCGTAACGGCTGAAGTGTGTAAAGAGCAATAGGCAAGGTTAGTGAAGGCAGCTAATCAAGCTTCCAGAACAAATTTTACCCTGCGGAATTTCTGTCCTGTGCAGCCGAAGAAATCGAAAAGGGGTCACGCTCTCAATTTCGTAGCCTAGTCGCATTGCTACCGAACCTTCTGGAGAGAAAGGGGGTGGGGAGAAGGCCCACTGGGCGCGCCTGGCTGTCAGAACAAGGAAGAATCAAAGAAGTTGCAAGGAACAGTCGAGTCGTAAGGTACTTGTTTACATTGGCTTGCCATTGAACAAAAACGCAAAGCATTGCATTAAACCTCATGAATGCAGAGCGTCAAGTTCCTGCCACCAGTCGACTACTCCGTAGTCCGTACGAACGGTACATAGGAACTCGTGCATGGCGGGGATCCACGGCCTCGGCAGCATTGCTGACAGCCATGCTGGCATCTGAGCGTGCATAGAGGCCCACAGACGAGCAGCTGATGGCGTCAGAGTTACATGGCCGGGGCGGGCGAAGAAGCCGGCGTGGTAGCGGCAAGCTGGGAAGAACAGGCGGCCGGGTCCTGGCCGAGTGGCAATAGCCGACAAGCGAGTGATTCTGCACAGGACAATCCCTGCATGCTTCACCGCTGACCACGAATAACAAAGCACGATACTCATCATCTTGGACACGTCTGCAAGACGATCAAACACACCGTTTCCACCAACTGTCGACCAACTCGCCAGCACAAAGCCAGCCAGTCGGGTGCAGCCGCAGCTGACCTGCTGCACAGTCTGTCCTAGACTGCGTTGTTGGCAGGTCCACTATCAGGCCTCTGTGGGGCGTTGGACGGCGCAGCTAAATTACGGAGTACACGTAAATAAAAGCAGTCGGTGTGCTCTGGTGGCCCCAGGCGCTCGGCCAGGGGTCAGAATGGGGGGAAGCAGAAAGCGGCTTGGCCTCGTTTTCTTCACAATCTTCCATCCGGATTTCCAGTTCCCGACAGTACAAAAGAGTGTCGAAGAGGGTGGTCCACGAGTTCTGATCCGTCGTATCACAAGCCCCCTGCTTTATATTCGCTCTCCCTCCTTTTGCTGCATCTGGCACCTTTTTGGCTTTTGGCTTTTGGCTCTTGGTTTTTGGCTTTTGGCGTCTGGCACTTGGCCTCTGGCCTCTGGCATTTGCTTTTGCCCGGTCTAGTCATCCCCACATGTCGCTCCCGGTGCTGTCGTTGGCCGTCTCCGGAGCAGCGGCTGCAGCAGCGGCATCTGTTGTGGGCGACCGTGTCTTTGGACCGGCCAAGCGACAGCGGCCGTCTTCGGCTTTGACATCGACATCGACATCGACATCGACATTCATCTGCGCAGCCGATGGCTTCCTCTTCTTCTTCGTCTACGGCTACATTGTCCGCCACCAGAAACGGTCGCCGACAGCCACACCAACAAAGCTCGGCTTCAACGAGTTTCTCGCCTCGACAGCAGCGGCCGCCTGCTCGCACATCTTCTCGGCGAACACGGCCGCCGATGGGCTGGCTGGCCTGCTGGCCAGCCGGCGTAGCAGCTCGGCCGAGGACCTGGCCCTGACGCTGGACCCCGGCATCGCCTTCTGTCTGCAGCAGGTGCTCGGTTACAATTGCCAGAAGCTGCCGTGGCTGCAGCGTCTGCGCTATGGCAGCGGCCGGAGACGACACCAGCAGGGACGAATCGAACATGCAGCACGGCTCGCTGCGCGCGCGGCTCTCGACACTGCGATTGTCTTTGTGCTCGCAGCCGTCAGCAAGGCCGTCTCCACGACGCTCACGTACCCGCTGCTCACAGCGGGCCGCCAGCAGGAGGAGATGGATCGGGCAGAGAGGGCAGACAGGGCAGAGCGGGCAGAGCGGGCAGAGCGGATCGACAGGGTTCTGGCGGCAAAGGCGGCCGAGACAACGGGGAATCAGCTGTTTGGCTCACGAACCGATGTGGAGATCAAGATGGCGAGCATTGCAAAGGACGCAGCGGAAGTGGCCAAGAGCCCTGCTGCCGGGGTGTCTGCTGGAGCACCTGCAGTCGACACACCCCCGGAAAGCCCCAAAGCTGCCGATTTCAAGGACGTGCTCCACCCTTCCAGGAGCACAACCACAGCCACGACCCCGGCCACGGTTGACATGGCCCGGCCGCCCCAGAGACGACGGCCACTGGCCCTCTTTGCGGGCCTGCCACATGTGCTGGCACGGGCGGCTCTCAGCCACGGCCTGACCATGGCGGGCCAGCGGGTGCTGTACACCATCGTGCTGCGGCTAGCCTATGCTGTTGCGGGGGCGCTGACGCGGCTGATCGAAGGCCGACGTGCACGGAAGAGCAGAGATGCAAACCGTCTGCCGGATTGGACGAACACAGAGCAGACGTACGACCGGAAATTGGTCTACGTCCGCGACGAGGACGCGAACCGAGCCGTTGAGAACACGGTCGAATCGGTCCGGCCGCAGCAGCTGATGCTGCAGAAGCAGGTGCACGAGCACCAGTTTGAGTCCCAGGAGGAGGTGCAGATGGCCTTTGAACAGGTCCAGGCAACCCAGGAGACCTCGACAGAGGCTTTCACCCGGGCGAAGCCTTCGCTGGTCGTCCCGAAACCTGATGCTGTTCACCGGGTCGACTCTCCGGTACCGGTCAAGGCATCCATACCAGCCCCCCCAGTGGAGCTGAAGATTGTGCAGATACCTGTGCAGCAGAAACAGCTGGCGGCCTCGACACCGAGCCGATATTATGGTGGTGGTGGCATGTCTCTCGGCATGGTCGAGGAGCACACCAGCTACGTCCTAGACAGCCCGATGCCACAAGCGCAGCCGACCAACGCGTTGATACGGCCGCAGGCGCTGCAGGCGTCGCCGCCAGCCAAGGGGCTGGTGACCATCGACCGAAGCCTGCACGAGGATGTGGCAGACCGGCTGCAGAACATCGACATCTCCGGCCCGAGCATCCAGGGCCCGAGCGAGGCCTTTTACGGCTACAGCGATAACAACGTCGAGGAGGACGAGGAAGAGGGCACGGTCATCTACAACATGATCTCGCGCACACAGCGGGTTGTGTGGTAGGATATCGGATATACGGGAACCAGGCGACGGAGCATCTTGTCATAGCGTTGGTATCTTTATGGTGTATTAGAATGGTAAACCAAGTCATCCGGAGGATCCGGCAATATCTATCCTATCCCCTCTCAACACTGAAACGCCACAGCGTTCTTCTTGACCTCGCTAGCACCGCCGGCCGAGAAGCCGGTGCCCTCGCTGCGCAGCTCGACGAGCCCAGGCCGGACGCGTTCTTTTTCCTTCTTGTGCCTGTCCTTGCGGTCCTTTTTGCGCTTCTTGCCCTCGGCCTCCTCGGTCAGGTCGGCCTCACAGACGTAGCAGCGCACCACGCCGGCCTCGTCCTCGGGTGCGTGGGGATCGTGCAGCAGCATGCCGGCACCGGCACCGGCACCACTGCCGCCCTCTATCGGCCGCACGAACTGGTGCACGCAGCTGCGGCAGAGCACGTGACCACACGGTTTAGCCATGACGGCACGTGACGCATTGGACAGCGAGCGCTTGCAGGCTGGACAGATGCGACGGCCGGCGTCGTCCTCGGCGAACTGCAGCGACACGAGCGTGCGCAGAGAGAGGGCGTGACCATCGTTGGATGCGGGACAGGCTGTGGTGGTGTTGGTGGTGCCGTTGGCTGATGTCGAGCCGATGACGACGCCTCGGTTGGACGACGGGGTCTCGGACGGGGCCCAGAATGACGGCAGCGCCGAGGCATCTCTGGCAGCAACACGATCGGCCTCAATGGCACGACGAGCACGCGCGCGGTCCTCATCGACGACGCGCTGCAGATCGCCGTCGTCGAGCTCAAACTTGCGTTTGCGGGTAGGCGACGAGGTATCGGCAGTGGCGGTGGTCGTGGTGCTGGCAGCGGCAACAGTGATAGCTAGCAGAGGTTTTGACCGAGTTTCTCGTTCTTGCTTTTCGTCTCGCAGCCTCACCTCGCCGCCGCCTCCTCCTCCTCCCAACCCTGCTTGCACGAGGTCGAACTGCACGACGGCACGAGCCTCATCCTCGGCGGCCTCACGCAGACGGTACTCCTCACGATCACGCTCAGCCTGTGCCCGCAGACGATCTAGCCGCTGCAGCTCCTGCTTCTGGGCCAGCAGGTTGCGCAGCGCGCACTCGCGACAGAACACGTCGCCGGCTGGACAGGCGACCGGGTCCTGGGCCGGCTCTAGGCAGAGGGCGCAGGCGCCAAAGGGCAGAAACGACTCGCGCGTCAACCGTGCCGACGAGACTGTCCAGGCAGCCTTGGCCAGCGACCGCTCGTGCGCCGTGAAGACGGCTCGGCTGGTGTTGCGCTTGCCTGGTAGGTTAGCAGGGCAGACGAGAGGACGAGAGGACGAGACAGGAGCATAGATTCGGAAAGCTGAAGCTTACTGTGGGACATGTCGACAGGCAAGAGGGTAAACTAAACTGACATTAAGAAGAGCACGTCCACAAACATGTCAAGCCAAAGGACCAAGACAAGTGGCAATAGCTAGAATCCAAATGTCAAGGCTGCACTTTAGTGGGTCTTCCGGCTGCATCAGCAGTGGAGCCGGGCAGTCACCGCTAGTCATCAGCGGTCGCGCCTGCCTCGCTACATACTCCGTAGTAGCCTCCAGCCTATCTGCACCTTCCCCGTGGTCGGTGTACATAACAATAGTAGTACTCTGTATAGTAAAGGATATATCCTACAATGTCCAATTTAGAGCCTCATTTTCCCAGATTCAAGCCAGACACCCAGAACACTCGTACACAGGACACGCAGACAGCTCACTCCTCGTCGACAAACGACTCGGTCTCCTCTAGTCCCCGCAGCACCTCTTCGATCTCGCTAGGGTCTGTGATGGCCCACACGCCGCCACCTTTGACCGGATCCTTACCGCGCATGCCGACCTCCTTGCCGACTAGGTTGCGGCCGACCTTTCCGGGCCCAATGCCAACCCAGCGCCGCACGCGCTGCTCCTGGTCCAGGTAGCGGATGCTGTCCCACCACTGCACCGTCTCCTCGCACTGGCGCGCCAGCAGCTCTGTCAGCTCGGGCCGGCTGCTAAACGGTCGCGCCGTCACGTTGCTGATGCATGGCAGCCGGCCTGGAAACTGCACCGCCCACGGCCGCTCCTGCTCCAGCATTTGCCGCATCTCCGCCACGGCCGGCCGCATGATTGCGCAGTGGAAAGGGCTGTCGCTGCTGAGCCGCACCGCCCGCGGATCGTGGCCCATAAACTGCCGCACCTGGCCGAGAAGCCGCTGAATCCGCTCGATGCTGCCGCTCAGCACAATCTGGTTCTTGCTGTTGATATTGCCAATGTGTACCGGCGCCGGATGGCAGAACGGAACGTACGGCGACGGCGGTGTCAGGTCCAGCGACGACAGCGACGACAGCGACGGCAGCGAAAACGACGACAGCAGTGGTGTCTGTCTTTTCTCCCCCAGAATCCGCTCGATCGCCCTGACGAGGCCGGGCAGATACTCAGGCTCCGTCAGCACCGCCACCATGCCGTACTCGCCGCCGCCGTGCGCTGTCACCGCCTGCCGCGTCGCCTTGGCCATCGCCTCAGCCCGCCGTCGCACCAGCCAGAGACTGTCGCGAAACTGCAGGTAGCCACCTGCCACCAGTGCCGCAAACTCTCCCAGCGAGTGTCCCAGCGTCACGTCCATGTGCTCGGATATCCGGAACCCAAAGTCGCGCTCCAGCACCCGAACGATCAGGATTGACGTCGCCATGATCGCCGGCTGTGCCTGCGCCGTCGCCGTTAGCAGTCGTCCTGGCCCCGACTGAATCACCTCCGTCAGCCGGTATCCCATGCAGTCGTCAATCTCCTCCATCGTCTCGCGCGTCGTCGCCGGAAACGCCTCCAGCCACGGCGTCAACATTCCCACCCTCTGCACGCCCTGGCCTGGTCGAGCATCTGTGTCAGCAGCCGGCACCGCCACCGATCGAAGAGGGAACAAGCTGACAAGATGCGCACCCACCTGGAAAGAAGATTGCCGTCTTTGGCCGCGGCCGCGGTGTTGCCAGCGGAATCGACGACGACGACGATACCGCTCGCCGTTGATGTGCTACCCGCGCGGTGCAGTGCGTGTGGCGGCTGCATCGCAGGGGCAGAAACCGGAGAGCTCCCATCGCCGTTGTGGCAGCTAGGCAGACGTTCGGCTGTGGCCGCTCCAAGGACCAGCGGAAGTCAAGAGACGGGTCGGAGGACGTCAATCCACACAACCAACGCGAGACATGTCTCTCCAGTGCACAAGAAGCTGCGAAGAACTGCAGACCCACTACCCGGCGAGAAGCCGAAATTGCATGTGTACGTGTAGGTTGCAAATAAAATCACTGGCCACATGGGGTCCCCAAACTCGGGTCTTTCGGGGCAACTATAGCCGTATTCCGGTCCTGCTCGTGTAAATGGCCAGCCCCGCTTTCCATTCTCAGCTTAGCCGGCGGCGGTTCGGGCCAGAGGGACATGTGAGGTAGCACGTGATTCTGATGAAGGCTATTGCTCCCAACGACAAGTTTACAACAATCGATTGTAACCGTCTAGAAATTGACCGACGTCCCATGTTATCCGTACATTTTTACCATCCAGGGCTAAAATCTAACACTGCTCCTTTTATGTCACCCTTCGTGCTGAGTTTAACTGTACACATGTCGACTGCGTTCCATTCTCCCCTGTTGTCTCGCCCGCCGTCATGCACCTTGGCCAGCCTACAACATATTTTACTGTCCCTGTAGGTGCACCACAGTCATGTCTTTACGCTTCATCTCTCCGGGCCGCTAACGTGACACCCGTTTCTCCGCGCTCACATAAACGGAGGCAGGGAGAACGGGTAGCCCTGATTCTTCATGCGGAAGACGCTCAGCAAGAAGCTGTACATGACGAAAATGACACCGGCCCAGATGGCAGCAGCCAGCTTCTGCGTCCGCGCGTCCGTGATTCTCGGTACCTTGATGGCGAGAGAAATCGTAGCGAACGACAGCACGGCATCTAGTAGACAAGAGGTCAGCATCCGCTCAGCGACAAGCCGACAAAATGTCCAAAGTGTGCATAATTCTTACACATAGCAGCGACAATCTGCGTCTCCATTCCGAACTGGTTCTGGAACCCGCCAGCAAAGTACGTGATGCCACCGCGACCGTCTCCGGTCACGTAGGGCACCTTGCGGATTTGGTTGAACATGTGGCCGCTGGTAAAGAGGAGAATGGCGATCAGGCTGGTGGCCGCCCAGAGGTTGCGATTCTGGACAACGGGGAGAACGTAGGGCCAAGCGACAAACAGGGTTGTGATCGCACCCAAGAAAATGGTGATACCGGTGGCCCAGCCAACCCAGTTGATCGGACGCTGGATGGGCGGGTGAGGCCGGTCAGGGAGGTGGCGTGCCAGCCAGTTCTGGACCACCTCAGCTTTGCCGGGACTGATGAGCAACGGCCTGTCAGCGTCTGTACATTGTCGTCCTGTCTTTCAGTCATTCAGCCCGCAACGTACCCATTGCCAAAGTCGTAGCGGATTGGGTCGGCCTTGCTGACTGCAAACGGACCGGCTGTGGGCGGGAAGAAGAAGAGGACGGGGGCCGTCTGGAGGCCGAGCTGTGCAGAAGAAACCGGATTAGCCTCGAGGGCCCCAAGTGCGTGGCAGAGGCGTTCTGCCGTCACATACCGACATGAACGTCTCCCGACCCTCGTTGAAGTCGAGCGAGGAAAAGACGACCCGGGACTCGCCAGCCTTGTCACCCTTGGTCCAGCTGCGGGCCAGCAGGTCAAACTCGGGCTGGAACTCACGGCACAGCTGGCAGCCGAACCGGGCGTCCATGGCGGTTAGCAGCACGACCGAGCTGTAGTTGCGCTGTGCGCTGATAAGTTTGCCGTACTTGGCATCGTTGATCTTGATGGGGGTCGAAGAGAGCTGCTGGGCATGAAAGTCCAGGAACAGATCGGCCTTGGGAGCAGCGGCGAGGGAGCCCGCCACGAAGGCGGACGAGACGAGCAGCGAGAACCAGCGCATTTTCGCAATTGTTGGGGCACAAGTAGGAAATTGGTGTTGGGCGTGCCAAGAACAGAACTGCCAGAACACGACGTGCACTCTTCGTCTGGGCCGAGGGGTCGGTGCTGTCGAACAAAGACTGCGAGTGTAGCCAGAGGGGAAGAGACCTGGCTTTCGTTGTTGGCGAAGCTGCTGCAGCTCTCTGTTAGACCAATTCAAGGAACCACGTACGCCGTAACGAAATTCTTCCACTGATTGGCTACTCGTAGTTGTACGTCGTATCTTACGTGCTGCTCCTCCGGACCATTCTAGTACCGATCCGAGCAAGGCTAGCTCTTGCTTCACATGCTGAGCTAATCAACACTAGCTTCATTTGGACGCAAAGTAAACAACTCACACAACAAAACACGCCCTGCCTTTCCCTTGTTACTTGTCCGTCTTTTGGGGCTATATTGTCAAATCTCGCCAATAGTGTGACCTTCGGGATCGAGGCGGCTTGCTCATTATCTGCTATAGCTCTCCTTATCCAGTGTCTTTATTTCAGGGGGTTTGCTTCCTTTTCTTTTCTCGGTTTATTTTATTTATTGGCGAGTCGCTCTTGCGACGAGACGCGTCTATAGTCATCAGCAACATGGATATTGACAAGGTGCGCCGAAACGCCACAGCTCTTCCAATCTAGACCGCTTGGTGACTGACAGCAGACGCGACAGAAGTCTGAGAGGAGCCATGAGCTTGGCCTTAAGTACTTAGAGGCCAGACACCAAGAAATCATCGTGGTCAAGGAGGAAGAATCTCGGAAACAGAAGGTGCAAGCTGTACTTCTGCACGAGAAAAATGACCAGCTTGAGGACCAGCTGTCTCAGCTGAACTATCGCATGAAGACGATTTCATTCGACTACGAAGATGCGCGCATCAAGCTGGATAGCATGGAACTAAAATGCCAGGAACAAGAAAAGCAGTTGCGCGCGCAGGTCCGCGAGCATTCTACTCTGCGGGTAACTTTGTATTCCATTGCATGTAATTCGAAAACAGAGTTGCTGACTGAGTGCAGACGGAACTGATGTCACTCAGCAGTGTGACCCAGGACTCTACCAAGGTGTTGACAGAGAAACTTGCTCTGTCTCGTGAGATTTCAGTTCTGAAGCCCGAAGTGGAGCATCTGAGGTCCCAATTGGCACACCAAAAGGATGTGCTGGCTGAGAAGCTGGCGCTCGAACGACAGCTAAACACGCTCGAGCTTGAGCTGGCTAACGAAAAACGGGCGGCACAACGAGCAGCTCAACGACAGGAAAGCCAGGAGAGCGAGATGGAAAAAGAGCTCCGCCAGCAGGTACAGGATCTCGAAAAGAAGGTCGCCAGCGAGAGACGCGCCAAGGACGCGCAAATGGAGTCCAAAACCGAAATGCAACAACGGATCCAGGAGCTCGAGGCGCAGTTGGGGCAGGAAACCCAGACAGCCGAGCAACGGATGAGCAAGGAAGGCAGCAAAGCCACCGAGAAGCTCAAGAATGCGATAAATGATCTAGAGAGGGCGCTGGAGGGCGAGAAGCGCGAAAGCCAGCGTATCCGAAAGGAGGCCGAGACGGAATTATCCGAAGCACGCAGCCAAACTGAGGCTCTTGAGCAGCGAGTAGCAGACCTCAAGGCGAAGTTGCGCGAAGTCCGGGACGAGCTCAAAGCCGCTCGTGTAGAGCTGGCAACGACCAAAGAGAGCGTGAACCACATTCCCGATATTCCCAAGAAGACGGCCAAGACAACGACAAAGTTACAGACACAAGCGCAGCGGAAGCGGCGAGGCGCTGAACAAACCGGCCCAGAGCTCCTCCTCCAGACGCCCGGCATTGGCGACGAAGGGCGAATGAAGCGGCCGCTTAAGAAGAGGGGCTTTGACCGCATAGTTGCTGTTGAGAAGTCGAACTTTTCCATCACGCCGTTCCTCAACAAGACGGCGAGCATGGCGGAAGACGACGTGGAGGCCGAGCCAGCCGGGCCATCTGAAACAGAAGGCCTGGTGCCAGGGCCAGAATCAGACGAAGCGGCAGCATCAGCACCGGAAGACGAAGGCGAGTCAGAGTTGCAAGATTCAATCCTGGGTACGACCGTGACGTCGTCCATAGCTCTGCCTTCTGTCGACGTCCCAGCAATCGCTGCGGTAAAGTCGAAAAAGGCCGACGGTGGCGAAGCCCCCAAAAGACGTGGACGGCCACCCAAGGAGAAGGTGCTGGGTGAGATGCTGGCATTGAAGAAAATTGTGCAAGTCTCGGCGTCCAGCGGAAAGGAGAGCACGGTGGCAAGAGAAGGGCCGGCTGCAGAGGCATCTAACGAACAGGAGAACCGGCCTCCCATCAAGGCAGCAGTGGCGAAGAAGGTGCTGGGAGCCGTAGGATCGGTGACAACGAAAGTTGTAGCTGAGCCGGAGCCCAAGAAGAAGAAGCGGAAGATTCTGGGCGCCAGCAACAGCACCATCTTTAATGATGACGACGATGCAGGTGTAAAGGGTAGTGTGGTGGAAGAAGCAGTAGCAGGAGCATCCGGACCGACGGTCAAGCGCACAGCTAAGGCGCTAGGTGGCACGCGGCCTATGGCGACCGGAGCAGGCAAGCGGACGATGTTGGGTGGTGTTCGAAATGCTTTTGGGGCTGTCGGTGGCGGCTTTTCACCATTGAAGAGAGACCGACGTGGAGTAAACGCAAGTTTCCTTGCTTGAGGCACCTGTTATTTTGCATGCATTATGCATTGGGTGAGGAGTCGGCAATATGTTCTTAGCATTAGGTGTTTTTCTTTTCTGGGTTGGCATAGAGCGGGTGTACATTGATTGGATAGCCCGGGTATCCTGGCATGGTACTATAAGCTGTATGGTCATGTCTGGTGATGATTTCGCTCTTCGGGATATGTTGCATTTGTAGAACATCAACAGGACTGCCTGCTGGACATGTCACATGAACAGCTTCACCTGCTCCTCGCTCCAGTCCCAGAATGCCTCGCCGCCACCGCCACCTCCCTCGGACTTGGGCTGGGCATTATGGAGAATGTCACTGCGCATGCTGAGGAAGCGGCCCCACGGGCCGACTGCTTGGATTAGCTAAGAGCGCAACAATAGGGGTAGAGACACGCACTCCATCCACCAGACTTGTCCAGCGTGACGTCTGGCGACAGACCGGCAAACAGCTCCGTGTAGGCGCCGTAGACGGAAGGGTACAGCATGAAGCGGACAAAGGCCTTCATGACGAGCGTATGCAAAAGGCCAGCCTTGTTGTCAGAGTTGCGGTAGAGGTCGGAATCGAGGTTGCCGGGGTTGGCGGCGATACTAACGATGCCGTCGACACGGTGCCGGCGAGCAAACTCGGTGCTATGCAGATAGTTTCCTGCCTTGCTGGCAGCGTACTTTGCAAGAAAGATGGGTGAAGAAGGGGTGGTAGCAGGCAGGTTGACAACGTCGATGCCGCCAGTGTCCGACATTTCGGCGGCGATGGACGAAACCCAGACAACGCGGACGCTGCCGGGAGGCGTCGTTTCGCCAGACCTGGCCGTTGCTGCCAGCATGGGTGTCAGCAGGCGGGTGAACAAAAAAGGCGCCAAGCAATTGACCCCGATCTCGAGGTCGTAGCCCTGCGCCGTCCTGGGCTCGTCCTCGGGCGGCACTAGGACGCCGGCGTTGTTGAACAGCACGTCGAGGCGTGACTCGCGCGCGAGAAAGACATCGACCGCAGGCTTGATGCTTCGCAGGTCGGCCAAGTCGAGCAGCAGGAACTCGAGACGGCCGTGAGTGGGAGTGGCTGCCAGTTGGAGCTCTTCTATGGCCTGGCGGCCCTTAGTCTCGGAACGGCAGGCCAGATAGACAATAGCGTTAGCTCCATAGAGTATGCGAGTGAGCTCGCGGCCGACTCCGGTGTTTGCCCCCGTGACGATGTAGACGCGACCAGAGAGATCCGGAAGGTTTTTTTCCGTGAATGCCGGAGCCCAGGGGAAGTTCTGGGACACAAAGGAGGGGCGGAGGGCATACATAAGTAGAGAAACAAGGCCAGTCAATAGGGAGAAGTATTAGAAGGAAGAAAAGGGAAGTTGTGTCTCTTACATAATGAGAGCGTAGACAGAGAAGGCTTAGAAGAGAGGCAAAAAGTATCTTACTCCAGAAGCTCAGCTCTGAACATGAGCTTCGTAAGCCCCACCGCGCGCTATCTGTTTGTACCCCTCTTAACAAGAGACACAAGTAAGAAGGCAGTCCTTAAAACACATTGGCATAATATTCTTATTTGCTTGCAGTTTAGAGCAGATATGTAGCGTAAATATGAAATATCTGGCTCTCGAAGAATAAAAGCGATGCGAAAAACACCGGTCCTGCTGCTAAGGCTATCGGTTGTGCATCGTGGTTGCCCTGCGAGCTGGATCACTTGCTTCTCGTCCGGTCGCTCGTTGTTTTTTAAAGTCAGTGCGCGCTCTTCCTCTGCGACTATTTTATATATAATAGCACCCAAATTGCTTCAATACTAGACAAATGATAGCACTAAAGCACACAACGATGCCAGGCATACAAGTGAGCCAACTGCAGGTAACACCGGCCACCAATCAGCGGCCGCCATTCTGCTTCGCTGCCAATAATATTCCCAATTTTTTCGTGCTTTGTAACTCAAAAACAGTCCCAACAGAGATAATGCACAGCTTCTGCACCTTAACAGCCGGCTATCCAACGTCCCGGTGTCTGCATCCGCCTTCGCCCCCTCATGTCACCGGCCATTGAGAGGCTTGGCGGCCGGCTAGCGGTGCGACTAGGCCTCACCGGCAGCCTCGGGCCTGCATACGCATCTTCGGTCTCCCGCCGGCCAGCAGGACTGGCTGCCCTCCCGGTGCCGGCAACCAAATGCTGTTGGCGCTGCCAAAGGCGGCTGTTTTCCATAACCGGCGTGGTCGCCGGGTCGTCTAGCTCGCGATGGACCTCGCGCCAGGAGAAAGACATCTATGCTCGCGAGGCCAAGGTCAGGGGTCTCAAGGGCCGTGCCGCCTTTAAGCTGCTAGAGGTGTGATATCCTCTTGCTTTCTACTTGCCTTTTGATTGCTTTCTACGGGCTTACATCTGGCAGATGGATAGTAAATATCGCCTTTTTAGGCCTGGCCAGATGGTCGTGGATCTCGTAAGTCTTCCTTCTCGTTCGGGCTCCTGTGGAGAATGACCTGTTAACACCTCCAAAAGGGTTATGCTCCGGGAAGCTGGTCCCAGGTGAGTTGCCTTTCTGCACAGGACATGCTGCTCAGGCAGGAGTTTCTTTTTAACGTGCCTGCCTCGCCTCTCCCCTCACTCCTAAAAGGTGGCCTTGGAGCGAACAAAACCGACTGGTCGAGTGCTCGGCATCGATCTCATTCCTGCCCAGCCTCCACGCGGTGTATCGACCATCCAGGGAAACTTCCTGGCACCATCGGTGCGCGCTTTGGTCAAGGAGTACCTGGCCACATCAAAGAAGCGGCCGATCGCCAGAAATCGCGAGTCGAAGTCCGACCCCGACGCCAGAGCTCCTGACGATTTTGAAGAGGCTACTGATATCGTGCTCGACCGCCCCAGCTACCTCCAGATAGGACAGGAGGAAGCTTTAACCAGCGCCCTCCCATTGACAGGCGAGGATGTGGCGCCTGTCCAAGACAGCATCGACAGCAGCCGCACGGTAGATGTGCGGCTCACCCTTTTCATATTTCTGTCATCTCTTCATCGTTGTGTTTCATATGTTTTTCGCTGACACCCTTTAGGTAGTTTTGAGCGACATGTCAGCGCCCTGGCCCCAAACTTACGGCTTCTGGCTGAGAACTCTAAGTAACCCGTACAGGATGATGAACACGAGCGGCACGCCCTTCCGCGATCACGCTGGAAGTATGGTACGAACTCCCACCTCGCCCGCTATTTCCGCTCGTATCTCCTACTGATAGTTTCCCAGGACCTCTGCGCTGCCGCCCTCGAATTCGCCAGTGACACGCTGCGACCCGGCGGCCACTTTGTCTGCAAGTTCTACCAGGGCGGTGAAGACAAAGCCCTGGAGACACGCCTGTTAAAGATGTTTGCCAAGGTGCACCGGGAGAAGCCCAACTCGTCAAGGAGTGTGAGTTGTCTCTTTGATTGCGCATGCCAAAAACGAATCGTGGGAACAGGCTGATTGACACACATTGCAAATCGTTTTATAGGAATCGAAAGAGTCCTTTTTTGTAGCGCTAAGACGGAAAGGCAACGTCAAATGGGAGGACCTTCAATGACGATATAAACAAGTGCAACTTTTGTAAAACATACTTGTATATTTACGACGATACCACTCACAGTCCTACTCTCGCATATATAGTGTCCGCAACAGCTCTTAATTTGATTGTTATCATTCGGTTTTGATTTGGTTTGTAGTTGCGGTATAAAGCCCATTCACGCCAAATCATGCAACACAGAGTCCATTCGAGATCGTAATCCCCGCCCCCCAACACATTGTGACCTTTTCGTTCTTTTATTGTCCTTTCACATCTTTCTCTTTTGCTGGTTGGATATGCATGCCCTCCTTCTAGACACGGAGAGCAAGGCGTGAAAACAGCAGAGAGCCCGACGCTCCCAATCCAGCAACCGGAGAGAAAAGAAAGCAAACACAGACACACGCAGATCTTCCCACCACAGAACCCCACGCAACAAGGTCTCGCTTAGACCTTGAAGCCGCGAGACCGTCTCCGGCCACGAGCACGCTCGAACTTGCGGCCCTTGGATGCGACGTAGGGCTTCTATAATGGGGTTAGAAGAGAGAAAGAACAGAAGAAAAAAGACAGGAGTAGGGTGTGGACGGACCTTGTGGCTGTGCGGGCCGAAGCCGAAGTGCTTGAACGCCTCACGAGCGTTCTTGGGGCCGCGCAGGAGCAGCGTGTTGGCACCAGTCGGCTTCTCGAGCGCAAGCTGATCCAGGGTCAGGGCACGGCCGCCGGCAGCAGCGATGCGAGCGCGGGCCGTAGCCGTGAAGCGCAGGGCAGCAATGTCGAGCTTGGGCACCTTAAGCAGGCGGTTGTCGTCGGTGATGGTGGCGACAACGACGATCGTCTTCTTGGCACTGTCACCGTTGCGCGTGTTGGCCGCAATGCGCGAGAGCGAGACGGGAGGCCGGTTGATGCGGCTCATAAAGAGACGGCGCAGGATGACCTTGTTGAATGAAGAGTCCGTACGGCCTGGCGGAGGTGATTAGGATACCGTTGTCAGTACCACAGACGACACGGTCAAGAAGAACCAAGAGCCAAAACGGAAGGAGGAGATAACTTACGAGCAAGGAAGCGGTACAGCTTCACGAGCAGCTTGAGGTAGACGTTGTCGCTCTTGGGCGCCTTGCGGTGCGTAGACCGCACGTGCTTCTTGTTCAGATCGATACCTACATAAAAACAAAGAAAAAGAAACCGAAAAGGTCGTGTCCTCCCAGTCAGCCGATTTGGTCTCTTTGGTATGCTCAGAAAACAATTTGTAAAAATTGGAACAGATGGCTGGGTCGAGATAGAACCGAGAGAGGAAAGCAGCCGTCGTCATGTCTTTCTCTTCCCCCTTCCCCGTCCAGGGGTGAGATCAAAGAATGAAAATAGCTGCCAGCCTCAATCGCTCGACACCAATGCCAAGGTTCGCAGATGGGAAGAAGTAGGGCAGTGGCGGCGGGGGAGCACAAGAGGACGATCAAGATCATCGACAGGGAGGAAGGGAGAGAGATGGTCATGTTCAGCCCATTTTCCAGGGCGGATAGATCCAATCAATCGCCGACCTCATATTCCCTGTCTCTCTCTTTCGGTCCTTTGACTGCCTCGTCCGTCATCACCCTCCAGCTTCCCTCCACTCGCACACTCTTAACAAGAGCCGTTCTCCCATATTTCAGGAAGAATGCTGTAATCTCTCACGTACCCATCTTGAAGTCGACTTAAGGATTCGAAAATAAGAAAATCCCCCAGGACCCGAACGTTGATTTTGTCGAGGCAGAAAGTCGTGATGGTTGGAAAAAAGAGAAAAAAAAGAACGGCAGAGGGGGCCTTAACAAAAGAAAAAGACGAAAATTAGGACACTAAAGCTTTGGCGGGTCGAAAATCTGCCATGCAGAGAGAGCCACACGAAATTAATTGGTGTGCAGGCGGTGAGTACTGGCAATTAGGGTAATTGAGAAATCTTACTCTGTACTCCGTACTCCGTACAGTACACCAATTCGGCGCCCGAGAATTCGGGCATCAAAGATGAGTACTCCGCAAGATGCGTCTGCTATGTACCAGGCGTCATTGCTTCACTCCTGTGCAAAGTGAAAGAGCTATGGCTCTGCATCAGACGTGCTGCAATGCTCAAACATTTCAAACATTTGTTTAATTGCCTTATGTCCTCAAAATTCTATCTCGAATCCCTTCCTAATAATGCAAAAGCTTAAGCTTAACTTAACCAACGCTGCCCATCACCATTGCCGATGACTGTTTCATCGAACAAGGTCCTGTCTTTAGATGTGTGTGACCAAAATAGGTACAGTGCCTCTAATCCGCCTGTCTGCTTTTACCCAAGGCCGCAAGAAACAACGGAAAGAGGCTTTATCTAGAGTTTAGCGATTAATCGCCGCATATGCTATTTTTGGTCGCAATCCCCCTTCTACTTAACATACAGGTCATAGCTATGATGCTATGTCTTCCGGCTCGGGACGTAAGCCGACAAGGAAGTCTCTGGTTACCTCAAAGCTTAGCCAGTTGGACGCCATGCTAGGCGTAACTTTTAGCAGATTCGGGACGACACCTTTGTAAAGACCCCTCAGTCCTTCTTGCATAACAATGACGCGGATAGCATCATATATTGACTTGTACTGGTAGCCCATGCCGGACATGGTGTTGATCTGGAATCGGCGGCGCAGCACGTCACTGTCGGGCGAATGTCAGTCTTGGTATGTAGCAATACATATGGATTGGATAACCCGGGAGTGCGTACAATGGATATGTGCAGGTCTGTGCGACTGCGCCGGAAATGGCACCTGCCAACAGCTTACGCACAGCCGAAGGGTTCTGCTCGCCCTCTTTTGTGAGGTACTTTCGAGCTGCCTCATAAACCATAAAGTTGAGCCCAACCTGTCAACGGTCAGCTTCAAATCCACAAATCCACCTCAACTGTTAGAAAGATGAGCAGGGGGGACATGCTTACATATGGTGCCACGCCGGCTACTGTTGGAATGATGCCGCGGTAGAGGGCCAACATGCCACCTTCGTTTTTATACATCAAGAGCAGCGTCTCCCACATGCCCGGTAGCTTTTGTGGCCGGCTGCCCAGGTCGGCGAAGGACGCTGACTGGATGGAGAGTCGTGTCCGCACGATGTCGAGAGGATAGGTGCATATTACCGAGGTGATACCTGCGAAGCCACCACATATTAGGCGAGAAAGTGAAGTCATATCTGCCCCAGGATATGGTTCGAAAAACTGCGGTTGCATACAAGGTCAGCCATCGGAATAATCTCAGAGACGGGTAAGAGCCGTGCGTGCTTTGGCCTACCTTCTTGTACGCATTGTAGCTCCCAAACTGTACGGCAGAGTACGGCACGATGCGAATGCAGTTGGTGCCATTGCCACGCATAAAGCCACGCCAGCCTTCCTCTACCCACATCTTCTTGAGCGCCTTGCCCACGGATAGTTGGTACTCGGTGCGCCCGGCGCTCTGCACTTGAAACAGGATCTTGAGACGCTCGAGCGGAGAGACGACGGTGCGGGAGACGGCACCGGCCACTCCACCACCACAAAATGCGGCAACCAGAGGATCGGATATGAAATTATAGAACTGGGTCACCGCCGGGGACGAGGCGGGCCGGGGTGGTGGTTTAAGAACATCCTCCTGAGAAAATGTTAGCATATGCGGATGCGCGCAGCCAGCTCTCTCAAATTGCGCAATGGATAGACTCTGAAAACGTACAGAAGCCATTGTGAAAGATGGACAGATGAGTCAGATGCAGGGAGCGCAGATGAACTCGCTGAAAGCGCTCTAGAGAGCCTCTCAAGGCGCAAGAGCAGTGTGCAGCGGCCTGCTGTGATCGCGGGCGTAGCCGCGCCCTTTTTTTAGATGATATAAAAATAATAAAAATACAAAGTGAGAGCTAATCCGAAATGGGCGGCTTTGCGGAGGAGACGACTTTGGGTGGATGCGCGTATTAGGTCGCTAATAAGAGGAGCCGACAGACAGATAGAATAGCAGGGGTATTTCGGAAAGACTGGGAGCAAAGGAAAAAGAAGACGAGGAGGCCAAAATGGGATCGGCACGAGGCGCGGGCGTAAGAAATGGCATTGAACGAGGCGGTCTTAGTTTGCTTGCTGAGAGAAGAGCTACGGCATCACCCAATGGCGTACCAGAGTTGACGCTGTGTCGTTCAAAGGGGGGCAAGGCTGCTGAGTTGATCATATATAGCGCAGGCGAAATGAAGTGAGTGGCATTGCCAGGCCGCCACCTTTATAGGAGACAAAATAAGGAGCTCAAATCCCTTTATGAGAAGGCGTATCTGGCCGATGGTTGAGTGCGAGTGGCTTTGACTTTTGCTTTAGTTTCTTCGCTATTTTGTACGAACAGGTGCCGAACAGAAGTGCCGGGAGTGTGTGAGTAAACGTGGCAGCTTGCCAAGCAGTGTAGTTCTATTGGGGAGTGCGCGTTTTGTCGTCTGACTGTTCAAGTAAAAATTATCTTAGGAAACGAAGGCTGTGTAAGGTGGTGGCAAAAAAAGGGAGACCATAGACAGAGTAACGAACTACCCTGACCATAATGACGATACTATGTATTGCTCCTTGTTAGCAGGAAACCATGATCGAGAAAGAGCAAGCGAGACCAAAATCTCATATCTCCTATAAATATGGGGCTTTTCTTTCTATCCACAGTTTGTTGCCTTTGCCTTCTTCCCGAGGTCATGGTCACGACCAGATTACGGAACTACCTTCCCTTTTAGCGGCAAGGGAAAGTTGGTACAATGGTGGAGCCTCTGGCCGGGCGAGGCTGATAGGCCTGGACGGAATTAGGAGCAGTGTGCCTGCTGTTACAAGGTGGCGGGTGTCTTACAGCAAGCACAGCAACGTACACTGAGCCGCTCCGGCTGTTGTCTCTCCCGGCAGGCCCGATTCACCAAAAATTGGGGGCCATCCTGTGACCAGATTGCATAGCGGGCGTGAGACAGCAGCAGGGTCCCTCTGCCAGGCACAATTCTGAGGACTCTCGCGTGCGCTTGCTCTACGAGTACGGAGTACCAAAGCTCGTGTTGCCGATGTTGGCTCATGGGCACAGTCTATCCCGGTTACTCGCTAGGCTGTAGTAGCCGAATCTCGGCGACTTCCTCCGTTGGTTACTAACATATGACAGTAGCACAAGACATGGACTTGGGAGAAGGCCCGTTTGCCTATCGGCAGTTACGACGTGTTCTGGATTCGGCCGGTTGCATAAACTCATAACATGACATGTCTAGGGTACCACAGCACATTTACCTCAACACAACACTTTTACATCTCGCGTGCTCTAGCACAGTGCCTCTATTTTACGTACGAGTACTCGTAGTTATGTATTTTCTGTTGATTGGAGACAACACAATCACAAAATAAAACAAAATCGGGAACAAAGAAAACAGAAAACAGAACAACAGTTACATTACTTTTGATTGAAACCTGGACATTGGCCGCCGTGCGCAATCCGCCGTTCCGTTCCGATTTCCGAAACTCGAGACAAACCGCCGAAGGCTCGTTTTCCTCCGTGAGCCATTCCGTTCGAACGTGATAGGGGGACAAGAGGTGAAAAGTTGCCCGGTCGGCCGTTTGGACTTCGGGGTGGAAATGGGAGTTGGAGAGGCTTGCGATAGGACGCCGATCGACCTGATCACTATAAAAGAACAAGAAACAAGGACAAAAAGCTGGAAGAGGTCAAGCAAAAACGCCGCAAGAGGTGATACAAAACAGCAACCCGTGAAAGGTGCTGTTCTTGTTTTTTACTCAACCCTCTTCCTTTTCTTCTTGGCAACGGAGACGTGGGAGCAAAAATAATCAGCAGGCTAGACGGAACAATAAACCTTGTCTTGTCAATGGACTGTGGCCGTCAAGTCTTCGATATCGAATGCAGCAATTTCATGAGTGTTGATGGACATGCATGCTGTTCTTGGCCATGTATGGGCAGTTTACTCCGCGATATCCAGGTCGTCGTGGGCCGCCGGCGGGGGGCTATCTTGGGGATCACGCTCTATATGCCACTATGTTAGTATGCATTGGCGACTGGGTCAGGAGCAGATCTTCATGCATCGTTACACACCCTTCCGGTCGTCGCCGTTGGTGGCACTTTCGCGGCGCTCGTCCCGATCGTCACGGTCGTCACGGTCGTCGCGGTCGTCCTTCGCGTCGCGATCACGGTCACTAGGAGCAGAGTCAGCAATTGGCCGTAGCATAGAAAGCATGCTTGCCATCAGTATAGGAGGCATACCGGTTTTCGGGGCTGCGGGACCGATCACCACGGTCACGGCGGGAATCGCGGTCGTAGTCGCGGTCGCGGTCTCGCCGGTCATCCTTCCGAGGCGAATAGTCCCGGCGACGGGGAGACGGAGAGCGACCGCCACGGCGCGGAGAGCGGCGGCGGTCGCGGTCGCGGCCAGAATCGAACCGCCATGAAGCAGAGGGAGGCGTGCGGGCCCACTGTAAAGAGTAAACACGTCAGCGTCCGAAACACTGGGCTGTGGCAATCTCAAAGACCAAAACACGACAATGAACATACCTCAATTTTCAGGATGTCGTCACGACCGATACGCTTGTTGTGCATATCGTGATACGCATCATCAGCGTCACGACGGTCCTCGTACTCCACAAAGGCAAACCTGGAACAGGGTTAGCCAAGCCGATGCATACACCGCACATGCATAGAGTTACATACAGGCGGCTGCTAGCTGACCGGGGAGCCGGGATATCGCAGCGGACAAGGCGTCCGTAGCTAGAAGACAGTCATCGTTAGAACACTGCGTCTATTTCAAGCATTGAGGGAAGAAGGTGAACTGCGGGGTGTTGGCCGTCTGGAGCCAGCCATGCCGTTTCCTCTGTGCCATGGATGTGTACAGAAGCAATGCGAGTGCGATCCTTCCTGATAGATGGCATGGGTGTTGAGGGGTTGGAGCCAGGCCTGCCTCACCAAATGCCAGGCAGAAGAACTCCAGCCCATGGCGTAACGACGAACTCGTTCGTTGGGAGGAGTGACTGTCAGGCAACAGGATGCATACGTCGCGACCGACATCGCGCGGCTTCGGGTTTTGGAGTGGGGACGACAGCAGGCGCGGTAGCGAAGGCATCGGCATGACGGGGAGCCAAAGTGTATGGGGCACGATAGCAAGAGCGCATCTGGGGGGGACACGGGGGGCGGACGGAAGAGGACGCAGAACGTAGGACGGAAAGCGGAGGACGGAGGACGGAGGACGATGGTCAAAGCGGTCTCTGTAGGCTGCGCCGGAGAGCATCGTTCCGCTCGCGATAGGGAGGAGAAGAAGGAGGAACGGAGGAGGAGAATGTGACGAGGCGACCGAGAAGAAAATATGAACGAATGATGCGGGTCTCCGAGTGTAGACGATCGTCGACTCTAGGCGGATGGAGGAGAACCAGGTAAGTGTCTAAGAAACGTACCGTTCGAACTCGTAGGCAAGGTCACGAGCGCGCGTGCCGTGGCTGAAGCCAGTGACGTAAAGAGTGGTGCCGCCGCGAGACATGTCTGCAGAGTTTGTATCGAGAAGAGCAGTAAGAAAGGGGGAAAAACTGATGGGGGAGGAGATGACCGGGTGACAGTTTTTAGCAGAAGACAAAGGGGATGTGGAGGATGGGGGAAATGGACTGGACAAAAAAACACCCTTCTCGTTCCGGAACAAGGGCAGTACTCGGGTGATCGCTTTCAGCCGCGGTAGATGAGTGGCCGTGCGAGGATGAGGTGAAGGGCGTGCAATGGAGGACAGATGGGTTGCGAGGCGGAAAAAAGTCGGACACAAAGAAGATGCGACCCAAAGGGAAAGCAGGCACGGCGCCTTTGGAGCTCTAGAGAGCTAGCCCCAATCCGGACTAATGCGATTCGTGGAGGAAAAAAGGGCGGGACCACGTGATGCATACAAAGAAAAGCCAGCAAGAATGAAAAGGCAAGAGTGTACTCAGTACAAGCTTACGTTATGCTACAACTTTAGTAAATTATATAAACCTGCCGTGGCAGACGTAAAGCATAGGTTTTCAACTATAATATATAATGTGGGACATAGTATACTAGGGGCAACTTGCAACTTGCCATGATTCTTGCATAGCATCTATTGAAAGCAAATAAAACTATAAGCATCTAAATGGAAAGTAAGAAGAGGTTGGGTATTGTATGCTCTAACCGGCTACATTCTCTAAACATAGCAATGGCGTGTAAATATATGCAAAAACATGCTAAAAATCAACGGCTGTCAGGTCTCATTCGCGGCACGTCTGATGCCTGCAGATTGCAGGCTGCGCCCGGTCTACCAATCTCCTATGCCTGTTCTCCGGGGAAGCTGTGCCGGCCCTGCCTGCATTGGTCTGTTCCCCTGTCCCCCACTTCCTTCTTGTCCCTGGTCATTCAATACGATGCGCGCACAGGACATCGGGAGCTCTCATGCTCTGGTGAGACGTCGACACTACAGAATCAGGTAGAGACTGCACAGCATGCTCGGCCCCATAAAGAGGCCAAGCCAAAACATGACGTTGCCCAGGGTCTTGCGATTGCGCAAAAAAGTTGTCCGGCTCAGGCGCACGAGCTATATGAGTCAGCAATAGTCGACAAGGAGCAGACAGAACCTGAAGGAAAAAGATACATACCGGCAGCTGGCACATCTGCAGGAACAGTAGGTAGCCGCGCAGCTTCTTGAAAATGCACCACATGACAAGCTCGTGGATGCAGGCGGACAGGAAAAAAGTAATAAGCGTGGCGGTGTGTTTGTTGACCTTCATGGCGGAGATGGAGCTATGATACACATGGCGCAGCAGAAACAGGTGGACAGGGCGGTTCCAGTCGCGGGCAAACTCGTCCCAGGTAACCGAATTCCACCAGGCCGCGTAGAAGCTGCGGTCGGCAAAATAAGTCATCTCGGCGAGGAAATTGAGAATAGTCTCCCAGATGAGATACCAGGCGAGCTGCGATGTTAGAGAAGGACAGGAACAAGGCACAAAGAGGCAAACTCACCAGGTACTCCATCATAAACGGAAATATCAGCTCGCTCATCATCCAGGGAAAGGCGCGGAAGCGCTCGGCTAGTGGGATGCCGTCCTCCTTCATGGCGACTGTGCGCATAACCACCGGGTAGATGGCTGACTGGGAGACGCTGATCATGACAAAGATGATGCCGAAGCAAGCCACCAGCTTCTCGGCCGCATAACGCCAGCTGATGGTGTCGGAACGCGGGTACTCGAGCTCGTAGACCAGCGTCGGCAGCACAATGTACTCGTAGTGGTTAGCAACCGTAAGGTTGTGGGGGTAGGCCCGCTCGGGTTGTGTGGCCTTGCCGCGCAGCTCCTCGGTCAGGCTGTCCATCTCCCAACGGAGAATGCGCTCAAAGACGCGCTGCTGATCGTCGTCCAGCGGCCGGCCCGTTTGCAGTGCTGCCACCACCCGTTCAACTGCCTCCGGATTGGCTGAGGGGGTTAGCGGAGGGATGGAGGCGAGCGAGGCGAGCGAGGTGGTGGGGGCATCAGCGACCTTCTCCCCCAGCCTGTTTTCATCGCTTCCGTTTAGTCCCTCACTGACGGCCGGGGCGCCTTCTTCGTCCTTCTCCCCACTCAATTGCCGCCCCTCGAGCTGCTCCAGCTGCGTCCGCAGTGAGGCTTGCCGCTTATACATGGTCGACAAATAGCCGTTGTAGAAGGCGTACGAGTGCTGCTTCATCAACATGACGAGACCGTGCAGGACAAAGTAGACGGTGTGTGACCAGGGCCACTCGCGCAGCTGGGTCCAACCGACAAAGCCGGCCACGAACAACGCCTGCCAGGCGTTCTGTAGCACCCAACCGGCGCCGTCCCAATCAAGCCAGTCGGCCAGGATGGCCCGTTGCAGCAGCCAGCTGACGCCCGTCAGCGCGCACATCATGCCATCTGACGCCAGCATGAGCACCACGTCGCGGTGGAACATGGTGGCCATGATCTCGTTTGTTCCCAGCGGGCTGCCCGTATTGCGCCAGTTCTCTGCCGCGATCTTGACGATAAAGAGAAAGACTGATATCCAGAAGAGCGCAAAAAAGCCATGGTATGGGCTGTTCGCTGCCGCTTCGTTCTGCCGGTCAAAAGCCGAGAACTTGCGCGTAAACACAAAGTCGCGAAACTTGTCACCCCGTCGTCGCCGCCGCTTCGCCTGCTGCGGTCGCTTTTTGCCAGTCCCCGTTGGTCCGGCAGCCAGTTCCTCTGCCTCCTCTTCCTTTAGCCTTCGCCGCTCCTCCAGCTCCTCACGCATCTGCTGCAGGTCCTCGCGCAGCATCTCCGCCAGCTTCGGGTCGTCGATCGATATCACAAAGCTCTGTCCGCTCGTTTTGTCCCCGGGCGCGTCGATCTCGTCAACTACCGGTGCATTGTTCGCTGCGCCGTTCACAACCGCACCGCCGTTGCTTCCTGCTTCTCCCTTGAACTCGACGTCCACAGCGCTGTCGCCTGTGCTGACGTTACCACCAATATCGCCATTGGTCGACTCTGTCAGATCTGACGAGTTAATTACATTCGTCGCTCCCGACAGCCTTGCCCTGACTGCCGGGCTGATCTCCTCAAAGATAACTGTTGCCGACAGCTTGCGACCGCCGTGCCGCGGCCGCGAGGACGAAGACACAGAATTTATAGCAATTCCAGTGGCGGTAGCAACCGCAGCAGCAGCGGATGAGACCTGCGGCGTCGACGAAGCACCAGCGGCCGCAGGTCCTGTGCGTACGCCACCACTCTTGCCCGTGTGGTCCTCCTTATCTCCAGCACCATCCTCCTGCGCTACCTCGTGGCGCAATTGCGTTGGCTGACGGCGCTGGCGCAGCACCATTGGGTCGGGTGGCCCGGCTGTCAGCTCGTCGTAGTCTTCCTCACTGGGGCTGTCTGACGCAGCGACGGACACGTCAGAACTGTTGGTGCCTGTATTTGTCGTGTTGTCCCCGGCGGCCGCAGCCGCACGGAGAGCCTCGCCCAGCGCGGTAGGACGCCTGGACGCGGCAGTGATAATTGCAATAGACCCGTCGGGGGCCATGATGGCTCAGCTTATTTGCCGGGAGAGAATAAATGGTCGTTCAAACAAAACAGGGGTGCAGATGAGAGGACGATCAACGGCTTTAGTCACTTCAGACAAAGCTTATATCCACGAGGCTTAGGGGACAAAGTAATTCGGATTGGTTTGGCGAGGCTGTATGCTTGTGTCTTATCTGTGCGGTCGCGTACGTTTTTCGGTATATTTTATATGTAGGTGTTGCAAATGTAAATGCGAATGCGTCGATGCGAGAGATTGAGAGCAAATAAGTGTACTTATTTGGAAGAAAGGCGGATTGGGCGGATTTCGCAAAAAGGGAAAGGAAAAAAGACTGGTCTGCCTCGTGCTCGGCGAGCAGGGCTACGGCTGCTTCGGACGACCCAGGATGCAGTCGGCCGACGCAAAAGCTCCGACGACCGTTGCGCCTGGCCTTAAAGGGGGTGTGGAAAAAAACGAATGCCGAGCCAATGCTCGTAAACAATTGGGGGGTGTTTGAGATTTTTGCTGCATCCAGATGAGCCCCCAGCAACCTAAGCGGAGGGAACCCGCGAGGTGCCTCTGGTGCCTAGCGCTCCGAAAGTGCCGGTTGCGACTTCCTCGCACTTCTTTCATCTTCCTTGCGCACCCAGATGCAAGAACGATCAACGGCTGATGATTGACAGGACTGCAGTAGTCTGTCGCCTCTTTCCTCACGTAAGCCGAGGCTGCCGCGACCCAGCTGCTAAGAGCTACCTCGCACGCGGGAAAGCGGAGTCCGCAGAGCATGCGAACGCCTGCTGATGGCAGTGGCATGACGTCGTTTGGGTCGCTGTCAACGGCTTTTGGGATTACTAATGAAACCCGCTCCGCCGAACAAAGTTCATGACCCAACAATAGCGTTGCCGATATTAGCCAATTTGCTGCTCCTGATAAAGGGTGGCGTTCAACATTCAGTGAAACTGCTGGAAGAATGAAAACAGGTGACAATGGCAATAAAAACACGGAAACTGCTGCTACGAGACCTATCAAACAGGGAACGTACTCCGTACATCACTTGATCTCAAATATAGATCAGACACAAGAAGAAGAGAGCTTGAAGAGACAAAACAGGAAGAGAGTAGGAAATTAAGAGCAAAAGCACCTGTACCCGACACAATTTTATCTTAGCCCTAAACAGTTGCACAACCAGCCAGTCTCCTCTCCTATTCCACTCGTTTTAGATATCCAGGTGGTACCAGGCCCAAGTTGAAAGGTAGACTGGTGGGCTGGCGGGTAAGCAGGTTGATAGGTTGGCAGACTGGCAGAATGGAAGGTGTACAAGCGGATGCAACCAGAATGGCCTAAGACGCCATCTTTTCGTGCGTCGCCATCAGCGAGCCGATAAACGTCGTCACGAGGCGCGACCGCACCTGACAAATGTCCTCGGGCACCAGCCAGATGGTTGCCCCCAGCTTTCGCGCAATGCTGATGCTGAGCTTGGCGTTCAGGTATGCGTCCTCGTCGGTCCGTCCGCTGGTCACGAGGTCGTAGTCCACATAGTTGCTCTTCATACCGTTCAGCACATCTAGCAAGAAGACACCCGTGCCGATAGCCGGGTCTTTGAAAGACCGGATAGACGACGTCTGACCGCCCTTGCGCGACATATCGTTGGCCCACCGCACCATCTCTGAATCCGTGATTTCTTTCTTGCCCAGCCGCTGCGCCAGTGCTGAAAGCGTCACCGTGATGTCCCGCCGCATCAGCTGCCACACGAGTCCGAGCGTCAACGTCTTCTGTCCGTCCGTAATGTCGGCGCCCTGGATGCCCACAAGTGAAAATCCGAGCTGCTTGCCCAGTTCGATCGCGTAGTTGGTGTTCTCCACTGCCTTAAACCGCATTACCTCGCCACCATGAGCCGGCCGCTTGTTCACGTGGCGCCAGTTGACAGATCCCTTGATCACCTTGTCATATGCCTGCAGCAGCAGAGTTCCGTCGCGCAGATCATCAAAGAACGACTGCACCGATGGCTGCACGTCCAGGCTGTTAAGCCACAACGTGAACACTCTCGCCTCTCGCTCGCCCTCAGCATCGAAGTCCTCCACCTCTGCCTTCTCCTCTTCCGTAATTGGATCTAGACACGGGTGGTTGTTGAACAGGTTGGCAACGAACGCCAAATTAAGCTTTGGGTTACCGGCCACAAGGGACGATGGCGTCAAGAACTTGCGGCAGTCCAACCTCTCGGCGTTCTGCAGCACCTCTTCAGCTCGCTGCAGCAAGTCGTGTGTCTGAAGGGGGGCGCGCGTGACGCCGTATTCCTGGCCGATCTGCGCAAGGAGAACGGTGTAGTTTGTTCCATCCTTAACATCAGATGAGAAGTTGTTGACCCTAGGACAAGTCAGAAGAGTGGGAGAGGGAGCGTGAGGGAGACTGAATGAGACGTATAACTAACCTTTGAGGCCAGTTTGCTGCCTTCAGGTGGTAGTTGAACCAGCGCAGCAGAATCTGCTCAGGCGGCAGGCGAAGAAACTGCTCCAGCGTCTCGTCCTCTTCGAGCAAACGGTACAATTCGGGGTGCAGCTTGATGTCGATCTTGCCCAACAGGCCGCGGCGGATGATCTGCCAGATGAGACCCAGGATAAGGTGCTCGCGCACCTCCATGATGTCGCCGCTGCCAATATTGACAACGGAGCAGCCGATGCCCTTGGCGGACTCGATAACAATGTTGTTATTTTCGGTCATGTGGAAGTTGTTAAGTTTCTTGATCTTGCGCCCCGGCACGTTCAGCACGCGCTCGTCAATGGTATCAGGCACGCTGTCGTTGATGAGCTTGGCCAGCACGAGGCCGTCTTTGCACTCGTCAAACATCTCAAAGGTGTGGATGGCGAAGGGCAGGCGGCTGGCGACATCCGGGTCGCCAGCCAGCACGGCATTGATGTGGCGGGTGAACTCAGTGCGCTCGTCCTCGTTGATTGTGTGCGTGGTGTTGGAGCTCGATCCCTGCACATGGATACGACCACCGACGCTGCCCTTGGACGCATGGCCTCCTGTTCGTTGCGAGACGATGCCGGTGCCCTGCGGTGAGACCAGGCCGGGCTGCGCCGGGACGGTGCCAGACATTCGCTTCTGCGCGACTGACGAGTTGCGCAGGTTGGCAATGAGCTGCGACAGGTATTAGAAACGTTCTTGCTGTTGCACGTGCGTATGAACACGACGAAATGCTCACCCCGATATAGTCCTCCAGCTCTACCCGTCTGGACGAGTCTAGGTCAACCTCCTTCAGGGCCTGGCGCACAACATCGTATGGCTGGCGCTCGCTCTGCTGCGTGCTCTTGATTGCGGTGGCCTCGTCGATATAGCCTTTGTCATCGATGTCGAGCTTGCGGAAGGCACTGCTTAGATCAAAGAGCTCGTTCTGCTGAAATTGAGGAAATTTCCTGGCACGGAAGTGTCAGTCAAGAGCAGTCAAGAGAGCATCCCTGGGGCGAGGGTGAACAGAGGGGTGCAAGGCACGGGCTTTTAGTCACCTCTGGATCTTGAGAACATTCATGATTACGAAAGTGCAACCGCTGTCAGTTGCACAATCTATCCCGGAGAGGGAGCGGGTTTTCGACGGATGAGGACGGGAAGTTCCAAAAGAGAACCAAAGGGACGCGGGCTCTGTAGCAACTAGCCCGTGAGCTTGGCAGGAACAATCTGGTCGACTGTTCTGATTTGTCGGCTGTGGCCTCTCTTCTGTGTGTCTATCCTCTTCTAAGAGATCGGATTCGTCGGTAGGGAGAATAGGGAAATTAGAGAGGGGAAAAGGACAGAAAACGCCGCGACAGTTGAGGCAAATTCAACAAGTCGGCGCATGGAACAAAAGCTAGGAAGGTGTGATGCGGCGGCCCTGCTCGTTAAAAGGACTTTGGCGGGGGGGCGGCGGGGCAGGAACGACCGAGTAACCTCAGCTACAGAGAGCGACAGCCGAAACGTCAACCAGGTGACGGAGGGCTTTCACTAGCTCTCACTAGCTGGCCGCTCCAGCCACAGCGAAGTGCGCGTATTCTCGTACTCCGTACACAGGCAGCCGTGAGAGGCCGATGTGGGGCAGCTGGTTCTCCCCAGTACTCCCGTACTCTGTACGAATTAAATTTTCAAGTGCAGCCTTTTCAAGCTCCTTCCTTCACCTTTGCCCCATCATCTTTTGATACGATTTGCGTCAGGCCTACGAGTCTTGCAAGACCTACGTGAAACGTAACGAAGAGGACAAGCTCTGTGGCTGCCTAACACAAAGAAAGAACCAGTTCAGGCAGCCGAATACATTGACGGTAAGTCGACAGAGCGCATTTCTAAGCCTCTTGTGTCTCATTTGTCTTGCTTTTCAGTATTTGCTTCTCCCTTTTCCCCAACTCGCCCGCCATCTTCTTTGTGTCTGGCTTCCGTTTCCTCTATGGGGTATGGACACACTCGGGTGGCGCAGATGGATCCAGACCGGACCAGATCTTTTTAGTATTTTTGGCTTGTCGCTCTGGCAGGCTGAGGCATCTGGGAAGGCCTACATCTGGCCCTTCTCTGCCATGCTCTCTTGTGTTTTTCTCTCATTCTCCTCTCGCGTACCCTCCAAGTTGGCTCACATCAGCTTTCTGACCTTTCTCCCATCCTTCCTGGCAACCGTCCATCTCTAGATGGCTACTTGTGTCAGCTGCAAGGAACTCTTGGTGTTCGTCGACGCGGACCCCGAAACGGCGGCCGACGAGGAGATCATCCCTGACGACCTCCTCCTCCCGTGTGGCTGCCATTTTCACTGGCAAGTGCCTCTGTCCCGTCATTAAACGCGTTCTGTCCCCTGTGCACAATTTCCCTTGTTTTCTGACTCTTCCTGCTATCCTCTCCAGGCAATGCCTCCTGGATGAAGCTGCCCAAGTGGCCACCTCGTTCAGCTGCCCGTCATGTAGGACGAACCTCTCCGCGACGCCTCCTCCTGCTGCTTCTTCTTCGTCGTCGTCTAGCTTGCTGCCACCTAGCGGTGTCCAGATCCTCACACGCTATGTCAACGAGGGCGGGCTGCAGGAGAACTATGACATATATCCAGACCTCGCCGAGGAGGCCTACCTCCAGGTCCATCCAGAGGCGCGCCCAGCTCGGGCATTTCTGACCATGTGTGCCGCTGGCGACGTCATGGGTATCGTCGGCCTTTTCTCTGAGGATGAGGAGGATGAGACGGAAGAGGACGAGCAAGACAGCACCTCGAAGCTTTCTCCCGAATTGCTCCTACGCTACCAGGACCCACTGGGTCGGCTACAGAGCGGACTGCACCTAGCCGTCGAGAAGGAGCAGGAGGAAGTGCTGTACCTCCTGCTCTTCCTCTCGTCCCAGCTTCCCTTGGACGCCTTCCCGCCTGCTGTGCTGCAGTCGGCTGAGCAGATTGGGCTAGTTCGGCCGCCATCGATCTCGTCACATGCTGACATCCGCACGCTACAAGACCAGGGCGGCGAGACGGCGGCGATGTATGCGTCAAGGAAAGGCGGTCAGTGGGCTGCTATTGCGCAGACCGGGCTCTTGTCGGCGTAAGATCTGATAGTGCAAAGAAGAAGAAATTCCAGTGCAAGAAAATGCCATGTTGCAGCTCAAATATCAGCCAAAACGACGTCGTTTTGGCATTCTCAAAACTCAGCTGTCCCACAGTTACAGTCATAAGTAAAAAGATATTATGCTAAAATATGTAGTACAAGTGAAAGAAGCCCGAAATCCAACGCTTGCTTCCCCCGTTTCCATTTGCGCCCGATGCAGTCCCGGTTTGCTGCACCTTTACCCTGGGTCCATGAAGCTAGGTTCCCTTCCCTCCTTGTCTTTCAAAACGCCCTTCCAACTCGTCTCGACTCGTGAAATCCAAACGCCTTTTGGTCCAGCTGCTCTCCCACACACCTGCGCCTCCTCTAACCCCCTGAATATCAGCATCCAAAAACGGCCTATTCCCTATTGCTTGTTATTTTGCCTTTTTCTTGCTCCTGGCCTTTTGCAGGCCGGGGTTTTTATGCCCGGCCAGCCAAGGGTACGGGTATTGGCCGCTGGTGCTGCTGTTGATGCTGCTGCTGGTTGTGTTGCGACATCGCTGCCGGACTGCTCTGGTTGCGCATCGATGACGGCGACGAGGACGCACCCATAGCGCCCATGGATGGCGGGATCGGCGGTAGAACGGGCGTGACAGAGGGCAGGCCGCCACCACCGCCTGCAGAGGCCGGCTGGGCAGGCGGCAGCATCATCATGGCATCGTCGGGCTCGCCGGGTGCATCCTCGCTGTCCAACAGGCCGGGGTGGCCGTCGGGCAGCTTCTGGGCGCCGTAGCCGACGACGCGGAATATGTTGACGCGGCCGCCGTTAGTGGCCATGTTGAGCTGCTCGTGCAGCCGGGCTAGTTGGTACTGGCGCCGGATGGGCGCAAACGTCGGCTGCGGCACTACTGGTTGCGGCCGCCACCGCGCCATTGCGCTCATGACCGCGCTGGCTTCCTCCTCCGAGTCGATCGCGCCGCTGTTGGCCTCGTCCTCGTCCTCGACTGGCGCGGTCGCGTCAATGGCAGCCTCTGGAACCGAGTTAGTAAGGAGGGAGGCGGTAGCCAGAACATTATACACAAAGCAAAAAACTCACTCTGCTGCTTTGCCTGGTTCTTCTTCTGGTATGCCGCCAGCAACATGTCGTACGGTAGCGACCGGCCAGGCACTGCCCGCTTAGCCCCCATGCTATGGCTCTTGCAGGTCAGTGACCGCGCGCAAGGCTGCCCGTTAGGCAGGATCACACCGCACTGCCTCTCCACGTCTACTGGTCCCTTGGGCTTAGCCGTCTTTGGCTTGACCTCCTCCTTCTTCTTTTTCTTGGGCCCTGCCTTGTCGAGCTCGCTGTCTGCCTTGCGCTTCTTGTTCGAGCCCACACCACCCTTGGCATCCACGCTGCCGCTGCCTCCGGCCTCGGTCTTTTTGCCACCTGCTGCCTCTGCTGCCGCCGCCGCCGCCGCCGCTTTCTTTCCCGTCAGCTTGCCGCTTATCTTCTTATCGGTACCGCCGCCACCACCACCACCACCACCGTCATCGTCACTGTCGCTATCGTCATCCTTGCCGCCCCCTGCACCCTGCTCTGCCCGGCGAGCTGCCTCCTCCTCATCGCGTGCTTGCTGCTCGCGTGCTCGCTCGCGCGCCTCCTTGGCCTCCTTCTTACGCTGAGCCTTTTCCTTTTTGATCTTGAGACACGCCGCAATGTGCTGCTTGGCCGCCGTGCTTAGCACGCTCTTCTTGCAGTGCTTGCATATCTGCAGGTCGGGCGCGTCTTCTAGCGGTCTGCCAGTAGCAAACGTTTCACGCGCAGTCTCGTCAAGCTGGTTGACCACTGGACTCGGTGACGGCGCCGGGATGTTCGACTTGGCAGCCTTCTTCTTCTCTTCTGCCATGGGGGGAGCCGCAGGTCAGCAATAATCAAGAAATACCATGGCAGAAGGTGCCTCCAGCCTTGCAGTACACTCACGGTCAACAAATGTCCCCTCCTTCCAGTTTCCTGGTTGCTTGTGCTTTGGCGGTAGCTTCTTCAATTTAATCACGCCGTTTTTGGGTGCACTACCGGCCGCTCCATCTTTCTTTGACGCTACTTTTATCGTCTCTTCGTCAGGCTTCTGTTTTGGCGTTACTGACGATGTCTTCTTTCCCGTTACTGGCGTGACTGGTGCCGGAGATGACGATGGACCCTTTCGCACATCGGTCATCTTCGATATATGGCTATTGTTAAGCACTCGTAAGGGGGATTGTGGTCCTTGCTGTGGTGGTGGGGGCTGGAGGTCGTCCGGTGCGACAATTCGAACAACAGAATAAGCTAAAACGGCCGGAAGATCACAGGGAAGAAAGCCTAGTCTTAAAATGGGCGGGGATGGAGGGGAAGAAGAAGGAGAGGAAATGCAGATGTGGTGCTCCGTAGATGTCGCGGTTTTGGCGAAATTATGTGGATGACGCCCGGCTGTTATCTACGACCCACGTCTTATCGTTAGTAAGCAATCGAGAAAGTCACATGGTACAAAAAAAGGCAGGCGAACAGACATCTTGAAAGCTTCTTAATAATCCAATTCAACTCGCAGAATTAACCCTTTTTATTCCACTCTGCAATCGTAACAAGGAATATCTGATGCAACGTAAAAGAAACATGCAATGGCATCATCCATGGCCATCGACCCCTGACTAGACCTCCCCACCTCCGGATTATGCACCACATCCTCCACTCTTTTTTTGTTGTTTGGTATCATAGTTCACCATCATTCTGTCTCATCAAGTTCCCATAATAGCGCACTTCCAAACTAATCGTGCCCTTCCCACGGCCAAGCAGGGAAAAAATAGTATAAAATGCAATCGCAAAACCAGAAGTACCCAGCGCTGAAGCCAATGACCTCGAAACCCCATCATAACCAAAACAAACGGGGACAGAACCGAATCAGACAAGTAAAACGATCAAAAACACAGAACTAGCGCCGGAACAGGATGCAAAGCCTCGTCCATATACCTCCCACGCGTTCCTTTTATCATGCCAGCAGAAGGAGGAGTAACAGACTTGACGGACCCAAGGCAACTTGTAGCAAGACATCCGCTTGTACGATACGTTGAAGAAGGCCCACTACGTAGCAGGAGTAGATGCCGCCCGTTAACCGGGTGGCGAGCACTGACTTGTAAGAGCGGGCCAGGTGGTGTAAGTCCTCTAGTAGCCATCGTACGAGGTCTGGATGGGTGCGTGCGGTTGCTGCTGGTATCCACCCCGGGCAGCCTGGTTCTGCAAGGCAGCGGCCTGCTGCTGCTGCTGCTTGGCAACGGACTGTGCCTGCTGCTGTTGGGTGCCCACGGCAACGGCGGGGGCATGGTGCTGCTGGACAAGGAGGTCGTGGAACCAGGCATGCTTTAGGGCGTCGTGAGCACTGGTGCGGAGCTCGGGACGCAGCTGCAGCATACGTTGCAACAAATCGATGCCAGAAGGGTCGATCTGGGGCAGGATGTGGTGCAAGTCCTGTGGGGCGTAACGCTGGAAAGTCGGCTTGTACTCGGGGAACTGGCTGATGCCGGGCCAGGTGTGTTCGGTGGGCGTGCCCATGATGCGGAAGATGCGCACGATCTGATCCTCGTTGGTGGTGCCCGGGAAGAGAGGACGACCGGTGAACATTTCGGCCATGATGCAGCCAGCAGACCAGATGTCGATGCTGGTGTTGTAGGTACGGCTGCCGAGTAGGACGTCGGGGGCGCGGTACCAGAGCGTGACTACCTCGTTGGAAAATGTGTTGACAGGGATGCCAAAGGCGCGGGCCAGGCCAAAGTCGCCCAGCTTGAGCTGGCCCTTGCTGTTGGTCAACAGGTTCTGCGGCTTGAGGTCGCGGTGCAGCACCCGGTTCTGGTGGCAGAAGTCGACACCTTTGAGCAGCTGATACATGAACGACTTGATGAGCATCGGCTTGAGCGCGCCGCGGTCGCCGTGCGTGTCCATGTACTTTTTGAGGTCGCAGTCCATGTGCTCAAACACGAGCATTAGCTTGTTCTCCGTGTGGATGACGTCGTGCAGCGCGACGATGTTTTCGTGTTTGAGCTCCTTCATGAGCGAGATCTCACGGATTGCCGTCGAGGGGGTACCCTCTTCTGAGTCCAGGTGAATCTCCTTGAGTGCTACGAGCTCGCCGGTATGCCTATTTCTACCTTTGAAGACCTGGCCCGGTTAGTGCATTGTCTGTCCATATCGGCGGAGAAACAGGCTTACTGTAGCATAAGTGCCCTCGCCCAGCTTCTCCAGCTGCTGGAACGAGTTGAGATGCCGCTTGCCGTCCATCTTGGACTCTTCTGCCTCAAACTCGCGGCGGCCGGTGGCAAAGGGGAATACACGATAGTGAGGGACAGGCGGAGGCTGGGGCGGGAGCGAGTACGATCGTAAGGGCAGAGTTGCAGGGGTCGGTGTTGTATACGCGCCTGCTACCGTCGCTGCTGGGATGTTGGTGAGGCTGATTGTTCGTCGATCGCCCGAAAAAAGTACGGCACCAGGCGTGCTTGTTCTAGCCAAGACCTTGCTGATGTCGTCGACAACCTGAGGTTGTCGAGATGGAGAAGCCAGCGTAGAGGAGCACAGAGAGAGGCAATGTGACGGAAAATCGGCGGAATAGCGACAAGCAGAAGGGGAAAGAAAGAAAAAAGAAAAAGAGGGAGACAAAAATATGCGCCGATGTGCTGTTGCGGCTGTTGTACGGAGGATAGGCGGGATGGCCAGTCGGAAGAAATAAAACGGATAAGGGATGGCGGCGGTTATTGGGGGATGCCCAAAAGGCGGCAGGAAACGAAAGGAGGGGGCGAGGAAGAGGGGCTACTGCCCAGGGTACGGAGTACATATTTGCGAGTGGCGTGGGTGGGTCCAGAGGCAAGAAACAACCCCCACCACGGAACAAGCCACTAAAGCAATAGGCAGCAACGGATTGGAAGCCATAGTTGTATATAATTCCTACAAGTACATGTTGTCTATAGCTATTGCCGGCCATTGTGGCGGAGGTTTACAAGTTGTATATAGTGGTACAGAAGCCGGGAAAAGATGCTAAGCCGGAAACTAAGAAGCCTTTGGGAAGGCAAATAAAGGAATGTAGAGCATCAGAGCATCCCAAGAGAAAATGACAAAAAAAGTACAGTCCTAATTGTGTAGTTCGCTGTAGATGAGATGAGGTCGCCAGACAGGTCGTCCGTTATCACCGCCGCCCCCGGAAAGAATCTTCCATGGCCATGCGCTCGGACAGGCTGCGCGGCGTGCCTGACAGGCCCATGCTGTTGCTGTTGAAAGGGTCGCGGGTCGCGAAGCTGCCAACGACATCGTCGACTCCGTCCACGCCCGTGCGGCCGTCCACGCCGCCGACAAAGGAGTTGAAGTCGCCTAACTGGGCGACTTCCTGCAGGATACGTGGGTCCTTGACCACATTGAACATGGAGATGGACCGGCCGCGATAGGAACCGACAGAGGCGGCAAATGTCGGCGATGTCGGCGTTGTGGGAGATGTCGGTGACGTCGGCATTGCTAGCATCGTGGATGGCGACATGGCCATCCCAGCGCGCCCAAATCTGGATGAGGCCGCGCCATGTGCTGAGCCCAGACTGAGGCTTATGTTTTGGCCATGCTTCTGGTTCTGGCTATAGCTCGTCCGGTTCTGGCTCGCTCGCGTCAGCGACTGGCTGACGTCTCGCGGCATCATTTGCCGGTGGTTTGCCACGACGGTAGGCAGGCCCTGTAGCAATTCGGCCTTTGTGCTGGCACCGTTCATTTGGTCCGCGTCATCCACACCACCTGCCTCTTCCTTCGTCTCTTCCATCGTCGCCGGCAGCTCGTCAGCCTTCTCGTCCAGTCCGCTCGCCTCCTCGTCCAGCTTGCCGCTCTCCTCATCCAGCCTGGCCTCTTCCTCATCTAGGCCACCTGCCTCGGCCAGAGCTGTCTCGGCGTCGTCCGCATCGCTGTCGTCATCGTTAATGTACGGCCTCACGCTTGAGACACGAGCCAGAGGGTAGCCCACTGCATCGTCGTTTCCACCGCCAATGTCGTGCTCGAACTCAAAAAAGTCGTCCTCTTCTGCCAGCTCGACTTCAATCTGTGGCGCCAGTTTCTTCGGTTGCAAAGTTGAATGTTCTTCACTCGTGGCAATAGCTGGATTTTGCACAGGGGGCGTGGTAGTAGCACTTTCATAAGCAGCGGTAGAAGCAGCAGTAATGGGGGCAACAACGGTCCCGTTCTCGGCTGGCGAAGGTTCCTCGACCGTCGGCTCTGGAGGAGACTTGCTCAGCACTACAGACGGACTCGAAAGCGGGGCCGCCGGTGAATTTGCCACGTCGGCAGCCTCCTTCAACCGTGTCTTCTCCCACGGTGATCGCATAGAGATAGATGAATCAGCGATGCTCCTATCGCTACCATCGCTACCGCGGTTGTGATTGTGGCTATTGTGGTCCTCTGCCTTTGTCGGTTGCGAGACAAAAGTGCTTGCGTCCAGCTTAACATCTGCGGGATCAGACTGTGGGTCGACAACTGTCCACGTCGAAGGGTCTTCAATGGGGACTTTGGAGAGCGCGCGCAGGCGGTCCGAAGAGGATATTCGACGAGTCAGCGGTATAGGCTCCAGCTCGTCATCGTCAAGGACGAGGCTGTGTCGGCGACGGTGGGATTCTAGGCCGCTGCCGTCGCTACTACTGCCTAGCGACAAGCGGTCACCTGCAGGCAGCTCTGTTTGTTGTTGTTGTCGCTGCTGCTGCTGTGAGTCATTGCCAGCCGACAGAAACACGTGATCATGTTCGCCTCCAGCCGGCGAACGTGTTGACGCATGCAGGCCCACAAAGGCAGTCGCGATACCTGGGTCTTTAGGCTGAAGAGAGCTTGACTCTTTGGTGTTGTTTCTGCCGGTATTGTCGCTGTGACGGGACAGGTCGATCTCTTCGAAAGCACCGCCGTTGCCGAAGCCGCTGGTATGATAGTTCGGCAGCAACCATGAAAAGTCCTGCACGTGGTCGATCTGAGGAGGCGACGTGGGCAACACTTCGCGGCCGTCGAAGGCAAAGCGCACACGTCGCGATTCTGCCGGGCTGCGCGACGATAGGCTCCGAGATGGCCGGCGCAGTGCGCCTTTGAGCCGTGGTTGCTCCTCTGGCTCCGTCTCTTTTGCCGGTAGGGGTGGGAATGACAAAGATGGTGTGGCGGCTGCGGCTGTATCTGTTCTGGCAGTGGCGGCCACGGGATCTGAGAGCGAGCGCGCCGGCCGGTTGTGGGTGGAGCCGTCGAGAAGGGGGAGAAAAGGGGGCGTGAAGACACCACGGAAGTCGTCGTTGCGACTGCGCGGTGGTGAAGGATCCGGCAGCACTGGCGGAGGGGTGGCAGACAGAAGGACCACGTCGGCGGTCTCGCCGTCACGCAGAAAACCCGGGTACAGGGCGGCATAGTGGGCATGGCCGGTGCTGCTGCTGTCGATGCTGTTGTCGCTGACCTCTCTGGCCTCTTTGGCCCCGCTGTTGATCGTCTCGGCCACATCAGCAGCCACGTCGGCGGCCACGGCATTCAACAGGTTAGCAGCATAGCGGCGGAACTCGTCGGCCTGGTTGCGGCGGTATGCGACTACCTTGGCGTCCAGATCAGTCAGCCTCGTCCGCAGGGCTGACACCAGCCGGACTCTCTCGTCATCCATGGCGAAGAGGGAAAGGGAAAGCCGCGGTCGAGATGGGCTTCATTGAGGTCGGGAGAGAAGGAAATGCGGAAACAATGCAAACAGCGTGGCCACTATCGCCTATGTAGCAGGGGGGCTGACTCTTGCGAGGATCCTTTTAGGCTCTCTCCAGGCGGCCGTGCAGAGGCTCTGCTGCGCCAGGATTGGTCCACAGGCGGATCAGGTCAGCGCCAGCCTGGCAGCCGGGATCAGCTGTTCTCTGTCGTATAATGCGTGGGCAACGCGTAAAATCCAGGTCGGTGAGAGAGACCGGAGAGGGTATAGAGGTTAGAGAGGGGATGGAGAAGAGAGAAATGGGACGGTCAAGAGGCGACAGCAGGACGAATCTCTAGTCGGCATGAATTGGTCATATGACACCAACTAAGAGCCCTCCAGGAAAAGAAAAGAAAAAATTGCATTAGCAAGGGCAGCAAAGGGGAAAAAGGGAAGCAGCGATCTAGCCCTCGGACTTACGCTCCATGGGGGACAGGTGGGCCGCAGCTGTCAGCCAAACGCGCGGGCTGCAGGGCAGGTGGGGAGCAGCCGTGACTAATCCAGCGGCGATCGGCTCTCGTCCTTGATCCGGACTGCTGTAACAGGGAACAGTAGATAGATAGCAGTGACACGCACATGACCACATGCTGCGATACGAAGGCGATGCCATGTTTTATTACACATTAGTTGCGGAGTATTCAATATAGCGACTTCATGCGAATATAATGCAGCCTGCCTTACTCCCCGTATGCATCGTGAAATTTTGCCATACAACAGACGTGTACGGAGTACGGAGTACGTCCTTCTACTCGTAGTTTCGTATGACGGACACGGTGCTACGCCCCGCGAGACGAGGCTGACGCTAGCAACCCCAGTCATTAGCTTCGGCTTTTTGCGTGCCGCGTAAACTGACTGACGCCCATAAGCCACGCAGCCACCTTCAAGTGAACGTCGAAGAAATGGTGACGGCTGTGTCCGACTGTCCTGGAAGGAGCCCTCTCCAGGTGGGTGACTGCCCGAATGGCTCTAGAGATGTTAGCCTCAGAGAAAGATCAAATCGTATGGGTAGGAAACACTACGGAATAGTAAGAAAGATGGAATGAAAAGTCGCAGTAGCTATATTTAGATAGCTGACGCTCGTAAACGGGCACTCATCTGCGTGCACTTTCCCGAGAAGTGTGCGTCCAGTCTCGTCATACGCCCTCTTCTCTGCTTTATCCCGAATTGTGCTTCTTCCCTCCTTCCTTCCCGTCTTCTTTGCCCCTTTCGCCTTGCACTTCAACCCCCCTTCTGTTATTCTGGTCCCGTCTTATCTTAGGTTCCTTCGGCGGCGTTGAGCACGTCAGACGCGAAGGCCGTGTCGGCTTGTTGGAGCAGCTGCTGCACAAAGTCCCTGGCGCTGCGCGTGGTCTCGGGTGCCTCGACGCCGACAATCATGTTTCTGCAGTCTTGGTACAGGCTTGCCAGGGAGTCGTAGTGACCGACGAGCAACTCCTTGAGGACGCCGTCTGAGAAGACTGCCAGACGATCGCGGGCTGCCGACTCGATGCTTGCGTACATGGGATTGCGGCAAGCCTGAACATGGTCGGCCATAGCTGTTCGCATGCGGGCCATACAGCCAGCGCCTGTCGCGTGAGTTGACGAAGAAGAAGCCGGCGGGGTGAGAAGATAGAGTGCAAACATACCAGATTCTTGGGCACATGTCATGTACGCCGGCGCCATGGCGCTGTGGACACACTCAAGCGGAAGGCGGTTGGCATCGCGGCGAAAGGTATCGATGTGGTGGCGGGCAAGCTCGAGAGCCTCGCGGAAAAGGTGCTTTAAGCCGCGGATCTCGTGTTCCAAAAGCATGCCAAGGCCAGTGTTCTGGGCACACAGGCTCAGGATCGGGCGATCACGCATCCTTCTGTGGAAGTGCTCAATGAGCTGTTCGGCAACAGCCTGACACTCGGACAAAGCAGCAGGAATCTGGGTGCTGAAAGCAACGTCCCAAGCGGGCGCGATGGTGTCCAGAAGAGAGCAAAGCAGTTCTTTGGAAGTTAGCATACTCTAGAGTAGATATTGCTGGAAGAGAGTGTATGCTCGCCCTCATTAAAGTTGCGCCGGATCTTGGAGCTTGTTGGAAATCCCCTGGAAAGAGTCAGCAAGATTTCCGTGGAAAGACCAATGGGAGGGAGCAGGACGGTACCCATTGCGGCATATCGACCGGTAAGTGTTAAACAGGAGCCCGCCGGCTTTCCGTGGCGCCGCCCACGAGGTCGCGATATCCGGTGCCGCATCGACACATTTGGCCAGAACCTGGGTCTGCTTCATGAGTACCTCCGTCTCCATGACCCTTCGGAGACTGGCAATGAACTTGTCGGCCGTGCTAGTCAGGTTCTGTGGGACTGCATCAGCAGGAGGGTCTCCAGGGGGGGCGACTGCGTTCTTGCGTATCTTACATGCTTCAGCTCGTCGTATGCCTGTTCCAGATGACGCATCTCGTAGCCCCGGCGCTCCTGGTCCAGATGGATCTGCAGCCCGAAGCCGCCGGCGCTGCTACTCACCCACACAGTCAGCGATGTCAGCAGTTGGGCAAAGTCGGTGAGCACTTTGCGATCACGCCTTGCGAGACATTCTGTGCCGAGACGTCGGGCATGCTGCTGGAGCTGTGGGATTTCTGTCTCGCCAGCGTGTCGGTAGCCCAGGGGAAAGGTAGAGCCGGCCAGCCGGTCGACAAGGCCGCCGAGTTCGTCGCTGGTGCCGTTGCCACTGCTACTGCCGTTCTCATCTGAGCCCGCCCGCCCGCGGAATTGCTGGTAGGCACGGCTGCTGACACAGAACACAGGCAGCGATTTGGCTAGGTCATCATACTTGCGAGCATCGGCTGACTCTCTTGTGACCAGAGCGCTCTCGTCGTCGATACTGAGCCACGTTAGCGTGCCGAAGGACAGAAGGAAGAAGAAAAGGAGACGCACTATTTCTGGCCTTGGGCAAAGTCCGTCTTGATGTGTGCTCGCGAATAGGCATTGCGCAGCTGCATGCACATGGCCACACGCTCGTTCACGAGCTCGTTGCGCTTTTGCTCGGTGGCTTGGCAGTCTTCCTGTGCACGACTCATGTCCAGATACGCCGACGAAAGCAGTTCCATGGCGTCCTCTCGTGCCTGCATCAGCCGTTGCAACTCCAGCTCCATCTCAGCCTCCATATCCTCCACATCAGAGCCGTTTGTGCTGAGGTCAGCATCTGGGAAAGCTTCTTTGTAGGCTGCAGCAACGTCCCTGAGGGCTGCTTCGTCGGATGTACATGGCTCCTTGATTGCAGCTGGCTCGTCGTCCTCGGTAATATCCGTAGCCTCACCTGTCAACCTCGCTCGCTTCAAGCTGCCACGACCGTCTGCTTCTGCTGCTCTCTTCTGCCCGTCTAAAACATCCCGTCCGGCAGCATCCAAGGTGTTCAGCCGTGTCATGACGTCGTCCAGCTGTCTGGACGCCTGGTTCTGCTGCTGCTTGACCACGCTGAGGTGTTGCATCTGCCGTGCCAACTGCTGCTCTATTGACGCCAAGCTGGCAGAGATGCGACGCACGTCACCGGAAACATCAAGCGACTCGGCTACCTCTCTCACAGATATGTCGTCCGTCTTCGAGCAGATAAAGCTCAGGCTGCTATAGGTTCCGTCCAAAACTAGCTGTCGCCGGAACGAGCGGCCCAGCAGCTCACGCGCCTCGCGGTCGTCGACTGCGCGCGTGATGGGACTCACGATCCAGATGGCTGCGCACCGCGAGATGTAACGTTCGGCTATTGTGTCTCTGGCCGCATTGGCATCACCAAATCCGGGCTGTGTCGCAGATTAATCTCATGGCATTTCCGTAGAGAGAGGGGACAACATACCAGATCAACCAGCACCACCCCGGTAGATAACGCATCTGATTTGAGAAACACCCGGACTACTTTGATCAATGGCCATAGGGCCATGTCTGCCTGCTTTTGTGCGTCTGCAGTCCCCGTAAGCGGTGACCAGCCTCCACTGCCGCTGCTGTCGAGATACGCCTGCAGCTGTGTATAAAACGTCTGCGGGTTGGCGGCTGCCACCGACCGCACCTTGCCGAGGAGGCTGCTGACCTGCGGATCATCGATGAGTGTCTGGAGGCTACAGCTGCCCAGCAAGGCGGATCGGCTGGTAGCCCGGTTGGGGAACACGGCACGCAACTTGGCAAGTGCGACGCTGGCCTCAGGCGAATCCCCAGCCGTGTCTCGAGTGTCGTGAATGTCCCAGGACTCGGTCACATCATCAAAAAGCCGTGTCAGCTCCCGGTGCCAGTCCTCTGGCTGCACAAACTCGATCTCCGCTCGGTATCGCTCAGCCTCGCGGTCGGATGAATTCCACGAAATCTCCGTTACTACGGCCGTGCACGCCCGCAAGCCGTTAGTCGGCAGCACGCGATCCTCGTCCAGCACAGCATTGATGACAGAACTCTTGCCAGACCCCGTGCGGCCGACAATGCCAATCAGCACCGGAGTGGGCTTTGCGTGGTTCTGTAGTTGGGCTATGCGCTGCGTCCATCCGGGCCCCTCAATACGCTCCTCGATGTCTCTGAGAGGACTGGCGAGGTGGCGAAGCAGGGAGCGGGCTATTCTTACCGCTTCAACCATGAGAGGCTGTGAGCCTGAGGCAATGACGGCCTGGAGATTGGTCCAAGAAAACACCGGAGGATCGGGTGCGGCCGCAGCGGTTGCGTGGAGCATGATTGGAAGAGAAGGCCCGGGTGTGATCTGACGGGGAGACCTTACTTCTAGGCCTTTATGTGTAGTTTCGTGAATGGGATCTGAGGCATCATCAATATCGATCGTCGCTTGGTCCGGTGCGGTGGTCGGCAGGGAAGCTCCTCCCAGTCTTGGCCCATGGCCGCCAGACGGCATTGGGAAATGCAACTCGGAAATGTTGTGCTGAGCCAACATGGAATTAGAAGCTATATTTTGTTCATCCGGCCGCTGCTCGTTTAGCAAGGCCAGCAAGGCCAAATCATTGACGTCCCCCAGCTGGGGCTCAGGACCTGGAGAGGAGAAGAGAGAATCAAGGTCTGCGTCTCGGGTCACGATCTGGCTGTCAATTATCGGCTCATACTGGTCCACAAAGAGCCCAGGCTCATTGTCTTCGGCACCAACAGTCTCTTCATCGTACATTGGTGCAGTTTGAACCAAACTGAAGACAGCAGTCTCTGTTTGTGGCTGCAGCGAGGAAATCTCCCCATACAGCGTTTCGTACAACGATGCGACTTCTCGACTTTGTTCTGTTGCCACTTCGGCATGTGGGGCTTCATTGTCATCGTCATCCTCATGTTTCGCCTCGGGCTGTGGGATGTTTTCAATTTCAATAGCAGCAGCACTGCTTCTGTTATTGGCGTCGGTGCCATCTTCGTCGTCAGAGATACAAACGGGCGAAATATCAAAGGCGTCTACATCCCACCACTGCTCGGATGGCTCCGTCTTGATCTGCGGACTCCCACTCCGTTGGTTCAAAACAGCATTTCCGCTTCTCCCATGAAGCTCACCAACACCATCATCGTCAATATATATGACCAGCGGCGAATTACTTGCACCATTGCTCCTTCTAGAAGCCATATTTTGTAGAAGGCAGGGTGCGAGGTTGATTCGAAGTCAGGATACCGTGAAGCATTTGTGACCGCTATATCACGCACTCATAAACTGGTATATTGCCGCGTTGTTTAATGGTGACAACTAGAAATATGTGCTGTGAATATGGATAGCTATTGAAAAGGGAAAATAAAATTAACGTAAGTTTCTGCCCACCTGAACAGCTCTAATAATAACAAAGAGCAGGACGTTTTATGGCATGAAAAATCGTGTCAGCATATAAATCCGAGAGATGAAAATACTCTGGACAGTCTCTGGAAGAATATACGCAGTAATGCTTCAAAGAAGACAGAGCAAGGTGAACGTGGGCTAGAGATTTGTTACTTGGTCATGGCTGAGTTACAGACTTGCTTTAAGCGAGTACAAACGTGATAATCAGGTAGTATGAAGACTACTTTAGCTAGTCACCAATTGGCATTCGCTTCCTGAAGATCGAGTGAGAAGGAGCGACGTCGAAGCAAAAGAGCATAGAAGACAGCCATGTCAGATGTCTTTCGCTTGAAAAGACATTTAATGTCAATGCAAGCATCAATGCAAGCCGAGAAATAGTACACATTCTAAAGGCATCCTCAAAGAGACGGGATGAAAGCTTCGGGAAAAGCGTATCCTTTTCATGACCGCAACCACAAATATGTACCCCAAGGCGAGCATGTCGACTGGCAGTTGTGTTGCGAGGTTAAGCATTGCGGCCGGTGATTAGTTATCACAAACGCCTCGCAGCTCTCACCGCCTTCTCTTCAGGACATCGTATTCTGCCGGAGCTTGTTTTGGACGGAGCCGCTGCAATGAGCAACTGGAGCTGTGTACGGACTACTACTTGTCGCCAGCTGTCGAACCATCACCGTGTGCCACATTCGCCCCGGGCAGAGTCGCGCGTGATATCAACCTGATACCTATCAGCGAACAGGCGACGCGATCAAACGAGCTCTCAGCCTAAAGGCGACTCTAGCAGGGAGAGAAGCATCGGCGCAGAAGACGGCCGAATTGACACAGCAACATCACATACGATACCCCCTTTCTCCGCTCTCCCACTTATTCACCTTAATACAAGTTCAAAAATGTCTACGATCACCGGAAACGCGCTGCAGTCGGGCCACCCGCCGATCGTGCCACTGCCGTTCAATGGCAACCAACCCGAGACAATCAAGCTGTACCCGTTGTCAAACTACACGTTTGGCGTCAAGGAGACGCAGCCGGAAGAGGACCCTTCGGTGGTGGCGCGACTGCGGCGGCTCGAGGAACACTACACAGTCCACGGTATGCGGCGCACGTGTGAAGGTATTCTGGTATGCCACGAGCACAACCACCCGCACATCCTGATGCTGCAGATCGCCAACGCCTTCTTCAAGCTGCCGGGCGACTACCTGCGACCTGAGGACGAGGAGGTGGAGGGCTTCAAGTCGCGGCTGGACGAACGCCTAGCGCCTGTGGGCCGGCTCGGTGAGGGCGAGGAGGCCGGCGACTGGCAGGTCGGCGAGTGTCTGGCCCAATGGTGGCGACCGAACTTTGAAACATTCATGTATCCGTTTATCCCGGCACACGTCACGCGGCCAAAGGAGTGCAAGAAGTTATATTTTATTCAGCTGCCCAAGTCAAGTAAGTTGGGGTGAAGGACGGAGGGACAAGACCTATATTACGACTGCTAACAAACTCCAAGAAGTGCTAAGCGTCCCCAAAAACATGAAGCTGCTGGCCGTGCCGCTGTTTGAGCTCTACGACAACACAGCCCGATATGGCCCCCAGCTGTCGGCCATCCCCCATTTGCTGAGCCGGTACAACTTTGAGTTCTATGACGAGGATGACAACGTAGTGGCTGCGACGCCAGGGTCAGGGGCGTCGCTGGGTGGCGAGGAGCTGCAGGCCAAGGTACTGGCGGGTGAGGACACCGACATGAACACGGAGAATGGTACACACTGAAGGCGCGAGATAAGCTGTTGAATTTGACAAGCATCGGGGCGAGGGGAAGTCGAGTTCCATCCGTTCTTCAATCAACAGGAGACGGACAAAAATCTTTATTGTGCTTTTTGTCTGGCAGCGACATAATATTATTTTTTGGTATGAACCGCCTTGCCTTTTTTGCCGCTCTGCTTGACATCGTGCGATCCCAGTTGTTAGGCAAAGAGTAAAGGAACCAGATAGCGCTCATGCCTTTTCGCCTTGGATGGTGGCCACGATGTTGCGCGTGTGCTTGTAGGCGCGGAACTCCAGGTACCAGATGCCTTGCCAGGTCCCGGTGGCCTTGAGTATGGGCGCAGCACAGATCAGCCAGGGAAAGGGACAAAAGGAAGTAATTGGGGGGTGTACGTACCAATTTGCCATCGCGGATAGGAATCGTCACACTTGCGCCAATGAGGGCGCTCTTGATATGTGCCTGGGCGGTGGTAACACGGTCAGCTTATAAAGTTGCTTCGGCAGCAGAATTTAGCACCCACGGGCATGTCGTCCGGCCCCTCGTCATCGTGGCGGTACAGCGCCTCACCCTTGGGGCCCTCAGTCGGGGCGATGCGGTCGAGGGCGTCGCTCAGGTCGCTGCGCACATTTGGGTCATAATTCTCATTGAGGCTGAGCGCACAGCTTGTGTGTTGAATAAAGAGGTGCAGAAGGCCGACTTTATAGTCGCGGATGGCGGGCAGCTCGCGGAGGACAACGTCGGTGATGAGATAAGACCCACGGGAGCGCGACGGCAGCGAGAAGGATTTTTGGTACCAGGACATGGTGGCGGGAGACGTACAAAGTGCTGCGAGAAGAGCAAAGAGGAGCGCAGAGGTGACCACGGAGACGCAACCGGAAATTACAAGTCCACAGGGCCACGAAGTTGAACATTGCAGAGGTGGTGGATGACGTCGTTGAGGGGTTATTTTCCACTATATATTTTCCTAAACACCGAAATTGGGCGATGGGCATGATGCGATACAGTAAATATATTCACGCAAGTTTTTGTCTCTGGGAAGATTGGCAAACAGTCTTGTCTCTCTGACAGCTGGGAAAGAAGTATTCAATACGTTGATACAAGAGCTGCCAAGTCTTAAAAATATCTACGACTGAAATATGAGCCGTTGTAGAATGTTATAGCTTGGGCAAATCTGACTCCGCTGCGAAAACGTCTGGGACGAGAGTACAGAAATACAGACATCGGCATGACAAGTAGACATACAGCTCTAGGCTGTCGTTTCTGTCACTTTGCTGCTCTTATAAACAAAACTGTCCGAACACCTTCTCACCAGTCGAACATTTACGCGCACTGTAATTCTAGCATTAGCCTAATAGCGTCGTGCATCCTCCGACGCAAGCCCATGGCATCCCGTGCTGCTCTTGCGGTGTAGCCTGACGACTGCTCCTAGCAACGGAAGTCCGGCATCGCTGGTGCAGCCCCAAACGCGTCTCCAATCCATTCTGCCATGCTCCATCCACTGCCGCTCGTAGTTTCAGAGCAAACGTCGGTCAGTGGTGCTTACAAATCTGCACGCCCGGTTAAGGAAAAAGAGGAGGAAAAAAAAATCCGAAATCTGACACCTACCAAGCGCCTATCTTCATTAGAACTAGTGCGGCCTCGCACGTCGTTCCTACTTCCATCGTGCTAATTGGTGGCGACTGCAGCAAGGCAGAGAGGCTATACATACTCCGTAATCTCGCGCGTTTTCCGTGCTTCTTTCGTCTCCTTATCTTCTGCACGCTCCCCACGGCCTACCAATTGTTGTTCGCCCATGTCCATTTGTCCCGGCAATCGGACAGCTTTTTTCACCGTTCACTGCCAGCTTTGAAAAGCTGCTATTCCTGCTGTCTTACCTTGAACGAGCTACGGTCGAGATTCCATCCCTCCCGGAATAGTTGCCATCGAACAGTGAAGCAGGCACGCGGCTTCTCCCAGATCAGCAGCAACCGCGCAGGGCCGGCCTCCCATACCACACATACATCGGCATGCCTGCTCACTGGGTCTGAGATCAACTTCGTGAAACCACCCGATCCCGCCTGTCCTTACAGCCGAGCTGCGTTTGCCCATCATGGACGACGGCTTCGAAGGCCTCTTCCCGGCCTTCTCCGCCTCCTCCCAGAAGGTCATGGCGCAGACGGGTTCGTTCTCTGGGTACCGGCCACTGCACCCACTGGGCAGCGGCTACCTCAGTTCCGCCAGGTCGGAACAACCGTTTTGCAAGAATGACGAGGGATGGGGTCCTCTCAGTCCCTTTCGTTACGACTTTACGCCATGCTTCATCGACATCTGGGTGGCGTCCGTGTCTGCCTTTGGAGTACTGTTTGGTGCTGTCACGCTCTGGTGGCTTTTTGCGAAGAAGACGTCCAACAGCCTGCCCAAAAACTGGGCATTCTGGCTGAAGCAGGTGAGAGAGAAGAGTGAAGGCGACACAAAGACTGGTCACAAAGCTGGACCTTTGCTGACAACTGCAGACTCTTCTCCTTACCGTCATTAGCGACTTTGTGGCCCAACTGGTCTTCCAGATCACCAGCTACTCGTCCTTGTGGTTTGCTGACTTCCGCGTCTACACTACCATCCTCACCATCGTGTCGTTTGCCGTCATCTTCGCCATCCAATGGGCTGAACACACCCGTCTGCGCAACGCAAATGCCGTGGTCCTTTTTTACTGGCTATTTCTCATCATCGCCCTCTCCGTCAAGCTTCGCTCCCTGGTCTCCCAGCAAATCTATGTCGACCACCTGGCCTACTTCGTCACCTACGCCGTCGGCTTCGGTTTGGCTGCCGCTACCTTTTTCATCGAATGGCTGGCGCCGCGCCAGATATCTAGCGATTATGAGGTTCTTGTTGATGAGCGCGAGGAGTGCCCGGCCGAGCATGCTACCATCTTTTCCCTCCTCACCTTCTCCTGGATGACGCCACTCATGCGTTACGGCTACTCGACGTATTTGACGGAAGGCGACCTTTGGGGCCTCGTCAGTAGCGACCGTACTGCCGTGACTGGCGCCACCTTTGAAGCTGCCTGGGAGCGGGAACTCAAGACTCGACCTGATCGGCCGTCTCTCTGGACCACCCTCTTCCGGGCCTTCGGCGCTCCGTACGCCATGGCCGCCGTGTTCAAGGTTGGCAACGACCTGGCTGCCTTCTCGCAGCCGCAGCTGCTGCGCTACCTCATCGCCTTTGTCGACTCGTACAACCTGAGCACGGAGCCGCAGCCGGCTATCCAGGGTGCCGCCATCGCCCTGGGCATGTTTGGCGTTGCCGTCTTCCAGACGATAATGATCCACCAGTATTTCCAATTAACATTTGTCTCTGGCATGCGCATCAAAGGCGGTCTGACTTCGTCCATCTATCGCAAGGCCCTGAAGCTGTCCAATGAGGGCCGTGCCAGCAAGACCACCGGCGACATTGTCAACTATATGGCTGTCGATGTCCAGCGGTTGCAGGACCTGACCCAGTTTGCCCACCAGCTATGGTCAGCGCCCTTCCAGATGGTTATCTGCATGTTCTCGCTCTATCAGCTCGTTGGCTGGACCATGTTCGCAGGAGTCAGTGCCATGATCGTCATGGTGCCCGTGAATGGCTTTATCGCCCGCAGGATGAAGACGTTGCAGAAGCAGCAGATGAAGAACAAGGATGCCCGCAGTCGTCTGATCTCTGAGATCATCAACAACATGAAGAGCATCAAGCTGTACGCCTGGGGTGCTGCCTTTATGAACAAGCTCAACTACATCCGTAATGACATGGAGCTCAAAAATCTTCGGCGCATTGGCGCAAACCAGGCCTTTGCCAACTTCACCTGGACCACCACGCCCTTCCTCGTCTCGTGCATGACTTTTGCCGTCTTTGTCTTGACCCACGACGAACCGCTGACGACCGAGATCATCTTCCCCGCACTGGCACTGTTCAACTTACTTTCGTTTCCTCTGTCCGTGCTGCCGATGGTCATCACCTCCATTATTGAGGCCAGCGTTGCCGTCTCGCGTCTGACGAACTTCCTCATCGCCGAAGAGATTCAGTCCGACGCCGTTACCTCCAAGCCTTCCGTAGAGGCTGGCGAGGAGGCCGTCAGCATCCGTGACGGTAGCTTCTCCTGGGACCGCCATGAGAACAAGCCTGCCCTCAGCCACATCGACTTCTTCGCCCACAAGGGCGAGCTCACCTGCTTGGTCGGCCGCGTCGGTACCGGCAAGTCGTCGCTGCTTCAGGCAATTCTTGGTGACCTATGGAAGATTAAGGGCACCGTCGAAGTCGCCGGTTGCGTGGCATACGTGGCCCAGCAATCTTGGATCATGAACGCTACCGTCAAAGAGAACATTCTATTCGGCCATCGCTTCGACTCGCACTTCTACGAGCAGACCGTCCAGGCGTGCGCGCTCCTAGACGATTTTCTGCAGCTACCGGACGGCGATGAGACCGTGGTGGGCGAGCGGGGTATCTCCCTGAGCGGCGGCCAGAAGGCCCGCGTGACCCTTGCTCGTGCCGTCTACGCTCGTGCCGATGTGTACCTGCTCGATGACGTGCTATCTGCCGTGGACTCACACGTCGGCCGTCACCTTATAGACAACGTCCTCGGCCCTGAAGGCCTCCTCAGCTCCAAGACACGAATCCTGGCCACCAACTCCATTCCTGTCCTGACAGAGTGCAACTCGATATACATGCTGCGTGATGGCAAGATTGCCGAGAAGGGCACCTACGACCAGCTGATGGCCATGAAGGGTCTTGTGAGCGACTTGATCCGGACGTCTGGGCACGAGTCCGGGTCGGCATCTGCTGCCGAGTCGGGCAGCGAGACATCGACGGTCATTGACACAGAGACGACGCCGCTCATGGACGACGAAATAGAAGAGGCTCAGGAGGGCCTGGCTCCCCTAGAAAGCTTCAGGCCCGGGGCGTCGTCCAGGCCTCCCAAGAAACAGCGGGCCAACAGCACGGTCACGCTCCGTAGGGCCAGCGCGGCCAGCTTCCGCGGCCCTCGGGGCAAACTCGGGGACGAGGAGGCTACCGGCAACAGGACGAAGCAGAACAAGGAACATTCAGAGCAAGGAAAGGTGAAATGGCAAGGTAAGAGGGAGGGAACCATTTGTCTATCTAGTGTTTCTGTACTGACAATCATCTCTCCTAACACAGTGTACATTGAGTATGCCAAGGCAAACAATCTGGTAGCTGTGGCAGTCTACCTAGTGGCCCTCGTTGCCTCCCAAACGGCCAGCATGGGTGGCAGCGTATGGCTCAAGAAATGGGCTGAATACAATGCAGGCAACGGAGGCAACTTCCACGTCGGCAAGTACATTGGTGTCTACTTCGCGTTTGGCATAGGCGGCGCACTCCTGACGGCTGCACAAATGCTCATCCTGTGGATACTCTGCTCTATCGAGGTAAGAAGCGGCTTCTCCAGACACGATGGCCACGTATGCTGACTCATCTCTGCACAGGCATCACGCAAGCTGCACGAGAGAATGGCTACTGCGATTTTTCGATCGCCCATGTCCTTTTTCGACGTCACGCCGGCTGGACGGATCCTGAACCGGTTCTCGAGCGATATCTATCGTGTCGATGAGGTGCTTGCTCGGACGTTCAACATGCTGTTTGTTAACATTTCCAAGTCTGGCTTCACGCTGGCTATCATTTCGGTATCGACTCCTGCCTTCACAGCACTAGTCATCCCACTGAGCATCATGTACATCTGGATCCAGCGCTACTATTTGCACACGTCGCGGGAGCTCAAACGCCTCGACAGCGTCACCAAGAGCCCCATTTACGCTCACTTTCAGGAGTCTCTGGGCGGTACGTCGACGATCCGGGCCTACGGGCAGCAGAAGCGTTTCGAGATGGAGAACGAGTGGCGCATGGACGCAAACCTGCGCGCCTTCTTCCCGTCGATCAGCTCCAACCGGTGGCTGGCCGTGCGGCTCGAGTTTATCGGAGCAGCCGTGATTCTCGGAGCAGCTGGCTTGTCAGTCATCTCAGTGGCCAACCACAGCGGTCTCAGCGCGGGCATGGTTGGTCTGGCCATGTCCTACGCGCTGCAGATTGTTACGGCGCTGAACTGGATCGTGCGGCTGTCGGTCGAGGTGGAGACAAACATTGTGTCGGTCGAGCGCGTGCTAGAGTATGCGCAGCTGCCCAGCGAAGCGCCCGAGATCATCAAGCGTCACCGGCCGCCGGTCAGCTGGCCATCCAACGGCGAGGTTGAGTTTCGCGACTACAGCGCCCGGTACCGCGAGGGCCTCGACCTGGTGCTGAAGAACATTACCCTGGACATCAAGCCGCGTGAGAAGATCGGCGTGGTCGGACGCACCGGCGCCGGCAAGTCCTCGCTGACCCTGGCTCTGTTCCGCATCATCGAGCCAGACACAGGCCACATCCGCATCGACGACCTGAACACGTCGACCATCGGTCTGCTGGACCTCCGGCGTCGACTGGCCATCATCCCACAGGATGCCGCACTCTTCGAGGGCACCGTCCGCGACAACCTTGACCCAGCGCATGTGCACGACGACACGGACTTGTGGTCCGTTCTTGGTAAGTCATGCTATCCTGGCCATCCTCGGCATTTTCTCTCTACACTTGTCGCTGACTGTCTGCGTGTTTGCGTTTGTCTAGAACATGCCCGCTTGAAGGACCACGTGTCATCGATGGGAGGCGGTCTAGAATCCAGAATAAACGAAGGAGGTACGTGTTCGAGTTTTTTCTGTCCGTTAGCACGCCGGATGGTCGGAGCCCCCTTTCCCCTGTTTTCCCTTTCTTGTCGTCTGTTTCCTTTCGGCCTGCATGGCACATGACTCAACGTTTGTATGTCCTCGGGTCACCGTCTTTTCAGCTTATGTCTGGCTGCAGCCATGGGTTGAGCAGACAGAGCGGACAACACCGATGGCCTCTCACAGAGCAGAGCACAGGCAGGTGTAAAAAGCTCGAGGAGCGACCACCGTGCAACCATGTACAAGGGTTTCTCGGCCGCCCAAGTGGTGCAAATCGTCGTTTCTTTTTTCTTTTCTTAAAGTTACTGTTGTCTCGGCAGTCGCCATTGATTTCCTCTGTAGTCGAGATGGAGACCGTCGGATCCGCATCGCAGCCATGCGCCTCTCCGCTTAGCGTCTGACTGCCTTTGTTTTTACCTCTCTGCTTGCTACGTGTGCTAACGCATGCCCGTCACGCATTCTTAGGCTCCAATCTTTCCCAGGGTCAGCGCCAGCTGGTTTCGCTGGCGCGAGCGATGCTAACTCCGTCCAACATCCTGGTTCTCGATGAGGCCACGGCTGCCGTCGATGTGGAGACGGACCGGATGCTACAGACGACGTTGCGGTCCCCGATGTTTGCGAACCGCACAATCATCACAGTGGCCCATCGTATCAACACTATTTTGGACAGTGACCGAGTGGTGGTTCTGGACAAGGGCGAGGTGGCTGAGTTTGGGACGCCGCAGGAACTTATTGCTAAACGGGGACGCTTTTACGGGTTGGTGAAGCAAGCCGGCCTGACCGACTGAGCGAGTAGGGGAGCGGCCCAGGGGGGGGGGTAGGAGAGAGAGGGAGGCACAAGAGGTACTGGGAGATCCGAGCGGTGTGGTTGTACTCTTGTGGCATGTCAATGAAGATATCTAGAGTCGGTTGGAATGTATTTGGAGTATAAAAGCATCAGTGTGCTCCACAGGTCAGACAGTACAGACAAAAAGTCTGCAGAATGCTACACAGGGTGATATAGTCAACAATGCCCAGGCCGCCAAGTCCTTCAAATCCTCGTGCTGATAATAAAAAGACAGTGACCTCAGGAGGCACGTGTTGTTTATGTTAATGGAATATACGAGTACCCCTAGAGGCGGATATGGAGATAGAGATGGGATAGATGATAGCCTACAGCGTATGGAATATATACGAACAGGATGCAAGAATGTCACTATGCCGTCTGTTATTTCCCTCTTTGTAGTTTCTCCTCTCTCATTCATCGTCCGGGTCTGCCTTGCTGCAGCGTGCAATAATGGCGCCCAGCAGAGCCTGTCGACCTAATGCTATGCCTATGTCGGTGGAATTGACGCACAAGATTCGCAAGACTCTCAGAATTCGACGACGTTATCGGGATTCTCTATGGAGATAGGAGCACTGGCCCATAGACTTCACGGAGTACGGTCTGCGTTTCTGACCTGGTGGTCAACCATATGCTTGACTGCGGGGAACTCCGCTGGGAGACATTCTCTTTACGACGATTTGCTCATTACTCTTTGTATTTTACCCTCTTTCAATAAAGCCTCGGGCCCAACACCGAAGCAGGTCCGAAGAGGGGCAGCGCCGCAGACAGGGGGGAGATCTGAAGGGGGAGAAGGATAAGAAAAAACGACGAGAAATAAAATGAAAAAAGAAGAAATCAAGACTAGAAAAAGCAGGTGAATGACAAGGACAAGCACGTACATAAAGGTATGTGTAAGACAAACGCATTGCCTCCACGGCAGGGTGATAAAATGACGCGTTACTGTACGGAGTGCAAAGCCTGCTCGTACCTAAGGGTTATGGGCCAGCAGTCCACTGTCCCCCCTCTAGCCCCCAAGGTCCAAAATCTGTCGGTGAGAGGGAAGCCCGCGAGTGCGCAATGTCCGGTTGCGGTAAGCGGTGGAGTGATCTGACGGGCGATGCACTATGTAGCAATACAATGTATGTAGCATGCCGGCGGACGAGGCAGAGAGACGGAGGCTTGGGCTAGCAGGGTCGAGGCCGAGGGGAATAAGACGAGAATAGCGAGAAGAAAATAAAGTTAAACCTGCCGCACACCGTCTCCGTTTGCCCTTCCACTCTGGCCCTCCTTCTCTTTGGGGCCTGGCTGCGTTTTTGCGTGGTATTGGCCGTCGTTGCTAGCCAGATTTGCCGTTGGTCTGAATAGACTTGGAGGGTTGGACGAAGGATGGCTGGAGGAAACGGGGGTGGGAGAATGGAGAATGGAGAATAGATGGGGCTGCCCCTCTCTCCCAATACAGTATCATCGCCTCCGCATCACGCACCCGCATCGTACTCCATACGTCGTAGGCATGGTCTCTCTTTCTCTTTTCTTTCTTTTCTTTATTTTTCTTTTTCTGTCAAGCTCTCTCTGTTCTTTTCCTCTCTCCGTCCCACTCTTATCCTTCGTCAGAGGGGTGTAGCACTGGCAGCGGGCGTTTCCTCCCTCCATCCCAGCAAGATGCATCATGATCATGCTTGTAAGATTTGTCGCCTTTCCCTGTCTAAATCAGGCAGCTAACAGCAAGAGGAAGCGCCGCTGCTACCGCACGGGACTCCCCGACTAATTCAAGCACTTGTAGTATATCACACTCGGGCTCTGCCATTCTAGATCCGCGGGCTACGTACATATTAGTTCACCGGTAGCCCGGCCGGCTTCTGACCACGACCCCGTAGGCCAAGAATGGAGCGAGCGTCGTGCGGAAAGAGATAGGGTAGGAAGACGATGAGACGATGTGCCGATGGCGACAGATGATCCGATGAGATGATGAGAGCAGATGTGATTAAAAAAAAGAACGGAGCACAGAGTATACATGGTAAGAACGTATAATAACGCGTACGAGTACTTCGTAAGATACTTTGAACAGTCGGTTAGGAGCCACTTACAACGCTACCCCGTATCATTAATAATTGTAATCGTTATGGTCATAGCACAGCTCTAGGTTTTTTCCCTTCTTAATTCGGCCTATGCCGTTGATTATGTACGACAGTGAAGACGTTTTTTCCATATCTGGCACCTGGCATATTGAATTGCATCCGCTAATGCTACTACGCTGTACGGAGTATGTACGGAGTACTCCGTACAGCGAAACCTTCGGTTGACGGCGGTGGCGAAACTTACCGGGCTAATTGGCTGCCCTCTTCTGCTGCCCCTTGTTGGCAGTGTTGCATTCTCATCGTGAGCAGGCTGATGAAGCTGTGGATACTGCCACCAATGGAAAACACCGTCTTCCAGACGGGTTGAGAAGGGTCGACCGCACGATAGCATCCTAGGAGTTATCTTACCTCAAATCTAGGGCGCGGTCTGGGTAACGGTGATATCGCCAGTTCTCACTTGCTCGTACAGCGTAGAGACTGCTCTCTCTTTACTGTCTCGATGCTCCATCAACGCGTATCGTGCTCTCCCTGGACCAGTGTGGCCAATGTAAACCCTCCCGCAGCGCTACTATGTATCTTACCTATTGACCCGCTTAGCAAGCAAGTTCCTGTTTGATATGTGCCCGGCATTGGGCTGCGTACGAAGTACAGTGTTTTCGTGACAGACAGGTGCAAGATCCAGGAGAACCGGTCGAGCTGAGAGATAGACTCTAGCTCGGTAGAACATAGCCTGGTAGGAAGGCAAGTAGCGTGTCATCACATGCGTACGACCAAACTTATGTAGCGGGACCTGGCGAGAAGCCGACACAGAGCAAAGAACTGAAGGTGAGCCTCGGAGAAGAAGGGGGAGGGGAGGGGTATGCGCAAGTTTGCTGGCATGAGATCGGCCCTCCTTTCGGCTCAGCAGCGAGTGGAGGAGCGGTTGCGACGTCGGATGTGCAGAAGTAAAGACACGGGACATAACATGCCCTGCACTACCACTCCGGAAAATCTCAGACGGCACAGAGTGAAACGCGGCCGACTTGCAGGCTGCGTTTGTGGATGTCCATTGACAAATGCTGGAGACGGCGGGGCGATTTTGATGAAACGATGAAACGAGACGGCGAAACGGCGAGACAACAACCAGGAAGACGGCAAGCACGACTCGCCTACCATTGCCTTTTTCTCCGGTGTAACGGGCCATGACGGAAGCCCGCATTTCATTGCGGTGCTGTGCGGCTATCGTGCGCACGCGTCCCGTTGACCCTCTAGCTGTCTTGCTTTCTGTTTCGTCTTGTCCTGTTTCAACCTGCAGAGACGGCCGAGGCAAAAGAGCGAGGCCAAGAGAACAGCTGCTCTCTGCAGCGTGGCTGCACAGAAGCCCGTCTGGTGGGGCAGGACAGCAAACAGAAAGCCTGCATTTGAGTGCATATATGCAGACGGCTCTATCTCCTGTGTCCGTGAACTTGTGTCACACCGCATACGAGTACTCCATATGACACAGTCGTTTCTGCCCTTCTAATGCTGTCTCTCAGCGCTGGGCCGGACGGTTGTGCGAAACTAAACCCCGGAAAAGCGAGGAGAAAGGAGAGAGCCAAATCCGAAGGGCGTGTATTATCTCTTTGCAATCTCTGTGCCTCCCCACCTGCATCGGAGTATGCAGCTGCCTCGTGCCCTCTCCCGAAAGTATCCTCTGTGGCCTGGAAGCAGGCAACCTAGCATAAGGTAACATACCGCCTTTTTGCTCACGTTTCCTGTCACTGCTCGAAGGAGCAATGTCCGTGCTATGCACTCCGTAAAATGTGTGAGATTCTCCCTACTGCTAATATGTCACACGCTCTTCCATGTGTCTTTTTGTGTCACCAGCTAACATACAAGCATTTCGATTTCGGCCCGCGACGAAGCTCCTTGGTTAGGGATGGGCTATGCAGAGTGACAGTGGTAGCAATGACAGTACGTCAGCTCACGTAACTCTTTCCGGATCCACAACCTCTTCCTGTCTTCCTGTCTTGCGCATGTGTCATGCCGTCTAAATGAGAAATTTGAAGATTTGGTCTCCTACTTAGTAGCATGGAGCCATTATAACGAGCGAGAACGAAAACGAGAGCTATATTGCCTGGTTCGGCAATCGATCATGACCTTCTCGATCCCGGCTACACGGGTCCGCCTTCCCTCTCCTTATGCAGGTGATAGGGAAAGGGATTGTGAGAGAAGAGAGAGAGAGGAGGAAGATTCTCCACCCGGGCGTTATCATGGGCCTCGCCGGCTTGCAATTCTCCTTACAGGTAGACTGCCCGCCTGCAGCTGGCCATTGCGCCTGCTCGGACGAATGAGCAGGCGGTCAAAGCCCACTTCGTAATACGATACCGGGTCTGCACATATCTCACATAGCGCTTATCACGGAAGCCTCGCTGCGTGGATCATGGTGGGGCCTAGAAAATACTATGTAAGGGGAAGGGGAAGGGGAGGCAGATGAGCGTGACCACCTGGCCGGGACGCGTTCTACTTGTATTTCGTACTCCGTAGGCCATGTGTGTTTATTGTCGCTGCGAGCAGCTCTGGTCTGCAAAGTGTGCTTTGCTTGAGGGGAGGGAAGACGGTGCCTAGGAGATAACGCTCCGGAGGGGTGGAAAAACAGCAGCTCTGCACACTCGTATTTTACTCGCATCTACTTCGTATCTACGCAGATAAGAGCACTGCACATTGTACGGAGTACGGAGTACAGAGCACGAGAATTCGTACTCCGTACGTCGTAAGAGACCGCAATACAGGGGAGGGACAGCGTGGTATTGCGGCAAGCACGCGGCACCTGTGAAAGCAGGCTCCCACGTACATAGTACTCGTACGGAGCACGAAAGCTCGTGTAATCCGCGTTTCAGGACAAGGTGAGCACCCATTGCCGGCAGGAGAAGCCGTGCGAGGGTAGAAC